CCATCACGGCACCTTAGACTGATTGTAAACCGGAAGTTTCGTGTATTTATAAAAGCATTTGAAATTTAGCATTTATTGGAAACTATATATACGCGGATCATTTACATATTCATTAACGTAGCGTGACAAATTCTTGATCGACACAGTTGCCTATGGTAAGAAGTCGCTAACACCATTTCGCATCTCATCAACGAACCTGAAAGATCCCTATACACGTGATATCGTATTATCGCCAAGTCATGTTCAAAATGAAACACTCGAAATTATCGTAATACAAAAATTGTCAAAAATGAGCATCCTATCCTGAGAAAAAAATTTCATCGAATAGCATTGAAGCAATGTTCTGTTAATGCAAAGAGTAATGATTAGACTGAAATAAACTCAATTAAATTGCCACGATTCCGATGAAATGTTTCATCCAAATTTATTCCAGTTTATTCGGGTGAAATATTCTTTGAATTAAGAAAATATCTCTGGATCAATTTGTTTCTTTCTCAATGTATAGAAATTTCGAAAATTTACTTAGCCGCTCATTGCGGGGATTTACGGCGTTCGGGTATATGCGTTCAATGAAGAGAAACGTCTGATCAGCTCGTTAAACACTCTATAGGAAATCCCTTGAATAATTCATGAGCAATCATCGACAGATGGACCATGATTTATGATTTTTGAAGTTCACGGCCAGAATACGTCAGCATCGGTCCTCAGCGAAGCTGAAAACCTGTGGGTAGAAAATCAGACGAGTGGAAGAGTAACGTTAATAGACTGCTTTCTTGGCGGAATAGTACAATGTAACCGCAGCTTGCAAGGTCGATTTACCGAAGAATTCTTCCCTTCTGGCTTGGATTTCCCACCACAGTGATTCACCCTATGGCGCCGCGAGTCCGGAATAATTCCGCGCCGAAAACGACAGCCGGAAATTCGACGTCCTCGATCACCTCGATCTTCGACACTTCCTACGCTTTCCCGATCGCCGACGAGAAAAGAAAAATTGCTACCGCGAGATATCGGCGTATTCGGTGACCTTCGACTCTTCCTCAAACATGCACGTAAAAAAAAGAACCGCCAGACAGAACAAGAAATACTTGATTGAACAAACGTGGACGCTTGAAAATGGCCCAACAAGACACTTTTGTTATATCGGCAACTAAAACCCGATTACTTCACTGGGGCAGGAATTCTATTCACATCCCTTTCTAGCGACAACAAATTGTATATCGCTCATTCGTTCAAATAGGGGCGATATTTTTTCCAGCTGGTACGATTATTCTTCCAGCAAGTGGAAAACTGTATCCTTTGCAAAAAGTGGAAATTTCTTTTTTTTTTTTCGCGCTTTATGTGGAATGGCGTTTCGACGTCTACGCGCGTCACCGGGTATCAGAGAATTTCGGGAGAAAACACGTGGAACGCGCACGTGGGCTGTTGATCTGCGTTTCTCTCGTTTCATCTCTCGGTCTACTTGTGTTTGCCTTGTGACGCCTTCGTTCGGGCCTTTCTGCGAGTGGAAACCGCGAAGTGCGCCAATCGACGCGATCCATGGGACTCCCGACGCGGCGTTACTGCGTGACGGCGCGCGCCTATAAAAGGGAGCCGCGAGCCGCCACGGGGCATTCGACACGCGGCGCTCGACGTGAGAGGCCCTCGTGCTGAGGAGAGTCCAGTGAGTTTTGCCACGTTACCTCCAGTGCGACAGTGCCATACGTTCCATAAATTGGAACCGTCCTCCCGAGACTTCTTGTTCTGTACACCTGTTATCGGTACCAAGAGCCGAGAAGAGACCCACTGTCGGTCCTCCGTTCTTCGAATCAAGTGAAGGAAAAAGGGAAATCGGCAAGATGTACACGAACCCGTTCAACCGCAAGCACAGCACCATCCGCCAGGTCCTGGATCGCCTCCTGGACCCGACGAAGAAGCCGATCAGGAGGTCGGAGAGCGTGAGCAGCTCCTCCAGCACCAGCAGCTCGATCAGCAGCACCAGCTCGAAGAGCTGCGGCTCCTTCGACAGCTCCTCCTCTTCGTACTCCCATCGGCGGATTCTTCAGTGGGGCAGGAAGTGAACCCTCCGAGGGAGGGTTCTTCTCCAGGAAGAAGGAACAGGAGAAATGGCTTCTTAGTTGAAAACTTAGGCCAAGCTGTGCTAGAAATGCCATTCTATTTGTAGCGCTATCCCGAAGACCAGCTCGAGGGAGGTGCTGGGTCGATTCTTGATCTTGGACACCCAGACTTTGGAGCGTCACGTTCTGGAGGAGGTTTGGGTTGTTCGGAGAGGCTCCTCGAAGATGGGGCCAACCCTTATCGGTCTATGGACGAGGTATCGCCTTGTATCTGCTGTCTGGAACCGGCAGGGGACAAGGAGTCCTGGTACTCGTCCTGGACCGGTTAGGTGTGGACCATGAAGACTTACACGACGTGTAGTCATGCGCTTCGCTGTAGATTATTTTGCCTGGCTATGTCAAGCGTGTGTTTGACATAGCTCATCCTATCATTTGCTGTATCAACGTTATCTTCGCATCTTTAAATGGAAAGACCAAGAAGAGTTCAGCGTGGGACACGGAGTCCTACATCGGATCTTGTATCGCAGGAATTCTACTCTTCTACATCGGAACTTCTATTGGAGTTGAACTCTGGTTAACTCAATCATCACGGGAAGGTGCTTCGGGCTACCTTATCTTGCGCAAAATTTGGAGGGAGGACTTCTGCATCGATTAATCAAGAAGGAAACGACTGACGTTAGGCTGGACCCTTCGTGCCTTATTCATTCACATGTTAATATTTATTGCATGTTTTATCAAAGATCCATGCGCCATATTTTCCGCTAGCATTTTCGTTGTATTTATTTCATTAGATAATATAGCTGTAACGATGCTTCTGTCGAGGGTTACATTTAATTGCTGGTACCGAGGTCTATTTGCCGAGGTCGATAAGGATCTTACGCTGCGATGTGCACTCGAGTAATTAGAATGCTTATTAGATGTATGCAACAGGTTCTGTGATTAGCAGATTCATCGACGAGGGAACTCATTACCTAGTAATTTAACGAGACTCATCGATAGGCAGTTAGTCTGTTACTAGTCAACGCCTCTATTTAGGTGTTCAATTAACTCGCTGACTTGATTCCTCACGGTTATGATATGCATTATTTATTGATCCTTTTTTATGCTACACCTTACACCTCGTGGAGGTGAAATAAAACATGATTGTGTATAAACGTTATCTGAAGTTTTTTTGGACAATCGATTTCCTTCCTTACCGAATACATGGCCAGAAGAATGGATCCCTTTATCGCCTCTGTCTTATCATATCTTGTACGTACTTGAGCTCGCTCTTTTAATTACGCTGATTACTGGAAATTGTCAATCGTTACTGATCGTAAATATCTCGCCAGGTTGGGGAAAAAAAAGTGTGATCTTCTGTCGCGATTCCGTGTCAGGGAATCGAGTCTTTAAAGACTCTGCGACTTGCTATCCGCCATTGAGAGTTAACCGTCGACGTCTCGGAGAAACTTGTTATAATTACGCATAATCAGCCGCGTCTGCGAAGCAGGTTACGTTATAAATAGCAAAACTCGCCCAGAAGAGTAAAAAACAATAGGCGGTAAATCAGGGGTTACACGCAAGATACGCGCGACTCGTAATCGGAACCTGTTATCGGACTGTTAAGAGGATCTCCGGATGTGGATTAGCCGAGCTGATAAAAGAACAAGAGTGCTCCAATTTTTGATAACGCGGTTTCTTTTTACTCACTTTGGCAAAGTGACTCTACATCTTGCCGACATCATGCTCGACAATAAGCGCAATTTTTTTAATGGCCCGACAGCCATTGGACGTCATCTCGTGCGACCGATTAGGGTTAATTGATTCGAGATCTCCAACCGGCCCGAACATGGTTCCGTTCTTTTTGCGCCCCTCCTGCTGGTTATTAATTGCACAAAAAATTGCGGAGTCAAAATGGCGGCCATGGTGCCGTTTTTGCGCCATTCGTCATTTTTTCCGCCGTTTCGAGTCGGTGTTTCCTTGTTAATCCAGCCGCGAGCGAAGAATCGCACTGCAAGAGGATTTCTGGGCTGCGATTAACACGTCGCAAAAAATTCTTAAATGCAGGTTTACTCCTTTTTTTATTCCGACAGCGTGATGGTTTTGCATTTCTATTAAAACTGGAGGATAATATGGGTGACGTAGATTCGAGCTGCATAGACTTTGATACCTGGAACAGCCAGATATTGGAAAAAAGAATTATATAATCCTGATGTATTCTTAAACTTGACTGAGTTTCGCGCCAAAGACACACGCGCCTTAGGAAGGTCGCCGAGGTCTTTACAACGAAGTTTAATATGTGACAAAAGATTTTATTAAAATAGGGAAATGCGGACGAAATAAAAATAGGGAAATGCGGAGGGACAGAGTAATGGCGCCGCCATTGACGTCAATTTCAAAACGTACTTGGAAATAAACTGTTACCGTTGCACCTGCGAGAGCAATGAGGAAATAACGTTCCATTTTCTGAGAATCATTGTTGCGACTTCGCGGTAGGCTCGGCGATCATTGCAAAAAGTCAACGTTAATAACTGGGCTCTCGTGACCTACGACAATCTCAGAAATAAGAAAAAATATCGCAAACGGTATTTTAGGGAATACATTTCACAAGGCTGCATTGCATGTCCAACATATCTCTTTAATTTCATCTCCGAATACGTGGAAAATACATATTATGTAAATTGTTATAGTTCCTGCGAAGACATTTTGCAAAATCTTAAGAGATAAAAATACTTGACATGCTTGAAGACATTTACAACTCGTACAGATCTCATCGGTACGTTGATCACAGTGGGCGAGGTTTTGAAAATCTATGAAATATTATACAAACTTGCATTCATCTGGCTATAAACGTTTAGTTCATAATCGTTGATACCACACTGTACCTGCTAAATAAAGAAAGAAATACTTCTTTAGAATTATCACTTGGCTAAAAATATCCGTTTGATTCATCGTTCACGGTCCTGCGACGTTCTTCGTCCTCCTAATGATTATCTAATGATATCAGTAAGCAAAGGACGGGAAAACAATGCCACTGATTATCGATTTCACCTCGAGGAGCTCATTCTAGGCTGACCATCACCTCCTTCTGAGTCCTTCGTTTATAATAATTCATTTTCTAAAAGTAACTCGAATCGGCAGAAAAAAGGATAACACTTTGCACTGATGTACATAGATTGCCCTATGCTAATAATAATTGATTACAACGTCAGTTGGTTCATTACATAAATTTATAACGATTTCGGTGTCCTCGATTGATAAAAAAAAAATTTTTTTCATTCTGGACGGAAGTACATCTCGACGTACAAATCGATTGTGGAGTACTATCGTTACCGCACAATTATTCGATCATATCACTAACCCTGAGTTAAACATCCTTACGGGATAATTAATACATGCCGATCCCCGTGACACGACTTTATCGCGAGATAAGAGTTCTCGATCTCGCGCGATTACCTTGCATCCTCTTGCTCGAGATCCAGCTATCAAGAACACTTGTTCGAGTAACTTTTCGCAATGTTACCCGAGGTTTCACATAAAATTGTCATTCAAATTATCAAAAGATGTGATTAACCGTTGATAACTATCTCGGTAAAATCCCGTCTTGATTTCCGGTCTCGTAAAATCTCCTCGAATTGACGTTCGTAAAGATGTAGGGACTTCTTGAAGATGGACACAGGAATTTCTCCATGATCTTTCGGGATCCTCCATTTGTCTTGTTGCCGACTGGTTCCAGCATGTTGTTCCACAGAAGATTTGCTCCTGCAAAAAAAAAAATTTTGTTGTCTCGTTCCACGAAAGATTTGCTTAAAAAACGGTGATCTCTAGTTAAACCGTTCCATAGATTTCCTCCTAAAAAATTGTTCCTCGGTTATATCGCCTCTTGAGAAAATTACGTTGTTTGGGAGTAATGAGTTATGCCGTGTGTAATTTCTTTCCCAACGAGAAGTTATTTGTATGAAAAGAAAAAAAAAAGAAAATGAGAGATGGTACGTCGCATTATCGCTTCCGCTCTAGGATGAACGAGCTTGAAGCCGAAGCATCTTTTTACAAACCCACACTCGAGTTCGAGTTATGAGAGGATCAGGTGATCGTTCAAGTGGTTGTTAAGTCGCCTCCGTTTGATGAGAATCTTGCTTCTCCATTGACCGAACGACGAGAAGAAAGATCTTCAGGAGCGTGGGTTAGTTCTTCGTAATTGGCCGGAAGTCATTCTCATGACGCAATACAAGGAACAAGTACCGAGGTTTTGATCTTAAAAAGCGATCAAAATGCCTTTCTGCAAATCGACCTTGAATCTGATACTAATTAATGAAATTAAAAAATGATTACACTTTAGCCTACCAGCTGTGATAAGCTTTTAAGAATTTTGGTTGAAACCATTTTCGAGATTTCAAGATCGTCGGAGAGGCACCAGGAAGCGAAATTTGGTTTCACGTAGAAAACGCCTTATCGCTGCAAGATGAAGTGCACCTCGAAGCCTTAAACGTCACACTTTAAGCTCCCCACACGAGCAAATAGAAATGTACGTGTACCGAGGAATTGCATTTATGCTGCGCCTGATTACATACAACCCGACGTGCATCCAAGAAGCTCCTGAAGTTGACGTCTAGGCGTTCGTAAGCCGATAAGGTAGGTATCTCACTTGTTATTTACACGACTTATGTATTCACGTTTCCCAATCCCCGAGTAGCAACAGTCGAGGAAATTGTTTCCTATATGAAGTGAAGAAAATCTCGTCTCGTCTTTACCTAAAGCGTGTCCCTTTTGACTGAAGTGGAAACAGTCGTACGTGACCAGACTCGGGTCAAGGGGAGGCGCTCGTTTTGGGTCAGCCATTGGAGCATTAAAAAATTTCGTAAACGGTTGATAGACGACTGTAAAGTCCGGTGTGGTGTCATACCTGAAGAAGAACACACGAGATCAATTTTTTGTTACGGCGTTGCAAAAAGATGAAGTCGATTTGTATTAAAAGAGGATAAAAGGATTACAATTTTAAAATTATTCATACCTTTTTTCCCGTGGAATAAAAAAATAGTTCTTACCGTCCTGAAGCAACCAAAGCCTCTGCAGCTTGCTGATATCTGCGCGACATTACGGAAGCTTTTATTTCCGGTTGATTCCCTTGGTGCATGCAAGCGCAGTACAGAGGATGCAGGATATTGCACATTGCACCGCGTGGCACCCTGACGGACACCGTGACATCTAGAAAATATTTATAAATAAAATCCAACTCTCAGTTGAAACGCCGATAATTTCATCTGTATGTAATATACTAAGTATTACATTTTTTCATATTTATTGCAGATATTTTTACCTATCGCAGGTATTAGATTCACCATAGTCCGAGGAAGAGTCGCTCGCAGGAAATCAAGAGTTCTTCGTAAATGCAAAGCGTGTCGAATCGGGGAGAAAAGCTGAGGTTCGTAACACTGGGCCGAGCAGATATCATTAGCCCCAAACAGGATCGTTATCAGCTGAAATTCAAGCATAAGAATCAGGTACCTTTACAGTATTTTTTTTTTTTTTAACAATGTACTTACTTTCCAGTGTCTCTTGAAGTCGATTGTGGGGTCATTTTTAATTCTTTGCACCAGGATTCGAGCCTGTCTTAAGGCATCCTCTGTTGCCGCCACAGGATACGCTATGTTGAGCCTCGCTTTTTTCGAGATGAATTCCCCCGTGCCGGTGGAGTAACCCGTCAGGTTGGCATTGAACTCCTGAGAAATAGACAACATGAGTATAGGTGAATGTAGAAATTTAGTGATTTGAAGGTGAGGAAATGTACTGTTCGAAGACCTTGATGAGGTTCGGAAGAGTGAGGAAACTCCTCCAATCACCCTGACCACCTGCACACCAGCTGACCCCACGAGCTTCTATGAAGGTGCCAACAGCAAATTCTTCTAAAGCACCACTACCTGCCACCAAAGAGTCGCCCAATCCACCGATAACGTCGATATCACCTGGTCTGAGACGGTGGACGTTATCCGGCCGGACCAAGGACCTTCGAAATGGAAAGCATTAAAAATGTCAACCCTTAAACACATTTCATGTAACCCTGTAACCCAATTTTTTTTTTTCTTTTCAACTCAAGGAAAACATTGAAATGTGTAATATACAGATATTAACCTTCCGATATTGTTTAAAATTTTTTTTATCGTTTTAAAGTTAAAATTCATAAGAATAAAACGGTGATAACGTGAAATACTTCACCTGCCATGGCGGACGTCACAGGGGAAGGGAATTTCATGGGGAATGCTCTTCTGCCTTCTTACTCCATCTCGAGATTTCGGATAACTGATCCCGTTAAAATCCGCGATATCCTGGAACAAGAATATACACTGAAAACCATTTTTTATGTAATTGAAGAAATGAAAAGAAATTTTAATGTCTTTTCAGAGACAGCCCAATGTAATATGTGGTACCCATGTGCGTGCAACTTTACGCTTTAAGTCCTCGCACGTTCTGACTTTTGCTTTCTTTCATTTGCATCCTGAGGTTCGTTTGCGCATGCGCCTAAATTCCGCGCCGTAGTATAAATAATTTACATTTCGTGCGGTGACGTTCCAGGGGGACATTCGTGGTAAACCATCGAATGTGCCCCATGAGTCCAGGAACGGTGAACGAAAGTGAGCTGGCCTTTCTCCGGGATTTCGAATGCGAATCACATAGGCTATTCTCTTTTCCCATTTGATGTAACACTTCCAGGCAGTCGATTTAAGGATTCGTCAACCCTCGAGCGGCGTAAGAACGTTACACATTTAATTGCATGAAAATTCACTCAACCCGATAAAGTCAATATAAGGCAATATGAAAGTGGCGTTGATGAACCCTCGGTTCTTTGCTGGTCGAAAGTTGAAAGAGATCCTCGTGCAATTTTTCTTAACTTCTCCTATTATACTGCAAATTTTTACCTACGTTAACATGCTTCAGATTCATGAGGTAAAAATCGTCGAATTGGATTATTATGACAAGAGATTCTGTTTTTAGGATATACAGGTCGGAGTTCTTTGCTGGTCGAAAGTTGAGGGAGGTCCTTGTGCAATTTTTCTCTTTTGGGATTGTGGAGCAAAGGAAAGGAGGAAGCCTTCATATTCAGAATCGTGCACTCTCTCGCGATGGAATATTCATGGACAAGAGCTAGGACGTTTGCGAAATGTCCACAATTTGAGCGTCCAATTTCGCTCGAGGTCTTCCTTAATCTCCAGGACACTTACCCTGCCCTGCTGGAAGAAGTTTAGCAAGCTATCCATGAAGGATGCCTGGACGACCGCGACCAGAAAAGACGCCTTTAAGATCCACATTGTTCCTTGGTTTTCTCAAAAATTCGGGAACCTCTGTCCTTAAGGTAGATAGAAAGTAGATCGCAAGATCTACCAAAGTCCTGGATCATCTGCTGAGGTGTCCATCCATCCTGGAACCAACAGTGCCGCCCATTCTCGTAGAACTTCTAGGCCTTTTTTTGACTTCCCACGTGTCTCTTCCTGGGAATAATTCAACTTAATGAAGCTATCGCTCTTTACCGGAAACCGTTTTTGTTTAATTAAGAGAAAGCCCTCGATAGTTTCGACCCGAGATTATTCCCTCTCAAAGTAATCTTATCTTAAAGTATCTTATTCTCTTTTTCGGCTCCCTGGAGAATAAACAGAATTTTTCGAACACATGGAGGTGATAGCAAACTGGCTCTCTTCGGTTGTATCGTACCCAGAGAGTCTATTTTTGCCTCCGAGGAGGTCTTGCGAAATTTCGAATGGATGTCTGAAACCGTTTTGGGCCATTTTTACTTGCGCAAGAGGTGACTTGATGAACAGATTACAGGTAGGAATATTTTTAACGAACGTCGAATCGAATGCAAAAAATTTCCATTACATGGGACGGTGCAATGAGGTGGAAGTCGTGCTAGTGGAATTAAACGTCCACGGATTTTAAACTCTAACTTATATACATAACTTATATTTGCAGTCTCATGAAGAATTAAATAATATAATTAGATACTTGTCTAAAAAAAATGGGCACTTACCAAATGGACTTAAATGCTTCGATTTCTTCGCCAACGTACCCTCCAGTACCTTCGATGCTCGTTTATCCACCTATATTTGCAAATTATTGTTAGCACTTTTCCAACTTTCTGTGTATTCAAAATAAGTATCGAAAGTCATTACTCAATAATCTAAGGCCTCGGGTGACGAAAACGCTTCCTTCGGGCTAAGAAATCGATTTTGCTGACCCGAAGAGGTGCAAGCAAACTTTCCCCGAGGTCCAGGTTTCGGCCTAACCAATTGTCGACAGCATTTTCATATTTCATAACAGGGAAGAGTATCATTGCGAGGCAGGTGACATTCTTCGGGTCCTAAAATAAATTCCATGCACGTACAAACAAAGGAATCTTCACACATGACTCTTCGTCGACACTATCCACCGCTCTAATAATTAAATAACTCACAAATGCTGCACGACATTCACTAATTCATATGTCATTTATTTTACAATTTTATACGATTATACGATTATTTAAGAATCCATACACGAAAATTCATATTTTAACACTTATTACCCTGTATCTTAAATTCTCCTTAAATGTGAAATAAAACAACCCTCTATGAAAATATTTCCCATGTACCTTTTTTCTCCTTTGGACTCACTTTGATTAAAAGGCAGCCACTAATTTAATAAAATCGAAAATCCAGGCTTACAGAAAATCTTTCGAGGGCTTTAACGAAAGCACTGCACCGCGATTATCTCCGTTCACTGTTATCGGTCTCGAGAAGGAGAAATGTATCGACGGATGGTCAATGGAATATTTTCGCAGACTTGCAGAGGAGTTACCCGATTCGTACTCCAAACTTCAATGGGTACGAATGGAAGAAGGCGAGCTTACGTTTCTTGGTGACCCCCCACTTTTTCGGAGTACACCTGTAAATGCTCGTTCGCATGCTCACCTTCTCGTGCATACGTGAGTAAGAGCGACTGCCTTATCCGATTTTGTCTCTACTTGTGTCTCCGCTCTTCTTCGTGCACTCAATTGCATCAGTGAGGTCAATGAAGCATTCTTGACAGTCCGGTAAGACGAGATCGCACAAATGACATGCGGACATACGTAATACCTACAAGGCTCAAATTTCCAAACTTTTCATTGTTAAAAATTCTTTCGATATTTCGGACTCTCTCCTTGTCCGTATTTTCATGTTTTGCTAATAAGCCATGTCTTGTTAATAAGTGGATTTCCATCTAATTGTTTACAAATCAGTCTATCAAAGGTATATTTCCCGTACGTCGTAAATAAAGGTGCATATTTATATAATAATTGCCCCACGATTTTTCCGCATAATCGTACTTTCTTAATTCATTGATTAATACCCTTAGATGCTATTAGTCTCGAAAAATTCCCCGGAGAGGGAGTTCGAACGCGCGTTTCTGTCCGCTCCTACAAGATGGCGCCATGTACATTTCTTTCCCAGTAACCGCGGTAAAGGGATTCTTTACACCCAGGTCAGGATATTAACGTTCATTATAAACCATAACTTATAGTATACATTATCAACGGTGTACGTAATAAAAAGTCGAATTAATTTTTCATATCAGGAGCATCGCGATCTTCCTTAGGGCCTCCACGATCACTTATTAAGCTTCCAAATGATTCGATGCGCGCAGTTTGGATAAAGTTTGGTAAATATTATATAATGTCCCTTTCGTATCACCTTAAGAAGAGGAAAGAAGAGAAAAGAAGGCAAGGAGTGACGCAGGGGGCGCAGAAAAGGCCCCGGAAGTGAGGATGACGTCGGTGCTCGTGGCCAATGGGGATTGACCTCCTCGAGAGGTCCTCCTCGTCTTTGTTCACGGCGGACATCCTGGGAGGCTGCGAACGTCAGGAGGGGCTTTGCTTCTATTTCCGGCAGGCGGTTCTCTAGCGTATATCGATCGCCGCTCGAGTTTTCCTCTCGTTCAAAGAGAAGCGCACCTTCTGCAGACGAGGGGCAAGACGCAATTGGAGGGACAAGAGGGTTGCGAGGTCAAGGTTGAGGCGAACACTCGACGGCAGTGCTCACGGTGCACCGCCTCGTGCGACAGTGTCAAGGGTCACCGAACTCTTCGTCTTCGTCTTCCATCTACGAAGAAATGGCGTCGCCTTTGGCCCGTCGCGAAATCGCCTCGATATGCCCTCGAATCTCTGTACTTTCGTTCCACCGGGTCATTTCGGGGATCGGACGACATTAAGGTGATATGAAAGGGTCATTCTGTATATCGGAACGTCAAAATATTTATAATACTTTTATCCAAACTGGGGGCACCGAATCGTTCGAAACTTCAGCACGGGATAGGGCCCTAAGGAAGAATGCGATGTTGGTGAAGTTTCATTTGAAAAAAAAAAAAATTTTTTTTATTTAGCCAGGACTAGGACCAAGACCACATTTTTTTTTTCTTTTTCTGGAATAATGAAATTTCACGAGCGTAGCGTATTGGACTTCTTTACTTTTCTATCACCCAACGAAATTTAAGTTCGATTTGGAATGTCCAATGAATTCTTAAACATACGATGAGCGCCATTGGGATCTGGGTCATGGTTCAGATTCCGAGTCAAAGAACGAATCATTTCGAGGAACTCGTGAACAGCACACGCTCATCAGTCCTTCCTGTTCATCTCTTCAATTTGCACATCTGAGCAGGTTCCTTATCGCCGAAGCAATGAGTAACAACTAGATCATTGCTGCTTTTGCCTCTGATCTTTATGTTCATCCACTTTTCGATCTCACTATTATCGCCTGCAATGTGCTCCAAGTACTCGCATTCTGTTTTTCTTGTAAAAAAAAATTATATCCATGGTATAACAATTTTGCCAGAATTAATTGAACAGGTGCAACTTAAAAGCTTGCGATTTCGTCTCGGTGAACTGGACAATTACAGCCTTGACCGTGCAAAACGCGTTTCGAAGAATTAGGTGGCGATTGCGCCAATCAAGAGGCCTTATCAAGAGTGAGAAAAAAAATGGACGAAGCAGCCGGCGATAATCAAATCTTCCGTCTTCGGTAAGAAGTGGCATATTTCCTCATTTTTAATAGTGCTCGGCCTCGGATAAGCCCCGACAGGCCGAGAATTCGGAGTCGTCGTATCTTCGTTTACGATTCGTCGAGGCAGAAAACTTTCCTGCAGCTTCTGATTTCTCTTATCGAGCCGAATTCGTCGAGTGCAATATTTATGAATTCGTGAACAATCTTCGGATTTCGTTACATTTCTTTCTACATCAAATTCCGAAGCCTGTATATTGGATACAGCCGCGAGTGTATTATAAATTTGGTACCCCGTGTTTAAATGAAACCTCTAATATGCGTCGCACGAATTTATTATCGTTTTTTACACGAACTGTATGCAAATAATTCCCAGAATTTTCCTCCGCGTATTTGACGTTCTCTGTTAAGAAACGCAAAAGAGGACTCAGCTCGTAATCTATTCCACGTATTCGCAGGTTCGCAAGCGATTTGTAGATTTGTACGATCGCCATTTTTCCCGCTAACAATCCGATATGTGAGCTTTGCTTGCGTCATGTCATTTTTGTAACGACGCTCTAGCTCGATCTATTAAGATATGGATTACTGGATGTATAGGCGTCGTTGAATCCTGGACACGCGCCATTTTGCACTTTGTACCGTGTTAAATATTGCGTTGTCAATATCAGCAATTAGCGCGAATTTCACTGGGAGAGATAAAGATACACCGTTAAAAAAACTACTTTAATTCCATTTTGATACACAAGTGTAATTATTTTATAAGTTAAGTAACTAAAGTACCGAGGAAATTAACTTCTATTGTCTTACCCATAGTGCATTCCCCGTGTCAACAATTAGATAGACCGTCAATTCGATTCGGTAACATTATACTCATTTTCTAATTAATAAACGATATGTACCCCTGGAAAGTTTCTACGATTTTAACATCGGTGCAAACCGGGTCGTCATGTTTCCGGCGTGTGCAGAAATCGCGGTGTCGACTGATATAAGCCTCGATATCCAGAAAGAGTTCAATTGAGTAACGAATGTGGGCCATCGTTATCTCGTACCCCACCGCGTGCACTATCGTAACCTTTCGCTTGTCTCTCCCTGACTGATCGATCTTTTTTTGTCGCTACATTATGTAAATTCTTTTGTAGTTGTCCCGGGGTTATCGCCGCCCGATGATAATATCTAAGAGTTCACTCCGAAGAGATGGCTCGCACGTGGAGTCGCAAACAGAAAACTAACAAGGATCCTGAAAAAGAAAAAATTGCGCACGATCGATCCTTGATGATCAATCAGCGACCAGATGACTCACGAATTAACACGTTCTAATTGTCACTGCAAATTGATCTAATCGGTCTGCCACGTGGCTCCTTTCAGTCAGTTAAGTCGATTTCCGATGCGATCTGTCGTGAATGAAGAGAAATGTTCGAAATGAAATAGCGTTTACTTTGTCTTAACAAATATTTCCATTCCACGTTCGCCATGCAGTAATTGAAACATACATTATTCGCCAATCGACGGGAAATAAATTATTCTGAAGACAAACAGCACCTTGAACTAATCGAGAAGAGATGAGCTCAAATTTATTTAATAATCTCCTATCACGTAACAGTCATTATTGCGAAGTCACCAACGATAGGGTATCATTTGAGACCGTATTCTTATGATTCCCTTTCGTGTGCTGTGCTCCTACATACTTTTATTCTTTATTCTCGGTTTTCCTCCTTCTCCGTCGAGCAAAAGCTACTGTTGATCGACCTTTTATCGCATTTCGGGGCAGGGTTAACGTTTTCGCAATAGGTGCGCCAGTTTAACATGACACTTGGTCTGTCAAAAGTTTCATGTACGAGGCGTCTTCGACGCCACTTTCAGATCGCCTTAAATAATAAATAAAATACTCCCCGAATCTTGTATATCGAATTATTACGAAGAAAGTAGTCGACGAAAGTTTGGGGCGTTCCTTGAATTTCCAACATCTGTTTGAATTTGCCTAGGCAATTAGGGCAAGAAATATCCAGGCCTGTATGAATAAGTAAATATTAAGCAATGTCATGACATGAATCATATGTATCAGAAAGGCGATCGCTGGAGAATTTGTCGGAAACTCAGATCATGCTTGAAATTCGAATTCACCTTGCATCATTCTCCATGACTTGGTACGTTTCCGTTATCGAAAGCAGGGAAAGTACGATAGTTAAGGCACACTCTTCCCGTTGCATCTTGGCAAGCACGTTGACATGTCATCATTCAATCATGACTCGAGATTCCCAGAGCTATAAGACCAGTTCGACCGAGCGACATGTCCAGTATCTGCCATTTCGGGGACCGTCCACCACGATTTCCTCTTTAATCCAACGAAATAAAGTTCATCATTCTCTTCGTTTTCTGCGCTAATTCCGTTAAGAATCGAAAAGTTTAATCAGTGATTACATCCGGTGCCAGGTATCCCAGGCACTCCTTGCTCGGTACAGGTAAGTGAACGTTATTCATCGATAACAATTACTCACGCTTCCTTCCGGGGAGATTAATATCTTTCTTCAAATTCAAGATCATCGAGGATTTCTCAGAGTAACATTTTTCATAAAACTCGAAGTCGTACATTTATCAAAATCTCTCGAGCTCATTGGTCGCTGTGAAATTTTTTTTTTTTTCCTCAAAATTGAAGTCATGGATTTTTAAGAGTAATGTTTCTCATAAAAATTCGAGGTTTGACGAGGGTCCTGGATTTTCCAAAATGTGTTGTCGAACTAGTTGGTTGCCACGAATGGGCGTAGAATCCTTCGAGTAAGGTAATGCATCTTTTAGTGACCGATAACGAAACGTGTCGCGGCAGCGAACGTGTTAACAGACACTGTAACTGCAATTTAATGCGGCAGAATATTGAATTACCTTGCAAGGGGAACCCACACTATTGGGAGGATCTTATCATGTACAATGCAACATCAATGTCTGCAACATCAGCAAAAACGCTCTGGTTACAATTCTTGTCACGTAATGAAGCCACGTGGTCGTAGACAAAACTAATCAGAAGCAAATGGCGAATTCTACAGACGTCGTCTTCGGCTCTAAATTAATATAAATTAATCTCGACACCACCGAGTGCAATTCTTCAACGTGTATTAATTGCACGTACACATTCCTCTAATGTCAATTAATTATGATATCTTTCTCTCCAAATGATCCATCGATCATTACCCAAATATGGCACTCTTAAGGGCGCCTTTAATCGCGGTCTATTTTGTCCGCGATTATTCCAAAGTAATGCGATATTACATCGGTGTAAACCATTGTCTCAGGATTTATCACGTGACAGTGAGTTCTCTTCCGCGAACTCCTCGAAGTGCAAAGTGCAATAGTGAAAAAAGAAAATCCGATTCTCTCGAAGGCATTATCGCTCCCCCAGGGATCGTTGCTTCCTCCATAAGATGAGTCAACGGTCGATTCTGCATATATCGGCGCTAAAAAGGGTTTACTGCCTTTAGATCATGCATTGCGAATGATTACCCCAGTAATTGTTAGCATTGCTGGGAAAGCTATATCGGCATTTGCCGAGTCGATAATTCGTTTTATGCGTCGCAACGTTGTTGCACTTACTCGGTGTCATAATGCAACGTGTACCTCGTTGCTCCGTGCATCGTAAACGCGTTATTTCTTATATTTTCGCCTTGTTTTCGATAGAGATATCAGACATATCGGCGGCTATTTCTGGGGATTGATCGAATGGTTGTAAAGCGCTCTGACCATATCGACTGTCCCTACCAAAAACAGATCGATTTAAGCTCCTTATTTTCCCCTTTATATCGAGAGATAGAATTCCAATAATGCCACGTTCCTCGCAATCAACAATGCAATCCATAATTTGCAGTAAAGCTCGGTATTTCTTTAGCGAGATTAAAATATTACCCTGACACGAATAGCGTATTGACTCGAAAACATCTTGAAAGCTCCAGTTTTGCATTCATTCGCTCGTGATAAATTTATCGAATGAATTACCTCGCGATGAAAACAATTCAACGCAGTTTACACATAAGTCTGACAATTATACTTGAAGTAATTTAAACGAAGGATTAGAAGTAGGAAAAAACGAGAACAATATTCGCATCATGCCCATACTTCGTTAGAAACCGATAACTTCCGGTAGAGTCATGTGTACACAGATAATCTCTAGTAGCTAACATTCAATCATATAATGAATTTTTCTTTCAGGCCCTCGAAGTCGGCGGGTCGAGGTCGTTCGAATCGCGCGGCGCCGCCGGTTGCCAGGGAGACGAGGGTCACGTGACGCGAGGCTAGCCGACGGCAGCGCCGCCGCGGACCGAGGTTATAAATAGCGGCGACCGGTTTGCGGGGAGCCTCTTTTACTTCCACCACGTTCCGTGGTAGATTCGTTGGTCCGTCGCTCGCGTGCGCGGTACGTTACGTGCGGTGCTTGGTTCGCGCGAGCCCGCCGAGAAGAGTACGAGGTCCGTCCCCACGAGGAGGCGAGAAGGCTCGCAACCGCCGAGCGGGTACGGAGTCATCCATCGGTGCCAGCTAACCCGTGCGGCCGCGAGGGCTCGATTCAACCAGAGGTGGCCGGAAAGAGAAGGAGCGACGAAGATGCCGGAGACCGCGCACCACATGAACGGATACGCGAACGGGCACACGGCGCCCGAGCTGCAGCAGGGCACCAGCTTCCTCTTCACCTCGGAGTCCGTCGGAGAGGGACACCCAGGTGCGGCGAGTATTCACCCCGGGTCCGCCTCATCTTACGCTCGGTTTTCCCTCGCCTCGCTCCGAAGGACGCGTTCGCTCTTTCTCTCTCTCTCCCTCCCCGCCTTCCCTGCTTCTTCCTCTCTCTTTCACCCGCTATGCGCGCGCGAGAACCCGCACGCTCTAACGGGCTCCGCGTGCCGCCATGGCGCGGCACGGGATCGAGTTAACCCTCTAAAACGCCATGTGACTTTGAAGTCACGGTACCCTTTCGTCGATATTTCGTAAATGTTCCTTGATTTTTCGAAAAGCTCGATACATCACTTTGTCATTGCTCCGTTCCTTGTTAACCAACAAATTTTTTAGTAAAAATTGCAAAGTTGGGTAATGGAGGTTAATGCTCGCGATTCATTTACTGGATTTAGTCTTTTTTTCCTTGGAACAGGGAATTAGGTTAGGGAGGGTTAAGCCCTATTTTTAATCAAGGGATTTGTTTGTAGATTGGAATTTTATAGGGTAATAGGTAATGTTAGGAGGTTAATGCTTGTAGTAATTATTGCTTTGGCTTGGAAAATGAAATTGGGTTTTAGAGGGTTAGGCCTTCTGCTTTTTGCTATCACGTTTGGAGAGCTTCCAGGACATTCGGATCTTAGAGATGCTGCGTGTTGAGTATTCCTTGAATATTCCTCATCCCAATTTTTTTTGTTATCAAAATGTTACTGTTAGATAATGTGTCTTAAATGTTGAATTTTGTTTTTTTTTTTTAACCTACAGGGTCAAGGCGAGAATGAAGAGAGAGGTCGTAATGGAGGCACGTGTGAGCCAGTAATATGGTTGGCTTTTTTCGTCAGTTCCTAAAATAGTTCTCACAATATGTCAATGATTTTTCTAGATTCATGGCACTTTCGGACTACGTACTGTATTTTAATTTTTACTTCGTTATATCATTGTGGAAAGGCATTTGCAAATTGCAATACTTGGAAGATAAAACTGTACTCGGTCAATCAGTCATATGTTTATTCATAACGTGATAGACTTGTAGTTGCTTTCTGATTAAGGCTTTCCTGAGTTATGATGCAATTGGCAAAAGTTGAGGAAAACTTAGCGAGACCGAGAGATACAACCGAGAACCACAATTCATTGCTATATACAATGGATGTGCTTAATCTTCGATTTATTCCAGACAGGTGGATTCCTGGAATTAATTTTATATGACTTCGCTGGAAGGAAGTTGGCAGTACCAAGTACTGTCATTGGGGATATTTAACTTAAAAAAATTAATGCCTTTGTCTTCGTTTACAGATAAGATGTGCGATCAGATAAGCGATGCAATCCTGGATGCACATTTACAGCAAGATCCTGATGCCAAAGTAGCCTGTGGTAAATATCTACCCATGATTTATAGTTTTCGGCCAGCTCGGTATGCCTGTACAACTGTCTCTATTTATAAATCATACGACTTGACCCTGACCTAGTTGTCCCGGGTGTAAACTCGATTTTCATTACCTCCAGGATTTTTTATATCCACATTAAAATGTATTATTTTTAACTTTTAATTAAAAGAGACAATTGTACATCCAATAACGTTGCCTCGAACAGATGTACATAATGGTAATTACAGTATAAACATCTTGGTAATCCAATATATTTTTTATGCAATACTCAGAAACCGTAACGAAGACCGGCATGATCCTACTGTGCGGTGAGATCACTTCCAAAGCAGTGGTGGACTATCAAAAAATCGTACGCGATACGGTTAATCACATTGGCTACGACGATTCCTCAAAAGGTAAGAATGCAATTCTTAATCGAGAGAGAGAGAGACTCAACGAACGGACTTTCCAGTGAATAGCCATTTTCCTACCGCATAAAAATCCAATCGCTTGGTTTGCGCAATACATATATAAATATATCTCTGGTACAAGTACTGGCACTTAATTCTAAAGAGAAAAAGAGAAATTGATGTAACCAAGACCGTAATGCTCCTAAAATTTAGTTTCCAGCTAGCATCGGCTAAACAACTTTTCGTAGCATCTGCCTGATTCTATTTTTCTGTGCCTTTAACACTTCGTGTTTGTACGATCGAACCATGGTATATTAGTTGAATTAGGATGTTACAGGGAGACGTGTATTTTTCTTTTCTTTTTTTCTTTTTTTCTCCTATTCTTTCCGCAGCTAAAGGATAAAATATACGAAATCTCGGTCCCTGTCACTGGCGGATAGTACGACGTGTGTAATAAGTCTGCAAACGCGCGTCTCTCGGTATAACTAGGTTCGATTCTCGCCCCGGAAGTCTTAAAGTTCCACCCCATTGCTCGATGGTCAAGCTGTCGAAGCAACCTTTAGAATATGTAACGTAAGTGTGTATAATGGTGGTGGCAGGATTCGATTGGCGCACGTTGAACCTTTTGGTGGCAATTGAACAGCAATCTCCGAATATCGCTGACGGGGTCCACTTGAACCGAGAAGAGAAGAACGTGGGTGCCGGTGATCAGGTACATAACACCCATTCTCAGCCCGTGCCCGCAGAGCAGCGAAATAATATTATATTCGACATACCATCCGAAACACTACTCTCTCCCCTCCGAAGTTGCTTGAAGTTTTCCCTCGGACACCGGCCATTAAAGGCTGTCTCCGATGTGTGCATGTATTGAAAACTGTGACATAACATACTCTACGGTGGGGCCAAACCGCGATCGGGAACAAATAGAAATATACATCACCGAAGAAAATTCATTCATTGCCCTCGAGACGCACCTACGTATAATTATTATCATCGGTAACAACGTCGACCATGTACGCTTTTTTATCATCTAATTATAACCGCCACTAACTCACAGGGGGAACTTTCGACCGGTCGTTTCATGCGGATAAGATACGTCGTTTCAGGATTATAATGTATATCGTTTTACCTTATTCCTTTACGAGTGCAGTGGACTGGACTAGATTGAGAAAGAGAGAGCCATTGCACTGGAAAAATACCATTCGTTCGATCAACGCAATCGCGATGCAACTAATGTCTCGTTATTACCCGCCGCCATTGGTAATCGTTTCACGAGGAAATGAACGTCTATGAGGATTAAATGGCTTGTAAGAATAGCTTGTAACGATTGTTTAGAGGCGAAGCGACGAAACGTATCAGGCGCGAAGTAGTATAAGGAGACCCAACGCCAGGGATTAAAATCGTCCCCATTTTAGGGGTCCAAAATCTTCAGATTTTGTCCGATCTAGGGCCGTGAGAAATCCTGCGATTAAATAATTATCGCCTCCTGGCGTGTCCGCTGGCATTTGTTAATGACATTACATTCTGTATGTCGTGCAAAGATTATCGTTTCACATTGCGTACCTCAATTGTAAAGTTACAAGGATTTTAGGCCATTTACGTAGGTAGGAAATGTATTCTCGGTTACGTAGGATTGGGAGTTCACCCAGTTTCCGCAAGTGGCGCTCGCGTCGTTGCAAGTGGCGATCGGCGAAAATCTGAGATTCTGGGCCCCACTCTCTGTGGAACCGACCGCAGGCGTTATATCTCCTTATGTACTGGTTAGTTATTATGTCAGGATTATTAAGCGCGATTCTCTCGTCCACGAGTGACGGATTAGCTTCTCGTTACCGACATGGCGGGCCTTCGAAGGGCCGAGTTGGAACGTCGATGCTTGGAAAATGCCGATTTAGTTTTTATCGAGCCGCGTGATTTTGGATGGTCTGCGAGCACGTTTGGAGCTTACTCTTCTGGTCGTTTCTGCAGGTTTTGACTACAAGCTGTGCAGCGTCCTGCTGGCACTCGATGCCCAGTCACCAAATATCGCAGCGGGGGTTCACGAGAACCGCAGCGACGAGGAAGTCGGAGCTGGCGATCAGGTCAATTGGCACTTCCGTCGTCTCTTTAACTTTACATCGCACTCGTCTCCTTTCCTCCTTGCTCTGCTGTATCTAATTCGACTCTGGCGGCAGATAATCGTCATGGTGTCTAGTGGAAAAGGGTTAGCGACCCTGGAGACCGCAGACCCTTAAAGAGGGTCTTGGCAAGGGATCTAGAAATTAAGGCGACGAAAAAGCGGTATTTTAACAATAGTTTATGAAACTTGTAAGAACTGGGACCGCCGAAACGCTCCAAAACCTCACGTTGTGAATATTGAGGCTATGAGAAAGAGGCGGACACCCGTGAAATTTAATTACTATTTTTTTTTTTTCCTCTTGTAAAATGTAGAGAAATTTTTTACGAAATAATTTAAGAGATGGAATTTCACGAGTATCGGCGCCTCCGTGATCGCGAGGTAATATCTCGAGCGATTCGGTACTCCAGTTCGGAGAAAAGTTTCGTAAACGAGAGATTCCTCGGATGCCCCTTTTACGCCACCTTAACAGCTTCCACGTGTCGCGTGTCGACACTTATCCCGCGTAGTTGTATTTAATCTGTCTGGTATGGACTCTGGTCTTCCTTAACACTCGAGATTTCTCAGCTATGACACATCTTTGCCTTTCGGTTCTATTCTTTACTAACGGAGCGCCTGCCACCGTTGCTATCGGTAACTGCGCGGATCCTATATATACATATATATATATATATATCTCTCTCTCTTTCTTTCAAATTTTTTAAGCGAAGGAGATTGAATAGAGTTAACTTTTTACGCGTAATGATTCCGCCGAAAAAACGTAGTTTGGGCTGTGGGGAAAAATCAAGGCGTCGTGTGTTGGGAGAATTTGTGGATCTCGGCGGGGAACCACTAGACACCATGGTTTATAGTGGATGGCACACTATTAGTTTTCTTTCTCTCTCTCGCCCGACCGTTTGCGGTACTCCGTACAGATGTAAATGTCCGAATCTCCCTGCACTGATGGTAGTTAGAATGTCAGAGTTAAAATTAGAGTAGTTTTCCGCCTCTCCTTTAAGTTACTCCGCCATGCCCACTCGTACGGCGAATCTTGTGCCTTTCTTTGTAGATAACCCTTTCCTCGTAGAAACGATACGGTACTTTTGCTCTTCCTCGTATCTGGTGACTGGTGTCTGGACTGGCGGATGCGACGAAGCCGTGCCAAAGCTTCTTCTATTTTTTTTTTTCTTTTTTTTTTCCCCTCTTTGGTACCTTTCGACGGAATCGGCAGCAAGTACAGCGACCCGTTTGATTTCTCCACACTGTCGGCCGACCTGGGAAATTACTTTCTCGTTGCGCCAGTATCTTGACAGTTGTTATTCACTCTTTCGCATGACTCTTCGCTACGTTACTAACACTTTTTAACCGTGTTAACTGTTAAGATGTTAAGCGGAGGCGGGATAGGAGGACGATTGGATACAATGTAGGATTGTGTACATTATTTCTTTAGCCGTTTCCTTGTTTAAGGTGGGGCGAAAGCGGCCTCGGAGGAGACACGTTTATGAAATCTCTCCTACCTGGATCCAACGAATAGTTGAAAAATTTTCCAACGTGAATATGGAGTCTGTAAGGAAGGTCCCGACTCCCAGGAAAGTTACATATTTTTTTTTTTTTTTTTTCTAATTCATTTATAATAGTTTTCTTATACACACGAAATTTAACGGGGGTCAGGACCTCCCTTAAGGCTTCCACCTTAACGTGGGAAATTTTGGCAAAGGATTCGGTGCCCTCACGTCGCCTTAAATCACGAACATTCTTATTAGCCTCCACCCTCCGGGCTTGACATCTTCGCATTTTGAACCCTCGAGTTTTTATTTCTTCTTTTTTTTTTTCTTTCTTTTTTTAATTTCTCTCCTCTGCTCTGCAAGGCACCTCTATTTATGTGCATGGTGTGCGTGTGCTGTGTCGGATTGTCGTGGCGATGCTTCGAACACAATGTCGTTTGCGAAAGTATTATACCCAGGAGGAAACTCACTTCTGCAAATGCCAATACATGTATCTCGAGGCTCCTGGTTGTACCTCGTAATCACACATTACAATGCCTTTATACAGGGCTTGATGTTCGGGTACGCCACCGATGAGACGGACGAGTGCATGCCGCTGACCGTCGTCCTGGCGCACAAGCTTAATCAGAAGATCGCAGAGCTGAGACGAAGCGGAGAACTCTGGTGGGCCAGACCGGACTCGAAGACCCAGGCAAGAGCTATCAACATTTCATGTACAGCGGTGGAAACGTATGCCTTCCCTGTGATTTTGATACAGTCGCCAATGCATGGTGGGAAGGCATTCGCGTCCACCAGGGTACCCCCTCGGCCCTTCCCATAAGCAAACGGTCACTCTATGATGCCTTATCAGGTTGTATTTGCTACTCTTGAATGCCATGATGTGAACCTACTCTCTGAGAGCGACTTTACTATGATTGGACCCACCTCGGGATATCGGTGTCCATCTTATACGGTAGAATTAACCTTCTGGATGTTCCATCCCAGGTGACCTGCGAGTACATCATGGACCATGGGGCTTGCGTGCCGATTCGCGTCCACACGGTGGTGGTGTCGCTGCAGCACAGCGAGAAGATCACCCTCGAGGAACTGCGCAAAGCGGTAATGGATAAGGTCATCAGGGACGTTATCCCGGCAAAATACCTCGACGACAGGACGGTGTTCCACGTTAATCCCTGCGGCCTCTTTATCATCGGCGGTCCACAAGTACGGCGGTTACGGGCTGAAATGACGATTCTTCGTTATCACTCTCCTGGGTGTTATTAATAACCATTTATATTGCATCGTTGTTGCAGAGCGATGCCGGACTCACCGGGCGGAAAATCATCGTCGACACTTATGGCGGTTGGGGTGCTCACGGTGGCGGTGCTTTCTCCGGCAAGGACTTCACCAAGGTCGATAGATCCGCGGCTTATGCTGCTAGATGGGTAGCCAAGTCTCTGGTTAAAGCTGATCTTTGCAGGCGCTGCCTCGTACAGGTTCGAGCGTTGTTTTCGTAATTATTAAATAATGTAATTATTAAGGGTGGTCCATGTTAAGAGATCTAAGAAAATTAACTTCACTCCGTATCTTCGGTTGTGTTCGTTTCAATTTATAATAGGGTGAGGGGAAAAAAAAAATGTCGCACCACCTTTATAATTATGGGCATATATATTAGGTCGGGGAATAATTGTTTTCGTTTCATCCAGGTCTCCTATGCCATTGGCGTCGCCGAGCCGCTTTCCATTACGGTCTTCGACTACGGCACCTCGAAGCTCTCCCAGAACGAGCTTCTGGACATTGTGAATAAGAACTTCGATCTGCGTCCGGGAAAAATCGTCAAGTGAGTATCCTAGTTAGAATAAACTCGCTGAAATCGGGATCTTAACCTCGAGGAATCCCTCCACAGGGAGCTGAACCTGCGCAACCCGATCTACCAGCAGACCAGCACGTACGGTCACTTCGGGAGGGACGGCTTCACCTGGGAGCAGCCCAAGACGTTGGTCCTCGATTGATGAGAGGACCGGGTCTAAGCTAACTTGTCGTTTCTTAATTTAAACAAAAGAACCTCGCAACTCCAAGTAACCGTGTATCTCGTAACTCTCTCCCGAGGATCGTCCCGCCCTCCGTGCTGCTCCCGGCATAAAGAAAGGAAGGAAAAAACGGAAAAGGAAAAGACGAACGACCTGCTCGCCCGTTTCCAAGGGGGAAGACGCGCAAGCGAGAGGGAGAAAGGGAGAGACCTCGAGAGGCACCGTCGCTCTCGGTCAGGCTCAGTGATAGACCCTGAAGTCGGCCCATCGGGGGCGTTGAAGGACTCGTCCCTCCCTCGAGGCTCTCTCCGATTGACCCCGTAGATGGAGGCCCATCTCCGGGGGAGGATCCGGTATCCCCCCAGGGATGATTCGACGCGATCCCGAGGGAGGGGCGACCAACGGGGACCCTGAAGAGACGCGGGGCCCGTTGCCGACGTCCCCTGGAGAGAACCGGTCCTCTGAACCCTTTCGACGAGGACGTTAGAGACCCCCGCGAGTTATTAACCATCCGTGTACATATAACGTGGTGCACGTCGGCATCGAGGCGGCGCGTCGCGCGCGGAAATGGAGCAGCACCCGGGGGGGCAGGGCGACGGAGACGACACCGATTTCCATGGCGCGACCGGGACATGCCGAAGAGCGAACCCGATGAAGGTGTGACCCCTCTCACTCGACGGTGTCGAAACGAATCGCCTTTACTGGCCTGCACTAGGCGGCGCACCACCGAGGATAAACATACAAACACGGAACGGTGTCTCGTAGCTTTTAGCGATTTTAATTAGTTTCTAGCCCGGCGAATCGTCGGAGCCCGCGAGACCCTGCGGCTATGCGTTAAAGGGGTGATGATGAACCTGCAGGACGTGCACGTTGGATGGCCTTTTATCGTCGAGTTTGCGGGTTCCTTGCTCGGGTTGCCTGCTCGAGGCTACTCCGCGTTCTTCGAGAACGCGGAGAATGAGGGAAGCACCCGATCGGGGACGCGACTCGGTGATTCGGAGCGATGTAAGAGCGTTAGGGAGAGGCATTTATGTTCACCGGCATGTACGCCGGTGGACGTGTCTTCTCGGCAGGTGCGTTAAGGCGAAGGGAAACCACTCGCGTGCGTTATTGTACAGTGCCGGATGTGAATATCTTCTATGAGACACGGTGCATTCGGATATAGCACCCGTCCACTTGGGTACATTTGTAAGGCGGATTTAGACGCCGTTCCCGCGGTGCAACGGAGTTACATACTGTATTTATAGGGAATTACATTTCGTGGCAGGGTCGAGCTGCGCTTCTGCGGACGCTTTGTTACCAGTATAATAACCCGTAGCCGGTCGAAAGCGCGGCTCGCGAAGGAGAGCCGTTGCGTTTCGTTGATAAGGAAGGGCCTGTGCGTTTCCTTGTTAAGAATGGTCGTTGCGTTTTCCCTCGCGAGTTTGAAACGCCACTGGTGCGGTCGTCGGGGAACGGAGGCCAAAAGCGCGATCGATCGAGCGACGCCGCCTGAAAAGCGTGTACATTTATTAAAATGGATCTCAAACGGGCTCGAGGTGTCCCTCCTCGAAGAGGGACTCGAGCGAGTTGTCGCTGTCGCGAAACGCGGTCACTGCCCGAGGGGCTATTCACTCGGAGATCAGGAAAAGTCATGTCCTTCCGGAACTGCCGTTTGATTTCATGTGACGAACCGAGCGACGTTGACATTTCCGTAAGGACATCTCGGCGACATCTCGAGCATTCTGCTTGCGGTTCCCTTCGTGCCGGGTGATCCTCTGCCGATTTTAAGCGATTCTTAACAAGTTCTGTCGTTACCTCCGATTAATTACGCGTTACATTATACATTAATGCCCGTTTTTACTCGGAAGTCGTCGTTTTACTTGGGATTTTATTCGTACCAAGTGATCTTCCGTAAGTTTTACGTGTCTCTTAATCAGTTCCATTGTTGATCAATGTTGAGTCATTTTAACCCGTTGCATTGTATAGGATTGGCCATTTACCGGGAACTCGGGCAAAGTTATCCCTCCTCGAGAACACCGATTTTTTTTTTAGTTAATTCCAATCAATTTTAACCCCCTGAATTGTACAGAAATACTTATTGTTTAAAGCATTCATAGCCCGCGGTTTCGCGAGTGAATAATCCCTCGATCACTTGTCACGTTCGGCTACCGTTCATTTGGACTCGCTTCTCGTCCGAAATCTGGTTATTATACGTAGAATTTTATTGTAAACGAAGTACCACGTGCTCTCGGTGTCGAACGCCATCGGGACGAAATTAGATGTGTCCGATTGGGGGATAAAACAATGGGGGGTATAAGGGGAGATTCGCTGCGAAACAATTGGGGGAGAGCCCAGGCTCGGATTGCACGTGTGGCAGAGCTCGAAAGATGAAAGATTCTAATTCGAAAGCCGATTTACGCAACGCGAGGGGACTACCAAAATGGGGGAAAGAATATTCCGCTGTTAGTGAGTAGCCGCGCTACGCGAACGCGGCCTAATTGCAATCAATTTCCTGTCCGGCGAGTGTAAGACAGTTCACGACACTGTCTACCATGACCATAATGTAATGTTACAGGACATCATACACGAGACATAATAAACAGTGATTTTTAAAAAAGGAAAGCCGTTAGGGCCTGCTTTCGTAAAGTTTGATTAATTCCCCGTAGATTAAATCCTCGCTAGGAATTACAATTATTCGAGTACCCGATCAGTGATACATGTGAAAAATAAAAAAAAAGGGAGGGCGGACCAACTTGACAGAATATATTGCGTTATGTACACATGTAAAGTACGAAGTTAATTAACGTGCACTTGGCGTCTCGATAATTAGCTGTTTATACGACTCCTTGTTATTCTTACGATACACATTATTTGCGCCTCGACCCATGAGGAAAGTGAAACGGGTCCGCGAAGATACCCTCCAGATAATTTCTCTCGTTATTACAATCATCCTTACATTATACACGAAATATCTTTAGCGACATAAAAACTACCATGATCTCGTTAAATATACATATGGTCTAGTTGAGACGTTTCCGGCCCTCGACAGGATGCATCCTCGTGCTCTCCCAACAGTGATTTGTGATCCGAGCGAGATACCTTCCGATGTATTTATATTTATACAAATGCACAGGCAGGGCCAATAGTAGGTACACCGTACATGCGACTTCTACGTAGAGAACGAAGGTCCTCTGTACTTCCTAAAGATGAACGACTACCAGTCGGGTTGAAAAAAAAGAAAATAGAGGAAAAAAATGACGGAAGGACCGCGCTCGCCAATTGCGCGCGTCGAGAGATCCCAATATTAGTCCGGAGATCCGAGGAGCGCGTTGATTCGAAATTCGGGAACAGGCCGACCGAAGACGATGTACAGTTTCGACTTAACAGTTAACGATCACACTCGACAGTTCAGTTTGTCAGGAGTTTCTTGGGTGCGTGGATTCGACTGTGCCTGAGGAGGGAGCTCTTGTCGGTGAAGGTTTTCTCGCACTCGACGCACTTGTAGGTTCTTCCCGTGTGCGTGACGAGGTGCCTGCTTAGTCCCGAAGCGTGGCAGAAAGCTTTAGGACAAAGCTGACAATGATGGAGCTGAATGTCATTAGGATTGAGCTTCTGATGACGCCTCATGTGCACTTTCAGAGCCTCGCGTTGCGTGAAGCTCTTCTCACAATGTTGACACTGGAACGGTTTCTGGCCAGAATGGGTCATCAAGTGTCGCAACAAGATCTCCTTCTGGGCGAACGCTCGATGGCAAATGTTGCAGCCGAAGGGCTTTTCACCTGTAATTATTAATTGCTTCGTTGTAAGAGAATCTCTACCATATGAGTAACAGCCATGCCTATAATTGCATTATCGTTAAGCAACATTGTCATAGATTTTTTTGGTTACGCTGTGATTATTCCTAATGTAATATTTACAACGTACCTGTGTGCGTGCGTTCGTGTCTTATCAAGGCAGACCTAGTTGGGAACCACTTCTCGCAAGCTTGGCATGTGAACCCTCTTTGCGTGGAATGTACCGACTGGTGGCTCTTCAACATTATCCTTCTGGTGAAAGCCTTAGGACACTTGTCACACTGGAATACTTTGAGCTCCTCGTTGACGCCTATTAGAATCAAAGTTGTACCATAATGACAGGCTCATAAACGGAATGGAGATGAGTTTGTATTTGCGGATTCATCGAAGTAGATTTCGAGTTTTACCTAGCGTCTGTCCAATTGGTTGCAACTTTAGTGACTCTCCATGTCCGGTACTATTGCTAGTCAGTTCCATCATGTATACGTTCTTGTGTTCAGCATTAGCAATAGCTCTCTGAACCTCTTCAGCCTCGTCTTCCGATTCTTGTTCTTGCTTTATCCGAGTGGCACGCATTGTACAACGTGCTTTTGCCGTCCTCTCCTCGGCAGGTATCAGGGTAATGTTTTCCGGTCCTTCTGACATAGTTTCCTCGATGTCAGCATTTTCGGAGTTCATCCCTGAAAAGTACAAAATTAAAGATTTAAAAATCTTGCACAAATTACTAATTTCATCGCTACTCCGTATATGCATTAGTTACCTAGAATGTATCCTCCGACGAGTTCTTCTTCCGTAACTTCAATCGGATCTCCATCCTCTTGACTGGTGTCTCCTTTACTGGACACCAAGTCTGCGAGCAACTGCTTCACTTGCTTCGACTTTCCACCGCTCGATGTTTCTATAATGTCATCTCCGGCTCCTTCTTGTCGCTCTTCGTCTTCATCTTGACCAGTAAGCTGTTGTATCAACTTCATGTGCTTGCGGAGCTTTGTGTCTGCAGCTTCGCACTTCTTTTTGAATTGATACGACTTCTCCAGCTGGTACTTACAAGGATGGCAAATCATGTTCGGCAGACCGTCCTCTTCATACACCTAAAGTAGAAACGATCGATGCCGATTTATTTTTTTTTATCAGTAAACTTTCTCCCCAAAAATTGGCCCTTTTAGTGTCGGACAACGACATATTGTCGTTTTACATGTGTAACAATTTCGACCGGGACTAAAAGGGTTAAGCAGTCCTCAATTTCTGAATTCATCCAGTCCAGACTTCGCCTAACTCCTGGGAGTAGGTTTCTCGTCAAAGACGCCTCGCCCTCGCTTTCCCGCGCTCGGAGTGTCAGCATAGTTCGATTCCATCGGACAAACAACGCCCAGAGCCAGTGCAGGTCTCTATAATAAATCCGAAAGGTAAGCGCGCGCGCGTCGCGCAGTCTAGATTCCTGTAACGAGCGGGAAAGAGAGTGGAAGGTGGCGTAAACGGCGCAAAGTCGATAACTCGGTAAAGACGGTAGTTGCTTTGCGCAGTGTCCGCCCGTGCGTGAACACGTACACACTTACGGGGCGCGGCGTCCTGCGGACGAGCAGCGTCCGTGGCGCCACCACACACGGAGAGGGCGTGCGCGCGCACGCCCGCCCGCGTACCGAGGGAACAATCGGACGGCGAGATAAACTAGATTCCTATTTTCCAAAAAGGGTTCCAAGGGTGGTTTCACAGCCGAAAAGGCGAGCGGAACCCCCGGGGGACGGCTCTCGACGCGGGGCTCACCTCTAAATTGACGCAAGCCATGATTCGCAGCGGCAGGGGTACGGCGTCGTCGTCGAAAATCGGCACCATCTCCTCCTCCTTGGCCAGGCACAGTCGGCACAGCTCGTTCACATGGATGATCACGTTGCTCGGGCTGTCGCCCTTCTTTCTGCTGTACGTTTTCATCATAGGGCTCGACGCGCTTCCTCGGCCTCGCGGAAGAGCTCGGCTCGCCCTGAAGGGGACGCGGAGATTTGCAGAGAGCGGCGAAATACGGTGCGCGGCCGCCGGCCCACGACTCGGTCACTCACAACGGAATCTATAATGGCGGCCGCCGCCGCCGCCGCCGCCGGCCAATGGCGCTGCGGGCGCCCGCATACCGCCAATCGCTCCCGAACGCGAGTGCGACAAGGACGGAGCGACCAATCAGCGCGCCACTCGCCGACGCCAGCGCCAAGCGTCGGTAAAGACGGCAACTATTATCGATTCCTCTCGAGGCTCGAGCGGACCTTCCCAACCGCGGGAAACGATCGACGATCGCCGCGCTCGCGTCGATGGCCAAGGCCTCGAGCCGCCGGTTACCCTCCCGGCTGGGAGAAATCGAACCCCACGACCTAAACTGCGCATGTGGTAAGATGGCGGCAGAGTTCGAAAACTCTCCCCAGGATTTAATTACGGAACGTTACGAGAAAATCGCACCGTTGGCACGGTGTATATATATGTATATGTTTCTCGCTGAAAAATGTAGTTGGCTCAAAACCCACCGAGTGACTTCATCGAAAATTTATGAAAAGACTCGTAACCAGTATTTATCATGAATCTTGCTCTGACATAGTGTATATACTTTCTATCAAAGCTACGTAATTATCAGGACCTCCACGGAATTTTTTTAGATTTTCGGATCACTGTTGCGAAACTTTACAGGGTGAGGAAAATTTTACGTGGGATCCACTTGATCTATGTACTATGTTGCAATACATTGACGCTTATAGGAGCATCAAAAATTAGAAATACACAGTCTAGATACTTTGAAAATCTCCTTTCAACATACTATTGGTGCCTAGAGGCGCTTCGAAAGTTTCCTTTCGATATACCGTTAACACCCACAGGCGCCAATTGTTATCGTCAATGGCGTAGCGACTACACCAGCAAGAAATAAAAAAGAACGTGTTCTGTCGGGTGAGGTTTTGCTATTCATAGCGCAGATCGCGGTTCGACGTCTTTCTGTCACGCGTGCCGTGTATTCAAATGTAGCGAAGCGAAAGGGTTAAGGTTCGCTGCTCTTTAAGGCCGACCAGCTCGAGGTCGAGGACTGCAAAAGAGGAGCGCTCTCGTTCGCTTGGTGTCATCGCGGACGAATTCGCCCATCGATTTCTCGCCTCTCCCGATAATTCGGGCTAAAGTCGAGATTTTTCACCCGGTAATGCAGAACGCGGACGTGGACGACCGTGCCGGCAGCCTCATTAAATTCCCGCAGCTGTCGACTTTTGCAACCACTTTTAAATCCAGCCTCCACCACCGCCGACTGCCAATTTCACGTGATTCGTCACAATGCGGTTGTTAGGAACGCTCGTAATAGCGCAATAATCAAGACCTGGTCATACGAGCAAATAGGAGTGTCTACTAATGAAGAAATGTCCTCATGTGGATGATAATAATGTTAGATATTCCATTTGCAAAGACCGGATTTTAATTAGAAACGTCATAACGACTTTAATGTCGAAAACTCGAGGAGGGTTGTCTCTGTGAAGGTAAATCGTCGTCAATGGGAATAATGTGACATTTGTAACGTTACCGTAGGTATAGTGGTTCTGCAATGAACTTGAACGGTTAATGTATCAATTTGCAGCATGTTTTGGACTGGCACGAGAAAACTCCCTCTTGCGAGTTAATTACCGAAACTACGTATCGACTGTCCAATTTTCTCCCGGTAATTCAGCTCAAAGTCGCTTATCGGTGGAGCAGAATGTCTCGTGTACCGGCGTGGGAAAGGACGTTTTATCGAATTATGCTAGTCGATTGAGGCCTAAAAGTCGAAGTCTGATCGTAACCATTCTACCCGGTGAGTAACGGAAGAGCATGTAGGCTCGATTTTGTATCTGTGGTAAGAGCGCTCACTTCTCCCACTTTCATCTTACGTGAGTGTCTTCACCCGGTTTTGTGTAATCCGGGTAAAAATGGGAAATCTTTAGACCGAAGTATGGCGGAAGACGCGTCGAACGTTAAAGCTATCCTCCATATTGTATATACATGCGTACCATGAGAAATCAATAACGTATTTCGCTTCTTTCTTCGACAGGATCACGAATCCTTGTATCTTCGGTTGGTTTTAACCATCTGGAAGCGAGTCTCCGAAAATCCCGTTTATTCCGGAGCCGCCAGCACGCGGAGGAAGCGAAGCCATTCTCAAGGAAAGGACCCGATCTGACGTCTTCCCCTTGGCGTTACGAAATGCGCGCCCGAGAAGAATGATTTTTCACCGCGCGTTTCCAGTATCGCGCCGAAATAGCCACGCTCGCCGATAATAGAACATCCTCCGCTAACCGAACCGCGGCGGTCAGGTATAAGCGCATTTATTTTCGTTCGCGGCAAAAGCGCACGCCATCGCTAGCCGAATAGCGCGGCCGCGATTTATGGGGGGTTTACGGAGAACGCCGTACGGCCTGTGTTACCGAAGGGCGACGAGCGAGGGTATATCTTGGGCCTCGTTATACATCTGCAATGTCGGAATTTATCGCCTCAAAGCTTACATCGCGGCCCGTTCGGCGATATTAGTTCCCATCCTCGTTAGCATCGCCATTCGAACCGGAGACTTACGACCGCTTCAACATCCGGCCCTCTGCTTCTATTCCTCGTGTTTGCATGTGCCGTTTCAAAGGCCAACGTTTCGTTCTCTCTTTTCCCGTCCTACTTTGAGAAACGCTTTTTTGTATATAGTTTCATATCTGTCGACTTCTTACGCATCTTCGCGTTCTGACTGTCAAATTAAATCACTCTTATTGGTAAGAGTAAGGCGTGAGAATTGTAAAAATTGTACGTTCATGTTTTAGTCGTTACCGGGGGACGAATTGCGATGCGCTCGTCTAAGATTAATTCTAGATAGCGAACGCCGACGCTCCATTGTGGACGCTTTTCCAAAGTCCCATTTAATTCGAGTCTTTTGGAATCGCGAAGCAAAGGAGCGTGCGGTGCGCGGGGGGCCGAAAATAACCCGGGCCGCTATGAGGAAAGGAGGAAGAGGAGGAATGTAGGCGATGGAGGAGGAAGAGGGTCGCCCAGTCTTTAGAGCTTTTGCTTTTGAGTTCAGTGCGTTCCACCTTACGGAGAACACGAGCTCTACGTCCTCTGAGGTAGGTGAACGCATTGCGCGACTCGCGACAAAGAGGGCAAAATAACTAAAAAGAAAGACGTTGCACGGTGTTACCATCGCGCCGAGTGGAAGGGTTGTTAAGTGGGGAGTTTCTCGGTGCCAACGCACAATTACCGCCGCGAGAGTCGCCCTGTCACTGTCCAACTTCGTCATTCTTTTTCCCGTCATCCTCCTCGTCCTCTGCTTCGCAATCTTCGCGCCACGAGAACCGACCTGGGACCTTGAGAGGTCTCCAGAATTTTCGCAACTCCTGTTAAACAAGGAATAACGTATTAATTAACGATCCGACAATGTGGAGTCGTTAATTGCATCTTTATTGTATGACTTTTATTGTTGGCGTTAATCTAAAGCTATGAATGCGTCTCCTCTTGTTCATTAATAGAACGTTTCGCGTCAGGGTCATTGCGAATTACCCTAAGCGCTACTTTTTGTGCGTTTTAGCTGCACCTTTAGAGTCCAGCTAGAGTAATTTAACACTTGTGGACCCATTCGAACTCAAGGAGGACCAAGTGGGAGGCGCAGATTTTGCGGACGATGTAGATATATCCGATGGAATTTCGTAGCAAAAATAACCGCGGTAGGGCACTCGTGGCCACTCACCAGGGATACGTCCACAAGAATCCCCACAATTTCTTGTGCCTCGATTCCATTTTCTATCGTGGACAAATTCTAAAGGAATCACGTCGCTTGCTATGGGGGTCGGAACCTTTCTTACAGCCTCCTTATAAAGTCTGAAAAAAGTCGGCACACCCATTTTCGAAAAATTTCATCAACTCTTTGACGCCACTTTCACGTTCCCTTAAGTAGTAATAATGTTTACAGGTCGAATTATTATTAAAAACGTAGCTTTTTAGAAGGTTAGTCGGTTCTCGTGCTCGCGACAGCACTCGTCCCTGTTTTCCTGGCACAGATTCCAGAATACCCCGACCGACTCATACTCGTGTACACGTCCGGGTGTTTCGCAAGGACCGTCGTCGATGTTGTCTTCCGAATCAACATCGTTGTCGAATTCCGCTAAGAGAATGTCTTAAAAAGAAATCACTGTCTCAAGACCGTCCAATTTGACGCGACAATGGCGTGCATAAAACGGCTCGCCATTTTTACGCCACACAGTTTTCGCGGAGCCAGTTGGCTCCTCTCGATTCAGCCTCGAGCCAAGCGGCTTTTCTTTAATATTAGAAAACTTAGAAAATACAGGAATATTTTTAGGAGCCCCTTGGTTCGAATATCCGAGTCTGCGAAAACACTGCGGCTTAAAATAAATCCCGTAACGTGGGAGGATTAATCTTGTAAGTTGGCTGGATGTAATTCCGTTCCTACTTAAGGTCGCTATATGCGTTACGATAAATCGTTGCGATAAATTTCTGTAAACCGAACCGTACAAATTTAACTGATATATGGATGAGGCGTGGAGATTGCAGATCTCGATTTAACTGCACGGATTACAAATCGCCACGATTAATCGTTACGGGTGCAGCTATCTTTGTTATCGGTGTAAGAGACTACCGGAAATCCTACATAGCTTTAATTCAAGACTGTCGAATATACGTGAGCGAGTTAAAAGGACTTTGTGCGTACAATTTCAGCAGCCGAAAGCGTCGTAGCTGGGAACCTGGAAATATGGCTAGCCCGGGGCCAAAGTTCGTGAACAAGCAGTTCAACTCACCTATTAAATTGTATTCGCCGCAGACGATCCAGGAAACATTGGACCGACAGACCCAGGTCCTTTCCAACGGTGCAGTCGGGTTAGTACCCTTCACCAAATTTCTATTCGTCATCCCTTCAGCTAGTGAGTAAGACACATTCTACATGTAAGAATTTCGTACTAACAATATATTACAGTGTACTTGTACTCTGACGACAAGGCGTCGGGATTACTCGCTGACTGCTTCCCTAATGCCACGAGATTAGCTCATCCATGCATGCGGCTTGATCGGAACTGAGATTTCCACCCTCGGAGAAGAAGCGATCCGAAAGTCCTAATTTAAGATCCGCTAGAGGAACTATCCCAGATTTTGTGGACAAAATTAGCTCCAGGACGGATCCTATTCCAGCTCGTGAATGAGACACACCCTGAACGTAAGAATCTTCCCCTGATAATCCATTACAGTCAACTTCTACCCTGATAACAAAGGACGTTGCAATTGCTCCCTATCTGCTTTCCTAATCCGCAGTATTCGTTAATCCTTGCATGAGGTTGATCGGAGGTAATATGTTCACCCCGGAGGTGGATCCTGGAGGCAGATCACCCCGGAGAGCCAATCCTAAAGTCCTAACTTTCGCTAGAGGAACTATTCGAGAACCTATACAAGGAATTGGCTCCTGGACGAATCCTGGCAGCCGGTGGTCTCCGATCAACAACCACCTTGCGGAGGGACGCATCTGGCGAGTTCCTCGCGCCAGGTCGGCGACTCGTCGAACCCGATTGACAGCCGACGTCGAGAGGTCTGACTCAGCGCTCGGCAGCGGTGCAGTTGTCATTGGGAATCCTTTATTTTAAGAGAGACGATTCACTCGCGATAGAAATAAACCTCGAGGAGAGGAGTGGGTAAATTGCGCAAAATCGGAGCCGTACTTCCCCCGAGCGTTGGTCCGAGTTATCGCCGTCTAAGTTGCGGAACGAGTCGCCGGAGGTGCCGAGTCTCCGATTACCGATGATCGCCCAGAGGAGGTGATCCCTCGTTCGCGAGTTTTCCCCGGTTTTCCGCCGGACGAGGGTCCCTCGTGGGCGGAAACGTGGGAGCCCTGGAAATTTATACCGATCCGCGTCTTATTCTGGCCTTCTTCCAGGATCGACTTCAACCAGTTGGCGAAGCCCGCGAATCTGCAGAACAGCGCCGTGCTTCGGATGCTCGAGGAGGAGGAAGCCAGGCAACGGGCGGGACAACCTGGTAAGCGGAAGGAAACCTTTACCCATCTGTACGATTCTGCACCCTAACGAATCGCGCCGACCATCCCGGTGTTTGTCAGCCAAAGCCCCCGCTCGTAAACGGATTATCGATGGGTTTACGCGGAACGGAAGGCCGTGAACTTTACATAGTTCCCGCCGTGCATGTAACTGCTATCAGCTGAGAATTAACAAATTTCCAGAGCCCAAGAATCATCCGTAACATCATCAAGCTAACACGGACGCTCTAACGAAACCATGGCCCTAACCAGCGACCGCCCAACTTATCGGCGCAGCTCATCGAGAATGCAATCATTGAGGGTTGTTAAACCTAACGACAGCCTAACAATGCTCCACGCTTGGTCGGCTACCTTAAACTCTGCTTTTGCTGCTTACCTCGAACCTTCGAGGTGTCAAGACCGTTTCGCCGCCTGTGCTGACGACAACCGAGGTCCGTCGATTTCTGCGACCGCGAAGTTGCTCTCGCGATTGTCGGCCTTCTTCCTGCCCTCGCAATGATCGTCCCTGCACTTCTGACAGCCGGCTGCTTTTTCGTCCAGCTCCAGGTAACCGCTTCCTCGACATCCCTTAAGGTACTTTAACGCAACAGTTCATATTGATAATTTGCATAAAGCCCTATTTTCATATTTTTCTCCAGATCCTCACGTGGGTTCGCGTAAGAAAAGAACTTTCCCCTTGGGTTGGGCGGATAGGACGTTGAAATTCATGACAATGGTGGAAAATGATAATAAGAAGAGTGCATGTTACTCTATCAACGGAGTCCTACCAGTGCATACAAATGTAACATATTGCACTTTCGCGAAATACCTAATAATATCGTGCGAGGCCATTCCGCCCTCCACCATTCTGACTGTTCCTCGGCAATAATTGTCAAATATAAACTTGGCTCCGTGGCGCGAGGGTCGTACAATAATGCATTTTGTAAACGTTGGCCGAGGACTCGAGGCTACCTTGCACCTGACGCAATTCGCGAATCTCGATTACGTTCAAGAGAGAGAGGGAGAGACAGGAGATCGACATCTCATCCCACGAGGAGCGGCTCCAGGGTCCGCGGCCAACTGCGTAGAAAATTTCGGCAGAACCCGATAAATCGTTGTCTTATTTCTTAAGCGGTGACGAAAGCGTTGTTTTCGCGGAAAAGAAAGAAGTATCATTTCCATTATTGACCTCTGACATCACCATGATGGAAAGCAGGACTTTAGGCTCGCTTAGGCATGGAAAAAATCTGAAATCGTTCATGAGTTTAAAATAATACTTTTAAATAAATCTATTGTCTTTCTCCAGGTCTGAAACGAGTCGCTTGGCCCCCAGAATCCGAGGATCAAGAGTTCATCTACGTGGAGCAGAGCCCTGTACAGGCGAAGGTAGTCAGCTTAATCCTTCCTTCCCCAAAGAAAAGAGTTAATGAATATACAAAAGGCGTTTCATTTTTCGTAACATCTTCACAGCGTGGGAATTTATATGTACTGACTGTCATATGAAGTTTCACTTTGAGGAGGATTTTTGTTACCAACGCGTCGATTTTTCTAAACAATGAAATCGCTCGAAAGGGGGGGAAATTTTGTAAGCATTCAATGACTCTTTTCTTTCCGCAACAAGTGAAGATAAGCACGATCCGTGTCTGTGACTAATCCACGCACTAGACGTCCCCTAGAGCACTAACCCTGAGGAAATCGCCGACCATTTCCAAGACCTCGGACGAGCGCCCGAAGGTCGAGGGAGCCGAGCTTCGAATAACAATGCAAAGTGGCAAAAGCTGATCGCAAGTCGCAAGGTAAACGTGCAACGAACGACATTATTTGCTTGCCGAGAAATAGACGCGCGGTGAGTTCGCCTCCTACCAGAGCAGTCCCGTGCCGGCCGAGTCGCCGCAGCCTGCGTCCCAGAACTTGAAGGCAGCATCCCCGTCTCCAGTGAGTCCAGGAGGGACTCTTCGGCAACCCTCGCAATTCCAAGCCTCGCCTAATAAACCCTGGAAGCCGGTCACCCCGCCAGCAACCTCGCCGTTGCTGCAGCAAGCTCCTGACCAGCCCACCTGGGGTCAGCCCGGCCAGGTAAGTATGACCCGCACCGATAAAAAAATCCCTAAAAATTGATATACCTTTTTTTTAGGTCTTGATTAAACGTACGAGACTTACTTCTAGATTGTAAGAATCACTTCGTTAATTTGTCCGAAATAAGTATCAAAGGGTTTCGTCTTCGATTGCCAAAAATACTCGTTAGGTCCCAGGGTGAATCGCGTGGTCGGCCGACGACCGGTTCCTCTGGAAGGGTTGCCCTGAAATTGCAAATGTTATCCAACGAAATAATATTTATATCTTGGGATATTATTTGCAGGAACAGGGATACAGAGTACCACCCCAACAACAGCAGAAACAACCTGTCCAAGTTTACCCTACCTCAGGTACGACTGCAGTGTTCGAAGCGCCGCCCTCGACGATTACCTTACGATCGGAGCCACCGATTTCTCAGGTAATATAAATCTGTCTAAATGTTTAAACGTTCACTGATGCATTATATTATTATTTTAGCTACCGGCCCCCGTGTACCAGGCACAACCGGCTGCGACGAAGGCGCCCGTAAGCGGCAACATGAGAGGTGACATGAAATGGCCACCGGAATCGGTGAAGGTCCAGACGGAAGCGGAAAACAGAGCTCGACTGGAGCTGGCAAAGGGTCCTGCATTCAGGCCACGCCGTGTCCAGAAAGACTACACGGGATTCTTCGCCCAGCACGCCCTAAACAGCACCTATCCGGGATACAGAGCTCCCCCGGGAACTCAGTACTTCACGCCGGCCTATCAGCATTAACAAAACCTCGTCCATCGTTAAGTCGTTAAATATCTTGCGCGTCCCCGTTTCCTTGGAAGTTTGTTTGGCTCGGATGCTCGCAAACATGGCCACGATGGTCCTCCTCGTGGTTTTCGCTCGCCAATGGGATTCGCCAGCATTCCCCGCGAGTTTGCCCAATCCGGTCGTCCGGAAAAGCTGAGGAAAATGTCGTGACAAGTCTTCACCGTTCGCTCGCCATTAATGCTCCCGAATTGACGGTTCAGTTCCAGCTACATTAACTTTTCACTGACACCTTGATAACACCGCGTCTCTCGTGACATTGAATTTGTCAATTGAGAAACGCGACGTCGAAAATGACGATGTGACATCAAATCGAGTCACTAATCGATCCTTAATGTTAAAACGAAATTTACCCCTTAAAAAAAGAAAAAAATGTACATGCACTACCCCCACACGTGCCTGAATTTGAATAATATAATTTGTCGAAAGGCAATTTTACCCCCGAACGAAAACCCATAATCACGAGAATATCATTGAAATCTGCTGAGATATGTAAAATATACAGAAGTTTATTTAAGTAGACAATGACTTTTTATTCAATGGTCTGAAATATTCGATGCCTTGCGATAGATGGTTTACAGGCTTTCCTCGAAGCTAACATTCAAGTGAAAACCGAAACTGAAGAACATTCATTGTTGATGCAAAAGGGTCCAATGCGAAGGTGAGTGCTTGTATGTACATTTCTTTTACAATCCGACTAAAAGAAAAACTCCGCTGTGAGATTTATAGCACTACAATGGGAAATATACATATATCAACTGATCCAACGGATAAAGGAATCTTGCTGGCAAAGCAAGTCTCATTCCACTTTTCCGTTTATTTTACAAACATTTATTCGCTATCGTCTCACATTGATCTATCAGTAATAGTACATGATTTGTATAACATTGCATGATGCATTTAGCTCCCAATCGTGTCAATTAAAGTTACCAACAGTTAATCTAACTTAATTATGCTATGTCTTGCTCTCCGAGAGGTATTTTATAGCAAAATAGATCTCTCTATTTCTTGTTTAATCATTAGTATTTTTTACAGGAAAACGGAATAGATTTCTTCAGTGATAAATAAATAAAGAAACATTATCTTTCATTCGATCAATGCCGGGTTTGTACCGATTTACTCAAGGCACGCGCACAGTTCGATTTTCTCTCTTTTTCCCCCCTTTTTCTTTAGATTCGTTCAAGCTATAAAAGTAATATAAATTTCTCATAAAACATCGTAACGAGGTACAGCTTATAAAACATTTCAGCGTTTTCTGAAAAACACTCAATATTCTCAGAAAATAGGATGGTCGTATTTAAAAACCACGCTTCGACATGCTGGAAACCTTCCCTGAGATATTTCTCTTCTTCAACGAATACGGGTTTCCGCTATAAGATTTCTAGATTCATTAATATGGAAGAAACCCATTTGTTATATATTCAAAGGCGATAAAAAAATAAACATCCTCGTTCAATCTCTTTGACGGGTTTTAGAAGAAAAAAAAAAAATGCAGATCGTTTACATGACATCGCGATGGTGTTTTGTGACTAGAAACCCGGTTTACGTATACAAGAATATTTCCTTTTGACTCCAAAATTAAGTATGCAAGAGGTTTGCCGATAGACCAAAATTTACGTGGGTGAAATGAAATGAGTCGCCAACACTGCGGCAACGGAGATCGATGTATAGAAAAGTTTACTTTCGATCAGCATTAGATCATAATCAACCTTCGACTTAGTGTGCGAGTCAATCTGTATCTGCATGACTTTTTTTTAGTTAGTTCGTCAGGATTGTCTCATCCCTCAGCTCAAGAGTTAAACTAATGAGAAACCTTGAGTTTGTTGAATAGCCTGTAACAATTTATACTTTAATCTTTCCCGAGTCTGATATCGTGGCAAGTCCAAAATATTGAAGCAAGTATGAGCAACGGGTAGAAGTCTTTCATCGGCCAAAGGTTGTATGGTGATCTAAAAAAGAAGATACACCTGTAATCATGCCTTTCAAACGGATGAGAGTAATGATTTAAAATAAAGGAAAGTAACCTTGATAGCTTTCATGCCCTGCAAAGGGATTCGGTCGCTCCCGGTCAAGAAGAGTAAAAACTTTTTCTTCTCTTCCAATGGTAGTTCATGGAAGACCTGCCAGAAAAGAACAATCGTAGGGTCGTCTTTTGTGTAGCCTTCCTTGTACGTGGAATTTTTTTCAAGTTCTACCCAGTCATAATTCTCATTTCCAACCACTACCGCCATCAGCTCATGGCTATGGAATAGTTCAAGTACTCGGCCGCCACATACTTTATGGAAGCCTTGATGGAAAGCTTCGAAATGAGATTCTACTGACTTGTTTAAAATGTAGTCTACGTACAGGTCCACGAATTGTTTCCTGCGAAAACGTAGAAAATAAATCTCCTAGTCTACTCGCTCCGGAGAGTATAATTTGGATATCCTATTTATGCTATGTTTCCCTAATTATTTGAGTTATTTAGTTATTAACTAGTCAGCATGGAAGCGATTAATCCAATATTTCCTTACGTAAAAATGACATACTTATTATTTATCGTTACAGGAATTTTGCTGCCGCCTGGTATCAGCTCATAGATTTTTCGCTCCCCGAAGACTTCTCTGGTCACTTCGAAGTACAAACAAAACACCTCCTCTAAATCTGGCTCCTCGTAATCGAGAATGTTCTGCAGGCTCCTACGATCAAGGAAATTGAATATCTTGTTTCAAACAGCACAACGTGCTACACAGCTGACGTACTTAGCGAGAACTGGGGACATATCGTTGACGTCACTCAATCCAACGGGTTCATGTAGCAATTTCTTGTACAGCACCAAGGGGAACGGCAAATCGATGATAATAAAATTATAGATAACGAGTCCACATAGAAGCCCTATTAAAAAATACATGGCTTCATCCTCTAGTGAATCTTCACTAAACCAAATGGTTCTGGTTTCCTCGTATTGCTTGAACATCCCATACTTAGGGTCAAGGATTTCCTTCAGAAGAAGTAAGAAGAATTCCTTTTTAACACCACCTGCATCTTCCGCTTCTTCCCCGTGGAATTTTACCTACGAGATTATTTGTACTTAAAAAAATATGGAATTACTAGATTTAACCTAAATGTATATTACCGACTAATAGTCCCAAATTAATAAAAAAAATTATTTCACACATTGAAATAGTTCTACATACTCTGAGAGGTTTCTTAAGATCACTAGAGTCGTATTGTGACAGTTCTCTCAATGTGTCCGCTACTAAATTTTCCCTCGATACGTTTAGAGTGACGAATTGGTGGCGGTGCATATGAGCATCGGCCTCATTTATGGGGAAAGAAGAAAGTAGCATGTGAGTTATAGCTCGAGTAGCAGCTTCATTCATTGCGGATTGCATCTAGTGAAGAAAATGAATTTTTAGTAATGTACTGAAATTACATCGAGCCCATGCCTCGAATGAAATCCTGTACCTGTATAGCTTGATCGGTTTCCAGTAATATTATCTTCGCCTGGGCATCGAACAAGAAGGGATAATCGCAGAAGTATATCTTCCGATACTAGAAGAAAATGAAGCAAAGTAGTTCAGGAAAAAAAAAATAATGATTCACCAGCAGCAAGGAATAAACTGTACTCACAGAATGATTGCCCTTTTCCGTAATCCATTTGAAATAGTCCGTTTTAATATCTATGATTTCTGATAATTCTGGTAAGTGGAAAGATGTACAAGGCACTCGTAAGCCTTCCGGTGCTGAATGACTGATTTTATTCAACATCCGCAACAAGTCTAAAGCAAGTTCAAGCGCTGGGTCCCATGAAACGCTCTACAAGATGTTGAAAACATTTATAATTAACGGGCTGGAACGAAAGTAAGTAATTCGTAAAACTCTACCTTGCTTTCCTTCACTTTTGGACGATTTAAAAAGTCCAACACAACAGCTTTGTAAGTACGGACAAGTCGATCAAAAAAGTAAGTCGATGCCTTACTCCACCATAGTTTAATAACCTTCAGGGCTTCGGGTTTCAGTCCTAAAACCGCCTTGGCAAAAGGTTTATGTATAATTTTGTAATTTTTAACGTTGGCAAAACCACAGTAGAAAGGCAATGTCAGGTACACTCGCAAACATTCCACATCCGGAGGTGAAGGTTTTAGGGATGGTATAAGGCTCTCCGTAATGCTGGTGAATATCTAGAGCGATTCATAAAGCTCGAGTCGGTAATAAGTATACACGGTTGATAAATATCACGTCATATCTCAAGTAAATAGGTCAATTTACCAAGTCTTTAATTGTATCGTTCTCCAATTCTGAAATAATTCCGAATAATCTGATAGCGCATTCTTCATCCACTCCAGGGAGTTTACTTGAGCATCCATAATGAGCATCGTTAGCAAGTAGAAAAGAAGCATTAATGCACGCCTGACTCCTGAAGACAGTCTCCAGATATCTGTAATGAAAGAATGTATTCATCTCCCAAGTTTTCAAGTATGTAATACGAATATAGGTTTGCCAAAATATTGCAAAGAGGCTAATAATCTTGCTTACGTCAAAAGGTCATGATCTACTAGTGCGCCTCGAGGAACTCTTTGACAAGCAGTCAGTTGCTCCTCCGTTACGGTCAGAATTTGTGACATGGGAGGTAACATTCTGCAGTCATCAGGTTTTATGTTATCCTATAATCGATTGCAATGCTGAAGTAATGGGGAAAATGACTTTTAGATTATCGATCTTACCTGCCTTGGTGTAACTGTTGCAAAACAATGATCCCAACCGGTGAAAATATGTCTTACTACACAATTAGCATAAGGATCGGATTCAGATTTGTATTCAACCATAGACGATTTATTAGATGTCCATGGACCGTTTACTTCTTGTGGAGTAGCTATACTTCTGGCTAAGCGAGTACCTAACTGTCCAGCCCCACCCAATCCCCAAGCATAAACTCTTCCACGAGAAGGTATTAATGCCAATGTGTGTCTTCTTCCACAAGATATCTTAAATATTAAAAGTTTGTGACTTTTATATTCAGATACAACATAAGCACAAGTCATAAGAGTTAAAACACACTTGAGTAACTATACTGCCCATCAGTTCCATTATTTGCCGAGGTAATATTTCATTGCTATTATTTCCATGACCCAGTTGACCATACATTCCAGCTCCACAACTAAATACTCCACCATCCTAGAAACAAAGGCAAAATTTAAAAATTAAATTTTTCTTGGTACTAGATGTCTTACCATAGTTAGGAACACCGAGAAATCTTCACCGCAGGCTACGTAACACACTTTGGAATTTCTCATTGTTCTCAGGTGAACAGGGTGACTTCTATTAACGGTATCGTTTAAGCCAAGCTGACCAAAGGAGTTCTTTCCCCATGCAAAAACAGCCCCTAACGTTAGTAAAATTTATTTATTAGATAGATTTTAATACTCGTTATAAATATTGTCGTTTTATTTTACCTGATTTCGAAACTGCTATGCTGTGATAACCACCACAGGCGATAAATGCAATTGGTACTGTAGCTAAACTCTGTATATGTTTGGGTTTGGTTTCCTTTTTAATATCAGGCCCAAGACCAAGCTGCCCGTCGTTATTACTACCCCAAGCATACAAATCTCCATTATTCGTTAACGCAAGAGTATGATTCAGGCCACATGATATTTGTACAACAATACTTGTCCCTAATGTTCTCACCATACGTGGTATAAACTCAGCATTTTTAGTCGAATCTTGACCTGTATTAATAATGAAAATGAAATCTATATATCAGTACTTATTTTATACTATGCTTACCTAATTGACCTTCGGAGTTGCAACCCCAGCTAAATAATTGTCCCCATTCATTAACTGCTACCGTATGACTGCTTCCACATGCTGCATTCTTAAAAATGTTCCCAGGTATGCTATCTATCATCTCTGTATGAAATAAACAATTAAATATTACTTCTTAATTCTTTATTGTATAAAGTAGAACTTCTTGATTAATGATCTTACACATTTTTATGTTATGGATACCTACGTAGCCTTTTTCGTGGTTTGTCATGGCCAAGCTGTCCATAATCATTATTTCCACAGGAATAAATCTCGCCATCTTGGATCACAACAATCGTGTAGTTTTCACCGCAAGCAACTGTGGATACGCGATAAAGATCAGACTTACGATTAAAAGATAAGCAGTAAGACGAACCAGAAAGGAAGGCGTTATGAATCTCACTTTGTACAATTTCTCTTGCTTTCTTAAAATCCACCTGTCTAGGTAAAAGGATATTATCGTCTTCGATGCCTCCCAGTCCAAGTTCTCCATGTATGGCACTACCCCAACAGAACATATTTTTGTCTCTAGACAATGTAGATTTCGCCACGCTCAAGTTAGCTTCGTTTCCGAGACGGCGTTTCTTTGTCCAACTTGCCTGTACCGTTAGATAAATTACAATAGGTTTTAACTATCTATTAAACCTGCTACTACTTGTTACAACTTATGTATCCTTTATACATACAATTTGAATTTGTTTTTACAGCATTAGGTTAAGGATGAACGATTGCATGACAGAAGGTTAGGCACCCCATTATATTTCAGTTACTAACCATGGTTTTTTCGGTGGTTTCATACTCGGGCAAAGATGTCAGGCAATGTAAGTGGGGTTATGCTATTTTTGACAAACACGTGGGATAGCCTAAAAATAAATCTTCATGGTATTCCTACGGCACCGATCGATATTTAATACAAACGTTTCATTTCTTTTCGACTGATTACGTATCGTCACCCGGAAATTACTAATTTCCAGGACACGCTTCACAAAACCAGAATGACATGTAGCAAAACCCGTCTTGGATGTCGTGCATGTTTTACCAATTACATTTCTCTAAATAACATTTTGCAGAATCGTGGATGACTTTTCGAAAGGTTCGAAATCCCAGATCAGTTATACGTATTGCAAGAGATAAGTCAAAAATGATTCAAGACAATGGTTACGTCGAACGGACCGATCAAATGTACTTCACTTTTTTACTTATTTCGGTTATTAATTTTTTTTCAAAGAAGTCAATGAAGGTCAATAGAAATTTAGATAGCGATTATCAGTGGAGCAGTTAAACCGAAATCACGAGGTCGCGAGGTATTTCATTTAGACATTTTCTGGCACTCGTACAGGGAGAAATAAGTGAACAAGACGAACAAGCTCGTGCAAGTAGCATGGGTGTGTATAAGCCCTGATTTACCATTCGGTTAGAGTCCATTGCTCTTTGGCGTCTTCGCCAGAAGAGCTACAATTTTTACTCACATTTCCTGCTGATATTGTTTTTAATCGTAGTGCGAGAGTTAAATTGATCACGTCAGAATGAAAATACTCTTTCCGTTGACTATCGCGAGGACTCACGAAGGCCTGTGATTGGCTGCAGTCAGTTAAGGAGCTTTCTGATTGGCTCCCTACTTTAGAGCCCAACGGACGAATTAAAGTCTAGACCATGGATGTAGGAATAAAAGGATGGAGCATGAAGTTGGATTTTAGATGAGGGGAATAAAGCTTAAGACGTAAGAAGAGTCTGTAGCCATTATCATTGGAACATAACCTCCGCAATCTCGTGTTCTTTATATGACACAGCGCACTAACTTACCATTCGTAGTATGTATGCATGTATATACGAATGAATCATGAGCGTGCACGGGTAATGTGTAATTGTGTGTATGACTGCACATTTATACGTGCCGGTTAGAGAAGAAACATGTGCGGAATATTCTGTCAAATTTGTCACCATGAGAGTGACACTGTATCAACCGCAGAATGTAATTCGGGAGAGGCGGAGGTACTTGTATTAAAAATCAGTAGTTAAGAACTTGTAATGCAATAATAATGAACCCGTGCCTTTTTAGTGGAACTGGTACAGAGATAAAATTGCATCCCGGGGCCCTGATGGATTTGCAGAAAGATTTGACTCCTTGCCTAATGACTGGCATGCACATTTTGCAGCTAGCGTCTTATGGATGCAAGGGGATAAATGTTTGATTCAACCATGTATAGATTCTACCGGCAATGTTCTCCTTTGGAATGGAGATATTTTCTCTGGGAATTTGGTAAGAATATAAAATATCTTTTCATCGTTAATATTTATAGAAAATGAATAACTTCTTAAGAATATAAATGAGCTCTTAAATGATACCTTGAACCCGTTACAGGCTAGCGATAATACGTGCGATACCATCACCGTTTTAAATAATTTTGAATTATCTGATAATATATCACAAATTCTAAAGGATGTGGAAGGTCCTTATAGTTTTGTTTATTTCCAAAGACATAAAAATCTGTTATACTTTGGAAGGGATTGTATAGGAAGGCATAGTTTACTGATTAAATTAAACCTTGAACGGAATTTCATTATGCTGACTTCTGCAGCGAGCAAGAATGTTAATGGTATTATTGAAGTACCTGCAATTGGAATATTTGTTATCGATTTAAATCTTCCAATCATTAATTTAGCTTGCTATCCATGGACAGCACCTGATTTACATTTTGCACATGCTATCGAAGATTTAGAAGCACATCTCGACGTAGATGTGAGTATTCAAGAAACGATACTATCATCTAAAACTGAATTTCTCGATTTACACGTAGAACCAGAAGCGGCAGACATACAATATTTAGAAGACATTAGTTATTACGAAAGCATCGAAGAAGCGATGACTAACTTACTAGAAAACAATGATGTCCTTCAGAGAGTGGAACATCTACTAGAGCTACTGAAGAAGTCTGTCGAAGTTAGAGTAAATAAAAAGCCACATTATTGTAAAGACTGTATAAAAACTGTACTGAGTGGGAAGAGTATCGAATGTCCCCACACAAAAGTGGGTGTTCTGTTTTCCGGAGGCTTAGATTCTGCCATTCTAGCTATTCTAGCCAATGAATTTATTCCTGAAAACGAGTGCATCGATCTCATAAATGTAGCTTTTGAGAAAGCTGTGATCAAAAATGGACAGTCTTCTAATACATTGCAATATGACGTGCCGGACAGAAAAACTGGAAGGCAGACGTATAATGAACTTCTACAGATTTGTCCTAACAGAGAATGGAATCTTATCGAGGTGTGTGAAGCAATATCTTGACAAATGATCAATCATCTGCATTTTCTAAAGAAACCATTGCCACTCAAAGGAGTAATCTCCATTGACGATCATTTCAGATAAATGTGACGCAGTCAGAATTGCAAATGTATCGCTCTTCAAGGATATCCGACTTGGTCTATCCTCTTCGAACGGTTCTCGATGAAAGTTTGGGTTGTGCGGTATGGTTTGCCAGTCGAGGGAAAGGTCAGTGTTACACGAGCAACGAGTCCTATGAATCACCTTGCAGAGTTCTTCTTTTGGGCATGGGTGCCGATGAATTGTTCGGTGGTTATATGAGACACCGAACTACTTTAAAGCACAAAGGCTGGGCTGCTTTAACTCGAGAGTTAAGTCACGAACTTGATAGAATTTCCGAAAGGAATTTGGGCAGAGACGACAGAATCGTATCCGACCATGGTAGGCAGTCTCGATTGCCATACCTCGACGAAAGGGTTGTGCGATATGTCAAAAGACTGAAACCATGGGAACGGTATGTTAGCTTATATGCTTCTTTCTTAAATTAATACAAAATTTCGTTCCTCACTTTTTTCACGGGTGCAACTCTTGTCTAGATGTTTCCCAACCGACAGGATGCCTCCGGGTTTAGGGGACAAGCTGCTGCTACGTCTCGTGGCTCGTAGATTGGGTCTCCAAAGCACCGCCAATTTTCCAAAAAGAGCATTTCAATTTGGCTCGCGCATTGCCAATAGCAAGGAAAACGCCAAAGACATATCCGACCGCCTGTAACGAGTGACCAAAACAATTATCAACTGTTTCCGGTAGCGGACGCTTCGACTAAAATATTTCAAAGTAATGTAATATATCTTTTTACTAAAAAAAAAATGATGCTCCTATAATAAGTGTATTAAGGACGACGGAAAGTTTTAAAATGATGTAAAGTTTTGTACTACATGCAGCGTATCTGACGAAGGACTCCACAAGTCCCGGAGCATTAATAAATTGATCTCATTAAATTCAATCAAGAAAATCTATTCGGTTGCTTCGCTATAATGCCATTATAGCTTTACAATTTAATCTTACTTGTTGCTAAATTATCATTATATTAGCTTTATCATAATTCTAAGCTCAAAGCCACTGAGTTCATTCACACCGTTATTTTTGTCATTTCTATCGATCAAAGTATCGACCCAAGGCATTCCTCGGCGTCGAATCAAACGGACCTATTACAACAAAGCCCGTAAATGCGATTAGATCGATCGGAAGCCGAATTAACGTTAAATGTGAAATTAAAGCGGATAAAAGGTCTGTTCAGGTACACATTCTAAGGATGATTAAGTCTAGATAGCAACAGCTCGATATACTTATCGTCGCCTATCATTTTCTCCGTTAAAGTCCACCTTTCCGATGCCTCTCTTCCGACAATAGCTTCCACGAGACTTACACTTTGGATTCCCGTATCATATCGGTAGGCAGAATACAAGGGTTCGAGTCACGGATCACGGTCGCATTAAAATCTCTCATCGTTTCCTTTTATTTTAATGCCTAGTTCGAAGGATAGCAGGTCCGTTGCGAGGAAACGCGCCTATCGAGCCGAACAAATCGTCCGATCGAGACAGATCAAGCTGAAGCGGGAAAAATATCATCTAATGGCTTTCGATCGCCGACTCATTGGACCCTGTAAACCTTTCCCTCGGTTCAGTTACGCCGTAAATTGAGGATCTTTTAAGCTTAACGAGAGTGACAACTAAAGGCTTCCACAACCAACGAATCTTTACAAAACCTTAAGATTTCTATTACTAGAAAAAAAAAAAAATCTAAGTGGATCTAAATATCGTATCTCGTATAAGATCAAGTATGAGGTTGTTGCACAAAAGTAATCTTGCTATCTTGTCAACGCGACGGTAAAACTACTTCGTCGGAACTATCGGTTTTTACGTACCGACGAGTTTGGAAATAACTATTAAGCGTCTCTCGCATTCGGGAAAAGAATACGATAGAATTATACGAAACTGCAACCACCCTTATTTAAAAACAATCGTTATTCGATCTCGTCCGTCCACGCACTCGGTCGACGCGATGCAACATCTTGAGAGAATTTTCGCACAACAAGTGGCATCGAAGAACTCGACTAAATCCTCTTTAATTCATTCCTGTCGAACGGGTAGTTCGATACGAGATTCCGGCAATGGCTCCCATCTCTTTATGGATTATCCTACTCAAAAGAGCTACATCAAGGATCATGCAACAGCCCCAACGAAGGGTTGCGCAGCAAAATCGCCCCTCTATCTATCGATCGAACGATTCTAAAACTCGGAGAATATAACGAGTAATTTCCGGACGAGCGATATTTCCTCCCCGGGAGACTCGATCCGTTCCCGGGAAGTCATCTCTCCGGGCTCGTCGGAGCGGAATTTCCTAGTGCCCATTCCCTTGACTCCTAACCTCGGTTAATTTTCCTGCGCAGCCACTTAATCCTAACATGTATAATAAAATATGGCTTTCTTGAAATCCTGCTCGCTAACGTGTCCATTCTGTAAACTAGGATGAACCCTTCCGGGCGTTGGAGCAACGCGACCCACGACGAAGCGGATCTATTGTATTCTGCGACCTAATCCCAAACGAATCCTAGACATCCCTTGGATTCCAATCGCCACGGGATTCGCTGGCTCGTCTCGACGGGAAGCATGAAGTAGTCGGCACGCGATAATTCGAGGTATACATCCTAGGTCAACAATAATTATGTTCTATCTAATGCCAAGACTGCGCATCGCCCGGTCTCGGGGTCCCGGGGTCGCGTACTTCTCGCGGCGAGACCGCGCCGAGGTTGCGGCTACGGATGCGTTTAACGAGAAATCGAGGCCCGCCAGCACCGACTTCCCAAAGAGCCGAAGAACCTCCTGGCAGAATATATCTCTCGTCTGCCTCGCGGGAGGGGGCCGCGACCTCGGCTCTCTTCGAGGCGGGCCCGCCGGTAGACCCCGAGGAGGAGCTCGCAGGTCGCGATAGAAAATTGACTAGCATATATCGAAGGTCGGTACTTTCTTCAAGAGGGTCTCCAGGATTGAGCGTTAGCACGGGTGAGAAGCCAGGGTCTCCAGGATCGATTGGCAGAGGGACCTCACGTTCGGCTGCGCCTTCGTCTCGACCTGCTCCTTCGCCACCGCCTCCAGAATCTGGACGCCGCCTTCGCGCGCCAGCATGCCGCAATACCGCTTCGCTGAAAGGAGAAAGGGAGATTTATCCAACGAGTTTCCGATCGATGAGCTCGCTCTTCGGCTACCGGAGAACGGGTAATCGCCGTAACCAGCCGAGGCCAATTGGATTGTCGAGGCCTTACGATTTTTCGAGCACACGTGATGTATGGCCCACACCGCCCAGAGCTGCACCGGGTAAGCGTCCTTGCAGTTCAACAGAGGAAAGAAGGGCTGGAAGCTGCGGTAAGCCACCATCTCCACTTGTGGAGTTTGCCAGACGGAGACGGCGTGCGCGAGCAAGTCCAGCATCTCCAGCCTGGTCGGCAAAGAGAACGCCATGGTCCAGGCGCGAGGTCCGTCGCTCAGGAGGTGAGCGGTGATTCCAGCCGCGAAGTAAGACACGTCGATGTGCTCCGAGGCCAAGAGCAACGAGAGCATCATTATGAACCTCGGCTGCATAAGTCGCTGTCTCAAGTGGCCGACCTAAAATCAAGCGGGATGGATGTACTTCCATCAGGATAGTCCGCATCGTCCGAACGACTGAACGGTACTATAAAGAAATATAGTAACCTCGGCAATATTATTCAGCAAGCCAAGAACTTTGGTCTCCACGCTGGATTCTCCCCGGAAGATTTCCAGAACCTCGAGGAAGAGCTCCATGCCGCCCTCCTCGAGGAATACTTTGCAGGTCGTCGCGCTCTCGTCGGTCAAATTCCAGAGAGCGCTCAGCGTGAACTTCATCGTCATGTCGACGGACTTGGATTGGAGCTTCGACCTGACCATGGTGAGCAACTTGGACATGTAGTGCGGCTGTGCCCCCAGTAAAGAGGTCTCGACGGTGGATATTTTGGCCGCCAGTATCGAGCAGATCGCCACCGACATGCGGTTCATCGACACGTCGTCGAAGGCGGATAAACAGTTCATTACTAGCCTGGCACACCTAAAACGTCAACCGACTCTTCGTTACTGAAATTGAAGTAGATTTTCCATTACCGATGCGTTTAAAGAGAGGACGCAACGAGTAGTAACGGGGACGAGAGCACCAAGACGTTCCTCTGTGAATATCTCTTGTCAGGTAGCGGCCTACCTCGGGACAAGACGCGGGGACCGATTGGACGCGAATCGAGAACGAACGCAGGGAGAGACAGAATTCTCCATTTTTTTTTCTTTTTTTTTTCCCCATTATTCCTCGACGTAGATTACCTGTACTTGTCGAAGGCAACGTCCTGGAGAATCCTGTCGCTGCACAGAGTCAGCAGGGTGTTCTTCTGGAGCTGATAGTGATTCGGGTAGGACTCCATCGCGGTCAGCGTTAAATCGACGATTTGTTTCAGCACCGAGGGATGAATCTTGGTGGCGAGTTCACCCTTCGTGAGGTTGTACAGGCAAGCGGTAGCAGCCATCTGCACGCGAAACTCCAGAGGATGGGCTTTCATGCCCGGAATTACTAATTTTATTACGTCCACCCTCGCCTCGTTGAAGTTAGCCGTCAGGCGAAATAGGTTGTACAAGCACTTCTGAACGTATATCGGTCGATTCCAATATCTCCTCAGTGCTTCCAGAATTTGCGCTTCCGTCGCGGTACCGCTTACCTGAAATTAATGTACTGAGAATTTATCGACGCTCGAGCTAAGAGCAACGAATAGTGGAAATTTACTTCTCAAGAATAATATAACCGAATAAACTCACCATCAAGTCGGGTCTGAAATCCGCGTTCAATGGATTGGTGAGGCTGTCTTCGTAGCAGGCATCGGAATGGACCAGTCCCAGAAATGTCAACTGACGATGTGCCTTGAGGAACTTCTTCAGGTCCTGCGCGTCTATTTCATCTTTACCTGTAAATGCATCAACGTGAAATTAAATATACATCGACCGTCGGATACGGAGAATTACTTGTCATCTAATGAGTCCCAACACCTTCGACGGTATGACACCACTCTTGTTTCGAATCCGTTGTTTTTTAGATTTACGCAATAATTGAGACTCGATAATAATCGATCGACTGTTAATATAAAAACTGTCGGCTTGGCTTACCAGATATATCCAAGCTGAATAAATGAGGCATGCAGTGGGCGGCCTTCAGAAGATCTGTTATCTTTGATCGGACTGGTGCAAACATTTCGAATGCATAAGAGTCTCTCTCGTCGGAGATATCCAAGATTCTGAGTTCGTTGAGTTCGAGGAGAACCGACATCGAGTTGGCGCAAGCAATCTTCAGGTTGAACATCGTCAAAGTCTTGAGACGGTCTTTGCACTTTTTTAGAGGAGTTATGTCGTCGACACGGGTACAAGAAATATCCAGATTCTCCAAAAGTGGCAGATCCTCGACAACTATTTCAAGCCCATGACGATTGAATTCGGTCCCTGAGACATTTAGAGTTTGCAGCGCTCTTAACTTGCTCAAGGCCACAACTACGCAGTACCTACACAAAAAGAGTCCCTATAGAATATTTAATCAGACTCATATTAAAAGGTCTGAACACTATTTCACATACGACCCTGTAAAAATCACCACAAAATTTAAAGCGTTATAGGCGCTTTGTTGGAATCCACAAAATTCAAATCAACTTTCTCTACAACTTTCACTATAAGGAATGACGTCACTTTAGAAAACTGGTAATTTAATGACATGCATAAATAGTAAAAGAGAGAAAGAGCTGATACGAAGAACAGGGGAGCAAAGTGAATGTTATTGATATTTTTTCTAGAAAAAAATAAACAACCTTGAACAATCGACGAAGCTGCCTTTGGCGACACTCAATGATCTAAGGTTTTGTAGACTCCAATCTCCTAAGCAACCTATCAGATCGTTTACTGTAATTTTCAGTCCATTTACTTCCAAGTCTACAACCTTGTGCTGGCGTAGAACCTTCAAGCCCTTTGCGGAAAGTGTGGATGCATCTTTTAGCCTCACATGCCTAGAAAATACAACTGTATAATTCGACAGCGATTGTCATTTCTATATCTACATTGATACAACAGACCTCAGTCTCGTAGTTTTTGAATCAAAGAGGGTAATTGTCAAGTCGGATAGAGCTTTTCTTTCGCACAAACTGTACAATAATTGTTCAGATATTTCAGCTGGTAAGAACGCATCTGAATTCTTGAAACACAACCGAGTGGCTGATCCTGAGGTGCTATTTGAATTAGTGGAATTAATTGTCGCCGACCCTGTCGTGATCATTGCGCTACTGTCACTCCCATTACAACTTAGTTGATCATCTGAAATGTATAATGTATTTACTATGTTCGTCCTTATTCATTTCACGATAATGAGGAAAAATAGATAACATTGGTAAGCTGGTAATTTTTTTTTATAACCGTAAATTTTTTAATTGTATTTTGAAACAAAATTACTAGGTGCTTACCAAGTGTAGTAACCGATAAAGGTCCAGACACAGGTCCACCAGAATCGCCAGGCTGTACTTCGCATAGTGCGAGCACATTATCGCATATGAAGTCAACACAGACTTCCTGGAGACTTCTCGGTGACTCAAACATGTTGCAATCTTGTTTAATGTTATTTTCTCTTTCTTTCCTTTCTCCCTCAGAGCACATCGTCTTCTTTATGTCATAGTAGCCTCCAAAAATTAACATTAAGAATGTTATTAAAATTATTCAAGGTAGACATTCATATTAATTAGTTTTTTAATACAGTAAGTACGCGATGCGTATCAAAATTTAATTAAAAATAATGCAATATTAAATTAGATATTTAAACTTACAAATATTTGTCATCAAGCGAGGTTTCAATTGCCATGGAAGGATCCTGAATATTTTATCCTAATCTAGGGCCGAGAAATCACTAAAAACCATACAAATCCAATATTAAGTTTCAAGGATAATAAGTCGATAAAAGAAAAATATAAAAGTAGGCCAAAATCCAACAAGAAAAAAAATCATCGATACAAAAAGGTAAACCTACTTAACTCTAGTAATCAAGTAGACGGGTAATACTTGAATCCAACGTAAACCTTTGCAGAAAGCTAATCGAATAATTTCAACCAATATTTTTTCCTCCACGACTCCGAATTCAATGTGGAAGACTAGGTCATAAACAGGGGTCCTGCAATTATCTGTCTGAAACAACAGAATAAGACATTATAAAAAGACAGCAATAACGAGAGGTGGGAACGAAGATGTGAATTGTTGTCATGATAATAAAAGAAATCAAAGCAGCTTATCTTAACCCTACTCATCGGTCTAAAACATTGTCTACAATCGTCCAATTCCCACGCAGAGCCTCGTGCACGCGAAACTACGTATTTAAATACATGATTACGTAATGACAGATTCTAGTGGGACAACAAATGTCCATGCTTCGCGAGAACAATTAAATTTACGAGCTACCCACTGGCCGAGGATGCCTCGACGTCGACTCGGTCACTGCTGGACTTCTTGACGTTTCTGTCAGGCCATGAAAGGGCCTCGAGGTTTCCAGTCTGCTGCCACGCCGATAACAAAAGAACAACTTTGACAGATGGCAGGTCATAAAACAATGGTAAACAGTTGCGCGCACTTGCTTCTAAAATGGTCGACGTGTTCGGCTGCCAACAAACTGTCAAATTGCGGCAGAAATTGGAACACTCGCAATACGACTACTCACGATCGCTCTCCGATTCTCCGTGAATGGTTTATCTGGCTTTATTGGGCTATGTTCACTTTGCACAGAGAGTGGCATAGAGTGCCCCCGGAAGCACTTTTCACAATTGTCGTGGAATCCGGTCACCTAGCGGCAACGCGGTGAAACCGCTCCACATTTAGCACGGATTTCTTCCTCGTTTTCTTATAAGTTACACGACACACTTTCACAAAGAACGATACGTAAACGAGAGACAATGGTAATCTCCCAACTCATCTCTGGTCTGACGGACAAAAATAGAAAAATCAAGGTGGATCGGTTTCAGGGCGCAGTCGGTAGATGGCTGAGAATTGCAAAAGTGTACTATGGGTACTCCCGTCCATTTTTTGGTTAATGCTGGGTCAGGTCAAGTCGAGTTGGTTCGAGATAGTTCGAGTCCAATGATCGATTCCCATTGTCAAGTCGGACCATTCGATATCCGTCTGCTAGGTTGGTTGCTGGAGCTACGAATGGTCTTTGGTTATCAATTTAGTTTAAACGATATCTCCCCATTTGTCAGACAAAGTCATGTACACCGTGTCAAAAGGTCCGAGCAAGATTGTTGCAAAAACTCGACGGGGTAGGTGCAGATCAAAATCATACTCTCCGTTCCATGTGGCAATGGATTTTTTTTTTTTCAAAGCGCTTTCACCTTTGGCACGCCGGTACACCTGTGTTTTGCTTGGCTATTTTTAGGTATCAATCAAAACTTTGAAAGGTTGGAAAATCTACGCGAAGTCACTCGAAAATCAGAGCCTGAAGACGATCCCGGAGTCACACGGTAAATGATTTCCTAACTCTAACCTAACTTAACCTAACCCAGCTTTTTCGTTCCGGAGCTCGTTACGCAATTCTCATCTACGAAACATTCGAGTGATACTTGTTTAATGCGTAATCGCGTTTCCTCTTCTCTCTCCCCCTCTCTCTATTTTTTTTTATGTCTTATCTTTCTTACCATCCTCTTGCTCCCTTTTACCCTGTCCCTTTAGGAAATTAAAAAGACATCCTGCATGCATGAATGTTTGAAGGAATGCGCGATTTCGTATTCCATGCTGTCAGTTAGGTACACGAACCGTAGTTAAATGCATCTTGCAAATTGTTAAATTAGTAGTTTCTGTCAATTTTATTTTTCAGTCATGTACCAAAGCCAGTTTTTCACATAAATGGTAAATCCAAGCTAAATTCCCATAGGCATCAGATGCAAGAGGTAATAACTCCACAGCACGAGGAGCTCATCAAATTCGTATATGAATGTAAGTGACTAGACGAGTGAAGTTATCAAAACAAAAAATTTGTAAAATCATAATTTTCTGAAATTTAGTTTAACAATGCATAGATTTTTATTGGTTTATGTATTTTTGTTATTTTGTCGTCAGCCTGGAGTCAAATTAGTGCAAGGCAAAGAAGCGAATCTTCGGATGGATCGGAATGTTCAGAACCTTCTAGTAAGTGATTTTGTAAGAAAACGACTATTCCACTAGTAGTCAACGATTATTATCGCTCACCGTGCACATGGAATTTCTGGCACCGATTTTCCAAAGATATTTTTTAATGTGTTCACAATAACGAATGCAAAAGCTTTAAATTTGTTAATATAATAAGCCATGTCTAAGTATGTTGAAAGGTTCAGAGTCTAAAAGGCCTTTGCTTCATGTGACACATTTTAAAATGAAATCTATTACATTGCAGGTCCAAACTCTATAGTGTATTATAACGATGGAGAACCAAATGGCATTCTGCAAGGTTCGTTCTTTCAATAGAATTTTATTCTTTCCATTTGAAAGTTTTGTAAAATATTTTTTGCATGTACCATCAATTTCTAGTGGTGAAACTGCAAGATAAGTTTTAAGAATGACAGTTTTTAAAGAATATAAAATCTAAATCAATGTTTCCTTTCAGATTTCAAACCTTTTGATTTAGAATCTTGGTGGGGCAAGAGATTGTTCAATAACATTACCAAATCACTTTGAAGGAAGCAACGGTGTTATGGGTTTCCGTTTCAAAGGTTAACCAAAGTAGTAAATATTTGCAAATGCAACGATTTGACCCAGATCATAAGGAGTCCAAGTTCTTATCTTATGATGAGACAATTGAAACAAATTCAACTGCAACATATTGCAGACGCATGTTCATTGTGACGCAAGTTACAATGCATCGTCAAATGTGACTTCATGGGTCACAGACTTTCCAAAGTTTTAAATAAGGTGGATACCAAACCGCAGGTCGACCAAATCCAACTGTTAATATACAGTGAACGAATCATGATTAATTCATGCAGCGATTTTATAAACACGTGCCCAGGGCGATAAGCTAACTGCGAATTCGCAAGCAATAGGTGCTTTCCTGCACATTGGAAACTATTGATTGCATTTGTGAACACTTTTACTCGTTTACAGGTATCTAAGGTGGCACAAATGCAATAAGCTCGCTGCACCGCGTAAATTGTACAAAAGGCTTTATCTCTTATACAAACAAGTTACCGTACTACAAGTAGGACAATAAATAATCTAATTGAATTACGTAAACAGTCGTGTCATCGACTATGAAATTTATACAATCTCTTTTTATTGTATTTTGTTCCGTTAAAGGAATCCTACTTTCAATGCAATGTCAATATGTTACTTTTAAGTAATTTCTTTCACAATTTTAATTGTAATTAAGCTATCGTATGATCAATATTTACAATCGCAACAAATATTTCTCTAATTCTCACGAATGCCGTGAAAGAGAAACAAAATCATTGTGGCTTAAGATCGTGGTAGAACATTGGGGTAAAATATTTTGTAGCGCTATCAAAGTCTGTCTTCCGTAGCAAAATTATTCTTAACGTTTAATTAGCGTTTCCTAATTTGTATTGAAAGCCAAATAGTGGATCGTGATTAGTATGGAAGGCTAACGGTGAATATGAGAATATATGGACTTTGTATGTACAAATGGTCCTATGGCAATGCCAAGTGTCACCAAGCCGAATGGCCTGTGAACATAAACGAAAATCCTAGTATAACTTTGTAGACTGATACATTTAAGATTGTTATGACGAATGAGCGGGGTGGAACTTGTTACTCGTTGGTTCTCCATTCGCAAGCTATGCTCGAGTTATACCGTTTCGACACGCCAGTTTGTTCCTGATCGTACACTCCGGCGGTATCGAAGAAAAACTCGATTCCTACGTTTGGTCCAAAAGTTACCTAAGGGTGCTTTATGCGATCAAGGGTTTTACGTGCAAGCCCTAACTTCGAGCACGTGTCAAGACACAGTTTGCAAGGTGTAGTCGAGAAGTAGTTCATTGTGTATTCAGCCATCGATGTGGCTGAATTCCAAAATTGTTATAAAAATTAAATATATCTTTTTACGCTAAACTATCGCATTGCCTTTGATCTCATTTCTGATACAAATATAAATATAGTGAAAAATCGAATAAAAAATCAGCTCCTATAAAATCTGACTTCTGATTTTATGGTTAGTTACAGTATACGTTTGTGCTGATCTGTCATGCTGCTCCTCTAACTGCAATTATTGCCATTAATCAACTATTTCCTCCTGGCGCAAACTCTGATTGCATTTCGTTATTCGGAAAGAATAATTGTGAACAAATAAAGTTGAAAATCTTAAAGGTAGTTAACGTCAGTCGCATAGTTTCAGAGATTTAACCTCAATAATATATCATAGCCTTCAGCGCGATAGTCTGATAACATGAAAGATTACTATTAGACAATTAAATTATCGTTACCGGCAGGTTTTACAATCATGTCATGTCAACGTAAAGGAGTTCAAGTGAAGTACGGTAGGAAGAGGTTATGGAACAACCCGACAGTCGCCGTAGATGAGAGTCTTCAAGGCTTTGCCATGGTACACAGTGGTTTGGTACTTTTAGAAGGATGCAGAGCAGTTCTTCGCAGGGATTATAACAACATTCACGATAAAGTTAGTCCACCTCTTTAATAATGTTTTATTGAATTTCTTGAAACGACAGTGGTTTTTTTCGGAAAGGTGAAATTAATATCTGGAGGAGGAGCAGGAAACGAACCAACGCACATTGGGTTCGTAGGCCCAGGGATGCTAACTGCTGCAATCACAGGAGATATTTTTACAGCCCCGAGTCCTGATTCAATTTTAAAAGTTATTCAAGAACTCGCCACGGACCATTCTCCCGGTAATTAATTATTAAAATTATATAGCTCTTCTATAGTCTCAGAGTCAACTTTTAATTATATCTGGTTCGCAGGTGTTTTATTAATTGTTCAGAATTATACCGGTTATCGCTTAAATTTTGGATTGGCGAAACTGCGTGCCGAGAATAGAGGCTTGATCGTTAACATGATTACCGTCAAAGACGACGTTAGTTTAAAGTCTTTTGAAAAAACCGCTGGAAGACGTGGGCTCGGTGGGACATTATTTATCCTTAAGGTAGCCGGTGCCATGGCAGAAGATGGAAAAAAACTCAACGAGATCCATTCGGTTTGTAAAAGACTTGCTTCCGGTGAGAATGTCATTTCTATCGGTTTGGGTCACAGAGTCCCTCCCTCGAGTGCAGATTGCGAATGTTCTCAATTTATAGAATGCAAGAAGATGGAAATAGGTACAGTAAATATTAAGTTGGAAGGAAAGAATTAAATGAATGATATTTACATTGTTTCATTAATAAATGTAGGCTGTGGATTACACGGAGAACCTGGAGTCTTACAAGTGACGTTCGCGAATACAAAAGATACCGTGTCACAACTTATATACTATATGATGGAAAATGGCAAAGAATTTAATTTTTACCCAAACGATGAATCTGGAAATTCAGTTGCAGTTATGATTAATAATCTCGGAGGTAACAACGCGTTCGGTTTATCCACGAAACCGACATAAAATGAAAAAATTGGTTGCAGGAATTAGTCAACTCGAAACGTACATTTTTGCTATGGAAGCGATGACACAGCTAAGAGATTTCGGTTTCAAAATTGAGAGAGCATACATGGGGTCTTTAATGACTTCGCTGGATGCCAATGGGTTTCAATTGTCCATTATGAAGCTCGCTTCGGATTCGAACTTAATTGAATATCTGGATGCGGAGACGAGTGCGCCAGCGTGGCCCAAGATTTTTTCCACAAAGACATTGGGTTTTGAGTGGGTAAAGAGCCTTACGCAACTGATCATTTCAATCTTCTCGAATTTGTTTAATCACCGCCATTTACTGTAGACTGTTTTCGCTAGCAGGAAGAGGAACCGAGTCTGTCTACTCCAGGGCTGCACCTAAAGGTATTATAATCGAACGACCGTACGAACAGGAATAAATTTAGTCTGTAAATGGAATCGTAGAGTGCCAGTGGCATGGTACCGGAGACGAAACCTTTAGGACCGTCGATGGCTGAGCGAACGGGTCAGGTCTTCCTAATGATTTTAACTTTCGCTTGCGAGGCACTCATTGCCTGCGCCGAGCAGCTCAACATTATGGACGAAGACAGCGGAGACGGCGATTGCGGAACAACTCTGAGAAAAGGTGCCGATGCCCTCAAATCTGCGATAAAGGTTCGACGTTCGGTTACACCGACTAATGGACGCATAGCTCAACATTTATATTTGGTATCGATCCGTATCGCAGGCTGGAGAGATCGAAGCGACGAAACCTTTCGTTGCCTTTTCGCAAATTAGTCACATCGCGGAGACCTTGATGGGCGGACTCCAAGGAGGACTGTACTCGATATTTTTCGACGCCGGCGCTAAGGTGAAACCCTTTATGAATTGCTTTAGAGCAAGACCGAAATACCGCAATTAATCCTGCTAAATAATTGCAGGTCTTCGCAGGGTGTCCCGAAGACCGGACAATCGATGCGTCGATATGGCTCGAGGCACTCACCTCAGGAAACGATGCCATCTCCGAGTTTGGCAAGGCCTCTCGAGGCGACCGAACTATGCTGGACCCTCTCCTCGCCGCTCAAGATAAACTATGCGATTTACTCTCTACTAATTGTCATCCAATTATCGCCTTCGGGGAGGCCGTGAAAGCTGCCGAGACGCAAGCCATTAAGACTCGTCGCATGCCCGCCACGGTTGGCCGAGCTAGTCTCGTCAAATGCAAGGTAAACTACCGAGCTATTTAAAATAAGTAACTAAACTAAAATAAGTACTGCTGGAAATCAACGGCATCGTTGCGATTAAACGTTCATTCTATCGCAGTCGTTCGAGCATCCGGACCCTGGAGCTCATGCTGTCGGAATTTGGATGCGAGCTGCATACGAAGGCGTCAAGCTGAAATTCAACTGCGAATGCGAATCATAAATCCATGTACTCGTTCCACGTATAGCCAAGAAATCGCTTGATTTTTTCCACCCTCTCGTCCATTGTTAACGGTTGAAAAAATTCCCTGGGAAGGCTTGAGAGTTTCGACTCCGTCCGATATTCCCAACCGAGGCCTTTCGCGTGTCAAAATGAACGAGCACCGCGTCCATGGAAGTACAGGGTAACGATCTCGTCCACGGTCGACGACATCGTGCAACGAGTCAGACCGCTGACGATAACGCAATAAAAGCGAGTGGAGGTCACGTTCGGCACAATTGCAACGTCGAATCTCGCGAGACGACTTCGGTAAATGGTTCAGGGTCCACAAATGGTTCGGGTCGGGGAGGAGGAGCGAGTTCGACGGAGTCGGAACTCGAGACGCGGAGCTTAGTAAGACGTCCCGACGCCGCTCGCATGAATAATTCAGCGTTTGCGAACGCAAATCGAAAGGAATCCATCCAAAGATCCATTGCATAGGACTCGAAAGGCGACGTCCAAAAGCGCGCGCATATCCGCGCAATAAATCATCGCGCGTCGTCGGCCATTTTCCATCGGAAAATATTAGGTCATCCCATAAGTGATGCGACTTTGACGTATTTAGAATTACTCCTAACGGTTCGTTTTATTTTTTTTCGCCCCCTGGGAGTCGCTCTCCACATATTAAAAGGAAAACTCACCCTCCAGGATATTCGGATTTCCGATTTTCGAAAATTTCCGACGCCTTCGCGACGTAAACAACGCCATCGTCTGTAAACACGAGATCGTTCCAGGTCGTTCTTCAAGACGTCCCCTTGGACTCGTCCGCGCCAGACCGGAGGAACGTTCCATTCGTTCCTGAAAAATATCCCGATTAATTCCGCGAAAATGGGGTCTTCTCTCATCGATCGTTTCGGATTACTTGTTAAGTTTCCGTCGCACTTTGGCGTCGAAATTCTGCGCGCTCCTGGAACCTCAACCCCCGGGGGGGGGATCGACCGTATCGATCCGCATTGCAAATTTTCGGAAGTGGCCGGAAGTGGCCGGAAGTGGTCGCCAGTAGCCGGGTCGGGTGGGGTTTCGATCGATTCGGCAGGTGAGTCGGGTCGGGTCGAGTCGAGTCGCGTCAAAGGCAGGGAGGGCGAAAGTGGACGAGAGCGCGGCGAGGGGAGAGAGAGAGAGAGAGAAGAGAGGGGTGTTCACTGTCCCCTCGGTTTCTGCCCTAGTCGCGGCTGGTCGCGGCACTGCATGGCACTGCGCGGTACGCGGGTCAGTCGGATTTGGCGGTCGCAGTAGGTAGCCTAGGTAGAAGTGCTCGGACTAGATTGGATTTACGCCCTTCCTTGGACCTTTCGATCGATTCGATGGCGTAGCGCCGATCTCTCGACCCTCCTCGACGAACCCGCTTGCCATCACAGTCCCCGAAGGCGAAGGATGTGTCCAGATGCGAGCCGAGTCACTTGTGCGTGGTTCGGTCGAAGCGGTAAGCGACGCACCTGCTAGCTAACGCCTCGGTGACGGTTGGGTATTAATTAAATCAATTTTATTTCCCTCGAATAAAAAGGGGATACGTCTTCATGAAGGAAGATGGCAGGTGGGGACGCGGAGCTCTGCGGGTTCCTGGACGCAAAGTTGCCCGGCACCAGAGGGGTCACTCAGAGGGTGAGAAAACGCTCGCTCACTCCGTGGAAGGTCTGGAGAAGGCACTGGTGCTCGGTTAGAAAACTGGGAACTGGTCTCGGAGTGGAAATTCACCTGGATTGTGGCATCGGCAGTGGGGGTGCAACCGTACCCAACGACAGAAATGATTCCGTCAAGATTCCCTTCGATGCCGTCATCTGTCGGACGGAGTCTAGGTCGAAGCAGTTTGCCTTTGGGATATTTCCAGCCAAGCAGCGGAAACCCTTGCTCTATCTCTCAGGGAATTCGGAGACCGAGACTCAAAGATGGATGGCCGATCTCAGACAACTGCTGAAACCTCGCAAGCATCGATTTTTAGAGGGATCCTTCGATATCTCCATGGTCGATAACGCACATTCCAGAGCTGCTGGTCTGACGGGTAAAGAGCTCGCCATAGTCATGAATTATTAATTCCTTGGTTTCCTATTTGTAGCGATCTGATAGTGATATGATCAAATGAAGCAAGGTTTTTTTTTTCAGGATTGCATGGAGATTTGGTTGCGAGTCGTCTGGGGGTTTTTGTTAAAGACGTGTACTCTGGTGAAATAGGGGAAAGCTTGGAATGGAAAGAATTGAGTCAGTTCCATCTATCGACCTCGGGGCGTCCAGATGACGTTAAACGCATTTGCGTGATGCACACGACCAAGGAATTTCGTGGGGGTGTCGGTGAACTTCACGTTTTCTGTTTGGACGCACCAAGGTTGTTACAGGATCTTGTCACACAAGGTCGCGGTCCAAAACGCAGAAACCTTGATCAGCGGCCGTTGAGTTTAAGCGATGGTGATCTGAGGCTATCGATGCACAGTGACGAGCAAGCTGGATCTTTTCCGGTTCTCAAAAGCAAAGTAGCTTCTAGCCTCATCAATGCAGGTCTTGGTTTATTTCTCTCTTCGAGATCTGGGAGCGAAGCAAAGCTCGTTCATCAAACTTCGGAGGATCTCGAAAGGATCGCAGTTCATAAGATGGCAGGAGTAAAAATATCACTGCGCACCAGAGCTGTGGATAATGTATACCAACCCGAACCTGCTGGCATATCCAATATTATAGGATCCAGTCTGGAGGAGCTGGAGGAATCATTTACAAGAAGGGTCTCTAATATTTCTGTTGCATCTGGAATTTATGAAGAGATTTCAGATGTCGTGGACCCCTCAAAAAACGTATGTTTAGCTTCCAATCTTTACGAGGATCCTGAGGAGTTGATATTGAGGAATTGTGAATTGCATCGAGAACCACCCCCTCTCCCCCCAAGGCAGAGATGTGGCTCTGGATCTACTAGGAACGGAAGGTCAGTGTGTATTTGCCATACAAATTTAAAGAGAATTATTTGTCATATTTACAAAGTACGTAATTATTATGTTCCTGTACATTGTAGTATCAGTGACGATGGACTAGATTCTGAGGGAGGTACGAGATCTGCTACCCCGAATACCACGGAAGACACCACTCCGACTCCTGAAGAGAAAGCAGCGAGCATGAGTCAAGCGATACATGTGGATAATTCGGATTACGTTCCAATGTCTCCAAGATTAAAAGACATTGTTCCACAAAAATGTTGTCAGCAAGAAACACAGCAAGAAGAAATATACATGGTAATGCGTTAAAAATTTTATTTACCAATCTTTGTGGCTTAGGAAATTTATCGTGTTAAAACCATTGATAGAAAACAGTCTTTGGATTTACGCTATTTAATCGCTTAACGCGAATTAAAATAAGGGTTATAGAAAAGAATTTTTTGAGGGCGTGTAGAAGGTTGAGATTAATGAGATAAAATGTCAATTATTTCTAATCGATCAAAATGTTGGGAGATGGAGACCTATCCGACTCAAATGTTTGTAATGTTAGAATTTGGGAAAAAGTATATACATATATATACACAGATTTTCTAGGAGTATATTAAACAGATGGAAAGATGGTGAGTGACGAGTTGCGGGTGTTAACGAATATAATTACTAATTGAGAACGTTTGCCGGGCCTCTCAAGTGAAAACGCACAATTATCTACATTGCCTTCTGGCTTGGAAAAAGTCGACGCGTACTCTGACATTTTTCTAAGTAGGTAGAATCAACCTTTAAGAGAAAATAAGTATCGTCCTAATGTGAAACCATTGGGGGAACAGTCCCCAGTATTACTTAAGCATCACAGTTCTATGTATAAATGGCGCGTAAGAGTAGATCTTTACGAAACTATAGTACTACTTTTATATGAAGCTTTTCGAAGAGCTTTTTGAACTCCCCGACCATAACGAAATACGTACAAATTGTTGTATTATCACTTTGTACCTTTCCATTTAATAAGGAAATTCAGTGTTCGCGATTTTATGACAGGTTCAAAGTCTAAAGACCTAACGATTCACCAACGTGTAGTTTGCAACATACGTTGTACTGTTCTGGGTTTATCATGCGTCGTAAACACGTCGATAGGTGAATTGACACAAGTAGTTATAAAGGATCTGAAATTTGCTACAAAACTGCTGTATATTGTGTATTGTTGATTGTATAGATAACAGGCTTAAGTATCGCAATATTGTCTACTGCCTTTCGTCGTGTGCCTCGATATATTTTACCGGTATACAAAGAGATTGTTAAATGAAGCTCGTCGAGATGTGACCGTAGTTCTTATTTCAGCGATGACAGCTCTGCGAATGTCATTAATGTTAATTCTGTAGGGATTTACTGACAATGTGGTAGCAGGAAACCTCTGTTGTACGTACCCTCGCAATGTTTCTGTACGAGGTAGGCATACAAGGATTTCTGACTGAGCTGATTAAGGTTATTGCGCGATAAAATTTAGTTAAGGGGAATGAAAAATGAAGCAATCGTGACAACTATTTCGTACATTGCATTTGTAGTAGATACACATTTTGAACAGAGATTTCCATCGTTCACAACAAAGGAAACATATTTGATTCAAGCTTTGCGTAACGAGTTTTCATGGTATATACTGAACGACGTGATTATACTACATTTTTCCTTCATTAACTCTCGTTCATACATTCTTTACTAGAGAATGCTCAAACGAATCATGTAGATTCTGTGAAATTTTGTACCATGATTAACGAATTGTGATAGGACGTAATTTCGCTGCGATGTCGCGTGTCTTTAGAATAAGTAATCAAATGAATAGTTTAATAAACTGGAAAACGAGAAAAAAAATGAAGATAGCTGCTTTTAGGTGTACGTAGCTCACTGGAGTATCGGATACATGTTCTTGTTGCTACTTTGTGAGATTAAAAGAAATAATGATCGATATCAACTTCATCATTAATAATTTATTATAATAATTATTTTAATGGATTTAGTATTAGGCACTGGAAAGAGTTTATTTTGACCCTCGACGAGAGAATTTGTTTTTTGAGTAACTTCTCACTTTATATTAAGCACATAAAAAAATAAATAACATCTAAATAAATTGTCTGTTAAACCAGTGGACATTTAGAAATTTAATCGAGGTAGTTCATTCGTCGTCCACAGATCTATTAAAATTAATTCAGTTCGTGTTTTCTTTTTTTCATTGCATAGTCTTCGGTTGTCTTCTTGGCTTTGCGCTTGAATTCAGCTTTATTGAACCTGTACTCTTCGGCTATATCAGCCATGAGAGGATCGTCTGGATTTGGGTTTTCTAATAACAGTTGAACGGCGGTCAAAAGATTCTCAAGATTAATCGTCGGTTTCCAACCACCCTTAGGTGGCATTTTTAGAAAATCCATGCAGATACGACCGCTACTGTCGATATTTGGATGATAGACCGGGGTTACGAATTTCATCCGTGGTGGCTCAAATGGATAGTTTTGTGGTATTTCCAATTCTAACTGAAAGAGGCCCCCTTCGTAAGGACTGCCTCGAGGTCCCATTACGTTGGCACAAAGCAAATCAGTTTTGTCCATTTGTGGATAACAGCAAATACCCTCCGGTGGGTTCTCCATGAGCCTGGCAAGTTCTCGCTTCAGTCTGGTTTCCTTTTGCATCGTGTCAACGTTGAAAATGGCAGATTACTCCAAAAGGAATCTAAAAACAACGTACTCCTGTCAACTCCGAAACGTTGAACTTCCTAAATAAAAGCAACGTATCTTACCCGAGCACACCTTTCAATCCTTTTAATGTGAAGTTCGAATTCGGATACGGATATACACGAATGGGAATCGGTAGCGGTTTTATGTGGTTTTAAGTACGGCAACGGCTCGAGGGAACTTAAAATTTAAAGCAATTTAAAAGACCTCGGCCGGTTAGCCATTAAACAATTTATCGAGACACGGCGCGCGTACGTCAGGTTGGTCAGGTGGCCGCCGAACTCGTTTGGAACGACGGTCGGCAGGTGGCGCAGAGGTCGCGGCGCGAACGCGAGTCTCCCTTCTCGAACGGTCCGTGCACCATGGCGTCGCACCTCTCGCACTCGCGCACAGCAGCGCAAAGTATGAGCGACTCGCTGCCGCCGAGCGTTGCGTCGCGCTGCCGTTGAACGTTAATCCACGGGAATCTGCGATCGGTTAATCGGGCATCTGGAATCGCCCGGAAGATGCGTTCCCAAGAGTGAGAAGTCGGACCCAGGAGAGGAGAGCGCGTCAGATAAGGATCCGAGGTGGCAGGTTGCAGGCGAGCGCAGGTGAGTCGGCACCGCTCGGGAGGGGCGGCCGTTTGGGCGTTGACCGAGTCGGTTGCGTCCGCTGCTCTTCCCGACCCCGGGCGTTTCCAAACGAACCCTTTCTTCGATTTTCTTTGACGTTCCTCGATCACCCGCGATTCTTTTTTATCCGAGCCCAGCCACAGGCGGATCCCGAGCGCGCCCCTGACGGCACCTTTCATTTCACTTTATGAATCTTTATCGCAAATCGGAGAAAAGGGCGAGGAAACTCGCCGGATGGTCGAGCATCGTCGAACGGTCAACCGCACGATCTACCGGAGTGGAATACCGTACTTGGTATCGCCGTTCGATCTAATTTTTATATTCCAACGGCGATCTCGATAACCATTGAATAATAGAGTGCCTTCGCCCGTCTGCATTTTTCGGGTCGTTAACGACGATTCGACGCGAGCGTGAGTAAGTCCGAGTCGTGGGCGAGGTCTAATTTTTATCTTCTCCTAGGGCCGAACGCCGCCGCGGTCGTCCGTGAGTCACCCCGGCGTGGCCGCGACGCCTCGAGTTCTATTGACATCGCCCTTTCCCTGTCCAGTTCCAGAAGATGTGGCCGCTAATCTTGGCGATCCTCTTGGCGAGTAGCGGCACTCGGTACGCCCAGGAAACACCGGAATCGACGGGCCCGCCCTGGAGCAGGTTCGACGACAGAGAAGGCAGAGATCGCGACCCCGGAACGGGCTTCGGGTACTCGTGGAATCCTGGCACCCAGAATGACAACGTCATCATCAAGGAAGCGTAAGGAATCGAAAGGAACCCAAAAGTGGGAACTGCGTTTGTATGACGTCCTCGATGGTGGTTTCAGGAGCTACTTCGTGGTGGCTTCGCGGATGGTGCGGCCAGGTCAAATCTACCGGGTGGCGGCGAACGTGCTGCGGAGCCCCTTTCCGATGACGGTGCGGGCCTCCATTCAGAGGAACGGCGTGGAGATCGCGGCGGACCACCAGGAGGTGAAGGAGGGCATCCCGGAGACCCTGTCGATGAGGATGCCGCCGACCTCGGTCCGGGGCTCCTATCGGCTGCGCGTCGAGGGGATGTACAACGGGCTGACCGGAGGTCAGGCCTTCCTCAACGAGACGGCCTTGACGTACTCCCAGCGCTCGATGACGATCTTCGTGCAGATGGACAAGCCGGTGTACATGCAGGGCCAGACGGTGCGGTTCCGCGCGGTGCCCATCGACACCGAGCTCAAGGCCTTCAACAACCCCATCGACGTGTACATGCTGGACCCCTACAGGAGGATCATGCGCCGGTGGCTGAGCAGACAGAGCAACCTGGGGACGGTGTCGCTGACGTACCAGCTGTCGGACCAGCCGGTCTTCGGCGAGTGGACCATCCAGATCGTGGCCCAGAGCCAGGTGGAGGAGAAGAGCTTCCTGGTCGAGGAGTACTACCAGACGAGGTTCGAGGTCAACGTGACCATGCCGGCCTTCTTCTTCGACACGGACCCCTACCTGCACGGGGTGATCATGGCCAACTACACCTCGGGCGCCCCCGTCCGGGGCAACCTGACCCTCAAGGCCAGTTTCGCGTCTCTGAACCGGGCGCATCTGACGTCCGCCCAGGTCGAAATCCCCGACAAGCACTTCAATTTCAACGAGCACTACCCCGCGTGGTTTCACCAGGTGGACGCGTACGACGATCGGACGCCGGTGCTCAGGTTCTTCAACGGCACCTATCACTTCCGCTACCCTATGTCCGAGCTGCTGCAGTTCGCTCCCTCGGAGCATGGCATGGAGGTGACGGTGACGGCGACGGTCGGCGAGCGGTTCCTCGACGAGGTGATCGTGGGCTACTCGACCGCGCGCATCTTCAACTCGAGCATCAAGGTGCACTTCCTGGGGGGCTCGCCGCAGGTCTTCAAGCCGGCCATGCCGTTCTCGGTGAACCTGGTGGCGTCCTTCCACGACGGCTCGCCGCTGCGGCGCAGCCAGCTGGCGAACGCGCGGATGGAGCTGCGGACGGAGCTGGAGACGAGGGGCGGCGGCGGTCGCCGTTCGCTGGAGACGGAGGTGCTGCGCGCCTCCGCCGAGCACGAGGCGGTCTGGTCGCTGAGGGTCGACCTAAGGAAGCGGCTCGGCCTGGAGGAGCAGCCCCTGCGGGCCCGGCAGACCCTCGACGAGATCGTCTCCATGAAGATCTACGCCGAGCTGACGGACGGCGAGGGGAACCGCGCCCGGAGCGAGCTGCTGCTGCTGTCCCACGTGTCGCCCGAGAACCGGCACATCAAGATCCTGACATCGACCGAGCGTCCCAAGGTCGGCGACTACATGATTCTGCACGTGCGGGCCAACTTCTACCTGGAGACGTTCGACTACCTGATCCTGTCGAAGGGCACCGTCCTGCTCCACGGCCAGGAGAGTCTGGAGCACGGGGGCGCCAAGACGATCGCGGTGCCGCTCGGCCCGGAGATGGCGCCCGTCGCGACGGCGGTCGTCTACCACGTGGGGCGCCGCGGCGAGGTCGTCGTCGACTCTCTCACCTTCCCGGTGAACGGGCTCTCGCGTAACAACTTCACGGTCCTGATTAACAACCGGAAGGCGCGCACCGGCGAGAGGGTCGAGGTGGCCATCTACGGGGAGCCCGGCGCCTTCGTCGCCCTCTCGGGCATCGACCGGGCCTTCTACGCCATGCAGGCCGGCAACGAGCTGACCTACGCCAACGTCGTGGCCAAGATGGCGCACTTCGGCGAGGAGACGAACGGCACGCACTCGCACTCCTGGGTCTTCCACGAGGGCGACCCCGACGAGGTGGTGCACTTCCCCTCGTCGACCTACGGGGTGGACGCGAACCGGACCTTCGAGTACGTGGGGCTGGTGGTGTTCACGGACGCGCTGGTCTACCGGCGACCCGAGGTGTGCAACCGCACCCAGGGCCAGGCCGAGTGTCTCAGCGGCCGCTGCTACCGGGCGGAGAAGCGCTGCGACGGCGTGGCCGACTGCGAGGACGCCACCGACGAGGCTGGCTGTCCGGCCGGGAACGCGACCGAGCTGTCCGAGTTCCGGAAGCGACGCTTCAACCGGGTGCAGCGGCAGTACGACAACGCGTGGCTGTGGCGCGACGTCAACATCGGGCCCCACGGCAGGCAGATCTTCGAGGTCGACGTGCCGCGCCGGCCGGTGCACTGGATGGTCACGGCCTTCGGGGTGAGCCCGACCGCCGGCTTCGGCATGCTGCCCAGGGCGCTCGGCTACACCGGGGTGTTGCCCTTCTTCATCAACGTGGAAATGCCCGAGCGCAGCCGGCAGGGCGAGCAGGTCGGAGTGCGCGTCTCGGTCTTCAACTACATGGAGCACGACGTGGAGGCGACGGTCGGCCTGGCCGGGTCGCCCGACTACAAGTTCGTCCACGTCGAGGAGAACGGGTACGTGCAGTCGTACCGGCCGCGCACCTCCTTTGGGGAGCACCAGTTCTTCGTGTGGATCCGCGCCCAGGACGCGGCGGTGGTGTACCTGCCGGTGGTGCCGGTGCGGCTGGGCGACGTCGAGGTGACCGTCTACGCCAGGACCCTGGTGGGCAGCGACCGAGTGACCCGGGTGCTGCGCGTCGAGCCGGACGGCCTGCCGCAGTACCGGCACCAGTCGGTCCTCCTCGACCTCAGCAACCGGGCCTTCGTCTTCCAGTACATGCACGTCAACGTGACCGAGACGCCCCTCATTCCCTACGACGAGGAGCGCTACTACGTCTTCGGCTCGAACCGCGCCGTCGTGACGGTGGTCGGCGACGTCGTGGGCCCGGTCTTCCCGACCATGCCCGTCAACGCCACCAGCATGCTTAACCTGCCGATGGACTGCGCCGAGCAGAACATGTTCGGCTTCGCCGCCAACATGTACACGACCCTGTACATGCGGCTGGTGAACCAGCGGAACCGCACGCAGGAGAAGGAGTCGTTCTACCACATGAACATCGGGTACCAGCGGCAGCTCTCCTTCCTGAACCCGGACGGCTCGTTCGGGCCGTTCCGCAGCGACTGGAACCGCACGTCGCCGAGCGTCTGGCTGACGGCCTTCTGCGCGCGCGTCTTCCAGGAGGCGAGCTTCTACGAGTGGGAGAACTACCTCTACATCGACCCCGAGGTGATCGCGCGGGCCGTCTCCTGGGTGCTGGACCACCAGACCGAGAAGGGCTCCTTCTACGAGGTGGGCGGGCTGCCCGACCGCAAGGTCAACGGCTCGCTGCTGGGCCGCGGCCAGGACGACCCGGTGGCGCGCCGCAACGTCAGCCTGACCGCCCACGCGCTCATCACCCTGGAGACGGTGCGCGACATCTCCGGCGGCCTGGGCTCGAGGATCGCCCTGGGCGCCGCCAACGCCGTTCGCTGGCTCGAACAGAACCTGCGCCTCCTGGAGGAGCACGGCCGGCCCTACGACGTGGCCATCGTCGCCTACGCGCTCATGCTGGCCAAGGCCTCCACGGCCGAGCAGGCCTTCCGGTTGCTGACTCGCCACGCCCGCAGCGACGGCGGCCTCACCTACTGGGCCAGGGAGGCCGTCCCTCTGCCCCCCTACAAGCTCGAGAACCAGAAGCCCTTCCTGCTGCCGAGGCTGCCCTACGAGTTCGACGCCGAGAACGTCGAGACGACCGCCTACGCCCTCCTGGTGCACGTCGCGCGCCAGGAGGTCGCCGTCGAGCCCATCGTCCGGTGGCTCAACGCGCAGCGCCTCACCGACGCCGGATGGGCCTCCACCCAGGACTCCGTCTGGGCCATGAAGGCCCTCATGGACTACACGGTGCGCTCGCGGATCCGCGACGTCAGCTCGCTCGCCGTCACCGTGGAGGCCACCGCCCTGCCCGGCCAGGTGCGCACCCTGCGCGTCGACGAGCGCAACCTGGCGCGCCTGCAGCGCGTCGAGATCCCCGAGGCCTGGGGCACCGTCAAGGTGCAGGCCAAGGGCGCCGGCTACGCCATCCTCCAGATGTCCGTCCAGTACAACGTCGACACCCGCCGCTTCCAGACCCAGCCGCCCGTCCGCTGCTTCGACCTCCGCACCAGGGCCAATTTCCACGGGAGGAACCAGTCGCGCATCACCTACACCTCCTGCCAGCGGTGGACCAACCTCCGCGAGTCGCCGCGCTCCGGCATGGCCGTCCTCGACGTCGCCGTGCCCACCGGCTACATAGTCCAGCAGCAGACCCTCGACGCCTACGTCCTCGCCAACCGCGCCCGGAACCTCCAGCGCGCCCGATTCCTGCCCACCAAGGTGCTCTTCTACTTCGACTTCCTCGACGAGGAGGAGACCTGCGTCGACTTCACCCTCGAGCGCTGGATGCCCGTCGCCAACATGTCCCGGTACCTGCCGATCCGCGTCTACGACTACTACGCCCCCGGTAAGCGACCCACCGTCCTCCCTCGATTTTCTGAGACGTGACCATTTTCTTTCTCTTGCAGAACGATTCAACGAGTCCATCTTTGACTCCTTGCCGACGTATCTCCTCAACATCTGCGAGGTCTGCGGCAGCTCCCAGTGCCCGTACTGTTACATCTACAACGCCGCGACCCTCTTGGTCGCTCCGACCAACCCGCTTCTCCTGGTGTCGGTCCTCCTCGCCACCGTCGTCTACCTGAAGACGCAGCACTGCGGCGCCGGATAACCGTCCGTCCATTCCTCGCGACGTCCACGCGGTCAACGCGGTTACCCTGGTTACCCCGAAGGAAGGAAAGCGAAGAGATTCGCGACGCCAAAGCCGACCGCGCCGGAGGTCAAAGGGTGTCAAGTACAAACGCGACCTCCCCCGCACCGCGGGGGAGGGAATCTTTTTAAACCTCGAGGAAGGTTCGCCGGCTCCGGTTCGGTACCACCGCCCTACCGCGAGGGCGAGCCGTCCCCTCGAACCGTGCCTTATCGAGTAGGGACGAGAAAAGTCGCACCTGCTGCTAAACAATTGTAAATAGTAGAAGGGGTCGCGTACCCTGGGAAAGCGCTGCCTCCGCGAAATAGGAACGCGACAATGACTTCTTGCACCCTTGCGGTTCTGGGGACGTTGCACGACGCGTCACCAGGGTGTCCCTTGGGTTTCAGCTAGGAGGCTTTCTGGATTTTACCACGAGACGACCGCTACGAATTTTTTATGCCGTTTTTATCTTTGTTCGTGCAATGTCCCCGTTATGTTAATTAGCAACGACGAGAGTTACGTGTAATCGTTTCACGCGTTAAAGGTCTATTTTGCTATTTAGTACTAATGCCAGTTCATCCAGATACTTAGGACGTTAAGTTAAACTTAAATGTAATTACTTGCGACAAGGACGAGCTCTCGAAGGATTTCTAAACTCTGATTCCTTTTAATCCTCGTATTGCACGAAACTATATTGTTTTTTAATCGTCGATCTTTCGAGAGCACGTCTCGCGTCTTTCTCTTACTCTTACGAAGCCGTCCATGCGAGCCATTCCGTTCTCGAATTTTTTTTAACTTTATACCTGTTTTATATATATATACATATCTTTTAATATATGTATACATTTTAGAAGTACCGTCGGTTATGGCGTTGTTTAGACCGTTGCACGACTACGTTCAGCCGTTAAGGCAGTCGATGTAAAAATTAAAGACAGCTGTTTGCACTTTCTTCGTATCTTGCTAAAGATGCGACTCGTCGACGGTGGACGTTTTTACGACGTCCCAAGTGCGACGCGAATGTGATGCACGCGTTACGTGACAACGGGCACTGAATTGAGAATTTTTAACGACACGTTACACATCTGAAAAAGTTTTTATAATCTTTGTATAAATAAACTATTGAAACATTCCCTCGAATCGTCGTGAAATAATTCAGTTGCCTAGGAGAGCCGGATTGTCGTGTTTGAAAAGGCCGCCAGGTAGGCTGGTAATGTCACTTATGGAATCGAACTTTATCGACAGCAGGGCGAATCGGGGAAGGTTTCGGTATTTCGTCCCTAGATGTCAGCAGCGTGCGTTGGCGGCAAAACGTCTGATTTTTAAGAATCTCACCTAGTCTTTACCAGAAATGAGTTGGAAATGCTCCACCGAGGGCAGCACAGACGCGACCTTGCCCATGAGCAATCTCCCAACTCATCTCTGTCTTTACCCTGTGGTTAAATCAGGAAAATCAACATGAATTTCGTTGGACGACAATTTTTAAGAGCTGTTATAAAAGAAACCAGAAGCCAATGTTTTACAACATGTCCTCGACAGATGTTCAGCTATAAGAGTGCATTCGCACTTGAGAGGTTATATCCAAACAGCAATTTGAGTTTATACACTCCAACTTTTGTGAGTTTTCGAGCGTTTCCGTCAATGTCCCTCAAAATCTTATTTTATTGAGATTAATTTGTAGGTTCCAGAAGACCCTACCGCCAAATTCAATGGATATATTCCTTTAGATCAGCTTACGATCACTTACAGCCGCAGTGGTGGACCCGGAGGTCAGAACGTCAATCGTGTTAATACAAAGGTGGATTTGCGGTTCAACGTTAAGGAAGCCAAGTGGTTGCCGGAAGACATTAAGGACAAGCTGATCGAGCAAGTATGGTACACTTTTAATGCATGCCCTAGTACCTAACGATTCGTACATTTTCAAACAAAACCGTTGTCATTTCAGAATAAGACGAAAATCAGTAAGGAGGGGTGCCTGATAATTCGTTCGGAATTGACTCGATCTCAGCAGCTCAACCTCGCCGATGCCCTCGAGAAACTGAGAAGTCTCGTTCGAAAGGCTTTGGAACCACCTCCCGAGGTCTCACCGGAGACGGAAGAACGGAAGTGGAAGAATCAAATAAAGGCTGCTCGGCACAGGCTCTTCGAAAAGAGAGTACGCTCGGATATTAAACAGCACCGTCAAGCCCCGAGCATTACAGATTTTTGAGCCGTGACAATTTTTTGTAGTTGAGTGGTGATAATAAATATACATTCATAAAGCAAAAGGAACGATTCTCTTGTAACGAGTCGCCTAAATTATCTAGATAAATTCGTCGAATTATCTGACCGGATCAGCTGGCACGGTTACCATGGCAACGGCGTCGGTCAGCGTAAACAAACTCCGTACTCTTCGAGACGTTACTACGAGGATCGCGAGGACGGCGAGGACTTCCGAGGTTACGTTCGTTGAAAGATGTCATTCCGAGACTTACGAAGTAAGTAAAGCCGATATTCAAAGGATACCTTGAGATTAACAATTTTTTTTATTCCAGACCTGACAGAGATGATGAGAGTGTTGGGATACCCAAGACTGATATCATTATCAAACTTTCGCCTGCCCAACTTTCCGCTGGTGGCCGAGATGTTGGTGTGGCTCGTCAAGAGGTTCGACCCCGAAGCCGACGTGCCCGTCGAGCACGAGACCGAGCAGGAACGGGTGGCGTTGATTCGTTGCGTGGCCGAATTCACGGTAAATTAAATAAATTATTTCATCCACTCCCTACTCGATTTTTCGCCGTCGTTAGAAACGAGTACTCGTTTTAAGGCCGTGAAGACGAGCGTGAAGCTCAACACGAAGAAGCTGTACCAGGCGGACGGGTACGCGGTCAAGGAGCTACTGAAGCTGACGAGCTTGCTCTACGAGGCGCGAAGCCAGAGCCCTCGCGAGAACGCGAAGAAAGAGGAGACGACGACGACATCCTCGAGTTTCGACGTCTCCGATCGAGTGGACACGCTGAAGACGACCAGGCAACTCGGCAGTCAGCTGACCGTCAGCGGGGCCGCCCTTTTCGACTCCCTAGGTCGAGAGGTGGACCTTAGAGAGATTCGCAACTCCAAGGTGTCGCGCCAGCTGGACACCTCGGAAATCGAGGCAGCGCTCGAGGAGACGATCGAGAGCACGCGGACGGAGATCGCCGAGACCCGGGGGCAAATCGACAACGTCAAGGTACGCGCCTTTTCTCCCCTTGCGGTACCGATCGTCAATTCGAACTCGGTTCGCAGGAGACCGAGCAGAGCCTGGACGCGAAAATCGAGAGGCGCCGCACCGAGCTCGACAGGAATCAAAAGAGGCTCCAGACTTTGAGGAAAGTTCGACCGGCCTTCATGGAGGAACTCGAGAAGCTCGAGCTGGAGCTGCGGTTGCTGTACGAGGATTACTTGCAGAAGTTTCGTTACCTGGCCTATTTGGAGCACTTGCACGAGGACGCCGCCAAGGCGGAGCAAGAGAGATTCGAGAGGAGGTACGGGGACCGAAAATTCTCCGCTGTACCCCCGACTACGTTTCGTTACGGCGTTTACCTCTTCCAGGCAAGCGGCCACGCGGAAACAGCTGGAGCTGATGCGAAGCAAAGACGTCACCTTCGAGAGCACGATCGAGGGAAACGATTCGATATTTGGGGCGAACCTGCAAGAGCCTCTCGGACTCGGTGAGCTGGACGGCCAGCCCGTGGACAAGTCCGGCCCGGACGTTCGAGGGAAGACCGGTAAGAGGAAAGTGTTCCCTTCGAGGAGAAATCGTCCCTACGGGGTTTCTGGACCTTGCAGAAACCGGAAAATCGGCCCGGAGTTACGCGTCCCAGAGGCGAATCTACGGAAGCATGTCGGGGAGGCCGAAGGGCCCCGCGAGGGAATCCGTCGACAGCGGGGAATCGCTGGACAGCGACAGCGATCTCTTGATAGACGGAGACCTCGACGACGACGACGACGAGGACGACGAGGACAACGACGAGGACCTCCTTCGCTCGGTCGGCGAGGCCGAAATGGCCGGACTGGACCTGAAGGGCGGACAAGAGAAGCGAGCCGTCAGCAAGATGGTTCACTCGGACGAGGATTTCTAAACGACCGCCGCTGGCAATAATTCCTCCGATTAATTTATAATACGCGTTAAAACGCGACACGGGTCGAGGCGAGTTTTATTCATAAATCAGGTAATTCCATTGGGGGTGTCCCCGGCATTACCCTCCGACCCTGGCGACACTCGTCAATCTCGACGATTACCGTGTCACCTACCCATGGTCACCGATCCTCGGATTGACGGCAATATAGAGTATACACATATGTACAAAAACCGAATCAACATGCGCGCGATGGATGAGTCCAATGCATTCCTTTTCGCTCATTTCTCCACACCAGGGTAAGGGAAAGATACGCGAGCGCGTTGCCGCCGATTTCCCTACGAACCGAACGCCGATGGCTATCCTGGTACGCTGGGAGACATCAATGCCCTCCCAACCTGCACAGGCGATGCCGCATCTGCAGGGGAGGCATTCACGCCCGCCATTGTACATGGATACTCGTCCTTACTTAAAGTATGCCGCGTATTTACATTCGACCGGGACTGGGTAATCGGGGTCCCCGAACGACACGATCAATGGCGGGACGACTCGATGCCGATCGATCGCCCCAGGATCGAACATCGACTCGCCGACTGGCTCTAGACATTTCTACAAGGGGCTGCCTAACTACGTCGGCGATTCTTTAAGATTACATCCTAAGGATATGCGTCAAGACCCGATGAGTCCTCCGTTTCTCGGGGATCGTACAAATCAAGGGGTGATTCTAGGGTGAAAAAGAAAAGGAAAAAAAAAACGAGCAGAGGGTCAAATAGGCCGGCACTTAGGCCACAGGGTTAACGAACGGCGAACCGACGCACGCCGCGGTATCGAGTCGAATCGAAGAGCGAGATGAATTTACATCCATTATGGCGACGAATCCGCCTGGATATCTCGCGCCCCGAGTGTACGTGCGCGCGTTACAATTACTCCATGTGTATATATATATATATAAATCGCGAGCAAGCACCGGAGATTATAGCGACTGCTCGAGAGCGAAGAAACTCAAGGTAGTCGCCTTGGTAAAAAAAAAAAAAAAAAAATATCTCCTCGATAGATGGCAAAGTACATCCGGGCGTTTCCTTGGACCGTTCCGGTTCCAATCGAGTACCGACCGAGTCGGGTCCGTTGGTCGGCGTCGGGGAAGAATTTTGGAGAATCCTTGAGTTCTCCGCATCTTCGCGATCCTCAGGGCCCGTTGTAGCTGTAGAAGTAGGTCCTGGCGACCCTGGGGGTGCCGGTCAAGTTGGCGAATTCCCTGAGGAGATCGTTGACCGTCCGCTACCTGGCGGTCCTGGGGGTGGGGTCCGGGGCGGGAGCGGGCGTCGGGACGGGGTCCAGCTCCGGAAGCGAGCACTTCTCGGCGAGCTCGGTCCAGACCCCGTCGACGTTGCGGGCCAGTCGGTCCCGGTACTTGTAGGCCCTCCGGTCGACGACCGACTCCGTCTTTACGCAGTCGTTGCCCCCGAACTCGCAGACCCGGTAATGATGGAGGATCGCCGACTTGGAGGGGACGTTGAGGGTCCCGTGGCCGGGGATGAACTCCCAGACGAAGTGGTTCCCGGCCTCGACGACGTCCTCGGGCCGGCAAACGTACTTGGAGCGCTGCTTGTGGGGGTGCAGATTGGCGCGTCTCCGGGTCTTCCTGAGGGTGACGAGTCCGGCCTCGGCCCTGGACCGACTCTTGATCACGGCGGAGTCGTCGTTCCACTGGAGATAGAAGAAAGCGTTCTGGAAGGAAAAGGCCCCCGTCGACTTGACGTTGACGCGCTCGCCCATCCACCTGCGAAGGAGAGCGAACGCTGAGCGACCCGGAGCCAGACCCACCTCCGGTCGTCCTTACCTGATCAGGTCGAGGATGGTGTCGTTGTGCCTGGGCACGATGAACTCGTCGAGGTCGAGAAGCGCGACGTACTCGTACTCGTACATGGAGCGGTAGAGGCAGTCGTTGAGGGCGGCGAAGAGGCCCTCGGTGCGGATTTCCGTCTGGGAGATCATGTCCAGCCGGTGCCACGGGAGAATCGTGACCAGGCCCTTGGCCTCGTAGTCCCCGAGGACGCAGCCGGCCTCGGTGCCCACGGTGTCGTTGTAGAGGGTGACGTGTGTCGCTCCCAGCAGCCGGTGCAGCTCGATGAACTCGACCAGCTGCAGCACCTGCGGCAGGACGGGGACGAGTCGTGATCCCCTTCTTCGCCGCCTACTGACCCCGACCCCTACTCACCCTGTTGTAGTCGTAGTGCAGCGGCTTGACGCACACGGCGAGGGGCTGCCTCGTCTTGGGCCGGAACTCGGGTCGGTTCCGCACCAGGAGGCGGTTGGCCGGGGCCGCCTTGAGTCTGGCGACCACGCTGACGGCCCTCGGGACGCGCTCCCTCGTGGGCGGGTTCCTCGGTAGCGGGCAGATGACGAAGCACGCGCTGTACTTCAGGTTCCAGTTCTCCCGGATGACCTGGGGGTCGAGGCGCTGGAGTTAGAGTCGAAGGGGACAAAGAATCGGCGAGCGAGCTCGGGAACGCCTCGAACCTTGACCTTGGCCGCCACCGTCAGAGAGGCGGTGGCGTTGCCGTCGCGGCGGTACCAGAATCGGCACCAGACTCGCTCGGGGCCCCTGGTTCTGGTGGCGCCGATCACCCGGACGAGCCCCGGGCCAGCGCCGACCCGGTCGTCGAAGTACGCCGAGTAGACGAAGAACTTGAAGCGAGTGTTGGTGACGGGCAGCCACTCGGCGTGCGTGGCGGCGAGCCCCGGGTCCAGAGGCGGCAGTCGCGCCTCCAGGCCGGGAGGCAGGCTGGGCCCCGGTCGCGCCGCTCCTCCTACCCTCGGTACCGCGTAGTCCTCCACCTGCAACGGATGCAGGATCAGTCGACGTCCTCTCCCCAGAGAGCGTCGTAGGTCCGGGACACTCACCCCGATCTCCTCGTAGTCCGCCCGATCGGGCACCCCTCCGGCTCCCGAGAACCGGTGCCCGACCCTGCGACCTCCCCCTATGCCGCCCGCGCCGCGCCGCTCGTCGATCAGGAACATCTCCGTCAGGACGATCAGGCCGAAGACCGCGAAGAACATGACGACGAAGACGAACGACATGTTGGCGCGGTCCTTCTGGACGCCCGCGCCGCCCCTCGCGCCGGCTCCGCCGGCCCTTCGCCCGGCGCCCATCCGCCTTCGCGCTGCGCCCGACGCCGACTGGGACTACCGGGGGGCGGCGCTCCGAGGGCATCCCCGACGCGGCCCGGAACCGCCCGACGCCGCCCGACGATGCCCGACGTCGCCCGGAACCCCTTATCGGTCGCGCCGATTAGATTCCGCCGGTTGCCCGGAGGTTAGGCGGGGCCCGCCTTCTCCGGGGAGCTCCGAGTCCAGTCCACGCACCTTGGCGCGTCACCCTCTCGGCTCGTCCTCGCCCTCCTCCTCGGACGTCGCCATCTTCTCCGGTCACCCCGCGGACGAGCGAATCGCCGAGTCACCCGAAGACGCCGGGCCGCCGCTCGTCACTGCCTCTCCGCGCCGCCGACGCCGACGCCGATGCCGGCGCCGGCGCCGACGGGCGACGCCGCGTCCCATCGATCCACCCGCCCCTTCCTGCTCGCCACCCGCCTAACGATCTTCGAGCGATAACTTATCGACGTATCGTCGTCGCCGCGATTTCGAGCCGATTTCGAGTCGCGGGCCCTCGTCTCGTGACTCGCGCCGGAAGATATCGCGGATTCGCGAGAGATTGCCGCGGCGTTCGTGCCGATAAACACTCGCTCGTCCGCGAATTACGTTCGATAAGAGAAATCGAGCCTAATGCCGGGGAGGATCGTCCGATACCGCGCACGAGACTCGAGGACGATTTGCGTCCGATCGTTGTCTCGCTTACGCAACGTCGCATCCGGTCGTACCTTGGAGAGACGATATTTGACTCTCCGACTTCTCCGACGATTTTACGAACGGAGGCGCTATGGGCGAGTGGGTACAAAAGTTGGAGAAAAAGAAAAAAAATATCACCTCGCAGTCGGTAGGACTCGAACCTACGCTCCCAGAGGGAATCTGATTTCTAGTCAGACGCCTTAACCACTCGGCCACGACTGCTCGATTTTCCGTGGCCTCCACGCCGCAGAGAAGCCGGATGCCCGGATTTCCCCCAAATTCAGGGCCACGAAACTCGTCCCAATTGTAAGCGAAATCTTTCCTCGTCGCATTTCCGCGATGCATATTTTTTTTTCCCCGCATTCCTCGCAGCCGACGATAAGTCACGTCCTTGTCGGACGTAGCGACCGAGCGTGGCGGAATCCGCGTCTCGATGATTCGCCCATCGGGAGGAATTTCGATATCTCGCGGGAAAAATAAGCGACGCCGGATCGAGGGATCGGGTTATAAGTCTTGGCCGGTGAAAGTAAAATATTAGGGGAAGAAAAAAAAAAATTTCGACGAGGATGGGATTCGAACCCACGCGTGCAGAGCACATTGGATTAGCAGTCCAACGCCTTAACCACTCGGCCACCTCGTCCGATGCTTCCTCCTGCTCTTCTTTCTACATTTACGCTCCCCGGGCATCGAGTAACGAATAAACGATTCGTTTAAATTTATCCCGTTAACTAATTCCGCGATTACGAGTGCAAAGCGACGAGTGGGGCCGTTATCGACGCGGCGCCGCCGCCATGTTGGATTCGGTAGCGACTTCGTTCGTGACGTCACCGCTTAGCTCGGAATTCGATTCCGGCGATAACGAACGACTCTCTCTCTCTCGAACGTTAAATCCGAGCTAAAGAGCTAAACCTCCTCGTGGTGGATGACGCTAAACGAGAGCCGGTGGCGAAAGGATTCCGAGGACCGGCGCGAGGTAACGCGATTAACCCACTTTCGTCGGGACGATAGCGGAGGAGTTTGAAAATCGCTGGGCAGGAATTCCGGCTCAGGGTCTCGTATAGATCCCCCCCGATTCCGGCGATCGTTTTCTCGGACCCACCCGTTAGTCTCCGTCCGCGGTACGTGGGTGACGTAATTTCGCGCGTTACGAGGGTTCAATTAAACCGAGCTCGGCCGATCGGAAAACAACGTTTAGAGGTACGCGCGGAACGCGGTCGATGATATTCGACGATACCGAGTCGGGCTAACGAAAGCGATCGAGTCGCCGATTACCTTATCGTCGCGCCGCCCCTCCGCGGATCTTGGACCCGAGGTCCGTAGGAGCGGGGAATCCATAGGGGAATTCATAGGGAGATCCATAGGGAGATCCATAGGGAGATCCATAGGGGAATCACGTGGCGATCGACGTCCCTCGGAAACTCGGTCTCCGAGCGCGGAAGCGAGGCGAGCTCGCCCGGGAGGAAGGAAACGACCCAGAGACCGCTCGTAAACGCGGGGCCCCTTAGCTCGTAAAGTCTCCGAAGTCCCGGCGGTTTTTTTCCAAGGACTCGCCGCGAACGCAAAGTACACACCGACGGCACGCGCGATACGTGCTCGACCACCTTAAGCGGAGGGCAAAAAAACCAGGCGTCGCGTATTTTGCATGAGATCGGGAAATCGGGAGGCGGAAAAGGCGCACCAACGAACCGATCCATGTCCGAGAGGAAACGGCGCGCGTCCGGCGGAAGTCCTCGACCTCGCGCCGATCCTTCGGTGACGCAACGCGGCCGGAAGTCCGGATCTCCCGAATCCCGAGGTTACGCAAGAAGAGTCGTCGAAAACGGTCGATCGGGATCTTTCCTCGGCCCTGGAGGATATCTCTCCGCGTCGCCGCGTCCAGGTGGGACGCCTCGACGCGGAAGCGAGGCGGAACCGCGGTCGCACGTGGCGAGGGGGGCTGCGCGCGCAGGCGGGGCACCTGGACGCGGGCCGGCGCGAGACTCGGAAACCGCGCGCGTCGGTTGCAGCGAGCGGACGTGCGCCGGCGCCTCCACCGACTCCACTCGCCTCTCGACGCGGGACATGGCACGCGGCCCCGAGTGACCAGGGACCCCCGAAGGGTAAGGCGATCCTCTTCCGCGATCCCGGGCGGCCCGATTTCCCCCGATTTCCCCCGATTTCCCCCGATTTCCCCGGGCGACCTCCGGCACGCTCGAGCGACCCGATCCGGACGGGATTTCCCAAACGATCCGCCAAGGCCCTTCCGCCTTCGGGAGCCATCCCGCCGCGAGGACGCCCGTTCCCCGGTTAACGGACGGAGCGGCGCGTCGCTTACGAGCGCTTAAACGGAAGAAAAAATTTAACGTCCATCGCGTTATCCGGGGAGCGCCGAGTCGCGCCGTCGTAAAACTCCGGATCGAAATGCCTGACTCCTCGAGCGTGAAATTCCTTTCCGGATCGAGTCCGTTAAATGAGGTCGATACGGAAAAAACGGCGAATTCGGAGTCGTCCTTTCCGGGCGAGGCCGAGCCATCTCGACCCAGAAAGCCTCTCCTTGGGCGCACTCCTCGAAAGCGTCCTCGCCGGAAGGATAACTCTCGACGCCTCGAGGAAAGGATTTTCGCCGACGAGTCGAAGGGTGATCGGCTCTCGGGTAACGGCCGCGTCGGCAAAAACCCGCGCCAGTTAATGGGGAGCAACGAGTCGGATCGACCCTCGATCGGCTCGATCGAGTCGCGGTTTCCTCGCGGTTTCCTCGCGGTTTCCTCGCGGTTTCCTCGCGGTTTCCTCGCGGCGCGCCGAGTCCCCGGTCGCCTCCCGGGGTAGGAGGGGAATCCAGATTGACGTCGGGGGTTTCGATCCCGCAGGACGATGGGGCGCAGCTAGTGGCGGGATCGACGTCGACTCTTCCGCAACGGGTCGAGGGGGAACCATGTCGAGGTACGACGTAAAGGAGGAGTACGACCTCGAGACGCGGCGGGGGGTCAGACTCACCGGGTTCTCCTGCGCCAGCGACGACGTCCAGAGGAGCGCCGCGAGCCCTCCGCCCGCCGGGCGGAGGCCCCCCGACGCTGACGGTGAGCCTTCCCGACGAGGCGGTAACGTCGTCATCTCCGATCGGAGTCGCGGGAGCCTACGGGACCGTCCTTACGTAAAGGAAGTAACGGCTCCGTCGGAGGGAGTCGGCGGGCGCAAAAAAGGGACTCGCGATCCGTTCTCCGGTGAGAAAGGAAGACCGTTACTCCGTCGGGCGATCCGTCGACCGATGACGACGAGACCGTTTACCGGGCCTCGCTCGTAAACCGGGGATCGAGGAACGGCGGTCGCGGGTCGTTTACGCGGCGACGCGTTTTCAGCATCCGACGAGGCGGAAGGGGGGGCGACGCGGTGGGTGTACCGCAGGATCAGGAGGTCCCTCCGGGTCAAGCTGCTGTACAAGCGGGTGCCGATCCTCTTCTGGCTGCCGAGGTATCGCAAGGAGTTCGTCGTCAGCGACATGGTGGCGGGCCTGACCGTCGGGCTGACGGTGATTCCGCAGGCCATCGCCTACGCGAACGTCGCGGGGCTTCCTCTTCAGGTACGGATCTCCGGAAGACGCGGAAAACGGAGACGACGCGACTCCACCTCGATAATCCCGAGCGACGTCCTTTCAGTACGGTCTCTACTCCTCCTTCATGGCGTGCTTCGTCTACACGGTCTTCGGCTCCTGCAAGGACGTGCCGGTAGGTCCCACGGCGATAGCGGCCATCCTGACGAGGGAGACGCTGCAGAAGGCCCACCTGGGCCCGGACTTCGCCATCCTGCTGACCTTCGTCTCCGGATGCGTGTCCCTGCTCATGGGCGTCTTGCAATTAGGTGAGATCACTCGGCGCGGTCCTCCTTCTCGTCCCCCCGTTGACGTACCTCCTCCTTCCTCCGCAGGGTTCCTCATAGACTTCATCTCCGGCCCGGTCTCGGTGGGCTTCACCTCGGCCGCGGCCATCATCATCGCGACGAGCCAGGTCAAGGACATTCTGGGCCTGAGTTTCGCGGGCGGCAAGTTCCTCCAGGTCTGGAAGAAGATATTCGAGCACATCGGCGAGACGAGACTCTGGGACGCCCTGCTGGGCTTCCTCTGTATAGTCGTCCTGCTCCTCCTCAGGGTGAGTCGGCCGTCCTGGATGCTCGGGTGCCCGTTGCCCCTCTCTCACGCCGACGACGCTCTCGCAGAAAGCCAAGGACTTGCCCGTGGTCTCGGCCGACACCAAGGTCCCCTCCGTGATGCAGCGCGCCCTCCTCAAGGTCCTCTGGCTCGTCTCGACGGCGAGGAACATCCTGGTGGTGGTGGCGTGCGCGATCGCCTGCTGGGCCCTGGAGGAGCGCCTCGGCACCTCGCCCGTCATCCTGACGGGGCACGTCAAGCAGGGTCTGCCGCGCGTCCGAGTGCCCCCCTTCCGGGCCCACGTCGGCAACGAGACCTACGACTTCGTCGACATCGTCTCCACCCTGGGATCGGGCTGCCTGGTCATCCCTTTGCTCAGCCTCCTGGAGAGCATCGCCATCGCCAAGGTGTTCTGTAAGGACTCTCCTTTCCTTGGACTCCGACGATCGGGATAGCCTCGGTCGTTAAGTTTACGGTTTGCGGTCTAGCCGAGGGCAAGCCGATCGACGCGACGCAGGAGATGCTGGCCCTGGGCGCCTGCAACGTCGTGTCGTCGTTCGTCTCCTCCATGCCGGTCAGCGGTGGACTGAGTCGAGGGGCCGTCAACCACTCTTCGGGGGTGAAGACCACCCTCGGCGGCGTCTACACCGGACTGCTCGTCCTCGTCTCCCTCCAGTTCCTCACGCCCTACCTCTACTACATCCCCAAGGCCGCTTTGGCCGCGGTCATCATCGCGGCCGTGGTCTTCATGGTGGAGTTCCACGTCGTCAAGCCCATGTGGCGCACCAAAAGTGAGTCTATCCCCCGACCGATCCGTCGAGGTCATTGCGGCACCCGCTTCCTTCTTTCCAGAAATCGACCTCGTGCCGGCGCTCGCGACCTTCTTCTGCTGCCTCTTCGTCAGACTGGAGCTGGGGATCGTCATCGGGATAGGGATCAACCTTCTGTTTCTCTTGTACGCTTCGGCGAGGCCCTCGCTACGGGTTCACGTGGCTACGGTAAGTTTCGCCAGTCCTCTTCGGGACTCTTCCGGGATCCGTTTCATCTTGCCTCGGTTGACAGACCCCCGGAGGCTCGGAGTACCTCGTCGTCACCCCGGACAGGAGTCTGGCCTTCCCCAGTGTCGAGTACGTTCGAGCCGTCATCAGCAAACAGGGCTCCAGGCGAGGTAACGACGTCCCCGTCGTCGTAGACTCCACGCACATCCAGGCCGCCGATTTTACGGCAGCCAAGGTAAAAGCTCGAGCCGAACCGAGTCTTTAGGGGGCTTAAACGTCTTTCGTGTCCAGGGGGTAAAGAGCCTCATCGAGGACTTCGCCAGGCGAGGGCAGCCTCTCGTATTCTACAACTTGAAGCCGAGCGTATTGGCGATCTTTAGAGGAGTGAAACCTGCGGAGCTAAGGTGCTGCTCCAACGAGGCGGAATTGCACGATTACCTCGAAGGTACGGCGAAACATCGTCTACGGAAATCCGCGACCCCGGGTTAACGATCTTTATTTCTCTCGCAGAATTTTCGAGCGTTACAAACATCGCCGTTAGTAGACACTAAGCCCGGAACCGAACCGACGAGAGGCTCCTTCGACCCCACCCTCGGTTCCGATACCGGACAGTATTGCTTCCTTCCCCGGAAGTCAAAGCAGATTTAATGCCGTTAGAAGACGGCAAAAAACGAATCGACGGGTCACCTTGTATATATGTATGTACGGATAACCCTAAGCATATTGTACAAAATAGCGATACATTTTAAGACTTTGATAATGCACCTATCGACGAATATACCTGCCAAGCGTTTTCGTTACCCTGAAACCATCGACCACTTGGAATTTAATCAACGAGTACGTGCTCGGCCCGCGACGGTTATCTCGTTCCCAAGTGTACGGAGTCTCTTCCTCGAAGAACAATTGTACGAGTAACCGGGAATTAAACGTAACGAATCGGCGCGAAAAATCTTAAACGAACGAGCCTCGCCATCGAGATCCTAGGAATCCGTGGCTCGCTAATCACGGCGGCCATCGCCGATTCCATCGGCGAGTTCCAAGGTAGTCCTCCCCCGTAGCACCCTCGGAATTGTAGGAATCGTTGGAATCGTAGGAATCCGACCTTGATCCCGTTCGGAATCGTTGGCACGGAAGACGGGTCGGCGAATCGCTTAGCACTTGTCGAGGTCAACGCCCATTTCTCTGGCACCGTCGGACGGCTTAGCTATGTAGAACGAGGCTTCTCCTTGATACCTGAAAAGTAAGAGAGAGGAAGAAAGGGCGTCCCTAGGACCCGGGGGGCCCGATCCAGGTAATCGCCTCGTTAACTTCGTAAGGTACAAACTTGAGGTTTATGCGGTCGATGACCGGCTTGACGGCACTCTTCTTCAGGAGGGTGACCGTGCACCCTCCGAATCCGGCGCCGGTAAGTCGGCTGCCCGCAACGCCCTGGACCTCTCTGGCTATGGAGACCAGCGAGTCCAGCTCCGGAGACGAGACCTCGTAGTCGTCCCTCAGCGACTCGTGGCTCCTGTTCATGAGCTGCCCGAAGGCGATCAGGTCTCCTCTCTTGAGCGCGTCCGCAGCCTCCAGGGTCCTCGTTATCTCGGTGATGACGTGACGCGCTCGCTTTATGACCGTCTCCGAGGCCTCGAATTTCACTAGAACTGCAACGGAACCGTCAACGAGGTTCGAGGAGGACCCCGGGGACGCGACTACCTACCTTCGAGGTCCGCCAAGAGCGCGTCCCGGAGGCTGGCCTTGCCCATCATCTTGGCGGCCTGGATGCAGCTCTGCCTTCGGTCCTGGTAGGCGCTGGCGCTCAACTTGTGCGGCGTGTTGGAATTCGTCACGAGGAAGACATAGTCGTCCATGTTCCCGATGCGGATCAGCTGAGTGGTCAGATCCCGGCAGTCGAGCAGCAGGGCGTTGTTCTCCACTCCCATGACCGAGATGAATTGGTCCATGATGCCGCAAGGCACGCCGGCGAACTTGTGCTCCACTCGCTGACAGATCTGAGCCTGAAAGTTGGCGCGCTCGTCACCTACTCCGACTCTTCGGATCGCGACGAATGTCTCACCTTCTCGACCGGCGTGGTGAAGCAGCGCGTCAACGCCTCGAGGAAGGTGTAAGACGCGACCTCGAGGGCGGCCGAGCTGCTGAGGCCCGAGCCCATCGGCACCGTGGACACGATAACGGCCTTGAAACCGCGCAGGCTACCTGAAGAAATGCGAAATATGATAGCGGTCCACCCGGTCGGTCACCGGGAGTCGCCCTCTCAGGGCAAGGACCTACATGAGAAATTGGCGACGCATCCCTTCACGTAGTTCGCCCACTTGGGCTCCCCGGGCTTGACGAGGAATCGGTTCTCGCAGCTGAACTCGACGCGCCTCTCCTCGTCGGCGATGCCCTCGGCGAAGGAGACGACGACGCAGTCGTGCTTGTAGCTCGTGCTCCCGGCGACGACGGTCACCATGGGCAGGGCCTGGAAATTCGTTCGTGGATTAGCGACCCGAGGAGAGCAGGGTCGAGCGGTCTATCTTTGACCGGGCGCGCGCCAAGGACGAACGGATGACGGACGAGAATTTTGGCGCAGCTCGGAGCTCGGAGGGCGATCGCGAAGCCTCTCCTCCGTCTAGACGAATTTTCGGGAATTTCCGGGGAAACCGAAACATCGCTACCATCGGAAGTACGAAGCCGTCATTGTAGTCGGTATGTTCGCCAATGAGATTGACGCGTCCAGGGGCGCAGACGCAGACGGTGGCCTCCTGGCCGAAGGTCTCCTTGAATTTGGTGAGCGCGTCGATCCTCACGGCTTCTGCGTCGGGCACGTGAGTGGCCATTTCTCTCCCGGGTCCTCGAGATCGCCGATACACCTTCCCGATTCGCTTTCGAACCTGCGACTGATTTAGCACGGATCGATCGCGGCCTCCTTATCAATTGGGAACGATTAAAACCTTGAGAGCTCGAGCCGATCGTGTCGCCATCTCGCGGCGACCGAAGGAATCGCCGAGTCGCGCGCGCTCGGTCGGTCAGGCCCGGAGTTGCGGAGCTACCCCGATCTGGCCCGTTTTCCTGACTTTTAGCTCCGATTTTTTAAAAGGATGTCGATCGCTGGCCTGCAAGAATTTACGGCTCGATCTCGATTCGCGTTCCCGCGAGAGTGAACTGCCGGCAGGAATCGAAATGTCGGTTTCCGACCCGCTCGTCAAGGAACTCAAAGGTAATCGCGGCTGAGGTTAGGACGGACCGTCGATGTCTTCTCGAGTTTTGAAGTTTTAGCTTCCTGGTCGACGTAACGGATGTTACGGTATTCTCGGATGATCGCGCTATCGCGAAAAATTACCCGATTATCGCTAATGATTTTTATGTCGCAACCGATAAGATCCTCCAAGTGATGCGACAGGCAGGAAAAATTGCGATTAACGTAACGGGATACGATTTAACGCAACATTTTTCTTTTCTCTAAAGAAATAACAGGATTACGGAATGTTCGTAGTGGCGAGATCAATCGAGCCAATAAAACAGGCAATCGAATTCGAAATCGTACAGAGGCCGGTAGCGTGCCGCGAAGTTCAAATCGGGGAACGGGCCGAACTATTTAGTTCTTTTACAGGGTGGACGCGTAAGTTGACGGAATGCGAAACGGAGATTACAGATGACAATGAGCATTTACCGTTCTTTTGCAAAAGCCTGGAGCGATGTCTGCAAAAAGGAGTTCTCGTTCGGACCAATGCTCTTGGATTTCCAAAATTACCCGAGGCCTGGTATTGGTTAAATGAATCAAGTAACTGGAAAGACAGGTTCGTCCGAACAGCCTGTGCATTTAATTTCCTTCTGGGAAAATTAAAACTTTCTTTGTAAATAATATTTATAAGATATATTTTTAATAAAGACAATATATTACAGCCTATTTTATGCATTTTCAACTACGATAGAAACCGTTAAACAAAGTGAGAAGGTACAAACACCCATTGGTCGATTGAGGCTCTTGATAAGAAATTGCCTCGTGAGGAAGTCACTCCACGTTCCCATAGAATTCCTGGTATTCCCAAGAGATAGTTAAACGTTTTAATCTAGTGTTTCTATTTTATTGCGCAATATTAAAATGACCCTGTTATCGATAGGTCAGAACTCCAGCCTTGGCATTGCAATTCTATGAGCCTAACAGTATACTAGGTGACGAGATCCTGGGTGAAATATTTTTATCGGTTTTATACCAAATAGGTAAATTGAATTTCCGGCTGAACTTGAGAAATGCTAGTTTCTTGGATGACACTTGGCAACTGCCCGATTGTATTTCTCTTGAACTAATACCTTGCAAGACTTTAGGTATATCGGTCTGGTGAGTCGATAGATTTATGGGAGGCAATAGGGAAGATGTTTTGAATTCACAAAATTGCATTATCATTGCAGTTTTATCAAAGGGAGAGCACTTATCGTCAACCTAGAGGACAACTCTGTAGCTGCTGAAGATGTAAATACGTTTGACCGTAGTTAAGAAATTATACATAATTATTCCTTAAGCACAACACTGTTATCACGTTTTTTTTTTCTTTAGGAAAAAATAGAAATTGGTGACGTCCTTGATGAGATCAATGGTAACGTCATAACAACAAAATCTAGGGGAAAGTTGCGTCGGATAATGAAAAGAGCGGCTGGGCAACCTGTAGCGATACATATCATTAAAGTAAGCCACAAGAGGTACCAGCATTTGTGCATAGAAAAATTCTATAGATTAAATGTGACCTTTCGCATGGACAGAATCGATACAAGCGATCCAATGACTATTATGGACCAATAGTCAACCTGATGAAAGGGTCTGGTATCGAGCGCATCACCCAATTATTAAAAAAACCAAAATCATCGGAGGAGACAGAAATTCAGGAAAGCATTCCTCCTAAGTCATTAGATAAGTTATTAAATGCAGGCTTCCTTGTTAAATATTGTGGATCCGTCTCTACTGGAACCGAAGGAGACGTCAGACAAATTGAGCGAGCCATTTGGCGCTTACTCAGATCAGGATCTGCCAAGTCCATACCAGCTAGGTTCGAATGTTTAGAAATTGGAATCCGAGTCACTCAGGATTTGGATGATAAGGTAATTGAAATTTACCGTTCCCATTAAATCGTCACGACTAAAGAAATTATTTTTAAACTGTATTTTAAAATTAAATGAAAAAGGAATTTTGACTTCTTTCAGGTGATCCTTAAACAAAACTACATGGAAATTTCATCCTGTGGCCGAACAGCAAACATTCCAGATTATTTTGCCTTCATTTCAGGGTAAGTTATCGGAAATACAAAAAAATAAGGTAACTACGTCGTTGAATTTTAAATATTTTTAGGGACACCAATTGCACTATGGCAACAAAATTTGAAGCGTACATTTTCTATCACGCTAACGAAGAAGAAATTCAGACGATTCTACAAAGTTTGGGACAAGGTTTCCAGAGAACTCATTTCGCGGTGTGATCGCTAATAAGAGTACGATCCGTTTTAAAAACTGGTTGACAAGGAATACACAACGCAAAAAACCAGTCCTTCCATATACCTAAAATTATCTCGAATCTAGACACGGCATGCGTAATTTATAGAAATTATATATTTATGTACCATATGAATTTCATCCTATTTACATGCCCTTTCTTCTCCTAATAAGTATTATTTATGATAACAATTGCAGTTTGTACGTATACATATCGCGAGACTTATCCTAATATTCCCTTATAGAGCTATTTCAATGAATAATAAAATTCACCTAGGTTAGGTAGCGCAATCCCTCTCCTTGCTCCAGAAGGCTTCCAGGTCGTGATATATTTTCTCGTCTGGTGAATTGTAATGCAGGGCCTCGCATAATCGACAGTAATGCTTCGAAGCACTGCCAAAGTATCCGTGCTCGTTGATAACCTTGTAATACCTTCTCCATTCGTGAAACCTGTAGTACTCCCGACTCCGTCCGTCCAAATATTTCAAGTAGTTGGCCAGGTCGACCGGGGAGTCGAAATCGTCCACGTGAAGAAAGGATCTAGGGGGTAGCACGCTCTCGCAGCTTTTCTTCGAAGCCCCCATGATAACCGGGACGGAAAACTTGTGATAACCGTTCCAAAACGCCTTCTCCGTGACGTACTCTCTGCAGTTGGAGTTCTCAAAAGCGAGGTAAAACTTGTACGCGGCAAGAACCGCGCAATCTTTGAAAAAGTGCCCGGGACACGCGGTTGTATTCCCTCCGAGGCATCGGCCATACACGTCGAGACGGTCGCCGAGGGTGGATTTTAGTTCGCGAACGTAGCTCCACCTGGCGTTGGCCCCGCGGCAGTTGCTCGCCAAGATGGCGACCAGACGGTCCTTCGCGGCGAGCTCCGGCGTGCCGTTAGGATCGACAGGGGCGCTCTCCGTGGCGCGTTTCACGGTTCGCCCGTAAGGCACCGGCACGTCGCTGTCCAGTCGGTAAGTCATCGACCAGTTGAACAGCCCGTCGTAGTCGGAGAGTCTCTGCCTTCCGTTCAGAAGAAAGGTGTTGAGCGGCGACTCGTCCGTAAGGAAGACCCACCTCTGGTGCCTGCGCGTCCTCCGTGGGAGCTCCCGCACTCCCCTGGTGCGATGCAGGTGAAAGAGAACCGCGTCGGCCCGATCCAGATCGCCGCGCTCGTAGCTCAGTCGACAACCGTCCACGGAGCACCCCTCCCATGGCGAGAACCTGCAAGGTCGGTAAAAAAGGTATTATAGTCGGCACGAGCGCGGGGCGTCGTTCGAACCGAGGAAACTAACGTCTTGTTGGAAAACCGGCGAATATGCCGATTCTCCAGAAAGGGCCCGTGCTGCCAGACCAGGATGAGAAAGGGCTCCTTCCTCGGGTTCGTCACCGGCGGCGGCGGGCTGCCCTCGACCGACGTCAGCCACCTCGCGAGCCGAGACGACCGCACCTGTCATCGCACGGTTCGTTTAATTTCCATGGAAGGCCGAGCCGAGCGGCGACTATCTTCTACGTTCGCGTACCTGGTCCTTGACGTAACGCGACTCGAACGGGCTCCACGTAACCGGGGGCAGGAATCCCTCACCCGAGAATCCGGCGACGCTCTCTTCTCGCGGTACGCGGAGGGTCGCGTAGAAGGCCAAGATGCCGCATAGGCAAAGGATCAGCATGTACCTCCCGGCGACCATCTCTCGGAGGAGACTCTCCTCGTCCTTCGACGGAACGGAAGCCTCGAGGAATCGACGACGCGGAGACAAGAGACATGCCGCGACTCCGACCGGCAGTCGAATCGGAGAGCGATCGCCGCTCCACCTCGACTCCTTTTTCTCTCTTCCGGAGTCGCGGAAAGAGCGAGACTCGCCGCCCACGTGGCGTGACGACCGGGGCTTTTAAGGAAACGAGACCTCCGCCCCGAGGAGGAGTAGCGCTCCCGGGCAAAATGGGTATCTTCAGGGCTGGGGACGATCGCAGCCATAAATGAAGCATCTCGATCGTTAGAAAGGCGGAAACCAAATGAAAATTCCGGCAATCCCGATTAGCTCGATCGAGCGCGTGCGATCCGTCGCTTTCGCCGATTCGAATTTTCGCGCTCTTGTGGGACCCGGCTTTCTAGGTTACCTATCGACCAAAGGCAGGCAACGGATGTTGCCATCTGTCGGTAAATTAACCTATCTGCTTTTCATCATGGACGACAGCGACTTTCCGATGGTTCAGAAACTTCTGGGCATGGTCACTCTTTACTGCTTTTTGCCATGCCCGAGTGAGGCACTTTGCGGCACTTTTTTGTGCTTTTTTGCGTGAGAATCATTGAGGATAAATTTTTGAACCTGAAGAGCGAACGAGCATTCGGTAGTTGATCCACCGTATGATAAGAATATATTCTAAAATGCGTTACACGTCTCGTGCACGCGTGTCGAAGAAGTGACGTTGATCAAGATTGATCCTGCGATTCAAGAGCGGCTTTTTAACCTCTCCTCGCCAAGATGATTATGGGGTATGCATGTTTTTCAGTTGTGTAACAGTTATTAGAGAATATCTTTATGATTCGTGATCGTTTGTGTCAGGTGCAGGAACATATTATGTCTCGGCACGAAGCTTCTACCCCCGACGTGCTCGAGAAGCATGAGCGCTCTAACCAAAGTTGAAATAAAGGAGAGGAAGAACCAGTTGTTTAACGAAGAGAAAAAGAGACAGCAGGATGCCGTCGGACGTCTTGAAAAAATCGAAGTCAAGTACTCAACGGCCCTGGAAGAAGTAACGTTAGTAATGAACAAGAACGTGTCCACGCCCCATCATTGCGCCCGCCACATTTCGGAAGGAACCGCGAACGTCTCGGCTCTTGCGTCGGTCGATGGCCATTTGTGGGACATGCACAGACCTTTAATATCCGACTGTGAGTTACAACTTTTACATTTAAAATCTCCCGAAAACGTGGCCGTAAATTATGCATTTTGGAGAACCTGTTCTTTAATGCTCGGATCGATGGCAAGCGACGCGTTCAAAGATGACGTAGACGTTCATTTACATAGTTTTCCAAAACCTAACGTTAAGTCGGGCAGCTTCGTCTGCGACGTATACTTAAGCTTACCGGAATGGCAACCGACCGACGCAGAGTTGCGAGCCATGTCTGCGGAATTCGTTAAGTTGGTGCAAGCGGAGTTACCGGTGGAGAGATTGGAAGTAACGGAAAGCCTGGCGCTAGAAATATTCCAAGATAATCCTTTCAAAGTAAAACAAATACCGGATATCGCCGAACACTACAAAACGATAACGCTCTATAGGATCGGGGACCACATAGACATCAGTAGAGGACCTATGGTGGGAAACACGAATTTAGTCGGAAGGGCCACCGTTACCGCGGTTCACAAGATACAATCGGACGATGTGGAATGTCTCTACAGATTTCAAGGGGTCGCTTTACCTCATGGAATTAGATTAAACCACTACGCCTACAAAATCTTGGAAGATCGAGCCAAGAAGCTTAATTCCTCGATGTGGGTGCCACAGAAATTAGGGGAAGAGTCTAACGACCGCGTAGCGATAGCTGTTAAAAATTAAGAAACATTTATACGACATACAAGGTGCCGACTGTATAAACGATCTCTCTTTACGACCCGTTCTCAAATCTCTCTTATTTTGTAGACGAACGTTTAGCGCCCGATTCCATTTTCCCTTCGACGTGTTCGAAAAATGAAGACATCAACGAAGCACTTTATTCCCTTCGCACGAATAACCTGGACATGCACCCTCAACATCGGTAATAATAAAATAAATATAAGTCGTACAAGAATGTATAATGTTCAACGAGCCAGTCGTCCGCGTGGACGCAGGGAAAATTCAGGGCGAGGGTCGACCACGCCGAGGACTACGAAGTTCCCAAGTAAAATGGCCAGGTAATCGGTTGGCTACCGAGGCCGGACATGCGACGTCCACTTTGAGATAAAGTTCCAGGTGCTCGTTCGTCGGCGCGGCATCGAGGTCGGCCGATTCGAGAGCCTTCCCGACGGCCAGGGGGGCCAGCTCCGGGGAGCACCTCAAATCGACCGAGACGACCAGGTCGAAGGACGGGGCGCGCTCCGCCCCCTCCTCGGTCTCGTCCTCCGGGTCCTCCCTGGCTCCCGCCTCGGCGAACTTGAACTTGCTCTCGTAAGCGTATCGATTCATGTTTCCGTAATAAAAGAACCGTCCTCCGTACTCTCCGTACCCGGAGTAAGTCGAGGCCGGAGGCGGCTTGGGGGTCGCCCGGAAGAGGCGTTCCCTCTCATAGTGGGACTTCTCGAAGAGGTGTTCGTTGACGCTACCGACCAGTCGGCGGAGCCTCAGGTACATGAAGCGCTGCTCGTCCCTCCAGGAGTTCTCGTCCGCCGCGCAGGGCACCTCCAGGCAGGTGAACCAGGCTCTCCTCATGACGTACTCTACCTTCATGACGACCGAGCCGCTCCTGCCCCCTCTTCCGGAGGTCACCGCCAGGGAGACGACCCGGCGACCCTCCGCCAGGCAGTCGAGCACGTCCACCGTCTTGCAGCCCGACACCAGGGCGGATCTGCCGAAGGGTTCGGTCATTCGAGGGCGGTCACTTCGCCAAGCCGAGGTACCTGTTGACGCCGCGCTCGGACACCTTCTCGAAGTAGTTCATGAAGCGCTTGCAGAGAGCGACGAAGCAGGGCACGCCGGCGTCGGCGAGGGCCGCGGGTCGAGTCCTCGCCAGTCGGATCAACTCGTCCAGCTCGTCCAGGAGGAGGCCGGCGTAGAAGCAGAGCCTGGGGCGTTTCTCCCGCCTCGGGGGGTGAGTGTACCTCCACGTAACCGCCTTGAGCATCTCGTACTGCGACCTGACCAGCTCCAGCGCGTTGAAGGCCTTGCTGCGGGCCAGGAGGTCCGACTCCGTCTCGACTCTCGGCATCGCGGCTTCCAGGTGGCTCATCGTCCTGTCGAGGCGTACCCCGGCCAGGAGGAAGGCCGCGTTCAGGACCGACGTGGCTACCACCGAGCATCGCCTGGAAACGATCGTCCGCGGTTCCGAGAGGGCCGGGCGGCGAGCGGGAACCAGAGGGGAAATACCTGGAGACCAGACGAACCGAGGTGGCCACGTCGTGCATAGGTAGAAAGTGCAGGACCATCTCGAGGACCTCGGGCGGCAGGGTGTCCAGGGTGTGGGAACGAGTCGCCTCTTCTCCGGAGGTGGCGCATGTCGATGCCCTCTGTCGCTTGCTGGCACTCATTTATCCCTCGAGGACCTCCTTGACCTCGAGGTAACCGGGAAATCCGGGAGTCACCAAGCGACCACCTCGTCGCCTCCGGCGCAACGCCCTGGTCGCTTTGCGAGCATCGCCTACAAATAAGTCCGGATAAAAGCTTACTAAAAGATAAAACGCGTCCGGCACGTCAAGGGCGGCGAAACAAAAGCACCTTCTCCTGCGAGATCCCGAGCCGACGAATCCCTGCCCCAGCTCGGATAGCTCGGATCTCTGCAATGGACGGGAAATGATCTAACCACTCGATGACCGGGTAAACACCTAAGGACGATCTCGCCTAGTTTCCTTCGTTTCTTCCGAGGTGTTTATTCCCGCGCGCCCCGGCGCGGGGAGTATTGCATTGATAAAAATATACATTTATACAGACTTTTTCGAAATCATAATTTGTATATATATATATGTATATCTATATGTATACAGATTTGAAATCCGACGCAGATACGGAATAACGTTACGAGTCTCGTTCGCCGGCCGAGTGAAGGTAGCGTCCTTCGTAACGTCTATCCAGTTTTTCTTTCTCTTCGATTTTCGTCAACACCTGGAAATCTGCGGAACGCTTCGGGTACGTTTCACGATTTCCCAGACATAGAGGAAAAGTAAAGGGGGAGAAAGGAAGAAGAAAAAGTAGCCATATCGTCCACTGTCGCGGTCACTGCAAAGCAGGACTTTTACGGCTCGTCCACGCGGTGAACGAGCAGAGTTATTTCTCGCCCGTTAAATTCATAGTCGTGTTCTAGTCACTGCACGAGGTACGACCCCGGGTCGTTTCAAGCTCGGAGAAGAGGCACGATCGCGAGGCGAGGTCGGAGGGTAACCGGGAACGTCGAGCGCGTCGTACCCCGGGTGCTTTCCCGCGTCGGACTCGCCCCCGTTACCCTCTCGTTCGCTCCGTCGAGTCCCCAAGACGAGGCATGGGTACGCCCTAAACGCTGAAGTCCATCGGCATCAGCAGGGTGAACTTGGCCTGCTCGACCGAGGACTCCTCGCTGACACAGGCGCTTATACTGTCCAGCAGATTCTGAATGGCGTTGTGGTTGCCCGGGTGTTTCCTCTTGGTGTGCTCCCGCCGATGCTTGAGCTCCTTGAAGGTCTTGCCGCACTGGTCGCAGACGTAGGGCCGGGCGGCCTCGTGCGAGCGCACGTGGCCCTCGAAGTGGCTCTTCCGCACGAACTTCTTGCCGCACTGCTTGCAATCGTACTGGTACCTGCCCTCGTGGGCGGCAACGTGCGAGCCGAGCGTCCACTTGGTCTTGAAGGTCTTGGAGCAGTAGTCGCAGCGGATCTTCTCGGCGTCGGGCTTCGCGGAGTTCGCCTTCGCCGAGCCCGGCGCCCTCGAGGTCTTGTTCAGCAGCAGCATCTCCTCCAGGTTGAAGTCGGCCTCCTCCTCGCGCTTGACCTGCACCGTCGTCGCCGTCGTCGTCGTGGTCGTCGTCGTCGTCGCGCCGGACTTCTCCGAGGCCGCCTGCGCCTGCTGGGCGTTCACCACGTGGGCCTTGACGTGATCGAGGAGCTGCTCGTCCTTGTCGAAGCGGACGCCGCACAGGGCGCACCACTTGTGGGCCGCCCTCTGCTGCAAAACGGGCGTTCGCCAAGTTGAGTAAACCGCTCGGGGAAAGGGTTACGTTAGGTCTAAGCGCACGAATCCGCGGTTCCCGAGCCCGGGGAATGTTACCGATAACGCTACCTTGTCGTGGATCGACAGGTGAGCCTTCAGCTTGCTCTCGTGGGTGTACTTCTTCTTGCAGATGCGACAAGGATACGGCCGGGCGTCGACGCTCGAGTCCTCGGCGCTGCCCGGTCGGGCGTGGGTCTGGGAGTGCTTCCGGAGGACAGCCTCGCTCATGAAGTTGGCCCCGCAGTCGGTGCAGCTGTGCACCTCGACCTTCACCACCTCCGAGAGCCTCTCCTTCCTCATCTCGTGACGGGCCATGTGCCGCTTGAGGTCGTGCGCCCTGGAGAAGGCCCTGCCGTACCGGGTGCACGTGGGGAAGGGGCAGCCCTTCGTGGGATTGCCCCATCTCCAGGTGGGATTGATGGTCGTCGTCGCCGTCGTCATCGCCGGCGTCGCGGAGCCGGAGGTTCGCGCTGAAGTCGGGGCCCGAGACTCCTTGCAGGGCTTCTCGTTCCCCTCGTTGGTCACGGTCGTCAGCTGGGCCGACAGGGGTATCACGATGGAGATGGTCTCGTTGGATCCCGGCGTGACGATGGGTCCCACGTGGATGGCCGACGGGGTCGCCAGAGATATCGCCTCCGAGTCGTTCGCGCTCATATCGGACCTGCAACGTCGTAAAGACGGGATTAGCGATCCTTGGAAACTCGACTCGACCGCCATGCGCAAGCGGAAAGGGCCTCCGTCACGTGACCGACGTACTACCGCCATTCACAAACGGACCTCCCGATCCCCGCGAGACCGATGAATGGAAAAACCGCGTCCCGACAGCGAGGCAACCAGGAGCCGAGAGGGATGCGCGAGCGAGGGGCCACACCTCGAATCTCGCGAGGTGCGTCCTTCGGCACACCCTGGGAAAGGACGACTCGTCCGAGGCCGGCTTTCCTCGCTCCAAGGGACGAACGGAGGTTAGGACGCCCACGGCTTCGATCGAGTCGGCGTTTACCTGACCCCGAGGCCGAGCGGCCCTCGTCTCGAGTCGCGGAGCCTCCCCGGGAGCAGCCACCGCCGGTCGACCCGGTCGACGCGTTTCTGCATCGAGGTCCGTCGGCGACCTCTCCTGGGACGCGTCGCGGCGCCAACTGGCGGCGATCCGATCGATCGAGTCTCGGCCGATCTCTCCCGCCGCAAGGGAGGGGAGAGGGGAGAGGGAGACCGTCCGGTCTCTCGGACGCCGTGGAGGGGGAAACGATGCGTCGACAGGGCCCATGGACGCCGACGCGCGTTCCCGCTCCCGACGACCGACCCGATTCTTCGGCTTCCGCTCGTTACCTCCTCGCGCCTACGCTGTCTGGTTTTAGGGCGATCGAGTCTTCTCGAGGATGCCCTCCGGCGACCGAGTCGTCGTCCCTGGAACGAGCAGCCGCCACTTCGCCGTCCCGGCCAGGCCCCGAATCGACGTCGGTCGACTTCGCGGGTCGCGACGCTCGCTTTCCTCGACGCCACGAAAGTGCGCCACCCACTACACAGTTCAGGGACGCGCCTGGACGTGCCGCTCCTCCGAGAGCCTCGCCGCTACTGGCGCTGGCGGCTCCCGCCGGTGGCGCCGCCACCGGCCACCCCTCGAACTCCAAGAGAAAATGGAACTTTACGATAATATAGAATACGTACAAGTTTCCACTTTTGAGAGGTCCACGCGAAATTGATTCGCCATGCGGAGGATCGGATCGGGGGACGGATCTTTGGATCTCGAACGAAGAGATTATTTACCTCCAGGCGTTGAACGCTCCCTTTCGGTCTCTCCTCTCCCTTGGGGTCGACCGCTTTAATCAACTAATGGCGGGAATGAACAAAACTCCCAAGGCGTTCGGTTTGCCGAAAACCTGGATCACGCGTGGAGACTCGGGCTAATGAAGCGACGCTCTTAATGACCTGAATCCCTCGACGATATTCTTCGCGGCAATCGCGATGCGGTCGAGAGACTAATGTAATTGCTAATTAGTAATCAACGCCTCTGCTCGGTCGTGCTTATCAATTTACTAATTGAATCCAATTTTCTGTTGGCACGTCATCCGCGTCGCGTGCCGCGGACGGAAAGCGTCGGGAATTTCTTTAAAGAGGGAGCGGTCTTTTTTTCGGAGAAGCGACCGAGCGTCGCGGCGCGCGTCCAGGGCGTCCCGGAGCGTAACCGCGGAGATCGCTGCGCACTAACTCGGGAATAAACTGCACTCAGAAGTTCGGAGGCTGTTTAGGAACTTCGAAACTACTCCCACCTCTGTTGCGCGTTTCCTCTAAAACCGAAAATCGATCGAGATCATTCGGTCGAGTCGCCGTGGAAATTGGTACGTCGGAGTCGAAAGAAAAATCGACAAGTACTTTTCCCCTTGAACGATTTTATCTAGCTCGCTGCCCTGGTATTTATCCTAGCCTGCATCGGTCGCGAAACTAGTCGGGGAGAGTATTATCGCAATAAAACGTGCTTTACGGTTTCCATCCTCCGTACTTGCCGGCCGATCCGGGGCGGATCGCTCTCTTGGAATGATCACGCGGGAGAAAGTAAACGAATCTAGCGCGCATCCCTCCCGTTCCCGCTATCCGAATCTAGTTTGTAATATAAACTGGCATGCCACGGTACACCTGTTGCACCATCGCTTCTCCTAGAGATCGGTCCTTGCTCTACGTGCACCTACGCATCTCCAAAGTCCGTTAACAAGCCCGAGTAGCTTGGTACCTTTCTCGTAAATGCGACCCCTTGGATGGGCTTTCACATTGAGTACTATATTACATTAATTACGGTATGCAAGGCACGCTCGGAGTCCGCATAGTGCCTCCACCGTCTCCAGATTTTCCCGCGTATACCCACACGCAAGGTACGCAAATGTACGAATCGATATGCATTGCAAATTACCGATGCACCGCAAACTTACGCAATCTCCCGCGATCGAACCTTCTTAAGATGTCCATATAAATGTAGATCTACCGGTTTCACTTACGGGGGATGAAACTCTGGAAATGGATTCTCCTACCCCCGGGGAAATGCGCTTTTCTTCCCAGCTCTACCTTCCGCTGGCTACCTTTTGGACGCATCGATTTCCTCGGTTTTCGTTTTCGTCATTCGAGTCATTTCCGCGCGACCCTTGGCCCTGATCCTTTTTACGAGGGTAGATAATACCCCTCGGCATCCCCAAGTTGCCTATTCGTTTCGTCGACGTGATTGAATCCTGGATCGGTGTTTACGCATCGGCCACAAATTTTCGCCTCCATTCTGATCCGTAATACTTTCGGTGCGCGTGCTTGTCTGTCGATGCCGGTCTATCCTACACCTTAAATATTCCCTCCGGCCCTCGTAATACGACCGATCGTGGAAGGAGCATGCTCCGCACTCTAGTCCGTAACGCTCGAGTTAAAGGAAAAATGGAAAGATGTACAACGCGTGCCCACCTTGGATTTCGTCGGAAACTAGTATCCGGGGAACGGGTTCTAACGTCGGTAAACTTTGACACTGGCAACGGTAAAAATAGTTGCTTTAAATTACTTAAGAGTAATCGCCGCCAGCGAGCTTATCACATTTAACAAACTAGTGTAGAGAAATTTACAATTCCGGGATGTGAGTTCCCGTGGAAGCTCAGACGTTCTCGTCGGCGCCGATGGTGTTCTTGATCCACTTTAAATAGTGCTGCACCTTGGTGTACACGTCGGGATATCCCGGTCTGGCGCATCCTGACCCGAAAGAGGTGACTCCTGCCAGCTGCCAATCGCCGTTGGAACGTCGACATTGCAAAGGCCCGCCCGAATCGCCCTGCGAGCAGAAATGGATCGGTCGATGCGTCTCTTTCAACGTGTAGATTAAATCGGAAGGTTAATACCGTACGCGTTTACTAGGATATCGATTTTGCCTCAAGATGGTCCTAGTGGACGATAGGAGTCCGGCCCGACTAATCTCGCAAACGAAACGTTAGAGAAGGCGCCGCTCGCCAATCATCCTGAGTGCGTTTGGGTCGGTTTTATCGATCCTCCCATGAACGAGAGCGACATTGTAAATTTGTACGGCGTTAAATTTTAGCGACGATTCCTTCGGCCCGATCCTCGGTGGCCCTGTAGACGGGCGACCGAGGAACGGAGCAAGAGCGGAATGGAGGAGAACCGAGGAGAATGTTACCACGCAGCTGCCCGAAGACCCGTCCGTATGGCCGGCGCACAGGTGACCGTTCCTGATGAGCACCGACTGGCTGTACACCTTCTGGCACTCCTTCGGGTCCAGAAGAGGAACCGTGGCCTCCTGGAGGGACGTCGAGAGAGCCGGGGAAGGGCCGTACCTGCCCCAGCCGGAAGCCACGCAGGGGGCGCCGAGCTTCTCGTCGGGTTCCGGCAGGCAGATCGTCCGTACCACCTTGGACAGCGGCGCCGACCTGCTCAGCTTCAACAGGGCTGCGAGGAAGATCCCAAACGACTCGTCGGTCCCTTCTCGTCCTCGGAATCGCGAGGTACTCACCTATGTCGTGCACGTAATTGTTGAACCGCTCGTGCAGGATGACCCGCTCGACGGGCAGCCGCGCCGAACCTCGTCCACCGGAATCCAGGTCCCACTCCCCCACGACGGCGGTCCAGAGCGCGCCGATCGGCAGATTGAAGAGCTCGCTGAAGAGGAGAAGGTCGGTCAGTCGGCGCGCCGGGAAGAAAGGGAGAAGGAAAGGAAAAGGCCGAGAAATTCGGCCAGCGGCTTTCTTCTCGGCGCTCTTACTTGTGGACGCAGTGAGCCGCGGTGAGAACCCATCCGGGGTCGATCAGGATGCCGCCGCACCAGTGGCCGATGAAGCCCAACTTGGGGTGCAGAAGCTGCAAGGAGACTTGCCAGGGCCAGGCCCCTCTTCTGCTGGGCTTGCCGTTGAAGATCCTTCCGGTGCCCTCCGAGGCTCGCGGCTGCCGCTGCGACGTCTCGGGTCGCCCGCACCCTGTTGGATCAGGATTTTCAATTTCCGATCTCGATGCCCGACCGCGAGGAAATCGGTTCTCTGGACTTACTGGCGTGGTCTTCTTGCGCGCTCCTCATCATGGCGAGGGTCGCCTCCCCGAGGACGAAGAGGACGAGGACCGACAGGCCGCCTCGGAGCTTCATCCCTCCGGAGAAGGGGTGGCCGCTCGGGCGGTCGCGGGGTTCCCGGGCTTCCCGGGGCTTGGAGGCTCGCTCGCTCGGCCGGAGCGTCGGAGACGGTGTGGCGACGCGCTGCCGACGCGACGCCGACCCGCCGCCGACGCGCTGCCGGGGGAAAGGACGCGGTCCTCGCGGACGGCTGCTCGGACCCGGGGAAGGACGAGCAAGAAACTCGAGGAAAGCGGCCGCGGGAGGGGAGCGATCCGCCGATTTCGGTTCCTCTCGTCTCATCTCCCGCCGCCAGTCGGAGCAACGGTTCGCAACCCGACCCGGGACCCCCGCCGAGGAGACGAGACCCGAGTTTCGAGTCTCTCGATGGCAGATCCGGTCGAGGAGCCGATTACCTGTCAACGGTAATCGCTCTCTCGAGGGAGAGAACGACTCTCGCTCATCGGTTTCGCTCGGACGGATTCCCATTGAAAATGTCCAAGGAGTCACGCTTCGCAAATTTCCTTCTTAAAGAAAGTTCCGACACGCCCGTTTGGCGGGTATCCACGATTTCGAAAGTTCCGCCCGATAAATACCGCCGGAAATTTCGGATTCATTCCGCGGCTTTCGGATTTCCGGTCGCTTCGAGAACCATTCCTTATTTCATATATTCGGCGCCCTCGAGATTCGAGGGCGTCGATTTGGAGAGCGTACCTGAATTTTTCTGCATTTTTCTGCATTTTCCAAGAAGGTTCCGTCAGGATTCTTGTCCAGGGCTTCCACCCAGAGGGCGCCTCGGTCCTCCTTAGGGTGACTCTCGAACGACGCGACTTCGCCGATGAAAAAGTCGATTCGAAGAACCGAACTCAGGGCGATTCGGTCCCCGAGTGAAATTAAATCGTTCCATCAAGGTCGATCCGTTTAGGTTTTATTCTATAGGCGTAAGTGCACCGGGGAATGAGAAAGTGAAACCGCGTCGGCGCTCGGCTCTGTGAAAGAAAAGAAAAGGAAAGGAATGAAAAGTCGGCCTTCTCTTCGCCATCGGTTCGAGCCCGCGGACGCGGGGAAAACTTTTCTTTTTCCATACAAATAAGCGGCCGCTCTTCCAGGACAAATACATCGTTCCGAGCGAGAGGATTCACGCGAACCTGGAAGATAAAGTCAAAGATTTATTATTCCGTGTACGAATTCCGCGGGAAATACGCGAAGTCGGCTCGGCAGCGCCGCGCGGTCTCGCGGAGAAAGTACAAAGTTTCTTTTCTCCGTCTATACGGTGACCAACGGTCAACAACGGTCACCAACGGTCACTTAGAATAATAGCTCTGCTACTGGAAACCGACGATGCTTAATAAAATATTCAAGAATTATAATAGCTCGATTTTTTAACGCATCGACAATGTTCCACGGAAGAATATTTGCACAAAAAAATTAAGGTTGTAATAGTGATGAAGGTTTGTAAGAAGATTGCGGCAAACGGAACAACGTTAAACTAATTGTTTCATAAAAGTACAAATTATGATCTCGAAAATAGTTAGAGTTCTGTGGGCTGGTCGTATGAAATATGGTGATGGACTTCAACTACAGGCACAATTAGTCCAACAACATTATGACAATAATTTAGACCAGAACATGCGCAATACTTTAGTTCTAATAGAACATGACCCTGTTTATACGATAGGGATTCGCAACAGAGGTTATAACGAAGAGTATGAGAAAAGACTAAAAGCTGTCGGATCTGAGTTTTACAGGACAAATAGAGGAGGATTGGTAACGTTCCATGGCCATGGGCAGTTAGTGGCATACCCTATAATTAACTTGAAACAATTTCAACCTAGTGTTAGATGGTATGTAAGTGAAATCGAGAAAATGATAATTAGGTTATGCGCAGAATTCGGAATTAGGGGTGAAACGTCCCCAGACACCGGAGTTTGGGTAAATGATAAGAAAATTTGTGCAATTGGTATTCATGGTAGTCGATACATCACAACTCATGGATTAGCTTTGAATTGTAATACGGATCTGAAATGGTTTGATCACATAGTGCCATGTGGTATCGAAGGCAAGGGTGTTACTAGTGTCAGTCAAGAGCTTAGAATGGATGTCTCGATTCACGATGTTATTCCTGTATTCTGTAATGCGTTTAAGGATCAGTTTGAATGTTCCTTAATTGAATATCCATCGGAAGAAGTATCTGCTCTCCTCAGGAGTTCACATAAAAATATATCTTTGATTGATTGATATAGATTTGATTTTATGTACAAACTAGTAAGGCTACATTTTTATTTATGTGAGAGGCTGTGCCTTTTTTGTAGTTTAATATACGACGTTACAGAATCATTAATTATTGACCGTATTGTGTTCGAGTATGTGAGTAAGTGTACGATGTACGATTTAATTTTATGTACAAGCTAATGAGGCTACAGTTTTATTTTCCTTGTACTTAATTTTACTCTGCAACAATAAATACACTTGTAACGAAACGATATAATGTGATCTTTAATATATTATGTGATTTCAAATGATAAACCTCTAAACGTTTTACAAAGCCTATATAATAAATGACTGTACATAAGTTTATTTACAATAAAGGTCAGCGTGATTAAGGCCAAGTACAGGAGGTACTTTGTAATAACCACACCGTATTACCATAATAAGACTTAAGCGAATAGCAAAAAGTATTAGCTAATCGAAGATGTAAAAACAAAAGGTGCATGTACTTGGAGCTCTCTTATACGCGTTTATAAATTCATACGCTCTTATCACTTATGATCAAGAAGGAAAGATTCATTTAAAGACGTTAAATGTCTCGTTCATGTATCTGCGTATCATTGAAAATGGATATCTTTTTTTATAAAAATAAAAGTAAGTTCTAAAAGTGGAGCTCGCAGGCAGTATTTGTTTTCAGTTATTTGATGAAAGCGTATTAATTCTAAGGAGACGTATACAATTTCCAACCGTTAAGCATCAATTGTCAAAAAAGAAAAAAAAGCCCAAAAGAGTAATTCTCATAGACATACGAGCAATTTAATCGAATGACATTACTTTCACGCGAAAAGGCAACATGTTCCTTCCGAGCAAGACATGCCATTACAGATTGCTTTTATCAACCAAGTTTTGTCATTGCATTAGAGAATTTGAGAAAAATCGTCAAGTTTAGCACCTCCCCCTGTGACCGATATAAAGTGATCATAAGTCCCAATCTTCGATGCGTACATCGATACACGCATTAACGAATTATATACCGTAAAACCAGCTAACCGCTGGCATTATCACATCTGATTCCATGGAAACGAACGTCATCAAACATTCATTAGGCGCCCTCGTTTCCGACTTAACACCCTCTGATACGTGAGACAATTTATGACTAGACTTAAAACAACGAAACGCAGCCTTCGGAGATTTTCGAAGGCATGACTCGTACTCGATTGAACCAACTTATGTTTGTATCCAATAACTACTTTATACTTTAATAATTTATGTAAATCTCGAAACCTGGCAAGCATGGTATCAGTGGAGAAATAATTATTTCCAGCCTTGTCAAAAGATCACAACCTTGAGAACTGATCGAGCTAACCGTTGAAAAAAAGTGGTTTTCAGCTTGTCTATCGGTTTCGTCTTACATAAATTGTACACAACATTTGCATTAATCCAAAAGAAGAAACCCTCTCGAGGATGTCCACGCGGTCCAAAACATGCCCGTAACGAAACTAAATGAGCTATTCGACGTCTTAGGCCCGAAAGATCATTCGACTGCGTTTCCTCGAAACTAACAATCGCTGTCAAAATATGAATTAAGTATAAATGTCCTTGTTCGCGAGCGCATGCAGGGACAGACCTTGTACCCATTAATCCGTCAATACGTGCAGATACCTTTTAGTGTACAATTCCGCCACAAGGGATCCTACCACATTTACGGCGTTATGAAGAGAATTCGCCGAGTCCCTGATCATTCTGATCGCTTGTTCCACGTCGCCCTTAAGTTCGGCATATTGTTTATTAACCAAAAGAGCGTCCAAACATTGCATAGCTTTGATGGCCTCGCAGCTTGGCCGAATCTCCATGGAATCCGCGTCGTTGGACCTTACGGGTGCTATTCCAGGGGCATGAGGCGTGAAACGTATGATTTGGTGTTCCGACTTTGACTCTGGTAGCTGGGCCAAACAATATACCGCGAGTGTTCGGCTCAAGAACTTACACCTGCAAATATGAGGAAATCAAGAATAAAGCCAGACCACCGTAGTCGGTCAGCGTTGAAGGAAAGGATCGTTGTTACCTTATGGACAGCTGGGAGCCTTTTCTCAGGCCAATCGCACCTAGGATACCCCATCCTTGTCCCGCGTCGTCCGCCACCGTCAGAAGAGCGCGAGCCAGTCCTTTCAGGGCTCTCACGGCCGCCACGGTGTTCTCGTTGTACCGACACTGTCTGTATGCAAGCTCTAATGCCTTTGCCCACAATAGCGGCAATTTCTCTTCCACGGTTTCGCTGTAGAAAATGGGGCCGCGAGTCCGCGAGTGTATCTCCAGACATTCGGTTGGATATAAAGTATCTTGACTTACGTGGGCTTGATCGTGGATATCCAATCGACGAGACTGGTAAGCAGAGAACCCTCTTCTCCGATGTCCCGACAGGAAGGCAATTTTTTCAGAAACATTGCATACAACGTTAGGACCCTCCCTTCCGCGACGAGGACGCTCTCTATCGGTGACTGTCGAGGCACCGCGACTTGCAAGATGGTCAGCACCGAGCCCCAGGTTGGTTGACCCTCGTCTGTAACGGATCATCGCGTAAAGGGGCAATTTTTCACCTTCGATCGATCAGACCCATTGGCAACGAATGCAACATTTACAGTTGTATTTGAAGTAGGCATCCAAAGCAGCTTCCGTGAGTTCTCCGTAGGTAGAGGGCGAGGCCACGGCGGTTCCTATGACGCGAAGAAGACCCAGCAGGGTAGGGCTGGTCGCCGACCTTTCCGAAAGCCACGAGGCCCAGCTGGACCGCAGCTGCTCCACCAGTAATCCACTTTGGTTTACGGAGTAAAGTAATTCAGCCACCAATAAGCCGGCTTCTGCCACTTGTTGAGGCTCCGAAACAGCTGTGAAATCGGAAGCGAAGTTAGTCCGGTAGCCGACCAGGATGGATCCATTTTCGGATAGACTTTATCTTAGACTTACTGCTCGTAATCACGGTCTCCATCTCGTCGAGCATCCGCGATAGCGTTTTCGTAAATGCCTTCGGATTTGTCGATTCGAGCGATTTGTACCGAGTGGTACAATTGACCAGCAGTTTCATGGACGATCGAACGTACATTTGCCTCTTCTTCAGGGTGGTTGGGTGGAAGTGCGTTACCACGGGATCGTAGGCTGCAACGATCTTCAACAGACTGAACGACGATCTCTTTCTGAACACGAGTCCAGGAATCCGAAGGCCTTTGGTCCATTTTACAAGAGGGAAAATTTCAAGGTGTATTCTACTTATTACTCACTTGTTGATCGCCAGGTCAATTGGATGACCCTGGTCGTCGTTTTCGCAGAGAATCACCCTGGGATCGCAGCTCATCACGTGCCAGTTGACGACCTGATCGTAGGCAGTTGAGTCGACCAGATGCCAAGCGAACTTCTCAGCCTCAGTGACCAATTGCACGGCTCGGTCATTCTGCAAATAAATACCGCACACGTTAACGTCGATAAGCATAATGGGGTAAGACTTAAAAATCTCACCTGTCTGACGTTGGGCTCGTTAGACAGCTTGACGAATAGATTTAGCAAACAAACGTGCATTCTAGCCGTGAGCAGTAAAGGCTGCGTAGTCAATATCTCGTTTGCCCAAAGGGTCCAGTTGACATTGGTGAAGATACTGCCAAGAAATAAATGGCTGTCGGGTAAGTATTGGTCGACCACTTTCACCATCAACTCCACGTCACCCGTGCCGGGAAAAAATCGATCCCACGGCAAGGAAAGGAAATTTCCATGGATTACATTTAGTACGTGATCCTTTACCGAAGCGTGAGCAAAGTTCGTCACGTAAAACTGCCAGAGGAAAGAGAGTATCTTGCAAGAAGCGGGTAAGGTGTCCGTGATGAATCGAACGCACTCTACGAACATGGCCACGGTCTTGTTGGCGTAAGGACCGTCCGCGATTATCCAGGGCAGTAAAACGGATCGATCATCTGTTAGTTGCTGAATCCAAGCTGCCGTTGGCTCTCTCAAATTTCTCGTCCAGTACGGAGTGATCCAAGGCGCGAACATTTCACTTAGAACCGGCCAAATCTTCTCGCACACTGCTAATTCATACGAATGGAATTAGCGGACGACGTAGGAACGATACGCCGAAGAAAGGAACGTCTAGACGACTTAATAGAAATGTGATTTACATTGGTCAGCTAGAGAGCCTCTGTCGGAGTGAAGAGTGAGAACCACGAGAGCGTGTCCAACCATGCCAAGGAACGTAGTCAGGGGTTCATTGTAAACGCGATATTTCGGATACAAGCCGTACAGCCCGTATTGAAGCCTTTCCTTCATGAAATGCTTGCTCAGGAGAACTGCCGTGTCGTGCATCTGAAATAACGCGAGATGGCGCTCGTAGTAGCAGTCATTTTCTGACGGAGAGTAATTCTCGAGTGTCCAAGTTAAATGAAGATTTACCTCTTGACAAGAGAGCAGTTTTTGTTCGGTGGCATACCTCCGAATTTCATCTCGTATTTTGGCAGGGTGTATGGGGCCTGCGGTTTTTGATCTTCCGCTGAGAGCTCCTAATAAATCCCGCCACACGTCCAAAGATAAATTCTGACATTCGCTGCCCCTCAAAATGGCACCGAGCACTTCTCCGTAGTGCTCGGGAAACTCGTGAAAAAGTACATGACGCAAATGATTCCTGAACAGCTGGGAGAAGGAAGAAAATAAAAGAGAATTTTAAATTCAACCACGTAACTGTACGATCGGAGACAACTGGTAGGAACGGGAGAGACGTTAGACGTTATACCTCGTGCAAGATGAGTTTATCTTCTACAGGATTCAAGCCCACGTTGCACAGTGCCTTCGATATTAACTCTATAAACGTAGATCTCTCGCTAAGTCTTGGTCTCCTATAATTCAACCAACTTCCAACGTCGAACTACAAATTCGAGAGATACCGGTACTTGAACGCAACGCTTTAAAGAAATTCAAGTATTCCACGCCGAGATTATCGCGTACCTTCGAGAGCAGCACGAAGCACAAGTCGGTATTCGGGCCTGTAGATAATTCCACCACTGTTTGGTACATTTGTAGAAACGTAGAAGCTCCACCCGCAACGGGAGTAAAGTGAGGACCGAGAAGACCACCTAAATTAGGCCGTTGCATTATCGCCCCGAGCAATTGGGGTCCCCGAGTTTCCTCGCCGCTGATGAATAACTGCAAGGAAATAATCAAGGATTAAAAGAAGTGACGGTGGTACTCGTAAAATTAAATTTTACATATAAATCACCTGGCCTAGTCTCTCGATGCACGTTGTAATTAGCTGCTTCGTAGGAGGACACATGGCGGCTTCATCGGTGTAAAAATCAATCATGTGGTAAAACAACTTCACCCCGCTTTCCTGGACTTTTTGCAGGACGCTCGTGTTCTCACTCGTTCGGTTTAAATTAAGCTCGCGTTCCAGCATCCTAAATAAAATGAATCGCCGTTGCAAATCATCCTACCAATTTCCCTAGAGAACGTGGCTCGACTCACTTACGCAATTAAATGATCCGCAAGGACGGATCCCTGGATAACTTTGCTCGGAGGAGGCTGGCTTGCTCTTACCAACAGGTTGTCATATTCCGCTCTATTCTCAGTGATCATCCGATCCACTCCATCGTTCACTCGAGCTTCGGTAATCTTGAAATAATTCGGTAATCGATAAATGATTTATTCGGGCACTCGGTTCACCTCGGTATTACCTTAAGTTTAATCACAGCCGGTCCGGCGCAGTGAACCGTAGGTGGGGTACCGGACCTGGTTTGCCTCTGGGTGGAGGGTGCCGGGTCGCACAGGGCATGAAGCCTGATGTAGCTTTCAACGTCTCTGTAGAGAGTCGGTACCAATTCTAAAAATGCGCAATCGACCGCAGTGTGTTCCGAAACCATCAGGTTGTATCTTTCGGCGTAATCTAAAATCGTCTTCAGGTGAGGCTTGATCAGATCGATGACGGTTTCAGCATTGTAGAGGCTGCAGGGTGCAACGTAGCTCAAGGTCGGGTTGTTTCGGCTCAGAGAAGGTGGTGGAACTGGTTGTTCGTAGGTGCCTAACCGCCTGACGATCCTCTGCAGCGGGTCGTTTGGCTCCAGAGGGGTAGTCGGGGTAGGAATTGATTTTTGGCACTGACCGTTCGTATCTCTAAGGCAACTTTGCTGCCACTCGCGCAATGCTTTCAGTTGACTCTGACGGTTCGACCAATGATCGACGTATTCCAACCACGGGGTCTGATTGAAATATTCATTGTGAAATCCACGAGATCTTGCAAATGAAAATGGCTCATTCAAATTGTCCTTACCCGATCGCCTTGTGTAAGCAAGACCAATTTATGAGACATGTACTGCGGCGGTAAGGCTGGGAGATACAATCCGGTCTCTTGTAGCCTAGGCTCTTCTAGCCACAAACTCAACGTCTTATAAAACCTGTGCGGATAATGCGTGTAAATATAATCCATTTTTTACAATGATCTTGAGAATCTCTACATTCAAAAAAAAAATTATATATATCGGGTTTACTTTGCCGTGTCGAAGTAAAAGATTCGTCTTTCGTCCGTGATCGGTTTCCCATTGTCCGTATTATTCTCTCCTTTTATTTGAAAGTATTCGGTGGTGTCGTGAAGACGTTTCTTCAATCTCTTCAAATAACTCAGATTGATCATTCCCTCGAAGAACTTGTCACCCAATCCTCCGCGATCCGTCACCCTGGAAAAGGGTCGAGAACTTCATTGATCGACGACGCTTTATCTACCGTGCCGGTCATTACCGTATACCGACCCTGAAACTGCAGGAGCACGGGCCAAAAATAACGTGAAGAAATTTTGCCAAAGCAAAGGCAAAAGGGGATGGTCCAGTGGAGTGTCCAGGGCTTGCTGCGACCAGCGATATATCGCTAATCCACTTGCTCCAAATGGTTGCATTTTCAACGTGGAGCAAGCTCGCTGAAATCGCATAGGAGTCGGCTTAGATACGAGTTAAATTAACGTTACACTTTATTTTTTAATGCAATCACCTTAACTGCAGTGTCCACGGAGGTTTTGGACTGTTGCGATAATTCTCCAAGTATTTCCCTCCAAAGACCAGTTTTGAGCTCCCTGTTTTCTTGTTCTATCGACAGAACCTGGTAGGCGAGCCAAATCGACTGCACCGATCCTCCTAACAGGCTAGGCCAATTCGACGACCCCGTCGCCCAGCTCAAAAAGGAGCCAAACGAGCCGGAATTTCGGCCCGATGCTAAATTCTAGAAAATCCGCTAGATTAGTTGACAAATTACACGGTACTGGATGACAAAGAGACCTCGTCCTAGAGTGCATGCGTACACGATTCAAGCTACATTCGACAGCAAGTCAGTAATAAAAACGAGCTACGGTAAGAGAGCAGACGAGCATGCGAAAACGTACCTCACCGTTTCCCTCTATTGTTAGCTAACAGAAAAGGAAAATTAGTTTGTCGCGCGTATACGTAAAAGTGACCGAGGCGTCTAGTTGAAACAAGCAAGAATCTCATCTCACCGTAAACAATTCCTGAAATACATTTTCCACCGTAGCTTTGGTATCGACTTGAAAAAAGGCGAACCTGATGACTCCGTCTAATAAGTACATCACGCTCTGATCTCTGTTCCAGTCTGGGATGAGAACAAGAATATTTAACCACAAGCGCACAAAGGGCTCGGCGGTTTGCAGGCAATATCTGTACGGGCACAATTGGCAAAGTTAAATATAACGTATGACGACGATACAATTAAGCTGATCGTTCACTCCTCCTTACCTTTTCTCATTTTGTAGATGAGACTGGATCATATTACGGAAGGATTTTAATATCGGACCAGGGAATTCGGGAGCGATCAGATTTTTCGCCATCTTCATGTAGGTTCGATCAGCGATGGCCGAGCAAACGATGAGATTTAAGAACTTCTCATTTTTTAATAACGCCTCGGGACATTCGAGGAATAAAGGAATCATATGATGCAAAGCTATTAAAACCTGCTCATATTTATAATAACATTGGAGTATTTGTAACTGTGCGAAGCCCTTGATGCAAATCAAAGGCACCGCATGGCCCCAAGTGGTCATAATCGCTGCCACGTAGCAAGCAATGGGTTGTTTCTCTCGTACTCCTTTTTCTAGATTTTCCAAGGATGGGTCCGATTCCATATCCGGTACCTGGGAAAGCGTTTTGCCGATATTCGAGATGACGTACTGGCACACGATGTCGGATTGATCGAGCCGATGTAATCTTAATCTGCCGATCATTTCCCAAGCCCATATGATGAATGCTTGCTCGTTATTCTGAGGTCTCACCATGGAGGATACCTGGCATAAATTGGCCGCGTGACTCGAGGGTTTATTTTATAATTATAATTTTTTAATTACCTGTTTAACACCTTCGGCAAGTAGAGAAGCAGTTTGAGCGGGCGTGTCGGGCACGTACTTCATTGCAAGTTCCACTACGAGTAAAGCCACGCGGCGATGAAGACTCATCCGGAGATAGATTGTCTCATCGCTGCTTATACGGTAAATACGGTAAAACGGATTACGTATCCTGCCCATAAATTGAAGTTCACTATTCTTCTCTAACTTTACTTTACTAACCTCTCATAGCCCCAGTTCAAGTGATTAAGAACTAGCCGAGCTAAATGACTTTCAGTGGACGATAATGGATATTGATGCAGCCAAGACGAGAGTACCTTCATATCCTCCTCCTGGGGAATCCACTTTTCTATTCTTAATTCCGTAAATAAGTACAAGCTTAGCTGTAAATTACGTAATTTTAGCGATTATATCCCTTAATAATAGAAAATCTAGGAAGGTGCAAAAAAAAAAAATGTACTACCTTTCCCACGGTCATAAAATTGTCTTTTAATTTTTGGAGAATAACCGACAGCAGGGAAGGGTGTTTACTCGTTAAATTTGACAAAAGAGAACGAGCATCTTTCGAACATGTATCTTGAGTCTTCTGGCTAAGAAATCCGATCTGCAAAGTTGAATTAAAATTTGTAGTCGAATCAAGCTCGATATATTTTTATCGCGGTACTTACTTGAAAAAGATCAATCGTCACTGCTTGAATAAAATGATAATCTTCGCTTGGTCTTGACATAGCCATATTTGCAAATGTAGTGAGCAAGAAGTAAGATTCATCTCCCGGCATAGCACTCAATTTTTCTTCAAATTGTTTACGAATCGTTGGTGAATTCAATTCCGCTTTCCAATCTGTGTAATGAAATATTGATTGACATCGTTTTTATATTAAAAAAGTAGCATTGTTATAGTTGTAATTAAAAATGTAGCGTACCACTTTTAAACATGTCAGGCCCAAGTGGATCTATAGATGCACAATCTGTATGTAAAATGTAGAAGATATACCACAGAATGGAAGTCGATACGATGTGGTATGGAATTGCAGCCAAATATTGCCAAGCACCTAGACGTCGAGAGGAGAATATGCACAATATTGCTCTTAAGAAGAAACACTCGTATTCTGTCTGTAGTTTCACCCATGACACGCTGGCTCCCTGTGATAGATGAATATCAATATTTTTTTCTTTCCAAATATAAATCAGGAATTTATTACAATCACTAATAATTACTAATTTTAAGTAAATGTAAAAATGGAAAAGAATCTCACTTTGTTATTACTAAAAATTTCCCACTGATCGCTAACGTATTGGACGACGTCCCTAATTAAAGCACTTAATCTTTTGGCCAATTGTCGGTAACGTGGAGAGTCATAAGTGCGGAGACCCTGTCTCAATAATCTTATGACAACCGTTGAGAATGCAAAGATTCGTAGCATATGATGTTCCGTAACCGAGGCAGTATCTTGTCGATAGCTCTCTCCATGGCGTTGAATGAGAAAAGCTTGTTCAAACAATTTGTTCAAGGGAATTTGTCTCAACAGCGAAATGAGATCGTTCTCGTAAAGATTAGCGCCTGTGTTAGCAATGTCTTCGTCCTCTTCTCCCTCTTCGTCTACCAGTACCCAAACTGTATCTCCTTGATTGTTTCCGGAATCTTGCATTGAAATTTGAACCTATGAATGTTAATATTTATTGATAGTGATATATATTTACGGTTTCAAGTAATTCCGTTTAAAAAAGGGGGTTATCGATGACTGAAATACCTGTTCTAGGAACTTTTCCCTCTCTTTCACTGGCAATAGGATGACAGCGAGTGTCGTTACCATGTGATCCATGAATGGATCGTTAAGCGGTAAGGTGCTTAAGCCACTGTTTGTCGAAGGTACTGGATTTTGTACGTATCCAATTGCCCAGTTTGTTACACCACCTGGACATCTGAGAATGTGATTCAATAGAAACAAGTGGTCTTGCCAAGTGGCTACTCTCAGTAGAATAGCCACTAATTTTGCCAACCATTCTCGACTATCGGTAACAAATTTTCCATCTTTTAGTACTTTCCGTTGAAAATTAAATAATACAGTAATGCACATTCTCAGTTCTACCAATTGTGGCATTACGTTCTGTGACATTGTCATTGCTCCTAAACTTACAGGAGCATTATGAGGCATGTTAGCAAATTCCTTACAGGAAAGACAAACCCTCTGTATATAATGTTCGATTTGTAATCTTAATACTTCTGCTTCGTAACAATACAGTGACTGTGTGTTGTGCAATAAGTCTTTTATCGATGATAAATTTCGGGATAAAGCTAACAGCGTCTGCTGATTAAAGAGAGCAATAGTATATTCATGAGTAGCACTGACTGGATTGCCATCCTGACATTCACCGGATTCGGTGATCGTAGCTTTATCCAAACACCACAGTTGCTTCTGAATTTCCTTACAGTTCTTCTTCAACCTGTCTAAATCATGAGAATTATATATCAAGTGATTCCTAACCCTAAGATAATTCATTAGTAACTCGTGTAATCTATGTTGCTGTCGAATCGCGTTACTTCGTAGTTGAGCTTCTACAAATTCTGTGATAAATGAGTCAGCTAATGCCAATTCCTGATTACTATATAGAGAAGCTAGTTGTGCATCGGTGAATGGTTCAATTTCTCTTTCGCCGTAAGCATGTTTTGTCTGACTTATATTAGATTCTTCGGTGTCTCTTTCTTTATTAGCTCGCTCCACGAGCGATAGTGTTTCTTCTACTTCGGGAATACTTTTCTGATAAAACCATTTTTGAGTAATTTCTTCGATAACAGGAGCCGTTGGCGACGTGTCCAACAACTGAATATTAGATACATTAACTTTAATTTCTTCCACTGCTTCTTCTGTGCTTTCTATCGGAGCTGAAGGTAATGGATGTTCATTGTCAACTTCATCGACAGATTCTTCAATAGATTCCTGCATTATGAACATGATCGATTAATCCTAACTAGACAAATGGTGCTTCGGTATATATCAAAGTAGTAATTACCCCAGAATGATCGCGACACGATATCTGCTCCGATACTCTAGCAGTGTTTTCAGCAGCTTCTCGTTCATAAATTTCGGTATCGATAGCTGCCAAGTGTAGTTCGCTTTCCATGTTCTCGACTCCTTCGACTCTAGGATAATTGGACGGAGACTCTCCCAACAAACACTCAAATTCTTCCAAAGTCGGAGCATCGGGAACCTGACTGTCCAATCGTGTAATCGATTGTACCCGATCCCTTTTCTTTTTCTACACATAATAAATGTTGGCATTTTTGCAAGACGTTCAGTGGTAAAATAATATGGCATAGAACCGTCACTCTCAGGGAACTATGTAGCAGTAAATACGTTGTGCAACAGTAATAACAATCATATATGACACGACGTGTTTGCAAGAAACGAAGAACCATAAAGTAATTAATCATTTAGACAATGGAATAATATCGACACGAGACATCTTGACAATAAGAGAAGCACGCATATTTGATAAAAAATACACTACTTCTCACAGGATTCATAATCTGAATAGAAGAAAGCGAAATAACGACCAGTGGATCAAAGTGTAATAAAAATGCGTATGCAACCTAACCTGACGTGATCTTTGTCGTTCCATTGTCACTGCTGCGTGATGAGTGTAGCAAATAGTAGAATTTATCGACACTCGGCGTCCTCGGCGTACTTCGTAGTTTCAACGATCATGGCACAAATGTGACAGAATTGAGGCCATGTATCGCTTTACATGACAGAGTTTAGTACACACGCACACACTCGCGCAAACAAGTCCAGAGCACCGTGCTCTCCTGTAACGTTATCACTGGCGTTGACATCGTTGCGTAGCGATATTTAATCATGGACCTAGGAATATATGAACGGAGCCCAAGCCCCATCTGAGCCTAGGAAGTTGCGCATCGCAGTCTCTGCTGCCCTCGGTGGAGCATGCAGGTGGTTTGTCGCAACGAGAACTAAACAGGTTAAAGTTTCCTCGGGCAATTAAGAGATGGCGCCACGCATACCTTCGCAAGTTCGGTGGCAGGGTAATCGGCACTAATTTAATTTCTAAATGAACGTAGAAGGAAATTTGGGTAAATGACAATGAACCATTAATATAAAATTGAATCGTTATATTTTTATTTCCATTATCATAGGCACGGGAGGAGAACGTTTTTCGCGTGAAATTCGACCACCATGCATTTTCGTAAGAGCGGACGAGTTCCTTCCTAATTACGTACGCGCAGAGCCGGGAGCCGCGCTCCAGCCCCACCAGATTGCAAGAATGCATTCGGACTTGCTTGGCAAGCGAATCGCAGTCAACGCCCACGAGAGTCGGTGCGCCAATTAATCCCAGAGCGGGCCGATTTCGGTGTCGACATGGAAGGTAAACGTCGCGTTCTCCACCTAGTCCACCTGCTCGTCTGTCTCGTTCGGTTCCAGGCCTCGTCGGCGTTCTGGAACTTCTCGGAGGTGCAGCTCCCTCGGGACGTGCTCGTCTGGAGATTCGCGATCTGGAGGAACAGGGCATTCCTCGCTATTCCGAGGTGAGTGCCGACTTTACCTGGGGCGCGCATTCGGACGGCCGTCGAGCGGACACTCCTTTCCAGGTGGGAGAGAAATTCGACTTTTCGGCTGACCCTGGTGGAAGCCCCCTGGCCGGAGGAGGGACCTACCCCCGGGTCTGGACTCTCCGCCTTTCCGAATCCGGAGGTCCAGGTGGTCAACAGCGACTGCAGGAACCTGCACTCCGTGACGGGCCTCGCGGTCGACGCTCGGGGACGCCTTTGGGTGCTGGACGCCCCTCCGGGATCGTTCTGCCCCCCGAGGATCCTCCTCTACGACCTGAGGAAGAACGAGCAGGTCTCGCCGTGGTCTCGGTCTTGGTGTCGCCTTTGCTCCTGCTCCGTTAACTCGACCTTTCCCCTTCTCAGATCGGCGGCGTCGACCTGATCGGAGTGCCCTCGAAGGACATGCGATCTCTGGCGATCGACTCGGCGATCGGACCCTGGGGCGTCAGAGCCTACGCGGGAGATCCAGGGGACGAGACGATCGTCACCTACAGCCCGGGTATTTCCCAGAAAGTTTATATTCTCCCTGGAAGAACGCCGACTGGATTTCTCCTCTTCAGGGCAACGACGCTGGTGGAGGCTGAAGATGGTCCACGGGCCGAACGTCCCGCGAGTCTACAGTACCGAGATCGCGGTGTCGAGGAAGGTTCCGATCCTCTACTTGACCGGCTACCAGTCCCAGGATCTCTTCGGCATCGGCCTGGAGGAGCTGAGGAACGAGAAAGGGCCGCTCCCCGAGCTCGGGGAGGTTCGTAACTCCTGACTTCCTACGCGATCCGTCTCGTCGTTTCGATCCCATTTCTTTATTCCAGAAGTCCACGAGGGACGTGAACGCGACGTGGCTGGGCACCAAGATGGGCTCCTCCTCGGGGTTGATTTGCGACCTCAAGTTCGGCCTCCACTACTTCATGGTGACGGAGCGAGCGAGCGTCCGATGGGACACCCGACAGGAGCCTAAGGTGCGTCCTGACGACGACCGCGAGGAATGGACTCTTCGAACGACGTTCCTTCCTCGAGGAAATCCCGGGTTCCCTTTCTCTTCCGGGCCGACGAAACCGGCTAAGCGATTCCCTCGGGTCTCTCTTCCAGGCGGAGAGCCACTCGGTCCTCCTGCAGAAGGAGGACGTCCCCTGCCTGACGGACTACGAGATGGACTCGCAGAAGAGCATCTGGGGCCTGGTGAACTCGGCCTGCCCCCTCGCCGGGAAGCCCCCCGGGAAGAGACCGCTCCTCAAGGCGCGCACCGTCCGGGTCTACAAGTACAATCCGTTCGTCGGCCGATAGCCCGCGTAGTTCCCGATCGACCGGAGCTGGTTTACGCAAGTTCTTCCCAAGAACCGGGTTTCGAAAGCCACGTAACGGCCGGCCGACCCTGGCCGTTCGTTACGAAACCCCGACACCGATCGCCGCCTCGAACGGCTACCCCCTTTGCGAGGCGATTTTCGAAGCCCCCCAATTTGTCCTAAGCCTCTATCCGCAATAAAAATCGACGTTGTCAGGAAATGCAACGAAGACTCGGAGCTTGAAGATACAATTGATTTATTGACGCGCCAAACGACTCGGCACCGCTCCGCCCGTCAGCCGTCGACGCGGTCGAGGGACTCGCGAAACGGGAGTCGTTTCCTCGGAGGCACGCCGGTCGACGCTCGATCCAGCACTTACTTCGGCACTGGTAATTATTTGTCCAGCAAGTTCGGCCGCGTTCGCGTCGCGTCGAGTCCGCCGTTGGTAGCCGGCTCGACGTGGACTCCGTTAAACGAATCCGCTTAAATTGGCTAAAGCGATCGGCTCGGCCGGGTCCTCCTCGAGGCGCGCTCGGAGGACTCGAGCTTTCCGATTGTCGCTCAAAAGCACCCTCGAAGAGGAAAGAAAGAGAGAGAGAGGAAGAGAGTCCCTCTTCGGGGTTTACCTTCCCAACTTCGAGAGAAGCTGCCTTCCGGGAGAGAGGGGGACGGGAAGGGAGGGAGAGAGGTCCTTCGCCTAGTCCTCGGCGGACTTCACCAGGGGGTGAAGCGACACCGAGGCGCCGGAGCAGCCGACGGAGTTCTGGATGTAGTCGTGGAAGTTGCTCTCGATTACCCACATCAGTCTCTTGTAACCGGGGACGACTTGGGTCGGAAGTCGGCACTCGTTGCCCTTCTGCACCAGCAGGAAGTTCTCGGGCCTGAAGGCGGTTCCGGTGTTCCACATGTAGACGTCGGCTTGCCCTGAAACGGAGGAGAGGTTGGAATCGAGGGTGTCCGCGCCCCTGGGGCGAGACGACGAGGACCCGCTTACCCTTGTATCTGAAGAAGAGGGCGCAGCCGTTGTCGGAGCCGAGGAGCACCATCTTGTTGGGCTTGGGTCCCACGTCGACGACCGAGCCGCTGGCGGATCCCCTCCTCAGGTTGGCGGCCTTGATGCTGAAGAGCCGGCTGGAGCCCAGGTAGGTGAAGTAGAGGACCGGAGTGCCGCACTGCTTCCTGACGAGGGCGATGTAGAGGACGTCTCGGCGGGCGCATCCCAGGACGACGGCCTTGGGGAGGACCACCCGGAACCCGCGGTCGGCCGTCGCGTCGTACACGAGGATGGACCTGTTTCCGGCGTCGGACACGTACAGGTAGACCTTCCCGTCCTCGGAATAGTCCACCTGCAGGTACTGCAGACGGGAGGCGGAGCTGACCAGGCCGCTCAGGTCGACGATCTTCACCACCTAAAACGCCGCCAAAAGGGATCGGTTTGGAACCAGGTCCTCGGAGGGGGTCGCGTTTCCCTTACCTTGCCGGTTCTGACGTTGACGGCGACCACCTTCGGGGGGCACCTCCTCACCGGCTGCTCCAGAGTGTTGACGATGCCCGCGTCGAGGACCCAGAGGATGTCCTGGACGTCCAGGACGATGTCGACGGCGCTCTGCAGGGCGTTGCAGTTGCCCTCCTCCTGGATGGGCCAGCAGGGGAAGGGCGAGATGACGGGGGTGCCCTTGCTCTTCAGGCTGACGGCTCCCAGGGTGAACGGCACCCCGGGCTTGTAGCGCGGCATCGCCACGATGGCCTCGTCCTTGAAGATCTGCGTCCTGGTGGCGATGATGTTCCTGGGGACGTAGCGGCCGCTCATCTCGTAGATGTTCTTGGTGCTGCCGCAGGGCCAGTCCAGCTGGGCCCCGCCCAGGTTGAAGGTCAGGTCGGGCAGGAGTTGCCGGTCGCAGGGTCCGGCCGCGGCCACGCCGGCCGCGGCGGCCATCGCGACTATGCAGAGCAGCCTCTTCATCCTGCTCCTCCTGGAGAACCCTCGGCTTCCGGTTCCACGAGGGGTCGACTGACGGGACGGATCGAACGACCGCTGCCCGAAGAACGAATGTGCGAATCTTCTCGCGACCTCCGCCGGTATATATAGCGGCCTCCGGTCTGCGGGATGTTTAGATTTCGCAATCGGTCGCCCCTCGACTCGCACCCGGGGTTTCGCAAAATTCGAGGCGGAAGAGCGACTCGCGACTCCGCGCGGAACAACGGGAAGTGGATTCCGCGCGCGGCGGTTTCGACATTGGCGAGAATCGCGCGGTCTCTCGAGGCCGTCGAAATTTGGCGATCCGGAAGTCGGAGGTGGCGACTGGCCCCTCTCCCAGGACCGAGAGCGTACCCCGTTCCGAAAAATCCGCTTTGGAATGCGCTTTATTTTCTAGAGGCCGAAGCGGATGGTTGCGACACCGGTGGAGTCCGTCCGGAGGGAGGAAGGAAGACGGCGCGGGTGTTTTGGCGATCGTTTCGCAAACCCGGGCGGCGCGGATGCATATATAAAATGTCGGCTCGCGGAAAAGTCGCAGTCTGGTCCACGGTCCTGGGGTGAGTCCTGAGATCTCGATCCTAAGTCGCCCGGGAAGATGCTGACCTACCTGGCGGTGGCCCTGGCCGTCGCCGCGCCCCTCGGCTGGGCCCACGACTGTTCGGCCCCGACCGGGAGCGGGAAGGGCCCCACCCAGTGGACGGGGGGCGCCTTCGACTGGCCCTGCGCCACCACCAAGAGCATGTTCAAAAACGGCGGTCGCTACATCCCGAAGAACGTCATCGCCACCCGAGGGGCGATCTTCAAGGACGACGCCATCGTGGCGCTGCCCAGGTACGCGGGATCTCGGTCGAGGAGCTCTCCTCCGAGGGCGGCCTCCAGCTGATCCTCGATCGGTCCGCAGGTACAAGCCGGGAGTGCCGGCGACCCTGGCGAAGGTGTCCCTCAAGTGCAAGAGCGGCAGCCAGGCCCTCCTCTCGGCCTTCCCGTGCTGGTCCCTGCAGGAGGAGGGCAGCTGCAACGCCCTGCAGAACGTCGTCGACACCTTCCTGGACCCGCAGGACGTTCTCTGGGTCCTGGACACGGGAGTGGTCAACGTCCTCGACGAGCCCGTTCGTAAGTGCCCGCCGAAGGTCGTCGCCATCAACATGAAGACTGGAAAGGTAAGCGACGCGTTTCTCCGCGACTCTCGAGCGCCGTCGAACGGAGTCTTGCAGCCTTTCGCCGGAAATTTCAGCTGGTCAAGACGGTGGACCTGAGCGGCCTGGCCACCCCGGCTTCCCGTCTGCAGTACCTGGCGGCCGACTACAGCCTGGACGGCAGAGTCTTCGTCTACGTCTCCGACGCCGCCACGCGGTCCATCCTCGTGTACGACGTGACCTCGGGCCGCGGGTACCGCGTGGTCCTGCCGAAGGCCGTGACCCTGGGCTGCAGCCGCAGGGACGTTCTCTACCTGGCTCTCCTGCGTCGCCCCGACGGCACCAGCTGCCTCGTCTTCACGTACCTCTGCGGCTCGAGGATCTTCTCCATCAAGACCGAGTACCTGCAGAACGGCTCGGCCGCCGGGAAGGTGCACGACCTCGGGCCCAAGCCCAAGAAGATGGTCCTCCTGGGGACCGACAACGGCAGCGCCCTCTTCTTCAGGTACGAGGGCCAGTCCGACGTCTACCGGTGGGACGCCACTACCTGCTATAGCCCGGCCAACTTCCAACCGGTGTGGAAGGGCAACGACTGCTCCCTGCCCACGGCCGTCATCCCCGACTACAAGAGGGGCAGGATGCGCGTCCTGGAGTCCAACTTCCCCGACTTCATCCAGGGCACGGTCGGCTGCGGCGCCAACCAGGCCCTCAGCCTGATGTAGACTCCCGAACGGCCCTTCCTCGGGCTGGACGCGCCTCCGAGGTCCACCTTCGCCCTGGCCGGGAGCGGGGCGGAGGAAGTCGACCCCGCCACCCCGGAGAGGAGGGCCCGGACCGGAGGGAGGAGACTCCGACGAAGCTAGAAAAAAAAATAAATAATTTAACCCTTTTCTCGTGCGCCCTTCTTTTCGTTGCCTTCCAAAAAAAAAAAAAAAGAATCGCGACCCGGACGCGGTGCCTCGCCTTCCGCGGAAGGAATTCGCTCCGAAGAAATCCACTTCGGGAGTCGGACTCGGTTCGGGGACGCCGGGAAGGTATTTCCTCCGGGAGAACCTGGAGAAACTGGCGCGCGAGTAGAGCCGTATATCGTTCTCGGTACCTTTTACTCGCTCCACTCGGAATAACGGCGGCGAACGATCGACGTATCGCGAGGTGCGGAGAGACATTGCGACGATTCTCGCCAAGCCGTATCCGCGCTGAAACGAGATGCGGGAAAGCCCGCGGAAAAAATCTTTACGTAAGCCTTGGAAAGTTCGAGCGGCGTCGAAAGAAAAGGCGCGAAGAAAGCCGCGTAACCACGGAGGGACCCACGAGCACGAACGACGTTTTCTCGGGGTTCCGAATCCCCGGGAATAAGTCCGCGAGGTGCGTCCATCGTTGTCTCGGCGCCGATCGCGAGAGAGAAGGAGAGTCCGCTCTTTCGCTTTCGGCCCTTGGAACGGAGGCGGAGGTCTCTCGCGTGCCGATCGACTCTCTCTTTCTCGGGACACACCCGGGTAACATTCGTCGCACGCCTTTGCTCTCGTTACGGTGTCCCGTTGAGAACGGGCCGGTTTATAAACGATCGCGCGATTAGGCCACCGGGCCTTGGAAATTGCTCGGACTCGCTCCTTTCAGGGAGAGTTTAACGCGCGCGGTCGGACCTCTATCGCTATACGCACCATCTCCGGGTGAGAAACCGGGAGGGCGTTCGAATTCGACTCTCGTTCCTCCTTCCTTCGCATTAGAAATAGGTAGAAATCGACCGATCGACGCGCGACAACGGGCGCATTTCCCGAAAACTTACGCTCGCCGATCGACTCGCGATGGCCTCGCGAGTGCGCAACAAATGAATTCGATATCGATGAACTTTATCGCCTCGATCGGCCGACGCTCCGGTCTTTTTAGGTCGGCTAAAATCGCGCTTTCCCTTCCTGGGCGCCGTCGAAGTCATCGAGCGGCTCCACGGAAACCCAATGGAAATTCCCAGGGGAACGGACTTGCACCCAGGTCCCGACTTAGCGCACACACGAGGGAGCCGTTCCTCTAAAAAATCCGCAGCGGTTCCGGCAGGCATTGGACGTGTCGGGAAATACCTGGTGGTAGTCAGTCCGATGGCGAAGGCGAACGACTGTAGGATTGTTAAAAAGGGACTCGGACTTTCGATCGTCCGCGCCAAGGATCCGATGCCAAGGACACCCGCGGACCAGTTACGCCGCACCGGCAGGAATCGACGAACCCCTCGGAACGGATCGATCGCTAAAAACCGACAAAAGGTCGGATATGGTATCCAAAGTATCCGCGACGTAACGAGTTAGTTGCAAAACGAGTGCGCCACAATGGCGACTAGCCGGAATGGACTTCGAATCGAGAGTCGGATTTGCAAATGGCGTGGGAAACGCCGGGCGTAATCCCGATCGGCATTGTGTCCGGAGCGGAAGTCGACAGGAACCGACGACCGACTCCCCCTAATTGTCTCGCTTTGTGCCAATTTGCCGCACTCGCGAGAATGATTTCCCTTCGAGGAAACGCCCCGGGGGTTAAGCGCGATACTTCGACGTTTTCGGTTTCTGTCCAAACAATTGCGCAACGGACGACGGGTTTTTCCGGAGCGTGCGAGAACGGAACATTTCTTTCCCCGCGTCTTTCCCAAGTGACTTCTATGGCGAAAGAAGAAAGCGATCGGCGCCGTATCCGAGACCCTTCCGGTCTTCGTTTCGTTCCTTCGGGAGATTTCGCCACGTCGATTCGCCTTTCTTTACGTAACTTAATCAATTAAAAGTCCACCCGAGGAAACCGCTCCTTCGACCGAGCTCTATATTTATTTAACTCTAATCACAGTATTAGCCGATAGGAATAAATCCCGATATAAAAAAAAGCGAGCGTTACGTCGCGCGATAACTCGCGCGTGCTTTGGAAAGGAGATTGGTATTGATATTAATAATTAGGGGTGTCATTATATTCACTGCCGGCCTGACGTTTTGATACGCAGATCTCGGCCGATACACGGCTTAATTGCCAATAGAAAGTAATCGTTTTTAAAGAGCCGAGATCGACTTATTTCGCCCACGCTCCGTTCGCTCGCTAGAAAATGGCCGCACCGTTTGCACCAAATGAGAAGGTGGTTAATGGTATCCGGGAAAAAAAGCTGTCCCCATAACCGGTCCGATCGCATAAGGTCCGTCCAATATCTGACCGACCTAGACCCGCCTTTCCTTGGCCCGATGGTCTTGAACTCCTGGAGATCTTCGGCGACGCGACCGACGTCGGTCGCTCGTTAAAGTCTCCGAGCTGGACATAGATACGATCTAGGCCGCGCTATTCCGCGTGACCGAATGTCAACTTTCTACAATAATTACGCACGATACGGAAAAAGCGTTCCGCGCGAACGTAATTCAGCGCACCGTGCGTGATTTTTCGCCGTCTCGGGCGGTCCTTATAAACTACCGCGTTAATTACGAGCGAACAGAACACGCGTCGGGAACGGTTTTCTCCGTCTGACTTGCGTCGACGCGGAACGTACGATTCTACCCCCGGTCGAGTTTTCTGGGAGAGGGTACGCGCCGCGGCTTCTACGTACGTATATGAACCTCCAACGCGTGTGCTCTACGCGTACATACTCCCGTGAACGCGCCTACGATCTCATAGGGAGAACCTCGCGAACTATAGGTGCAGTCGTCTCCCGTCTCTCGGAGACCCAACTTCCAAGTCGAAGACTAGGAGGCCAAATCGGTTCCCCCGGTCTGTAGAAACGAGTCGTTCTCCACGGCGCGATACGGCTCGACGACGTACGTTGCGAACGAAGAAGTGCTCCTCTTCGGTCCGATCTCCCAATATCGTGGAAATGAGGTGAGATCGCCGGCAATTATCCGACCTCTGTGCTCCGGGAAAGCGTACCATTCGATCTTCCTCGTGAAGTATAAAAGGTTTCGGGAGGCGATGTCCGCCGCAAAGGAAGGATCTCCTCTCCGAGTAGTCGGCAAAAGAGCAGCTCGTTGTCTCACGCTTCACCTTCCAATAAATTTCCGAACGTAGATTCTTGGCCTCTGGATTTAATTGCGAGTCGAGGTTGACCGATAATTAATTACCGCCGATATATCGATCCACATCCTGACGGATCAAAGAAAATCCCTGGTCGCTGTCGAGTCCATTACACGCTCGTTAGGAGTGCAATTTCATCTATCGGGGCTCGGGTAAGAGTGACGCATCGATCGCGGCAAATTGATCATATTTAACATCTCGGGTGGAGGTCCCCATAAAACACCTGTAAACGGTATAAAAAGTTAGGCGGGACAAAAAGGAGCGAGTGACTCGCCGAACGACCGGCTGAATGACGGTTCATAACCGAAGGCACGACGCTGCTCGGAGGGGAAGGACTTTCCCGAAGGAAGCCCCCTTTTCCTCGGTTTTCTTGCCCCAGGACGACGCGCCCAAACGAGGTGTCCAACCCCCGGATTTTTCTCTTCGTTTCTTTTTAACCCGAGCACGTCGAAAGAGACGGCCGATGCAGCCGGTGCGAGGCTTTGCTTAAAAAACATTTCCGAAGCCGTCTCGTTGTTTCGCGAACGCTTCGCTTCGTTATTTTCCAAATAACGTCCGCTCGAGATAGTGAATCACGGCCGAGTCGATCGCAAGTTCGGTTTCGCGCTGCAAAGAGGCGGATAAAAAAGAATGGACATATCAAAGATTGCTCGTCCTGGAGCGTGGAATTTTTTTAAACCGCACCTTACAAAATTTCTTCCGAGGAACTATCCGTCCAATTTTTCTCTCACGCTCCGGTAGAGCAAAATAATAAGGGAAGGACTGCAACGAATTTATGCGACGCGTTATACGAGAAGCGAAATAACTTTCTTCGAGTTACGCATCGATCGAGTTACGCATCGAACGATTTAAGAAGGATCGCGTTACGATTTCAACGAGTCGCATTTACGAGCCTAGAATTACATCGGCCTCCGCTAATGCTCCGACATATCGAATCGCTCGAGAAATCGCTGCGGGGGTTTTATTGTACACATTCCGGCCCAGCGATCTCGATCGTCGAGAAATATCGCCGGGAGCGATCGATCTCGTAGGCGAGTAGAAACGAGATCACCTGGCCGATTTCCGGCGCCGAACGACGAGGGTCTGCCGTTTGAGTCATTATGCAAATATAATTGAATACTCGACGGTAATGAACGTTTTCGAGGTGGCCCCCGTTTTCCGTTATTGCCCATAAATTGTACGATCGATCGGGCACGGGGAAAAGCATCGAAATCTCTCGCTCCCCCTGAAAGTGATTGAATAAAATGACATTTCGCAAGATCCGCGGACGCGAATTCGAGATAAGAATTTATTCCCCCGGCACTTCCAGGGAGAGTTTAGGAGCGATCCTGCTGGCAACGTACCTGGCGATCGCGAAGTCGGAACTGCTGGAGACGGTGGCGCAGTGGCCTCTCCTGGACTTCGCCCTGCCGTACGATCCAGCGTACCTGGACCAGTTCAGGCCGGAAAACGTCGTTCCCACGGGAATCGAGATAGCATGGCGTCGAATTTTCATCGCGACTCCCAGGTTGAGGGCCGGGGTCCCCGCGACTCTGAGCTACATCCCCAGGGACCTTCCTCTGGGCAGCAGCCCTCAGCTCCAGGCCTATCCCTCCTGGGACTGGCATCCGGCCGGCAAGGGCGACACCAACTGTTCCGGCCTGGTGTCCGTCTACAGGATACGAGCCGACCGGTGCAACAGGCTCTGGGTCCTGGACAGCGGGGTGCAGACGTCCATCGACGACTTCCAGCCCGTCTGTCCTCCCAAGCTGCTCGTCTTCGACCTGCAGACCGATCAGCTGGTCAGACGGATCACCTTCCAACGCGAGGTAGGCCGGATCGCCACGTGGCTCCCGAAGCCTGCAACGAGTTGCATTAGTCATCCACCCTTGACTCGTAGGTCTTGAAGCCCAATACCTTGTTGACGAACCTGGTGATCGATGACACCTCCGCGACGACCTGCGATGACGTCTTCGTTTACATGTCCGACACGACCGGTCCAGGTACGTCTCCGGCTGCGGCGCGCCCGGGAAATAATAAACTCGACGCGATCCTTTTCCAGGGCTCCTCGTGTTCGACGGAGAGACCGACAGGAGCTGGAGGGTCCTCCACGCCTCCATGTTCCCCGACCCCGACTACGCTACGTACCAGGTTAGCTTGCCTCTAAAGGAGAAAAATTGGAGGGCTATCTCTCCCTTCGCGAACGGATACGGGTCGGTGAAGAGGCTCCGTTGAAATTTCAGATCGGCGGAGACACCTTCGAGCTCTTCGATGGAGTCGTCGGATTAGCCTTCTCCCCTCGTCTCGGGATTCTGTACTACCAGCCCCTGGCGACGGATCGGCTCTTCAGCGTGCCGACCTCGGCTCTTCAGGCCGGTCCTCCGCCCTTCGGAGAACAGCTGCCGGTTACCCTGGTGGGCAGGAAGTCCAGTCAGGGCATGGGACTGGCCGTGGACCCCAGGGACGACACGATTATCTTCTCTCCTCTCTCCGAAACCGCCGTTGCCGCCTGGCAGCCGCAGACCAACGACCAGAGGTAAGTTCTTGAGCGAGCGGCCGAGTAAACGGGGAGTAAACCGCTCCTCTCGCCCCCTCCAGGATCATCGCGTACAGTCCGGAGCAGTTGCAATTCACGGCCGAGGTCAGATGGGTGGAGCGGGACCACGGCAACGTCTGGACCCTGGCCTCGAGGTTCCAAAAGTTCTTCAAACGTCAGGTCGACAACCGGGAGATCAACATCAGGATCCTGAAGATCCGACCCGAGGAGCAGGCCCCGGCACCCGCCTCCCTCTACCGCCAGATAGACGCTCACTTCCCCCGTAACCTCTACAACAACACCCTGGCCTTGTGAGGACCGTGCCTCCTCGAGGGAGACGGGCCGAATTTTATTAGAGGAAGAGCCACGCGAACATCCCTTGGGCCGTCCTTCGCGGACGCGTTTCGTAGACGGGATCGTAGACTTTCTTGAATTTTTTTTTTCCGAGCCTCCACGAGGCATCCATTGGAACTTCCCCGGGCAGAGAATCTCCCTTTTTGTCGACCACCCGGTTCGGAACATCCGGCGATGGAAGGCGCTTCCTGGCGAACTCCACGTGGAACGTTCCCTTCCGGTTCGCGGCGAGTCGCGGAAAACTCGTGCCCTCGTTCGCGAATCTCCTTTTTCCCTCCGGAATCTCTCATTCCGAGCCGCCAACCGCGACGCCGGCAGGAAAACCATAGGTACTCGGCCGTGGGGTTGAAAAAGAAGGAAAGCAGGGAGAAACGCCCCGGGAAAAAAGGTCCGGCCACCTTCCACCTTTGCCACCGTCGTGCTCTCCTTTTTCCTTCTCTTCTTCTCTCGATTGCGATTCTCTCTGTAAATATACGTGAGCTCGAATAAAAGCGTCGGAAGTAGAGACGGGCCGGGTGGTTGTCGCTCCCGTTTCACCTTGCCCGAGGCTGCGTAATGCGCCGTTTCTTTGGAAACTCGATGCCGTGTATTTTTCCTCGATCCTCGACGATCGAGCGAGGAGGTCGAGTGCTTTCTTGCCATTCGATGTGCACTCGAGCGAGGACCGAGGAACGGCACTCTCTAAGACCTCCGTTTCCCCGTTTGACTGGCGACCTGCCAAACGTCCGCGTAAGTCGGGTTGCCGACCCCCAGGGGCAATTTTTTTTTTTCGTACCTTCGATTGCCCGGAGCCCAAGATCGTCTTCGCGTCCTCTTCGCGGACTTTCCTCCGAACCCCGTCGACGAAAGAGCCCTGCATTTTCTCGTTGCAAGGCGTCCATCGGAGCGACGTTGGAATCTGAAAAATTAAGCAGAAGGGAGTACTCGTCTTCGTTACTTAATCCTGACCTGGTCGTCTTTCTTGGCAGAACCGTGGACGCGACGAGCGAGCAGGATTTTCGGTTCGCCGATCGATTCGCATGGAATTCCACGAACAATCGAGCGGCTCGTTCGGGAATTCCGTAATGGTAACAGTAATTAGGGAAAGCGGCTCCCTCGGGTCTCCGAGTTGGAAAGGTGCAATTTCAAACCACAGGATGCACTAGGCACTTTTCTCTCGAAATTGAAAGACCGTCGGGCGATCCTCGACGGCGCCATCGATAAAAGGGTAATCAGCGACGCGGGATCTTCCGATAGCATTTATAATTAGCGATTACGCGCGATGCAACGCGATACGTACGGTACGTGCAGGCGTCCATAACACTTAGAGCGAATGGCAAAAACGGAGATTACCTATTTGCCACCCGCAACCGCGACCAATCGGTGCACGGTGCGAAACCGATCATACGAGATCGCGTAAACGACCTCACCGGAAATCCTAATTACCTCCCCACTCGTACAAAACTCTCGAAATTAATCTCGGTAAATTCATCGGTCCCCTATTACGTCGTCGAATACATTTTCCACCCACGACTCGGAAAAGCGGCTTTTCCTTTTTTACGTAAGATGCATTATCCGTGACACCTTTTCCTGGAATTCCGATATGCCGCCGATCCCTCCTGGCGATTACGCGTTACTCCTGCCAGGAGGCAGAATTATCGGCAGTAATTACACCCTCCCACGGAGGAGAAAGAATTGCCGATACACCATATCCGGTGCAATGATTCAAGGCAGATGTCGGCCAAACATCGCCAGTTGTAAAAACAGCTTTGGCACATGTCACGCGTTTCGCATTCACGATGAGTAGTGGCAATAAACCCGAGCAAACGGATATCTCCGAATGTGCGACTGCTGGGCAACCGATCGTAAAATAAATAGGCGCTCCACACTAACGATGTCAACGCGTTCCCATGAGCGGTGAACTTGGAAGCCCGGCATAAAACGCGACCTCCGGCGCTGTGTTCCTCTAGTCGTCCTCTCGGTCCCGAGAGGATCCATCTCCTCTTCTCGACCGATTCGCCTGGAGACGATCCTCCTCGACGAGAAGTTTCTCGATCGACCTGTGGATCCATCTCCTCTTCTCGACCGATTCGCCTGGAGACGATCTTCCTCGACGAGAAGTTTCTCAATCGACCTGTGGAAGGTAAGGACTGTTAGAACGAGCGGGACCCTCGAAGGGATTCCTTCACTTTTCTTTTTTCCCAACCTTTGGTTGGATCTTTTCGAGCACCTCGAGTCGAGAGTCGAGTCGGAGAGGGAACGGAGAGACGCGCGCCGAGGAAGAGCCGGGCTCGAGGAAGTCCATCGGGTCGAGTGGGGCAAAAGGAGTCCCCGAAGTGGATGTCGAGCCTCGGCGAAATCCCAGTCCCTCGCGGATCGGTCGCGAGCGAGGATCTCGCCGATCTCGCGGCGCCGCTCCTTCGAGACCTCCCCGGGTACCCTGACTGAAGAAACCGAGCCGGATGCCAGCCGAAGCAACGGCGATGTTTATTCAACTCGACTCGCGCTAGTCGACCGGTGAAAGTGCTCTCCGTTGGAAAAACCAGCGAAACGGGGAACCTGGGATTTATCGACCGAATCCCGACATCGACCGTCCTCCCTATTTCGGGAAAATCTCCGACCGACCTGGACGCGCGACGAAGGCGCTTCGGTAATCGAAAACTCCCGTCCCCGCCGATCCGGTCGTCCTTTTCGCGATACTCCCGGGAAGGCTTTTGCCGAAAGTGCTCCTTCTTTAACCACTTTCCTGGGTGTCGGATAAGACCGCAATAACGGGCGGTGACGCAACCAATATTCGCGGACCAACATGGAATGGCTTATCGTTGACATAACTCCTTATTACATTCCGGAGTACTTAACAACGATACCAAATACCGGGCTATTGGCGGCAAATGCTCGTTTTTACGGCGCGGCTAAAGTGAAAAGCGTCGATAAGACTTGTTTCCCCGGAATGTCGTTAAGGTGTACTGCATCTCTCCGCGTAGATGAATTAATCCTCCCTCGACGTATCCGCAAGGAGAACCGGTAATTGGCATCGCTCGTTGAACAGGTGGAAGATCGACGATTTATTTGTCGAGCCCCTGCCGAGGGCGTGTTCGTTATCGGCTCGAGATACGGCGTTCGCTTTCTTCCGCATTTCGCAATATTTGTTTGAAAACGTTGTCCCGCGACCCGAGTGAAAAAGTTCCGCGCGGAAACGGGTCGGCAGGGTCTAGGAATTTTTTTCGGCTCCTCTCGGGATTGAAAATCCAGAATTATCCCGAGCCCCGGAGTTTAAATATAAATTGAACAGCTATGGACTCCATCGAGTCCAAGTACCGTTAAGAGCGCGCATTCTCACCGAGATGGTAACGGCTCCCCTTTGTACAGTTCCGAAGGCACAGTTTGCTCCCTGGATTTTAATTTTTTACAAATTCTCCCGCCCCCCCCACGTGCCGTGAAACAATTCCCGGAGGATCTACACGAATAGGGTTTGCATATCTCGAGGGAAGAGATTCCCCGTTGTAGGTAGTAAAACCTAGCGGAATGTAAAAAGAGAAAATTCAACCGTGACGGAGATTCGGACTTCTTCCTCGGCGCGAAAAGGTCGCCAAACTTCCTCGCGCGAGTTCTCTGGTAAACGGCTCGTTTAATTTTTTTTCCTGTTCTTACGATCAACGCTTAAAGGTCGACAAACCATATCATGGCCATTGGACGCCGAAATGAATGAATTCCCGAAATTATCTTAAGCGCCTCGGCGTCCAAGGTGGCCGATGACTCGACGACGGTCGACACTTTGTGTTTCCTCTACGCGACAAAGTCCTGCCTCTATTTTATTTTTTTTTTATTTTTTCATCCACGTCGACTCGTTGCTTCCACGCGCGCCTTCTTACGGTAGGGAGAACGGAGGCCGATGAATTTCTAAAAAGGAGCGACCTTCGCCGAGGCGAAAATTCCAGTAATTATTCTTTCCTCCCCTTTCGTCCGGCCGCGAGTCTCTTTGCGCAATGTCGCAACGCGTACGCGACACGTAAGAGAATACGGGAGGTCCACGACGAAATATCCAACGCGGGTTACCAGGCGCAAGGTCGCACCGTAAAAGAATTAAATTAAATGAAATTCAGTCGTTACGTCAGGCGGCCGCGAAGACGAGCACCGACGACCTACAAAGTAGCGACCCAGATTGCATTTAACGTATCGCGCTCATAATTCACGCGAAAAAACAAAGAGATAGCGACTTCGGCTAGATAAGCGCCGAGGAGAAACCCAAACATTTTCCTCGAGTGGCCATCCAACCAAGTTCCGAGTCTAATGCTCCGGATGAACGTTCCGACTGGTTTCATGACTAATTGCCTTTACGGAAACGCGATCGGTTTGTCCCGACGAGCTTCTAATTACCTCCGCATCCCTCCGTTCCTTCGGTGCCGAGTTGGCGTAATCTCGATGTCCTCGTCTCCTCCTCTAGGACCGTCGTCGAGGATGTCGAGGATCCGGCAGATTTTGGCCCTCCTTCTGGTCTGCGGCAGTCTCGCCGTCTCGAGAAGCTTCGAACGCGAGAAGCTGCGAGGGGTCTACTCCTGGAAGATCCTCGAGTTTGACTTTCCCAGCGAGCGAGCCCGCGATGCCGCCATCCGCCAGGAACGGTTCATCCCCGGGGCCCCGGTCCCGATCGACGTGGACGTCTACTACAACGGTATCCTGGCACGGCATAAGCTTTGCGTTTCGCCCGGTGTTTCGTTCTGACGACGATATTCCCGTAGGCAAGCAGAAGGGAAGCGTCTTCGTGACGATCCCCCGCTTCCAGAAGGGCGTGCCGGTTACCTTGGGCTACGTCACCGACAAGACCAGGGACGGCAACCCCGTCATAGCTCCGTACCCCGACTGGGACTGGCACGGTCTGCGGAATTGCGATGGCATCACCAGCGTCTATAGAATTCAGGTACGCGCTCGCTTCATCGGGAAAACCGATCGTCGAATCGTTCGCCTCGAATCGACGTCCTTTGCTCGTCAGGTCGACAGCTGCGGGAGGCTGTGGGTCCTGGACACCGGGAAGCTGGAGGAGCGCCAGCTCTGTCGCCCCCAACTCTTGGCCTTCTCGTTGTCGACCAACCGGCTCCTCAAGAGGTACAAGTTCCCCGACAGGCTGTTCAAGGCCGACTCGCTCTTCGTCACGCCGGTCGTCGACGTGAGAAGCCACGAGGACAAGTGCCGCGAGACCTTCGTCTACGTCGCCGACGTGACGGGATTCAGCCTCCTGGTCTACGACGCCCAGCGCGACGAGTCCTGGAAGATCAAGAACAAGCTGTTCTATCCGTACCCGCCCCACGGGACCTTCCACATCAAGAACGAGACCTTCGACCTGATGGACGGGATCCTGGGCCTCGCCCTGGGCCCCGTTCGCGCCGATGGAGACAGGGTCCTGCACTTCCACTCCCTGGCCAGCGCCACCGAGGCCCGGGTGCTCACCTCCGTTATCAGGTGCGACGAATCGGCCTCCTGAAAAAAGACACCTAGTTAGAACTTTGCTTTCACTCGAGTCGCGATATCCAACGAGATCGCCGCTCCGATCGGACATCCTGGAGCTTTCCCGTTCGAGTCGGTCGCTAACGCGGTAATTGACCTCCTTCCAGGAATCGCACGCTCTTCGAGGACGACCCCGAGGCGGTCCCGAGGGCCTTCGAGGCGTTCGAGGAGGAAAGGTCCTCGCAGTCGGCGGCACAGGCGATGGACCGAAACGGAGTCCTCTTCTTCGGCCTCATGTCGGACCTCGCCATCGGTTGCTGGAACAGCAGGGACTGCTCTTACCGCGCCGACAACATCGAGAAGGTCGTGGTCGACTCCGACACCCTGCAGTTCCCCTCGGGGCTGAAGGTACCTCGCTCTTCTCTTCTTCCTCCCCTCTCGTTCTTCCTCCTGACCGAATCTCGTCGCAATTTTTTAGATCATCACCGAGGGCTCGGGTCGGCAGGAACTCTGGGTCCTCACCTCGTCCTTCCAGAGGTACATGAGCGGCTCCTTGAGCGCCAACGAGACCAACTTCCGGATCCAAGCAGGGTACACGGACGAGCTCGTCCGAGGCACGCGGTGCGACGCGGTGGTCGGTAGCATCGGCGGCGTCGGCGGCGTCGGCGGCGTCGGTGGCATCCACGCCAGTGCCCCCGGGCCGCTCGTCTTCCCGAAATGAAGGTGGGACTTTCGCGGGAAGTTCCACAGGACGAGGTTCCGCGGGAGCGGCATCTTCCCCGGGAGGTTCCACAGCTGGCTCTACCGGGATCGTCCTCCTTTCGGAATCCCGTACTTCTCGCGATTCTTCCGCGGCCTGAGGAACCGGCCGAGCGGCTCCTTCGTCGACGTCAGACCCGGGGGCTACTCCTACTTCGTGGACCACGGCTGATCGCCGATACTCTTCCTGTGACCTAGCGACGCTCCGCACCCAGAGGACGGCGTTTTACACTTTTTATACGACATCGAGTTAGACGAGAACCGCGGGCCAAGGAGCACGCCCGGGATGCCGATTACGTCGAAGCGGCGCCTCGACGCTCGTTACCGAGCTCTTCCGATGGACGATCCGCGTCTTCGAAATCAATCGAGAGTCTCGGATCCGTCACGATACGGCGATTACTTAGCCGCGTAATCGCCCTCCGAGTACGTGACCGTAAACCACCGAATGATCCGGATGACTGGTCGAGTTACCCCGGGGAAGAGTCGCCGTTGTTATTCTTCCAATAGCCGTAGACGAAGCAAGAAGGGGATTAATCGTTGCATTTCCATCCCTCGTCGATCGAGGGACAGTCATCGTTGCGATACCGATGATTACTCCGCTTGGTCCATTTCTTTCATAGATAAGATTTCTCCGGCGTCCCCGAACCGAAAGCCTTGCAATTTTCCTCCTCGTCTCGTCTCGAAGAAATCCTGTGCGTACGCGGATTTTCCCTATTTCCACAATATTGTTTTTCGCCGCATCCTCGTTTTTCTTAGACGTCCAAGTAGATCGAGTCGCGATTATCATCGACTATCGGCATATTTCGCTTTCTCTCGAGGCCGTCCAATCGGTCAATGAAAGCTTTACGATCAAATCAATTACGTCAACCTGCCAGACCGTCACCGTAAACGCGTTAAACGGCAACGATTGATGTGGCGTTGTCCGCGACTTTCCGCCACTCCTGTTACCTGGAAATAAAATATTTTCTCTACATCATCTACAGGGAAATGCCGAACTCTTCGCGCCCAGCCCACTCGAGGCGAGCCCGCCCCTTTTCTTCCTGGATAATTGAGCGACTCGACTTGTCGGCTACTTTTCCGATACATAAAGCAAAATCGACCTCGTAAATCTCTCGCTCGCGATCGGAAGTCGAGGATAATCTCGCGGCCGAAGAGAGGAAGAGGAGGAGCGATCAATTACGTTAATTTCCGAGGTCCGGCGGAGGAGCCAGCAAATGGGCGCTTTTGCCCCCGAGGTTTTCGTCGTTTGCGGGCCTTTTTGCGAGTCGGTCTCCGTTTCTTCGGGGAATCGGTCGAATCGGCTCGCTCGTTTCGTAGACGTTAAACTCCGGGGCAAGAAAGAACGCCGACTGCACAAATCCCCCGACGGGTCCCCAGGAGCCAGGGGGGAACCTTATCGCCTCTCTTTGTTATTGTCTTTTAAGGTAAATTGAGAAATTTCAGTTAATCCGCCTCCTTCGCCGACTTTCCTGCAAGTCGTTTATACACGGTTATCGTCGCTTTCTTTCAGCGGTTCTTCGAGGGAATTTCGACTTTTCTTTTTCCTTCTTCGCGCCACGATAACCGGGCGGATATTCCTGTTCCCTCGGCATTATCAAAGGTTGCGCAGGTAAGATACGCGGTTATCGCGTAGACGTTGTACCGCGTCATCGTCCAAGTGAAAACAATTAGACATGCGAGGTATTGTCGGAAAAATGGATTACCTTCGAAATGCCCCGAGTTTAAGTAGACCGAGTCGAGGACGGAGCTCCGCCGTTCGACGTTTGGAAGTCGAGCTGCTTGGGTCGGTCGAAAGGGCCTTCGTCGAGGAAAGATGCTTCTTCAGGTCCTGCTCGTCTTCTGCTTCGCCCTCTCCTCGTGCTCCGCTGCCTCGGAGAAGTTGAAGGTTCTCCACGAGTGGAAGTACCTGGACTTCCAGTTCGACTCCGAAGAGCAGCGCAACCGATACATCCAAAGCGGGGACTTCCAGAAGAATGCCTCCATCGCGATCGACGTGGACCAGGCCCCAGGTATCCTGGAACAGGAAATTTCGTGAAAAGCTCCTTCGCCGAAGCTCATCCGCCTCGTTCTCTGCCCAGATGGAAGGGTCTTCGTCACGATAGTCAGGCAGAAAGGAGTGCCGGCCAGTCTGGTGACCGTCACCGACCGGATGGGAGACGGCGGTCCACTTTTGAGGCCGTATCCTGACTGGAGCTGGGTCAACGGTAGCTGCAAGGGCATCGTCAACGTGTACAGAATATTCGTAAGTTGATAATCCTTGCCAATCCCGAAGCCGAATCTCGTTCTCCTTCGCGGTTCTCCTTCCGACGAGGAATCGGATGTAACTTCCCACCCTCGGGATCGACCGGGGACACCGCGCCGCGGATGGTAAGTAGAACCTTTCGTTCAGATCGACAGGTGCCATCATATGTGGGTCCTGGACACCGGAGTGTTCGGAAACGACCAAGTGTGCCCGGCCCAGCTCCTTCTCTTTAACCTGAAGAACGATCAGCTGATCAAGAGGGTCGTCATCCCGGACAAATATGCCAGGAACGCGAACGGCACGGGTCTGCTGGTCACCCCCGTCGTCCATTACCAACGACAACCCTGTCGTTCCCCTGCCGTAAGAGATTTCAAGTCCCTGCGCGACTTCGTTTCCGCCCTCGACAAAAATTACCCGATTTCCGTCCCCCCAGGTGTTCATGGCCGACGTGGAAGGTTACGGCCTAGTGATATGGGACTCCTTGACCAAATCGATATGGAGAGTCGAGTCGGAGACTTTTCGGCCGACCCCGGGGAAGGAGGAATTCGTCATCGCCGGAACCAGGTTCGTACTGGCCGACGGAATCCTGGGGATGGCGCTGAACGAAAACGGCACGAAGTACCTCTTCTACAAAGCCCTCGCCTCCGAATACATGTACAGAACTCCGGTGCAGAAACTGCTCCATACGCTTCGCAAGAAGGAGACCCGTTTTCCGTTTGAGCAAATTTCAGGAAGTCTCCCCAGCCAATCGGCGGCCCAGGCCTTCTCCAGAGACGACGTCCTGTTTTTCGGCCTGACCGAGAGCACGTCGATCGGCTGCTGGAACAAGAACATGGAGCCGATCGGTTCGCACACGGTACGTCTCGGGCCTTGGACTCGACTCTTGGTGGACCAACCAGCTCGGTGATTTTTTCGTTCCAGGGGGTGATCGCCCGGAACAACGAAACCCTCCAATTCGCCAGCGGGGTCAAAGTGATCAACACCTGCATGGCGGAGAAGTTGTGGGTTCTCACGAACCGCTTCCAAAGGTTCTACACCGGTACGATGAACTTCGACGAGACCAACATGAGGATCTTGGTCGGCGACGTTCACCAGCTGATAGCTGGAACGATATGTCAAAGAACCTGAGGGTTCTGTCTCCTCGATCGCGTCACCTGGAATTTAATCCCTTGCCTCCGGGCTCTGTATCGCGTCTCGAGTACCGACCAGCGGGGGAAAAGTCGTTTTACGCCCGGGGAAATATAGTCCTTTATGGAAACGTCGTCGCCATTCCATTGCCCGACCCCTGCGCGGGGATCCTGAGGATAAACTTGAGCGATCGCCCGGTTACCGGCTATCGGCGATAAGTTGCCCAACGACGACGCGGAATAAAATTAAATCGGACCCCCAGGAATTGGCCAAGACTCGTCCGAATTTCGTCGTTTCCGTGCCCCCTCGCGCTAGGTGTCGCAACGAGATCTCGTAAACCGTGTCGCCGAGGCGACGAAGAAAGTCGGAAGTCGCTCTCGGGCGATCGGTCCAAATCGAGTCTCTCCTAAACCCGATCCCGCCGACGAAGTCGGGAATAACGAAAGGAGGAAGCGCTCGACCCGCGTCGGAAACGAGATCGCGCTCCGTCGATGGGAAGCCGGTGAAACTCCGGGCGTTCTCGAAGATCCAGCGAACCGTCTCGCGTACGCTCCAGGAGTCGATTTCGCGCGAGAAGTAAGAGGCGCGAGTCGGGGAAAAATGGACCACGTCGCCGTGACGAGTTACCGGTCCGTGTCTTTCGGTGGGCTCCCGAATCGGTCAGTCGGTGCGTGCTCGCGGTCGTTCGCGCAGGCGATAGTCCCCTCGGGATGGGTCCACTCCCCGGTCGCGACAGGGAGTTAGCGGGGCTTTAACGCCATTTCGACGGGGGCGAAAAAATCGGATTCAACCGGGGACACCGAATTCTGGGTTAATGCCGAGGCGCATTAAGTAACGCCACTTGCTACGCGTTGCCTTCCACGCGGCCATAAGCACGCCGAGAAATTGCCCATTTCCCCGGCCCCGTCGACTCGGCTTTCATATCCCCCTGGAAATTCTCATTTTCCCCTGACCGATACGTTCCTAGCACAAACTACGCCAGTACTTCCTAGTTATGGATCTCGACGACCGGCTACGGTTCTCGCACCTCGCGGAGACCCTCGTTTTCCGTGGATCCAGGCTCGGCGACCGTCTAGCCAGGTCGGTATCTCCTCTTCTTTTCTTCCTTCCTTCCTTCCGGTACTTGGACGCTTCTCGACCTTCGGCTTCTATTCACCGATGACTGATCTCCTCGCTGATCCGCTCCTGCCGGGAAGAGAGGAAATTAGCCACATCGTAAACAGGACCGCGACGGTCAGCGTCCTAGAAATTAATTTCTGCTCCTAAGGACCTTGGCTCTCGAGTTTCCCCTACCGGGTCGATATGGGATATTTTCCAGTGGCGGACTCGAACCGTGTCCCTTCCGTAGAAAAATTAAAAATCGCTCGGATCCCGATGAAGCTTTCATCGACGCATAAATAATAATCTCTCGTTTAAACGGAAATGACTTTCTCCCGTCGTAGCGCTTCCTAATGATTAATATCGACCGACTAGCGGCTCGGTTATCGGATCGCGTTCTCGTTTCACACCGGGCTTTCCTTCCAGGGTACCTCCTTCCCCGACGAGAGTTTTCAACGTTTCCTTTTCAATTGTCGAACCCGTAATCCGCAGAAATCCGATGGCGAGGACGAAGAGAGCAGACGTCGACGGGAACGCCGAGGAGTCGAGGTGGACGTACGCGTGGACGCCCCTGGGAAGTCCTCCGAATTTTTTCCGGAACCACGGACCGTTCTTTTGGGAGGACCCCTTCTTCGGCTCGAAGAGCACCTTCGGCGATTTCGAGTTTCGCCGAAGACTCCCTCCCGGTCATGGAAGGTCTCGTAAGTAGAGGCGGTGGTTCTATTCCGGGTGGCAAACGATTCCTTGGCTGCTCCCGAAGGAAGGGTGTCGCAATGGAATTGGACCGAGTTTCTTCGAGGCCGAGAGGAAAAGCATTTTGCACCGGCGAGATACTGGCACCCGTTGGGTCTCCGTAAAAACTCGAGGCCAATTTCGCAATTAGGAACGCGCCTCGGGACACCGTTTCAAAGTGACGTAAGCTCATAATCGAATGATCCCGGGAGAACCTAAAGTTATGCCATCGATTGCCTCGAATGCTTATGAAAGGGTAACACCAATGTCGACGGATCCGTTTCAATTTCCGCGTTTCAAAACGATGCGTACGGTATCAATTCCATCCGCGGTAAATCTCGCGATTGCGCAAATTGCGGGGCAATAGCGACCACCCGAGAGAAATGGCGTACAATAGGTGTGCACGCGATTGCAAAATGACCTTTCAGAATTTTTCCGCGACCGACCGTTTCCCCTTCGCGATCCCATCCTCCGTGATCTTTCTTCCTCCATAATGGCGAAAGACTCCTCAACGAGGCTTCCCCCAAACGTTAAAGGTGACGGGAACACCGCCTTGAAATTTGCAGAAATATACGATCGAATTTATAACGCTTATCCAGGTGTTTGGGAATTTTTTTCTATCCCCGAAATAAAAGTGGAATTATCCGCAGTACCGCGCCCATCCCATGCACGATTTACTTGACGTACCCCCGTATTTAACAGCTGCCCAACGTACGTTTATACCCTGAGTTCGGTGAAGGTGGCTCGGTACGCTCATAAACTGCGGGGTGTAATTACACGCTTATTACGCGCGAGTTAAACGAATAATGGTGTACAGAGTTAAACGGAATATACACTCGTACGAGCCTCTTACGGGCTTACCGTCGACGTTTAATATACTCTTCGTTACGGTAGCGAGTGCCCATTGGAATTGCAAATATCCGGTGCACCGACGCACCAATCACCTTCATACGGAACTCGGAATAATTTTGCGAAAAGCCGTTTCAAAAAGCGTCCGTTTCCGTCCCCTCCGTAGTTAAAGAACCGCGATGAGCGGATGAATGAAACGAGTCTCTTAGAATTTACGGAGAAAAAGGACGTCCGAGCGCCTTCCCGCTTTCAAAGGACGGTAAAAAAATTCCGGAAACGAGGATTCGCTCGCGACTCTCGCGAACCTTAACATCGCTGACCTACCGCAAGTGAGGTAGGACACCTGGAAAGAGTGGAGGGGGCTTCGGACGTTCTCTCGATCGGTGTCGATTCGGACGTGGAATCCAGGATGCGGTATGTTCACCTTCGAGTCTTCTCGTGGATAGTCTCGACGCGAACGTCCTCGCGAGTGCTCGGTCTTGCCTCGAGATCCTTAAAAAAAGAAAAGTCGACCAGAGGAATCCTCGGTTACTCGAAGCGAAAGACTCGAATGGCCGTTTCGTTCGGCCGGAGACTACGACCGCGGAATGCAATACACGTGTCGGATGTATCGGTCGACAGGGATGGCCAGCATCGTGCCCTGGTTGATCTCGATGTCGCTGATCGGAGCCCAGACAGGTCCAGCCCCGGGTCCCGCGAGGATCTCCCAGGAACTCCAGGCGCCGCTTCCCCCGAGGATCTCCAGGATTCCCTCAGGAACCGGGTACACTTCGGTACTGTCTCCGGAGATAGGAAAGGGCGATCTCTCGATGCGACTCCGGTCCTTCCAAGAGCGGGCGCGTCGCGTGATTCACCGAAGAAAGGATCGAGAGATCGCCTTTCGCCGTATCGCGCGATTCCACCTTGGGACCGGCGGATTTTCCGAATGTCGGGCATGCCCTTCCGCTCGAAAAATATAGTACGCCTTAAGTTGGTGAATTCTTGCCTCAGGCGAGGTGCGAGCATCCGTCCCTCGACGAGGCGGCGACGAAGAGGTTCCCGGGACTCCTGGAAGACGAGCGCCTCCACCGGGGCCTCTCCTCGAGACCCGACGTCGGCTTCTCCGAGGTCTTCTTCGATCCTCCGCCGGCGTCGAACCTGCAACGAAATCTGATCCATTACCCGGACGTCGGCACGGGAAACGAGGTGCAGGAGGTGACCGACGCCGAGCCGGAGGTCTCACCGGGGCGAGTCCACGTGCCCGGCCATTCCTACGAGCCTCCTGACGATCGTTACCCCAAGGACGAGTACGCCGGCCCTGCAATGGACATGGTAAATTCCTCGATCCGAGAAGAGTCTCGAGTCATCCGTAGTGGGGTCTAGACCCAGATGCCGCTCGAGTCGGGGGAGAAATTGCCCGCGTTGACCGCCTTCTAGCGGCGTCGGAGAAAGGTCGGGGACTTTCATCCAAAGGTCGGGTCTCGCGCAGGTTTTCTCCTGGACCATGGTGGACTTCGAGTACGAGAACTCCTCGGCGCGCGTGGCGGCCCTGGCGGAAGGGACGTACGTCCCCGAGAACGTCCTGCCTCTGGGTCTGGATGTCTGGGGAGAGAGGGTGTTCCTGACCCTGCCCAAGTGGCGAGACGGGGTGCCGGCGACCCTGGCGACCGTGCCCCGGATCTCGAAGACGACGAGCCCGAAGTTGAGGCCCTACCCCAGCTGGGAGTGGCACCGATCGCGTAAGTCCAGGATCGAGCGGTAGTCTTCGAGAACGACAAGAGAGACTCTTCTCGGACTCTTCTCGGGTTGCAGGTACCTGCGAGGGTCTTACCTCGGTCTTCAGGATCCAGGTGGACGAGTGCGCGCGACTTTGGGTGCTGGACTCGGGCAAGGTGGACGTGGCCGACTCCCCCTTCCAGGCGTGTCCCCCAAAGATCCTCGTCTTCGACCTGCGGACCGACCGACTCCTCAGAAAGTACCCCTTGACTCCGGATCAGATCAAGCAGGACTCGCTCTACTCGAACATCGCGGTGGACGTGAGAAACGGCAACTGCGAGGGCGCGAGGGCTTACCTCGCGGACGTCTGGCGGTTCGGTATCGTCGTCTACGACTTCTCGGCCGACAGCTCCTTCAGGGTGCAGCACCGTTTCTTCTTCCCGGACCCCGTGGCCTCCCGCTACGAGCTGCACGGGCTCGGCTTCCAGTGGACCGACGGGATCTTCGGCATCGCCCTGAGCCCCCTGGACGTCCACTCGGACCGGACCCTCTTCTTCCATCCGATGTCCAGCTTCCGGGAGTTCGCTGTCTCCACCTCCCTCCTCGGGGACAAGGAGTCGGCCGAGGCCCACCCCGACGCCTTCGCCCCGGTCGGCCGGCCAAGGGCCAAGGACTTCGGCCACTCGTCGGGATCGGCCATCGCCAGGAACGGCGTCATGTTCTTCAACATGGTCACCAGGGACTCGGTCTGGTGCTGGGACACCCGGAAGGAGCACGACCCCCGGAACCTCGGAGTCGTCGGGCACAGCAACGTGTCCCTCGTCTTCCCCAACGACATCCGAGTCGACCACGAAGACGACCAGAACGTCTGGCTGATCTCCAATAAGCTCCCCATGTACCTCTACGGTCGCCTCGACCTCGGCGAGCCGGCCTACAGGGTCTTCAGGGCCAACGTCAGGACCGCCGTCAGGAACACCGTCTGCGACCCCGACTACGTCGTGTCCGACTCGGACTCGGGTTACGACGAGACCTGCTGATCCGCCGACCTCCTTGTACGCATCGCGCCGGGCTATCGAGACAATAAATATTTTTTTAGTACAATTTACTTTTTTTAATGGTCTTTGTTCGATGACTCCCTCGTCTCGGCGGAAGACAAGGTGGTAGCGGAGAACTCCTCCATGTCGGTGACGTCGCTCCAGGAATTCCGTCGCGAGACGGTGGAAGCGACTTCGGGATCCGAGTCCGAGTCAGCCGGAGCAAAAGTCGGGTCGTTCGTTCCAAAAAGACCGGTCTCGGGAGTTTGCTCGGATCCCATGGCCAGGGTCGCGATCAGCAGCGCCAGGAGGCTCGCGACCATTCGGGCAGCCTGGCCGCTCGACGAGCCGTCTTCGGGGAGGAATTCCTCCTCGGGTAACTTCACCCTGGGGCCGTCGTCCCTCGAAGGACTCTTCTCGATCGGATCCTCTTCTTCCGGGAAACGTTCGTCGAAGAAGGGCGCAACTTTCGAGGGCTCTTCGTCCTCGTCTTTCCCGGGGAAGACGTTGCTCGTGCTCCGAGAAAGGGTATTCGACCTCTCTCCCTCCAGGAAGCGCTGGATGTCAGGCACCTCGGAAAATTCCTCCCTCGAGGACCTACGCGAGACGACCGTCTCAACCTGGAAAATTCGGAGCACTCGCCCCATCTCCGGGAGGTCGGACGAGGACGTGGCCGCGATCCGGGTTTCGAGCACGGATCTCGAAGTGATAGTAGAGTTCGAGATTCGAGATACATTTCGGAAATCGTCGACGACTCGTATCAAGAATCGAAATTCCGGACTGGCCATCGATTCCTGGATTTTCCGTCGAACTTGGTCGTCGTCCTCGAGACCGCCACTCGTCACGATTTCCAACCTGCCACACAGTTCCCCGATGGTCATGGACATCGGATCTCTATCTCCTTTCTCGAAATCATCTCGACCGCGATGCAGAAGCTTCGACTCGTCGACGGAAGTCGAGACGACGTCCCGAGGAACCCTGTTTCCTTGGCGATCTCTAGTCACCGTTGCGATATTCCCCGTCCATTCGCGATTGAAAGGATTCGGGTACAGGGACTCGGAGAGGATCACCGTGTACCTGCGGAATCCACAAATTAAATTTTTTATGGGAGCTCGCATCCATTTCCGGTCGATCCCGAATTTTGAAAGAACTCCGAATCCAAATCCCCCGGCGACCCCAACTTCCGTTGCGTCGAGTCGGGGCTCGACTTCCTGACGCGTTTCCGCGTCCTCGACGTCCCTGGTCCCTTGGTTCCCAGGGTCCTTCACGTCATCCGGCGGTTCCGGTACCAACGATTTCCGTGGGTCTTCCGGAGATTCAAGGGCGACCTCCGAGGGTTTCAGAAATTCCTTTGAGAGATTCTCTCGTCCGCATACGAAAGATCCATCGAAGAAGAGTCCGTCGACGTCGGAGGACGAGTCGCAGAAAAGTCCGTCGGCCCTGGAGAATCTCCGTCCCCCGGCCTTGACGAGGTCGCCCATGGACGCCGGAAGATTTCCGAAAATCGGGTAGAGATCTTCCTCGATGAGTCCCGCGTAGAAGGTCCCACCGGTGTCCTTGGGGTTGTGGAAGAAGGCCCCCCACAACGTCGCCGCCGCGTACTCGTACCGACAGAGCGACGGCTCCTGGACGTGGCAGCTTGCCCAACCTCCGGTAGGCAGGACTGTCGGGGAAGCCTGGACCTCTTCTGGTTCGCAATCCTCGCCCGCGACGGAGGAGCTCGAGGAGACGTCGGGAACGATCGGATCCCACGTGGGACTCTTTCCAGAATTCGAAAAATAGGACATCGGGACGCCACCGTCGGTCTCCAAGAGTCGCTTGTACTCGAGCAAGGTCTTATCGTTGTAGGCGCGGAGGGCCTTCATCCCTCGAGCCTCCCTCTCCTCCGGGGACTCCGCGACTCCTGGAAGATCCGACCTCCGCGCCCGCGGAGGTCCTTCGGACGTAGGAGATTCCCGGTTCTTAGTCCTGTTTCCTCTGGATGGTTCGGGGGCGTTCTCGAAACGAACGCTCTCGAGCATCCCGTCCCGTCGACGAGGAGTCCTTCCGACGTTCTCGGCGTCTCGGAATCTCTTCGAGGAAACTCTTTCCGAATTTTTCCTAAAGGGACCGTGCCTCCAAACGTGACTCATGTTCGTCTGGGTGGCGGCTACGATTTTGGACCTCGGATCTTCGAACCCGTCCCCGGGCTCGTCTTCGTCCTCGTCCTCGAAATCCGTTTGCGCTTCTCTGGATGCGAACGGCGGGTCTTCGAGGTCCTTGCAGCTCCTCGAGGCAACGAGATCGTCCATACGCCGCAGGCCGTTTCTCGATTTCCAAGGGTCGTCCGTAGGGCGCGAGCTCCCTCCCGTGATCCGGACCGCCGCAGGAAACACGGACGATTGACGAAACACCGTCCACCGGTTGCCCCAGGGATTCGTTCCGGAGCTGCAGCGACAGGTCGTTGCTCGGACCGCTTCTCCAGGAGTCGAGGACGATTTCGTGTCTTTTCGGTCCCGACGAGCAGCGTCCTCGTCCTCGAGCGGAGTTTCTTCCCGCTGCCAAACCTGGCCGACGAGACCGGGGTCGGTCGGTTCCTCCGGGGAGGAGGTCGGCAGGGTCTCGTGGATTTTCGTGCGAACGTTCTCGACCTCGTCCCGAGTGATGCCCAGGAGCATTATGGACTTCTCGGCGGGCGTAAGGTCGTTCGCCAGAGGCAACGGGTCGCCTTCCTCGTAGGAGTCCTGACTTTCCATGGTCCTCAAGGTGGTCAGCGACTTGGAGCCCTCGTCGATCTCCAGGGACCCTCTGGGAAAGAGTTCGTCGACGTTGGAGATGCTGCTGAACCTTTCGTCGATCGGCCCGGAGGAGTCCTTCTCGGGGCGCGTTCTTCCTTCGGCCTCCGAAGAGGTCCTGGGCATCTCGCGGGTCCTCTGCCAACCTCGGACCTGCTCGTAGAAGGACCGAACCGAGAGCCAGTTGTACACTTCTGGAACTAAAGAACGGAACCTCGTCAAGTCGAAGGACATCGATGCGATCCCGGTCTCTTACCTATGGAGATCGACTCGACTACGATGAATTCCAGGACCCTGAGCCCCGGGAGGCCGTCTTCCACGTAGAGCACCCCGACTACGCAGAGGACCACCAAATCGAGGAGCTTCCTCAAGACGGTGATGCCCATCCAGGGCAGGACCAGCCGCGGATTGCTCCAGCTCAAGATCGCGAAGAAGTTGAAGAGAAAGCTGACGGGATACACCGCGGACACGAGGGCTCTGCCGAGAGCCACCCACGAGAGCACTGAAGCGACAAGCGACGCAGGTATCACTAGACGATCTATCGTAAGATCCACCCTCGATCCAAGTATAAGGATTTACCGACCACCTTTGATCCAACACGTCAAGCCCTCGCCCTCGGCCAGGTCTCCACTGGACAGTCTCAGACTTTGGATTTCCTTCAGCTGGTCTCTCCAGTTCAGGGGACTCCGGCGAAGGACGCTGTTGACCTTACGAGACGGCGCGTCGGTATACACCCTGGCGGATAAAAAAATGGCAAATTCGCTGATCTCGACTTACAAATCCCAAGTGAGTCATGATCAGCAGCTCGGTTCGAAAGGACGTCCCCGCGACCCGGCCGAAAATCCTATACATGGAGGATGGCGAGGTTTCCGTCTTCGGGTCGGGCCGGGGCCTCCGGAGGTGGACCTCCCTTCCCGGCCGAGCATCCTCGACGGTATCCGCGCAATCCCGTTTCTTTTCTCTCGCCGCGACGGATGTGGAAACGAGGGCTACACCTTCCTCGAAACGTCGATCCCCTCGCGGCCGCGTCCGACCATGCTTCGCCCGGTCGTCGAGTCTCCCGATTTCGGGTCTCTTGATCGGTCCACGGGGCGACGCGGCCGACGCGGCCGCGTCCGGAAGGAAGTTCGAACTTGGCGCGGCGGGTTTTCTTTAAATAGCGCCGACGCGGGTTCGCGGAAGATCGTGAATGGCCGTCCCCTCCAGCTGGCGGAGAGGAATCGCCCGTTCCGAGCGACGACGTAGGGAACTCCCGCTCCGCGCATGACCCGCGTCGTCTTTTTACGAGTTTCCCGCGAGGCGGATCGCGTCGGCGAAGAAAGAGCCGCTCTCGCGGCGAGGACGCGCATCGGAGAGGCGTCCTATCGGTCCCAGACCTTCGACCCTCGTCGCCGAGGGGACGTCTTTTTCCAAAGCGTCTCGCGATCGCTCGAATCGACGAACAGACGGATTGGTTTTTCGGTTCGCGGCGCTCGGGACCGAGCGAGGCCGAGAGAGGCTCGGTTTCTGGATGTCGGTGGACGTCGGTGTCGCGTCCGCCGGGGCGAGTGTAGGCCTAGGTGTAGGTGTAGGTGTAGGTGTACGTACGCGAACGGGCGCGCCGCGGCCGTTCTTGGCACAGTTTCTGGCGATCCGCTAGCGAGCGCGTACACGCCGCTGGACCGACGTCTCCTCTTCTGCGCGTCGCTTCCCGAGGACCCGCGAGGTCCGCCGAAAGAGTCCGCGCCTCCAAAAGTGAGTTTCTACGACATACCGGTCCGGCCAACCGAGGACCGCGATGACGAGTTGCGGGGAAATCGCGCGCTTTTGGGAACGGTCTCCCCGAAGGAGATATCCTTGACCAACCCGGGCCCAGCCCTTCGACGGTTATCGAGTCGGCGTTCTAATTTAAGCGACTACGGGATATCGATTCCTCGATTACGACCAGCTACGTCCGATCGGGCCGAGCCTCGTCCTAATTCTAGAAAGGGACGAGCCCTTGCGCTCGTCTTCTCCGATCGAAAGGCTCTACCGGACCCTTCCCGAGTTCTACGTCGCAAGGGCGACCAACGGCTCTCCGCCGAGCGGACCGCGAATCTTGGCCACCTAGAAAAAGAGCGCACCGGGTGATCGAGCGGTTTCGCTTATTTTTAACCGACGTTTACCGGGTGGCTCGCTCCCCGCCCGAGACGACCGCCAATTCGATGCGCGTCTTCGCGACCGCGCCCGGACCTGCGGAACTCCCAAAAGTCGCGATCGCCCTGAATCGTTTTCGCACTTCGAAATTCGAACTCGTTCGAATTTCCTGACGAAACGGCGGATCGCGTTCCCCCTCTTCGAGGCGGTCGTTTCTTTCGCCGGGGCCCGATGACGCTCGCGAGGTGAACCGGTCGATCGACTCGCGATTCCTTATCGGGTGCCCCGGACCTCGGGATCATCTCGTGGCCTTTGGACAGTCGGGTAGGTAGTTCGAGGATCGAGCGGAAGTGCCGGAAAATTCGGAGGGAAGGTCGGCCGGTTCGGCGATCGCGCCTTTTTAATAAACGCGAAACCCTCGCGGTCTTACGTCACGCCGTTTCCATCCCTGACGTCACCGTCGACCGAACCGGTCGAGCGCGCAAACGCCGGACTCGAATTCAAGGCTTTCGACTCCCACTGCTCCAGAACTCGATCGCTTCCGCCCTCGACCCCGAAGAAGGACCCGTTCCCGTCCGACCGAGCCCGGGAAATCCCTCCCAGGATGCAGCTGACGTCGTGCTGCAGATGCTGCTCGCTGAAGACGGGGACGATCTTCAGCGGAGTATGCGGAATCGTGAGTGTCCCTCGACGAGATCCTCGGGAAGCGCCGAGACCCGGCGTGACGCCTCTCCTCGCTCTTCCAGGTCCTCGCGGTGATCGCCCTGATCGTCATCTTCACGGTGAACGTCGAGTGGAAGACGATCATCGTCGACATCCTCGACAAGACGGCGGTGAAGATCATCTTCGCCGTCAACCTCTGCATGACGATCCTGATCTCGACGCTCCTCATCGTCGGGGCCCTCAGGGTAAGCCGAGGCGTTACCGAAGAGCAAGCGGTACGGATAAGGATAACGATATAACGATCTTTGCAGAGGAATACCTTCATGATGTTGCCCTGGGTGGTCCTGGGGATCATGCTCGCCGTCGCGCTCCTGGTCAGCGTCCTCTACACCTCGATCATGTTCTTCGTCAACCACGACGTCCTAAACGGAGCGCTCTGGCTCGTCTTCGGCCTCTTGTCCGTTGGTAAGCTTCTTTACCGACCGCGCTGCAGCGACTCCCTGAGGAAACGGAAGAGACTTTAGCGCTCGAGAGGGGCGCGGCTAATCGAGGGACGTTTCGTTTGATTGCAGTCGTCTATACGTACATGTGGCTGGTCGTCTACAGCTACTTCCAGCAACTGCGGATGGAGAAATTCAACGGGAGGATCGACCCCTACGGGAGGCCGTACAATTACCGGCGGCCTTGAAGCCGCCGAGCCGCCATTTTTTATTTATTACGACGTTGTATTTATTCCTGCGTTCCGACGATTCGCGCATCCAGCTGCGGTTCGGGGATCGAAATGCTATTTGTAGATACCCACTTGCACCGACGGCGAGTCCTCTTCACCGCAGCTCGGCGTCGCGACGTATTCGCGTCTCCGAAGGAAGTAGAGACCTCGAAGCTCCTTCCGAGAAGCCTTCCACCGTTGACTTCGCGATCGCTTTCTCGACCGATACGCCCATCTAAACCGCCCAACCCGACGTTTTCTAAGGACCGTTAATTAACTCGAATAAATTATTATCGTTTTTACTCCGACTCGCTTAAAGTATCGGCTCCCTCGCCTCGGGTGTATCTTTAAGAACAGGCGATTCAAAATGCCAGCTTTTTCCCGCGACGTCGACGCACCGACTCGCTTCCCGAGGAAAGGAACCGCCATCACCTTTTTAATTGATCGCTTCATACCTTACGAGTGTTGAGCACGTGACCGCTGACCCCGGTCCTTCTCTTGTTCGCCCTATGTTTACGCCACCGGCGAGCCGAGCAATGCTTTGCCGGTTTTATCGGTTAGAACTCTTGTAGGCTCCATTTTGACCTGGTCACGCCATCTACCGACATTCCGGCGAACCCCGTACCCCCTATAAAATCAACGTTACCTATAGTTCGGAACTTCCCCGTGGGGCCATCTCCCGGAACCGCGGCGAAACATCGAGACACTTCAACCTCGCGACAAATAATCGACGACCTTACGGCCCTTGTTATCTCGACATGAACCGAATGCAAATGAACGCAACCAGGTCTAACGATACAGCTCAGTTCTTCGCAGTTCAGTACCGACAATAATAGAGAACGTATTAACCGAACGCTGCGATCATGAATATTTCCTTCGAGGGCAAACGAATCCTCGTAACCGGTGCGGGCAAGGGTGAGTTTAACTGACTACTTGCGAGTTACCGGAACGATACTAGCTCATAAATAACGACCTGGGTAAAAATACATAATTTAATTTAATCCTACCTGCGAAGTCCCGCCGGCTGGAACGAAATAATAATTTTCTCCAAGATGCAAAAATATGATAACCACTTAACCCGGAATTCGGCGATCCGTCTAGGCATCGGAAGAAACCTGGCGCTGCGGCTGTCGGAACTCGGAGGAACCGTGGTCGCCCTCTCCAGAAGTCAGGAGGACCTGGATAGCCTGGTCAAGGAGGACCCTAAAATCAAGACCGTCGCGGTGGATCTGGCGAACTGGGACGAGACGAAAAATGCTGTCCAGGGCGTCCTGCCGATCGACCTGTTGGTCAATAACGCCGCCATGGCGAGTTTGGCTCCGTTCGTCGACATCAAGCCGGAAGTCTTCGAGGTCCTGTACAACGTGAACGTGATAGCGGTGGCGAACGTGTCCCAGGTCGTGGCCAGGGACATGATCGCCCGAAAAGTGGGCGGCAGCATCGTCAACGTCTCCTCCCAGGCTTCCCAGAACGCCCTGAAGGAGCACGTCGCGTACAGCGCCTCCAAGGCGGCTCTGGACATGTTAACGAGGTCCCTGGAAACCTGAGCATGCTTTGGATGTTTCTCCCCTAGCGAGGATTCTTTTCTAAGGAACCCATGTTTCAGGACGATGGCGCTGGAGCTGGGTCCTTGCAACATCCGCGTGAACGCCGTCAATCCCACGGTGGTCCTCACCAAGATGGGGAAGCTGGCCTGGAGCGACCCCGAGAAGGCTCGCGAGATGCTGTCCAAGATCCCCATGGGTCGATTCGCGGGTGAGGCGACCTCGCTTCTTACGTTTATCCTTCTTTCCGTCGACGGTCGTACGTAACTACGAAGTCGAGGTCGAGTGCTCTCATTTCTTACGTTGCAGAAGTCCACGAGGTCGTGGACGTCATCGTGTACCTCCTGAGCGAGCGCAGCTCCATGGTCAACGGGATCACCTTGCCGGTCGACGGAGGATTCCTGGCCGTGTAAAGGTGCCTCTTCCCCGACCTTCGTCGAGAACGGCTCTTCCCTTTTCTTGCTATTTTTTCCCTGTGAAGTCACCGCTGATAAAGTAGCTCCCGTCGAGGGAGTGCGAAAGTTCAAGGACGACGAGTCGCGCTATCGACCGGGACGCGGGACTGGAAGGAGGGATGTTTTCGATAAGGAGGCAAACAAACCGGCAATAAAGTCCAATTACAAGTATCTCATTGCTTTCTCTCCTTCGTGGTAATTTACTCTTCGAGTAAATTCGATTTATCCCTCTCGCTACATGCACGGACGATCCTCCTCCTGTCCTCTTCTAGTCGATTAAAAGATCCTTATGTATGTACACGAACGCACACGCGTGACCTGTCGATTATCGCCCCGACGAAGATCCCGAACTCTCTGGCGACCGCCCGGTCGACCGGGAACCGATCGAGTCGCTCTCCCTCCTTCCTTCCGGAACCAGGATTCCTGTGATCCCTCTCTGTCGGGACGTCGTTTCCGTCTTCCGTGCGGCGACCGAGCCCCTCGAGGGCTTCCTGACGCTTCGCCGCGTAAAACGCCCCGCCTAAAGTCGACGTTACCGAAACGACTTTGACGAGAGAGGAAGCGAGAGGAGAGAAGCCGGCCCTTCGACGTGGCTTCGTTCGTCTCGTCTCCTCCGGGTCACGGGGAGTCCGCGAACTCCCTCCTGGGCGTACAATTAATGTATATACACATACAAACCGTTCGACTTTCGATAAAGCGGTTAACACTTGAAACACATTGCCACCTCGTCGTCGTTGTCGTCGTCGTATTTGCCGTCGTCGTCGTCGTCGTCGCCGTCGCTCGGTACCGATCCGCGTTAGTGGTTAGGTAGGACCAAAGACGATTCAAATTGCGAAATTAATCGACCGCTTCGCTTCCTCGCCCGGTCCACGGTGTAACCAGCGAAACTTAACGCAAAGGTTTAAGCAAATCGCCTCGAACCCGGGGAAGAGGTTCCGCGAGGACTCGCGACCCCAAGCGGTCGATCGATTTCGGCAAACCCTAAACCAACGTACCTTACCTACGAGTTATGTACTAGTCCGGGATACGGTCCATCGGTATTTCGCGTCCGAACCTAGATCCCTGTGCCTACGTTCTTCGTTAAGTTGATATTAAAAAAGGACCTTAACGCGCGTCGTCTCTTTCTCTCGCAACGGTGTAGTCAGGACGCGGGGAGCTCGTCTCCCCCCGACTCGAGAAAGACGCCCGCGAGCTTCGACTTCTAGGCCGTCCAATCGCTCGGATATGCCGCGGACAAAAAGTTCCTCGCGTTAACGAAAAAAGGGAAATAAAACGGAGTAAAAGTAGGAGAGCGACCTCCGAACGCCGCCACGTCCTCTCGTCCGCGCGTCCTCCTCCAAGGGGCTCGGCTCGATCGCCCTCGAGGAGGAGGCCGACCGCGCGGCCAGAGTCCTCTTCCTCGACGGCAGTGTTCCGCGTCCCTCGAGCCGGGGGGAACGCGAAGGAAGAGAGAGGCTCCTCCACCCTGGGCCCCGGGGACGCGCGGCCGCCCTCCTCGACTCGCTATACGTCCGACGCGGTAGTAGTAGTAGTAGTAGTAGTAGCGGTAGCGGTAGCGTAGTAGGAGTAGCGGGAGTAGTAGTAGAGTAGTAGCGGTAATAGTAACGGTAGTACCTATGAAAAAAAAAAAAAAAATACATAGAAAAACACGTGTCGGTAAGACATACCTATGTATATGTAACTTTTTTATCACGTTTTCCTATTTTTCCCTCCTGCCCCGGGCCGGGCGGGGCGACCGAGCACCCGGGGGACCTACTCCGGCCCTACTTGCTCCTCTGGCGACCGGTGGGTGGCGCTGGTGGGGGTGGCGGTGGAGGTTGCGCCGCCGTCGCCGTCGCCGGCCGACTCACTTGCTGTGCCGAACGCTTGCCCGCCTGGCCACCAGGGTGGGCGGGGCCATGGCCGTCGCATTGGCGCTTCCAAAACAAAAGACACAGAAAAGAGCGACATTAGCGCGCCACCGTGTCTCGGACGCCCTCTTCGATCCGTCCCTCTCGCTCTCTCGCTCTCGTTCCCGGTCTCGCGTCTCTTTTGCGCTTTCCGCTCGCTCGTCCGTCCTCCGGACCGAGGCGAGGGCTCTTCGCTTTTGCCTCGTCCCTCCGACGTTCCTCGCTGGTCCTCGACGTGGTGTCTCTTGGTCCGTCCTTTCTCTCCCGCTCTCTCCCTCTCTCTGTCTCTCCGTCCCTCCGTCTCGCGGGGCGCATCGAGGAGACGGGGCCGAACGCGCTCGCAAGGAAACGTGGAAAGAGGCGAGACCGGGCGCGCTCGCTCATCGTCTCTCGTTCTTTCTTTCGAGGGAGAGACCGATTTTCCCCCGCGTGTCGCTACGGAGTCCTCTCTACCGTGCCACGGGAGGAAGCATGGTTCCCGCTTCGAGATTCGGCAGCGACCAAGGTCTAGGTTTAACGTTTCTCGTGCGCTTTACCGCGACTCTTACATTCTTAAGCGTTTTTGTCAAACGGGGCTACCTGAAAATCAACGGAGAAAAACGGACAAGTTTTATGGGAGCTTCGAAGCCGACTCGTTTCGTCGGATCTCCTCTCTCTCTCTCTCGTCCTCGCCGCGCCCCGCCCAAGAAGAATGCCGACGACCCGAGAAGGAGCAAACGGAACCGGACGGGCGAATCTACGCGTCCCGGCGGCATGCAAGGCGCGACGGACTCCGCCCGACCCCCAGGAGTCGAGGCTCGCGTTTCTCCGGAGAGAGACGGGAAAGGGACCCCGAGTCGAGCGGAATTACCGGAAGCTACTCAAGTGGGAACCATGCCGCGGTATCCGACGTTGGTCCTTCCTTCCTCGCGACTCGCGACCTCGAAGACTCAAAGTTTCCAGGACCCCCGAGGAGACGGCGCCCGCGGCCGTCGGTGCGAGGACTCCGGGCGCCGTCGAATACGATACCAGACTCGTACCGGAAGGTGGCCAAGGTGTAGCAACTCACTTGGACTTGGGCTGCATCTCCCCCGCAACCGCCGCCGCGGCCGCGGCCGCGGCCACGTTGTTGCGGTGCAGCCGCAGGCTGATCCTTCTCTCCTGGCCTCCACCGGCGGACACTGAAAGAGACCATCGTTCGTTACTCCGTTCGGTTGGCGCGTTCTTTCGCGACGAGGAAAAGCGCAAAGCGAGCGTCGACGGTTCCTCCGCGCGGCGGAAAATCAAGCGGAGCCGCGCCTCCGCGTAAGGACGACCCGAACGCGACGTGGTTTTTCCATTCAAGCCAAGTGAGAAGAGAAATTTAGACGTACAAAAAAAGGATCCTCGACGTCGCGAGCGTGGTGTGAGACAGAAATAAAAAACAGACCAGTCCTTGAATGGAAAAACGTTTATTTCTACTTTCTTCTCATAATAAAAAACAGGCTGATTACAATAGGTGATACGAAGACGGTTGGAGGAAAATTAAAACGAGGCGAGAGGTGGAGAAAAACGAACGCTTAACGCCTACCGACGAGAACGCCGGGGAGGAAGGAGGTGGACGCCCGAGTCTCTAGGTAGAAAAATATATATATGTATGTATCGAGATTGCGAAGGAAATCCGCGAAAGAGGACCGAACGAACGGCGGCTCTCCCCGCTCGACCCCTCGCCGGTACCCTCTAGGAATCTAAGCTTTGGCAGTATCTAGGAGACTCGGCGCTCCTTCCTCTGGACGAGAAATTCCTCCCAACGTCCCCCGCGTCCGGGACCACCCCCTGTGGCCTCGTGGCCGTGAGATTGGCGTTACCTATACCTACGAAGTCAGTCTATAACTTTCCGTCAGTCTGGAGATCAAGAATGTCATGTAAGGAAGCGTCCAACGACGAGTCGCTCCTTCGAGGGGGTCCCGCCCGATTCGGGCAAAGGGGGCATCGATCGGACCGTCGTCGTCGTCGGACGTGCGTACGTACACGGATCGTTTCCTTAAACGCGAACGTTACCTACATTAAAATGGTTTGGCATGTGACGCGCGACGCGTCGTCCTAGGGTCTACGTATTAAAAAAAGGGGGGACGGGGGGGGGGGGGCAAAATAAAATACTAATCGTAACGATTGGGTCGCTTTCTCTCTCGTTCCCGACGAACTCTTCTCCCGGAGACTAGGCGTGAGGTACTTTGTCGACTTTGGTCGGGTCGCGATCGTCTCTCCGATGTCCGACGCGAGCCCGAAAGGTCCCACGCGGCTCGATTTCCCTCGAACGGAAAGGAATAAAAAAAAAAAAGAAATCCTACACCGACCCCCTTGGACCGTTTGACGGATCGTCGAGACGCTCTCGCTCTTCCTTGTCGTCGCAAATCGAGCGCTGTAACGATTCTCCGCAGGAGCAAGACCGCGCGAAAAGTGCCGGGCTAGAGCCTACGTGGACATCGCAAAACGGTCTGCTGGAGGTCGACCTCGAGATCGCTCGGTACGTGGTGCAGGCTGGCAGTGGTGATTCCCTCTCGAGAATCGAACGCGGGAGTCCTCGGGTGAGTCGGGATCCCGGTATCGAGGAGCGGGTGTTAAATGCAGATGCAGACGAAGAGATCCAGGAGGATTCCTTTGAGGATGTCGAGGTTGCCCTGGGGCTTGGCACGGCCAAGGGGGTCGCTGGAGTTCGTTCCGGTACTGGCGGCGTCCAGATCGGCCTTGGCGATCCAGTCCAGGTAGCGGTCGCGCTTCTCGGGCTCCGCGTCCGCGGAGCCGCGGCCCTCGCCGTGGTTCAGAGTCTGCAGACTCCGGAGGTAGAATCTGCCCAGCTGGCTGATCGAGTACCCGATCTCCAGGCTGTCCTTGTTGCCTGCGCTGATGGTCTCCTGGGTGGCGACGCTGGCAGGGGCGGGGCCGGTCGGGGACTCGGGGAACGGCACCGTCTCCTCGTCGGCCGTGCAGGGACTGCGGCCCCGACTCGCGACTCCGTCGACCTCGTTGTCCCCGTCGGACCTCGAAAGGGGCCGCCGGCCCCGGGAGTCGTCTCCTCTCGTCTCCGTTTCGAGGTCCTCCCGGGGACTCGGCTCGCCCGGCCCGGGCCCGAGGTCGGGAGCGTGCTCAAAAAAATTCGGATCCTTCCTGTGTCGGCGTAAAAAATACTCGCACTTGTCCTGGCCGCTCCTGGGAAGGTCGGTCGACCTCTCCTCCGGGCCCAGCAGCTCTTGCGATCTGTCGCGCTCGCGCGGCAGGAAGTGCAGACTCCTGCCGACCCGCTGGAAGAAGCCCGCGCGCTTCCGGGACTTTCCCGTCGAGTCGGCCGACTTCTTCGACGAGTCCAGACTCCGCTGCTTCCCGTGAAAGAAGGGCCTCCTCGGTTCCCGCGCCAGAAGGTCCAGGCTCTTGGCGTCGGCCCCCGGAAAGTCGGCACTCCTCTCCAGGGACTCCATGCTTCGGTGGACCTTGTCCTTCCTCCGCGCTCTGCCGGCGGAGGCCTCCTGGAGCAGCTCGACGCTGCTCTTCTTGAAGATCTCGCCCTCCTTCTCCAGGAACTGGACGCTCTCCGAGTCGGGCCTCGGCCCGTAGGCCTGCGCCTTGCCATCGTCCTGGCGCTCCTCCCTAGCCGGGAGCCCGAAGCAGCTCATCCCGCCGGTTGCCTCCTCCCTCCTTCGGACCGTCTCCGGCCCAAGGGCCCCAAACACCACGACCTCGCGATCTACGTTTTTCTTAGTCTTATGCCCATGAAAAAAATAGCTCCGCTCGTCGAGGCGCCTTGGCTCCGCGTCGGGGCTCCCGTCGCGGGGCTGGCCCGCGGGCTGGTAGGAGACGCGCGACGTCGCCGAGCCAAGGTCGCCCCGGCCCCGGTCCCGAGCCGTCTCGCGATGTCCCAGCCTAAGGCCCGCCACGCCCAGGGTCATCGGGTCGTCCCCGAGACCCGTCCCCGGCGGCGACTTGAACGTGCTAAACTGACGGGGGTAGGGGTGCCCCTGCTGTTGGCCCGCGCGGTACCGTTGGTACAATTCTATTATACCTTGCAGCTCGTTCTTCTCCTGGTTATCCTGGTCCCCGCGAGCGTCCATGCCCTCGTGCTTCTGTCGGCGCCCCGACGTCCCCACCGTGGGTCCCACGTTGCCGCCGGAGGCCTTCTCGAGGCACTGTCGCGCGTAAGGCCTGCAAATTCGAACCACTTCGTGAGTCCCGAGCTGAGGTCGCGCCTACCTCTCTCTCTCTTTCTCTTCCCCCGCCCGGCGCGGCCATTTCCCGATTCATTGACCCAACGTCCGAAAATAGAGCGCACTCGTCGCAATAAAATGACCGGACTATTTATAACGCGGAAAGAACTCGGTGTGCACCGCCAAGGTTCGATCCTCGGTGCCGCCCTTCGAGAGAAGGCGCCCGGGAAGGTCCGCCGGTACTGACCTCAGTCGATGTTCCTGATCGTTGTTGGCCGTCGAAGGTAACGCGGCGTTGGTAGGCTGCGAGTGGGCCGGGGCCTGTCGGGCCCAAGGGGCCGGCTGCCTGGTGTTGCCGAATTTCAACATGTTCCAGTCGAACACGTAGTCGTAGGTGAATCCCTGATTGTGGAACAGCGTTCGAAATATCTGACGAAGGTACGAGTAGTCGGGCCTCTCCTCGAAGTGCAGCTCCCGACAGTACGTCAGGTACGAAACGAATTCCGCTGGGACAAGAAAGAGAAGAGCAGGAGACTCAGTCGGAAGTCGGGATACGCCTGCGAAGGGAAGGACGGGGAAAAACTGCGCTCCGAGTCGCTCTTACCAGGATAGCCCTTGCACAGCTCCTCGATGGACGTGGACATCTTCTTCTCGGAGATGCGCTCGTACTTTTGCCTCTTGGTCGCGGCCTTCAGCCCTTGCCAGGGCAAGCTGCCGCGGTTAAAGTACATGAGCACGTAGCCTAGTGACTCGAGATCGTCTCTTCGGGACTGCTCGGCTCCCAAGTGCGTGTTTATGCTCGCGTATCTGGAAGGAATAGTGCCGATTTAGTCGAGTCGTCGTTTCAAAGCTACGGCATTCATTTTCGGGGAGGAGGTATCGTTTCCACTCACCTGGCCGTACCGGTCAAATTCTTGTTTTCTCGGTAAGGTATGTGCTTGTGGGTGTGACTGTCGCGATATTTTTTCGCCAGTCCGAAGTCTATGATATATACAAGATTACCCTTTTTCCCCAACCCCATTAGGAAATTATCCGGTTTGATGTCCCGGTGAATAAAGTGACGGCTGTGGACGTAGTCAGTTCTGGATATCTAAAAAAAACCAAGTCGACACGTATCCCTTTAAAGTACAGAAAAATAGACGTTTCTTTAGTGACGATTATTTTTCACCCCCCGAAAATTCAGAAATGTAGCGACAGATGGAACTAATTTCAAATCGCTTAGGTCGGTGTCAATGTACTCGCGGTATGTCCAGACAAAGACAATGAATTCAAACTAAGAAGACCAGGGCAATCGCTGGATGAACTTTGGACACCCATTAGGAACATATCGTCGATTCCAGGGAAACTAAGTCAATAAACAATGAGCCCGAGGGTCTCCCTAAGAACAGCCGGATAACAGCTGTCTATCGAATGACTTATCTTTAACGGTTCGAGACAGCACGTTTCATTGGTTACATTGCTCGATGTAATTTAGGTTTGCATTATGCAATAGAGGTACAAAGACCGAGCGCATGGATTGTTAATAACTTCAACACTGTCAACGATACGAAATACCAATAACGGGACTTTAATTCTTGAAACGCAATTAGTAAAATGGAAGTCAACGGATGCAACAGCCTATGTGTCCCTGGACGACCTACTTGGAAGTCAAGCTAAGTGGAGCATATCACTGGGAAGTTCGACCGTACCTTCGGTGAAAGTATTTTGTCGGTTGATCTACGCCCTCCTGAAAATACTCTGCTCATTAACAGAGACAAATTTAGAGTGGCTCGAGACTATACAAAATGTTACATAATCCGGAAGAAAATGATGAGATACGATGCGGTATCTTCGAGCGTGTCAATGTTTATTATGTATGGGTTAGATCGTCGCAGCAAACTTACCAACTGATCGGCGAGCAGTAGAACGGTTTTTAAAGAAAATCTCCGAGAACAGAAATTAAAAAGATCTTCTAGCGACGGTCCGAGAAGCTCCATCACCATGACATTATAGTCACCTTCCGAACCGCACCATCTTATGGTAGGAATTCCAACTGAAACGCAACAAAATTATTCATCCTACTGATTTTTCATGGACAAAACTTAAAACCGAGAAATATGCGATTCAGCCAAAAACGTATTAACGGAGACCGCCTAGACACTTGCAAATATATCGACCCATTGCCTGACAACGTACTCAAGGGTGAAAAAAAAAAACAACAAAAAGAAAAAATCCAACAGAAAAATTATTTAACCTCTAATTAAAGGTAGTATTTATCTCTAGGCAGCGACCGATCGTTACCATCTCGGCTTTGATCGGTACTTTGTCCACCAACTGGAACCAACAACGAGTCACCATCGACTGACATTCGAAACAAGGCATATGCTTTGTATCGTAGTTAAAACAGGGCGGAAGGTAAGAGGAGAGGGGAAGAAATAAAAGGTGGAGAGGGGAGGAAGGGAAGAGGGGAAGAAGGGGCAGTGCCCAGGCGAGCCAGCTGTAGCCAAACCAAACAAAACATTTTGACAGGTCTATCGCAAGTTACTTGGCGGCGCTTTGCTCCGATATTAACACCTTCGCGGTTAGGAGTACTCACCGCCGCTCTGCATCATCTTGTAAAACTTGGACTCTATGTGAAGCTGGGGGTGCCGAGTTTTTATGCATTCCAGCTTTATGGCGACTTCCGCGCCAGTGGTGATATCGGTACCTGCGAATAGAGAGAGAAACGCCACAGATGAGAACCCCCTGGAGATACTCAGGCGAGGAACGGCGCCGATCCGCTCGCAGGGTAGACGCTGGGCGAAATCAACCCGAAACGGGGTGGGAGGCTCATAGTTACCTAGATAAATGTCGCCGAAGGAGCCGCTCCCGATTTTCCGGCCGAGCCGGTACTTGTTCCCGACGCGGAGCTCCATGCCGCAGCCGCGTAGGCTCGCCGCGGACGCTTGCACGATACGTAGCGATAACTGGACGAGTTCCCGTGGGCACGGCCGAGAAAAGCGCGCGAGTTATCTGGCGTGTCGGTGTTAGAGGCTCGGGGGGGCCTGAACCGCCATCTTTGATCGCCTTGATCGCGCTGCTACTGCTCGCCGCGGCGCCGGACGCACAGGCATTTCTTTCTCTCGAAGCGAGGACCGAGACTGACGGCGCTCCACGCTATCGAGGTGGCGCTCCTCGCGGACTCTTCTCGCACCGTTCCGAGACCGGACACTTCCAAAATGGCCGATGTCCGCGGACGAACCGACTGCGACTCGAGGGACGCACCTCCGAGACGGGACACGTTGGCTTCGGATGATTTTCACTTTATTACCTTCCCGGCGCCCTGCCAACGATTCGAGCGAGGCGTCGTCGCGAACGGACTTCCTTGCACTCCGAAACTATCCGGCGCGGGTGGCGATGCGCGCGGAGGGACGCCAAACTAGACGAGGAAGGTTTCAAGATGGCAGATTTTAAGGACTCGATCCAGGCGATCTTGGCACATCCGGACGGGAGAATTTCACACCATTATCTCTATCGGCCACGCGAAATATCCCGAGGACGTTTCCTTCTTCGAGACCGTAGAGTAGCTGGTGGCGCCGTCGAACGGCGGACTCCGAAACTGTCCCCGGAAATTCCAAGATGGCGCACGGCACCGATCGAGCGGACGGAGCGATCCGAGAAACGAAATGGATGCACTGTCTGGAAAAAGGTTTACCCGTCACTCTTCCGTAGCCCGTGGATCGCCGGATGACCGTTCACTCCCGGAAATGGCTGCCTTGACAGGGAGCACAAGGAAGCGACACCGAGGGCAGTCTACCACGTCGCGAGGGGTCGTCTTTAGTCCTCGTCGAGACGCGTCCACTTGTCGATCCCTCTCGCACCTCGTACGGCCGGACGCGCGCGTACGAATTTATGCACCACTCCCGCACCCCCGGCAATCGCTACGCGCAACGCCGAATTTCGCGTAAACTGCGACTTCGCCCGGAGGGTGCCCCCACTCGACTGTACCGATACTCTGGCAGTACTGGCACTCGCACGGCAATATACCTCGATGCTTCAGGTGCACGCCGACAGAGAGTCCCAGGGGGTACTTCTGTCCCTTTCTCTGTGCTTTCTGCGCATGACTGTTCTTTTGCGCGTTCAACCGAATACAGTCCGGATAATATGCATGTCCACCATTGGAGGCAAGTGCGCGAGTCGCCCGCATTCTACACCGAGGGCAGCACGGAACGCAATCTTACTATCCTGTCGCATCTGCTGCTCGTGATCATCAGGGAGTTTATTACGTATTTTTAACGAGAACGCTCACTTCTCGGACTTTCATCTCACGTGGGTTTATGCGCCGAATTACGTATTCGCTATATGAAAAAACGAGATTACTAGCATTTCCGGTCTAGTAATATTTTAAATAAAGGTATATGCCTCGCAAATCGAAAATCGTTGAGAGGTAGTGGGTTATATGAACAAAAGGCGTGAAGATGGAAAACCATTAAAAGTGAAGAAGAGCACTCGAGTCTATCTAAATTATTTTATTATGTATTGCATTCATATTTACATGTACTATAATTAGAAGTTCAACAATATAATTTTCTTATCATGTCATGTAAGTATGAGACAAGTCGGAAGGTTAAATTTGATCTTAACTAAATTCTACTTCGCAGCTAGTTTGCGGATCGGTGTCATCCTTAGGGGATGACACCGATCCCCCAGGTCCCGCCACGAGGAGGCCGCTGCAACTGGGACCCGCCTAAGCATAGGCACCTGGTTCCGTCGAATTCCCAGCGTCCCAGGAACTCGCAGAACCAGGATTCCATAACCCATACGACATACCACTCTCATACCATACTCATACATCCATACAATACTCGCCGCTTAGTATAAGAGAAGTCGCAGAATACACTTCCAGTTGGCCTCGAATTTCGGATATAAATTGCCAAAGTGGCATACTACTTCTAACGCGAACAATCCAGCAGCTTCCACCGTCACCGGCGACTAACCCAGCCCGGCTGTCAGCTCGCGAATACGAGCTTCACTCAACGGACTTGGCCCGACTTACAGCAGGCAGAGCCCCAGCAGGCTGCCGCCAAAGCGAAGCACCGCATCGCAAACTGACAACCTGAGCCAGGCAGCCTTGCACGCCGTAGCCTAGCTACGACGTACTGGGTGCCGACGGAAGCTGCCAGATACGCTAAGGGTAAGGCATTGCCATACCCGCAAGAATCTACCTCGATTAGCAAATGCAAATCCGAAATTGCTTGCTGCGTGAAAAAGTACCCGACAATGTCTCTTCCGCAAGTTACACTACCGCACGCACGGAATGAATGTTTCCACTTTTATTTACATTAGACTACTATTATACAACAAAAAAAACAAGCTAAGTAGAATCATTCGCGCAGCTATTAGCGAATTGGTGGTTTCCAACGATAGTTGAAAACCACCAATCCCCCAGGCTCACCACGTGGAGGTTGCTGCGTATCGAGCCCATTACAAATGTAATAAATTAAGTTAAATATAGTAGGAAAGGAAATGGGAGGAAGGGGGATGTCTCTCATAAGGCTCGGTTTCATAACCTAAGTTAACCGGAGTTTGATTGTTACTCAAGGGTTGAATCAGACATTAATAATGCTCCAACATACATACAGGTGTGTGCATGTATGTGGGAGCAATGGTAGAAGTATATAATAGGATGTTAACCCTTTGGAAGACCAAAGGGTAACGACGCTCCAACCGCGCGCTCGGCATTATATAGGGACTCCCACCCAGGCGTGCGCAGTTCCGTATCCCACCTTTGTATATTCCGACTTTTGACTTTCGTTATAAAAACGGAATGTCATGGTTATCAAACCCTTTCCCAGGGTATTTATCATCCCGTTATAAAATTTCAATCGATTCGGTACCCCCAGTTCTGAGAAAAATTTCGTAAACAGTGACCCCTCGGTTGCCCCGTTCACGTCACCTTGACGGAAAATCCGTAATTTTAATATGATGGGAGTAGAAGGGTACCTTTTCCAGGAATCTGCGGTCGGGTGTCGGTCGGGGGAAGGGAGGGGACGGTAATTGCGGACCCCCGAGGGCGTAGAAAAAATTCAGGGAGTCGCGGCGAAAATATATTCAGTCTTCTCTCGGCGTCCACATTCAGAAGGTCGAAGACTAAGGAGACGATCATTTTGGAAATAAAAGTTTAATGATAAAATAAGTGATGTTACAATAGGTATCGTGTACAAAATGCCGGATACGGCAATGAAATTTAAAAACCTCGGAACCAAGGCGTTCCTTACTCATCTAAATGCGTTGAAAATCGTTCTGTCCCTTGGGCAGTATCGCATGGAATACATAATACGTGCACGAGTCTTATTCTTCGAAGCAATAAGGCTTTAAATAAACGTTCCTAGGTCGTCATACGATAAGAGACAAATCGAAAGAAATAGTAACCGGCTTGCCGTCCGTACCGACGCAGAGGTTTTTGCCATCGTTGGCCATTTTAACGGGCAGTGGTATTAAAGTGACGGGCTTATCAAACGCAATCGATTAATCTTACGGGGGAAATGGGACGATTTCCGATGGGCACGATCGTTAGGCTTAGCGTTAAAATTAGTAACACGCTACGAGCTCTGCCATACGAGTCGGTCAGCCACTCTGGTAAAAATTCATAATAATTATGAACGTTCTGCGGAATAAAATCTATCTACAAAGGCCCCAAACGTTAATCTTATTAACAGGTATATTGTATAATCGTAGTCGATAATCATTCGTACATACTAAGACGACGGGTAGAAAATGCATAAAGTCCATTCGGTCGTAACTCGTGAGTATCGGTGATCCGTGCTCGGAGAAGGCGCGTTCCGTACGAGCTCGCGTGCAAAAGCTCTCCGAAGCTTCCTTCTCCGCAACTACGACGATCCGCTAATTCGAAAAGGTGTTTCAGGCCCTGCGTCGAGTCATATCGGCTCGAAAAGGAGTTCTACTGAGATCAGAGGTGCAATAGGTGTCCGAAGCGCTGCCGAACGTAGACCCAAAATTGGGTACTCGATATGCGGACGAGAAATGCCCGCGTCGACGCTCCGAGAAAACTCAAGAGTAGAAATCATATATACCGCAAATTGTCCTCCACCAAGATTACCTAAACGAGTAGAATGTACCTAAGCGACCGTAGGCTTAGCGTAGTAACAACGTTAACGAATACTAGACACGTATACGTACAACTTAAGCTCAACCGCAATCGTAAACGAAGGCGCAAGAAAAGAGGAAAGAAATAATAGTTACGATCGAGAAAATGAATCCGATGCGCTCTCGAGACTCGCATCGGAGCTCGTTCGCTTAAGTAGAGACTTTCCTTCTCTCTTCCACTCTTTTCCTAGCGTTCGACTCGTAACGTGCGAAATACTGGATGATCGGACGAGAGCTAATCGACGCCGTTCAAATTTAATCCGTAGAAATACGTCGTACGCTGACGATTTGTCATTTACTCGTACGCGAAAGGATACCGAAAACCTCGCAACGAGACCCTGAATTACGTACCTAAGCGTTATAGAAAAAAAAAATTCGTTAAAACCCACCGTCGAGCGGGACGAGAACTCGACACGATTCGTCGGTACTCTCCTGTAACATCGGTACACCACCCCTCGAATGATCACGCGGTAATTAACGCGCTCGTAACGAGTAAAAAACGAATCGTCCCTCGACGAATCTTTAGAGCTGCATTCGCGTTTGCAATACTGTCGGGAGGATAAAGAAAAGGGGGAAAAAAAATAAAAATAAAAACAAGAGTAAAACAGGAAAAACCAGAAATGCATCCATTCCACGGGTACGGCGTTCCAGGTCTTCCCTATACTTCGGGAACCTCCCATCGTTCCACCTCCGTTATTAAAATCTAATCGCCACACGGTAATCCGCGGTGTTCCCGAGAGCTCGGAAGACCGTGCCAATGTCGTCCTTAATGCCTAGGGTCGCGTAGAAATCTAGACTTTAAAAAATCTACGGATATAGAAATTCTAACTACCGCCGCTGTGTACACGCTTCCCGATGTCGCTGTTAAGTAGGGCCGGGTGTACGTTCTTCGCCCTCCGATCGGGCCCTTGGGTCTAGGGGTCTCCGAGGACTCCTGGTGCTCCCGTTCGGAGCCCTAAGATCCGACTTCTTCGGGCCTGGCCAGCGGCGCCTTCGACTTCTCGGTGGTCACCATGGTCGTGGTCACCTCCAGATTCGCCAGGTCAGCCGCACTAATCTGAAAATTGACATCGATTCGTGAAGGCGACGGAAATGGCCAGGCTCTGCACCCTGGACCCGCAAATCGGTGCTTAAACGCGCTCGTTCGAGTCCGCTTTACCACGTGTCCCCTGGAGACCCAAGGAACGGTCTCTTTTACCGGGTAGCAGCGCACCTGACCGTTCGTGGTACCGTAACCCCACAGGTGCCGGGAAATTAATACCTAACCAGCCACCACGAATGCTCCGACCAGGTCGGCGACATCGTCGAGTCTACGATGAATGCGTTAATCGAATGAAAAAATGAGCATTTTCAACATATCAGCCAGGTTACCGTCCAGCTAATGGAAGGAGCACTGAAAAAGGAGGATCTACCGTCAAGCGATCGATGGGTAAGAGTCTCGAGGAAGGTTACCGATGTACCACCGAGTACCCACGGTAAGGTGCATTCCGAGGGTCCTCGCGGTTCAGAGGCGTCCCGTCACCTTGAGCGAGTTAGTACCGACGTGTTGCCAATCGCCCCAAGCGTTAGTAGACAAGTTAAGAGACGCGGAAACCGCTGGCAGCGATTCTAAAAATTAATTCGACTCGTTTGATTTAGGCGTTTGCTGCTGACCTCGACATTCGGGGGCAACGTGATGGTCGCGTGTGTCGTGGTGGTCTCGGTGCCGCTGCGAATCTCTCTCTCTACCGTTGTGCCTACGCAATAAATAAATGGTAAAACAAGGGAGAAGGGTGATAGGTAAGCGAGGGAATACGTGCCAAACGTAAACCGAAAAGCTTCCAAGGGCCTCGGCCTTCCGGGCTCTCCGTTCGTCGCTACTCACTGTTGACTTGCTGCTCTTCGCTCGTCACGGCGTTCTCCACCTCGCCGTTGGTCGTGGCTCCGTTGCCGGGTGTCTGCGAGATTATGGTCGTGGTCTTCACGACCAGGGACTGATTCTGCGTCGAGATCTCCGAGGTGCGGGAGGTCACCTCCATTTTCAGACCCGCTAGGCGACCGTGCAGTTCCTCGGAGGAAGTCGCGGTTCTAAAAAGCGAACTGTTCCTGCCGAGAGGCGGCCGGTACGCGAGTACGTCCAGCGATTAGCAGGGGGAAACCAACCATCGGGGACGACGGTAGCGACCGAGGCGATACAGAGGAGCACTAGAGCAACGGGTACCAAAAGACTCCTACACTTACAGTAGATGATCCTTGACGCTGTCGATAGTGATGTCGCCGATAGAGCTCAGATCTTGGCGATCGTCGTCTCCGTTCACCTCCGAGGTACTCGTCGCAGGCCTCAGGGAAGGCTCTTTCGGGGACTCTTCGCCACCAGCTAAAAGGCACGCGTTACAGATCGAAGAGAAACGGCAAGAACCGCGTCCACTGGCAATGTCTCGCGGCTGCGGTTCTTGGCGCGTCGGAAACGATACAGGAAATAAACGTAGCAAAGCGCACATACAATATTTACACGGGTTATTAAGGCCAAGCGATTACGCGAATTTAATGACTGGCGCCCTGAGGATTTTCACTTCTGGCCGTCCCTTCCAAATGTACGAAGATAAGAAAATATATGATAAGACCTATTTCAGAAATTCACGGGATCCGACAGGACGGGTAGCCCGAGTATGGAAATCCTGGGGCGCCGAATATGTACGCGAATGCACCCCGAAGAATGACGCGCTCTCGTAGATCCTCGAAAATAAAAATCACCGGATGGAACGCGAGGATGAGTGCACGAGCGATCGATCAGTTCTGAAAAGAGCGATCCTTCCCCGAGGGGTCCAGGAGTCGTTGGACTTACTCGAGCCCACCAGGCCATTTTCGGTAATCGTTCTAGGCGCCGGTACCGGTTGACTTCCCTGCGTCTCGCCGTCGGCGTCGGCTCTTCCTTCCACGGTGACCTCCTGTTGCGCCTCCTCGGAGGCGGGTTCCGCGGCAACTTCTACGGCAGTTCTGGCGTTCGGAGGCAAATTCAGGGCGCAGTGTGCCTTCGTCACCTTGGTCGCCGAGAGAGAGATCCGCTGGAGTTCCGAGCTGGAGTGCAAGTACAGTGCTTCGCCCGATCTCGTGAAGGTCAATGACGAGATGCCGCTGCGCAAGAAAAAAAAAAAATAATTCGTTATAAAAAAACTGGCGACAACTAAAGGCGAAAACAAGATGGCGGTCGTCTCACTTGATGTCCTCTCTTTTAATAGCAGCGGCGTTGAGTTGCCTTCTGAGCTCTGGAACGCTCAGGATGAGGCAGTCCCCTAGATTGGTCAAACACAGAAGGCAGGTCTCCTCGTGCGTTCCTGCTGGCTCGACCCTGCAGGTGAATTTTGCGAAGCCGGTCTTCCTGACCCTGGAGCCCTCGTGGGCGGTAAGCTTGTACTTGCAGAAGGGCTTCAACGAAGGAAGGTTGAATATCTTGAACTGCTCCTCGCTGGCGATGGCCACTCTGTGCGGCGAGGCCATGTCCGGGCCTGGACAGACGCCCTTTTCGGCCTCGAAAGGCTCCGGCAGGGGAATACTGGACCCGTCCAGAATGGTTATCGCGATGACCGGGGCGCGATGCTTCAGCTGGATCTCCTTCCCCAGAGTACAATTCACGTCCTTCTCGGTGCGCCTCACTCCCTCGGGGATGGCCAGGGTGAAAACGTAGACCGTCCCGTTGTTCGTGCCCGCCCAAAGCGTCGGCGTCGTATTTTGCACTGCAAAAGAGCGATTAACGCGGGTCACGCCGAGTGGTCGCAGGTTGCGAAATTCGTAGTCGTCGGCGAGGACTTACTGCTGATTATGTAGCTCCTCGCAAAGTATAAACACCGGACCATCGAGCCCAGGGCGTCGTCCACCGGCCTCGCTTCTACCTGTCTCTCCACGGGCTTCAATTCGACGGGGGAAAGGTCGACGCTCGGAGAAGACGCCACGCTCGGCCTGTTGGCAAGAACGCTCGTAAGTATCAGGGGGAGGATACGCGTTTCGGCCAGGCCGATAAGGAGCGGTTACTGACGTTTCCTTCTTTTTCTCGGGCACGGGATTTCTCGTGGGACTGCTGGCATTCGTTCGTCGCTGCGAGCGGCCTTTCCTCAATCGGCGGAAGGACTCCCTAAGGGACTTCTTAAACGATTTCCTCCGGGATATCGGAGTATCGCCGGCGCCGGACAGATCTGCAAAAGAACGCAAATCTAGCAATCGACGAATTGCTGGTACTCGGACGATGGGTATCAGGGAAAAAAAAATACCGAATCCAGGGATACGCGCCCCTTACCGTTGGGATTGAGCGTGCACTTGACGCTGACGGGTTTCACCCTGGTGAAGTCGAAGACAGCCAGCCCGTGCGCTGTGCCGGCAGCCAAGAGTCCCCACTCGCTGTGAATGGCCAAGGCCGTGATGGCGGCCGGGGGATGTAGCTGAAGCAAGCTGGAGGGCTGAAAGCCGACGGCGAAGGAGATACTGGTAGTCCTGGCGGGTAGCTGGTCGTGCCCCTTCCAGACGAAACCGTCGCGGTCGTTGACGATGTTCATGGACACGGCCTTGATCTCCTTGTTGACGGGCTCGGAGGAGACGGTCGCCGTTATGACGTGCCCGGCGGTCCCGGCGATGACCAGGGTCGCCGAGATCGGACACAGTAGGACCTTCTTCACGGCCAGTCGGGGGTCGTCCGAGTACGGGTCGAAGGTCCCGACTTTCCTGAACGGCGGCCACTCGTCCTCCTCGTCCTCGGGAGGCTGCTCCAGAACGTCCAGATGCTCTCCGGTGAACAGGACGGAGGAGTTGTACTTGTAGAGGGGCGTGAGGGCGACGTCCGAGGCGTTCCAGAATCGCACGGTACCGTCCTCGTGGCCGGTCAACAGCAGCTCCCGGGGCAGTTTATCGGGATTGGCCGGCTTGTGGCAGAGGATCATCCCGCCGTCGATGGGCCAGGCCTTGTCCGAATACAGGTGCTCGGTTTGAGCCTTCCCGGCGGAGACGATCGTCTCCCACAGCTCCTCCGGGACGTTGGGCACGTGTTGGGAACAGGTGACCTAAAATCAACGCATCCCGTGATACGGACGTCCCTTATCGGACCATTTCACCTGTCCCGGTCAACGTCGGAAATCCGCGCTTACCGCGCTGGCGTGCAGGGAGACCAGATAGGGCAGCGCCATCATCTTCCAGTCCGTATTGGTCAGGTCGATCGCGACGAGCTCCTCCTCGGCCAGAACGACCAGAGCCTCCGGGATATTCGACGCCTCCTTGCCCTCCTCTTGCTTCGGCATTATCGTGAAAAAGTCGATGACTTTCGACGTAAAGTCGAAAACCACATTCTTGTTCGGACTCATGGCCGTGATCGTGTGGCGGTCGCCGTAGCTGGCCCGCGGCATGCCCCCGGCGAAGAGGACGATCTCCTCGTCGCTGAAAGAAAATACGGGTTCGAGATCGGAGGGTGCAAGTAACGCCGGCGAGTCCGGATATAATCCGGGGGGAACTTACTCATCTCCGAAGGGATGGACGAGGATCTTGGTGACCGCTTTGCACGGATACGGACCGTTCGGGGTGGTCGGCACTGGCTGGGCGTCGCTTCCCGGGCTCCAAAAAGCGTAGGAGCCGTCGTTATGCGAGGACACGAACCGGGTGTCCGAGACCCAGTGCACCGATTCCAATTGTTGGGGATAGACGAATCTCTGCGTACGCGAAAACAAACCCATCAGCTGCGCACACACGTTCGCCAAAACCACCAAAGACACAAACGACAGTCAGAAGGAGGTTTGATACAGGCAATACGATTTCATTATGTTCCCGAGTTTCCCTGGAGGAGGCACCTCGCCGGATCGAGCGCCATTCGGGTGTTCGGAATATTCAGACTCAAGATATACGTCGCACCGACTTCGGCGAGGTGCCTCCTCGACTCGTCCGCGATTTTCCCCCGGCCATCGGAGCGCGCCTCGAGAACGGACTATCCAGGAGCCGGAAATACTCCGAAGGTTCTCACCTGTTGAGCACCGGGGGTAGCCTTGTTCCAAAGTACCATCAACCCGCGGTTGTAGCCGATCAGAATGTTATCCGGGTGGCCGGGTTGCTCGGCTATCGCCTCCACGGCTCCGGGGTTCTTCTTGTAGTCGTCGGGGACGCTGTATCGGGAAATCAGAAAATCAACGCACGCCCTGGACAGATCGTCATTAAACACGGTAACGTACTTCTGCATGACCACGTCTTGGTAGATGATGTTGTCCGACATGGCGAAGGTCTTCAGGTCGAGGAGATAAATGTTCCCGCCCTCGGTGCCCAGAAGCAGGTGCTCCCCGGTGGACTCCAAGCACATCGCCGAGATCTTCTTCAGCTTCCCTTCCAACGACAAGGACTTGGTCTCGACCACCGAGCTCTCGTTGATCTCCCAGAGGTGCAGAGAGTTGTCGTCGCAAAGCGAAACCACGCGGCCCTGTCGAAAAGGAGGAATAAAAATTCATAAGTAACGAGATTTGGAGAAAATCCCAATTCACGCGTCCTGGAGTCAATTGCGAAAGCCTCTCGCCCTCTCCCACTCTCCCACTCCTACGGATTCCATTTCCATTCGCATGGAGACATCCGATTAGCAGGTGTTATCCAATTTCCGTGCGACGCGGCGACAACCCAGGAAGAGCGGAAAAGGGAATCATCGGTAACATCCGCGATCTGGGATTAGATCGAATTCGGCAGCGTATCGTTGGGAAAAAAAAAAAAAAAAAAAAAAACAAGCGACCCAGGTCCGACCAGCAGGAGCGACGTTCCCAAGAACTTCGATCACGCCGCGTCGGGTTATCTTATCGTCAGATTTCGAGATTCGCGTCCAAGTGCCGATAAGCGACTCGCTCGTTTATCGGCGCGCAGGAAAATCGGGAATAGCGGGAATCGATCGCCCCCGCGCAATCGATGGATTGATCCCGACGCTGAGAGCAGAAAAATAAAGAAATTAATAGGTCTGAGTTTATATATATAGCCTCTATATATACTTGGCGCGAAACTCTACCGAGTTTCTACGGGCGATTACTCCGTAATTCCCCGTTTTCCTGGAGATCCCACGGGCAGGAATGTCTAAAATAAATGATGAGAAATCAAAAAAAAAAAAAAAGAGACAGTTTACGCTCCCTGGTGTCGTTAAGCGCGCGGGCGAGGAGAAAGGAAGGCACGCGCGAAAAGAGAAACAGCGGGATGAGACGGAGATTGGATGCGCCAGTCGCGCGCGAGCGAGGGCATCGTTGAAGCACTTCTCGGTCACGAACTGTAATTCGGACAAGGTGTGCGCGGACGCACACGAGGATGACGACTCGTACGTACGCGAAAGCATGGTACGTGCCGGACCAAGTTATGCAACGTTTCGCAGTGATCCCAAGCGGAACAAGGTATCGTCTTACGCGTAGGACGTGTGACTCCTAAACAAGCGCAACTCGACGGGCCGACACTTTTTATCGCAACGTAATTCGACAACGGAGTGCATCCCGCAATAACGTTCCGCGTCCCGGCGGAATTACCCTTTTCGAATTTCTCGGGCTTCCCGCGCATTCGCCGACGCCACCGCGTCCCCTATGGGCCGGAAAATCAATTAAACGGCGCGCCGTGAACTCCATTCCGTCCGGCCACCAGAAATTATCCTCGTTTCCGCTTCTCTTCGGTTTTTCTCTTCTCGTACCTCGTTCGGCAGGGCGACGATTTTCGTGACCGCGTTCTCTCCGCTCTCCGTGGCATGTTGACCGTAGAACTCGACTCCTGGCCTGCCAAATCTGAAGTTTCCAGGTAACGAGGTCAGTTAAGGTTCAGGATCAAATGATATAAAGAAAGGACGTCGTGGAAACTCTACTTGTACTTTAGTAGTACGCCCCAAATACCGCCGTTTCGTCTACTCGCCTTGTCCCCCTTCCACCCGGAATACGTATACATTATTCGATGGCGAAATCCCGACATTAATCGTTGAAACGAATTCCTGTCGATTGTTTCAAAGCGGAAGAGTACATTTTGCTGCATTTGCAGACGTCTACCAAGTGCACTCGAGAGAGTCACCCTCGGAGTTAATTCCATTGAGCCGGAGTTGATTCCGTGGCCGCGATCAGACTTTGTTTCGTAAAGGATACACTTTGATCGCCCCAGAAGCCGTACCGATGATCATCAATCGCAGACTCGAGTCCCAGGCCAAAGCAGTCGGCTTGTTAGGGAATCCATGTTGAACGGTCTGGAATATAAAAGATGATTTTTAAATTCATTTCGCACCTCCTCCAAGTAATATTAGAAATATTTCCGTATTCCCGCAATGTCGACAAAGGAAAAGCGGTTTCCTCTTCCAAGGCGATAGACAAAGATCGGCGCGGATCTAATCGGATCTAACGGGACCTCGCCAAGGCTCAGCCCGACTAGACCGCCCGTCAACCGGTCTAAGGGCGGGCTCTTATCGCTTTTGTTTGCACAAAACTTTACCGATAAGATACAAAACGCATCATCTCGTATTCCGGTCCCAATATCTTCTCACTGACGATCGGCACTCGTAGTGGCCGAACCGGTCGTTGTCCGGTTCTACGAACGGATTCAAAACGACCGCGTTCCGTCTCGACGCTGCAGTTTCCGATTTCGTTTCCGCCTACCTTACCGGCAAAGCAGCGACGCCTCTACGCGAATGAGCTAACGATCGCCCACTTATCGACCTGTTGATCGCGGCCAGGTCGTCTCTTCCCTGTTATTACCGATTGTTTCTTCGAACCGAGGAAAGCGGCACTTTCCTCGACGACTGTCACCGCGTGCACGAGAAAGTCCAGGGAAAATCTCCCGAGGCTCGATGACGAATGGCCCTTCGACCAACCGAGCTACCTCGAGGCTCGTGCAAGTGGAAAGCGTCCAAAGAACCGGCTAGACCGAACAAGTTAAACCACGGTGGAAAAGACCAACAATTCGATCGGTAATACTCTTACGAGATGTAAAGTGCTCTCAAGAAATATAATTCTTCGGAGAGGTAACCTTAAATCTTTGGCATTCTTTGTCATCGATGGAGATTACCTTGCATCGGTTTATTCTAAAAAAAAACACAAGACACGTTACGCCTGGCATGAATTTAATGTAAATAAAAGAAATTGAATAAATTTGGACGACACCACCTCTACCTGTAATTTTACGTGGCTTTTAAAATAAAGAGAACGAGAGACATCCACCGATTCCTCCCTGCGTAACGTTTGCTGTTTTATGACCATGGGTTTACGTCGCATCCATCGTGGTTCCGATCAAGGAACGATAAAGGAAAAGGATTGCGTACCTTGCGGAAGGCAAAAAGGTCCTTCTGCAGTTTCTGACGTTCGGCAGTGGGTTGTTGGCCCTTGCCTCTGATGAATTTGAGCATGTCTCGGCTTGTGTCGAGCAATTAGAATTTTGTCCTGGGTATCCTCCGATGGTGTTGCACTCGGTCGTTGGATGGTATGGCCGAGTCTCGTAATTAAAACATTCTTGAATGAACGGTAACCCGTACGTGATGTCGTTATGTGGTATTTCGTCGGTGTGCTCGAGCGCACACTGTCGATACGCCTGCAAGTCGGCTCGGCTGACCGACCCTCTCTCTGGCTACCGCCTGGCTGGCTGTCGGCCCGATGTGTCAGCCGCCCCGCGTTTCACGGGTATAATCGGGAAAGCACGCGGCACCCGGTCACCGGAACACCCTGAAACGTTCCACCGGAAAACGGCTCACCGATGTACGCGACTCACCGACCGGCGGGACGCGTAAAACCATGGAAAACTCGGTCGATCGATCCCGAAAATCATTCCACGTCCCTCGCTCGCGTCTCCGTGCCCGATCCTTTGCCGTGCCTTGCCTCGCGTCGACTTCGGCGCGGCCGATCCCACCCTTTCGGCCACTTTCGGACACCTTCGGCCGGCCGCCCATTGGACTCGTCAGATCTTCCCAGAATGAGATTATGTCGGTGGCGCCATCTACGAACAAAGCATCCAACTTGGTCGCCAGTAATTTGTAGGTAACTCATAGGATCGAAAAGAAATAGCCTTTAACGACCTCCCAAGTTCCGCGTCTGTAATCAGAATCAAAAGAGTAACAAAAAAGGAGGTCTTTTTCTAACGTATAATGAACGCGATAATATTTTATTTTATTCCGTTGCTTATCGTTGCTTTGATGCAAATAAAACACATCTTGAATATCAGATTTTATATAAAAATGTGTCACTAGTCTAACGTTATAGCGATAATCCGTTTTAATGATTGATTAAATAAATTAGTTTTATCAAAGGAAGCAATGTTTTTCAAACATTTACTTTCATGCGTTAGAAGAAATTTTTCCTGAACTCGTGCCTGTATAAAGATAACATGAAATCTATAAAAACTACTTATCATATTTTTAAATGTAAATAGGACGCAACGAATATTCTTAAAATTTTATTAATATTTTCCGTGGTGTTCATATTGACGTTGGAACGATTGTCTCCTGATTTGTGCCAGAAGGACGGAAATGGAGACGGTATTATATGCAAAATTGAAACATCTGAAATGTAAAATATGATATAAATATGTCAGATACCGATGCACGTGGTAGAAAGAGTTCCTACTATCGGTCATTCAATGGAGCGTACTTACTTCTATGTAAAAACGGAATGTGATCGTCTTCGATGTACGTCGGAATGGAATACGGTTGGAAGTACCTTTGTTCCGGTTTTCCATAAGAATATCCGGCAAATTCCCGCGCAGCTGCTAAAGCAGTTTCCGTATGATACAAAATGGTATACCATAATTCCGAGTCCTCAAAATAGTTGTAAAATGTAGGATCAGGTGCTCCTATTAGATCCAAAAGTACCAGCAAATCCTGAAATAAAATCTCTTCAGTGTTTAATATATTTTTCTTATTTTGTTATTTCCCCATACCATTCTATCCAGTTCTGAAATAAATTCTTCATCTTGCCGAGTGTAGGTGGTTTCCCATTTTTGGGCTAGATGCCTTGCTCCATAAATAGAGTCTTGTGGACCCCATGATTCAAATGCTTCCTCTCCGTCAAAGAATATAAACATTAAGCTGATATCTTGCTGAAAATTAATTGGAAAATTCTCATTGGTGTAAACAAGGCGTTATCAGAATGACAAAGAAAAACTCACATCCTTCACGGAATTCAATTGCTCTCGCATGACCTTGGCTAAGTTTATCAACTGAGCACAAGGTACAGCACTGTCCGTAGCTCCAACAAAATTTTCATTTTTGGTATACTTTGAATCGTAATGACATGCAAGCGCTAAAAACCTCTTGCCATTAGGATTCAACTTTGTTATAATATTTTCGAATTTCAATTTTCCAAGATTCGGAGTGTCCTCTTCAAATTCATCCGTTTCCACGGACCAACCAAGATCTTTCATTGATTTTTTGATATACTAAAACGAAACCTATCTATTATTATTTTATAATTAGAATAGCTTCACTCATCTGTAATAACATTCCTTTCCTCTTGCATGATCGCATATAATTCTATATTTAAATATACACATACATGTATATTCATGACCACTGTGATAAATAAAATATATTAAATTTGTACCATCGTGGGAGTACTCACGTACATCTTTCACTTTTTTATGATTATTGGTACCAACTACTCTTTCAAAACAGATATTATCCAGAACCTCATTTATGTGCGTGACATTTGATTGCTGAGCCACTCTCAGTACCTGAGATTTTGACAAATTCAGTGGAACGTGATTACGCTATAAACAGTCAAGATAACACGTTCAATAAAAAAAAACCATCATAGTCAAATAAAAATACATGCAATAAATATCAAACTCACCCTCGCACTTCTAAATGTTTCATTTTGAGCAGTATTTTCAACAATTAGGTAAAATAAAATAACTGTTACAAGAAAGCTTCCAACAGACCGCAACATGATTTCCGCGTTTTTGGACCCAAGTAATGGTCCAGAGATCTCGGTTCACCGTGGCACACTGGCAAGTAGTATTGCGACATCAACATCTGTCGCCTTTCCTTGTGTCAACCAGCAGTAGTGGGTGAAGAATTGGTGGTGGTAGCCATCTCCAGGCTTGGGATTCGCTTAACTTTATATGTACAATACGTGCACTATCAGCTTTCACCTGGAAATTTACATTTCCTGTTTGATGCACATGATGAAAGGTATAAAATACTTTGCTACGTCAATTACTTACATGACATTTTCACATACTGAATGAATACTTTATAATGTATTCCGTAAATTACTATCTTGTAAAATGTGAAATAAAATTGCCTACTTAAACGATAGGCAATTAAAAAAATTTAGCTAACCTAACTAACCTCTTGAATGATGAATCCATAGTCACCTGGACGTCTGCTAAAAACCTAACCACACCTCGTGCTGCGTTTTCGGGTTGTTCCGGATGTCGGTAACTAGCCCCCAACACGATTATTTAAATTGTTCATAAATAAAGTTGAAATAAATGAAAAAACCACCCTTCAATTCTACCTTTGTAGACTACAGTAAACTAAAAGAGAGTCAATTGAAAGGGTCGACTGCAGAAGCTAGAATCGATTGGAATAAGCGGGAATGAAGATCGACTTAACCTGTAACGCGAGCAAGGTGAGACTCAAGCAGAATCGATGATATACTAATCGATTTTTATTCCTTCACCGTGAAATGGTTAAAATTATTGACATGTTTTAATTGATAAATTAAAGTATGTTATCAAGTCGAGTATTCGTCATGTTAGTTGTTACTGATATCGTCACGTCGATCTCTTGCAGCATTACTAAAGGAGATGTATGTAAAAGGCCGCAAGAAGCGAAGAGAAAAAGGGCTTGCTTGATTTGAAATTATTTTTACTTTTGGCCTTGTCAATGGATTATAGTTGACACTGTTCGTATCCGAGAAGCAAGAAGTTGATATACAATTGGTTAGAATTAATTCTTAGAGACTCGTATATTGGTACCTATTAGCGTTACATCTTTCAAGATGGGTAAGCTATTGAGCTACTTAATGTTCCTAGGATGGATGTCTTATTTAATGATAGCTGGATTATTGCTATTCACCAATGGTTTTCTTCTTAATCGTGTGTCACGCGAAGAGCGAGGGAAATGTACATTATGCCAAGAATTAGGAAACTGCAAAACGGAGGATGTCTTGAAAAATATAGGAAGCACCTTGGAAATTTGTCTTGAACCACGTGGAAGAGTCGTGTTGCTTGTCATCGATGCTTTAAAATATGAATTCGTTGAATGGCACAATGACGCTGCTTCAAAAGAGTCATATTATCGAAACAAACTGCCAGTCGTGCACGAGCTGTTACGAGATTATCCAATGCAAACAAGGTTGTATAAATTAATGGCTGACCCACCTACAACTACCTGGCAACGTCTCAAAGCTATCACAACCGGGACTCTGCCTACCTTTGCCGATATCAGCTCTAGTTTCGGAACGGATGTAATAGCAGAAGATAACTTCGTGGACCACAATGTTAAGAGAGGAGTGGTCTTCATGGGTGATGACACTTGGGTCAATTTTTTCCCAGGGAAATTCTTGCGGCAGTATCCAGTGCCTTCGTTCGATGTCTGGGATCTCGATACAGTTGATCGTATCGTACAAAATTTCATTTTTGATGAATTAAAAAGGAAAGACTGGTCCCTCCTCGTGGCACATATTTTGGGAATTGACCACTGCGGACATAAGCATGGGCCTCATCACCCGGAAATGACTAGGAAACTGAACGAAACCAATCGGTTCATAAAAGAAATATTCAAAGCAATCGACGACAATACCACGTTGTTTATTATTGGAGATCACGGCATGACGAGTACCGGTGACCACGGTGGAGACAGCGAAGAGGAAGTAACGTCTGCAATGTTCGTCTATTCGTCTACTCCACTTCTTGAAACGAGTTTAGTCGGAGGAACAAAGACTGTCAATCAAATCGATCTGGTTCCTACCTTGGCTGCCATTTTAGGCAACCCGGTTCCGTTTAGTAATATAGGAACTATCATCCTGGATGCAATACCTGTTTCTAAAAAAACTAACGCAACCATGGACCATCTAGGATACGCTTTATTCTCTTTATGGAAAAATGTTGCTCAAACCAAAAAATACATGGACGTCTATTCGTCGGATACATTCCTTTTTTCCAACGACAAAATGAATGCATTGCAGCAGACGTATGAATTTCTTCTCGATCACGTAAGCCTAATCGATAGTCCAGAGAAATTCAAAAATTTTGTGAACCATGCTAAAATATTTCTGACGCAGATCTACGAGATGTGTGCCAAAGTCTGGATTCAGTTTGACTCGGATTTAATGTCTAAGGGTTTGGTTCTTATGTTCTGCAGTTTATTCTTCTTCTACATGATCTTCAATGGCATTCCTGGAGATCGCATGGCAACAATTTTAGAAAGTTCCCTTATGCGGTGTTTGTTCTTAGCAAACTCGGGGGCAATATCCATCGTACTCTACCTGTTTTGGTTGGGCATCGCTGAATTCAAGAACACGGCTCTTTTTGCTACCGGAGTTGTGTCGATCGTGCTGTTAGCTCTTTTAATCGTACAGAATTGGGGTGCGATAGCGGCTAATTGGTACCGGAACTTGAAGCACCAACGATCCGATTACATCGTCAGAGCTATACTTCTGCTATCCGTTTCAGGTTTGTTTTCCAACAGCTACATCGTTGGAGAAGACAAAACGCTGTCCTTCCTTCTGATCACGCTCATTGGGTTCTTACTCTACAAAGCTTGCCAAGATGACGTCCAGGAAAATCTTTACAGACGACCAAAAGTTCCATCGAAACCTATGGAGAGATCCTCACCGAAGTTAATTTTAATACTGCTAGGATCGATAGCCTGTCTTTGCGTGAGATTCTCCAGCTACTTCTGGCGTTGTAGGGAGGAGCAACGGAATCGAGGTTGCACAACTTTTGTAATGGGTAAAACTGGTTCGATAGTTCCCAATAGTCTGGAACGTGCCTTACTGACCATCGCGGTTCTCGTTCTCGCCCTTTACGTCACCGTCATCAGAATCTGGCTTCGAAGGTGTGGAAATCTATCCGGATATGCGGCTAGCGTCACGGTTGCTCGCTATTGTCCAGGAATAGTCGTCGTGTGTATCGGTAGTTACTGGGTTTTCCAAAGACTTCCCAAAGACGTGACGGTACGATCGTCTCTGTCCTGGCAGATGAACGCATTGCCCGGTATCGCCTACTCGTTCATCTGCCTGGCGATACTCATTTTGTATTATCGACCTCTCACGGTCTATCTTCTACCAAAGAAGAAGGAATCCATGGACATTCGTTATGGCGAAAACCTAGTGCCTCGAATTTTCGAACATATGAAGGATCTAATGTGTCGGAAGAAAGCCAAAACGGAGGATGAGGACGTCCCGGTAGTTTATGGGCTGGGTACCGTCTACAGCTCCGCCTTCGTTTCTCTCGGCGTTTTTCTCACTTTGCTCCATGCACTCCTCTTAGGGGATGTTTTAGCTCCCAGCACGGTTGTCATGTTTATCACTTGTGCCTCGATATTGGGAATCAGCGCAGTGGAGAGATACCAACGTGCCACTAATGTAGGCAAGTACAGAATTTCGCGTGCAACCTCGATCTTCGTGGAACAATGCGTGCGGAATTGCGGTAACGATATTTACTTTTTACAGTTGAGCTGCTCGACGTGCCAAGTTCTTCTCTCCTCTGCTGGTTTTTAATAGGAGAATATTTCTTTTACGGGACCGGACATCAGCCAACGTTTTCTACGATACATTGGGATGCAGCGTTCATTGGCACCGGTGGTCGTTACTACGGCAATCTGCTACCCGCAATTCTGATCGGTAGGGTTTTTTAAGACAGCCAACCATTTTCTCTGCTCTCTGTAAACATATAAATATAATGTAGTGCACACTTTACCGCCACAGGGATGAACACATTTGGATCGTACGTCATCGTAGGATGCACTCTGCCTCTTCTGGTAGTGGCTCCTTTCACGATGCATATGATGTTTCGTGATCTTGTCAAATTCAAATTTCGATCGGATTTTGAATTGAAAAGGGGTGAACTCCTTCTCTTCGAAAAAGATGCGAATTTCCATGCAGCGGTTTTCTCGGCTGCTGGAAGATATCTACTTATCCACGGAATCAGGGTACGTGATCTGATACGTCTACTAGACAAGTTTCACTTAATTTACCAAAAAACCTAAAAATGATTATTCCGACATAAGGGTGCGCTAAAAAAACCCGATAAGATATCGTACCAAGTCTTCGACGTGTTTCAGACCTTTTGCTGTATGTTCGCTGCCACGATTCATTGTCGCCACTTGATGGTTTGGAAAATCTTTGCCCCAAAGTTAATCTTCGAGGGAATTGCCCTCATTGTAACTACATGCAGCATACTGGCATCGTTCGTCTTAATCATCAGGATTCACCTTCGAGTGGAAAAACTGATAACGCGCGTGTCAAAGACTTGTCATTAGGCCAGGGGTCGAAAGCTTCTCTCGAAGAGATAAGTATTTCTAAGCGAATAAGTAGGTACTTTCTCGTTACTTTAGCGGGAAGATTTTTTGCTAATAAACTATAATGCGTGGAGTAGATTACGGAAGTGGTAGTATCGGTAATGCATCGATTTGTAACCTGGCATTCAAAGTGACGAACGGTAACGCTCACGAATTATAATTGACGTCGTGCAAGAAGCGTTTTTTATTTTCTTCAGTCGGACCGATGATTCCAAGCACACTAACGCTATCCTGCGTGCAATGCATTGCTGATTACAGAAAAAAAACAAGCAATGCACTTGATGCAGGATTGCGTCGATGCGCGTTAATTGATCCGTTGTTGATAAATTGTTGAGAAGCGACATCGAGTGATTTTCAATTAAATTGTTAATTTAACGATTAACCACGGAACAAAAGGACAGAGCGAGACAGAGAGAGAAGCTCTTTTTATTCTAGAAGACTAAGAATCGTACACGTCCACGAGGTACTTCAACAACGAAACGGTGAACCTTTTTTTCTTTCTTTTCACCCGTGACTCAGTCCTCGTCGAGACCGAACCTCCTGGACCGGCGTCAATTTAATGATGGTCATGATGATGTCCTCGTGCCTTGTACTTCCTTCGGAGGAAGTCTTGCCACGCAGCCCATGCGTCGATGCCTTGATAGTCCTCGGACTCCTGCGACACACATTCGTTTTGTCACATTGATACGATCTCGTATTTCGACTAAATTTCCAAACTAATATTGCTCATGCCAGGTGCTTCTGCCATCGACTTGGACATTCTAATCCGAAAAGTGACTGGATCGTTAAACCGACGACGGATGTTACGCGTCCATGCACTAAACGGAGTAACGCATCTTTGTATACGCAATTTTATTTCACTGGATAAAACGGATGCCGAACTTACGAGTAAATTAATTCCACCGCCCTGATGTCCCGATGTCGATCCTCCACCGGCGCGAACGGATTCCATGGTTCCTTGAGGTAAGCTTCGATGTCCCTGATACAACTGCATTTTAACGGTCCTTCCATACTGATCCCTGCTTCCGTTGTCCTCAGCGAACCTCTGGGTACCTCGTGGTAATTCGTCATCTTCGGTTTGTCTCTTCGCCGTTAACGGGGTACTCTGCGGATATGCCACCCAGAAGGAGGTTGCGCCCATCGGCACGGATCTCATACTCTTCGTCGTTCCAATTTTCGGCATTATTGGCGTCGCATCAAACGAAGACGGTGCATCGAGATTGTCTAGTTTGCTCTTAATCGCGTCTAGCAACGTTAAATTAATCGGTTCGTCCTCGACGGATCCAGACGTCTGGAAGTTTGGATCAACCGCTGAGTTAGATGTCCCCGAAGAGTCAATTCCAGATTGAATCGCAGGTTGAATTTTGCTGGTTATATTCCTCTGTAAGTCCGATAGCATATCAAAGACTTGGCCCAGCATCAACATTTTTTGTTGGAACGGTAAGGTCGGATCCACTGCCGTCTTCGCCCAAGGTCCAAGAAACGACTTGAAGGATTTAGAACTCGTCGGCGGTGGTGTTATGGATTTCTCATAGGTTATCAAATCGTCCAATGTACCGGCCATGTCTGTCTTTAAATTAATTAGTTCTGTCAAAATCGAATCAACGATTGAGTCCTTGGCTGCAATTATCGTGGCCAAATCTGGGGACCTGGCACTTGTTCCTCTCGCGGCATCGGAATCGTATCCTACCGATCTTGCATAATTTACCTTGCTCCCCGCTTCCGTTGTCGTCGAACTCGTGTTTAGCGAATCGAATAGTTTATTTAAAAACGTGGATACTTTGTCCGTGTATGCGGTTGGATCGGGAGGAAAAGAAGTCGGTAGCCAGAAACTGGGTGGGACGATGGTACTCTTCGGGACTGGAACCTCCGTCGTCGTAGTCGGAGTCGTTGCGGCGATATTCTTGAAGAGGGTGTCGAGGAACGCCGATTTCTTGGCCGTGAACATTGTCGGATCTATCGGCGGACCAAACATCGGTCCCATTGGTGAAATCATTGGTCCAAACATACCAGGTAAGAATTCCTTCGGTATGGACGAAGACTTGCCCTCGGTTTCTTTATAGGACGCTTCGTCGTCGTTGGATTCAGACTCTTCGGCGATCGAACCAAATCCTGGATAAGGTGGCGGAGTGCCCCGAGATTCCGTTGCGGCACCGTTACCAGGACCGAAGAGGAAATTCAAAGATCCATCCTTGTCGACTGCACTCGACAATTGGACAGGCGGGGCCTTCGGTTCTTGCGAGGAAATGCCTCTCTTCCTTCGGAAGGACTCGACTCCCCCAAATGATCCGGATGAGGATTTGGAGCCCGACCCAGGAAAAGGAACGCTTGGATTCAGGGGTCCGTACAACCCTCTCTTGAAGGTATTCAATTTATCCTCGTCCGACAAACCTGCCTCCTCTTCCACCGATCGTATCTCGTCAACCAACGGATTCACCGAGTTCCCCGATGATGAAGAGGGTAAAGTTGGAGACCCTGACTGATAAGAAAGTGCCGCTGGATAGGGATCTAAGTGGTAATCCGCAGGTCCGAGTCCTCCGAAGAGGTTGCTCAGCATGTCGGTCTTCTTCGCTATCAAGACTCGTGGATCGACAAGTTTTGGGAACATCGATGGCTTCGGAACGTACGGGACCGAAATCGTGGCAACTCCTGGGGATCCCGGAGGCCCCAGAGACCGCGAGTAAACTGAAAACGATGGTTATCGAAATTCAACTTTAGGCCAATCTAAGGTATGGTAATAAAATTATTTCTAGATATGCACGACGTGGGAGGATACCTGGTTTACTAAGGTAGCTCGTCCAGGGTGTTCCCGGAGGTACTTTTCCAGCTGACGCCGCAGCGAGGGTCATCAGGACGAGGCACAACGCGGATCTTCTCTGTCGAGACATGATCGAACTCTGCGTTTCGTTTAATTATCCTGGATATTTATACCGCTGCCGACCACTTATGCAAAGGTACGGATCGTAAGTACCGATGGTCGGAAAGTAAACGGCAAAGCTCTGGCGATCTCATTAAATTAATCCACCTTCGTATTTAAATGTCCGCACCTGTAGGCTATTAGCCCCTACTGAAATATCTTTCAGCCATAAGAATGCGATTCATTTCCTTCTTAAACGTTAATACTTGACGCGTAAACATGCGTTCCATCCGAGGATTTTATTAAGAGATCTAAATAAATGCAATGCAAGCGGTCCTTTCGTATAGAAATTTCTCTCAATATCTGGATATCAAAAAGAATATTTCTTTTCATTTTTCAAGGTGGAAGAATATATAAATTTTCGCAATTTTCGACATACCAAATATATTGTCGGCCGATGTTTCATTCTTGTAGATCGTCAATTGTTACCGAAGCCGTCCGTCCTGCGCCGGACAAGTTGTCCTTCGCTTGTCGCAACAGCCTGGTACTGCAGTTGTCTTTATTATTTTCTACCGTTTGCAACTTCGGTTGGAAGAACTTCGAGGGTCTTTTGAGACGTCCTTCTGTCATATCAGGGACGTTTATCCGTACCGCCTCGGAAGCCTTCACCACGTTAAAGCGGATCATTGGGAATGGCTGCCGTTAATCGTGAGTTTCCTTTTTTCGTAACAAAGTCAGAAATTGGACGCGCGGGGTGTTCTCCTCCTCGCAACGTACAATAATCGGTTTGTCCAAATTTGGCAAATTTACAGCGGAAACCCCAAACGACGTAATCGATGCCATTCGACCGGACCTGGAGGCGTTTGCGTCATTATGGTCGGCGCTTAGAACCAACTACGAAGGAACTAACGTAACAAAAACTGTGGCTAGATTGCTTCATATGTATCAGCCACAGGATGGAGTTTTGGCATACGAAAGACTTCTTCGAACCCTTTACGTCCTCCTGGAAGACTTTGACGCGGACGGATTGCGACTTCTGGTGTCGATGGTTCCGCCACCGAAAGGTGCCGACGATCGGGCGATCCAACAAGTATTCCGAAGAGCCACTGGCTTCGTCAGAATAAATGCACCGATATTCCATAGAGGGTACATCTATTTTCCAATGCCTCTTAAAAAGCTCTAATTTAAGCATAAGTGTCCCACTCATTTTTTTCAGGAACGGTAATGGATTCGTACCAACATCTGACTTTGGAGTCAACGAGCCAGTAGATCGGAATTCGAGCACCTCCCGCTTAGTCGAGACCTCTGTAACTAATTCTCAGTCCGTAAAATCGGATATAACGGATATCACGGATAAACTCGAGGAATCGCAATTTAGTCCACCCTGTTCCGAAAATTCCAGCAAGAGCGGAAAGTCACCGCAGGTAATGGAAAACGAAAGGATCCTCGCCCCTCGTTTGAACGTGACATGGTTTTCTACAAAATTATTTCCATTTTTAGGTCATACCACCGGATTCGGATTTATTTCGGGGATTTCCGCCAAACGAAATTACAAACACCCAAAGTCACGTGCAGAATATAAATCACTTGTATAGACCTGCCGATCGTGGATTTGCATCCCAAGCTTATCCCGGCGTAGGACAGGGTGGGACGCATGTTGGTTCGCACCAGGAGTCTTCGGCGGGTAATCCGATCTTGCCGGCCAATTGCACGCTAAAATGGTTTCAAACCCCGTACTTTCTGCAAAAGCATACGTATCAAGCTGTAGCTCATCCTCGTCAGGATTTCTTTCTGAGAACAGCCGATGACAAGTACTTAAAGGTTCCGATCACGAAGCTTAATTCCCTGCAACCCTCCGAAGGCCTTTGTACGTCGCAGTCGTCGTTCAGGGTTTGTGTTTATTTTCATACCAAGTATTTCACTAAACAAGAAATGCAACCAGCACCTTCGGTTTTCCTTTGAAAATCCTCCGTTGCTTTCAGATGTTGTACACAAGCTCTCAAGAATATTTCAGAAATAAAAAGAAAACTGCAACTGGTAGCGCCTTTGACGGAATCCAGAGATTACGAGACGAACGGGAAATAATTCCTTCCAAGAGGGTGCCGTTTAATGAAAAAGACCATTGTCGGTTGTCTTTCGATCGAGAGAATACCCCAGGGTCAAAAATCGCATCGGCATCGGTTCCAAACGGAATTGTCCTGCAACCTGCTGTGCACTCCGAATTGGATACCGTGAAACTTGAAAATCAAACATGGAAGAGCACCGCTGCGGTCCAAAATCCTTCTCCAAAAATCCGCACGTCCTACCGATGCGAAAAGGTAATTGGAAATACTTATAGTGCAAGCGAAGAGAAAGACTCCTGCAATAAAGAAACTTTAAAACACATCGAGGAAGAAGTGAAGAAACGGCAGAGGGCTATTCAAGAAGACATATACAAAATGGACGTGGTTCGATCCAATGAAGATATTCCCGTGGCGGAAGTTATGCAAGTACGAAAAATTCACACGTAACAAAATATTTTACGGGAGAAAAAAATTGCAGTAAGACCATTATTTCAGCCGATCGAGAAGAGTGACTTGACCGTGCGGAAAGAGTTGCGGACGTGCATACAGAATTTTTTACGAAGAGCAGAAAATGAGGAATTCCTTGGTAAGGCCTCCGAGTACCTCAGAAATAGTACCTTATGATTCTCACAAAATCGAACCAGACGTTTTCAATTTTTATTTACCAACATTTTAGAGATAAAGACATATCCAAAAACTAGATCCTTGGACAAGATTCATCAAACCGTAATTTTGCATCGAAAACCTCTGGGGTACGAACGTCCGAATATTCCCTCCCAGAAACGAAAGTTGGACCCCGATAGAAATTCAAAACTTCCCAATTCAACTCCCGAAATTTCTTCCGCGGTCGAAGCAAATCGAATCGAGACCACTTCGGCAGAAGAGGTAGAACCGGGGACCTGGATGGCCGAAAAGAAAAGTTCGGAACAGCCGATAAAGATGAAATTGCAAAAATATCCAAAACAGAGGGCTCTGAGCATGACATCACCTGCAAAAAAAATGAAATTAACTACAGGTCTCAAAGTTAATGCCAATGTCGAAGATCCCTCCTCGGAGTGAGTGTCACGAGAACGGTAAGAGCGTTTTAATCCCTGTCTATAAGTCATCTCATCCACAGCTGTTTCGCTGCAGAGACCGAATTAAGATCGGCCAACTTATTGAGACAAACGGCATCGATGACCGAATTGGCAGTTTATAGAAAAAAATACTACGATGCCCTGCTTAGCATTCAAAGAGCGAAAGGTAGTAGTAAATTTCTCTACATATATGTAAAGAAATTATTCCAGTATTTTAACGATTCTCTTAACGCGACGTTATTTTTAGCGGCTGTAGCGAGCTCCCTGGCCACCTCGTCCGTCGGTGGAACCACCGAATACGATCCTTATTACATTAACTATCTTCGGCAATATCAGATGCTCCGACAGCAATACTTATTGACAGGACCTAGATATCCGCAGCAAAGAATATTCCAACCAGGACCACCCGGACCCTACGGGACTCAAAATCCTTGGATCAGGTCCAACGAATGGAGGTACCCCACCTACAGACAATTCAGATTTTCAAGACACGTGAGTACTTTGATCAAAGTAACGAAACGACGTTACATACCGCATTACTCGAACGGCCGCGATAAAGTCAACGCAGAGTGCAGGAAAAATGAATTAATTTCAGCCTGTCGCTACTCCGACGTGTTCCTTAAATCAAAGGTTAGAAGAAACATTTTATTCCATTCTTCTCTTTACTCTCCGCGTATCAATCGAAACCTTTTCTGTAAATAGCAATGGGTTCGATCCGAGTCCCGTCGAAGTACCCGAACCTCGAGGTTGCGAGGAAAACGCAATTAGGACTCAATCTAAACCGAATCCGAGACGGCGAAAATTGGAAGAAATAGTCGGAAAGCTGAAGGAAACTGAACCGAATGCAAAGAGCAACTAACTCGGTGGCGTTCTCCTGTATTCCATCCGACCAAAGCGGGTTTCACTCCAGGAAGGACCGGCAGCGCAAACACTGTAAATATTGCAAATATGATCTTTATTATTTCTCATAAAATAAAAAAACTGTTCGGTCGTGGGTGCAAGTCTTTTCTTTCTAATCGGTTCGATGCGTGGACGTACTTCTTCTTTTGTAATAGGTTATTAATGTTACAGTGAATGACAACGAGTGCTTCCTCGACTAAGTGCATTTGATATCCACGTCGCGTACCGATCAAACAAGTCGTCCATCGTTCCCGATCGTTTCAAGCAATGGAATGTCATTTGATTTACCGAGAAAATATCACGGGGTTTCGCGAGTCCGATGATTCGAGAATGCAGATGACGGGATTCTTCCCTCTCGTTGGATTACGGTGTCCGGTATACTCGATCGGTATCCGTTGCACTTATCGTCCTAACTCTGAATGTACACGCTTTGATACAGTTAACGTTCGACAAACTCTCAACCTACTAATAGTACTTCAACGATATTACACCTTGTCACTTTCAAATAATATACATTTGCTCCGCTCTCTGTACATGGTCACACTTGGTCGCGCTACGTCGTGGCGATTACGAGATTCTCCATAGAGTCGAGACAATAAATACCAATGATATAGCAATTACAATTGAAAGAGATAACCGAGACTTAGATTATAATAAACGACAGGACAAGAACTTTCATATCGAGTGGTCGTCGTCGATCGGTATTGTCAAGATAAGACGGCTCGATGGATCGACGAAACGCTAATATAGCAATAATTAAGTCCTACGGCAGTATTTCTTTGAGAATCCTATCGACCGCTCTCGCGCTTCGGAACGATCTCGCCTTAAATAGAAATGTACAAGTCGAAAGGTCCGAGAGGAGTTTCTAGAGATCGCTGCCCACTCGTTCCCGCTAAAGCCGCTCAACGCGTACCGCCTAAGGATAAGGCCTTCCGCTTATTTGCGACGTGTCGAGTTGGATTGTCATCGGTGCAGCGACAGATCGTAAAGCCTCGGAATTAAAGGAGAGCCCTTAGAAGTAATCGCTCGGCGAAAGATTCGACGGACACGTCGGACACTGCAAACGAGAGTCGCGAGAAATGATTTTTAACAATAAATAGGAATAACTTGTGCGGATGCAGGTGTACCGCCCGGGCAAACCGCATACTAATTACGTCGGTTTACGGACATTCCGTCGACATACCCGAGAAACGTCACGGCCTCCCGTGCATTTGGAAACGATCGAGCGCGATAATTGCTAAGGGTGCAAAAGGGCCCGTCCTATCGCCTAAATGAATAGGATCGAATCGCAACGCCCACGGAGGCGTAATCGCTTACGATTACGGCTAAAGGTGCACGGCAGGTGGTAAGGCCCGTTTTAATTTAAAACAAGTTGGAACGACGCCGGTGCTTCGAATACGAACGTACTGGCATCTTGCCGACGTCGATGCAACAGGAAGTATTGGACCTCTCTCTTCCGGATCTCGACTGGGATCCGTAAAGGTAACGTTTAACGATCGACCGATATCGCAAACGAATACCGGCCAACGACCGTACAACTATTTTTCTTTCTTTTTCCTTTTTTTTTTTTTAATACGCATTTACGCACACACAACGCACCACGACGCATCGATCGCCACGGCGGGATCTTCGCTTTTTTGCGAGCCATGCGTCGCCGTTCGTATCGCGATCACTTACCAGCCTAAAAATGAACACGTACGTTTCTTATACCCTATTAATTGATTCGACGCCAAGGCCAGGGACCTTCCTGCGACGCGACACGCACGGTACTAGATTCGGTTCGCTTATTTCCACGGATAGTTTCCGGTGGGATAAACGTTCGGTTAACGTTCGCTAACGTAAAGGCAAAAGGGGATGCTCAGCGAGTAGTTTCTGAAAGTATCAAATCTAGTACGGCAGTACCATCAGGATTATCTCTGGCGAAGACGCACCTTAGCGCCGAGGTCTAACGCGATATTTATATATGCATATCATTTGCAATCGTATCAAAATACGAAAGTCGATTTTGCACGCGATGGCAAGATACTCGAAAATGAAAGGATGTCAATGGCGAAACCCAATCGCACGTAGGAAATAAAGATCGAGATGATTTCGAGCGGCTTGTACTTCTAAGACGATATGTATACACCCATATAGCACGTAATGTCCACGGGACGTGCATGCTATCTGGGCAGTATGGAAATCCAGCGACGTGATTCGCATCGTTACGAATGCCGAATTTCTGTGTGGCGGGAGTTCCATACAAGATGCATTAACGAGAAATGCTTCGAGGAATGGCGTGAATCGATCGGTCATTTTGAAAAGTTAACGCGGGTAGAGAAGGAACGAAAATTGTCCTCGCAGCTAAACAAACGGTTCCCGTTCCGGGACGCCAACTAGTTCCCGCAAGGAAGATTTAACCGGCCTACCTTTCGTAAGGTCGTTTCGCTCCAAGGTAACCATACATCCCGTTTCGTGTACACCGTATACGTATACCTGTACACGCATATGTACATCCATACATACGCGTACTCGCAGCAAAGTATACATCAACGATTTATACCAAATTATTCCTCGCTTTGGTATAACGGCATAAAAATACATTAAAAACGACTAGACAAAGTTATGGCTCGTCCGCGGGCTCGCCGAGTTCCGGTCGATCTTAGGATAAGTACAGCGTTTCCTGAGCGCAGCTGGAAATTACCCAGGAAGCGACCGGCCTTCCGAATACAGTCGGTAGTATTTTAACGAGCTAACGGCCTTAAGATAGAAATTCCATCCAAACCTCCCGGGGCGCCGTTCGGTATTCTCTCGGAGAGTGGATAGCAAATTTTCTTCGGGGGTCCGTTCACGGTCCAAGCAGCGAAGGATGGAATCGTCTTTCGAGTGGCATAATTTACAAAGCGCATCAGCTTTATACAGGTGATCCCTGAATGCTTGGACAGTTGGCGCGATCCTGTTCGAAGTTCGATTCGATCTAACCGCGTTCGTCATCCGTTGCTCCGTAGAAAGAGACAACGGCGTCTTCCGCTCTGACTTTTTATAGGAGAAACCGACGCGACAAATGCGCATAAAGTTACCTAGCTAATTCATCGAAGGTGAATTTTCCCACGTTGGCGTACCCACCTCGACTAAGCAAAGGTGTAGGGATCGACCGTCTTGCTCGAACAAGGCTGCACGTCGTCGGGTGGCGGGCGCCACTGACCGGACCACTCCATCGCTCTGGTCAGACTCACTGCGATCATTTCCGACCTCCCGTTGTTGGAAGTTCCTTCGACCTCCCAGTGCGGACCGTTCCCACTGGTGGTTCCTCCCAGCTGCCTGGCGTCACCGATGGCCCAGTAGTCGCGAAGCTCGTTGCTGGTCCTGCGATTCCTCTGTTCGGGCTGCCTGGTTCCGTTGTCCTTTCGTTCGATGCCGGCCCGAAGTTGCGCCTTGTCCAACGTCTTCAAGGGCAGCTTCTTCGGTACTCTCCGAGTGGCAGGCTTAGCCGCGTCTTCCGCCAGACCACCGCTGGACTTACTGCTGGTAGGGTTTCCGTTACCCCCCAGGCTGTTCTCTCTGTCCCTTCTTCGTCGCCTCCTCCTTCGTTCCATCTCTCGTTCGTCTCGTTGGACGTCTTCGACCTCCTCGTCTTCCTGAGAATGGGGAAGGAAGTGCTGCCTCGCCGATGCCCAGTGATCCTTCTTGTTGCCCCCGGGTTTGTACCTTTCGTTGGCACCATTCCCGTTCCCCTTGTTTCCACCGTTGGTGTTCGTGTCGCTATCGGCGTTACGCTTCTTCTGATTCTTCACGACCCACGAGGGAGGCCTCTTTGGACTCCTCTCTTTTAAGGTGACCTGCAACCGAGTTCTTCCACTGATCTCCTTCCGAATCGGACGAAAGATGAAGCCACGATTTTTGTCAACTTACGCCGGAAGAAGAAGAATTGTCAACGGGCTTGTAAAGCTGGTTCGGCGTGTGGTCTCGACTGGATTGACTGTGACATTTAATTTCGCTGCGACCGTGAAGCCAAGCTAGCAGGCTCGACAGAACAGTGCAGAAGAGGCCGAAAGCTGCCGAAGCCGTCAGCTGGGAACGAGTACGACGAGGCACCCACCCACTCTCGCTGTACTCCCAAACGGAAAGAAGCAGCAGCGTACTTCCACCCAGGTACAGTATTGCAATTCCAATGAAAATCCAGAAATTCTACAATGACAATTCACTCCTGAAGGAATTATATGGAAGTTGGCCTTAATTTTAATAACGACCACGTTGAATTCACCCGAGCACGGTTTAGAAACAATTTCATTTGTCTTCGGTACTTTTGTATAATCGTTCGGACGTTCAACTCACCAGTCTAGCCCAGTTAAAAGGAAAAAAGTAAGCAACGTGCGAGATATCAAGGAAGAGTAGCAACACCGTGACCAAGATGCAGAAGACAGCCACGAAGATCATGAACCGAAGGCGTCCAACCAGTGGCAGCATAAAGAGACTGACCTTGGCAGTGCCAGAGCTGCATAAAGTAGCCAAACACGCTACCGATGATATCTAAGAATAAATTGTGTATCATTGGCACGTTCGTTGATTCACGATCGCAAAATGGGAAAAATTATTATTTGATGCACTTTGGCGACCGATGCAACTTACGAGCAACAAGAGTCTGAGGACTCCCGTAGTACTTTTCAGGTGACCCTGTACGTCGCAGTAAAGAACCAAGTGGCTAGCACGAGGCCACTGTAGGGCGTTGGAAGACGAACCGTGTCCTTGATCGCCTTGGCCATAATGGCCATGGTAGTTGGCATGGGAGTCCCACGAGTGGACGGTCGAGTGTACTCCTGGCGAATCCAGCTCCGACGATTGGGAGCTAATTCGCCCCCCCGTCCTGCTACCTGCTGTCGAGGTAGGAACAATTCATACGGCGTTCTAGCTCGATACGTAGCCACACCTGACTCTATGGTTTACTTATGGAACGACGGACACTACCGATGTATGCCAAAGAAAACAAATGAACGAACGTAAAATTGATCTTACAAGAAATATTTATTTCTTTACCGATTTCGAAGTCCTGAATGTCCTCTGGCCTGGAATATGCGGACGGCACTGGTTCCAAGTCGCGAATCTCTTCAAGGAGTAGCACCTCTATCTCGTCGGCTGCGTATAAATCGGAGACCGAGCGAAGATGATGCCGAGTCTCGCTCATCACTTAGGCACGCTCGATTCGTTGCTCCTTCCTGCCTGCCGTCTGTCCTGCCCACCAGGCCTGCCGATGACCACCATTCGTCGATCAGTCCATCCGGCGAATCGTCCATTCGTTCGATGGCTGTTGTTACTGGGTGCACGGACACGACGCACCGTGCCAGTGGCCACAACACCTGTGGAAAATTTGCAATCTTTGTCAGAGCCTGCAATTAATTCGTCGATAAGTATTTAGACTTGACCGACAAGAATCTCTGGCAGGTCCTTGCCACTTTGTGCAATTTTCCATATATTCCTCATACCAAACAATTATAGAATCATGCATTTAGATCAAAAGAATCAGAATTCCCAAGGCTGTTGCTTGAGACGTACGTGATAGAACAAGTAAAAGCAATACTCCTTAAAATTCAAGAGCTCTGAACCTTTAAAAGTGTACGTCAATCTACTCGGGACTGGTTACAGACCGTACCATCCACATAAAATTCTAAAATAAACCTAGAGAAGTGGGGAATAACAGGCGGAACGTACCGCTACTCGTTTCCGTCTTCGGTGGCGCGTTAATTACATTTTTCCGTAATTTTTCATGATCTACCCCGCACGGATTTTGGGAGTGCTCCCCTCTGCATTTTCGGCCATGACAGGTATCACCTTTGGAAAAGAACTTTTAAGAGCGTCAAGCTCGAGTTGAAATCAGTCATGAAACTTACAGTTGGCGATGCCATCTATAGAGACATGAGAACTAAGATTTGAGGCACATAGTATTTGCTTCAAGTGACAGATGGTGATGTATTTTCTTTTATCGACCGCGGGGTAAATTGCCGACCGCTGAGAGGGGCGATGACAACTTTATCTTAAAATGTCGTTCTACAGACTAGCTCTTTATTTTTGTATAATCACGTGAAAATGCAGATAAATAACAATATCCTTCCATGTCCCTAATAGCTGATGGGCAAGTATCGAGGATCGCGGAGAAAAGTATTTCTCGATGCAATCCGTTTAGAACTTCCGAAAATCTCATCGAGAAAGGTGCCATTATTTATAATATTCTTATATGCTTCTATTACTGGCACGCCAAAGTTAAATACTCAGATTCTAGAAACGATAAAATTATAAAGATTTGTTTCTGAATATCAGATTTTCTCAAAATACATAATAAATTCACGAGTTGGTGTTAAATGCAGTGTTTAGAACGGTCTGTATATCTAACTTCTGGTTTTTTCAGGTAATGTTAAGGAGAGCAAAGAAACGGCGTAGAGTTTGGCATAACTCGAGTGTAGCCTAATTACACACTGATTTTTTAATAAGAAAATGAATGCCGTTATTGCGATGTGCACGTTCTGTGAGATGCATGGTCCTAGGGTAATATTTACTACTCAGACGTACCATAACTTTGACGATCGAAACATGGAAAGACTCAAGTTCTATGGACCGAAAGAGGTCCTCCGGCAGAACCAGATGTCTTCCGAGGACTGTCAGCGGGAATGCGACGGATGCCAGAGCATGGGTAACGTTAAATACTTGAGCAATGATCACGAGACAAGAACGTCTTTCCTTTCGGCACAGCGGCCATTGTTGCACGAGGTTAATCTTTCTCTAAAGCAAGCTTGCATCAGGTAATTCATTGGGATTCTCGTGTTTTAATTGATTATATCTATATTGTTCTTTTTTTTATATGGAATGTCATTTATCGTTACTATATCTTTTTCAGGAGTTTGAGCTGCGAGGTGCATCCTGGAAAAGAGGGTGTGTGTTACTTTGGAGATGATTATCGAGGACACGTCCTGAGCCACACGTTCACGTTAAAGGATGCTCAAGTAACTTTTAACATTAATAGGAAAATGTATCGTAGTATTCTCTTGATTCATTTTAAATCTTCTTTTTAACTTTTCTCAGTAAAATTCTTAGAAATCGAAAATCTCAATTTAAGTACAGTGACTTTGCAGGCTCGAGGTTTAAGGAGATGGTGCAGTTTTATAGTCTTCATGAGAGACAAGCAGTTTCTCTTGAACATGTGGCCCTTCTTGGTTGACAATTTAAAGGAGGTCATCAGGGAATTGCAGGATTATGCAGAGAGGAAGTATAACGCTGAAGAGGCTGAATGTCCCCAGAGGGTCGTTCGGTTGTCCACAGCGAGTGGTGGTTCCGGTTCGCAATCTAATTCTAATAAGCAACCCAGAACTTTGTGTGAAATCACAAACGAAAAACACGTTTTCGTTAGGTAAAACCCGATTACGGTTCAATATCCATCATTACGCCTAGCATCGTATGATTCTATTCACGCTTTAGGATTCACATGTGGCTCGTTTGGATTCTCAGTGCTGGCGCGAGGCACTTTGTAGAAATTCTGCCAATGAGTTTGCTAGACGAGGAACTTAATAACAACGTGGATCATCATATAGGTAAGTATTTCCACCTTTATACCTCAACCTAGCACATGGGACAACAGTGAGTTATATAATCTGAAGATATAACCATTGAGTGCTTTATGATTTAACACATTCTACATGTGCTTGGCCGATATAAACTGAGCCTTATTTTAAATTAATTTCAATCGATGCGATCATTCCATATTAGAGACCGAACAAGGTTTCACCCTGGTAAATGCCAAGTCACTAGTGGATACGAACCTGAATAGCATAGAATCAACCCCCTGTCCAGAATTTGCCGAGATAACGGGAAAGACTCCTACGAGCATCCTGAGAGATCTTAGGAGGGTTCTCGGAAGAGATCAGTTTAGGCAGATATTATATTCGACCCTGATCGGAGTGCAGATTTTGGTTCGAGGGCCTCGATGTCAGACCATCGAGTCACTTTACGGTCTAAGCTCTCTAGTTCCAAAAGCTTGTCGCAGAGTCCAAACCCAGGCAACCGAATACATGGACCCAAATGCCTGCAACTTCATCGGTACCTATCTCTAGATCAGTCGAATGCGTTAAAGGTGATTTTATGATTAGACAAATTTCTCTATACGTACTTTTTCTCCGTGGCCTTTAGGAGTAGACACTTTGGTGGCAGTACCCTTGCCCTGTGCTAATGTTTGCAGACTCGATGTCGTGCCTGCCGAGCACATGCCGGCGGGGACCAAATCGCATATCGTCAAATGGACCGGCAACGTGCCCGCTAAACTGCCCACGCTTTTGAATAAATTGGAAAAATCCTTAGACAACGAAAAACTTCCCGATTCCGTCTTGAGGGCACACTTCGCTGCTCTCCAAGAAGAATGGGCCAAGTAAGCGTACGATCGAATAACCCTATAACCTCGGGAAAGCTCTTTCGCCGGTGATGAGGAAATCGCGTACATCGTATGTCGTCCCAGTAAATAACGATTACATTAGTTCTGGAATGGTAACGGATACTTTGGAATAATTGCAGCATCGCAAAGGTGGTACACGCGATGCGCGGTCGTGGCCATCGAGGGGATCTCCTGGGTCTCATGATCAGTTTAGGAGCCGGAGCTCATGACCAGAAATTGCTGGATGCTTGGTCCATGGGTTTACCGTCAAATCCGGCGTAAACTATGGGAATTCACGCCACATACTTACAGAGCTGCTACGCAAACGAACGGCACATCCCTGGAACTCGCGACACGCATCGATGGCGAATCCATCGATTCCGCGATCAAGTTCCTCGTCCTCGTGGCGACGTTAGAGCTCGTTTACGGTTGTGCTTCATTTTCTATTTATGAATTCTAGGAAGGAATTAGGGTAAGTTATCGCGCAACGGCGCTCGACTCCGTGCCTGCTTTGCACGCTAATAAATTATTCTTCGTACGAACGCATTTCCATTCGATCGTCCGTACCCTCTTACGCGTTATTCGAACGTCGTTTAACATTTACGTTTAACGTCGGTTCAAAGCTTAAACAGGAGTTCAAAAGTAGCGGGCGATCCAAGAGGTCCAGTGGCGCCATCTCTCGACGCGCGTCGCCATCGATCCGTGGATCCTAGTTGACCGTTTCGTCGTCCGATGTCGCCACGCGACGCCAATTTATTCCAGGTCGGTATTAATAATTTATTTTCGAATAACAGGGTACAATCGGCATAACCCGCATTTAAATGCGACGGAAGTATTTTTAGACCAGAGTTTCACAAGAGGAACGCCGTGCATTGGTTTCAGGAAGGATGCCGCAGCGTCGAGAGAAATGACAATTGGCAGGAAAAATGGCAGCGAAGAGGGAAGGTCGTTATCAGCTTTCTATGAGTTCGAATGGAGACGGCAGCGAGGAGGGAAAGGGGGCTCACGTAACGGGACCGTTCCCCCACTGTTCCGTTGGTCGGTGGGTGTGGGAAAAGCTAGGAAGAAAAGTGGCTCCGTGTCGAGGCGATCGACGCGATCCACCAGGAGAAAGCGAGGATCCGGCAGGACGCTTCGCGTCCCGCGTCCACTCGCCGCGTTTCACGGTACATTCGGAGCGGGGTCTTGCCTCTCGTTCGTTATGGAATCGATAGAACGGTAAAGGGGCATTTGGCACGATCGTCCCGTTAAGTGCCCGAGTTGATCCGAAAGACCGGGGAAGAGGCAAGAAGAAAGTATCGTTTAACGATCGTTGCGTGCGCATAATTGCGAAAATGCGTCCGCGGTCTAATAAGAGAACGAGGCGCCGCGTTCATCCCAATTGGAGTCCTCTTGTCTCCTCGAAACGCGGAGAGCTTTCACGGAGGGGGCGTCCCTCCTCGAAGGAGAACCGAATCTGATCGGGAGGGTGCATCGGTCCCGCTGCTCCTTTTAGCGCGCGAAATTTCGGTCTGCGCCTCGAGTCGTCAAAGAGTTGCGCTTTCCTTGCTTCCCTTCGGCGCGACTCCCTCGTTAAAAAATTCCCAGTTCGCGCTCCCCGACCCGATTTCGACCTAGGACCGAAAGGTCGGCGAAAGGGAAGTCGCGAGCGGAACGGGAAATCCCGGGAATAAAAATCCTATCCGTGCCCGATTCGCGCGGATACAGGGAAAGTTAAACCAGTTCCCGCGAGTCAAGGTTAGGCGTCAATTAATATATATATCGCACGGATCGCGCGCTCTCCCGAACTCTCCTCGCGAGGATTTTTCGGTCTCCCAGTCGGGCAGATCGAAATCTCCCCCGAGTAATTTAACGCATTAAGGACCGCTAAGGAATCTATAAGACATACGCCCAGAAGAGCTATCCGTGAAGGATGGGGCGCGAAACACGAAAAAACACGTGAGCGGTCCTTAACGCGTTAATACGGATCGACCTGGCCGCGTCGATCCAATGTTTCCGTCCCCGACCGGTAAGAGTCCGATCACCCGGAAGCGGGAAGAGGAAAAAGGGTGGACGGGATCGACCGCCCCGTTTGGGCAAAGCGTCGAACCGCGCGGGGACCTCTCGGAGGAAACGATCGGGCCTCGACGACCTCCGCGAGCGCCGAAACGGCGCGAAATCCGCGGGCCCGGTCGTTTAGAAAGTCGGCGGGGGTCGGGGGCCGGGGTACCGGGCCCCCGGGAGGGGCGCCTCGTAGCCTAGCGGGGCCCGAGCGCGGCGGGGACTCACTGCGCGTCCTGTCGTCGAGCGATCGAGACGCCGAGTTCGTCGAATTTTGACGAGGCCGCGACCGAGCGAACGGAAGCGCAACCCCGAAGGAATGGAGAAGGAGCAGCCCGACTCCCTGGCCACGGTCGCCGTGGGCTCGGAGAAGGCATCCCCGGACCACGGGCACTACGCCCCCAGCGAGGTCTACTCCGCGTCCGAGCCGCCCCCGGTAAGGGAACCGCCCCGACCCTTTTCCGCCCCCTCCGAGGGACGATCGATCCCGAGGTCTCGGAGCGTTGCGCAACGCCTCCTTTCCGGGACGTCGAGATCGTTCGGCGGATCTATCCTTGAGATCTCCTCGAGAGTTTCCGCAACGCGGCGAGGAAAAAAAAGTCGAGACCAACGGCGCGAGTCCGGGGGAACTCGTTAAGGAACGCTCGGCCGGCAAAGGGAGCGAAGAGACCTCGGTCTCGATCGTCCCCGGGATCCCCCGGACCGAGCCAAGATGGTGGATGGCGGATGGCCTACTATCTCTCGACCTTTGGTTCCCGCTCCTACTCGCCTCTACCCGGAGGATCGAACGGATCCGCTCGGCTCGAATCGAGAACGGATCGTCCGGGCTTCTCCGGAGTCGTCGCGAGCGGACGGGAGGAACCTCCGCGGCGGAGAAAGTTCCCGGAAGTCGAGGATTTCTCGCCTAGAAAGGACTGTTCGGTGTTGCAGGCGTACATGAGGCCGGCCACCAAGAGCACGGCGGTGCAGATCGCCCGGATCGCCGCCGTCACCCTGGTCACCGTGTCGGTGGTCCTCGGCGGATTCATTCTGGCGGCGTCCTGGGTCCAGGCCCGCGCATCCTGCGGCCCCGAGGCCGTCCAGACCCCGCGGACGCCCGAGCGGGAGTTTCCGGATCGTCCGTGGCCCGAGGCGCTGAAACAGGTGACTCTCTCGGAGCAACGGGACCCAAGGATCCGGCCGACTCGGGCTTCGGGCTCAAGGAGAACCGCGACCGAGAGTTGCGTAACCCGACCCTCCCCGCTCCCTCCCCGCTGATTTCGACTCGGAAGCGGCTCGGCGCATCCGATGACCTCGATTCGCGGAGGCGTCCTCCGAGTCGCCTGGAAAGGGAGAGAAAAGCCTCGGAGGATGCGCCGGTGCCGGTCGGTGCCGGCCGGTGCCGGCCGGTGCCGGTCGGTGTCGGTCGGTGTCGGTCGGTGCCGGTCGGTGGAAAGGTACCGGCGGAAAGTGGGTTGCCCGTTGCGCGCCGCCCCGGCAAGGTGAACGTTCTCTGGAAGCGATTTCTCTCCGCCGGGCCGACCGACCGTGTCGCCGCGACGATCGAGACTTTTCTCGATCGCCGAGATGGAAGGAGTCCTCCGACGCTTTCCCCTCGGGAAATCGCCGCGCTCTCGATTCCGCGATTGCCCCGTCCAACCGTGGTTCCGGAGGGGCGGGACGCGGCGGAGCGATCGTCGGAAAAAGAGGAGTCCTTTAGGTCGCGGGACCGAGTGAAAGCGAGTCCGCTCCTTCCCGCGACCCAGGTCGAGTTGCCGATCCCCGGAATTTCGCCGCGACCGTCCGGAGAAGAGTCGCGTCTGACCCCCCCGATCCCCCGTTGCCAGGAACCCGCCGACGTCAAGGACTATTCGCAAGCATCGTCCGAACCGAGCGGAGCCAAGGAGGTTCGATCCGAGAGCCAGGACGCCAGAGCCCGGAACGGTGACGGAAAGCCCGACGGCGACGACGGGGACAACGACGAGGAGGACGACTACGACGACGAGGAGTTCCCTCCGGTTCGCATCAAGCTGCCTCTTCAGCTGGACCTCGACGACATTGCAGGGGTTGGTCCGCGACTCGCCGATTTCTTTCACAGGGGACGATTTAATGACCGATCGTCGTCGTTCTCTTAGACCTTGATGCAGCAGGCGCGCAGCAGAGTTTCCTGCGTCGTGGAGAGACGAAGGGCCGACGAGGTGACCGATGGGTCAGACAACGGCATCGACGGCAACGGCACCGACCCCCAGAGGTTCCAGCGGCTCAGCGGCGAGCGCGTCGCCATCCTGTGCGAGTCCGGAAATCCGCATCAGGAGTAAGTCTCGACCGGAAGAGCGATCGTTCGCCCGGGAATCGCGAGAGTACCCCTAATCCCGACGATTTCGTTTGAAACGCGTCCAGGCAACGGGAGCAGGAGATGCCGACGCCGATCATCGTTCCTCTGGGAACCGTGCAGATCCCCGTTGGGAGCCAGGAACCGAACTACCACCGGTACCGAGTGCACCCTAGGTATCAGGTTCCCGATATGCAACAGCTGCCCCTCAGCGACCCTCGGGGACTGAACCACATCCCCGCGGGAATCTTGCCCCCGGAACTGCGCAATTTGCCCCAGCTCCCCATGGAGATGCGTCCTCCGCGTGCGGGACCGCAGGTGAGATTCGATTCGCGCCGAGGCGGAGGAGGTCGAGCCGCGCCCTGACGAGAGGTTCCTCCTCAGATCGAGTTGCGCCACTTCCCGATGGACCCCGTGGGCGCGATGCCGCAGGAACCGCGGATGCCCGCCATGTTCCACCAGCAGGAGCAGCCGGTCGTCTCCGTGTTCCACCAGGAGCAGCCGGTCCCGCCGATGATGCAGGCCCCTCGGGCCGAGGGCCAACTCCACGAGCAGCAAGCGGTTCCCCGGATGATGATGCCCCCTCGGGAGCACGGGGTGCCGATGGACCCGCAGGCCTCCGCCCCCGAGAGGCCTCACCCTTTCCAGGGGATCCCTCTGGAGATCAGGCGCATCATTCAGCAAGTCCCTCTGGAGATCAAGAACATCATTCAGCAGATCACCGGGGAACACGTCGTCGCTCGAGCCTTCCCGGTCCCCGTTCCGGAGGGAGCGCGTCGCGAGGTACGTTCGATCTCCTCGTCCGTGAGCACGGGAGAATCCTTGAAATTCCCTCTTCCAGACCGTCGTCCAGGAGTTCAAGCCGTTCCCGGAAGGAGCTCGACCGATACCTCTCGGACCGTTCCCTCTGCCGATAGAGGTGAGGAACCTCCTGGAGAGCGGCAACCTCGATGAGGCTTCTCGGTCCCGCGACGATAGCGACGAGGAACGACAAGAGGCTAAACCCTTCCCCGGTACCGAGGACCGGAGCGACGAAGCCGACAGGGGCTTCCCAATTCCCGTCGAAGTGCGCAGCATCATTCGCCAGGTTCGTTTCCTCGACGAGCCCCCGTGGGGCGGAAAGGAGGAGAAAATGGCGCGATGAGAACCTCGGGTCTCGGGGAATACCGTCGGTAGCGTGGCCGAGCGGTCTAAGGCGCTGGTTTAAGGCACCAGTCTCTTCGGAGGCGTGGGTTCGAATCCCACCGCTGCCAAATTTTTTTTTCTGCAACGAGACAGGAACTTTTTTCCTTTTTAGGTCGTGGAAGGTCGCGCGCCAAAGTTCTCCTCGCCCCCGAGGCCCCTCGAGTCCATGGAGATCCCGGTCCAGGCGCAGGCACGGATCGCCGAGAGTCAGAGTCCGGAGCAGCAGGCGGAGCACCACCAGCACGAGCAACAGGTGCATCAAGTTCCGGGACGACTCGTCCTTCAACGGCAGGAGCGCGAGGAGGAGAATCGGCCCCACTGTAAGAATCGTTCCTTGATACGCGGATATCGGTGAATCCCGCGGTTCTGACAAAAGATCATTTTTTCAGACGTGCAGCCTCGCTCGGTTCGCTCGATTCCTGAGCCATTCGCTCATCGGCGCGAGAAGCGCGTGCGCAGGTGCGCCTGCGATTGCGCCTGTTAACTCGCACCCCAGTCTTCCTCGGCGGAGTCTGCGAGCCTAGTTTCGAGCCAATCTGGGAAGCCAAGAAGGGCGCCAGAAACGGCCGGTTCCCCTGCAGCCTCGACTCCGAATTTCCCGATTGGGTCCCTCCCCGTAGACGCGATTCGCAATTGCACGAGGAACGCGTCGCCCCGTTAAAACGGTCGATGCTCGTTGGCCCTCGCGCAGGTTTCGGTGGTTCGTTTTGTCCATATAGCAAATTCATATTTTTCCATTTTCCGTTGGTGTCCCGCCCGGTGAACCTTTCGGTTAAGCGTCTCTTAGTACTCGCGAGCGAAAGATAACGAGGATACGAGCGATACCTTGATATCTCTATAGATCCGCGAAAGTTCTAACGAATTCGTTGATCGATCCGTTAATTTGAATCGACGTTGACGCGACGCACCGTAGGCTCTTCTCCTCGTTTCCGCGGAAAATTCGCTTCCACTTAAAAATACCCCGACCGCTCTCCCGGCTCTATTTTTAGTCGCTATTAACTTCGGCGTTCTTGGGTGGTGATCTTTCAAACGACCCCGATGTTCCTCCTCTCTTTGTATTTTTTTTTTCTTTTTTTCCTCGTTGAGAATAAGCCACGGTCTTCCTTCCTCTTCCTCTTCCTCTTAACCCGGAAGGAGTCTCGAGCGGCGCCTCGTACCGAGTGATCCAAGTGCTTTCTCGCAAGCGTTATTGCCGTAGTTGCATAATCCGTCCTGTACACACAACCCGCGGTGGCGTTTCTGTACATTCTTTTCGCGAATCCAGTATCCCTGATAATTTTAAGGGACGGACACACTTTTATATGTATTATTTCTCCATGTATTTTTCTTTTTCCCAAGGAAATAAAGCGAATTAATTAATCGTCGGGCTCCTAGAATGCCCTCGATTACGCGTATCGACGACGAATATAATATAATTAAGTAAATAATAGTAAAAAGTGCTATATTTTCACGAAGTAACCGTTATTACATTACTCGCGAGTGTAGGATGTATACTCGGTTAACATACATCATGAATAACTTGCATACTGGTATATTATGCAAATCGCACGCAACCTTACTGTGCTTCGCACGTGTAATCTCTTGTAACTGTAAACGCACCTACGTACGCGCAGGTGCACGTGGTGAGCACACCCACGCTTGCCTAAAAACTCCGACAGTAAACGATAGATTTTGGCCCCAAAGCACATTCATTGTACATCCGACAATGAATCGAGACTTTTCACGGTATAAGTACACAAGAAATAGTAGACGATATTTTTTACATTTGTAGCTGACTGATTATGGTAACACGCCTGCACGTTTTACCTTTAAACGACGATAACTTTCGATACGTGGTAAAATTTGGTGAACACACCTTTACACCCTCTAGATACTGAAGGGTCCAAATAACTGATTACATTAGATGCTTTTACGGTATAGAGGAGGAATAATTCGGCTCCGATTCCTACTGTGCGTTCGTTGCTAAAATCTACCGTTTCGTATCACAGTTTTTAAACTCTTAAGTCGTTAACGGAGAATCGCTGCTTCTTCTACTACCTACTAATTTCTTCTGTCAATTGTTACGTTACACACACCCAAGACCGATCGAGATTAACTTTTCTACAAATGTATGAAACTGCAAAAATTCACATGACTCGCGAGACCCTAATACTTTCTGAAATTCTCTCATTGCAACCTCGGTAGCTATTTGGTTCCTCTAATCGATCACCTTAAATGAACTCTTCTGAGATTTTTTTTTCTTCTCTATACGTACGACTTAATTGCACTCGCAGCACAAAGTATTCATGATTAGCATGAATACTAAATAAATACCATCGTCTCTCCGTAACTTATTACTTAATAGTACATCTTCTTGACTTGCCAGCCTTGGCTAAAAAAAGCACTAAAAATCCATCGGAGCATAGTTTGGCATTCATCATCCTTATGTATAATTGCATATCCCTTAAGGTTAGGTAGACCTCGTCGTTTAACGTAGATAATCGGAAAGCACAATTTTTTTTTTTTCTTTAATTTTTATTCCTTCCAATCCTTTTTGATGTCAAACGACCACTCCCACTTGAGGTGTTCATGTTTGTCGTCATCCGTAAAGAGTGAACTGACCGTGTACGAACCACGTGCTACCATGCCTGCGGGTGCATCCTCTGAAGGAGTCGTATACGACTGGATCTCGGTCTTTGGTGGGTACGAGCCTACCATATGCGTCATCTTGTCCACTGCAAATATGGAGAACGGTCGTTTGAAAGTATCGTCATGCACGCGTAATTTTAAATTCCCCAAATTTAAATGCAATGTTACCTGTCACTCCTATGATACATCCAAAAGGGAATGCATTTGAAATAAATGTACTATTTACTGTTCGAGCAGAGAAATTTTTTAAATATTTTTCTTAATTTAGAGGTATAATCTTTAAAGGGGTTACCTCCGATCATTTTAATTTAAACAATTAACCAAAGTAACACGGATTGATCAAGCTTACCAGGTACTCCAAGGCGGTATGTTTTTTGCACGTATTTTAATCCATGGACTATTTCACGCTGTACAATGAAGTCAATTCGTATGCGGTAACTCACACCTTCTTTAATGATAAACGTTTGTTTTTTCAATTGGGAAAGATCTCCAGTTAAATCTAATTCCATGTCGGGTCTATCCACCACGCAAAGTGCCAATTTTTTTACTATAACTTTCCTAGGGTCATTGGGTTCTATGGCATGGAAAAAAATAATTCATTTGTTAATATCTTAGTACCTAGATTAATGTAAAGTAATTAAGTATCTATGTGTATAATTATCATCGACTTACCAACTATTACTCCACCAGATTTAGCTTCGCCCAAAAGTGTTTCTTTATACTTTCTCAGACTCTCATCTTCCTTGTCCGCCTCTAATATCTGTTCGATTGTCTTCTCAGGTGGTGGCTTATAATTTGACTCAACCTCCAACTCCTCTTCGGGAGTGTCAGCATGATCGACCGCTGGATCTGCCATTGTCTCTATTAAAGTATTTTTAAGTTGTAAAGAAACATTTACAAATCGATTCCTAAATTAATAAAATATAAATGTATGGTGGACCCCAAAACGGTAAAGTATGACAGAAGGCCCAGCCCCCCTGGAGCTTAGCATTCAAAAGTGGAAGGCAACTACGCACTTTAATTCAGATCGTGAAAAAACTCCAACACAAAACACAGAGGCACAAACAATAACAATGGAAAGGAATGTTACGATGCCCAACAATGGGGTACCTTTGTGAAGTATTTCAGAAAACAAAAGTAAAACGTGAGAACGCGACGAAATCGTCGGAAGCTTAAGAATTAAAGAAATTTTAGGTAAACAGGAAAACCAGGCATTTAAGAGAGCGATCTAAATGTCGCATTTGAAAAATGTCACTAACAATTACAAAAAAACCGGGCAGATGCAATAAAAATGCGATTTTCTTCCTCCTGATAGACAACTACACGTTCGTGCGTTTCGAGGGGGATGGCAAGAAAAAGGGACTGCCTCCGGCTTACCGTATTTTCAAAATGACAAGCAAAAGGTACAGCGGTTTCGGGAAATCGCAGAACGTTTGGATTTTTTTCAAGATTCCGGTGAAATCACCTTTTAATCGGCCGATCGTCCCCTCTCGTTAGCTTTCACGAACGGAAGACACGGGCAACATGGCGCCGTCGAAAGGGCGGGATACTTCCTGTAATAGTTCTTTTTTTTTTTATCAATATCCATTTACGTTTTAACGAAGAGGTTTTCACCTTCTCCATTGAAATTGCAACTACAGCGATCCATTGCTAATCATGCCGAGGACTATTTAATAGAAGATTATCTATATTTTTTACGGCTTAGAAAATAAATGCGGGAGCAGTAGCCATCTTGTAAATCGATGAAAACTTGCGCGGGTGCGTTTCAAAATACTCGTATTGCATCGCTCTTTCCGGTTGGCTTAAATCGTATCGGAGTAGACCGGAAATGCTCTTCCCTGATTGGTCCTCCTGAAACTAAGATGGCGGAAGCGAACCAATCAAGACGCGCTATGTTGGTCGAATCGTCCTCGAGTCTCTATCGCGTAGTAACTCTTTGGTAGAGAGGTTAGTACATGTCGAATTTTTGGCCGGTGGAGACGATGCCGTGTAGTCACGGTTAAGCTTTTTTCGATGCATTTTACGTTTCCAGGAAAATTCTATCGTTCTGTAAATTTTGATCGTCTGTAGTTTTTCAAGTCGCGCGTGGAATCCGAACGTGCATGCATACGCAGTAATCCATGTAAGCGTGGCAAAAGAATGCTCGCGTTGTTAGCGACTCCGTACTGCTAGAGTAGTTTGTTTCAGCCGTTGGTAATATCGTGTTTACGGGTTGCATATAATAAAATAGTGATTTGTTTGCGGTGTCCTCGCGTGTTGTGATAGTACACGGGTATGTATAAAGTGTAATTTTGAAAGAAATTGCTGCTAAATGGAAGGAAATACGGAGCAAGCGACCGTGAACGTCGAAGCGGCCGCCAGCAACGAGCAGGAGCACAACGAGGAGGGCGTTGAAGATTTGGAGGAATACGCTTTCGAGGGCGATGAGTACAGGCATTTTATACCGAGAGGTCGAGGGGGCTTCAGGTAAATCATCATTTTATTTCCCACAGGCCTGAAACACTGCCGATTTCTCTGATAGAGCCAATCATACTTTACTTTCGCATCGTTTGTAAGGTTAGGGTTGACGATCGGTTCGTTCCGTTCGTCTTGATTCCTTAATGTTTTCCTATAATATGCATATAACTTCACACGTCCTGGAGCACGTTAATCCTTTTGTTTCTGACTATCGTGATGCATTCAAAGTAGAAAGTGAATTTCTATTTAATTGTTAATTAATGCATTAGGGGTCGTGGCCGAGGAAGCTTTGATTTTCCCATGAGAGGAGGTCCACCGAGATTCCGAGGAAGAGGATTTGGACCCCGTGGCCCAATGTTTCGTGGAGCCAATAATGGGTATCCGTTCGAGGGACCTCCTCGGCCAAATTGTCCACCTGGACCAGCTGGACCTCGATTTCGCGGACCACCGCCGTTCGACCCTAGTTGGGGACCCATGGGACCACCAAATTTGATGAGTCCCCATAATCTAATGGGACCACCTGGAATGGTAATAAAATTGCAATGAAAAATTTATCGATACCGAACATATTCAAGTATATCGGACTCGTTTAATTGTTATCGTAGCCTCCGCCACACATGATGAATGGACCCATGGGTGCAGCTCCGGGACCTTTTGGACCTCCACCTGGAATGGGACCACCGAACATGAATAGCGTAATTAAATTAAATTTCATATATTATCATACTAACCGTTTCTTTTGATCCATCGTAATAAAATAAATTTGGTTATAGATTCCAGGCCAACAGCCACCGCAACAACAATTACAGCAGCAGCAGCAAACAAACATTCCAGGATTGGATCTCAATGGTGAGGTTTGGGTGGAGACAAAGACTTTAGATGGCAAGTCGTATTATTACAATATTCGGACAAGAGATACGACATGGAAAAAGCCAGAAGGGCCAAACGTGAAGGTTATGGTGCAGGATCAGGTAGGTCGCGATAAATGTTTTCTTTATAAACCTGTATGCTTCCATGTACCTTTCGCATATTTTTCAATAAATTTCATCTCGTTGCTTCAGTTGGAACAACTCGTCCATGGAGCAGCCAATCAAACAGCCCGATCGACTACACCCACCAATACAAATATTCAGCCACAAGTTAACGAAGCAAGGCCACCACAGAGTAATGAACAACCGCCACCTAATAACGCCGACAACATCAATCAGTTAAGCACTGCGCCACCAGGAACAGGACCGCCGCCGTCGCTCAACGACGTGCCAGAAATAACAACGCAGTCCGAAGTCAATCAGACAAACGGTAAATACCATAATTACAATCCGCTTTTATTCCAATTCGGTTCTATTGACATTATTATCATTTTATTCCAGGCGTTCCAGTGACGTCCACGAGTAAAATGTTCACAGCTGCACCAGCAGCGGTTACCAACACGACGCCCGTAAATAGTACAACGAATTTAATGCAACCTCCTCCAGCGATCGTACCGATGCAACATAGAATGCCCAATCAGTTTGGAGGACCGATGGCAGCACCTTTTGGTACAGCACCGTTCGGCATGCCACCACCAGGATTTCAAGCTTTCGGAACGTATGGTCCTCCGCAGACTAACTGGGGTAAAGAATCACGAACTGTTGCGACCTTTGTTCATTTTTACATGAAAGAAAGAGAGGAAGAAAATAATTTCTCGTCTTCTAGGAATGCCTCAAATGCCTCATGGTGTAATGACCCCTCAAGCCGTGACCGAAGATCCTGCCATCATGGCACAGATCGATGCCGAGATAATTGCCTCCGCCATGGTCTGGACCGAGCATCGGGCACCGGATGGTCGTTTATACTACTACAATAGCAAAGCTGGAGAGTCAGTTTGGGAAAAACCGCAGGCTCTGAAGGATCTCGAAAGTACGTTGCTTGTTGCAATTTTCTTACATGCCGTAATTTATAAACGATGTTTGCGTCTTATAATTATACTTCCTAACCAGACGCTAAAGCGGCGTTGCGGCAAAAAACGGAGGAGCCACCACCCGCGGCGACTACCAGCCCTTCGGAGGCGGTCAAGCAGGAAGTAGTCAAGCAAGAGAGTAATCAAGAAACCAAAGAGACCGTGAAGGAGCCCGAGGCTCCAAAGATGAAGAAGGAAGAGCCAACCCCTAAAGAAGTCGCGAAACCTCAGGACAAATCGAGGCCAGTTTCGAGCACACCAGTACCGGGAACGCCCTGGTAAATTTATGTTATATTCCCCTATCGTTCTTTCGTTCTCTGTATCGGAGTACTTGACGGTTTCTTGAAAAATATGTCATCTGAAATAAGCATTACTCCGTCCTAAATTAGGTGCGTCGTTTGGACCGGCGACGGTCGGGTATTCTTTTACAATCCCTCTTCGCGCATATCGGTTTGGGAGCGCCCGGATGATCTGGTCGGTCGTCAAGATGTCGACAAAATGATCTCGACGCCCCCGGATGTCCTTGGAGTCATGAAGACTGTACGCCAGTCGGATACCAGCGACAGCAGCGACGAAGATCAACCTACACCTGCCAAAAAAAGTAAACCGGAAGAAGTAAAAGGTAAAGTTTGAGTTTCAATCTCCAGGACAAGTAGTCCTGTTTGAGGGTATATCGATCGTTATACGGTTTCGTTAAATCGTTAGGTCCAGCTCCAAAAGAAGAGGAAGAGAAGGAGGGAAAGAAGACGATCGACATTGGGAAAGAAGCCGCGATAGAGGCGGAAGTACGCGCAGCCAGAGAGAGGGCTATTGTTCCACTCGAGACCAGAATCAAGTCATTTAGAGACATGCTCGCCGAAAAGGATGTACGTCTTATATATATGCTAAATAGTTCTTCGGTTTCTTTCTTACTTTTTTTTTTCTTCTGAAGCAGAAAAAATCGTATTTTGGTGTTTGCAGGTTTCAGCATTTAGCACCTGGGAAAAGGAACTTCACAAGATAGTTTTCGACCCTCGGTATCTTCTGCTCACGTCCAAGGAGAGGAAACAGGTTTTCGAAAAATATGTAAAGGAAAGGGCCGAGGAAGAACGACGAGAAAAGCGGAACAAGATGAAGGAACGGAAGGAGCAATTTCAAAAGCTGCTCGAAGAGGCTAATCTTCATGGGAAGTACGTAGTCGGTGCCACCACGATCCATTTGTCGATTTAAAAAAATCAGCAGAGTTTGCAAGTTCTACTAACGGAATTGTCCGTTTCAGATCATCTTTCAGTGATTTCGCGCAAAAGCATGGCAGAGATGAACGTTTTAAAAATGTCGAGAAGATGCGCGAACGTGAAAGCCTCTTCAATGAATTTCTACTGGAGGTGCGGAAACGAGAGAAGGAGGAAAAAACGGCTAAACGCGAACAGGTATGTTTACGGTTATTAATCGCACTGTATAATTTTGGTCGCTCAACGACCATTTTGCTTTCATTACAGGATATACGGAGTAAATAATACATTTTGCACACGTAAACGTTCGTCATATCAGAAAGCTGTTTTATTAAAAGTGTTTATAGAATTGTGTACGTGTAATTTGGTTTGAGGTCGCCAAGTGTTCATTATTTTCGAGGATATGTATTTTTAACGTTTTCTTGGTAAAACGTTTAATTTATATCGGAAATTAATTTTGATTTACATGCTTTTACATTAGCTTCGTATCGCAAGAGTGCTCGAATAATTCCGACCACTGAATTGACACGCTCGATGTGTCGAGATTGTTTAAAAGGTTCATTCGGACCTCGTAATTTTCGAGAACGGAAAATTTCAGCACCAAGAGTCATCGTTGGTGGTTTAGAAATTCTTGAGAAAAATGAACGCTTGAACAAAGGCGACGAGCACCTAATTCACGGTACGCAAAATTCATGCATGCCTCTGAGAAAAGACAGCGAGCGAAGTGTACACTCGACAGAGATTTAACCAATTGACATTCGATATTTTTTCGATCCGTTGGAAATTTGCGTTAAGTCACTGCTCGTATCGAGACCTCTCCGAGAACGACCGGCTCGAAACCATGTTCGTTCGCGTCCAAGACATCGTCGCGGCAGGGTCTCGGCCCTGACCTCGGTAAACGGGCAATGTCTTAACCAAGGGAAGAGGAACTAATCAGCCTGCCTTGTGTTTTCAGCCGTAATCAATTGTTCTTTCAGGTTCCATAGGTATGTTATTATTTTGTTCCACTTGTACGTAATACGCGTTCGTCTCGTCATTAATCGAATGACCGAAGAACGCATGCAGGGAAAGTATCTAGTTAAAGCTTCTCTAATCGAAATGAGATTTGCTCGATAAGAAGTCGATTGACAAGTTTGAAGTAGCTTCTAAGGTTGGGAGAGCTAGAGAATGTAAGACATGATGTTAGTATCTGACGGTTCCTTTATATACTTATGTGTTCTGAACTCTCCACTTCAGTCAGGAGGCAGGCAGGACAGGTTCCATATGTGGAGTGGCTTGGTTCTGAAGCTGGTTGGTGGCATGGATGATGTCATCTACCATCCCCACCTACATCGCGTGGCACAGTTGGCACACCCTCGCGCACCGCATTCTTTACTCCAAAGCAGAGTCATGAGAATGAACGAACTCGGTATTTGTATATTACTCGTAATCCTCGTTACCTTCGAAAGATTAACTTTTTCCCCCAAAGAGCGAAAACGATCGCGCGCAGCTACTCACTCGAGTCAGAAGCTAGGGCCCGTTACGATGCCGAACGCGAGTCCCGCGGTCTACGACCATCTTGCGAAAGTCTTACGGGTTTCATTTCCTTATCGGGGACCGGGACGAACGATATGCCACGGATTGGCATTTGGGGTTACACCTCGACGTAAGAACGGTCAAAGCATCCTGAGCTGAGTGCCTTCGATCGGTGGATGTCACCGAGTTTACTTTAATCTTTCTTACGTCGACGTCGAGTCGTTTACTTGTACGAGAAGAAGCGTCGAGAGGACGTTACGAGACGCGCGGTATCGTTGCATTTTCACGTTGACGTCGCGTCGATTTTTTCTCTTTTTCCTTTTCTTTCCAAGAGTATGTACATATACGAGCGACTACGCGCGGCGATTTTATCAAGTTTTCCAAGGAGTTATTTTTCTTTTTTTATTATTTTTTTGTTTTTTTTTCTTCTTGTTTTCCTTACCAAGTCCGTACATTTAGCTTGGTCTTTTTCTTGACAGCAATTTTAAACCACAGCGAGATAGGGCTTTTATAGTTGAAGAATTATGTAACGATGGAACGGAGTTGCATTTTGTCGTAGTACTTAAGTTTATCGACGAGATGCGGCCGTGCTGTATTTTTCGGTCCAAGATTCCGTGCAAGAGAAGGTACGACCGCGAGTCGTTTCCGAAATTTTCGGAAAAATACGGTACGTGCCGCCGACTTTATATCAAGTTTCTTATAGGCTCGTCAGAGGATCGGAGTAACTCTGCCGGATAATATAATATAATAACCAAAGTGTGCCTGTATTCAAGATGTTCGTTTATACCGTTCCCTTAACTCTGTTAAGGGAGAAAGATGACCATTGAACTCTCTTTTTCGACGTGTCCAAAGTAAAGGGATTTTTCTTTCTTCTCCCTTATTCTTTTTTTCTCTCTCCAATGAATGCAAAAGTTGAGGTCGTGATCAAAATACGAAGGAAGTTTTAAAAGGGAAAGATTTACCTTACTACCGGGCTGGCTTTCGGTGGAAAAGGTTGAATCGTAAATTCGTTAGCCTCGTAGAGAAGACACCGTAAGTTTTTCTTTCTTTCCGTAATCGCGTTTAGAACTCGTAGATGAATCATCGCTTCGTAATTTGGACGGCCTGTAATAGTTTGAATTGAGAGTTGCAATGATAATCCACTAACGTGAATTTCCTTTTCAGCGAGGTGGACGATCGGGTGAACGCGTTCATCGCAAGTGCCGAGTCGTCGTCGGAGAGAGTCGAGGAATCGACTTCCGGGACCGTTTTTATCCGCTCGAGTGACGCCACGAGTCCGCCCAAGAAAAGAAAGAAAGAAAAAAAAAATCGGTCGAAGCTCCGACGACGACTCGGAGTCGAATAATCATTTTCTTTCAGGTTTTAATCCCTGTGTTTCTTTCAGCGTTAGGGGTCTCTCGATCCTAAGAAGCGCCTGTCGACGGAAAACCGTTTCAAGTTAGAAAAGTTAGGATATCGGAGTAGGACGGTTCTGCGTCATCGAAAGAAAAGATTAAAAAAAAAAGAAAGAAAGAAAAACACGTTGCTCTGGTCGTAGCAGTCCCAGTAGAGAGTAACGAGCGTCGACGCGTTCGGTCAGGACGCGTAACCGAAGATGCATGACAGAGAAAAATAAAGGATGAGCAAAGGCAGAGTTTTTTTCTCATTACTCTTAGGATCGTGTACCGATAGACGAAGAGAATTCGAGAGACGTACGGCAAACGATAGCTCGTAAGAACGTGAACCCCGTCGATCGGACGAAGGACTCTCATGTGCGTTCCATTTCAGGTTAAAAAGGATTTCCTAGCGATGCTGAAAGAACACAAGGACATTGACAGGCACTCCCATTGGAGCGACTGCAAGAAAAAATTGGAGTCCGACTGGAGGTACAGGCTCGTTGAGTCGGCGAGCGCCCGGGAGGATTGGTTTAGGGACTACGTGCGCCTCCTCAAGGAGGAGCGCAAGAAGGAGAAGGAAAAGGAAAAGGAGAAGGAAAGGGAGAAAGAAAAGGAGAAGGAAAAGGAGAAGGAAAAGGAGAAGGAAAAGGAGAAGGATCACCGACACAAGGAGAAGGACCACCACAAGTCGGAGAAGAAGGACCGGGAGAGGAAGGAGGGCGAGAAGTACAAGGAGAAGGCCTCCAAGGACGGCCCGCCGAAGGAGAAGAAGCAGCGGAGGACCGAGCTCGTGGCCGAGGAGAACGGTAAGGAGAAGAGGGAGCCGGTCGAGGACAAGGAGGCCGGCGAGGTGGACGACGTCGACGGAAAGCCCGGCAGGAAGGAGAACGAGGTAAGGTGCCGCTCGTTTCCCGATCGTCGCACCCCTGCGACCCTGGTGACCCTCGTTCGCGTGTCCCAGGACGAGCCGGAGGACCGATCCGACTCCGAGGAAGACCGCGAGAAGGACCGCGAGAAGCTGAAGCGGGAGCGCGAGAGGCGAGCCGAGGCCAGCCTCAGAGAGAGGGAGAGGGAGGTGCAGCGAACGCTGGCGACGCACCTGAGGGACCGCGACAAGGAGCGGCAGCACCACCGGCACACCGAGGCCGTCCAGCACTTCAGCGCCCTCCTGGCCGACCTGGTGCGCAACGGCGACCTCGCCTGGCGGGAGGCCAAGCGCCAGCTCCGGAAGGACCACCGCTGGGAGCTGGCCGAGAGCCTCGACCGCGAGGAGAAGGAGCGTCTCTTCAACGAGCACATCGAGCAGCTCGGCCGCAAGAAGCGCGACAAGTTCCGGGAAGTCCTCGACGAGGTGGGCGCTTCGACCGAGCTCACGGCCTCCTGGAGGGACATCAAGAAGCTCCTCAAGGATGACCCTAGATACGTCAAGTTCTCTTCCAGCGACAGGGTGAGAAAGGAGACCGTCCCTCGCCCCTGACCCTCTGGCACTCCGCGGTCTGATCAGTCGGGTTCCTCTTTTTCAGAAATGCGAAAAGGAGTTCAAGGAGTACATCAAGGACAAGCTCGTTGCCGCCAAGGCTGACTTTCGGGAGCTCCTGCAGGTAATCGATCCCCCGTTTCCCGTCGACCGGGACCCTTAGACTAATTCCACGATATCCTCGGGCTTTCAGGAGACGAAACTGATCACGGACAAGACGTTCAAGAAGGTGCAAGAGAACGGCGCGTGCCTGACGGAGATCGAGGACATTTTACGCAAGGACAGGAGATTCCTCGTCCTCGAGGCTGCGGCGGCGGAACGGACGCGACTCTTGATGGGCTACCTCGAAGAGCTGGCCCGCCGGGGACCGCCTCCACCTCCGACCGCCTCGGAGCCGTCGCGTAGGCCGACCACGAAGTAAGTCCGTACCCCTTCCTCATCCCTTGCCACGCCGAAGGAACCAAAGTGGCCACTCTTGTTCGAATCTCCGGAAGCGGTTCGATTTCCTCTCGACGTTCTCGTTCCGTGTCTGGGAGTCGTGATCTTTCGAATCCACGAATTTTCTCTCGTTAGAGTGGACTGGATAAACTCCCCACGATGTTTCTGTTCCAGTTGATAGAAGTCTGCATCTTCCTACGGTGCGCGGCTCGAGTCATGAATTCCTAGCTGTAGCTGGACCCGTGAAATTTACACTCTGATTAATAAATGTAACTTTAGGACAAAATAAAACTAACGGGAATGCCCAATTGCGGCACGTGACATTGACGCGGGCGATGCCTTCGGCGAATAGGAATTAGAACCGAAGTTACGTTTTGTTTCATAGATATTTTATTCGATTCTACGCGTAGGCTCTTTCCTTTAACCATCCTGCAGCGTTACCTTTCCTATCGGTCGTAGTTTTTGGGTCGGATCTGCATTAATTCGGCTGCAATAAAATAATATCGGGGACCTTCTCCGGGAGTATTTACCGGGGACGATTAGGACTAGCTCGTCAATTCAGGGCATCGCGTTACCTCTCGGCGCTCCGCGACGTTCTCGTCCTCGAAGGCATTTCCACCGGGAGATTAAACGTTTTAAGCCGTTCCTTTTTTTTTTTTTAATCGAAGAAACAGAAATATTACTCGTTCCGTAATGCGTAACAACTCGAATGCGAAAGAAATGATGTGACCAATGGATAAGGATTTTGTATGTACGAATTACACGTGAACACTAATGAACTTTAGTCGAACCAGTTAATTGTCTTTCGATGTTCTCGATGTCCCCGATCGTTAGGGGCGCGATGAGTCGAATCGAGGGTGGCCGATTCTATCTCAAAAGTTCGTATCGTACTCGGGTCGACGGGAAGATATCGTGGTACCGTCGTAATCGACGTATTTGCCATTACTCCTAGCGGCGTCGTTGTAATATCCGTTCCACTCCGATCGCCAGCTGTCGTACATTTTGTACTTCCTGTTTGGGAACGGTCCGTCGACTTGAACCTGAAAAGTAGGAGTAGAGATTATTTTTCTCGCGGGAGAACTCGAGGAAGGGAAACGGTAACGTACCCTGTTAGACGTCGAGTCGACAGATTTCTCGTACCAAGTGGCGTCCGCGTCGTTCCAGAGAGACTGCAAGTCCGGCTTGGGGTAGTCGCTCGTCTTCTGCACCGGGACGGAGTGTCCGGTGTGCACGCTGATCGCCGGCTCCGCGTCGAATATCGTCGTCTTCTGCTGTCTCACCTTCGACACGCTGGCGCGGTTCATCAGCTAAACGACGTCGAATTCGTTAATGGAGTCCCGAGCTCGGCGTCCCTTCCGTCGCGGTACTTACCACCGAAACCCCGAAGATGACGATGAACAGCAAACCGCCCACTCCTATAATTATCACCGCGATCGCCCATTGAGGTATCAAGTTGTCTTCGTCCTGGTTGGTCGGCGGCGCGGCCGCTTTCGGTATCACTGAAATGCGGAAAACGAACGATCGGAAAAACCATTGGCTCGGAGGGACGAGGGGCGACCTTACCGACAAAGTCCGTGAACTTGGGGTCGATCGTGAATTTCCCGAGTCTTCGGTCGTGTCCCCTAGAGTCGTTGGCCGAGCGCAGCGACTCGTGGAAGGCCAGCTTCAAGTCTTGCGTGCTGACGCTTCTCTTCAGTCCCCGGAGCTCGACGAAATAGTCGACCAGGACGCTTCCCTGGCTGCCGATCGAAAATCGGAATTTTCTTCGTTACGGCGGAACCGCCTCCTCTCTCGAGACACTCGGGTCTACTCACCTGAAGGAGTCGATCCTGATCTTGTCGTACCACTCGTTCAGGGTAGCGGACTCGGAGAAGACGGCGTTCAGCTGAAACACGGAGACGAGGCGGGTCGAGCTAGCAATCGGGAAAAAAGGGGATAACCTGGCGAGTCTACCTCGTGTTCGACCCCGGTCGCCAGTCGCTGCCATTCCTGGGTGTTCCGATCGAGCAGTCCGGGCACCCATCGAGCGGTCTCGCCCACCAGGCGAATGGTCCCGGCCACCTCGCACTCCTCCTCGCAGAGTCCCGGGGTCGTCGGCCTCGGAGGCGCGGGGGTGGTCGTCGTGGTCGCCTCGGTGGTCGGCACGCTCGGGCCGGTGCTCCGCGTCGAATCCGCGGGGTAGTCGGCGGGCAGGACCAAGGCCGTCCTGGCGGCCTCGAGGAGCTTCGCTATCGAGATGGGGGTCGTGGAAACCGTCGGCCACCCTGTGAACTCCGTGGTCGCCCTGCAAACACGTCGAGTAATCGCGGTCAGGGCGCTCCGGGGCGTCGCCTCCTCGGCTCTTCCGGTTACCTGGTGGGCCAGCCCTTCTGGATCCGCGGCGCGCCTACGGTCGGTCGCTGGCCGCGCGTCGGTTGCGGGGTGGAGACCTTGGTCCCCGAGTGCCTTCCCCCGGGTCGACTCGGAAAGACTATCTTGAAGCCCCCGGGCTTCGCCGTCGTGGAGGCCTCCTTGACGCCGGGCCGACGCTTCGGCGCCTGCTTCTCGCTCTTGGCGAGGTAGTCCCGCGGTAGAAGGGAGGCGTCGATCTTTGCCTTCGAGAAGAGACTCTGGATGGACTTGTCCGAAACGTTCGCCTTCCTCGCGCCTTCCGCAGACTCGGGGGGAGTCTCGGACTTCGAGGCGTTCGCCTTCTTCTGGTAGTCGGGAGGTAGGAGGGCCACCACGTCGATCCTCGACTTGGCCAGGATGTCGCTCAGCAGGGATTTCCGACCGACGTCGTCCTCCTCTCCTCTCGGCAGGACGGCGCTAACGTTCCGAACCGCCAGGGCGACTCTCTCGCTGCCTCCGGAGGAACTCGAGCTCGGCGCGGGGAGACCGAGAGGTCGTTTCGCTCCTATCCTCGGGAAGACGGGCCCGGTCGTCAAGTAGTCGGGCGGAATAAGGCCCTCGAGGCTGTCCATGGGGCCGCCCGACTTCGAGGCGACCGGGTCGACCCTCTTGCCGCTCGCGTTTCGCTCGGGGACGAGGTCGGCGCTCCTGGCAGTGGTGGGAGGGCCGACGGGTCTCGTTCGATTCCGGAAGCGAACGGCTCCGGGGTCGACCCTCGCCCCGTCTACGCTCGGTCGGAATCCTCCCCCCAGGAGACCGCTGGACAGCTCCGACTGGACTCGGTCGAGCTTGTCGATGATGCTCTCGGTGGACTCCAGGGGCTTGGGCCTCTTGGAGCTCGACTCCTCCTTGGCTCTTTCCGTGGCGTTCCGGTCGGAGAGCAAGGAGGCCGACGCTCCGGAGTCCTCCTCGGTCGACTCCTCGTAGTCGTAGCTCGTCCAGTCGCCTCGACCCTCGGCGCTCTTCTCGAGGGAAGGATCGCGCGGGGGAGGCGTCGAGATCTGTGCGATGGTCGTCGACGGGGACGTCGGCGGGGACGTCGGCGGGGACGTCGGCGAGGACGTCGACGGGAACGAGATCGTCCCGTTGACGACGCTCTTCGTCGTTACCACCGACACCACGGCCTCGCCTATGAGGACGGACGTTTCGGCGGGATTGGAATACTCCTCCCCGGTTGGTCCGACTTCCGAGTAGGAGCGGACCGCGTCCCCGGGGATCGCGAAATTTGCTGGACTCGAGCGTCGATCCCCGGGGGCGTTGTCGTAATCTTGGGAGAAGTAGGAGTAATCCGAGAACTCGGCGGAGGAATTCTCGGCAATTCCGTCCTCGGCGGAAATTCTTTTGTCGATCGCCGCCGCGGCGTCTCGCGAGATTCCTTCCGGAGGGCGAAACGGCGACGTCGCGTTGGCGATCTCCGCGGAGAAGAGAGAAGAATTTGGAGAGGACGCGGGGGAAAGTTCCTTCGGAAAGAGCGCCTCGGAGGCGTCCTCTTCCCCCTTGATCGCCTCGACTCTCGACGAGCCCATCACGTTGTTCTCGTGGAGCAGCGAGTACTTGTCCGAGGAGGTCGGCCCGGACGGATGGCCGAGGGGAAACGTTCGAGGATCTGAAAGCCACGAGGTACCAAACCCATTTTTTTTTATCCAAACTCGGTCGTTTTAGCTTAAGGTCCTTAAAGCCTAGAACCGCGTGGGAACGATTTATTCCCGGATCGACGGAGGCCGGAGTCGGTCCGGAATTTCGCCGTCCGGGAATCCGCTCGGACGAGGCGAAAAGACGCAAAGAGGCCGCGAGGAGCTACGTACCCTTGGACTCGCCGGGAACGGAGAAGAGGATCGCGAGGCACGTCCCATAGAGGAGCGCGCGGCGACCCGAGACTCCGGCGAACCCCATGTTCGCGACGTCTCCTCCGTAACCTCACTGACGCCTCGCCGACGGCATAGGGCGGACCGGAGGGTCCTCCCCTCGCAGGGTCGGGAATTCACGCTGATTCACGCGGATTCACGCGGATTTCCGGCTCGTCTACGCAGCCACCGTCCATTTTACTCGGCTCGGCCGCGTAACGTATTTGTCACTGGAAGGTAGAAAGCAAAATCCGCTGCACTTTCACCGAGGCGGCGGGCGGCAGCGCGCAGGCGCGCGCCTTTCGAAGGCGGCCGCGTCGAGGCCATCGGGCCCGGCCGGACCCAGTCGGGCCCCGCCGAACCCCGCCGAACCCCGCCGAACCCCTGCCGCCTCCCGGGCCCGTCGGAGTTCGACGTGGAAAATACAAGGTACACCTTGAACGCGGTCAGTTGCTCGCGCGATATCGCACGGTGAACGCATGCAACGAGGACGACCTTGCGTAAACGTATCGATTGCGGTAAGACAAGGTCGGAGGAGCCGCGGACCAAGACCCAGCGCGAAAACCTAAACCGGGATCTTTTCCTCCCGACCACTAGGTAAAAGTCGCGATAAACTCTTCCTTCGGATCGACTCGGTCATCGGGCGGCATGCTCTTTCCTCCATTGGTTTACTCTCGAGGCGATTTTAGAAAAATCCGACTAACGGAAGGTATAGAAATAACTCGGCGGTGATGAAGATATTTTTTGCGAATCATAGTTTACACCAGAGCGTAAGAAGATTCCCTCTCGGTCCGGGAGATTCAGAGCCACCTCTTGCCCCCGCCGTTTTAACCTGAGGCCTTTGGTTCTTCCTCCTGGGGAAACCTTGACAATGTCCAACGAGAGGCGGTCTTCGAGTTACGTTATGACCGTTGGCGCGTCGCGGCCGGTGTATTCCTTTAGTTTACTCAGTTCCAGGGCGATGTCGACCAGAGGTTTGAGCACTCGTTCCGCCCCGTATCCAAAAGTCGAAGGATCCGTTTGGTAGCTATCTATGTAGATCCGTATCGTCGCCCCCGAGCTCCCCGTTCCGGATAGACGATAGATCAAGCGAGACCCATCCTCGAAGAATATACGTAAACCCTGTAACGGAAATGCGGGGCAACGGTGAACGCTAATGCCGGTAAAATTTAACGCGAAGGCTTACCTGTTTGGAAGCTACGCTTCCGTCTATTGGATCCGTGTAGGAATAATTATCTGCCTTCTTAACCACGTAGGTCTTATCCTCTCGGGTTAATTTCGTGCCAATGAATTCTGGCTGGCTGATCTTTGCTTCCAGATCTTGCATCAGGTCGTTAGACTTGTCGGCATCGCAGTTCTCGTAGTCGTATCTGACATTCAATTGATAAAGAATGTAGCTGCACGTGCGACTTATTAAATTCGTTACTTGTACGTAACCGTGCTTACCTGGTAAAGAAATTTCGACCGTACTGAACCCAGTGATCTTTTAAGATGTCTTCGACCGATTTTCCGAGTTTTGCGACGATACCGAGCCATGCCAAACATGCCCAAATGCCATCTTTTTCGCGAATGTGATCCGATCCGGTACCAAAACTTTCCTCCCCGCAGATGGACAGACGACCAGCATCCATTAGATTACCTTAAGAAATAAGTCGTTTATAATCGAGGAGAGACGTTAACTCGTTGTGACCGGAAAGATGTCGATAAGAAATTTAAAACGTGACATGAGACTTACCAAAATATTTCCACCCAGTTGGCACTTCAAAAAATGATATACCCGTCTTTTTGGCTACTTGGTCGACTGCTGCACTCGTTGGCATGGATCTGGCGTAGCCTTTGACCCCGGTTTTTTGAAAATATGGAATTGCCTCCAAATGGGCAGCTAATACCGCCAGAGAATCCGAAGGCGTAACGAAGAATGCCTTCTTTCCAAGTATCTAAAATGGGCCATTTCTGTTTATAAAATAATTATCGTCTATCGTTAGCGATTTACTTTGTTTGCTATGGCGAGATGAAACATGTATGTACCATATTTCTGTCACCGTCGCCGTCGAATGCCGCACCAAAATCATATGTACCATTTTTAACGGCGTCTACCAAACCTGCTGCATACGTTAAGTTAGGATCTGGATGTAAACCACCGAAATCCTCCAGTGGAATTACGTGTACAACGTTTGATTCGTTAACGCCAAGTTCGTTAACAAAAATTTCTCTGACGTAAGGTCCGGTAACTAAAAGTAATGCAGCATATTAATTATAATTATATTTCAACCGATATCGTCATCGGTTACATTTCGGTAGTGCATACCTCCGTTCAGTGAATCGATCAGAACTTGAAATGGTGGTCTTTGTGGACTTCCTTGCAGTAAGCTCTTAATGGATGGAAAATCAAAAATTTCTTTCATAAGTTGTACGTAATCCTTTACCGAATCGATGACATCGACGGTAAATGGTTTTCCATCGATTTGTAAAGTGACCGTTTGAATTTTGTCAATGTCCACCTTGATATCAGGAACGATCTTATAACTTGTTAAAGTCGTTGTGTTCTCATAAATTTTGTTTGTAACATTGTCCGGAGCAGGGCCACCGTTCTCGCAATTAAATTTAATGCCGAAATCAGCATTTGGACCACCGGGATTATGAGAAGCCGTCAGAACAATTCCACCCAATGTTTTATACTTTCGTATTATCGTGGAAACTGCAGGTGTCGACAGGATTCCGTTACAACCTACGATCAGCTTACCAACCTACATGAATCGGATTGTAAGTTACTAAATATTTCACACATAAATGTATCAGTTACGATATACTTAAAACCAATTAATCCAAGTTAATATTATGTATACCCCATTTGCTGCAGCAATTTTAATAATTTTATCGGTTGCTTCTTTTCCATAATAACGGCCATCGCCACCAATAACGAGGGTACAACCAGAAAGTCGATCTTCGAGTGCGTTTAAGGTTGCCTGAATGAAGTTTTCGGTGTAGTGCTCCTGTTGGAAAACCTTTACTGCCTTCCGCAGTCCAGACGTACCAGGCTTTTGACCGACATGAACTTGGGTTTTTATCGTTACACTTGTCATCTCCGTAAAATTGAATGGCTGAAAAAAATGACATCTTGTATGTTCGATAAAAGTTGATTAACAGTTTGAAAAAAAATGTACGAACAAACTAAGATAAAAGACTAGTACAGGAGTAAAATTTGTATGCAAGTCAAGACGGAGCTCAACGGAAATGAACCTTATTTTTACTGCACACCACTTCTGTGACCTCTTTCAATGACAATCCAATGACAACGAACTTTGGCCGTTGAATTATGACAGGAATGCTTTAATTCGCTCGTGCTGCCATCTAGCGTCTCAGTTGGTTACTATTTATTGTGTATCAAGCGTCAACGCGGGAATTCGGCTTCTATAGAGACTTCTGTATTCTTTGCTTTTGGTTCGACGCTACTTGCGATGCTCGTTATTTATTCTTTCCATAATTATTTCATAATTATATCGTAATGTCAACGTGGATGAATTTGTATTTAAATACCCAATCGATATCCTTTTTGCAGTTAGAGAATCCTCGTAGTTGCCGAAATCTGGTTTTATTTATATTTTATTCCTGGCGTGGAAATAGATGAATCGCTATGAAATTTCGTTGCAAAATGATGGATAACGTAGCGATGCGTGATCTAACCAGTAAGTACATCGTATTCGTTTGCCCTGCTACGAATTATTTCATACTACGCCTGCCACTATCCACGAATTCCGTTACCGTATTTTCAGGTGTCGTGAACACGATTTCACGAATGTCGAAAATGTGCGTTTTACGCTTGATGCCCAATGCCCTATATTTTACTGCAGTCGAAGATCGATCGCCGGTTATCTGGGTACAGCTATCCATTAAGCACTTCTTTTCGGAATACACTATGGCAGGAGTTTCGGACGAACTGAATGAGATTTATTTGGAGCTCGATCCGGTAATGCTTGCCAGAAGCTTGACTTCCTTGAAAATTATGGCAAAGAGCGCAAAGATTAAGCTTACGAACAAACAGCAGCCTTGCCTTACCATCGAAATTGAATTGCCTTCGCTTAGTACGGAATCCAGAGAATGTATGCACGACGTACCAGTCAGAGTTATACCGAGGAGAGAATGGGACCGATACCAAACTCCAGACATTCCAAAATTTGACGTACGTAATCTGCCCGAAAAGGTTTGATTCGAGAGCGACAGCGTATCGCCCAGATTGTAAAACTTTTCTTTACTGCAGATATCTATCGATATGCCACAGTTGAAGAACGTTCGTAGTATAGTAGAGAGAATGAAGAATTTGAGTCCCACTCTTGGTATCACAGCAGACCTGTCGGGAACGTTAGTTCTTAAAGTCGATACAGATCATGCTACTGTGTCAGCACATTTTCAAGGATTAGCAACGAGTGCTGAGGATTCTGCTAAAGCGAGAGAAGTATCCGCAAATGTGGATATAAAAAAATTTTTCACTTTCCTATCCTGGGAAATTATGCACCCAAATAAAGTCAAGTGTAACATGCTCCATGACAGATTAATTAACCTTCATTTAAGTCTAGAGGAAAATGTAGTAATCCAGTACTTTGTACCTGCGATCGCCTGTTAATATTTTCTAATATTTCAATAATACAATCACAGAGTATGAATGGATAAAGTGTAAATATATGCCTTCAGAAAATTAAACGCAGCTTTGTCATGGCATGGATTGATAAAAGTCCACCCAGTATATTCAAAAAGTAACTTTCTTGTAAATTTGTACATCATTTTCAATTAATTTATATATGGCGATTGTGGTTACTGTGATCTCAGAGAAACAAATAACTTAATAGAGTCTAAGGGTAAGCAATGCATGAGTTGCCAGATTTTTTAGTAACACTGTTTTTCACTCCGTTGGAACAACTTAATCTATTGTAACCAATAAAAGTAAATAAAAATGTCAAACGTAAGGAGGGTTTTCGGTATGCTAATTGTAAGCAAGATTGAAGCTTCGTTCGTTTTCTTGCCTGAAATTTTGATGCATTTGATCGATTTGTTGTATTTTTTGAGTCAGGAGGGTCGTGCGCTGATCCAACCACTGAAGGCTGTTCATATGAGCATTTAAAATTTTTCCTATTTGAACGATTGGATCGCTCGCATCTTGAGAACGATTCGCTTCGTTGAGGTGTTCGATGATTTCTTTCAGATCCTCCGACATTTGCTTCAACTGCGTGTCCAAATTCTCGGCCAAACGATAAGTGTATTCTCGTTCTGGGTCTGAGACGGAGAGAGATGCAAGCTCCTTTTCAAGGGGTACTAGGCAATCCTGAAGTTCTTTTTGTTGACCAACCTAAAATGCAAGCAATTCTTTTTTACTTGTATCAAAAAAATACAATACTACTCAATCAATGAGACGGTACTTTCTCATTAGCCTACCGAGGAAGAAAATATATTTACCACATAATCTAGTTCATGTTCTAGTTGCTGTTGCTCCAGTTTCACTCTTTCAACTTCCTGATTCAAGGAAACGATCTTCTCACCATTGGCTATGAGGAGTTTATCCCAGGCATTGACTTGCGTTGCTTGATTAACAAACGCTTTTTCTTGCTCTTCTAATTCCAAAGTCCATTTGTTGATCGATTCTTCCAATTGACAAAAGTTTATGGCAGCTGTTTGATCGTTTCCTGTCGCTGAGCTGACCCTGTCAGGAAACGGAAAAGATTCAGTTCAAGGTATGCACATGTTCTGAAGAAAATATGAAAGTCCCTCTATTGGATTGTCTTATATGATTTCAAATATTATATTGTTTGTACGTAGTAAATGAGGTCAAGGTGGGCTGTATTGCAGAAGTTGTTGTAGTTATAGCAGGAGCTGCAGTGGTCGTTGGTTTTCCCACCATGAATCCACTCGAGGCCGAGGTAGTTGACAGACCAATGCCAGGTGTTGCTGAGTTAGCGACCGTCCCAAAGGAAAACCCAGTAGTCGAAGTTGTAACAGTCGGAACACTGACATTAAACGTCGCTGCAGCTGGAGTGGCTGCCACGCTAGGCGTGACACCGAATCCAGGAGCTGCTGTCGTCGTAGTGTTTCCAGGAGCGGCAGAGGTGGGAAGGGTAGTATTTCCCAATTGGAAGCCGGTAGTGGTTGAGGTTGTCCCAGTATCTAAACTGAATCCTGAGGAAGCTGTGGTGGTAAGTGGTGCTCCAAAGGATAAACCTGTTATATTAATCATCATGTATTTAAATACTACGGTAGAAGCTGCTTAGAAATAAATTCGATGTTATGAAAGGTTCGTGATACCTGAAGTATTCGTGGCGGTTCCTCCTAAATTAAATCCTGTGGCACCGGTAGTTGCAGGAGCACCGCCTAGTGAAAATCCAGTGCCCGTTGCAGGCGTCGATAATCCAAAGCTGATGTTAGCACCAGAAGAAGGAGTCGCCGCATTCGCTGCCGGTGCAGCAGCCACGGTTCCGAGAGACGAGCCAAAGCTTATGGCCGCAGTAGTCGCTGGACTGCCGAACCCAAACCCTGTTTGCGTACTACCAAAGCCAGAAGGGAACATTCCTCCAGGTTTACCCTGAGATTGCGAAGACATCAGAGTAAATCCTGTCGATGGAGGTTTACTGGCATCTCCTGCACCTGCGCTACCACTGAGAGAAAATCCTTGCGTTCCTAAAATATTATGCATTTTTGTTGAAACTCGTTGTATTGTTAAAATCTAATCACTGACTTAATAATTAAAATTATTTATCAACAGAATACATAAGAACCATGAATGAAAATGGAAATATTAAAAGTCCATAACCTTACCTCCAGTGGTAGTGGCAGGCAGTGCGTTGGGTTGTGCCTTCGATGCGTCAAACGCGAAACTCATTTTTTCTAATTTTAGTTGATCAATATAACAATCTCAAAATGATTTTCGCTCTTTTACGCAGTCTCTTTAAGGTTAGATGTCTATATGATTGGTTGGTTGGTTATTGGTTATGGCCCTAGAATCTTCATCGCGCAGATTCTATTAATGCCAACTTATTTACTAACGGGGCTATACGTCCTGTTGAGTTTGTTCCCCTTAAACGTGGTTGTATGTTCTAGTATTTCACTGATTCACTTTTCGCTTTCGGACGGTCGGAGCATCGAGCGAAATTCAATCAAAATGACGAGCTGTGGAAACTATCCGATCCAGGAATTCGCTCCTCTGAAGCTCGGTTGGCGGGAACCGGAGGAGTGTCGCCATCTGCCCCCAAAGTCGCGTAAAATCGTTACCGGGTTCCACCGCTTGCGCCTAGATGTCGCCAGGGGTCTACGCAACTCTCCTCCCGGGGAAACGCTTCGAAACGTGACTCGATCGTTCGTCGCGGGTCCGATTCTCGAAAACGGGAAAAGATCTTCGATCGCGTTCCGGTTCGTGCCGATCGAGGGTACGTCAGATTCCGAAGCTCGACCAGGGACCCGCGACTTTGGTCGACGTCGGCTCGAAGTTGGACGCGGTAACGCGCCCAATTCCCGGGATGACGTTCCATTTTTTCCGTAAATGTCCTCGGGAGAGATAAGGCCGAATCCGTGAGTCCCGCGGCGCGCTCGGATCGTTCGGTGCACGCGTACTCGCCTTTCCGAGTAAGTCGTTATCGCGATACCGCGGACTCGAGTTCGGACGTTCTCGCCGGGCGAATCTACGGTCGCGACGAGGAGAGCCGCGATAGCACCGGTGCACGCGCGAGAAGTTTTCGGGAGTTCCTCCGCCCGGGACCGACGATAACAAATCCGAGATAGGTTTCCGGGAATCGCGATCGACGCACCTCGGCCAGCCGGTCGATTCCCCGAAACGGAGGGCAGAGATAAGGGCGTGGAATGCGTCGGCGGCTCGCGGGGGGCTCGCTAGGTGCGCCCCTGAGTCTCGGCTCGCGCAGGTGCGCGCCCGCCAGTCCGTCGCCAGACCCTCCCCGCCCCGGCCCCTTCCGGGCCCGACGGTCCCACGGGCCGGGCCGCCTTTCCTCCGCTCCCCCCTTTCCCCCTTGCCCCCCTTGCCCCCCCGCAACAGGTAGCCGAGATTTCGGTCGACCTTGCGCTCCCGGCCCGCCGCGAGGCGCCGTCGAAGGAGAGCGAGACTCTCTCCAAGGGAAGGCGGGGTCGTCGGGACCGTCGGGGCCCCTCGCAAGGGCGGCGATCGACCGGAGGCGCGAGGCGAGAAGGGAAAGCGGCCTCGGCCAAGGGAAACCGGCTCGGCCGATTTCTGCCTCCGTCTCTCGCGAATCCCCCAAAAAGAGGAAGAGCATTTTTTCCCTCCGCTCGGAACGTCTCCGTCGACCGAGGGACACCTGGGACACCTGCGCGAGATCGACCCTCCGGAGCGGGACGGCGAGGGAGAGGCGCCGTGATTCAACCGAAGGCGCAGGTGTGCCGCAGACTGGCCGGCGCCTCTCCGGAATGCGCGCTCCCTCTTCCCTTCCTCCCTTCCCGTCCCGCTCGACTCCGGCGCAGCTGGCCACCGACGCGTTCCCACGGGCCGCGGCCCGAGCCCCGGGCGGACCCGGGCGGGCCCGGGTCGCCGAGGTCGAGGACGCGAGCACCCGACCGGGACTCTCCGAGACGCGCGCCGTTGTTTGCGCAGCTGCGCGAACCGCGAAAATACTCGCCGGCCGTTTTTCGAGGAGCGAGGAGCCCCCGGAGGAAGGGGCGACGACGCGACAAAAAGGGTCAATTGGTCGGAGCCTCCGCGGACGGCCGTCCGGTCGAGCGCGGAAGGTCCGCCGGGCGGGGGTAGCGGGGAGGGAAGCGGGGGGAAGAGAAGGAAGGGGATCGGGAGGGTCGGTCCGGGTAACACGTGCAAGGCGCACGTGCACTCCGAGTCCACTCTAGCCTCCGGCGCGCAATCATTGGATGCCAAGATACACTCAGCCGAATAATTTTAGAGGAGTCGAGAGTCGCTCCCGCGATTCTCTCTCCCTTCCTCCACCTCGGCCGATCGGCGGGATCTCGAGGCGAGGCGAGGGACGACGCGATCGGGGACTCGCGAAAGATCCCGAAAAGGATCGGGGCCTTTCGACGAGCGGGAGCTCGGCTACCGAGGAAATTCCTCGACGGAGTGTACCACGGACGAGCCGCGAGGCTCACCTACCTCAGGACGCGGCTATCGCGTCGGAGACGGAGACGGAGGATGGACGCGAGAGATGCGCCGCGACGCGCGGAACGGCAGCTGCGTCGACGCCGCGCGATCCCTGGGGTCCGATTTCCCCGGCTAATTGTAGGAGTCGCGCACGTGCGAGCGCCGTTAATTATAGGGTCGGATCTCCTCCCGGGGGGGGGGGGGGAAGGGGGAGGGCGCGCTCGGGATACGTTCCCGATTGGAGTTTCCGGGGAACGAGGGGGTCCCCCGAGTCGCGATTCCTCCTTTCGGACAAGGCGAGAGGACGGCCGGACCCCGGTAACGAGACGCGCCGAGACGCGCCGAGACGCGCCGAGACGCGCCGAGACGCGCCGAGTCACGGAGCGTGGAACGCGGCGGAGGGGCCCCGCGCGAGCATCCGAAGCCGGAATCACGGTGTACAGGTTGGCGGTATCGGTGCGTCGGCGAGCGCGCCCGCAGCCGTGGTGGTAACCGTCACGGCTAGTGGCTGGCGCCGCCGGCCCCCGCCCCCCCGTCGCCCGACACCCCCGACTAGGGACGGACTCGAGCCGACGCGACTCGCGGCGTCGGGAGGGGAAACGTCCGCGACGCCCTGGCGAGCCGACTCGAGCCGATTCGAGTCCGGCTCGAGTCCATCGCTGGGCGGCGATCGCGTCTCGCGCGCAGCGCTCGGCGCAGGGGCGCCTCGAGGAGGGGCGGCCTTATAAATCCCTGCGGAGCGGGGCGGAGGCCAGTCGGCTTCGATCCGCCGAGATTCTCGTTCGTTCGTTGGTCGCTCGTTGGTCGCTCGTTGGTCGCTCGTCCCAGGAGATACGGCAGGATACGGCCGGATATACGGGGTGACTCTTCCGAGTTTAGGAGTGACGTTCGAAGGATCGACGAAACCCGGTGCCCCTCGAGGGCAAAGGCAGGCTCGGCGGACGAGAAGTCGATGAAGGCGATGGTGGTCAGCCCCGTCGGGGGGCGAGTGCCCCCGACTCGAGGAGTCCTCCACGGCGGACTGGGCGTGCACGCGACGCGCCGCGACCTGGAGGCGGAGGAGGTCGCGGCCTACCTGAGCAAGCTGCGGGCCCTGGTGCCGGACATGCCGCGCAAGCGGAAGCTCTCCAAGCTCGAGGTGATCCAGAGGGTGATCGAGTACATCTGCGACCTGCAGACCACCCTGGAGGCGACCAACGTCCAGGACGCGTCCGGCGCCAAGTCGCCGCGGCAGCCGCTGCAGCCCCTCCTGAACGCCAGCACGAGCGGCCTCGGCGGCGCCGCCGCCGCCGCCGCCACCACCACCGACCGGTGACCACGGACGACGCCGCGCTCGAGAGGCCGAGGCGTCCCCTTCGCGAGGCTCCTGCCGGAGGATTCCTGAGACCGAGGCGATTCCGGTCGGCCGGACTGTAAATAATGTACATAGATGGACGAGCGCGCCGCGGCTCGTCCCGAGACACCGAGGGGGGAGGAGGAGCTACGAATTCGCTTCCGTCCGTCCTGCGTGGCGGCCATTTTGTTCCGTTCCCCCTCCCTCGGGTGGCGCCGTAACGGCGACGACCGAGCCACCTGCCGTTGGAAAGTTGCGTCGCTACTCCGTAGGAAACCCTTCCGTAGACGTAGGTAGAGAGGACGGAAGGACCGAATCCTCGCCGGTGCCGCTCCGTCGTCGTATCGTTACTTTAATCGTCGCTGTTATCGCTCCTGCGTTATCATTTAGCGAGAGAAAGAGAGAGTGAGTGGAGGGAACCATGTCCCCGTTATCGTATATCGTGTATATTTACGAAGACTGAAAGGCTGTAAATATTATATAGAGGCGCGACCACGCCTCTCCGCGGGGAAGCAAGAATAAACGGAAACGTGTGACCATTCTGAATTCTAGGTTACTTCTCGCAACCCGTCGCGGTCCCCGGTAGGCGTAGGGGAACGAAGGAAGCGGGTCTCGCCGGTATCGATCGGGGTTGCGCGCTCCTGGGAACGCGAGATTCCCGACGTCCCCACGGGAGCCGCCGGAGGGGGTCGAGGGGGTCGAGGGGGTCGAGGGGGTCGAGCCCCATCGATCCGTCGCGACGTCGGGCGACGTCGGGCGACCTTGGCGTGATTCCGGCTCGAGGAAAAGATCGGTATATTTGTCGAGAATCGCGGTACACGAGGACGAACGTCTCGGCGCTCGGTAGAAAAGTAAGAAGGAATCGTCCCGGGGCCGTCTACTGGTCCCGCGACAGAAGGAACTTCCTCATGTCCTCGGTGTCCCTCGCGAGCCAGGCGATGTTCAGCCGGATGATCTCGAGGCTCTGCCGGACGTTCCTCTCGATGCCGGAGGTCGGATGGGCCGCGAAGAACTCCTCGACGTCCCGGGCCTGCTCCTCGGTGACGAAGTTCTCGGTGGTGGACTTGACCAACCGGCAGAAGAGGAAGCCGCACCGGTTGTAGCGGTCCTTCAGGACCTCCCAGTTGTCCTTGAGGAATCGCCAGGCCAGGTGCCTGCCCCGGTAGGACGTGGCGACCGACAGGATGACGAAGACCGTGTCCTGGGAGCGGACCTCCTCGCTCATGGCGAACTCGAGGACCTTGGCCAGCAGGGCCTCGTCCCGGATGGCGCCGAAGGCGCGCATCAGCCGGTCCTTCTCCTCGTGGAGGTCGGTGTTGCGATAGAGGCCGAGCACGGCCTCGAAGGTCTCGGCGCCACCCGAGGCGAGGACGGCCCGGTAGACGGGGCTGCGCAGGTCGGCCGACAGCGTCTCCTCGCCCGAGAGGTGCAGCTCGAATCGGCGCTTGGCCTCGCGGACCGTCTCCTCGTCGTCGAGCACGGCCATGCGCCCGAGGACGAGCGAGCGCAGCAGCGTGTCCAGGTGGCTCTCGCCGGGCTTGGCGTCCCAGCCGAGGCGGTCCCTCGTCCCCGCGAGGAGGGACCGGACGAACGCCTTGAAAGCCCCCTCGAACTCCAGGTGCTCGATCAGCGCGCCGATCTTGCTCAGGCAGTTGACCACGCTCAACCACACGGTGTAGTCGTCCTCGGCGCGGAAGGCCTCCGTCAGTCGCAGCACCTCGACCGTGGAGTCGTGGCCGGCCTGCACCATGGCGAAGAGGTCGTCCAGGAGGCCCAACCGGTCGAGGGGCGGCAGACTGCGGTCCTCGATGGCCGGCAGGAACCGGGAGAGCGCCTCCGAGTCGTATCTGGTGCGATAGAAGCCCACGGTGCCCGGATTCACCTTGACCCAGGCGTCGGCCGGCACGTCCTCCAGGACGACGTTCATGGTCCGCTCGCTCATCATGGTCGTGACCCGGGCGACCCGGGGCTCCGCCGACGTGCTCACGCTTATCGGAACCATCCAGAGACCCCTCTCGTCGTCGGCCGAGCCGTCGGCCACGAATCTCTCCTGAGACAGCGAGAGCACCCGGTCGGCGCCCCTCTGCTGCTGCTCGACCCTGACCACCGGGAAGCCCTGCTGCTTCGTCCACGTGGACATGACCGCGTGCACGGGCTTCTTGCTGGCCTGGCCCAGGGCCGTCCACAGGTCCTCGGTGTAGGCGTTCTCGTACTTGTGCCGGTTCAGGTACAGGTTCATGCCCTTTCGGAAATGCGCGTCCCCGACGTAGGCGTGCAGCATGCGGATCACGCTGGCCCCCTTGTTGTAGGAGATGTCGTCAAAGATCTCGTCGATCTCCGAGGGGTGGCCCACGGGGACCTCTATCGGGTGGCTGGTCTTCAGGCCGTCGAGCTCCAGGGCCCGGATGTAGGTATCGGTGACGAACTGCGTCCAAATGTCGTACTCCGGGAACAGGTGCGCCACGCACAGGAACTCGACGAAGGACGCGTAGCCCTCGTTGAGCCACAGGTGAGTCCACCACTGCATCGTGACCAGGTTACCGAACCACTGGTGGGCCAGCTCGTGGGCCGTGACCAGGGCGATCCATTGTTTCCGCGACGCGGACGTGTTCCGCTCATCCACCAGGAGGCACGTCTCTCGGAATGTGACCAGGCCCCAGTTCTCCATCGCCCCGGACGAGAAGTCGGAAATGGCCACCAGGTCGATCTTCGGCAGAGGGTAGGCTATGCCAAAGTAGGACTTGTAGAAGGGCAGCACTTTCGTGGTCACCTCCAGGGCGAAGGATCCTTGCTCCTTCTTGGACGTCGGAGTGTAGACTCGCACGAGGACTCCATCCGACGTCTTGCCCTCGACGCTGTCGAACTCTCCTATCACCACGGCTACCAGGTAAGTGGACATTATCGGAGTTCTCTCGAATACGAGGGTTTTTGTGGTGCCCTCTTCCACATGACTTTTGACGGGCTGTAACGTAAACGTCGGATGGAGCGTATCCAAGGGGAGAGATCTTCTCCGTTTGGTGGAATCGAACGGACGAGTTAAATGTCGGTACGCGGGTCGGCGGTCTTACCATGTTGGACAGAGCGGTTAGGTTTTTTGGAACGGTCAAAACAATGTCGAACGTAGCCTTCAATGCCGGTTCGTCCCAGCAAGGAAAGCAGCGTCTAGCATCGGTAGGTTCGAATTGTGTCACCGCGCCATAGTCCGAGCTCCCGTCGGGCCTGAAAATACGCAGTTACTGAAATTTCCTACGACATACTCCGAATCTTGAACTCTCATGGAGGATGGGAGCACGTTCCGATTCTCTTTTGTCGTTTACCTTGTATATTTGCTCCGGTAAAGGCCCTTCATTCTATCGTTGATTTCGCCCTTAAACTTAAAGCAAAGGCTGCCAACTTTTCCTACGGGGAGTTTTTCTGCAAACACCAATGTTACGGTCTCGTCATCTTCCGACAAGGTAATTTCATCCGGTTTAACTTCGTGACCATCTTTGTCCAGATATACTACGACTTGTATTTCGATGTCCAAACAATTTAAGATAATCGTATCGGTTGATTCTTTTACCTGTAAAAAAGAGAATCGCATACATATGCCAGATAAACGTACAAGATATCACCCATCGGAAAGTAGCAAAGCAACTGTGATCGATTTGACGGGTCACGTTTGCCATACGGTGACGTCCACGCGCAGTCCTCGCCTGGATCGGAAAATTGAAGGAGAAATCCGTTCGAAATAGCTGCGTGACTTACGTCGATATCGATGCGCTCTGTCCCTTCGAAAACGAAAGTAGACAAATTGGGCTCCAATGCGATCTCGTAGTGATAAGGCCTTACGTTACTTGGTAGACGGATAAAGGGTTTTTTGGTGTCGGACGACATTTCGAGCCGTTTTATGACTGTGGCGTCACTTCAGTTAAACGTACTCGTCCGTTCGTTACCGTTCCCGAACGCAGACCGCGGTATTTGGCAATACCGGCTGAGGAACGCGAAATCACCTCTCTCTTTCTGCCGACTCACAGCACGACGCACCACACCCAGGTAATGGTGGACGTAAGAGTTTCTTACGTCCATGGTGGACATCAGTTTGGACAACCATTCGAGATCGCTGCGATCCTCCGTCTTTCCTGCAAACTAAGTCGCTTCGTGACGCCGTCGACGAATGCTACACTCAACCTCGACGAAATCGTCCGCCTCTGTATACTTTCCGACGACTTTCCACTTTTTTCAACGAATCTTAAATAGTATTTTCTTCATTTCAAATTACATATACATATGTTATAAAAGAAACCCATTGTTAGGGAGTTTAATAAGTTTTTATCGCACGACATTCCGTCAAGAGTTTGTAAACGTTTGATTACCCGCGGAAGAAAAATGCGCCATCTAGGGCGATGTGTGCGAAGGATGTCAAGATTATCACGTGAGTTAAGCGTGTTGCTTTCTTCAAACTCCTTTTTCATCGTTTCCAAAGTAGTTCACGTAGGGGATTCGCCCGGCGATGGTGATGGCCCTTGAACCCTTGAAGGGTCAAGATACAATGGTCATGGACAATTCATCAAGGGAACGTGTTGCAGAATCATTCACAACCCAGGAATCATCTGTCGTTAAAATTCCAGCAGTAAATGTTTTACTTGAATTTCTCAGCGCTACCAATACAATCTGTAAGTAGTAATAATTTCAAGATATTCTGTTTCTTTAGGTTTTTAGTCATTGATCGTTTTTCTCTGTAGGTTTTAATAATAATGGCAATTTTTCCGTTACGGTACCGAAATCATGGAGCGCTAGTGAATACTCTACCGAAAAAGAAAGATGTCTATTACTTTCTCATGTAGTTATGCCAATGGAAAGTACTGAATTTATTCCTGTGTTGAAAAAATCGGTAATGCTTGATACCAATGGACATATTTATTATTACGTATATGGAAGACGAGTGAACATCGATCAAACAAGGCTGCCGCAAATGCTGAGCGAAGCAACGTGGCTTTCATCCATTTTGCTTAAATTTGAATATATGTGCACATGTGAAGGATTAGGGACTGAAAATGTTCCTTTCATAGTACAAAATGTTGCTTATAAGGATAGTCTTAATAATTGGCATCATAATCAATGTAGATTATTGTCAAAAAATGGGAGATGCGATTTGTGTAAAAGACTAAGGAAAACCGTGTTGCAGAAGCAGGCACAATTTAAGAAATCCGAAAAATCTAGTCGAATTTCTAGTGCCTCAAATCCTGCCGATCAAAAGAAATTAAATGCCATGAAATCTAAATTAAATCGGGAACGGAGATTGAAGAATTGTGCCAAGTTAAGATTGCAGTATTTAACCGATTCATTAAAAGGAAAGCAAGATGAAATTGCTGCAATTCAAGATGAATCGTTAGAAGAGAAATGTCTCTCTTTAGATATTTCTGAGACACAAAAAATTGCAATGAAAGAAATTATTGCAGCTGCAAAGAAGGATGTAAAGGGTCGACGATACTCCGAAGACTGGATCATGCTGTGTCTCTTGTTGAATGTCAGGTCTCCTACTTATTACGAATTTCTGCGGAATAATAATGTGATCCCATTGCCATGTGCAAAAACAATTCGCAGTTATCTTTCTGCCGTTGATAAGGAATGTACATTTGATGAGACGTTTTCGTCACAATTACTCGGGCAGCACTCCATAGTTGAAGATTCAGTGTAGCATTACGGAACTTCAAGAAATTATAAGAAACCTTGTGGCGGCTGAACTCTCACGCAAGTACGATAAAAGTTATTTCAAAGAGGCACTGTTTATATAAATAAAAGAAAAGATTAACGCCTACTTGGTCTTAATCTTTTGTATCGCGAGGTAGTATATTGAGTAACTGCTAGAAAAAAAGCCAAGGAGAATATGAGGTGGTGGAAAAAAGTAGTCTACCGATCATTGTTCAAGAAATATATTTCCTAAGATGTCATCAGGATACTGAATCTCTTTAATGTCATGTGTAGAATTAAAGACCTTTTTGATCAAGGAAGGATTGTAATGACACGTGGTTGGTTCAAGTGAATTATCACAGATAGTTGGCCTCAAGCCATAATACTTGTCCAGGAATTCTAAAACCGATGTTCTGTCTTGTAAATTGTTAAATATCCTTCTCTCTGCTTTTGGAAGAATCTTTTCCAACATAAATACAAGATGATGATGCATACATAGAAAAGGAGTGGGTATATTTGATGTAATATTTAGCCAGTCCTGAACGCAACTCATGGGAGTAGTCGAGTAGCCAGAGAACATTGCAGGATTTGTTAAAATTCCATTGGCTGCCATTATCCCTTCGCAATTAGATTCTTGATATAACATTTCAGCCTCTTCCAGGGTTTTGACATTGCCATTGGCAATCAGTGGTAGTTGCACGCAATCTCTAACCATCTTTAAACCATTTAAATCGATCGGTTCATTGCGCATCTGGGGTGTTCGTGCATGTACCGTCAAGAAAGATGCGCCAGCCTTTTCCAGAATGCGACAAAATTCAATCGTCTTACGAATATCCTTTAACAATCGAATCTTGACAGAAACTGTAAATGGCACTGGTATACGATTTCTTATTTGAGTTACCAATTCTTTAACTACCTGAGGTCGATGTAATAAATCTACACCGTACCCGTCCTTGATGGCCCAACGCTGTGGACAACCACAGTTCAAATCTACTCCGTTACTGTATCTACGAACAAAACGACACGAATTTATATTTTACCAAAAGTTAATCGATGTGAAAGTTGAACACGTACGGTGCAATCATTTCTGCAGCGCAAACAAAGTCTTCTACGCATTTTGCTGCAAATTGTACGATTAATGGATCGTCGGCTTTATTTATCACAAAGTCGTTATTACGAGCTTCGGCGGATTGCACGAAGGAATCCGCCATTATCATGGGGGTAAAACAGATGTCGCAATCATAGCGTCTCACCAACGTTCGAAATTGCAATCTGTGAAAAAATTTTTTAAACCCATTCTGAGAACGTAAGTTAACGTCTGTCATTTGCTTGTCCACCTACTTGCTATATCTGACCATTGGTGCGCAAATTTTAGTCATCTTCCTTTCTTTCAAAATTTCCATTATATCGGCCGGCATGTTTGCTGGATTATCGATTAATTTTTTTATGTAATTACAAGTAAAGTAGTACCATTTTACCATGGGATTGAAATTCAGCACGAATACGCAAGTTTTAGGTTAACTCGCGTGGGGCGTCAAATTGACGTAAGCGAATGAGATCGAAGGGAAACGGTTGGTACGATTGGTCATTTCCCCTGGATCGCAAAACGCGCAAACGAAATGGTCGTTAGGTTCCCGAGATTGCGGAGCGAGGCTATCTTGGTACCGCTGCACCCCAGCCCGCCCCTGTCCCGCATAGTTATTCGAGCGTTGGTAATAACGTATCTTTAAGCGGATATTGAACGAACGTTCGATAAATTAGCGATATTAATAAGAGGAACGTCAGGAAAACGCCCTCATCGATTAAAATAGCTCGTCCGAACCCTTGGGATCCTGGATCCTCGATGGCGCTAATTCTCCCCGAAATCTCCGCGCGCGGTCGAAGCCTCGGTTCGTCAGAGGAAAGAATACGAAAGAAAGATAAGTTGGAATTAGCGAGGCGACCACGGGCCGCTCCGCGTGTCAATGCAAGGACGTTGGTTCCGACCGCCGCGTTCGTCGACCCTGCGAACCTGTCGACACTTATCGCCGGTGTCGGCGTTCCCTGCACGGGCCGATAACGGAACGGCGTCGAGTGCAGCGCGCGGATTGATTACCGCGTTCGGCGCGAACCGGGGTCATACCTCGCAAGATGGCGGCCACCGCGACCCGAGGAGAGAACATTTGAGACCTTCCGAGCGCAACCGGCCACGCTCGAGGGCGAGATAACGCGAAAATCCGAGCGCACGCTCTCTTCCGGTCTTCGAGAGGCCGAACCGTCTTCCAGCGTTCCTCGACGGGCTAAAAATCGCATTCAGTATTTTGGCGGGAAGCCGATTGGCGCGCAAATCGGAGGGGGCGCTCGGTTCGCGACGCGCGCTTCGAGCCGAGTCGGAGCCTGGCGGTACTAGACCAGTACCAGTCGGGCAGTCGTGGGTCGCGTCGCCTGCGTCGACGAACCCGTCCGCGCGAGTACCGCGTACTTTCCGAGGGAAACTCGCGAGACTTCCGACGATTTGGCGATCACGACCGGACGAAGAGGGAAGGAGCGCGCTCGAGCGACCGAGAGAAAGAGAGAGAGAGAGAGGAAAAGAGAGAGATCCGCCGTGTGTCGCCGCCGCGCTCTTGGAGGAGTGGGGCGGACCGAGAGAGAGAGAGAGAGGGAGCCAGCGGGCTGCGCGCGCGAGGGCGAGAAGGAAGACGAGCCCGCGACACGGAACAAGGTGTTCGGCGGTGTATGCGCACAGTCGCGCGCTAGTTCCTGTGCGAGTGAGTATCGCAGATAGTATACCGCCCAACGTCTCGGTACCCCACGCCACGACGCGCGCAACCGTAGCCGCCTTTGTCTCCTCCGCGCCACCAAAACTCGAGGTGAGTCCGTTCGGAGAAATCCGAGGCCGTCCGAGGTCGATTCGGGACTCGCGAGCCCTCGGCCGCCCCGGCAGCCCCGACGCGTGGCCATGGCGGGGCCGGCCCGGCCGGCGTCGCGGAGCAGCTTTTGAAAATGGCGGGCCCTCGGCTCTCGTCGCGACGGCGACGGCATCGGCGACGGCATCGGCGACCCCCGCTCGGGCCGACCCCGACCGACGCCGAGTGCCGAGAGAGAATCGGACGCGCGACTCTCCGTCGGTTCTCGGCCTCGATGGCCGGCGGCGACGCGACGCTGGGACGCCGAGGAGGATTGAGCGTCCGGCGCCATTTTCGAACGCGCTCGGCCAGGGGACCGCCCGTTTCGAAAATCGATACCGGCGCGCGGGCCCTTCCACCTGCCGATTCGCGCCTCGTAACCGCTCTCTCCCTCCCGCGCGATTCCGATCCCCTGAGCTGACCGGTGCGCGCGCAGGAGTCGGGTCTGTTCTCGATCGAGAGCCCTATATCTCGTTCCGCGTCGCGCGACGACGGTGGAACGATTCGATGTTGGACGCGTCGATCGGGAGTGATCTTCCTCAAAAATTACTGCCCTCATTTTTTTTTTCATTCTTTTTTTTTCCTCGAAACTATTGAAGCTAAGAAGCGCGAAAAAGAAACGAAAAGAACTTTTGGGCTGCTCGTGTCCAAGGGGTCGAAACTGGAATACATTTTTTCGCGCCATTTTTGACCGCGATCGAGCGCGGTTTGTTCGAATTTGATTGGTTCGCTTCGTGGTACCTCGATCGTTTCGATTTTTTTTTTTCATGACTTCCGGTCGGTCCCAATCGTTTGCTTCGAGAGTTTGGTTTACTCGGTGCTGGAGGCAGTTTCGGAAATGGAAACGTGCCGCCCTTGCTTGGCCGCCGCGGTCGAGAGCCCGGCGCCACTCGATAACAACGCGGCGGGTCGGGAAACCGAGTCCCGATGCTTTCCGAGCATTTCCGACCGCTTCCGAACTTCTCGGACCGTGGTTCGACAATGGCGGACGCGGTTTCGCGGGAAAGCGCTTTTGGTCGGATATACCTTCGTGGGGAAGATTTTTCCTACTTGTTCCGTGATCGTGAAGGAGGTCACCGCGCTCGAAATCACGGTGAAAAAAATCAAATTTTTTTTTAACGAAATCGCGGAAAGACGGTCGTGAATTATAGGGCTTGTTAAAAACGAGGTGTTCCGCAACTTTCTGACTTTTTTTGCAAGTTTTTTTTAACTTAATTACAGTCAAAGGCAGACCATGTCGGATGACAATTCATCTGTGGTCGATGACCAGAAGAGAAAGAGAGGACGACCACCAAAGGTAGATAAAGGCAAGGAGTCAAAAAAAAGAGGCAGGCCTTCGACGGACAAGAACAATGTTCCTCGAGCGAATAAATCCGACAACGAGGACGATGGACCACCTGAACCCGTAAAACGAGGTCGAGGGCGACCAAAAGGATCCATGAAAAAAAGTGTAAGTAGGAACTTTATCCTCCTTTCTTTTCGATTTATGATGGTTGTTTATCGTCGCATGGATTAAAGGACCGATGTTGCTATCTCTTGCTTTGTTAGGCACCTGCAAAAAATCCTCCGAGTCGTGGTCGTGGACGGCCAAAGAAAATAGAAGAAAAAGTTGAAAGCCCAGTGACGGATGAAGAGGAGCAAGAGGAGGAGGAGGACGAAGACAACTGAAGGAAATAAACATTTTTAATTCAGATTTACTTTCAATGGTCTCGAAAGCCAATTTGACTTTTGATTTTTTTATTTTGTTGATTTGAATCAATCGATCTTTTGATTTTTTCTTTTCTTTTCTTCTCTGTCATACACATATTAATGGCAGTAAATCTAAAGAGCGAACCATTCTTGGGGAGAGTCAAAGAAACTGTAAGTCGATAAATAATCTATTTACTATCGAATCGATCGTTTATATATCTAGGGAAAAAAGTGAAAGGAAAACATAATACATGGAGAAGCTGCTATCCTTTCATTTTTGTTCTTTCATACATAAACTATTCGTTCGATAGGAAATCGTTTAAATATTGATTTCCGATTGCTTTAGTTCTCCCCACCTTCGTATAAAAATACAATTTGCGAATGGACTGTAGACCCTATATGAAAGGAGGTAAAAAAAAAAATGAAAAAAGATCAATTTGAATATCCTGTAATATCTTTGATTTTAAACATTTGTACAATATAAATTGGAGTCGCGTGCCCGAATTACCCTTCTCTACTCCTACGCGCGTTATTCGCTATGATAAATGGTAATTCTACAGTGCGCGAAAGTTAGAGGTTTTAAGGATTAGCGAAATTTAATATAGAATACTTGCGAAACAAAAAAAAATACTGAAAATTACACAACTTAAACACTGGGAAAAGTGTACACCGATGTCCTGTTTTTGAAACATGCATACATTGTGTGAATGTCAAGTTTGTATGAAATAAATGAATTCACAAAAAGAAAGGAGTAACACGTTGAAATTTGTATAATTGTGTTTTTTTGTGGTTCGATTACAGGGCATAATTTACAGTCGAAATAATCTAATAAATATTCGTAAGTGTAGTACAGTCTTGCAATTCAGGAGGTATACAATGCGTTACAATTACACAATCTAGAATACCGTCATAACTATGTACGTTACTTGGAATAATATACGGTAATAAGTATACAATGATATCACTCTTACATTTTACTACTATATAAAAAAAATGAATTACAAACGTGTTCTAATTGCTTACTTAAGGCAATATTTCACTTCATGGGTGTGAAAACAGTTACATTTTCCCAGTTTTTTATCTTGTGTGTGACGTTGCATTGATTCGTGTAAAAGTGCTGTCACTAAAATAGTTGGCTATCTCGGAAAAGAGGTCCAGCAGACACTTCGATGCGAACCGGAGGAACCCTTTACGCTGACCTGTACGGAAATATTGCTTAATCTAGGAATTGCAAGTAAAGAAGTAGGTATGCAACATCAAAAGGATCGTGGACAGTATATTCGTATTTTCTTATAAAACAATATTTTAGTACTGGGGAACTTGCCAGCATCTCCTGTCTTGTTTTATTGATTAATTTATTGAATATTTTGATAGCATTGTTAATGTTCGTTTGAAATGTAATAATTACGTGAATCAAGGCATGTGTGCGTACATACATATATTCGTACTTAACCAGATAAATTTAGCAGAACAGCCTTTGGTAAATTATTTTTAAATGACCAAGCTGGACCAAGCAAAGATGGTGATATCTCGTCTCGTTCTCTTATTGGTCTATGTATTCTGACAGACATTTTTTTTTCTTCAAACATTTAGCAATCCCGCTGCGGGATTTTTCGAGGGGATAATCGTGCGGGATTTCTGGCAGCACTGTCTCCCGACTCATCTCTGTTCAACGAAAGCTTTACCATCTGAGTTGTTCATGGTTATCCGGAAACCGCGTAAAGTCTGACTTTGCAATTTAGTTCAATTTCAGCATTGCGATCAAAACGTGCCGTTCAGATCTCAAAATATACGCGGAAGTGATATTACCATTAGATAATCGAATACGCACCGTTGAAGATGCCTAAATATTCCAGTATGTATACCAAAATGTTTCTTGTCACAAAAGCCTAACCTCAAACTCGGTGAGGATTGCCTTGGATGAAATGTAATATTCAACGTCGATCTTTATAGAATATGTGGGCGCACGTTTCTTTATTTGGCAGGAAGTTTAATATTTTTTAAGTCAATTCACCAGTCATTTGAAATGTTTAGAATGATTTTTTTTCGACTTTTAAAACCAATCGTCTCTTATGTAGAGGAGTAATTATTTTTATTTCAGTTAAAGTAAAATGGGGCAAAGAGGTCTTTCCAAATGTAGAAGTTAATACAGACGAAGAGCCTATGTTGTTCAAGGCACAGCTCTTTGCGCTAACCGGAGTTCAGCCGGAAAGACAGAAGGTCATGTTGAAAGGAATGACGCTAAAGGATGACGAGTGGGGAAACATGAAGCTGAAAGATGTAAGAATATTTTTTTCTTACTTTGACCAGCCTTTTTTTCAATAGACCTTTACTTATTAAGTTCTGGTTATCATTGTGAGAAATGCGTTTACCCTTCCTTTGCCCATAGGGAGTGACTATCTTACTAATGGGATCGAAAGAAGAGGACGTTCCAACGGAGCCAGCCGAAAAGCCATTGTTTTTAGAGGATATGAATGAATCGGAATTAGCAACTGCTTTAAATGTACCAGCTGGTTTAACAAACTTAGGAAATACATGTTACTTGAATGCAACGGTGCAATGTTTAAAAACTGTGCCAGAATTGCGAGATGCACTTAAGAATTTTTCTGGAGGACTTGCTGCATCCAGTAGCGTATCTTATGTCCCAGCTCAGAGCGTAACGGCTGCATTGCGGGATTTGTACGAAGGCATGGATAAAGGATCCTCATTGCCCCCTGTGGTACTCGTACAGATGATGCATCTCGCATTTCCAAGATTTGCAGAGAAATCGGAGCACGGTGATTTCCAACAGCAGGATGCTGCCGAATTTTGGAACGAGTTGATCAAAATGTTGCAGGAGAAATTGCCAGCAAAGGTAACCAAAATATGGAAAGTAGACGTAGAATTTCCTGTTGGTTGGACTACCAAGAGTTACGGTTAATGCAGAATAACTAAAGAATTCTTGGTTCAACTAATAGTTATTTAAAAATAAAATTGTTTTATGCCCAGGAAAGTCCTGTGAATACAGACAGTCCACAGTTATTTAAACCACGTTCCCTGATCGAGCAGTACTTTGGAGGTATGTTCAGTATCGAACTAAAGTGTACGGAAGCAGAAGACGAACCAACGACTTTCAAGACGGAGGAATTCTTACAGTTAAGCTGTTACATTACAATGGATGTCAGATACATGCACTCTGGTATTAGGAGCAAAATGCAAGAACAGATTACTAAGAAGTCCCCGACACTCGGCAGAGACGCCATTTACACAAAAACGGTATCCAAAAACATTTGTGTTATCGATTCATTATTGAAAGAGCTTGTTGTTTTGAATGGGAAGATTTAATCAGCCGTTGAATTAACCGCAGAATCTCAGAAAGCTTACAATTTTTCACTGTTGGTATAAACATACAAAGGAAGATCTTTAATCTTGATAACGTAATTTTCAGTCAAAAATTAGTAGGCTGCCAGCCTATTTAACTATCCAGTTTGTTCGGTTTTTTTACAAAGAGAAAGAGGCGATTAACGTAAAAATTTTGAAAGACGTCAAGTTCCCCATGGAGTTCGATGCCTTTGAATTTTGCACGAGTGAGCTTCAAAGTAAGCTTACACCGATGCGAGATAGATTCAAAGAGTTAGAAGACTCCGTGGTCGGGCAGGCATCTTCCGTCAAGGATAAAGACAAGGGTGACGGCAACAAGAAACCTGTGAAAGAAGAACCTTTTTGGTTTTCGGATGGTGAGTTTTTTATCCTTAACGATTCTTGGTCCATGGTCCGGATAATCGTTGCTTTCACATAGGTTTATTTGTAGATATAGGGTCGAACAATAGTGGTTACTACACGTTACAAGCGGTTCTTACGCATAAAGGACGTTCGAGTAGCAGTGGCCACTACGTGGCTTGGGTACGACAGAAGGACGATACGTGGTTGAAATGTGACGATGACGCGGTCAATGCGGTAACCGGTGAAGAAATCTTGAAACTCAGTGGCGGGGGTGACTGGCACTGTGCATACGTATTGCTTTACGGCCCTCGAATTCTGGAAGTTCCTGTACCTGAAGCGGAGTAACTTTCCTATTGTCCGTCAGTTATTATTTAGCCGACACGGGACCCCGGCGACACGATGCTTCGAAGTGAGGAAAATAATAACGGTATAAGTGCAGTCGGCTGCATGTGATTATTATGCCAAGTTAAATCTCCGCCATTGGTACTATTTAAACAGCATTGGGGCGTGTTGAATACGGCCAGTGATCTCTCTTACTAGGTACACTTTGGTAAGATTAGACTTTTTCAACGCGATACATAGAGCAAAGGACTATTTGTTACTGCGAAACTTCTATGTGTTCTTTTATAATATTAAAGTAACAATTATTTAAATTCCTCGAGTGTTCTTGCCTTGCCTGCTGTCCATTCTCGAGTAGTGGTCTATCGAACGAATGAGGGTCTTCATACAAAAGGTGTACGTGTCTTCTGTACCGATCAAACTGGTCTCAGGTAAGAAAAAAAGAAACGCATAATTTATGGGGTTTTCCAAGTAGAGTTTATTACCTTCATAGATAATCCATTTACGAGATTATTAATTAATGTCGCAAACGCCCTAAGGGGTTCTTAACTACGAGTTAAAAACAACCCTGATTGTACATTGCAGCTTAAGTAGTTTTTAAACAATGCACTGCGTATGTGCTTATGTAAATGGACAAACTTACATATGCACATATGTAAGCACGTGAATATATGTATAGATATTTAATTATATATATAAAAGGCGCTAATTAACGTTAGATACGCAGAGAATCACGCAACATCCACAGAATAAAGCATAGGCAATACTCGTTGATAAAGTCATTAGCGCATTTTCTTCGAAGCTAAGTACATTGTACAATCATGTTGGTCATCCGCAAAATGTGAATTTTATCTTTTTCATTAGCTCCATTCGTCTTTACCTTGTTAACAATGCCTGTGCATAATTTTGTGGATATTTAATGTTGGTCTGCTCGTCTCTGTTTAACGATACTCTAATATTCAATTGATTACTAATGAATTCGATGTTTTTTTTACTTTTTCTTTTTTAACGAGCAGTCTTCACTGCCACCGAAGGGCATACGTTAAATGGATGTATTCCTCACAGGCCTCATCGTGAACAAACTTTTTATATTTAATCATTAAGTCGCGTATAATCGCAGTTTAAAATTTCACTTCTATAATTAGCCATGCAGCCACGATCGACTTGTAATACTGACGTTTAAATTAATAAGTAATTATCAACGCAACGATTAGTTGAAAGGGGATTGACTCGAAATCTATGAACTACTAGGTATATCAGGGAGTCGATTCTAATACTGAGAGGAAATGAAATATATGACTTGATTGAATTGTTGAATACGGTAAGCATGTAGCCACTGTGTGAACGAATAGTGCTAACAGCCTTTGATAAAAAATCTGATGTGCTTGTCCACGAGGTAACAGATATTTTCTCAATAATGGATTAGTTTTCTGTGGAAAAATGCCTGCAGTTCTACAACTACGAGTACCGATAATACTGTATAAATTGAATCGCGTTTACTGACGTTACATCTGTGATAACAAGATGTTTGATGTCCTAAGTAACTCGGCCCTACTGAAATATAAACTATTAGTCAACTACGTACTGCACACCAAAGGGAGTACAAAAATGTTGAATTTAAGTACTTGAATTTGACTAGACCTTAAAGTAAATCGACGATATGCAAGTGAAAGTTAACGGCGAGAACATTTGATTAACTTTGACATTTGACCATTGCCTTTCCTGACCTTAGAAATGGAAGCTGAGATCTGATCGTTGCGAAAATAGCGACATCCTTTAAGTACTGTAAAACATGGAACGCTGCTCTTCATAGATTCAGACTTCTTTGGGTAAGTAAATGCAAATATTCCTGTCAATGTGTTACTTCACCGTCAATGTCCGCCAAAGAGCTCGGAGTTTTCTTCAGTGTCCATAGACCGGTAGCCCTGTCATAAAGTTAAGTCTTTGTTACTTCTTATGTAGCCTCGTGTACCGACGTTGAATACCGCTACGTACGCGTCTTTGGCAACTGCTGAAGCCTTCGTCCAGGAGTTCGGTCTCCCAATCGTCTTCGCCTTCTTCACCGGGGTCAAAGTTGTATAAAGGCATCAACCGGTGCCTCAGGCGTTCCAATTTCCTCTTCCGCGATATGATAAGTACCTACACAAATCGGTTACACCTTTCAACAGGATCTGAATGACTTTGTAGCACAGCAAGAATAAATAGTTTTTGAGAATGCATCACACGATACTAGTCATTAAACAAAATGTGCTGTATTTCCAATGGCAATGATAATGCATCGCATCCATACCATCGATCATAGGGGTATAAAAGTCCATATATAGTAATAGATAGTAACCATACCACTGCAGACAGTATAACCACGAAGATCATGACACCCAATGGTACGAAAATGTATTCTACTCCTTCCGGAGGTCCAAACTCATCTAAAGGATCTATGGTGGTTGTTGTCGTGCAAAGCGTACTCTTAGTTGTGTCGACTGGCAGCACTTGTGCCGTCGTTTTGGAATCATTCCACAGTTGCTGAGTAGACCGATTGCTTTCCGAAAAATCTGAGAACGTTTCTGTGGTTCCGGTGAATAATATTTTAACCAGGTCTGTCGAGACGCTTGCCACTTTGCTTGGTATCGTGGTCACAACACTGGTTGTGTTATTCTTCATGGTGATGCTTAAAAGATAAAACAAAGTAGTGATGTCAAATGGATACATATATGTGCAAATAACCATAAATAATTAAACTCACCTAAAGGACTAAAGCTTGATCATTAATTTTCTCAAGCCTTTGGTTCCTTTACTTTAAAGACATACTTATTTTTTTATGAATCGTGACCATAGTTTCTTATAATTTACATTTTTCAAGCACGTAAGTCAATCGGGAGAACTCGTTTGAAAATTTCTATACATGACATGTCTTGTCAAGTATTCATTTACTGACCCATTTAAAGTAAATCGACGGTCAACGTAAACATGCACGTCATTAGGTATGATTTATTTCTCAATAATACCGTCAATGAGAGATATGCCAAAAATGAGTATCATTTCTTCGGAACAGCCTCTAATGAATCCATCCATAAATAGATGAACTATCTGGTTAAATATCAACATCGGCTGAGAATATTTTGCAACCAATTGACTCTTTCAGTATCGAAGGCGCCTGTGCCATCGAATCAAATTTGTAGAAATTACATGGCAAGGCAAAAGTGACTCGGTATGACTTTTATCAATTTCGCAAGCGAGCATTGAAACGAGTTGAATCGATGTCACATTCAAAAAGGGAAAATCCATCCGGAATTAGACTTGACTGCCATTGCACTGGACGCATTGGTGCCAGATGTATTTTTTTGAGAGATTTAACAGCATCATGTTGACTTATCGACTCTACGTCGAAGAGAAATGCTCATTAACTTCCGAGCAGTTCGATTTAATTTCTAAGGAATCACAAAAACCGACTTTGACACAACCCGACGCAACGATGCCGCACGTAACACACTGTCTACCTTTAAACAAAAGTTTTCTAGATGGGTTATTCTTTTCATTGTTTTATGCCGTTTTTAAACGGACGACATTGGTTCATAAATCCCGTTTATACCAGACAGATGTCTGGTATAAACGGGATTGATTCATCCATTGAGCGGCAACCTCCTCGTGGTGGGCCTGGGGAATCGATGGTTCGACTTGCACGGAAGCGCAAGAGAAACATCGATTCGCGAATGGCTGCTCGGGTAACCAATTTTGAAATTTATTAATCAACTATGTATTAGACATTTTTGACGTATGATCGTCAGGTGTACCTAACCGTTTGAAATTTTATAACGTGTGTATAAAGACCCTAAAAAAGCTGATGTGAAGCTGACTTACGAAACCAGAGGGCAGTACAGGATGCGATCACGCGACCGTGAGCATTCTCCCGACTCATCTCTGGCTCTTCATAAAAATGGTTAGCACGTCTATGCCAATCCATGAAGTCTGTCAATGCACGACCACAGTAAATATTGAGGTTTCAATCAGAAGTGAGGAAGAGCAGGAAATTGAATTTTAAAGGCACTGATAACTCAGGAGTCGTGAAAGTATCTCGCTCTCAATCATTATAATGCATTTCTCGATAAAATTTTTTACAATCGGATCTTGGTAACATAGAATATTACAAAATGATAGTACTCTTTCTTTCATAGCAGTCCTGTTTCCACCGGCACGGCATGTATGTATGTATGTACATGCCTCGATGGAATATTTAATTAACATACTACTACTTATTACAATCGTATATANCAATATTTATGAAACACTCTAATTCGACGCGAGTCCATTAGAGAGAGACCGTTCGGATTTTCACGTATACATTTTTTCAGAGGGCACCGGACTGGTGATCTCATATATGTATGTATGTATGTATAAAGAAAAGAAGGTATAATCAAAGTGAGCATAAAAAACGTTCCGCAAGCCCCCTGAAAAATCGTTCGATACTCGATCACCAAGTTTGTTGCACTAGATAATTCTCGCTGCACCTCGTTCACGTTCTTGATGCATTCCTTGCAAATAGAATGCGCAAGGATGTATCGACAACCTATTCAGACGTACATGAAAGGATGGTTCCATCGATATAACTTAGGCTAAACGGTAGTATGCTTTGTATTCGCGTGACGCTTTCGTTATACAGATCGAGGAACCGATGAACTAAAACTACGAAGCTTCGCGTTCCCATTTATATAAATCTTTGCCCTGCTGTGCCTGCAAATCTTAATCCTAGTATAAGAAGGCATAATCAGCTATGTGGCTTAGTAAATGTACACCGTGGTGGGGTGCGGTACAACGTAAGCGCTCGATAAATTCCTGCCAACTCTTTCAACGACACGCCGTGTTCTCCCAGCGATCAGGGGCACACCTTTTTCGGTACGAAGGAAACGCATCCTTTCACGTGCGTCTATTGATTGCGGTAGCGATAATAAATATCTTCCAAGACCATCCGAACGAATTAAGGCGATCCCTCTTGCTCGTAGTCCAGCTCTCTCCATCTTCGACCCACCTTACGATACGAATATTTACAATTTTTTTTTTTCATTCCACAAACCGGGCAGCTCCATTTTTAACCAAGGGACGTTGCAGCGAGTCCTTTCCGTGACGATTCGCTCTCCGTGCATCTCCTTTGACTTGGCTCGACTCTTCCAGCGATCTTTGGATTGAAACCAACTTCTGGGGCCAACTCGGCAGACGTTCCATGGCTCAGTTACTCTCTGGACTAGCTTCCTGTTCTCCGGCACCGTCACCTTCTTCGCGGGTCATACCCTCTATTGGTGCGGGCTGGTCTTCCGCACCTGGGACCGTCGACTGCGACTCTCCGGTACTGGAAACTACCGAAGGAGGCCCGTTCTGAGCTGCGCCCTGAGGAAACCCCGTTTCTGCCGAGACCAGATGAGAAGGCATGTGTGGCGAGGCGGTCTGCGACTTCCTACTCTTTTCTCCTTTCCTCCAAAGCGTGATTTCCTGATAATTAACGGTTTCGATCAACGTATCTTCGTAGCTTTTGATACAAAATCGTCGTGCGTATAGATTTTAATCTACCGTACCTGTTGTTTGAAATAACGCCGATCCTCTTCATCCATGAGAACTAAATTTAGGTAGTACTTGACACTAAATTTCTTGTTAATATCGCGCATTGTCGGCGCCAGATCATAACCTGCTAAAAACACTCTGATTGGGATGGATTCTCCTCTCACCGGTGCACCATCCATTATTTCATACTTTGCAATAGTCGCGTTTTCTGTAAAAGTGTGCGGTCCTGCAAAAATGTATTCTACTTATTACCATAGTACCACCAGTCACGAGACGCAGGCACGATGTCTCAAAAATAAAAAACGTCTCTCTCAACATTTCGGGTAAATGGAAAAATTATAATAAAAACTACTCTCTACTGCAATACGGTGCTCATGAAATTGACATTTTGTCAATATTTGGTGTAATAGAAATAGCAGAATTAAGTATGATTACGATAGATATCCAAACAATCCGAGAAAAATTCCATCCAAAAGACCATATCCTCTTAAAATGTCGATTTAATGAGTATGAAACAATTATTGTATACCATACCAGAACCAGTTATCTCTCTCTTGATAATGGCTATTTCCATGTGTTTGATCTTTATTCTGACAAGTAGAAAGTAAATTTTACCCACTATAACATCCTTTAAGTGGTACCTGAGACAGAAAGCCACAGATTTTTAGCAAGCATTGCCAATTAACGATATCATTAATAAACTACAAAGTTTACGTAAAAATATGTAGACGTGCAGGGACTCACTTGCTTTTATTATACTCAAATTCGATATGCAAGCAGTCTTCGATACCAACTTCCATTTTTATGGGATTATTCATGTCTGGATAGGAACTAAGAGTATGTACAACGAGTTCAAGCTCCTTTACTATATCACTGAGTCGTCGAACGATGGTTACTCTGAGAAAATATCTCAGCCGGACGTTTGATCCGGTATAACTCTCAAATGGCTTTTCCACATTAGCGAATTCAAATGGATAGACGGTATTGTGCGTCAGCTCACCTGGCCTGGCTAGTTCTTTTACTAAACTGGTAAAATCATAATGATTGCTTTTGTCATAGTAAAGCTCAATTTGTCCAATGAATTCAACTTTGACACCCTGATGCTCCAGTTTTCCTGCCTTCCTCAAACTAATATGAATCTACGGAAATGAAATGTTTTTAAAACGAACATCATACTCATGAAACATAAAATATTAGAATACAATAGGTTAGTAATTATACCTTTCCAGACACAGTTTCCCCATCGTAATACAACAAGTATCGTTCCTTCTTCCCAACCTCAGACTTGATATCTGCCTTTTTCCTATTTTCTTCGTCGTCTAAAGTAATTTGTATGTCAGCAGATTGGCCAAACCCGAAGAAACTCTGAAAAGATTACTAGAGATGGTATCGCCACTGTTCCACTGCTATGTTCGATTATTTAAAGGGCAAAAAACTGAACGAAGTCTAAAAGGAAGAATGATACATACCATGTTTCCAAGAAGGAGTCAACGTATCGAAAGACCAAAAAATCTCGGAAAGAGTGTGGGATGTTTGCACGATCAGAAAACGGACTCAATAAAAACTAATCCAAGGCATCATTGTCACGCAGAGAAAATAAAAGTCGCGTTACTTTTAATCCGTTTCCTCCGAAAAGTCACAAGTTACCAATATGGTGGCACCCTGCTCTCCACAGGTTTCCCATTCGCCGACAAATCCGAGGATACCCCGAAGGTGACACGACGTGGATCGTGGTGGAGTGATGCGGGACGATAGGATTTTCTAAAAGATCGCAAAGGTCGTTAAGAAAGAGAAGCGGCGTTGCCTCGAAATCTCACATCGAGTACGCAAAGCACCGCTAACGGGCCGATGAGCGCATACTAACGTCGAATCGAGTCAACTTGACTCAAATTTGGGGACCTTTCAACGTCTTTACGCCCCTTGAATGCAGGTGTGTTCGCGAACGAGAAGACGGTGCTGCCCTTGTGCGGCCTCCTTCGCAACTTGCATGGAACTTGACAGTTCATGGTCGTTTTCTCTGATTGAGTTACGGCAAAATGTGTTTTTCTTAAAGGTAAGACTTTTTTCCTTAATCGATCAGCCGGTCACAGCTTTCATCTTCCTTTACAAAGAACATCATTTCCGAATTTCGTTCCCGAGGAGGGGCGCGCTATTTTATGGACATGACGAAAATTACTATGAGTACGGAAGCAATTTTACTCCAGAAGAACGACTTCTTAGAGTACGTAAGTTCATGGATCGTCGAGACCAGCAACATCACATGCAGTAATTTTCTCCGATGCTTACGTGCGATGTCAGTTTGGACGTTCAATTGTAATTTTTCACAAGTAAGTTGTAATTATCTCCCGTAAGACCCCCTCTGTGTGTAATAAGTGAGAATGTTGCGTACACGCGTTAATCCGTTAAAGTACAGCAATGGCTCTGTTCTGTCCGTAATGGCACGCTTAACCTAAAATTTGTAAACAAATGTCCTATCATAAGGACCTTCAATGGTAAGAATGTTCTTTTTACAGAATTATAAGAATTGAGGATCCATCGAGATGGCGAATCCTTTAACCAACGTTCCTGTATCTGAGATTCTTAAGAATAAAAGCACATTTGAGGATGAACCTAGGAAAAAGAGTAGAGAGGATTGGCGAAAAGCTAAGGAATTGGAAGAAGCACGGAAAGCCGGTACCGCTCCAGCAGCTGTAGACGAGGAAGGGAAGGATATCAATCCGCATATACCGCAGTACATCAGTGCAACCCCATGGTACTTTGGGGCACAGGGCCCTACGTTAAAGCATCAGAGGCCGCAACCGGAAAAGCAGAAAAAGTTTAGTGACTTAAATGAATGGTACAAGCGTGGTGTAGACACAACTCATGTAGCAATAAAATATCGCAAGGGAGCTTGCGAAAATTGTGGGGCCATGACTCATAAGAAAAAGGATTGTATGGAGAGGCCACGTAAAGTTGGAGCAAAATACACAAATTCCAACATAGCACCCGACGAGTACGTGCAGCCTGAATTATCCGTGGACTATGATGGCAAAAGAGACAGGCAAGTTGTGCTTATTTTGTGTTATCATTAATGAAAATTACGTTCCCTGTATGAATGAAAATTATAATTAATCCTTATTTTTACAGATGGGCTGGGTATGATCCAGCGGAACACAGAGCAATCGTCGAGGAGTATCAGAAAATTGAGGAGGCTAAACGCCAAATGAGAGCAGATAAACTTAATGCTGAAGAAAACGACGAGCAAGATTCTGATAAAGATGAAGACAAGTACGTCGATGAGGTTGACATGCCAGGAACAAAAGTCGATTCCAAACAACGAATCACTGTCAGGAATTTGCGGATTAGAGAAGACACAGCTAAATATTTACGCAACTTGGATCCAAATTCAGCTTATTATGATCCGAAGACGAGGTCCATGAGAGATAACCCTTACGCAGGAACAGAACGAGAGTATGTAATTTCTTCAATGTAAGATTAAAAATGTGATTCCAGCATCCACAATAATTATTTAATGTTGTAGGGTAGACTATAAAGGAGAAAATTTTGTTCGGTTTTCGGGTGATACTCAACAACATGCAACGGCACAATTGTTTGCTTGGGAAGCTCATGAAAAGGGAGTAGATGTTCACTTACTTGCAGAACCAACCAAACTCGAGTTATTAAAACAAGAGTATGATAAGAAACGAGATGAATTGAAGGAGAAAGCACGTGATAGTGTAATTAATCGATACGGTGGAGAAAAGCACCTCGACGCACCTCCAACTTCTCTATTATTAGCTCAAACTGAACAATATGTGGAATATTCCAGATATGGCAAGGTTATAATTTTATTTAAAGTAATGTTTATGATTCAATTATAAGTGATTACAGAATAAGTTAATTACCTATTTTCTTTTTTTAAAGATTATTAAAGGACAAGACCGACAAATCATTCGATCCAAGTATGAGGAAGATGTTTACCCAAATAATCATACATCGGTTTGGGGTTCCTACTGGCAGAACGGCCAATGGGGCTACAAATGTTGTCATTCTTTCATAAAAAATTCATACTGTACTGGAGAAGCAGGAAAATGTATGTATATGAATATATTCCTGGCTTTGGCTAGCTTTTCGGAAATTATTCATGTTGCATTCTCTAAGATTTATATTTGATCTATATAAAATAAAAAAATGTAATTTTTAGTGCGCCCTCCGGACGATCTCCAAAAGAATCAGGGAGCAACAGCTAGTCAATCTGGAGAACAATGTCTTTTAGAAACAAATATCCCGTCCACGCGATCATCATCGAGCGATGAATCTTCTCATGATTCTTCTTCGGAATGTGAAGATATAAAATCCAAATCGCGTAAAGAGAAGAAAAGAGAAAAGAAACGAAAACAAAAGGAGAGATTGAGAAACAAGAAAAAAGTTGAGAAATCACAAAATGCAAAGCTGAAAATTGCTCTCGAAGAAGAAGAGAAGAGACAGAAGGAAGGACAACGGTTATTGCAGATGAATGAAAGAAAGCGACCATATAATAGTATGTATGAAACAAAGGAATTGACAGCTGAAGAGATTGAAGCATATCAGATGAAGCGTAAACGAGACGAAGACCCTATGGCTCACTTCCTTAAGGATTGAAAGTAAAGATACTTAAATTACACTTTATCGTATAAGGATGTGGAAAAATCAGGGGATAGTTCTTTTACCAAAAAGTGATGCGTTGAGAATTTTCCTTTTGCAGAAACTTGACTTTTATATGGTATTACGTAAGGTAGAAGTTGAAAAACGGTTGGCGAACAAAAATCTGTACATAATTAACAATATGTACTGTACATATAATAATGTGTATAATGTATTTAGGCATAACAAATAGTTTCAAATAGTAAGTTATCTATGGAGTCGAATTTCTTAGATTTAATTATAAACAAATTTATACATTATTTACATGTATGTATAGAGTGCATTATGCTATTCATGAAACTTCAACATACATCAGTTAGTGTGTCAACTTGCTGTTGTAAATTCAAAATTATGAGCCGAGCGATAACTCCGAGCGCGCGCTCGGCCTTATATAGGGTCCCCGACCCCGGCATGCGCAGTTCCTTATCACACCTTTGTATATTCCAATTTTGGAATTTCTTTATAATAACGGAATTTCATGGCTACGGAACCCTTTTTTAGGGTCTTTATACTCGGAGTAGTATAGATTTCGGAGTTTGTCGAATAGTCTCACGCGACATATCTCACATTTGAATGAAAGTAACCGATTCGCGAAAATGTACACTTTTAGAATTTTCACTAGATTCGAGTTGCAGAATCGACCCCTAGATGTCGCTACCGGTCGGGACTGCCATTACGGAATTCACAATGGCGGTTTCGCAGTGTCGCGGGTGTCCCGCAGGTTCGTGAGAGAGGCAAATGACTGCAAATGGCTGCAAATGGCCGTCGGAACGGGGCAAGGGAACGGATTACGTAGGTGCAGGTCGCCCTCGGATAGTTCTCGTGTCGTTTGCGGGGCAACTGGCGCGGTGCGTCATGTGATTTCGTCCCGGCAGGCTCGCAGGTCGCGCGATGTGAGGACGGCGTTCGGCCTCTTGGTCGTTCTCGGCGGCAATGAGTGTCGAGCGGAGCGGCACGGTGATGAAATCGGTGTCGGAGGGCGAGTTGGGCGTGGAAGAGGTTAAGGGGATCGCGGAGCCTCGAATTTCGGAGTCCTCGAGACTCAAGCGGACGTTCACGTTGCCGAGAAATCCGTTCCAGAGTGCGGCGAGGCTGTCGAGACGACGAGGCAAGTATCGAGATTCCAAGGAGGCCGTGAGTACACGTGACAATCCTAGGAACAACATGCTGCAGCAGCAGCCACAGCAGCATCGGCACCAGCTCGAGCAGAGCCCGCGGGTGACGCCGACTGTCCGAGTGCAGGAACACACCTACATGGAGCATCCCGGGAACAAGAAGGTTTTCCGCAGGCCCTCGTGGAAGAAGTTCATCGACAAGATGGTACGCCACATGTCCAATGTCGGAGCTCAGGCTCGCAAGCCCTCTCGCAGGGACGATTTGGTGTCCAGTGCCACTGACATCAGAGTTCCGCCGCCTAGACCCCCTCATGTCCCACCGGACCGAGTGCCTGGAGTGATTGGACTAAGGAACCACGGTAACACGTGTTTCATGAACGCCGTTTTGCAGTGCCTGTCCCATACGGACATTCTCGCGGAATATTTTGTGCTCGATCAGTACAAGGTAGACCTCTCAAGGAGAAACAAGCTCAACTCGAAGAAGTACGGAACAAAGGGAGAGATCACCGAGCAACTCGCCCTGTTGCTGAAGGCCATCTGGAGCTGCCAATACGACCCTGAGATGAGCACAGCCTTCAAGAGCGTCGTCGACAAGTACGGTAGTCAGTATCGAGGAAACTTGCAACACGACGCACAGGAGTTTCTGCTCTGGCTCCTCGACAAGGTGCACGAGGATCTAAACCAGGCTACCAAGAAGAAGTACAAGATCATTAAGGTACGAATTAACTTAATACCCGGAGCGGCGTTACTCGATCTAGAACAAAGACGCATAGATCATGATCGGGACTCGTGGCTGCGGGTCCGATGGAGCCGATTGCGTAATCGTTCGACTGGCTCCAGCGGCCATGGGCGCTGTTTACAAACACCGACGCCGCGATCGCCTGCAGGTGGATGCGGTTTCCGTTTTCCGGCCGAGGCCGTGACCCACATTCGCTTCGGTGTTCGAAAATGACGCATCCGTGACACGAATCGAGTCTCGAGGATAACGAGCGGGCGTCCGATCGGTTTCGTCCGTCCTCGGTCAAGAGCGAGAATCCCTCGCCTCCTCGGGAGTAGGCTCAAGGTGAACTGAGGCGATCTCTCGGTTTCAGAACTCGTTCGGCAGACCAGACGACATTGTCGCGGCGGAGACGCTGGCCAACCACGTGCGGTGCAACAACTCGTTCGTCCACGCCGTCTTCCAGGCGCAGTTCCGCTCGAGCCTGACATGCCCGCGATGCCACCGGCAGTCCAACACGTTCGACCCGTTCCTGTGCGTGTCAGTGCCGGTGCCGCAGACCCACCGGCAGGTCAGCCTCTTCGTCAACGTCCTCTACACGTCGCAGCAACCGCGGCAGGTCCGGATCGGGGTGAGCGCGAGTCAGGCGGCCAACGTGAAGGAGCTCAGGGAGATCCTAGCGAGCGACACTGGCATCGAGGAGGGCCACATGCTACTGACCGAGGTCCACGACGAGGGCTTCCACAGGTGAGAGAGGGTGAGAGCGAGACGAGGGCGTGAGAAAAGGAGGAGAGGGTAAGAGGAGGCCTGGGTGTCCGTAGGACCTTCTCCGATTGCCAGCCCCTGTCGGTCCTGACGGAGAACGACCCGCTCTACTGTATCGAGCTGCCCCAGTTGAAGGAGCCGGCGGAGCAGGCCTACGTCCTTCTGGTGTGGATCAACGTCGTGGCCAAGGGGGAGCTGCGCGAGCGCTTTGGCAGTCCGTACACGATGCAGGTCCCCCGGGAGACCTCCTACGAGGACCTGCAGAAGCTGCTGCTCAAGGAGATGCACGCCAGCCTTCGCGACGACGTGCTGACCTCCGGGCAGAGCCCGGGCCTCTTCACGATCCGGGTGGCCGACCCGGCGGCGACGCCCGTCCAAGACGAGCACCCCTGCATCGACCCCTGTGTCGAGCACCCGCTCTACACGGAGCAGATCGAGCAGGCCCTAGCCCTCTGCGCCGACGACTCGGGGCCGCCGCACGTCAAGCTCGTCCTCGAGTGGGACGAGGCGACGAAGCGCGACGTCATCCAGGACGACTCGGATCGTATCGAGGAGCACGCCAGCGTCAAGCAGCTCAAGAGCACCGCCGAACTCGGCGGGGCCGTCACCCTCGAGGAGTGCTTCGACCTCTACACCCGCGCCGAGGTCCTCGGGGCCGAGGACGCCTGGCACTGTCCCTACTGCAACCGCAAGCAGGAGGTCGTCAAGAAGCTGGGCCTCTGGTCGTTGCCCGATATCCTGGTGATCCACCTAAAGCGCTTCCGGCAGCAGTCGAAGCAGCGCTCAACCTCCAAGTTGACCGTCCTCGTCGACTTCCCGCTCTACGGGTTCGACATGACGCCGCACCTGGCGCAGGGCCACGGGGTGCAGGCCCACGGGATCCCCGCGCCCGGCTGGTCGCCCTGGAAAAAGCCGAGGGCGCAGCGCCGGCCCAGCGTGCCCAAGTACGACGAGAACGTCTACGACCTGTACGCCGTCTGCAACCACCACGGGCAGGACCTGCAGGGCGGCCACTACACGGCCTTCTGCCGCAACCCCTACGACGCCCACTGGTACCGCTTCGACGACACCAGGGTGGAGGCCGTGACCGACACGGGCCTCGTCACGAGTGCCGCCTACATGCTCTTCTACCAGCGGCGCGGCCTCGCCGGCCCGCACTCCGGCTCCTCCGCGGCCAGCTCCTCGGCCGCCTCCACCAGCTCCGCGGGTTCCGCCGGTCCCGACCACTGGGTCTCCCGCATGCCGCCCTTCCGCTTCGAGCGGGCCAACAACCGACGCACCGAGTCCCAGGAGGTCCTAGAACGGGACCGCGTCGTCGAGGAGAAGAACCTGGCCAACTTTGCCCGCGGCTGCCGCGACTACGCGACGCTGCAGCCCGGTCGGCGCACCGCTCCCGTCGAGACAGAGCACTGCTCCGACGACGAGGCTCCCTCCTCCGAGCCCGACGTCACCCTGACCCCGCGCGAGGACGAGGCCGTCGTCCACGAGTCGACGCTGTAGCGCTCGCCCGGCTCTCGAACGAGACCTCGGCGTCGCGTGGAAGCTCGAAGGTGACGAGGGTTTCGCGGTCGGGATGGGCGTCTCCGCCGGGTCAGGTGGCACAAAAATCCCGACAATAAGTAAACGTAACTCCTATCGCGAAGACGCGCCGGGTGGTACTCGGCGCGCGAACGTGGACCCGGACGCGGGGACGCGGGGCTTCGGAATTGGGTATTCCGGTCGGTCGGACGACGGATCGAGAGGAATACCCGACTGGCCGGACATCGTTAGAAACTATCGACGCCCGGTCGTGACGTTTCCATCGTCCTCGTATCACCTTCTAGTGGCCTTATCTCGTTTGCTATCGAGCGCATTCGTACATAATTTCAGCATTTTTATTACCGATTCCCGAGTCTGTATAAAAGAGAAGAAGAAGAAGGAGATAGTAATAAACAAAATAACGGAAGGATCCGGAGAAAGAAGAAAGGCCAGACGTTTTCTCGGCGAGATCCTTCTGGGTCCGGAACCGCGGTTGTTCCTCCCGTCCGCGGACGTTTCGCAGGTTTTAGACTTTTTCTTTTTTTACAAAACAACCGTAATCGTAATCGTCGCTAGAGGTTAGATCGCTAGAACCTTCGGGCCTACTCGGAGATGAGGTAGAAGGGCCGCGCGTCGACGCGAGGGTGTCGCTTTACCGAGACGTCCGCGACGCGACGCGACTCCTCGCAAGATATTTTTCTACGACCTTCCCCCCTCAACTGCCGTGATTAAAAGTTGGAGGAGATCCGCGTCGAACGAATTACCGTTGTCTCGCGGTCGGTAAAACTGTGGCCTCGCGTCGGCGCCGCTCCTCGAAGGAGAATTTCTTCCGACTCGGCGGTCGTTTTATACCGCCGGTCGATCGACCGTTTTCAACAGTTTTCAACCGTTTCGTATTATTACGCGTAATCCCCGTTTTTAACGAATCTATGATCATTCCAGATAGGCGTTCGAGCGATAGGGGAGCGAAGGAGGGGACGAGTGATATAGAATTTTATTACGAATAAAAGTATAAGGTATACGTGTACGTGTACACGTGCACGTACATAGACGTATATGTACACGTATAACGTGCATGCGCGCGAGATGTAGCGAGTGAACGGTGTTTAAATTATTTGAACATGTATCGTTTAATTACTAGTCACGCGTATCGTGGACAAGGGTAGGGGATTCGTCCGACGCGGCGTGGACGATCCCGGAAGCGAGACCTCCGCCATCTTGCGGAAGAACGGCGGACGCGATCGATACCGTCTATTATCGTTTTAAGGGTTGCGCATATTCTCGTTAACCGACCGAAGGGATATTATCATTAATTCCACATTGCTATATCGTTTTGTTGAAATAAATATCCGATGCGCATATACGCGTACGCGCGTCCGTATGCGTATATACGCACCTATCCACGGAACGGTGCCTTAGCGTTTTGACCCGTGCCATCGAGCGGGAACCTTTATCGATCGCCCGGGAAGAAATTCGGAGAAACGGGGCGGGAGGTAAGAGGTCGTCGACTCGGACGGTAAAGGAACTCCCGAGCCCCGAATAAATCGGGCGACGGACCGCAGGAGCGCGAGAGGGCGGTCGCGGCGGTCGCGGCGTCACCGCGCCGGCGCCAACGGAAAGCCGCTCGCCCATTGGCGGAGGTGGGACGCGGCCCGCCCCTCGCCGCCGCCGCCCGCCGAGCCAGTCGAGTTCGAGCCGTCGTCGACGTCGGTGGGCGAGGTGTCTGCGCTTCGCTCTCTCGCGCGTTTCCTTTCCAAGTTTCTCACCGAACTCCGAGAGGTAAGCGAGCCGGGGCTCGGCGTCCCTTGACCTTAAACGCGCTCGACCCGGCGCGCGTGGTCGGCGTTGCGACGATCGACGTGTAAAGGAGAGGGAACGCGGGGCGACGGGATGCCGGTCTCGAGAAAGGAGAAGGTCTAGGAACGCGGTCGAGCGGACGATGGCGCCTTCGGCCGCGGATCGAAATCGTGATCGGGCGGACGCGCCGTCGGACGAGAGCGACGGAGACGCGATGGCGACGCGACCATGGGCGAGGGAGCGCGGGGGGGAGGAAGATGGCGGCGAACGCCACCACCTCGCGTGTACTCCTTGGGATCGATACACGGGCACGCGACTCGGGAAACGTTGTCGGGGGTGACTTCTCGAGTTTTGAGGTTACCCGCCTGCTTCTCGGCCGGTCGGCGCATCGACCCGGTCGCGTCGGATCGTTTTCGCGAGCCGACGTCCCCCTCCGGCGGAGCGGGTAGAAGCGGGTAGGAGCGGGTAGGAGTGGTTTTCGGGGCTCGGCCGGGTACTGGCAGGATGCGGGTGCGGCGCACGCGTGCCCCCGCGGGTACCAGCGTGCCCTCGAGGTTGTCGGAGGGGGGAAGGGGCCGCCCGAGTCCTCGGCGATCGGCCCGACCGATCGATTTGGCCGAACGGGGAGGGTCGAGGAAGGATCGGAGGCAAGCCGAACGTACTCCTAGAGGATCGCGGTCGATCCCGAGCGCCCCGCGACGACCGTCCTGGGGGGCGGGAGGGGGAGTCGAGAGTCGAAGCGACGACTTCCGACGATCGATTCCGACTCCCTGGGGTTTCTTCGGGCCACGCCTTGCCGCGCGGCCCTCTTCCCGGTCGGGAGCAGAGGACTCGCAGGGTCTCGGTTGCAGGCCGCGGAGCATGTCCTGACGAGGGAGAGCGGAAGGGAGAGCTCGCGAGAGAGAGGAGGCATCGGTTCCGGGGTCGAGATGGCGGGCGGGCAGCAGCAGCCGGAGCAGTACACGGTGCCGCGGCTCGCCAGGGTCTTCCACGACCTGCCGCACCTCAACGTGTCCCTGCACTCCGTCGACAACACCTTCGACCCCCACTCGGAGATCTACCTCGAGGTTCGTCGAGTCGACCGCCGGCCTGGGAGGGGATCCCATCTCTCTCTTTCTCTCGTCTTTCCAGAGTCTGGGCATCCTCGGGAGCGTTCCGGCGGCCTGGCTCATCCTGACCTTGCTGGTGCTGCTGGTGTACCTGGTGACGCGATGCTGCGATCGGAAGCCGCGGCCTCGGAGGTCCATCGCCCTGCTCAAGTGCTCGCTGGCCATCCTGGCTGTGCTCTGCTGCGGCGCCGTCGCCGTCGGCCTCTACGGTAACGACGACGTGCACAACGGCCTGGTGCAGTTGGTGGCCGCCGCCAAGAACGTCGACGGGATCGTCGCGGCCGTGAGAAACCAGGTGCCCTCGCGTTTCCCGCGGTCCCGCTCGCCTCCCCCTCGAGACCCCTCGATGCACGTCCGACCGTTTTTCGCAGACCGACACCATCGAGGTCACCCTCAAGAGGAACGTGCAGACGCAGCTGACCGCCCTCGGCGACACCTTCGACGCCCCGGTCAGCAACAAGACGGTCCTCGGGGTCCTCCTGGCGGCCCTGAGGAACATGCAGCAGAACACGAGCATCGCGGCGAATCGCAGCTTCGAGATCAAGAGGCCCCTGAGCGGCATCGGCCTGGCGGACGCCATCGGCACCGGCGAGAGGATCGAGCAGCTGCGCTGGCCCGTCACCATGGCGGCCCTTAGCGCCCTCCTCGTGCTCTGCGTGGTGCTCCTCTTCGGGGTGGCCCGCCACTCCAGATGCGCCCTCATCACGTGAGCGACCGTCTCCCTCGGATCCCCATCGGGAGGAGAACCGAGACTCACCCCGGTCGCTCTTCCTCCGCAGGTTCTCCGTCTTCGGCCTCTTCGCCGTCATCGTCTCCTGGCTGATGGCCTCGCTCTACCTGGCGACCGCGGTGGCCCTGGGGGACCTGTGCGTCGCGCCGGACGGCTACCTCGCCCGGGCCGTGCCGTCCACCCTGGCCTCGGAGGTCCTCTCGTACTACACGCACTGCGAGAACGCGCGCAGCAACCCCTTCACGCAGCGGCTGCGGGACGGGCAGCGAGCCGTCCTCAACATGCGGCAGAACCTTAACGTCGTGACGCCCCTCGCGGTGGGCCTCTACACGGACCAGCAGCTGCAGCCAGAGCTCAACGGCCTGATGACCGATTTCAAGACGGTCGACCGACTCATGTCCGGCCTGGCCACCCTCCTCGACTGCAAGCCCCTGCACAAGCAATACGTCCACGCCGCCCGGAGCCTCTGCCACCTGGGACTGTCGGTATCGGTCTCCGACGGGGAGCCGCCGGCTCCGACCCCCGACCGCCGGTCACTGATCGCTTCCTGCTTGCAGGTACGGACTCACCTTCATGCTGCTGGCCAGCCTCGCCGCCGGCCTCTTCTTCACGGTGCTTGTCTGGGTCGACTCCCACACGTGGATCTACATCCGAAAGCGGTAGGGAAGAGCTCGGCCGACCTCTGTCCGCCGGTTGCGTAATCGGAGGCGCTTTGTTGCAGAAGGGATTACCACCAGGTGGACGAGCAGGACCCGTACCTGCCCCCGTCGGCGGCCTCGCAGGCGATCGCGGCGCGGACTCTTCGAGGCCAAGGGTCGTACCCGCCTACAGCCCCTCCTCTCGTCTCGAATCCTCGCGACGTCCGTAACGCGATCGAGCAGCCTCTCCTGCTAACGCCGCCCCCGCCGTCCTACGCTACTGCGACCGCTCGAGCGCGTCGGATGCACGAGAGCATGCTCAAGTTTGTGCATGAGTCCTACTTTTCTTTCCGGTTCGCTTTGCTCTCGACGGTCTCGCCCGCCCCCTAGGGGCCAACCCGGTCTTTCGTTCTCCGCGTCCCGCGACCCGTCGACGGTAGACGCGCGGCCCGAGTACCCACCCGAGAGAAAGAAAATGCTGCAACTCGTTTTCTCTTTGACTTGCCGCTTACAGAGGTGGGGGCGTTAACGGGGGCGGAGGAGGGGATCACAAATCGGCTCAGCATAATCAGCAGTCGGCGAGTGGACGAGCCGAGCACCGTTCCGGACTCGGAGATCAACCTGGCCAGTACGCGACTCTGAGCAAGCAGTGCAAGACCTTGGAATCGAGCGACTTCTACTGAGGGCACGCCCCCTCGGGGCCCGGTGAGTCGACCCGGTCGACCCGGTCCACCCTCCTCCCCCTCGCGACTGACCGAGACCCTCCTCCCTTTCGATTTCAGGCAGGGAGCCGCCCTGGACGCCGAGTGTGGCGTCGTTCACCGGGACTCTGTCCCACAACGCCCACGGACCCGCCCATCTGGCTACGTTCCAGGACTCGAGGAAGACGCAGACCCTGGACCCGAAGAACCTGGCGAACCTGAAGAGGGGCCCGACCCCGGCCTGGAACCAGAGCCGCCCCCTGCCGCCGAACCCGACGAGCCAGCCCACCTGGGAGTTCGAGTCCCGCTCCCAGACCAACATGAACCAGTTCCGCTCGCTCGTCCGCAACAAGGCCCCGAACATCCGCGTCCAGGACCAGGTCAAGACCCTGGACCGGAACTTTGCCCGCGGCCAGTTCAACGGGACCGGGCAGAACAGCGCGGTGCCCAACATGTACGGGACCTACAACCGGGCCCAGGCCCGGCAGGAGAAGCCCGTGGCCACCCTGAGCCAGGTCCAGGGCAGCGACCCGAATCTCTACGCCGTAACGGAGCTGTAAGGCCCCCGGATACGGCGTATACATAGGCATAACGCGAGGGAGAAACCAAAAGACCCGACCTTTTTTACGTCGTATACGCGTAGGTCTATATACATATGTATACATATTATATATATATACATCTTTTACGGTTTATCCAAAACTTGGCGATCCGTAGGCTTAGAGTCCAAAGTCGTTCGCGTCGGGGCCGCGCCAAGGTTCGGGCGCTTTCGTTTTCCCCTCGCTAGAGCTCGAGGGGAGGATCCCTCGAATAACGAATACTGCCAATACTCGGCCGACTTCCCGCGTATCAAGTACAAACGAACCCGAGGCGATCTCTCGCCTCTCCCGAGGGAGACGCTCGTTCTTTTCGTCGATCTCGAGGCCCGCGGGCTCCGCGGCGCGGCGCGGAGCCGATCTTGTACATACCCGGTCGAAAACTTAAGACTATCGCGTTAACGTGTAAAGTGTGATAACTTTAATCATCTACGTGTCCGGAAAGACTCCGAGGTATTTCCCCCTGTAAAGATACGCCGACTGTAAATAACTGTAATATTTATTGACGCGAAAGGTCTAGAGAAGTAGTTAGCGAGTAATACGGCACAGTCGACGGCTCGGTTTCGCGACGGAAATCCACCTCGTCGGGGGTTTCCCGCGAAACGGGCGGAAAGGGAGAGAGAGAGAGAGAGTATTTGCTACGATTAAGGAGGCGACGTTACGAGAGGGAGGTCGTTTTTAGCAGGTAAAACAAGGAATAGTGTCCTAGTCAGTAAACCGAGTTGCGCGTCTTCGTTTTAGGGAAGAGACACGCTGGACGAGCCAGCGAGTATATTATATAAAATATACATAAATGTATATCTCTTGCCAAATTTGACCGGCGAGGGATCGTCGTTGGCGCGAGCGCCAAACGGTCGGCAAGGGAGACGGTCCGATTTTCCCTCGAGCTCGCCGAGTTCCATCGGCCTCCGGAGTCCGCGACCTTTCGACGGAACCCGGGCGAGCGACGAGGATCGATTTCGAGGGGCCTCTTCCGACTCGCGACCTCGTCGGGGGTCGGTCGCGAGCGCGAAGGACCTCGTCGCGCCATAGTTACCGTTCGAGCTAGTAGTTCCTAAGACCTCTGCCCCGAGTCGTCCTTCGCGACCGTTTCCCCGTTTCCCGTTTTTACGTATTTTTACTCGTTTCGATGTACTTTTGACGCGTCCCGACGTCGTCGGGGTGAATCGGACCGACTCGACGGACGCGAGGAGGGAAATAAAGATACAAAGTACTGACGTGACCTCACCTTCCTTCGGTAGCAATACTTTATTACAACGGTTTGGTACATAAATATACATACGAGCTCGATTCGTTTCTCGACCCCGGATCGGCGGTACGCGGCCGCGCCGTGCCCGCGAACCGCCAGTCCTTGGCGAAAGTCCGCGAGTTCCGATTAAAAATATCAACGCCGCGAAATACTTTGAACCCGCTGGGAGGATCGACGAGAGCTCCCTCAACGGAATAACCAAGGCTCTACCTCGTCTATTGTGCCGGAGCCGCGACGCGCCTCGCCTCGCTTCGCTTCGTCTACGTAAGTACGAGAGCCTCGAGCGCCTCGAGCGCCTCGAGCGCCTCTCTCGGCGGGGCCCGCTACGACTTGGCTTCCTCCTTGAGCCTCGGCCGGGGAGAGGGCAGTCCGCTCTGCAGTCCGCTCTGCACGCTGGAATGGCTCGAAGACCTGCTGTGGCTTTGGCTGCCGGCCCCGACCGGAGTCTGCACCAAGGGCTGGGGCGGCGTCCTCGCCCCCGGGGCGATCGGTTGCTGCTGCATGTGGTACTTGTAGATGTTCTCGGTGCTCTCGACCACGCCTGAGGAACGCGAGGAGAAACGAGTCAAGAGGAGAGGTCGCCGGGAGGACGACGGCGGAGCGCCTTACCGGCCTGCAGATTCAAGCTGCGCCCTCGGACGCCCCCTTCCCTGGACGGAGGACTCCACCAGTTGACCAGGGTGCCGACAACGGGCACGTGTCTCAGGATTCCCTCCTGCCAGAGCTTCTCGGCGTTTTCCCGCTCGAGGTCCGTCTGGGCCGTCTCGATGCCCCGCTTGACCACCTCGGACATCGTGTCCAGGATCTTCGAGCTCGCCTCGACCTCCTGGCCGACCTGCAGGACCAGGGACAGCAGCTCGGCGACGTCTAGGAGAGAACCAACGCGATCAACGGGCGCCGCCTTCGAGGCCGTCGTTCCCGGCGGTTTGGGGACGTACCCGTGTCCTGGGTGACCATGCCGAATCGAACGCACGCCAGACCGTCCGCACCCTCTCCCAGGGAAAAGGCGGCGTCCGTGCTCCTCAGAGCCTCGACGAGTCGGGTGTTGAGCCGGTTAAGCTCCTCCTTGGCCTGGTCGGTCATCACGTGAATCCAGGTCGGCGGAGCGTAGCGCACTCCGCCCAGCCCTGCCCACCCGGGCATTTCCACCAAGTGCAGGGAGTCGTTCTCCGAGACCAGACGAACGAACGTCTCCTTGTGCTCCACCGTGGCGCGCAGGATCTCCTGCGAGGCGATCGGTCAAAGGGGCACGATCGTTCTCCGGTCGCCCGGTAGCTTACCACTTGTTGCTCGAGGCAGGCGACCACGTTGTCCACGTCCTCGGGCCTCGGCGGACTCTTCGAGCTCTCCAGAGGACAGACGCGGATGGCCACGCCTCGCTGCTCGATCTCGCAGAGCTCGACCTGCACGTTCTCGATGTCCCTCTGGAGGATCTGACCGAGCCAGGAGTTGAGCTTGTCGTAGTACGGCGGGACGCGCTCGTTCGCCCTAGGATCGTGGTCGCTCGGGACGAACTGGAAGACGAAGGCACTGGCGACGACCTCGAAGTGCAGGGGCCCGTTCGTCTCGCCGGAGCCCGACTCCTCGCCGGGTGCTTGGCTCTGCGAACGGCGGATCGTCAACCTGGATCGTGTCGGAGGAGGAAACGGAATGGAAAGGAGCTGTACCGACCAGTATTCGAATGCAGGACAGCTTGTTGATCTTTTTGTGCAACTCCTCGACGGCCAGGAAGCACCGCCTGAACCTCTCCTGGATGCCGTCGCGGCCGAGGACTTGGAGAGTGGCCCACAGGGGCAAGGTGGGCAGTCTCCTGGACAGCGAGTCCGCCATCAGACCCGAAACCAGGGACAGCGTCGTGTCCCTGGGCGTCGGACGTCCGCCTTTGGTGTCGGTGAGCCTGTACAACGTCTGAGCGATTCGTCAAGGACTCGTTCCAGCGTTACGTGGCACGGCGCTCCGTTCGAAAGGATACGACAACCGGCAGGGACGGCACGCCCAACCAAACGCCCAGCGGTAGGGTGACGCTGTCGGCAACCTTCGAGGGCTGTTCAACGGAAAGGGAACCACGGTTATTTCCCGGACGCCGCCAACGGGCTACGAGGACGTACCAGATCTTTCGTGGAGTCGTTTAAGGCGAGAGCGGCGAGCGAGTGACCCCTGAGGTGCAGCCAGACGTTGTACTTGTCGCATATCTCCCTTAGCCTGGCGACGTCGTCGCAGTGGCCCGTCAAGAGGGAGCCGGCTTCCGCCAGGACCAGCAACGGCGTCGCGCCGTTCGTCCGACCGTCTTCCGCGAGTCGCCGTTCCAGGGCGGCCACGTCCATCCCGCCTCGACATCCAAAGTCCGTCGTTTGCGGAACGGGTCGCACGCAGTGCAAGGGCAGAGACAGCTGCAACACGGAGGATCCGCCGTATCGACGCGTTTCGGAGTGCAAAGGGATGGAGCAACGCGGTCCGGGCTTACCTGTCTGCACAGATGTTGCACGACCCCCAGAGGGGCGGCGACGGAGCTGTAGATCAACGGCGGGGACGAGGCGAGGGCCGTGAAGCCCTCTTCCATGTACCTCGGGTACTTCCTGTGCAGAGCCAACCTCGTCACTCTAACCAAGCCTTCCAGGTGATCCTCGTGAAACGAGGACGCGCAATCGACGAAATGGAAGACGTGGCCGAGCCATCTCGTCGTGTCCGTGGCCAGTCGACCGGCCAACCTCTGAGTGTGAGACCGAGGCAACGCCATCGAGTAGGCGGACACCGCGTGAGCGATCGGAGCCAATTTGGCGGCTTCGGTCAGGGCCGGCATGCCGATCGGAGTCTCCGATGTCCCGTCCGGTGCCAGCTGCGGACCGTCCTGGTGAACCACGAGATCCTGCAAACGACGAGAGGTAAACGTCCGTGCGCGCAGGCAATGGCTTCCGTCTGTTTACCTGCATCAGCGCCAGAACCTCCTCGGGAGCTTTCGGCTGCGAGAGAAATCCCGAGGGACTGGTCCACGCCGTGCTGCCTCCATCGGCGGCCCTTTCGACAGCCTCCTCGAGCCGCGAAATGACCTGTGACGTCTGGAACTCCAGCTCGGCCACCTCGTTTTCCGCGGTCCTTCCTTCGGCATCGACCTGTCAAAACCGTCGGGAAATCGGCCATAACTTCGCGCCGACGTTCGCTGATTCCACGAGACTCGGGCCCGACCTCGAAACCCTTGACCACTAACCTCCAAGACATTCTGCGCCACGATCTCCATGGTCCCTCCTTCGGTCGCGCCTACCCCCTCGGCCTTCGTGGCAGTTCCGGTGGTTCCGGCGTTCCGGCAACCTCGGCCACCGTCGAGGCAGAGACGAGTCGGGAGATCGCGCACGGGTAGGAATGCGCGATCGCGCTCCAGTGCTGCCCTCGGCGGAAAATGCGGACGGCACGGGCACTCGCAACGGCGCGCGAAACGATCCCTTCCTTCGAAGATTTAAACCTGAGACGAGTTGGATGATTGCTCCTAGTAAACTCATATTTAATTAAATCTCGCCACTTCGATCGGGAAACGGAAAATAATCCGTGGTAGAGGTCCGCCGAATTCGCATCGCGCGTAATCGATTTCTTATACGTATATATATATTTTTTTTACGGGTTTTTTTTATTTCCAAGAAAATCGTATATTTATTTTTTTTGCGCGGACATTAGAATATTACGTTATACAGTCTTTAAACTTTGCTTCTTATACGATTACTGCATAGTCGGTTATACTTAAGAGAATAGGAAGCGTTTTGTAATACTAACGAGCGTGTACCGAACGGTATGGAATATAAGAATTCCTTGTCGTCGATGCGCCAAGAAAGTAAAATAATAGTGTCAATTTTACCGAGACGTTCGTTTTTCATCTAAACGTAAGTAGCAGCAAAGCACCTAACGCTACGATAACGAACTCATATAATACATATAACATCTAATTCGAGTTTAAACACTCTTCTACGTGTACCTGCAAAGGCTCGACGGTCAAAAAAGAGGTACAGCATACAGGACAAACAAACGGCGACGCAGTAAGATTGTCCTTGGAAACCTGAAAAACAATCGTTGAAAGTTCCTCTGCAATTGCCTCCGAGAATTTAATGTTAAAATAATGAATTTCGATACCTGAGACTGACTGTTTTCTTCATGAGAAGTTGGTTCCGTCGAGTTAAACGTTCCCCTGACCGCTGTCTCCAATAATTGATTGCGCTGCTGTAATCCATTAATGTGTTGCAACAAAGTTTCCTTCTCTTGTAACAAAGCCTGCCGGGCTTCGCGTTCTTCTTTAAAATCGTTTTCGAATACGTCTAGTTGCATCTTCAGAGGATACATTTTTTCAATCTGTCGTTAGAAAATGGAATTAAATGGATACAGTGATTTTAGTTAACAGTAGAGACGCTTTACAGTAATTATCTTAAGGTAAGAAACGTTTTCTCACTCACCTCTTTTTTGAAAGTATTAATTTCCATCTTTAAATCATCTAGTTCTTGCTCTTTCGATGCGAGTTTTGTGTTCAAATTGTCCACCTGTTGAATCAGTTCTTCGTTGTTGGATTGTAAGACCTTCTTTTCGCAAAGTAATGATTTTTTCTGTGCTTCATACAACAAGTGCTGTTGATTGAGTAACATCCTCTCTTGGCTCAGCAGAGACTGCTCCGATTGCAGTTCCTCCACTTTGGCGTTTAGACTTTGGCGCTGCACCACTAAACTCTCTCGTTCTTCGTCGAGTGTTTTCCTCTTCTCCTCGAGATTTCGCTTTTCCAATTCGAGCAATTTCTTCTTCTCCTCGATGCATTTCTGAGCATTCGTGGCATCTTCCAATGTTTCGTGGGTCTTCGCTGTCTGGTTTTGTAATGTGCAAAACTTAGCGTGCTCCTCGTTCATTGTTTCTAATTCATAAAAACTAGAATCATAGTCCGAGAAGATCTGGATTTCATCCAGTACCTTTATCAATTCTTGCCTGTGGCTGATAATCCTCAGTTGCTCGTCCATTAATTTTGATCTGCATTTTAATAACTTACTGGCATAAAACTGTATCTCCTTCGGAGGCATGACATGACTTTCCGTGGTGGCTTGAACCAAAATCTTCGAATCATCAAAAACGTTCAATATATCGGAACATTCTTGCAAACAGTCCTGAATCGAAGTACACTGTCTGCTATGATTTGCATAACAATTTACCAATGACGTCAACGTATTGTAGTGGTGTTTAACGTTTTGGGAAATTTTTGCACAAGTGGGATTAGCCGTATGATTTTCCAATAGGTCGGTAGCAATTGGCACAGGAGTGGATACCTGTAATACAGAGCGGAAAAAATAAAGAAAATTCCGGATTAGTAAATCAGCACCAGTGGGAACAACTTACGTTTTGCAGCCCAAATTGTAGTTCTTCGTTCAGTGATGCGACAAGTTGCCTTTGGTAGCGGACATCGTTTTGCTTCCAATTTTGCTCATCTATACATCTTTGAGACTTGGAATCATCGTTGACTAGGGATGGCTGATTCAGTAAACTAAAATCATTCGAGCTACTGCACGGCTCTCCTGTCACATTTTCTTTTGGAACCTGAACATTTGTTTTTAAGTTTTTGTCTTCATAATTTAAATCCAATTTCTTAAGCAATTTATCAGGGGATAATGGCTGCTGCTGCAATTCTTTCAGGGATTGGGTGGGAGCAGTTGTCCAATGAACATCATCTTGCTTCAAAGGTGCCATACAATTTTTTAGTTCTTTTATCTATAATTATAGAATGTTCTTTTAAATAGACACAAAACATTCAGACATGCAATGGTAGAAGAATACATTAAACATTATTTTCTTATTTACCAGAGGAGTCGGAGACTGGCATTTCATACTGTATTCTGCAAGTTTAGCTTTTAATTCGGTATTCTCGGATTTTAGCTGATTTATGAATTCTCTTGTCTCAGAGAATTTCTGCTTATGAGACTGATGAACCTTTATCACTTCCTCGTGCCAAGCCGCTAACGTATTAAATTGTTGTTTCATAGCTAAATTGTTCTGTGACAATGTTTCTTTTAATTTTGCATTTGCTTGTAGTAATTCTGACAGTTTAGCCTCAATTTCGCTTGGATTTAAAGTTGCGATTAAAAAATTACATTCCTAACAAAAGAAGCATTATTGAAATCTGTAGTCGCATAGTTGATATCGCAGATAATTAAACACATACTTCGTTTATACTTTGATCTTGAAAATGAGAACTAGGCTTCGTCAATTCGTTACCCGTATCTGAAAAACTGTTGACTAAGACTACAAATGATTCAGTATCATTTGTATCAGTTGATGTCGGACCGCTTTGCACAGAAAAATTGCAACTGACTATTTCTCCATCCGGTTCCAGTTGAAATCTTGGACATCCATTATTCATAACGAATCCAAGACTTTGAAGATGTTCTTGTGACGTGACACCCAGACTCAGACTTGTTTCCAAAAGACCGGAATGCTGGTTAAATTCCTTGCTCGACGGGTTACTCATGATGTATACAATTGTGATACCGTGTAACTCCAACTATCACTGACCAAAGACTGAAAAAAAGTACCGAATACACATCGATGCGCTGGTTATCTTCCTCGAGCAAAGTCCCATGTATACACCAACGAACATCTCAGATAAAGGGTACAAGGATATTAAAATTGCATCCGTCATTTAGACATTATAAGAATGCTTTCAGGGTGACAATTGCCTCCATATCAAGAATACGTCATCTTAATAAACACCAAGAAATACTATTTCAATGCACGGGAATGATTTCAATTTTTTTTCTTGCATATCAGACTCACCATTAGCCCCTTATTAACATTTGACGAAGCTGAGGATTCAATTAACTGCAATTTAGTTTACTTGCACTTTCATACAAAGTACTCGATCTACTCGATTGCGGTGATGTGGTAAATCTGGGTAAATCGTAGATTCGAGAAACGAAAGATCAGAAAGGAAAAGAGACTGAAGAGAAGAAAATTGCGTCTAATACCGTTTCCATTATTTATACATTGACGCCGTTTAAACGATTGCCGCGAGCACGGTCGATCCGATAAATACATACATAACCTTGTAGTGGAAGAGATTCGATGCGTTGCCGCTAGGCGATCTGCTTTCACGGCTGTAAAATATATAAACCATGGTCGTTCTATGCAAATGTTGCAATTCTCTGGCTAAAACTGAAAGTAGCCGAAAATAAACGTGCGGTAGAACAGCTTTAAAATTTTGGAAAATTTGTAACCTTAATCTTTACGACAGAAAATGATGAATTCAACGCGTCTTGTTCTTGTGAACAGATTTATTCAATTACGCCAATTTCATAAATGGTAATTTACTTCTATTATATTAGTATCCGCGATTATCATTTATACATAACCTCACGTGCTTCCAGCTTATTTTTTTTTACTCCTACGTGCTTTGAAACAACGTTACGATATTCCATTGAAATTCTATACTTTGAAGCACAACCTTTTTGAATATCACATGTTCTCAAGCAGGACCTAACGTAATTTAAACAATTACAAAATACCATTTATATCAAAAGTGTAAAAAAATGCATTCAATTTGATATTTTAGCGTTATTTACTCGCAAACGGAGACTGCAGCTGCTCCCATAGATGCCATATCAGTACCAATACCAGAGGGTGTAGAGAAGCCGGTATCGGCAAAAATTGACAAAATTGCTAAAGATATTACTGCTTTGAACCTCATCGAAGTAGCAGAACTGAGTGATCTGCTGAAGAAACGGCTGAATCTTCCGGATGCTCCTATCATGCCTATGGGAGGCTTTGCTATGCCTACAGCAGTAACTGTATGTTTTTTACCTTATAGTTTGATGAAATCATAAAATATAGTAGAGTTACGGTTGGACCGATGTAACCTAATTTAATGCATTTACAGGACGAAGAAGAGGCAGCTCCGGTTAAACAAGTAAAGTCATCATTTACGGTTAAGCTTACAAAGTTTGACGACAAGCAGAAAGTAGCTTTGATTAAAGAAATTAAAAATCTTTTACCTGGAATGAATTTAGTTCAGGTAAATTTTATCGAGTAATCTAATACTTGTTCGTTAAATAGTGCCTAGTAGTAATTTGAATTTGAAATCTTTATAGGCTAAGAAATTTGTCGAGTCTGCACCGACGATCGTTAAAGCGGACGTGGCTAAGGACGAAGCAGAGAAATTGAAGGAAGCCCTTACTAATGTTGGTGCCGTGGTGGATATCGAATAAGCGATAATTTACATATAATGTACTTATAGTCCGTTCCATCGTGTCCTGCATTTAAAATAGAAAAGTAAATAATCTAGGTAGTTTATTAATACGTTATGCATTTATTTGCAATATTACACTCCTTTCAGGAATGCGTTAGGCTATGTTGAAATTTCCTCGAGAACGACGAGGACGGCAATGGTGGTTAAAGTGATAATTTTTTTGGTACTCCAAAGTCGAGGAGTGACGTCCAACACTAAATGTGATTTACATTATTCAAGGCACCATTCCCTTTTTTTATGAGTTCACGGTATCGTTTAAACTACCCGTGCAAAACCCTGGTACTGTCATGGTCAAGTTGTTCTTATCGAAGTAAAATTGAGCTCAAGAGACAGAAAGTTGATGATACAAAAAATAGGTAGCTCGAGTATCACCGATTTGGTAGTTTCGTTGATCCAGTTGCAACGCGTAGCAACTCCGAAGGGATAATTAACGCGTTCTCGTAAACGGTTAACACCTTCGGACAAAACGGACGATTAACACCTTGGGTCAGGTGAACTTTTTTGCGTTCCAAGCTTTTCCATCGTAGCCAGTGGGTGGGAAAAAAAAAAAAAAAAATGTAAGATAGCTAACGAACAATTAAGGAAATTAATCCTGGCATTTAATCGACTACGTTTATATTCCAGTTGGACGTTGCCAGTCCTCGTCGGTTAATTCGGATACTTTATCGCGAAGCTTTTCGGATCGTGAAAATTTGGACGGCCAGGTAAAGCCTTGGAAAAACTAAATAACAATGTGATTTTCGAGTGCGCCAATCGGTTAGGTCAGTTATCACCTGTAGTTTAACGTCATTGAACGATTAGCGTGCTCTCCTTTGACGTCACGGTGCATCGTATAAATACCGGATCGACCGAATCTTTGGGAGAGTCTTCTGTAACGACTGCCTCAGGATATACCCTTTCCTCGAAACTACTTCGTCTCTCGATACGTGCGGAAAGCTGGAAAAATGGTGAGTTGAAAGAAATCCTATCGCATGAAAGAAAAACAAAGAAAAACGTGGATTAACGGATATTCGCCAGTTCTTGAAGCATTCCTCGAGGCTATTTCCACTAATGCTATTATCGCGATTTTAGGAATTCATGGGGATTCTCTTCCTGACCGTCTGCTCGACGACGCTTGGCTTGGCCCTGCCGATCTCTTCCCCCGCGTCCCAAGAATCCTCCGTCGACTTCGCGTCGGACGTTTCTTCTCGGGAAGAGCGGGAGTCCGATGTCCTGCCAACGGAGAAGATATCCCTGTTGATGCTGATCGAGCCGGAGGAACCTACCGACTCCGCCCTGGACAGACTAATGATTTTCATCCCGGATTTCGAAATCGCTCCCGACGCGCCCATCGAAGACTTGGAGAAACGCAGCGCCGAAGGAAAGGACGACGACGACCTCGAGACGGCGGCCGGGACAAACGTTCTTCGACCGCTCTTCGTGTATCGGCAACAAGTCGCGTATCGGCAGAGACTAAGGAACGGACTAAGTCGCGGGAATCGGTTTTGAGAGAGGCCTCCGAAAGTCTCCAAACGAGACGAATTTCTCGAAACGGCGACGCCTCGTCGTCGTCGAGCGCTCTCTTGCCGATTTCATCTTTACCGAGGTAGTAATTAAGGGAATTAGACGTAAGAAAGCCAGGCTGCCCACCAAAGCGAGTAACGACGAACCCGCTACTCCGAGGATCCGGTATAAAGTTCCTACCGAGAAGGGTCGACCGATCGTTTCCGACTCCCCCGGGAATTCTAATGTACCGAGTGCGTAATCTCTCGGGAATCCGGGAGAATAAATATCGCTCCGTAACGTCGTCGTTCTCATTTGCGTCGTTCCGGTCTCCATCCGAGAGCCGAGTCGCGAGACGGTCAACCTCGAGGAATATTTAACGAAGGCTTCCTCGATCGCTGGTGCGCGTGACGGGGCGTTTAGCACTCGACCGAGTCACCCGCGACCGTTCTCGAGGGTGGGACGACGGATTCCTTAGCGATTGAAATCGACTCGTCCCCGGGCCTAAAACGCGGCTCTCGTTCCTTTCGTATTTCGGGCGGTGACGAGCCAATTCGTATCGAGCTTCGCGATCGGTTAACGCATTATGTATGCCGTATAACGGACTCGCGAGAATTCCTTATTGCATCACCGGAAGCCGGTTTTTAACTAGGACGGACCGACGTCGTTCTCGAGACGGAGCGGACGAAGGATTCTCTCGAGGAGAAAGAAGGAGAAAAGGACGACGATCCCGAAGAGACCGAGGCGTCCTTGCGATTCGTCGTGACATCGCCGAGGCACCGCCGAGCGAGTTCGGGTGAATCACCTTCCTTCTCTTCGGAGAAAAAGATCGTCGCGTTCTCGGTTCGCGCTGGGTGGTGCGATTTGCATGCCCGACTCAACGGAGATCGAGGAATATAAAAGCGCATACTTCGAGCGGACGCTTCTCAGATATTCCGAGGACGTCCCGAGTACTCGATCGATACATCTCGTGGGAATCTAGCGCCTAGTCAGACTCGATCGCCGTCCGAGGAGCCGCCGGGATAATGGTGAGAATGCGTTACAGTTCTTTTCTAAAATCTAATCTAAAATCTATGACCTAAACCGTCGATCGTCTTCAGGGTAAGGTCGTCGCATGGGGCATCCTGGTTCTGGTCGTCGGCGTGTCGGCGGCCCTCCGAGAGGACCTTCCCTCGGAGAGGGCGAGACAGGTCCCGAGCCCCAGGGTCCGGGCTCTTGATTCCTCCTCGGAGAGGATCACCGTTCGCCGGAATCAGGACGGAGCCCACCCCGAGAGGGCATCCGGTCCGGACGGCAAGGTCGAGAACGTTGTACTGGAGAACTCGATGCCCGGAATCACCGCCTACGGATTGCCGAAGAGACGATTGCAAACTAACGGCGTCATCCAGAGAACGCGTCTTCGAGGCTCTCCCTTGCGTTCCACGGAAGAGCTCCTTCCGGTCGGGACGAGGAGCGTCAGGTCCATTCGTGACTCGGTCGATCTTCGGGCCGAAGAGGCCAAGGTCTTCAGGCCGCTCTTCGTCTATAGGCAACAAGTCGCCGATCGGCACAGAGTGGGTCGCGGGAAAAAACCGATTTACGGGGCCAAAAGACCCGCACCGTGTCCTCGTCCACGCTTCTGGTCCACGTATAGAGTTTAACCGGAGAAGCATCCAACGACGAGGTCGTGCCAAACGAACGTATTTCGGAGAATCAAGTGATTTCTCGCTCTTGCCAGAAAGTATTATTTACGGGAATAGACTGTCCCAATCGTTTTTCTAACGTCTTGTATTTTTTTATTAAACTCCCCAGGTTGAACGAGAGTAACCGTAGATCAATTGCCCAAACTCGTTAGGAATAATGTATGCAACAAGAAGTTGTTATTAAAATCAAATGTAAATACAATACGACCGGTTCGATTGTCATCGTATTTAAATCTCCCGTGTAGCGAAGGCGCACCAATGGCAACGTCGTTCGCCCCGTTCGTGTCGTTCGAGCCACTGGTCGGTGCATACGTCGCTATCATCGTTGGTCGGAGACAGTCGGACAATTATCGGGCTCGTACAAGCTCGTGGTAGCAGATTAATTGATCTAAAGGAACGGAAACTTTTCTTCCATGTCCACATGTCCGTCAAGATATTTGTTTTCTGAACTATTAATAATTATTTCTAATTGATTTAACGGTGAGTATTACCGTCGCTGCGATAACTTAACCTTCAAATTTCCCTTCACCATCAAAACTCATCGGCAGGAAGTTATAGTGCGGGTCTAAAGGTATACGGCTCGTTCCGTAATGCCCACCTCGGGGACAATTTGTAAATAACTATGTAAAAGAAACGGTACGAATCTGTATTAAGATTTTGGTGTATTTGACTAACCGATGCTATTCGACAGATGAATCGTCGGTTGCTCATTGCTTTCGACTTTGATAACACAATTGCGGATGACAATACCGACTGTGTTATTCGCAAACTATTGCCAGACGAGAAGTACACGGAGTCGGTTAAGAGTATGTACCTCTCCACTGGATGGACCGCCTACATGGGAAAGATTTGCGAGTTGTTGCACGAAAATGGAATAACGGCGAAGCAGATTATAGATGCAGTGGAAAATATACCTGCAGCACCTGGAATGGATGAGCTGTTAAATCAACTATATTCCTCCGATTGCGAGACCATCGTTATCAGCGATGCTAATTCACTCTCCATAAACCATTGGTTAAGGTGTAAAAAGTTGGATCACACGATAGCTCGGGTCTTCACCAATCCAGCCAGATTTGACGGCGAGGGAGTGCTGAAAATTGAGATGTATCATAAACAAGACTGGTGTAAATTAAGTAGCGTGAATCTGTGTAAAGGTTATATTTTAGAGGATTATATACAACGACGAAAAGACGAGGGAGTAGAATTCGAGAAAATTGCTTATGTCGGGGATGGGCGAAATGATTTCTGCCCGGTCTTAAAACTTTCAGAGAATGACTTAGCATTCCCAAGGAATGATTTTCCATTGCAAAAAATTTTGAACAATCCTAGTGCCGATAAAAGCAAAAGTGTTAGTGCTAAGATTGTATCTTGGAGCGACGGCATGGATATATGGAAAGAACTGAATGAAACGATTATTGATTTAAAGAATAGAAAGTGACTTGGCGTAGCCTGCTAAGCATCGTTACTTAAAATGTTCAATTACTTGTAAGAACATGATTGCAGTCAAGTATTCCATATTTCCGAAACTTATAGCATACTACAAAGACTATTTATTGAATCGATATAACTACATGGTACAATTTACACAAGGCTGAAGAATAAGTGTATGCATTTTTTTTATCTATATATTTGTAAATTTATTAGTAACTGTCAGTTACGTAAACTTACCCAACACTTTGATATGCAAACATATTATCCGTGTCAGTTTATTCCTTTGGTAAATTGACATGATGCTTAATTGTTTCCAAAACCTTTCGATACAAGAACGATTGCCTGTTAAAAAGGAGTAATTATTAATGATAAACATTCTTTTATATCATAACACTCCCAATTTATATAGTGCATACCAACATGACTATAAAATGTATCTCCTTAAATTAATAATATAGAATCAGAAATGAATAATACCTGTTTGCCGGTTTGCATATGGACAAATGATTCTGGGGAATTTCATAAAACTCTCCAACTCCAGGATCTAAATGGTACAGTTATCGACAATAAATTTGCGTATGATTAGACATTAATTACTAACTTTTACAGACAAATGTCATAGTTTTTATAGTATCATTAAGGGAAATCTACCTGCAGAGTGAGAAGTGACAAATTGAATCGGAAATCTTAGAGCTGTCACAAGCGTGGACTTTGTTTCACAAAAACTAATGATATCCATAGAATACTGTTTCAACATCCTGACGAATTCTTGGTTCAACTGTAAAAGAGCTGGGGATTCTGGAAGAAAATAACGTCTGTGGTAAAACCTAAATAAGTGTCAACCCAAAACGGGTACCCTCTCCCGTTCCATAAATAATTATTTAACGATTTACCTTCCCAAAGTTCTTGCACTTCTAAAGAAGGCCATACTAGCATTTGAGTAGTCATCAGAGTCGGCACATGAGAACCTCGATGGGGAGTACTATAAAATATGATACTTCGCGTATTCTGACAAAGTTTGTGTTTATCCCCATTTTTCCATTCTATAAAGAAAAATCACAATTTCTACCTGAGATACCAAGAGACCTTATAATGCGAAAACCGGTGAATTGTATTATATTATCACTTTTCACTGTACGAACCTTCAAGTAACATTTTTTTAACGAGTAGTCCACCCATCGAATGACATACCCACACAATTGGCCGTTTTCCAACACCAGTCATGATTAGCTTTTGAATAAATTCTTCACTTCTTTCGCTAATAGTATTTCTAAAACATCACCATTACAAAGTGAATGTGAAATGTGTTTTCTCAATAATTAGGGAAATAAATTATGTGTTACAATTTTGATATCATACTTTGAACCTTCTGTAGGACAAAGTGGCGTCCACATGGATAAATTTGTGTCATAATTTATACCTAGTATGCGCAGGTACGGTACGTCTTTTCCTAACCAATCTCGTGGCCAACATTGTGTTCTTTTCGACGAATCTTTTTCTTCGTGCTCCAGATAAATGTCGTTGCTAAAACAGCCGTGAACTATATACTGTACATAACGAATATATTGGGTGTTGGATTTAATTCATCGATTGGAATACCTTGAACTTCTGGGATCAATGACAAGCATCAAGACATAATTTGTAATAATTGTGACAAATATTACTTTACAATAATATTTTTACCCTGAACACGTAAATGGCCCACGTGCCTCGGAATTAGAAGCTTCGGGACAGTCATGCAACACCACTTCAAAGTCATGCCCCAATTGTTTCCACTCGTGCATCCTCAAATCACGAGATAAATCTAACAGAAACTCTTGTGGATGATTCCCAGGGAAGAGAGCAGAATCTGATCCGTGACTCGATGAAAAAGTATCTAAAGAAAGTATCACAACAAATTGTGTGCAATTCCTTTTCTTTTCTTTAATGAAATTCTCCCATGTTGACTCGGTAAAACTTGCAATTTATCGGGAACACACCCATTAATCCCCGTTTCGATGCATCAAGATCTCGTTGTCTCCACGTGATGAAAACTCCGCCCAAAAGGCCGTGCACAAAAATGACATCTAATTTCTTTGACATTTCATCTCTGTACAATGGATGCAGTAGATATATGCGTGTTGGATACTTTTCATTGTGGTCGTCTTCGGCATCTAAATTGGCTAGTGCTCGTGCAGCTGTTGCCGAGAGACGTACATCCTCGTGATGGGACCATACTGCTAATACACCGATCCATCCTAATAATGGATATAGAAGATGCATCAAAAGTAAAAATTCTCTGAATTTTCTTCGTGCATCTTACCGGATCTAAAAATGTCATCCAAATATTCAGAGTGGATAGATATATTTGAGAGGACCTCTGCAAGTAATACAGATATATCAAGATCAGCCGGAAATAATTTCTGCACGTCCATTAATACCGAAAGTCCCTTCGCATCGATGATATCTGAAAAATAGCAACCACTTATTTCTGCAGAAAATTGAATAAAAATTAATTAAAGAGTTCAAAAAATAAAGGTGAACCACATATGTTAGATTTAATTTTCGAGTTACCTCTAACATGACATGCAAATGTAGAATGATGATAGATGGCTTGAATGCAATTTTGAAACAAATTTTGATCCCATACAACAGACCGTGCCATCGTCATTCCTGTTATCACTAAGTCATAATCTTGAAATAAACTCTCCTAAAATATACAAAACATACCGTAACCACTATATTTCCTTTGGAACGTATACTCTTAATTTAAATCAAATCTCCAAACGAAACACTGTAATTGCTGCTTAGATATCATTAAATTATCCAATTGTCTGATGATATACATACTTGTTGATAGTTACATAGTCTCTTATCTATGAATTCTGAAAGACATTTGTGACACCCGTTACATGATTTGTTCAAATTGATCAACATGGAACATAGTCTCTTTCTTACATCCTGTAAATAATATATTTGTCAAATGAGGCACAAAATAATTTTTACATGAAATAATGAAGGTCAACCCCTACATCCAATTTTAGTCGTACGTGATCGTAAGGTGGTTTAAGGAAAAATCTTGGCTCTAGATTGGGCATCCTAGCAAGTATAATTGCAGTTTTAGCATTTAACATTTGAGCCATATGTCTGTAGTCCCAGTCTAAAATGTAATTTATCTCGTCATTAATCATTGACGAGCTATTGATAAATTTACTTCTTCGAAGACACAATTATTACAAACCATTCAAGTGACTGCTTCGGCTAAGAGAACATAGCGCTTTCCATCTGTCGCTTTTGCTTCCTGTCTGGGCAACATGCAGGAGTTTATAGGCCCAGTTTCGATGAAAAGAACTCCAGTTTGTTTTTAAATAACTATATGTGCTAGGTCTACTTTCTTTCACAAATTCCTCCAGATTTAATTTATTCTCCCAGAAGACAACATCTGCAAATTATGTGTTGCAAAGATCTTTGATTTATTTGCACCTAAACAAGTTCAATTGGTGACTGGCTCAATTCGCAAACAGCGTCCTCTTATACAGTCCTACCTTCAAACCGAGAATCGTCCAGATAAATATATTGCGTTAAACCCTGTTCAAGTTGTAGTACATTGGTGTTTACTGCAGATTGTAGAATCTGTGAAATACGGCGTATCTGATACAAAACCCAACAGCTCCTGTGAAAGAATATTCATTTGGTATTCTGCTTTCGAGAATAAAACAAATTAACCCAATATGGTTAGATGGGCGTAACATACCCTGCGAAAGTAATACAGCTGCCAATTGAATTTATGTACCATAAGCTCCTTTGTGAAACTCGAATTTGCATTGTAAATTGACTCCGACAAACATGACAATTGGGATGATAATTACAAATATTGAGTGATAAGAGTTTAAAACTGTAGCGGGATCTGTACAGCAGTTCGATGATTATCGATATCGCCATCCGATTGTAAGATATCGATAGCTCTCGAATAGGGGGTCTATTACGTAAAGCAATTGAGCGAGCTACTCATTTTTCACATTTTCGCTCAATTTGCTTTACGTAATAGATCCCCTGTGCTGCCCTCGGTGGAGCATACAGTCGGCGATCTCTGCACAGAATGCCGATATTGTCGCGAATTGCATCCAAACGAGTATCCTTCTTGCTCCCAAGGGAGCAGCACCTTGAATACCTACAATTAGTAAGTACATATGTGCAGTGGATACTACCGTCATCCCTTTAATATGTGTTTCATCGATGTGCCTCGCCGCGGCTCCACCGTCGCGGACCGCGTGGACGTTTTGGCCGCTGCGCGGCGAAATAGCGCCTCCGGATTGGTCGGTCAACTCCCGCCATGACGGATGCGCTTATCGCGCTCACGCTGTGCGCTGCCAGCCGGTACGGCGCCGCACTCGCGGGCAAAGTGGCGTCGGGTTCGCGCCTCGAGAACTTGTTTCCAATTTTGTTTACAACGGCCGTTCTCGAAACCGCGAGTTAAGGGGCATTATATGTTGACGGACTCTCGTCACGCGAACGAGCGGGTCGGTTAAGCCACGAGCTAAGCGGAAATTGTTCGGAGAAAGGGTCGAGAAGCCGCGGGTATGCGAAGGCTCAGCATGAAAGGTAAGCGCAGAAAGTCCGAGAGTTCGAGTGATGGCGACTCTGAGGAAAATGGCGTCGGCTCGGGTGTCGCGCGCGGATCGGATCGGGACGTGACCAGCCCCGAGAACGACGCCGCCTCCGCCCCTGCCCCCACTCCGGTTTCCGCGCCTGCCGTCGAGACCGCGAAAAAACCCGCGAAAAAGCGAAACTCCCGCGCCAGGGGCAAACAACACGAAGACAAGCTCAACGAGTCGAACGGGGGTGAGGAGCAGCAGCAACGGAACTCGAATATCTCTGACGAGCAGGAGAACGGCAAACTGGCCGCGACCCCGGCACCCGGCAAGCGCCGCAAAAAGGACGAGCAGAAGGCTTCCACCTCTCAAAACAAAGTCACCAACGAGGAGGAGTATGAGGTACGTTGCCGCCTTTGCTGAAATTCGCTTCATTTTCGATTCAGGGCGGCACGCTGTCGCCGGGGAAAGCGTTTCCCCGAAATCAGCCATATTCGTGCAAATTTACCTAGTTTCCGTTGAGATCTAGAGCAGGTTATCTATTTTCAAACGAGGAGCCTCTTTGTTTCTTTTGCATTTAACGTAAATCTGTGAGATGCTACGGTGGCAAAGCAGCATCTAAAAATGTACTTTATGTTCTGCTGTTGAATCGTTCGTTTGCTTAAGGTAGAAAAGGTGGTGGCATACCGTACGATTAAGGGAAGGCGTCAGTTCCTAGTACGGTGGAAGAATTATGGCGAGGAGGCGGACACTTGGGAGCAGGAGAAAGACCTTAATTGTCCCGAGCTCATAGAAGAATTTTTGTCCCAGAATGAGGAAACTAGTACTCCGGAGAAACCCGTTAAGACTGCGAAAGCTAAGCAACAACACCAGCAGCAGCGTAAGACCGAAAAGCCCAAAAAGTCGAAGATTGTTTCAAAAAAAGGTTTGTACATGTGTGTTGTGTTTAACGATATACATTTTTTTGTTGTTATCGCTGCTTATAATCGATTTGTGCAATTTGTAGACTTTAAAGAGGCCGAAGAAGAAGAAGACTCCGGAGACGAAAAGGGCAGCAAGGAATTCGAAGTTGAGAAAATCATCGAGGTGCATTTTAAGAAGAATAAGTCCCGAGAGTTCCTCATTAGATGGAAAGGCTTTACATCTGCTGACGATACATGGGAACCGGAAGAACATCTGAACTGTCCTGAGTTAATAGCCAAGTTCATGGAGAAAGTAGAAAAGGCCAGAAAAGCTGATATCCGAGAACTCAGAACAAATCCTGCGCATACGAAACGCTATACATTGTCCACGCACGAGTCGGGGAGAAGACTGTCACGTCGCAACATTGACAAACAAAGGTGAGTACCGACCAACGATTCGACGTCAAAGTCAATTAATCGAAGGTGAATACAGGGTCTTTTAATTTCTTGGCAGGGTCATGTATCATGAGTGCGACGAATGAGCAGACATGAAATATCGGTTTAACCTTAAGGTCTTTACACCCATAAACTGTAGTTACATCTACCTATGAAAGCAAGAGAGATTGGGAGGGAGAAAGAGAGAGAGAGAGAGAATGTATCATGACGATAATTAGATACTGAATACAAGTTTATTCACTTTGTTAAGAATCCTATCGATAAGAATACAAGTTTAAGGGTAAGATAAGAAGAAAAAAATGTGCTGCGAGTTTCTCGAATGGCGATGGTAAAGTACATTCGTCGTGTAGATTTTTATTCACTTGGCTATGTTAACCTTAACATGGCTCTCGTGAGACGTGTAAAAGGGCGAGGGTTCTAGTTGCCTTAGAATTGCACTTGCAACCAGAAGTACCGCACGAAATGATTTTAAAGAGAATCGGTTTATAAAACGTTCTATGCGAGTGACTCCGTAGTAGCGTGGTATCAAGATTTTTTTCTTCTTTTCTTATTAATTTCTTGAAGATTTCAATGGAAAGTCAATAATAAATATTCGCCCTTTCTTTTCGCTTTCGCCTTCGCGACTTGTATCGCGACGCTCTAAAGTGCGAGTACAAGTCCCGGTGATGTATATTACGAGGTACCTTTTTTTTTTTTTTTATGTACATTGCCTACTATAGGATTGTGTAATTTTACGAGCCATCGTAATATGCAAGCGTATTACACGATCGTAAAGGTACTACTGAATGGGTGTAATAAAACATGTTTTCGTAATTTTCTAAAAATTTAAATTTATGCACAGAGATTATCGTTCGTTGTTAACACTTTATTTGGATTTACATAGTGGCCGTAACCCTTTCGCGGAATCGTGCATAAATCTCTGTGACATTACGCTAAATACTAGTGGTTAGAAACATAACAAGATGTGTCGCTATTCCACATGTTTACCTTCCTCGAATCTGAGAAGAATTTGTTAGATTTTTGAAGAAACCTTGTTACAGGAAGAGGCAGTGCTCTGCATAATCCTAAGTTTCGACAAGGAAGTTTACACAAGAGGCGTGCCTAATTTTGCAAGTAGATTGGTTTTATATTTATGTACGACATACATTTTGTTCCGTAGAAGCCGTTCTTTTTTCTAACGCTGCGTTTTCATTTTTATCCGATTCGCCGAATACGCTGTAATTCGAAGTCACTCGTCTTCCTTGCTTTGCACGCAACTTTGTAGTAATCGTTTTATCCGTGTAGACATTTAAGAGAAATAATTGCTGGTTTCTTTTTCTTTTTTGTTTTCCTTTAAAATTTATTTAGAAGCGGGGCGATGCCTTGCATTTATTTTCACATGTTATTCCTTTTTTTGGCATTGCGGTCGCAGTGGGCTCGAGCGTAAGAGCTAGTCGGAATAATGACTGTCGATAAGGAAGAAACCTGCCGGTGAAATCGTCTCGTAGAGTGTTTTCCGTCTTTGGTCCGCGACCGATGAGAAGCCTCACCGGACTCGCTCTGTGAGACGGTTCCACGGTAGGTTGCACGTCGAATGCTAACGCGTATTAACTAGATCCTTTATCGTTACGGAGGGTTACAGCCTAATTTGTAATTGGCTGTAAAACATAGGGTGGCCAAAGGAAATCCTTCTCGACCCTCGCGTTTATTTGCACGTCAGGATATATCGTAAATGACTCCCGTACAAGATGCACACGTACGTACCGGAGAGTCGTCCTGCCTTTAGTGTATGTGTACATATTGCATAAATATGTATCGTATGTAATGCTACGGTGTAATTTATAGTCGTAGAGACCGGACAGGAAAACTTACTATCGATTGTGCTCGATTGCGAGATAACGGTGTACGACGAGTTCTCCGTACTCTTGTACAAGTGCGAGAAAATCGACCGTTTAAATTTGGAAGGTGCTTTTATCATTTCCAAAGCAACGTGCAAGAATTCGTTTGATTTTCTCGAGGGTACGAAATCGAAAGAAATTTCTGGAAAATTGTTACGCTTTGGCGTCATCGGGAGACGTACATTATCTGCGCACTTGTACAAGCGTTGCGTATACTTTGTCCTGAACATTATATTGAGATGTGCATGCTATATCATTTTTGTATACAGTGAGAGCGACAGACGCCTGCGACCTACGGGCGAAAAATAAATTTAATAAAGGATTGAATTATAATTGTTTGGTAGTTTCGGTTATATTTGGCGTATAACGTCTTGGAGGCCCTAGATAATTTATGTCACGCTTCGTCATAATCTTTGGAAACGGTCGCGGACGTTCTCCGCAATTTTGACGATAGAATCTTGAGTTTGGAGGACTACGTGGGCGTGTAGCTCGAGTATCACGCGGGGACGACAGATGGCGAGACTAGTTCGAATAATTTGTTCATGGGCGCGGTCGACGATCTAATCGTTCGCGTACTTCGTGGCTACGGGCGAGACATCCAGAGACATGTCAAAATGGCGTCTTCTCAGGACGCCTGGTATCTCTCGCTTCTTGGCTTGGCGGAGAATTTCCGCACGTCTAGTCCTCCAAACATCAAATCGTGTATACAGTGCCTACAGGCAGTTTTCAACTTTAAACCGCCACCGAGAGTCGAGGCTCGCACGCATCTACAACTTGGAAATATCCTCTTGACTCACACGAAAAATGTCGACTTGGCTCGATCTCACCTGGAGCAGGCAGTCAGTTTTGTTTACGTTTCGCGGCTCTCTTTGACGAGCTCCGCGTTTATTTATTTCACTCACAAGTAACGTTAGTTCCGAAAGCGTTAACCCTTATCGTATAAACATTTTAGTGGAGACTCAGTGAAAACTTAAATACGTTTGACGATGTCAAGTTTGAAGCAGCTAGTGTCATCGTCGAGTTGTACGAACAACAACAGCAATCGAATCTCAGCATGCCCATTTTAAGACGAGCGATAGAATTATCTCAATCCAATGTCTATTGGCACTGCAGATTGATTTTTCAGCTTGCCGTGAGTACGACGATAATTGAAGTATTAACCCGTTTGGAAACACGCTTAATCAACCGATTGTATTTCTAGCAAATACACGCATCGGAGAAAGATTACGTGGCGGCGAGCAGTTTACTCGCGGTCGGTGTCGATTATTCGCATATAAGCAATGCCAACTACACGAGGGTTTTATTTTTACTGAGCCGTTGTATGCTCTTGCTAGTAGAGAAAAAGTACTCCGAGGTACACCCTTTACTCGGCACTGCCGGGCATCACGTCGAAAATTGGCAAGGTAGCGTGCATCAGAAGGAATATCTGAAGGTGTACTTCTTAGTTCTGCAAGTGTGTCATTTTCTCATGGTTGGCCAGGTAAGATTTTCCACCTTAAGAGAAAGGCAGGTTTCCATTACCTTGGTCTTTACTCGATTACGATTTAGTTCCTTGGTCGCGTTACCGCTGCATTTTGGCACAGGTGAAGAGTGTAAAACCTTACCTGAAGCAACTACAACAAAGCATACAGACGATAATGTCTCCAAATTGGCCAGCGGACGAAGTGGTAGCAGGTTCTAATTTTGGAGATATGTTCATATGGATGCCGAAAGAACATCTCTACGTTTTGGTATACCTGGTAACCGTTATGCACTCCATGCAAGCTGGTTACATGGAAAAGGCTCAAAAATACACCGACAAGGCTCTCACGCAGATTGAAAAGCTCAAAAGTACCTATTACTGTTCTTCAACCGTGTTCAATTATTTTAGTTCATCGATACATAACTTTGGGCTACTATCTTTTGCAGTTGTTGACAACAAACCGATACTTTCCGTCTTCAAATTGATGTTGCTAGAGCATATCGTAATGTGTCGGCTAGTTATGGGAAATAAGAGTTTGGCCCTTGCGGAAATATCCCAAGCATGTCAGTTATGCAGGAGGCAGCCAAGACTGCTGCAAGGTCACCGACCGCAATTACACGTCCTACTAGGCCTTTATGCCATGTCCATGAATTGCATGGAGGCTGCCGAATCTCAGTTCACTGCCGCATTAAAAGTAAGAATTACCCACGGAAAAAGTATTTCTTATCTGAATCTTTTTTTCTCGAATTAGACTTCCCAGGAACGAGAGCTCTGGACGTTCGCCAATTTGAATTTGGCGATAGTTTATCTTAGGACAAAAAGGGATGCAGAGTTGGGTGCTCTTTTGGAGAGGATAAATCCTGAATCGCTGACCTCTCATTCGCATTCTCTCCAAGCTGCCGCCTATTACGTTCAAGGGTTGCAGGCCTTCTTCGGTGCTCGATACAACGAAGCAAAGTAAATAATGGATTTTATATCGAAACCTCTTATACTCGCGGTCATTGCGATGAGACGATTTCTGATTAATTTCAGAAGGTACCTGAGGGAAACGTTAAAAATGGCCAACTCCGAAGATTTGGACAGACTGACGTCTTGCAGTTTGGTTCTACTCGGCCACATATTCCTCTCTCTCGGTAACAGCAGGGAATCCATGAATATGGTGACACCGGCCATGCAATTAGCTTCCAAGATACCGGACATGCACGTGCAACTGTGGGCCAGTGCGATACTTAAAGGTACAAAAAAAAATAATTTATGACACGCTGGCAACGATTCGAGTCTCCAATTTCTTTCAGACCTCTACAGGATATGTGGAGATCCCAATCGAGAGAGCGAAGCCTACCAGATGCACTGCAATTTCTCTCAGATGCTTCTCAAGGATCACTTCCAGAGTTCGCAGATGGCTGAGCACTCTCTTATTCAGTGGATAGATGGACCGATCCCTACCCTGCCCAGCAATCCACCACCGTCTACTTCTCAGGCTATTATGTAACCTGGTACAAAATTATTTTCCGTCTATCTGGACCAAACACGGAAACCTTTGCGGTCGATGTTGTCCTTCATCGAAGACGAAGGGCTCGCAGAATAAATCGAGGGCCTTGGTGGATTATCCAATCGAGGTATCGCCATCGACAGATATCGGGAGAATCTCTCTTGGTCAAATGCGAGGATTCCCAGGAGGAGCGTGAGGTTGCTTCCTTACAGTACGAAGCTTAGCGCGCCTCGGGGCATTACAGTGAACGGTACGGACAGGAGGTACTTGATTTTTCTTGTTCTTCAAAGCTCTTATCCTTGCGAGCTTTGAGCGGTATGTTTCGATTCATGGCTTGTACGACAAATACAAGTATAGATGTAAATAATTGCGAGGTAGTCACCGATGGATATATGGCTGGATTATTTTATACATCTTGGTAATAATAAGAGTGCATGGGAAATTCAAATTAAGAGATGTGCCTAAAAAATTGGTGGATCCTCGCAATAAATGCAGGTTTTGTAACAGGACAAACCGATGGCACTTGTAACGATAGGATTACAGTTTAACGAGGTATAGAGGAGCGTACGCTCTGTGGCAATTTGATATCCTCAAACAGTGATCGATGAGGAATTAAATTTAATTGTACATCGTAATTTCACGTTAAGCATCACGTGCGTTAGGGTAATTTTAAATAAAAATTATCAAAATCAGTCAGATGACGTCAAGGGTCGGTTTTCCATCAATAGAACGTATCGATGCACTGTAAAAAGATATAGTCACGTTGTAAGAAAAAACACTTAAAATATACTCTACATGAATATACTTTTTTACATCAACGGAGGACAAATTCTTAATCTCTGACTAGCAGAAACTGTCTTCCATGAATCTAAATTATAAGCCGGGGACTCGTTTAGTTAACGGCATTTAATGCTATTTAAATATACATTTATCTACTTTCGATACCACACTTGAGTCGTTTGCATACGCTTCACTTTCTTTTGTAGCTGTAAGATACCGTACAGCAGAGCTTCCGCTGTCGGGGGACAACCTGCGAGAGGCAAAAATCTTCAATTATTTTAAATTTCTTACAACACGTTAATACCCGTATAAGAAAGTGCTTTACCAGGTACGTAAATGTCCACGGGTATGATCCTGTCGCAACCACGGACAACGGAATAACTATAATGGTAATATCCACCTCCATTTGCACAACTACCCATCGATATCACCCATCTTGGGTCTGGCATCTGATCGTACACTTTTCTTAAGGCAGGTGCCATTTTATTTGTCAATGTGCCTGCTACGATAATGACATCTGCCTGCCTTGGAGAAGCTCGGAATACGACTCCGAATCGGTCCATGTCGTACCGAGGAGCGGCGATGTGCATCATTTCTACGGCACAGCAGGCCAGACCAAACGTCAAGGGCCATAATGAACCTTTACGACCCCAATTTAATAAATCGTCCATGCGGGCCAGGGCATACTCCACCTTGTTTGAGGTATTTTGAAAAGGACTGTATGGTTTGACCGACACTTTTTCCTCTGTTGCATAGCCTTTGATGTCAGTGAAACTACCATTAATGTTTTTGGTGGTATTACTTGGTACCAAAGGAAAGAAATTCCTCCGAAGACTTTCTGCAAGTCAACACCAAATAAATCTACGATTACCATGTGATAAATAACAGAATAAATCATTTTATATATCTTCAAAATGGCATTGCGAAAATGTTCAATACATATCGGAGCTCTTTCAATCTTGATTCGCTAAAGTAAAATTGGTAACATTCACAAATTGTTCGTCATGCGACATGCGACATACATAATTCGCAAATTATGTAATGAAAATGCGACGTTACTAAAAATCTATTTAAAAGAGATTCTTTTCGAGCTTTCGGTAGATTCAACGACATGGTTACGAAACTACCCATTATCAGGTTAGGAATGCAGTAACTCGCCGTAAGACTAAATAAGATAGGAGAAAGAAGACGTGAAAAACAAAAGAAAGGGCCATTTTTGAACGTCTTTCATGAAAACACAAAAATTATTAATAAACTCACGAGTACACAGAGCCGAACGCAACATGGTGCACCTCGACGCCGTACGTCGATGCAACCAAATGCTACCAAACGCGAACCACTCAGATCAGATGAGAGCAGTGACATTTAACCGTGAAATATATTTTGATAGCTACCCTCGCTCCAGAGATGAGTTGGGAGATTGCTCACTGGCAGGATCGTGCGATCGCTCCTGTGCTGCCCTCTGGTTTCGTACGTTAGCTTTCACCGTTAGCTTTCAGCTCGCGCACTTACGATGGCGGTACCATCTACTAGTCGCCGTTGGCGGCTCACCATTTTGACGATCATACGTCAAAAATGTCTAATACATAGTTGATTAAAAAATTTCCAAATTGATTATTAGAATTTGGGGATTTTAGGGTGATTAGGATTTTGTGATAATCGAGAATCCTCAATTACCGTGAAGCTGACTTACGAAACCAGAGGGCAGCACAGGATGCGATCGCGCGACCCTGCCCGTGAGCAATCTCCCAACTCATCTCTGCTTCGAAGAATAAACGTGATTTGTTTGGACTTAGTTATGCGCATGAATTGTCGTGAATACGCGTAATACAAAGTGAGACGATCATCCGAGTAATGAAGAGTTTTATATTAAATTATATAGTACAACAGTCGTAACCGCGTACGACCGTTGCTGGCCGTGGGAATATCGACAGCCACCAGGAAGGTGAAATACGAGCAAAGGAAGTTTGAGTTAAATTTTGCAGTAACCTGCGTCGCGTGCTAACCAAAACAATGTAATTATCGTTTTCAGGTGGCACGTTATTTGTAAACCCGGCACCACGGATCACGTAAAGATGGAAAACAGTGGAGAGAGCGGGGACGACGGAGGGCCCTTGGGCTCCACGAGTTTCCTAGGAGGCAGCGGAGTCTCGGCTTCTTATATCGGAGTGCAATCCGACGATCTGGATGGTATTAAATCGATATAGATAGTTGTACTTTAGGTATAATATGTATTTTGACACCCTACTTGGTCGATAAGAATTTAGAATATTTATTCGTGCGTAACATTAGAAGGGGGAATAGTAAATATATTAATATAGAATTATTTCAGAAACGTTGCATTCGGATGATCCAGAAAACACGGACGATTCCAATCATGGTACAGGAGATCCATTGCAAGGTGGCGGAGGTGGCGGCAGCAGCGGACCTCTCAGAGAGCAAGATCGCTTTTTGCCGATAGCGAACGTTGCCAAGATCATGAAGAGGGCCATACCGGAGGCAGGAAAAATAGCAAAGGACGCGAGGGAGTGTGTTCAGGAGTGCGTTTCGGAATTCATATCATTCATAACCTCAGAAGCTAGTGACAGGTGTCACATGGAGAAACGAAAGACGATCAACGGAGAGGACATATTGTTCGCCATGTCGACGTTAGGGTTTGATAATTACGTGGAACCTTTGAAGCTCTACCTCCAGAAATACCGCGAAGCGACCAAAGGTGACAACCCGACCGGACCTGGTGGCACCGCGACGGGTAATGGAAAGGTCGAAACTCAGGGAAGTATCTACGAGGATCAACTTTTTGCCATTACTGCCACAGGGAGCAGTGCCACCACTTCGGACACCCCGGTGATATACAGTTATTCCACGTCCGACCAAATGCAGTTTCAATTGTCTTGATCGAAAGTGGCATCACGGTGAACGAAAGATACGAAGGGTTGTTCGAAAGCACCCGGAGAAAATGTACAAGGAAAGAACGGGTTGCACCTTTCGTCGCCGAGAGAACTCGCTCGAGAAAGAGGTTTTCTTTTCCGCGTATCCTTATGTCGACCTCGTCCATGTCGCGTAGAAAGCTCTCGGACTGCGGTCGGGCAAGCGCGGGTGGACGAGGAGAGAATAAACCATACGTTCGGACCGAACTCGCTGCGCTCATTCTCGCAGAGTGCCCCACTCGCGATCACCTCCTCCGGACTCGGACTACGGGAAACGAGGGGCCCGTGGTTCGACGCCTCCTTAAAGAAGAAACTTCCGTTACGAAAGAGTCACCGAATCTTTATTAACCGAGAGCACGCTAAATGGAGAGAAAACGACGCTAGACTCTCCGAGACGGCGCGACGACGACGCGAGGACGACCGGAGCTGGGAGAGAGTTCTCGCCCCGGTGCGGGTCGGCAGGATGGCGACTTTCGCCTCCGACGAGCGTTCCGTAGAAAAAGGGTCGACCGTCTGGAGACCGTCACTCGGGCAGCTGGGCGGGCGAGAGGAGCAGCTCGTGCGCCCTGGTCGGCACCGCCGTTGCCGCCGACGTCATCGTCATCGCGGCCGCGGCGGCCCTTGGGGGCAGTCCGCGGACCGAGGGAAGCAGCGAGGCCGTCGGCGGGGGAGCCACGGGCGGCCTCACCTCCGGTTTGCGGTCCTTTCCGGCCTTCCTCGTGGAGGAGGAGGAGGAGGAGGAGGCCCCGGAGCGACGGTCCTTGCAGCGGCACAGGCAGATGCAGAGGAGCACCCGGAAGAGGCAGCAGAGGAGGCCGGCGCCCAGAAGGCAGGGTCCGACGAGTCTGAGCTCGGGACTCTGGAACCCCTTCTCCCCGGTGCCGACGAACGAGACGACGAGGCCGAGGGCGGTGGTGCCCAAGCCGGCGTAGAGGACGGTGTTGACCGCCGCGCTGACCTCGCCCCGACGTCGATCGACCAGGCCGCTGCCCTCCTCGTCGTCCTCCTCGTCGCCGCTGCTCCCGTAGCAGTAGCTCGCGTCCCGTATCTGAAAGCGTCGGGAGGTAGAGGAGGCGTCCGGGGCGCGCGGGGCGCGGGGAGATACGCACCCTGTTCCTCTTCATCCATCTCCGGTGCGCCTCGCACTGCTTGGTTTTGTAGCCCTCTCCTCGGGAGCCGCGGGGCGAGCCGGGCGACAGCGGGAGCGAGGACGGTCGGTTGCAGCCCTGCCATGCCGCCTTGCCGCCTCCGGGACCCTGGCCCCCGCACTGGAAAACCGTTGGACCGAGTGGTTCCTCCGGGTCCCTTCCGCCCCCTTTCGACGCGTCGAAAGGGCAGTGGGAGAGGAACGCCCCGGCCGGCGACCCGCGGAGGAGTCGGGGGGACCCGCGCTCCGGTCCGGCGCGGATACTCACCCCGTAGACGTAGGACCGCGGGGGATACCGTGGAAGCGGCGGAATGAGTCTGGTGGCCAAGTTGGACGGCAACTCCCGAAAGTTAACCACCTTACCCCCCCGTAAGCGCTGCTTCTCCCTTCTAATCAATAGAGCAGCCTGCATTCCGCTCATTCATTTGCCTGTATCATCGATCCTCGGTGAGTGCAAGTCGACGCACGCGGGCGACCCTCCGGTGGTCCAGGGCCTGCGGATCAGAGGCCGCGAGTTCCACTTGCGGCCGTCCCACTGTCGGGCCGGCCCGCGGGCGCCGCCTTCAGGCGGGGAGCGGCTGCGGGCGGCCGAGACCGATCGCGACGGAGAAACGCCACCGGACCGCCGAATCGCTTCGTCGGGGTTGCCCCGGTGCCGGGAGAGAGGTGCATCGGGGAGAGAAAGAGAGAGAAAGGACGTACCCACCTGACGCGACCTTTGGACCCTGGACCTCGAGGAGGAGCTACGCACCTGTGGGTCGGATCCGGTCGGCGAGAGCCGGAGGTCCAGGACCGAGGCGGGCGGGAACGCGAAATCCCGCGGCCCGCCCGGCGACTCGACCGAGAGGGGCGGCGGCGAGATCGGGAAGGAAACGGGGGAGGGCGGCGGCCTCCCGGACGGCCTCCCGGACGGCCCGGGGGGTCTGGGCGGCCGGCGCGGCCTCCGGGTCGGACCGCCGCGGAATCCGCTCGGCTGGCGCGTCGCCGCGACGCTTCTCGCCCTCGCCGCTGCCGCCGCCGCCGCCGCCGCGGTCGCCGCTCCCTGCTGCCGGCTCATCTGCAGCCGCTTCTGCTTCCGCCGGCTCGCGATGCTGGCACCGCCCGCCGCCGCGTACATGGTGACTCCGCTGGAGCGCCGCTAGTCCCCGGGCCCGCAACGGGCCGCTCCCGCGCTACGAGTTACCGTCCGGTATCCGCATGCTCCCGGCTCCGACGCTCTGGAAAGGCAAGAGAGGTGACGGTGCTCGCCCGGCTCGGGCGTCGCGTGCCGTGCGGGGACATCGGGGCGGGTGGCGTCCCGTTCGCGCCGCGTTCGCGCCGCACGGAGTCCCGATCGATCCTCGTCTCGGGTTCCTTCCCCGTTCCGAGCGTCCCTATCTTATCGCGCGACCCCCGAGGCAGGTGGGTCGAGAGGTTCTCGGGGGAGACCCGGATCGATGTCGAAACTCGATGCGGCCGTCAGCGGGACGACGGAGGGACCTCCACCCTGATCGGAGGAATTGCGCGAAACGAAGCAACGACTACGGGATTCGGGGGAGAAGGAAGCGACGCGGCTATCTGACGTTCGCATCGAGGACGGCTAAGCGTGCAAGTTCCGTCCGTTCGATCGCTTCAGCGGGAACGTGCACGCGGACGAGCGAAGCAGGCGGGTCTCGTTCGCGGTATCGAGCGATGAAAAACTGCCGCGGGGCAGGCGAGGGGTAGGCGTGGGGTGCGTGCCGACAAGGGGAGCGAAGCGACACGGTGAGTTTCGAGGACGGTCGCGGAGGAACGACGGAGGCGTCCTCTCGGATCGCCTCCTCCTCCGAGACGCCGAGACGTCCAAGGGTCGTCCAGTGGCAATTCTCGCTGGTCAACGTTCGTGGCGTTTTTCGGGAGAGACGGAGGCGTCGATCCCGACGCGGCCCGGACGCGGAAAGGTGGAGCACAGCGACAACGACAAGCCAGCCAGAGTTCGAGGGAACGACAACGAATCGCGCCAAACCACGCAAGGCAGCCACAACGTTAACGGATCGCCGTGATGGAACCCACGAGAGCCAGCTGGTCCTCTGGGGGGACTCCGGAGACCGCGCGGTCTCTCTCTCTCTCTTGGCGACTCGCACGGCACTCGCAGAACACTCGGTCCTCGACGACGCGGCCTCACCGCCGGGGCATGGCCTCAACGGAACTCCCACCGGAGCTCCCCACTCTCCGAGGGGGGCGCGTCGCCGAGACGCTCATCCTCGGCCGCTCGCCTCTCGTTTTCGCCTCGGCACGCGACCAGCCACCCGGGCGTCGAACGATCGACGACTGAGCCGGACTGAGCCGGACTGAGTCGGACGGAACTCTCCGAGCGCGCTCCCCACCCTCGCCCTCCCGCTGCGGACGCCTCCCCGTCGCGGCCCCTTTTCGAGTTCGTTCCCGGCCGAGGCCCAAGGGCGACCCTCTCGGTCGAGTTCCTCGATTCGCGGAATCGGGTTCCCGAGGGGACGGGGGTACAACGTACAATTGGACGAGGCAACCGTTGCCAGTCGATACTGGCTTCTCGGCCACCTTTAACCCTTCACCTTTCCTCCCGTCGCCGATATATGCTCCGCGTCGCAACGCGACGTCCCGCCGCTGCAAATCCCATTTTTCGTTTGGGACTCGTAAACCTACAAACGAGACATCTTTTTTTTTTCCCTAACTTTGCCGAGACGCGCCCGGAACGCTCGATTATGGAACGAACTTCAAGGCACGAGTTTCCCGACAATTTATATTTCACCAGCTTTGTCTCGTGAATTCGATTTTATTTTAGGATCACTTGTGTCGCCTCTTCCTTCCTCCTGCTCTTGATCTCACGTCCCGGTTACCTTGGCCACCCTTCGGCTTTTTTCCCGACTTTGCTCGAGGCTTCTTCTTTCCCCCAGTTTTTGAGGATCGGGCGGCCCTGAAACAACGGTTACGAAAATTACATTTCTTCGCGGTGTAGCGCGTCGTCCCGTTGTAATAGATGACGTTATACGCACGATACGGAGGGTATCGACGATTCGACGTTCAGGAGACTGGATTTTGTTTTTTTTAACAAAATGTCGTTCACTAAGGAGGCATTGCGTCTCTTCTCGTCCGCGCTGTCTTTTGGCGGTGGTTCTCTCTTTCGTTTCATTCCGGGTACTTCTCTTGCGATGTCTTCTTTTGCATCCTTTTCTTTTGGCAATCTGATCGACCGATTAAATATTTTTGTTAAGGGTCTGGGAGGCCTCGAGATAAAATGGAGGAATATAAAATTGGAATTAAGTAATTCGTTGAACCTTCTTTGAAACTTTCCCACCGACGCAGTCGATACACGTGCCACGGTAACTGCACTCGCAACCTGGCGGGAATCTCGGAAGTGTTCCGTGCTGGGCAAACCGACCTTGGGTAGCTTTACGTTCTTAGCTCTGGCTATGTTACGGAGCCTTTGTAACTCGTTCTTTGCCTGCCTTTCCTTTTTAGCTGCATTCGCCGTGGCAAAGGGATCTTCGGTTGATGACTGATTTGCCCCTAGCTCCACTAGCCATTCCTTTTGTTCAGCTGCTTTAACCCGCTGATATCCAAAACTTGGGATCCATTTCTGTGTAAAAGATAGAAAATCTTAGTGTATCGTTTCGGCGACGAATTTGATAAGACGATACCATTAGTAATATATATGCTATGGTATTTTGGATGTTTTGCTCCATAAGGAAGAAAACTACAACTCACCCGAAGCTCTTCGTCCCACTTGACCTTTGTTTTATCCTTCTTACCAGAGCGGATACCTTTTTCCTTAGCAAATTGCTGCCACTTTGTTAGTGGCTTTGGTTTTGGTACACGTCTAGCTCTTGGAAGTATAAATTTTGGTGATGGCAATTTAACTACTATGGTTTCTTCTTGACGCTCCGTTGGCAAAGTCCAAATTTTATTTATTAACAATTGCACGTTGTCTCTCGTTAGATCTTTTAAATATTCGTTTGGCTGGCTCCTGCACCAAAACAGTTTCATAGATAATCAAAAGAATTAGATAAAATAAAAAAATAAAGTAACAATGCAGGTTCTGAGGTTACCTGAATCGCTTTGAATCAAAAGGACTGTAATCGGAAATTAGTAAGGTTCCCTCGTCAATTTCGGCATCGATCTCTTTGTGAACCGTAGTAGACTGGCCGGGGTTTTCATTATTTAAAACTGAATTAACAATATCCATTTCAAAATATTTTCATACATCCAACGTGTCCTAACCGGTTCCTCAGAAGTGGTACTTTAACCTTACTTTCCATTTAGTTGAATATTTCCGGGGCTCCATATAGATGGCTTCGAGGTTGTCGTTTTCAATACTGACTAGATGTAGTTCCAAAGAGCGCCACCGCGACTTCATCAGAAAGTTCTAGACAAATCCCCTAGTCTTCCTCGAAATAAATTGCAACGACTTGTGTGTCTCACGATTTGAACATCTCTGTTGAAAAGCATTGAAAAGGGAAGTTTCAACGAAAAAGTAAACTCATAAACGGTGTCCGACAAAGCCGGAATGTTTATACTCGCAGAATTAAAAGACACCGTCAGGATCCCACCGTGGAAATTCAAATACAAGTTAAACGATGCGATCACAGACGAATTAAATCGGAAACTAGCTAATAAGGTATGTTTTGGAATTATTTCATACTATGACTTCGATTAAATGGGTTAGTTTTAGGTATACTTAAACGTCGGTCTTTGCGTTGCTCTACACGATATCATAAAAATTGACGACTCTTACATATTTCCTGGGGATGGGTCTTCGCATACCAAAGTGATTTTTCGCTTCATCGTTTTCCGTCCATTTATGGAAGAGATACTGACTGGCAAGATACGCAGCTGTAGCGTGGACGGCGTACACGGTACGTTGATTGCTGGTCGCTCATGGCAGGACCGTCTTATGCTGCAATAGTTGTAAACAGTTGCCATTATGCATTTTACAGTTACATTGGGATTTTTTGAAGACATCGTCATTCCGCCGCATAAGTTACAGCATCCTTCGAGGTTCGACCAAACGGAGCAGGCATGGGTATGGGAGTACGATACAGGTGACGGCGAGAAACACGATTTATTTATGGATGCAGGTAATGATTTTTAAATCTATTCCATTAAGGGTTCCATAAGGATTTTTTAAACTTACGCCCACAGTTTAGGGGAAATCATTAGATTTAGGGTAGTTGGAGAGACATTCACGGAGACTTTACCCACTGGTCCTACCGTTTCCGGAGAGAAGGTCGAAAAGCCGGAGTCAAAAAATGTGTCACCATATACTTTAAGCGTAAGAGACCAATTAACGTCCTTTCTCGTCTGCCTTAGCATTTTATTTCTAACATCGATTCGTTTATCTACAGGGAGCTATCGACGAACCAGGTTTAGGCCTCCTCTCTTGGTGGGAGAACACCTAGCGCCAACCCGACGGATAGAATTTGAGTATCGTCGTAAGTACGGAAATGAAATAAGTCGAGACCGTTGGATCCTGGACAACTTTTATTTCGTCGTAATATTGCAATCGATGCGATTCTCTGCTCCCCCCCTCCCCTTCTCCCCTTAAACCTACGTAGCCTAAGAAATAGACTCTTAAAACGATGCGGTAAGTCGATGCAACATCGTGTCTATATTTCCGATTGCTGAACAAAGTGACAAATAATCGTATTTATACAATATTTACAAGGATCTCACGGCTATTTAACCCCTCGAACTCGTGATTGCACAGCAAAAATATTTTCAGCTTGTAAAAAGTAGAGTTCTCTACGTCTTACCTATTACTTACCGTGTGACTTAAATTAATTCGAGGCTGATTACCGCTTCGAGCCCCGGTTATCTACGATTTAACGTGCTACCCGTCCGAGCGCTCGATCATCGGTCGCGAATCCGCGTCTCCGTTGAGCGCGCCTCGTCGACCGGGAAACGGCCGGAGGGAATTCCGTTTCTCGTTGAACGAGATCCGGGTTCGAGGCGAGGAAAGGGTGCGGACAACGGTCGATCGCGCGGTACCGTATCGATAAATATGCGTGGGTGGGTGTATGGCGAGGGTAACGACCGCGACGATAAAGCTAACGAGAAAAACACGAAGAAACTCAGTACGAGACAAATCTTACGTCCAAGGAACACTAAGAGGGGTTCGGAATCGAAAATCTAATACGCAAGTTTTCCGGGCCCGGTCGTCCGAGTGCCGGCCCGGGAGTAACGAAGCATCGCGCGAAACCTTTTGGAATGTCCTCGGAGAGGTATACGCCGTTCAAGCGACTCGACTCGATCTCGTCGACGATCGAAAAATGAAGGATTACAACGAAGACGGTACAATGATAACGTATCACAGTCCTAATTCTCGTGCGCGGGGGTCGCGCCGTCCGAGATGTTCGATCGCTTCCAACGTACGCTCGGACCGGAGGCCGAGGACCCGCCCCGAGAGGCTTTCGACGTCCTAGTTTTACGGCGATATATACTTTTACGAAGCGGCCTACGAACTTTCGTCTCTCGCCTCCGAGGTCGGGGTGGAAAGCCCGGACTCTTTGAAAACGCGGCGAGACTCGCCGAGTCCCTGTAACGGTTTTGTACCTTCGTATACGGCCCTCGGTTCTCCTCGTTCACTCGATGATTAGGCAACGCGGTAGGTGCTCGCGCAAGTAGTCGAAGAGCTCGCGCGACGTTCCCGGACAGTTGGTCAGCTCCAGCTCGTGGAGGTGCCGCAGCTGGATCAGACTGGACAGGCCGCTGCTGGTCAGCAGAGGACACCCTGCAAGAGGACGGGCTCGGGTAGCGTCGGAGGGCCTCCAAGAAAAAGAGACAGAGAGGGAGACCCCATCCTTACCGGCGACGGAGAGCACCTGCAGAGACCGCATGCCGCACAGGTGCTGCAGGCCAAAGTCCCTCAGCTGCGAACACCACCTCAGGAACAGGGCGCTCAGGGTGGGCATGGTGGATATGTACCCCACGCCGATGTCCGTCACGTGGACGCACCTGCGGAGGCAACGTCCGAGAAAAGATCGATCGCGCTCGGCTCTCGGATCCGGGGGACCCCCTCGACACTTACCTGTCCAGGGTGAGCTCCTCCAGCTGGTGCAGGTCGCAGGCGATGTACTCGAGAGCCGCGTCGGTTATCCGGGGGCACCAGCCGAGGTCCAGGGAGCGCAGCCTCGGCAGGTTCTCGGCGATGAGCTCGACCCCGTCGTCGGTCACCTTGCTGCAGCCCGACAGGGACAGAGCCGTCAGATTGGGCAAGGAGTGAACTGCAAAAAACGGGACGTCCTCCTTCGATCGATGCGTCGGTATAAATAACGGGCGCGCGGGCCATTGTCCTCGACGAGTCGAGCTAACCTGGTGCTGCCGGCAGCTCGAAAGCTAAATAAAGCCCTGTTCCTTAATTCTAAATTTAATCACCGGCGTCGATCCTAACCGATCGGAAGAGGAAACGAGCGAGGATCGACTTCGGGTCCCACCTATATTGACCACGCCGTGGTTCGTCAGCTCCCAGCAGGACTGGAGCCGGAGGATGCTGAGGGAGCCGCTCTGCTTCGGGCTGAAGTACCCGAGGGCCGCGTCCGTCACGTGGTAAGCCTGGAGCGAGAACTCGTAGAGGCTCGGCAGGAGCTGGGCGACGGCTCCGACGGCCTCGTCGGCGACGTTTATGCAGTCCGACAGCGACAGCGACACTATCCTCGGCGTCAGGCAGGCCCAGAGCCCGGCCTCCGTGATCTCGTTGCATCCGGCCAGCTCCAGCTCGAAGAGTACCTGAAACGACGGAGTGCGAGCCACGGCAGAAGGGAGGAGAGGCCTCGGGGCCGAGGGCGACCTACCTGGAGGTGATCCAGGAGCGCCTCCAGTCCTCGGTCGGTGACGGCGCAGCAGCGCAGAGACAGCGAGTTGATGTATCGCTGGGCCAGCGGGAACCCGTGGGTGAGCTCGACAGCATCCTCGTCGGCCGCGCCCAGCAGCACCAGCGAGCTGAACCCCCGCCGGACCAGCGAGGCGTACAGGCGGGCCCGAGACCCGGACGCCATCGCCCTGGCCTCTCGGCACCTGACCACCGGGACCAGTCCGGCCCAGAGCCTGGGCCGCGCGTACAGGACGTCCCTCCACCTGGTGCAGACCTGAGCCAAGAGGAACATCAATCTCGAGGAGTACGAGGAGGACGGCCGCGCTCCGCTTACCTGGGCCAGGACTCTCCTCTCCGAGGCGTTGAAGTACAGGAAAAACCTCCCCAGGAAGTGGTCGTCCTGCATCAGCTGTTCCCACGTAGTGGGCGGCAGACGGCCCCCGGCCCCGGCCCCGGCCGAGGGGACGTTCTTGGAGCGGTTCCTGGATATCCGATTCCGGTTCACCGGCGCGCCGCTCGAGACCTTGTTGTTCCCCACCGGAGGGTTCCCCGGGTTGGGGATACTCCTGCTCGGCTTCTCGAGGGTGACGTTCGCGTTCGATGTCGGAAGATTCGCGTTGGTGCCGCCTCCGCCTCCCCCTCCGCCGCCGCCGCCGCCGCAGAAGACGTTGGTGACCCGCTCCATGACGCTGGCCTTTCCTCCGCCTCCTGGAATCGGGACACCGCTGGGAACTCGGATCGAAAGCGCCCGGACGAGGACGGAACCCCCGTCTCGTGGCCGAAGCGGAAGGAGTCGAGGAAGCCAGGGCCTCGAGTTACCATGGTGCTTGGAAGCCCGCAGTCCCAAGCCGTTGATCCTCTTGGTCAGTTCCGCGCTGGCTCGCTCGACGACACCTTGGGCGGAAATCGAGGACATCTCGACGCTCGCCTTCTTCTTCCTCCCCCTCTCAGCGAATCAACGACCTCGTCGTCATCCGTCCGCCGTCGGTGGGACTCGCGAGAGTCCTCGTCCGTCCTAGCCACTTCCGGGCCGATCGATCGCGGCTCTCTCTCCCTCTCCGACGACGTTCCGCCGACGTTCCGCCGTCGTTCCGAGAGGAGGGTGTCCTTCCGTCCGACTCACCCCCCGTGGACGCGAGATCCGCGGCCCGCCCCTGCTCTCTCCTTTCTGGGACGCCGAGGAAGGACGCGAGCCGATCTCGGCCACCCCGAGAAGCGCCTCCGCCACTCGGGAAGGGCTGCGCGCTCTCGCCGACGTTGCACGGGGGTGGTTCGAGCCGCGACTGAATCGATATCGCCACCGCTCGCTTCCTCTCGACTCGTCGGACCGCCCCCCACCCCTCGCGCGGGTTAAAAGCGGCCAGGCTGCGCCCGTGCGTCCCTCCTCGGGAACGCGGGGCGTCCCGCAGTCCTCCGAGACGTCTTCGACGAGCTCCCCTTTCCGCGAATGCTTCCCTCTAGGGTTGTCTAGGGCACGGGAGAGACGAGCGAGTCCCGACTCTAGGTGTAGCTTTATTGGTAATCGGTGATCGGTAATTAATCTAGGATCCGTATCTATTTGGAAGATAATTATACGAGGCGCGTCTTCTCGCTACCGCGGGTACATTTCTGATCGTATCGACGAAAGGTCTCGGCGTGACCCGGGCGGCCGACAACTTTGGATTCCGAGCCGTTCGCGGTCGTCGGTCTTCTCGGCGTGGTCCGAGCTTAGGCGATCCTGAGGCCGGCGATGGAGTTCTCCAATAGCTGCAAGCAAAGCGACGGATCGGACCTTTAAATCCTTTAAATCCCGGAACCGGACGACACGGATCGTCGTACGTACCTTTAAATCCCAGATGACGAGCTGTCCGTCCAGGCTGCTGGTACTGAACTCGTTTTCCGACATCTTCCTCACGCAAGTTATCGTATTTTGGTGGATGCTGTCCAGAAACTCGTCGTTGAGGTCCGTTCGTGCTTGCCGGTCCAAGGACTGGAACTTACGCATGGCCGAAAGACCGGCGGCTTCCCTTTTCTGCGTGGTATCTAGCTTCGATACGAAATAAAGCTGCCCCTCGTCGTTGATGGAGTAAAGCAGCGGCACGCAGCCGTGACCCTGGGCGCGAACGAATATTTCCCTTGGTTAAAAGGTCCTTCGTTGCTTCGGTTACAAGTCGAGATTTTACTTACGGCAACGACGATCGAGTTGAGACCCACCCAAACGCAGTTCATGAATGGCAAGTGCTCGGTGTACAACCGGACTACCGCTTTCCCTTTGGATGCGTCCGCGACGCAGATGGACGAGTTGTGACTCACCCAGCAAATCTTGTTGCCGCAGGGACTGAACGCAACGGAATGGACCCAACCACCTGGAGCAATCGGGTCATTGATCTTCTTCGAGTTAACGAAATGCGTTAAGTTTTTACCTGAACCGATTGAACGCGTTACCTCCGTTTGGAGAATTCGGGAATTCTTCCATTAGCGTGCCCAATGCGGAACCTGGTCCCCAGACCCCACTCTCCGATGACTCTTCTATGTCTTTAATGTACGCGCTAAAGACGCGGACCTTGTAGTCCGTCGATCCGGAAACTAAAATCTTATTGTCTGGATGCCAGTCTATCGCCGTTACCGTAGATCTTAACGGGCGCTTTATATGTTTCGACACCCACCAATTGTTTTCGGATGCAAAGTAGCAGACGGATATCAACTTGTCTCCCGAGCCAACTGCAAACTTGTTTTCTGCGCAATGATAAAATTCATATCGTGAAATTGGGAATTATACTCTAAACCAATACCTTCTGTTATACCTAAAGGGGACCATTTGACGCACGTAGCAGCTCGATTTGTCCGTAACAGTACCAGGGCAGGAATCCATTTCCCGTCATCTCCTTGCGTCCACACGTATGCATTTTTATCTACTGAACAAGTTACGATACGATTTGTCTTTGATGCCCAATCGATGCCCAAGACCCGCATATCGTGCTCCTGTAGAACGTCCACTTGTTTCCATCCGGTTGACAATCGTTTACACACACGGACTTCGTTAGTGTTTGGACACACAGCCACTCCTATGAAAAAGTTTTCGGTTGTATTTTTCATCAGAAAGTTTATAGCTAAATGTCAAAGAGAAAGGAAATACAAACCTGTTCTATCATTGTTCCACGCGTGGCAAGTAATTGCATCGATTCCAAAAGTGTGGACTTCCGTCATGTTTTTATAAGGCTTATAACCTCAAATTTGCTACAGTAGCAAAATACTTTTCTAGATTATAAATAATAAATGATTCCTTATTAACGTATAGATTATTCGTATATGAATCATTCCCGACAATATCTTGGGTGCGGCCGGAGCTCCCAAATCGTTTCAAAATAACGAATGTCGGCACTTACTTCAATCGGTGATAATATACTCTGGGCAGTTTTCGAGATTTTTTTTTCGTGTCTCGATATTATCATAAGACGATATGTACGTATATACCAGTATATACGTACATATAGTTTGGTATTATTCTAACGCTTTCGTTACTCAGACGGCAATAAAAAAGGTGTGTAAATGACAGATAATAATCAGCCGCATGCTGTCAGAACTTGACTAAAAATATATAACGCGTGCTTCCATCTAACGGCGAAACGATCCGTCAAAAGGGTTGGAAGTTTCAAAGTATTGTCAAAGATGGCGTCATTCAGTTGTGTTAATATTTTCTGGTCCGTGTTTTCTCGTATATTTGCAATGTATAGTTCATGATATAGACCGATTGGTCGACTCTTGACATTAAAATCAAGATGGTATTGTTTGCAACCAGTTACCTAGTAACCGCGGTCACTATCAGCTTTCAGTGATTGGCCGACGCATTCCAAGTTGTCGCGAGCCCTACTTTACGGATAGAATGGCTATAGGTTATACTCCGATTGTGTAATCATATTTTAAGGTCATTAAAGTGCACTGGCTCATTTGACAAATTCTACATGCTTATAAAGCAGTCTAGCGTTAAATATCATATTGCGGTTATATTGAGAAATGCACCACGTGTCTTCGCGTGGCATTTGCAACAATGACAGATGATGAAACTGGGCGAATTGAAATGATGATCCTCCCTCCCTTTAGCGTTCAGGTGAGACCCCACAGCTGTAAGACCCTACTTTCCTTCTTCTCTTATTTATTTTACTTTCGCATTTCATCATGATTACGCGTTAGACCTAAATTATTCTCTCGCTAAAAAGTTTTATTCCTCTTAGGATAACTCCATGCTCGACGCAATGGAAGACACTTTGGAGAAAGCTGACAACGTGACCTTTGATTATTTACAAGAGTGCGTTAGTAGCCTCGAGAGTAAAGATTCCGGAATTACCCTGTCACCTAGATCGCTTGGCGCGTCAAGCTCTGATCTACAAGTAACGAATATCGAAGATCGTAAGAGCATTGGACCAGATTTTTGTAATTTCGATATAAACCTTATTAAGGTTGGAAATTTATTTCTGCAGTCAGGGGATGACAATCGCGATGACACAGCAGTTTATTCTGTAAATAATGATACAAAGAAAGAAGGTTCCGAAAGGTCAATAAAAAAATTTGAACAAGATGCTGTGGATAGCGGTAACGTTAAAAACATGACTTTTTTAAATATATTAAATCAACAAGAAAACTCTACTTTTATAGACATTTATAGAAATTTAGATTACTCGAGTCCCTTACTCGATATAGGGAAATCATTGATAGAACAAGAGACATTAAAAAAAACTCGAGGAAACGATCGTTGCATCGCCGATGATAAATATTGGAACGACCACGTTCGGACTCAGTGTGAATCGAATGCAAGTACCAAAATTATTCTTGAAAAAAAATTTCGATTGATACGCTCGAATTCCGACGATAAGACATACGAATGCCTGGCTAAGTGCGCACAGTGTCCAATGACTTTTAGGTATAAGAGACACTTGGATCGTCACTTGGAAGGTCACCAGAAAAATAATTGTCCACGGTGTAGTGCAAAGTTTGCAAGAAAAAAACACCTCGACGTTCATTTATTTCGAGCACACGGTGAAACAGCTTTGAAGCATCCACATTCTTGTGACGTTTGCTATCGTGGTTTCCCTAAACGCATCCTGCTCCATCGTCATAAAGCGAAGCATCACGGTCAGGATGGCAAAATATCCTCAATTTGCAGCGAGTCGTTACCTGCTGAAACCCAAGCGAAGGAGCAGGGAGAAAAACGATTCCACTGCGAACTATGTTCGCAATTCTTCGATCTCGAAGAAACGTATCGTCTTCATTTGCAAAATCACAACAACTTTAAGTGCTCTCATTGCGGAGTCGAACTTGCATCCAAAAAGAAAGTGGAGGAGCATCGTAGAACGTGTCACTCGTCTAAGCCAAAAGATGCGACGGTCAAGTCAAACGGTGAGTCGAACACAAATAATATCCATGGTTGAATCTTTAATTAAAGCATTACTTCGATTCCGCAGGTTTATATTTTTGCACCGACTGTCAACACGGATTTGTGAAAAAAGTGACATATCAGCGGCACTTGGACACCGTCGTGCATCGCAGCAAATCGAACGAGGACGTTCCGTCGAAGGAGACTTTCCCCTGCCCGATTTGTCCGAAAGTAATGAGTTCCCGCAGAGCGCGCGAACAGCACGTCAGACGTGTTCATAAAGACGAAAAGAGGTTTACTTGCGACGTGCATGGATGCGAATTTCAATCGGCGAGTCGTAGCGACTTGGACAGACATCGGCAGCTCCACATCGAGGAACGAAACGTGGTATGCGATCAGTGTGGAAAGGCTTTCACCAGCGTCAACGTGCTCAAGGATCACGTGCTTTACATGCACAGCAAGGAAAGGCAGTTTGTCTGCGAAGAGTGTGGCAAGTCCTTCAAAAGGAACAGCTTGTTGAAAAGGCACAAACTTTCGCACCAACAGGTGCGGCCGTTCGCGTGCATCGAGTGTAACTCTGCTTTCAAGAGATCTCATCATCTCACCAGGCACCTCGAGACGTGTCACAAAGTCACCCTGGAAAGAAAAAAAGTACGTAGACATTGTCGCCGTAATTGTTTTAAATTATATCCCGCGCCGTACAACGCACGGTAACCATCGAATCGTTGCAGATGGTGAAGCTGATGAAGACGGAAGGAGGACACCTGGTACCGATCCCGGAGAAGCCCAAGAAGCCGAGACCAAAAAGGCCTAAAGCAAAGAAGAATCCTCCGACGACAGTTTCATCGAAAGAGGAACCAAATGGTCCTTCCGAGGCACAAAATTTCGTAACGTCGACAGGAGAACGAAGCGACTCGACCACGGAGAGTACGGTACTCGTGGAGGGTCCGGGAGGGTCTCTGGAATCCCCCGGTTCGTTGCCAACGGGCGAGTCGACGCCGCGCGTCGTCTCGTTGGTAGGGGTTAGTTCCGGTCAAGTGGTAACCGTCGAATTAACTAGTCCCACCTCGATGCCCATAAACGATTTCATGGATCAATTTGAAGGTAACTGTAGCGAAATGCTCGAACTCGCTGGTTATCACGACCTGGAGTTTCAACAGGAAATCCTGAGTACGGATCAAAGTTATTACGATCACGACGGTTACTCGGAATTGCCTTTGGAAAGTGGGGAGACTTCTTTGTTGTTGGACTCAAACGGTGTCAAAATGGACACCCTGCCTGCCATCGAGAACTACCTTACGCAGCCGTTTTCACCGTTTTTAAATCTTTAAAATTATCAAACCATCGACTTATACGTACGTGCGATGCTATTGAGATTTGTTATACGAAACGTAGGCGTTTAGAATTATTTTGTTGATATTTTAGTTCAACTAGCAAATGTAGATATGTACAGACCTTAGTGCAAAGACAAAAACAGAACAGACAGATAAATCTTCAACTGCACCTTCAAGGTTGGTTCCCAGATCTCCTAGATCCGTTTCATAATTTTTATTAAATAGATACAAATATAACAAAATTTTTGTTCCGGAACGCACGTGGAATGTCTACGATTAAAAATACGTCTGCAAGGACAACCTGGTTAAATTATAACGGACAAGGAACACAACGGCTATTTTAAAATCTCGGGAAAATAAGTAATTCACAGCCATTTCGGATTCTTGGTTTTTTGTCAAATATGTAGATATCCGTGACTGGTCTTAGATCAAGGTCTCACCTTTTCGTGCCATCGTCTTTAACCTTTTAACTGCAGAATGCTCAGAAAAGAAAAATTTGTCAATCGTTCGATGCTGTGGTTAAGAACGAAATATAATTTAGACGTTCGTTGCACCATTGGAACGTTTCTCCCTGAGCACTCATAGGCGCCCTTTGCAGTCAGAAGATTAATCCAGTCAACCGAAGTATCTATTTAACGTTGAAATAGATTCGAACACGGATTCAAAGACACAATGATAAATTCAAAAGCCAAATATGAAAAATATACGCAGACACCTTGGAAAGTACTTGAAATCAAATATAAGGCTTCACATGATATAACCTGATTTTTCTCAAGAATGCAGCTTTGGCAACACGCCCGAACGAAGCTTTACCAGAACAATCAAAGATGATATATTCTCTGCTTTTAGAACCTTCTCATTCGGTTACATGTTCATGTAATTCGTTTCACTTGATCGATCGGACTCTGAGAAATGAACAAGCTCGAACCATGATTTGTTCATTTCTGCAATGGTTATCAGGTTGCCACACTCAAAAACTCGGTTCGTTGTTATTATTGTTTTTTCGATTTTTCAAGAGATATATCTGTAAGCCAACAGGCCCGCCACGGCTGCGGCGGTGCCACCGATCACACTCCACGCTAGCTTACCGAAAATTTGACTTTTGACGTTTGCTCGAATCTTCCCAGACGTGGCGGAGTCGTTTTGCTTGTGTGTGCCCAACATCTTTTGATACAAATTCTTCTCATGACGTGCATCCTTCGCATTTTTCTCACGTAAAATGGCTAACTCCTGTTGTATCGCTTTTGAACTAGGGTCCAGTTTAGAGGCTTGCATTAACGTTGTAAAGGCTCCAGTATGTTCACCTTTTAGATGCAGAATCTTTCCTATGAAATTAGAAGTAACGATAAAAATCAATTTCAAACTCATTGCATGTCACAAGAGAAAATGCTTTCGATAACGTGTACCTTTCCTAAATAATGCCTTCACATTCTGTGGTTGACCTCTTAATACATTCTCCACGCTCTTTAAAGCAGCATCAAAAGCTTGCGTTTTAATCTGTGCAGCAGCCAAGTTATTGTACACTTTCATTCTGTCTTCGAGCAGTGCCTGTAAATCCGCATCGCTAGCAGTCTGTTCCACTTCTTCTCCAGAGTAGCTCGTGCCACCATTTTCAGGATAGAGGAAGTCCAAAGCTCTGCGATAGCATTGGATAGCCAAGATTGGCTCATCTCGGGCAAACCACCAATTGCCACGTTCTCTCTTCTTGTTCCTTCCATGTTATTAATCGTTACCATCATTAATCTCAAATTTAATCAACTACATTAAAGATATAACATTGTTAAGCCACGTGCACCTATTAATGCTAATGACAATTACCCTATTTTCTTCCTGTCCTCAATTCCTAGCATCTCTACCTCAGCCTCCGTGCCCACAGATTTCAATTCGACGTTATATATTATCGTAGCATTGGATGGGATATTTGGCTCTTTACCGAGGTCGCCATACGCAAACCTGGAATGAACTTCGATCGTGGCTACCTCTCCGACATCCATCAATGCAATTGCCAAGTCCAAACCCTAAACAAAATTTGTTTAGCTCATTGATTATATTAAATGTCACTTAAGACATAACAATTGCTTCGATGCTTTTAGACATTTTAAGCGTCGTCTCGAGCCGCACCTGAACAACTTCAACGTCTCCAAGTTGAATGATCAATTCTTCGTATTCCTCCACAATGGTTCCATCTTCCAATTTGCCTGACATCTTCAATGTACAAATGTCAGATTTATTTGGCCGAGTACCCTTTTTTCCTGGTTTTAAAACAGTTTTTATAAGCTGCCCACTTCCAAGGATGTCTATCGTCTCGTTTTCTTCATGATCCTTCAATGTAGCTTTGGTCATTGGATCTTCAGGATTTACATCAAAGTTCATTTCTTTCTTTATAAAGTCAGCCTGGGTGTTTCCTGGCTGCACCAGTGTTTCGCTCATCACTGACATTTCTGCAACATAAACAGGTCATTAAACTACATAAGAAACGGTCTAGACTCGTTAACTAAAAGTTACGATTAACGGAAATGTGTAAACATTAATAAGCAAATCTGCAGACTCATTCGAAACCGTTGGTAATTATGCAAGAGGACACATGTCCAATTAAAGCTATCAGACATTTTTACCTCCTTGTTTTTGTAATGAATTGCACGGAAACGATGTTAGATGGGTTCTCAACACCTCCCACGATTATTTACAGATACCCGCAAATACGTACCAATGCACGCGGCAAGACTCGACACAGCAGCACGTCACTTTGGTCAATTGAAGTTATCCGCTACTTTTGTCGCGATCTTCTTGTATCGATTATCGAATTCTGGAATTTTCGAGTTAGAGACTCGAATGGGCAGCAGATTGGCAATCTTCCAACTCATCTATGGTAGCGATTGCTTCGAGGGAGTAAGTATGTATGTACATAATTTTCTTTACCGATTGTTAGTTTTCAAGAAGAAAATGGAGTAATTATGTCCAATTGTAACCGCAATGCGAGCGCCAGTTTAGTAGAACAAGATGCATCGTTTTGTAGATGGAAAAAAGCGTTCTGTTGAGCAATCTTTGTCACCGTAGGTACACCAGGTTCTCACCCTCGTCTCTTGGTCGTATATGTATAGTTTCATGTATAGTACTAGGTATAGTACGAGAGCGAGGGAGGTGTTGATTCTGGGTCGGTGATTTGATTATCATGGCTGCAACGTTATCTGTACCTCCTGTTACGTTTTGACTTCAAGTACTGCCAAGAAGAGAGTATTAAGTCGCCTCGAATTATGATGTCGGAACACGTAAGCATCTTGGGTTACTAACCGTACTTCGATTCTACTGGCGCTCCGAAATATCCAATAAATTAGTTCATAGGCCGCGGAGTTCGTTATAATTATTTTTGTGTTACGTGCATAATCCTGAAATTCCACGATTGATAGGTAAAGCTTTACGACGAATGAAGCAATTTAATATTTTATGTTAATAGAGAGTTTCAACATTTACTGAAACTGGATTAGACCACACGTCTTGGGATGTCAAGTTTCAGATTTCCTGTAAAAGGTAGAAATCGCTCTAGAGAATGCCCAGTTTACGCAAACGGGTCGTGGGTTTTATGCGGCAGCTATCCATCAGCAATTTGGCTGCCGCGGTGGAGAACATTGGACAGGGGGAACCTTCGACCCCATGTCCAAAGTCTCCACCACCAGATTTTCTAGGCAATTGCTTTATCACTCATTACCTCAATGGGTAAGTCGATACCCAACGTTAAAGCGAGTTCTCATCGTTCTTGCTTCGGTATTAAGCTCTATTAACGAATCGTCGTCAAATAGGTCGGAAACTAAAATCGACGGTCCGGTAATCTTGCATGGAAGAAATCCTGAAGAATTGCCGTCCAAACCTGTGAGAAGTCTCGACGAAGACGACGAAGTATTCGCGGCGTTTACAGGCCCTGGCCGTGGTCTTACTACGGTCAATCTCAGACAGAGGCATTTGAGTATTAGCGATCCGGATGTGGATTATATCGATATACTCGAATCTAACGACCATCACAAAGCTGGTAAGTAAAACATTTTTGTTATATAGAAGAAATGTCAGGATATCATCGACGTCGATACAGGTTGATGGTTCGCTCCAAAGCAGGGCTTTTCCGTCAGTCTGTCATAAATCCATTGAGAAAGGAAGCGTTTGTTTATTTGAAACATTTAAAAGTTTCCGTGCAGTTTTTGCCTTCGTTATAAAAAAGACATCGTGTACTCCCATGTTTTGTGTGAATACGTCAACCCACGTGTCGAGATATAAAAAAGACTAATCTTTACGTCTTTTGATATGTCTATTGAACGTGAAACACAGTTAAAACCTCGCTGGATTGTATATTTTCTGCGGCTCACGATCGTTGGCTGGTGGTACGATCGAACGATTCTTTATTATATCCCATCGACAACAGTGCCGTCAAGATCCGAGCAGCGGGAAAACTGTATGAGCCCGACTCCAAGTATTCCCAGGAGAACCTGACGGGCGATTTTGGATTCGATAGTAACCAACACGGCACGGATCGTTCAAATCGTCACAACGATCAAAGAAATTGCAACCTTTCGTCGGCGAGTCCTGAGAACTCGAACGAAAATTCCGAGATCGACGTCAAAGTCGAGCGTAAATCGAAGAACGTCCAGTTCGATGCAAGCCCTAGAATCGATTGGCCTTTTGGCGCAAATCATTTGGAGAACGAGGAACCGATGGAGTTAAATCTGCTGAACATTATTTACGATGACAGCTCCAGTGAGAACAAATTCGAAAAATCTCTGGAGAACCCTTCCAGCAGTTCCCCCGGATCGAACGACCAGGGAGATTTCGGGAACGACATTATTCCGCCACCTTCTGAATTCGCTTCCGAAATGAATCCACTGCGAAAGTCGAAAAGCGCTCCTGCTCCCTTTCAAAAGACCGCCAAAGGTGCTTAACTCGTTCCGAGCATGTGCTACGTAATCTCAATTTCCCTCTATCTCTATTTCTCCCTCTCGTTGCTCCCGCGTTGCTTTCTTCGAGACGAGGGAAAGAATGCCAGAGGACTCGCAAAAATTGGCAATCCGTCAGGATGCTTTATAGAACGCTCGCGTAGTAGATTTTTTTAGACGTAACGGCAAACGCTGCATCATTCGCATGGCTAATTGTCGCATCGTACGCGTACACGTTTTACATTTTCTGGTTGATTTGAATGAAGTTTGCACGATTCTCATGCACCGTCGTCGGAAATCGATGGACGCGAGGCTTCGATTAAAAGTAACGAAACCGTTCACGCATGGTAAAACGTTGAAAAAAAAAAAAAATGTAAGACGGTAACGACGCGCTCTCGACGAGAAGAATAGCAAAAAGAGTCGATTTTTAAAACGCTGCACCCGTAGGAGAAGCTCGTTCGATCCAGCTCCGGCACGAGGACGACGTTTCGCTCGTCGACGTTCTCATAAGTGATTTATCGGAGATTCACGGGAATAACGTGAGATCGTTCGTTTGCCTCAGGTATGCCTTCCGCGGGAGACGTAGCCGGAATATCAAATTGGTTCGACCCTCACGACATGGCCTACGGCATCTCGACGACGCTCTACGAGAAGAACCCCACGACGAATGCGATCAACGGCGAGCCGATAGCCGACTGCTTCGGCGTCGCGGCGAGGGCCGACGCCGGAATTCTCGCTGTAGCGGACGGAGTCAATTGGGGTAAGCAAGCCGAAGAGCCACGAGAAGCCCAACGAGACGAAATCGATCGGAACTTTTGGTGCAACGTCAGGTCCAAAGGCGAGCATCGCGGCGCGGTCGGCCGTCCACGGTAGCTTGGAGTACCTGAACAAGGCCCTGTTCTCGGCAGCCCCCGGCAACGGCGCCACGACCACGCGGGACGTCTTCGTGGCGCTCCTTCGGTCCTTCCATGCGGCCCACTCGCTGATCCTTCAGGAGCAGGGCATGCTAACCACCCTGACCGTCTGCGCTGTCCTTCCCCTGGCCGACTCCTCCCCGGACAGATACGTCGCGTGCACCTGCAACGTGGGCGACAGCCTCGCCTACGTCTACTCGAGGTGAGTCCAGAGCCCCGAGAGGCTTTCCAGACTCTTCCGATGCCAACCCTCCGCTCTTGGCGGTTTCAGGAAAACCGGAGTAAGGGAGATTACCCGGGGATCCCACGACATCCACTGCATGCGGGACATGCGCGACGCGCTCGGCGCCCTGGGCCCGGTGGACGGATGCAATCCCGAGCTGAACAATCTGACCCTCGCCATGACGGAAGTCGAGGAGGGCGACGTCGTCTTTCTCACCACCGACGGGATCTCCGACAACTTCGACCCGGTGGTGGGAAAATTCGCGGTGCTACCTGCCGGCGATGCGAGTGACGTCTCCGCCGGGTCCCAGAGCAGAACCAAGACCCGCAAAGCTGCCGAGAGTTTGCGCCGCTCCAACTCGAGCGGCTGCGGGGGGAGCACCGGATGCACCGAGTTGCCCGTCGTCGAGGCCTATCAGAGGCACGAGCTGACTCTCCTGCGCATGGAGGACCTCCTACGACGAGGAGTCTCCGGCGAGGGTCCTCCCTGCGACAGCGCGAAGAAGCTCTGCGAGCTGCTGCTGGACTTTGCGGTGAGCCTCGCGGTCCTCGAAAGCGAGGAGAAGAGATCCACCTGAACTCCTTTGCCGATTCCAGGTGCGGATCACTGCCGCGAAGCGGCGGATTTTGGAGGACACCGACTTGTACTACTGGCGGTACGAGGACGGCGACATCGTGCAGCTGCCAGTATTGGAGCAGAGGAGGCGTCGGAAGAAGATGCTGGAGAAAATGTCGATGGTCCCGGGCAAACTGGACCACGCGACCGTGGTCGCGTACGTGGTGGGATCGACCGCCTCCTCGAAGGGCAAGGTGTAGCCCTCTCGTTCGAAGTTCGTACGTTTTTACGGTGTCGACCATTCCTTGATTCTTTGTTGCGTCGCAACGGATCGATTGATGTATTCCTGCGATAATCGTGTACATAATCAAAATGAATTCGCTACGACGTCGAACGGGAAACGAAAATGTAGGCGCGATCTCGCGTACTTTGCCCCTTCTTGTTTCGTCTAAAACGCGAGGCTTGCTCGCCTTGGGTAAACTCGTCGCGAGCCGGAAGACGTTGGAGAGCAATCGGTTCGATCGAGAAGGAGAAACGTCGAGGACTCCCTCGAGAAGACCGAACCGATGCGATCCGATCGCGTCATCCGGCATAGGAGTAGTATTCGGTATGAACTAAAGTATTTACTTATACGGCAAATACGTACTTTAGAGATGCCGCATTTTGTCGTCGTCTCGTCGCCACGTAAAAGGCCTCCGAACTACGAGAACGAAGTACGTCAACGGAACAAGGGGCACTTTACTTTCGGGAAAGCTGGCGCGCCTTGAAACGTGGACGTTTCGTGCTCGGAGTGGGAATCTTTTTTTGTTTTTTTTTTTCTTTATCTTTTTTCGAAATGCTTAAAGAACGTGCAATATCTTACGAATTTATCGGCGTTAGATTTGTATCTTTCCAAGCTGCGAATTGCGTTTCCGTTCCGCGGGCCTCGATATTTATGCCTCGTCGGCCTAACTATGAATTACGGTCTAATGTTAATCGTTCTTACTAGCAATGACCGTTCTCGGCGTTCCGACCGAAAGGGGTTTCCTAATGTCCGTCGAAATAAAATAGAACGAAGTCGTTCCCGGTACATTCCTATGGAGCAGGAGTAAACTAAGAGCGAATTCTAAAATCTAAAAGTATTAACCAGGAACAGCCAGTCGAGCAGCACCGTTAGAAAGAATTCTGACATAATTGTAAGTGGTACTACGAGAGGATGCAAGCCCTCTCGATTCCCTTCTTTTGCGTGGGACAGAAGTCCACTTCCGTATTATGTAGAGCTTTTTTCAACAGGGAAGTAAATAACGCCAATTACGAATATCACAACGTGGCCAATATCGCTAGTAAGAGAAGAAAGGCTCTGTCCACGTTACTCGAGGATATTTATTTTGTTTGAGATAACTTTTTTATATGTATCATAATAAATTTGGAGCAATAGACCTCTGTCTCGTTCTTCTCGAATCTGCGAAATAGGGTCCGTCGCTTAGTCCTTAATTATTACACCTTTCATTTAAGAAATTGAAAACTGGAGGTGATCGGGTTTAAATAAATATATTGATAACTACTTATCGACGAAGGAGGAAAAAAGGATTAACGAGTTAAAGTTGCTCGCGTTAATTTATCGATTCACGGATTTTAGCGACCCAATGCCCGTTGAAAGGTTTTAGTGAAAAATTTAAATCGTTTTATACGGAACGTACTCGTGGAGGCAAACGCCTATTCGATACCGATAACCACGATAGAATCGATCAAATGCTTCCCACCGTATGTCCTAATTTGATTGCACTTACATTTGTACGTTATCTTACAACTACGTTTCCTAAAACGTTAAGTTAACCCCACGTATCCTTAGCCTGCACCGTGGGAAATATTTAAAATAGACATTCGCCCTAATCGCCGCCTTCTACAGAATTAGAAGACGTACCCTTGAAAGATAATTGGCACAGCCAAGCGCATTTTCACAGGACCGGGATTCCGATCCAGTATAACTTTCAATCCAAAGTACTTTGCGTTCACGTTGCGACGAAACGTGACACCGCAGAGATCCGATCGTTGCTTGTGTCGGTATTTTCAGGAATGTTAAAAAAAAAAAAATGTGGACTAAAGATATAGCGGAACCCGTTACCGACTCGACAGTCAACCATCCAACCCCAGGAAGAAGCGTTTGGACCGATGGTTGATTTTCCGTCGGTTGAAAAATCAAAATGAGACCGCGTTAACGGGTATCTTTGCTGCTCTCGTTCGCGATGTACGGCGGCTCACGTAGTTCCGTTTCCTTTCAGTTAACGTTCTCCCAGGACTCGCTGCTGCTGCTGCTACTCGTTACGGAGGGATGCCTGGTTGTTTGCGGCAACTCAAAGTGCCACCTGCTGCCGTCGACGGTGCCGAGACCGCCGGTGACGCCGGTGTTGCACAAAGGAGGTCGTGCCTTTATTCCTAAGGTCGTCGGCCTCATGCACGGATTCTCGTCCAGCATCATCCTCAGCAAGTTGTACTACGAGGTAGAAGAATTAGAAATTGCGGCCGATACGCGCCCTTGCGAAGACTCACCTCGGCCGGATGCTGGAGGGCGAAGTCCTTGGGATAGATCGACTTCCTCAGGTTCGTCAACGAGACGATCCTTTCCATGTCGGTTAAGAAGGGTATCAGCAGCTCGAATAGTATTATCCCGAGGGAGTAAATGTCCACCTTGTAATTGTACACTTGGCCGTTTTTCTGTTCCGGTGACATGTACAAGTGAGTGCCGACTCGCGCGGTGTGCATTCCGTTCCTTGAAGTAAGCGAGGAATGCTGGTCGACGCCGTTCGCCTCTTCGTACCCTTCGGTCATCGCCGTGACCAACCCGAAGTCCCCAATTTTTATCTTCTCGTCGTATGCGAAAAATATGTTCGAGGGCTGAAATCAGAGTACGTTGCCGTTGCCGCCCTAAACGTATCGACACGCGTATCGTCGTCTACCAAAGGTCCATCGTTACCTTCAAATCCCGGTGAATGAGACCCTGGAGATGAACGTACTCGACTGCGTCGACGATCTGCTGAAAGATATTCACCACCCGATGAGGGTCCCTCGAGGAGGACCGTTGCTTCAGCCACTCTCGAAGGCTCAGTCTTTGACACAGTTGCATTTGTATATACAGGAACATCTTCGTCGACTTGCGACCGATGAGTTTATTTTTTCGATTCAGTAAACCGAAAGACGGGTCTCTTCCGTTGCTCGTCTTCTCCTTCGCGACGGACCTTCCGCTCGTTTCGGCGCAGAAGACGACCGACTCGGAACGTTCTTCCTCGTTCCCTCTTGGAAATACTCTTTCCTGTCCACTGCTCTCGCTCGACATGGACACGTCCGTTGTATCCACGCTGCTACTGGCGTCGTCGTAGCGAATGAAATTCGGGTCCCCGGAGAGACCGCTCTCCGCGGATCCGTTGCTCCTCGACGCGCCGAAGACGACGTACGAGTGTTCGTCGCGTTCGTCGCGTTCGTCCGGATCCGCCTGGTTCAGTTCGAGAGCATCGCGGGCACTGTCCACCGAAGAATGATCGCTCGGCGGGACGTCGATGCACACCGACGCGTTCGGTTTCGACACGCTCTGGGACAAATCGGAAGTAAAGTCCGAGGCGGACAGAACGTAGCGGTCGTACCACAAGCGGTCGTGCTCTTCTTGCCACCCCGCCGGCGGACACTCCAACCAGGCATTGAAGTATCGTACGATGTTGTGGTGATCCAGCTTGGCGAGGGCCTTGACTTCTCTCATTACTCTTTCTCTGGAGTCTTGGCTAAGGAGAAAATGCAAATTACCTGGTCGCAATTGGATCGAATAAGTCTGTTTAGGAGGGCGAGGGTGATATCAGAAACGCTAGGCTCCGTTTGGGTGCATCATATGACGGCTTACCTATTGGAGATGGCTATTCTTTTAATGGCGTAATTGCAGTCGTCTATTTTATTTCTCGCCTCGAAAACGATCCCGTAACCTCCTCGTCCCAGGCAATCGATAGGCTCGAAGTCGGTCAGGTAGCGAGACTTGAAATTTGATTGATTCCCGTCCTCGTGTGAATTGTGGTCGTCTTTTTCAGCCTGGACGTGTCTTTCGACTATCAACGGCTGTAAGAACGAGATCTAGCTGAAGTACCCGTCAACGGCGTGGAACCGACGAAGCGATTCAATTATGAATGGAAATATATTATATATTTACCGGTATTACAGCCTCGCTCGCAGCCGTTGTGGCGTTTAGCAGTCTCTGCGTTAACATAAAATTCAGAAGTACCGCAGTGGTAATGGAGATTATCACGACTTCTTTCCTGAAGGTAAGAATGTGAAATGAAATGAAACGTTCATTCGACTGACATCTATCTCGAGTCAGATTTACTTACCACCAATACCACAATGACACGATGATCACTTGCACCGGAGTATCGTCGGTTTCGTTCACGTAATCTTCGATCGAAGAGTTTTCCATTGATTCGAGTAAAAGTCTCGTGGAACTGCTTTTGTTACAGTACTCGGTATTGTTTAACAGTAATTGCTCTTTTGAGTACAGATAATACCCATTCCCTGTAAACGAAAAACAGCTTGGTGGGAAATTGAAACGTAGAAATGAAAGAGTAACGATCGTTTTTTCATCATTTATCCTCCGATAGCGAGAGAGACGTACCGTTGATATAATCGGAATTATATAATACCGAGAGAGCAGTGGTGCTCTCAGCGTCGGTGATTTTAAAGGAGCTGTCCCTGTCGTCGCTACTATCGTCGGCGGTCGTAGCTAAAGCAGTGCCTGAAAATGTGGAAACCATTTTATTTCCATCTAATGTATAAATGCACGTCTAAGCATCATGGTTTGGCATAACATTTAACATGGGAGGAAGGTAATCGTACTTATAGCAGGATGGGGCTGCCAAGGAAACTTATTGTAATTCAATACTTTTGGTGCATTATGTTCTATCGCTTTGAAAATTGCCGAGTTTTCCTGAATGTAGAGTTGTTTATCGTGCATGCCCAGGTAAATTCCAGGACTGTTTGAATATGCAGATCCCCAGGACCATTGGGTATTGTCAAATAAATTAACTTCTTTCAGGATTCTGTGGCTATTGTGGACTTCCGTCCTGTCCTCTCGCCATATCGATACAATGGGTGAGTCAAACTACACAATTCCAACAAATTAAGCTTTGAGTATTTATATTATTTGCAATTTCTTTCATAAGCTGTAAAGTTTGACTGAGATTTGTCGGTACTTCTCCCTGATGTATGATATAATTATAATCATTGGACTAACCTTGCGTTGCCACAGTTTTTCGCTCGGATTACGTTTATCGACTACCCACACTAGACCTTCTGGGACTATAACTTGGATATCGATATTAGGATATGCTTTTGATGATTTTTCACCAGCTTGACCATGACAGTCAAAATTCATGTTAGAAATAAGGGTTACGTCATGTTGACCCACGCTAAAATTCCACCTGTAATCGAACAGAAAAAAACCGGCCGCTTATTTGACCAAATAAAAATGTACATTACCTAAGTTACAGCAAAACTGGGAAAACTGGATTAGAAGTATCTAGTTTAAATCGACTAACCTTTCAATTCCGGTACGTGGCTCCACAGCTCGGACGGTCTGTTGAAACCGTTGGACAATAAGCACTTCTTGATCTACGTAGCCTTCGGATTTGGTTATATTAACACAACCATTAATATTACACTCGTACAAGATCTTTCCTGTTATACTAGACACTCCTATCATGGAACAAAAATGTTAATCCCTTATGTTGCTGACCGTTTCAAATATATTAATTTTGAATAAGTAAAAAATCAAAATGTAGCACAACACCAGAATTGTACATATAATGGTCTATAGGAAATGTACCGTATGATCTTGTTTCTTTTCCACCAGAGAAAACTAAGTCATCCGAGTAACGAAATGAAGAGTGGAGCAATTGCTCGGCCGATACTGGAATAGATTCCAAGTTTTCACCATCGAACTTGTAGAGTCCACCGTTCAACGAAGGTATCAGTCTCACCCATTGTCCATTATTGTTGAGCTATAAACAGTTATTTTATTTACAATTTGTTCGGAATGCATGAAAATAATAAATACCAATTTCAATAATATTATCGTACTTCTCTGTTATGGATGTTAGACGAAAGCATAGGTCCGTCATTAAAATCCAAACTCCATTGCAATTCTCCATTTTGGGCAATATCCAATGCAGAAACCTTTCCATCCAAAGTACTAACAAACAATAAACTGCAAGAGAACAGATGAACATGTAGAACAAGTACAAGTCTGGCTACAATTGCATCGATAATTGGATGCACTCTAGAGGGAAGAGCATCCTAAGCATTTTTTTTTAAATGGAGTAGAAAAACAAACAGGGTGAATCACCTGCGAGGCGAATCGTTGGATGTAGAAGATCCGCAAAATGTTAACTGTCCGATTTCAGCAGGGCCAACGAACGTGAGACCTTGTAATAGACATAGGAATAAACTTAGGAAAATCCATTGAGTCACGACGCACATTTTTTTACGAATTCTGTGCGATCCGTCTCCTCTGAAGCGTCATGACGCGACATGCGTCCCACCACGTATGATTTCTGTCACGCAAATTGATCGCTACTTTAGAAGCGCCTAATATCAATTCGATTACATTGAATGACTCAATCGCATTGGCTCCAACTTGATTTCGTGCCACTACGACTATTTACACTGTCATTTACTTCTTTACCAACTGAGAAGTTGCGCCGTTAAGTAATTTACAGAGATGAGTTGGATCTTTGAGTTGAAGTGCAAGTGCACAAGCCGTCCACTATTTCCACCGAGGGCAGCACGAATCAATTGCTGCCCATGAGCAATCTCCCAACTCATCTCTGGCACTGCAGCCTTTCGGTCGATACAAAATAATTGATGCACTTTCCGCTGTCTTTCTCGATTTCTTTGTATATGGCAGTATATGGTTAAGTTTAAATAGACGCGGGATGATCGACAGTTATTCGATATATTGTTTGGACGTTGTTATACAGTGGAATAGCTACAAACAGGTATTTTCAATGATAAGTGGTAAAACGCTTGACAACGGTCGTATACGATTTGAGTGAATTTATGTAAATGGATGTCAGGATGTTTTGATTCTAACCTGTAATGATTGCTGCTACAAAAATGAATTACCCTATGCACGATATCCCAGATGATTGTGAACCACGAGCAACGCCAAGACCTGCTTCTAAATTAAGTGTAAGGATTAATCGTTTAAAAGGTCACGATTACTTTCAATGTCAACATCACTTGTTCTATTGATTTTTTAATCCTAAGATCGAATTTTAATTCCATTCTAGTCCTTCCCGGTGCCTTCAGTTCCAGAAGTCTCGTTGATTTTCGACAGACCTACCTCTCCTAAAAGAACCGGTCAAGTGCAACGATCGACTGTGGTGGAAAAATATGAATCATATGCCGCATGGAAGAAAGAATTTTCTCACGCTAGTAAGAAAGAAAAAGATTATAATGCTAATTCCGGATATATCGCAACAACTGATTCTTTAAAGTTCAGTAGGAGCGATCCTAGCTTGGCTGGGCTAGTCTGTCAACAAACTAAATCCAGTCGTGAGGGAGCAAAGGAGAACTTTCAAGAAACTAAAAAATCCCCATTTACGACGTATAAACATATCGAAGGAATATCGAGAAGCCAAGAACACGCTGCACTTAACGAATCGGTTACGAATCGTCAAAATTTGGAAACTCATCGAGACAGAGAAATCAAAGATTCGCAGAGCAGAAACTTACCTTGCAGGCCATACCGTAATACCAAACAGGCAGCAGTGCCCCAATATTCGGACCATAACGTATATCCTGAATGCACCAATGATTATCCCAGGAGCCCGAACGTTGATGCTAATCCATCGCATAGTACGCACGGTCCAGCCATGCACCGTTCGCCATACTATCCAACATGTGCCGCGGATAAAAGGGATTCACCCAGCTTCAATTACAGTTCAAACCCCTTGCCTAATGTGGAGTATCACCCTGGGAACGTTTCCAAATATTCGGCTTACCCGCCGTACTTCAACAAAGACGTAACGTACCCTTTTCCTTTTCCTTACTCCCCGGGATACCCGGATCAGAAGTCTCAGAACGACGAGACCGTAAAGAACCTGTTACAGCTTGTAAATAGTCAAAATGAACAAATCAAGACCCTACAGATACAGGTGGATCGACTGTTAAAAATTCAGGAAACGGCATGGCGCAAGTGTGGAAAATGTACGTGTACCATGGAATCTCCACGGCAAAATGCTCAAGTACACATGAGGTCCTACGATGTGGTCAATACTGCCAGCACCGCGACGACATCCCACCCTCAAAATCAGTCCATGGAAACAAATTTAATTAAGAGTATGTCAAAGACGGGAGATCCGGGGACGAATTCCAATGCCGGTAGGTACGGTAACGATTGGTCCGAAATGAACGCACCGCTACAGGAAGACAAGTCACGAAGTGCAATCTTGGAACAGGTATCGATAGGTGTGATGACAAGTTTTGAGTTCACCGTCCAGAACAATCAGCCCGCTTTGGAGCCCGAAGATAGAGTGAGACATCACAGGCAGGCAGAGTGCGAACGACTCTACAGAAATAATGGAATAAATTCGCAGGAGCCCGACGAGCTCCCGAGGAAAAGTCAGAACACGTTTTCGCGTATGCCCAGAGCACCCTTAGAAAATATCATCGAGGATTCCGAGAGTCACCTGTCTAGCCAACAGCCTAGCAGTAACTTTTATACAAATCCATCGGTAAAAGAGACCCCAGAGAAAACGGACTACTTGGACTCGGACCAGCCAAATACCGTAGGCTCTCAGGAGGCAGAGTTTCGCGGCCATGGCAAAAGAAGCGACCACGCCATTTTGATGAGCGAAATGGACAGACTTCAATATTTTAAGAAACAGTCTGAAAATTATATAGACACTCTTAGAGAGGCTTCGCAAAGGCAAGTGCCTTTCTCGGGCCTATCCCCGCCTGACGTACGCTCTTTGGATGATACACGGAATTATAAAGCAACCCAAAACGATGCGACGTTTCGAGGCAAATTGACGGGCTTGCGTGCACCCGATGACGTCGATAGCCGTAGTAGAAAACCAATAGAATGCCCGAGAAAAAATCCTAACGCGCGGAAAAATAGTCCCACGGGAACTAAGGCGATAACTGGCGATACTCGGGAACGGAACGGTAATAAGGACGCGGACGAAAGTTTAGTTTTAAGCGGTGGAGAATTAGAAGTTAAGGAACGACCTCCGCCAAGCCCAGAACCTAGTATTCATGTGGAGATGCAGGAATATTCTAGCGACGAAGATAGCGAACACACGAAACGAACGCCAAAAATTGGTTGGACGTTCTATAACGATGTCTTGGGCCAAGTTAATCAAATCCTACAAAATTCACCGATCGAAGTGCGTCATGGAAAAGGTGAAGGTAAAAATCTTGAGCACAATAAGAGCGAAAAAGACGACACGGAGAGGAAAGCATTGCTCGATACGGTTAAAGCTGCAACAATGGAACAGTTGAAAAAGTTGGGAATAAGCTTCTCCGAGAACCCGGAAGCTAGCGACGTCAACGGAACCAAAAGGTACGCATTTCGCTGTAAAGTTTAAGGACGGGGGAGTACCCTGAATATTAACATTATTTCTTTTTCTCTTTGTTCAGAGTGACCTTCGATTCGTCCTATTATCCAAGATTAGACTATCGTGCTAGCGTGCCTCAGGGTACAAGCGCCATAGCCGAATCGAATTCTAGTATGCACATGAAAGCTTTGGAACTAAAATACCTAAGCGACGAACAGTTGGCAGAAATCGCAATGCAAAAGCAAGGAGCCGGCACTCTAAAACATCTAACGCTTAGCAACGTTCAGGGCACCAATATGTCCTTTGCTACAATGCGATACCTGGAGAGGTATCAATTACTTCCAGGAAAAATGAATGCTCAAAACGAAGGTAAGTCTGATCTAATGAGATAACTGGTACCAGAGTCTTGGAGAGTTTAAACGATAGAGCATGGAATTACGAATGGCTTTTACATCTATCAAGCAACAGTCACGTTCTTTCAGGTGGTAATCATGACATTGCAGAAATTCCTTTAAACCAGAAGATGAGAAATAACAATAACGCGATCCAACAACCGGTCGCTAAAGGATATCCACCTCTCATTCAAACTCCTAGAACCAGCTGCCCTAGCAAGATACTAGATATTTCTACGTTGAAACAACAGCCAAAGTTGTTATAACGTATGCCCAATGCAAGCTTTGGATTAACGTTGTAATAAGTGTACAAAGGTCGAGATTAATTATGTACCCATTCCATCGATAACCAAATAATGATTTTATATCACAATATGTAACCAGAAACTGATATTTTTCTATGACCTGTAAACTTCAGGATCGATGCGTTCCCTTAATAAGAAAATAAAGTTCCAGAAAAATTCTTACCCCCATCTAGTGATATTTAGAATGTGTAATGCATTTCTAAATGAAATGCTACATTAAGTTAATTAACTATTTCATTCTTCAAGTATTCAACTGTTACACATTTGGTTCGATCAAATCGTTTGGTTATAAGATAAGTGATGTATCAGTCTTCCGTTCTTCTGGGCATAGGCTCATTTTCGTAACTCGCAGGAAGTCCGCTGCGCCCTTTTTCCGCGGGTTTTGCCTTATCTTGACCTAATCTTTGTTCGAGTCCTTGCCAACTTCTGTTAAGGAGATAATTTGCACCGTCGTTACTAATGGCCACAATTCCTGCTAGTCTCGTTGTCAGTGCATTCATCTCGGGAGTCTCTGTAGGATTCTCTTTGAAATCTCTTATTCCACCAGAGATTAGAGAAACGTCCGAGTTGGAAGACGCTTCAAAGCTCACATAGTTTGCCTCACCAGGTAGTATTTCTCTGAAGTCCATGTAATAGCGTTGAGAAAATGTCCTTGCAGCGTTGAATGCTAAATCCACTTCGTAAGGCATTAGTATTGGTTTATGAAAATCTCTTGAAGTAAAAATGTCATTCTCCGGACAAGTTATTACCACAAATGCATCTACCTAGAAGAACGGAACCATATGCATGAACTCGCAGAATTAAAATCTACTCTAAGATTCTTGCAGTACGCTATAATTGATTATTACACTAACCTCAGAAAAGTTGGCAAGTTTAGCAGGATTCGGTTTACCAACGCTTATAATGTACGACTTCTTCTTCATCTGTTTCAATATACTTTTAATGATTGTAATCACATCTAAATAACCTTTGATACCTAATGTAGCAATCACTATGCCTACAATTCCAGCATCCTTTAATTTCTCTACTAAATATCTTCTTCTCTTTAGCCATGGAGTATTAACAGCTATTAATTCATTAATCGTATCGTTCTCCCAATAATACCATGTCTTTACCGGAACGCTCGTTCCCAGTACGTTAAGAGTTCTACAGTTCGGTCCTAGGAAAAATGCATCGTAATCCTCTATTTTATAACCATTTTCTAAGATACAATTTCTACCCAATGGTAGCGTATTTGCACTCGTTTTGGTATTCACAAAGTCAACATTTGATGTGCAATTTAATGTGGTGACCGACAGATTCTTGAATGTGGATTTCAGATTTTTATAAATTAATTCTGAAATAAAATCATCAATGTGAAATAAGGTACAATTCCTGTTTTAAACAGTACAATATTTATCATATACAGAAGGTAAATTACCTACCTATTGCGTGACCATATGCCACATCATAAAAAAATAATATCTTTTTTGTTTTGTCTATAAAGTATTCCGTGAATTTTTCACAGAAAGCTTTCGTATCGATATCACTCTGTGGTAAAACGTGGAAAGCGGGTAGCGAAGTCATAGGACTAAGGCAAGCGTGTCCAAAATGTATTATACCATCGCCATTGACATGCCGAGCTGTCACTTCGTCGATGCAACAATTAGTGCAAGAGTTATCACCCAAAATGAACACTTTTTTACTCAACCGGTTTTCTAGTCTCGATGCCACATCTGGTGAGTCTGGCATTAAAGAATCCGGGAATTGTAAACAAACCTACCCAAGAAATGACAAAAATATTCAACGGTTCTTTGAGAAAACAGTCTAAAGAAGTAAAACGTTGCTAGGTTACTTTGTTTGATTCTTAAGCAACTAACCTTTCCCAGTTGACAATCCAAAATCCATTTAGCACATTTTTCAATTTCAAAAGTTTTCTCGAACGTGTCAAACTCGGATTTAATGTGTGTATCTTTTGGATTTGTGGTAACAGTTGGTGCATCAAGTTCTTCATTTTGATTGCTGACTGTCATCATTTAATTTGAACCAAAACTGATGAACACTTCTTTGATATTATTTCTAGATATTAAAAAATTAAGTACAAAGTACCACTTTCTGCCTGATAATTATAGTTCAGAACCAGTTATGTCGCTATTAATTCCCATAGAAATGTCTGAATTCATCAATTCTAGCTTTGACCATAGAGTCTACGAAACGTATAATAGATGGGGATCAGTCCCTTACAACCGACCTCTGCCATTTAGAACCAGGGCGTTTATTACGTATTTTTGACGAGAGTGCTCACTTCTCGCACTTTCATCTCACGTGGGTTTATTCGCCGAATTACGTATTCGCTATATGAGAAAACGAGATCACTAGCTTTCTGTAGTGTGTTATACGCAGAAAAGGCGGGAAGATGAAAACCATTATTCATTATTAAAAAGTATCAATTCCCAACTACACAAGCTGTGTTCTGTTGAAAAATATAATTTTATAACCCTTCCTGTTTATACATCTTATTAATAGAAAAAAATACTAATATCTTATATACAATTTTTGTGGTTCAGTAAGGCATTAATTGCTCGAGAACGAATTATTTACATTTGGCGACGACTAAAAACGATAGATTGTACATCGTCGCATAAATTCAACTCGTAAGATTGCAAACGAAACAATCCAGATTCGGAGAAGAAACGTCCTGTAGCTAATAGGACGGACCGTTTCAAAATTACAATTCCTTATTTACGAGCGTTCACTGGGCGAACTTAAGGCTAAATAAGAAGAAACTAAAGACTAAGCACTCGGTATCCTCCACAAATCGACTTAACGGAACAGTACATACTTAATGAGAACATAAAGTGTACGTTTTGTCTTGTGGGAAGACAAATAAGTGTTTTTGGCAATTTCAAGAAGCACTCAGTACAGATTAAAAAATCTCGACATTGCTTTCTTCTCTTAATTATGATACAGCGGCCTTTTTTGGGATATCATATAACGGCAAATATAATTAACATCATAGCTTAAATCGAACTCCATCTTTGTCGTTCGTTAAGGTAAGCGTCGGTTTAACACAATTCAGAAGCAATTACTTTCATCCATCAACTTTGAACGATACGCAAAATGTATCGACCAAGGTATGCCACTACCGCTATCGATTATATATGCAGACATTAAGGTAAGAATAAAAATATTCTACTACGTACTTTCTGATAAATCGTTTGCGGTTGCAGACGATCTTCTTAAAGCACAAAAAGAATTGCAAGATCTGAATGTTATTTAATAAAAAAAAACTCCCCCAGAGGAACAGTAATTTTAAATATTAAAATTAATGTCAAATTTCACTCTGTACTACTATAATTGGAAATCACAGATTTCTCATAATTCGAAATAGTTTTGAAATGCACTTTCTGAATTTGCTTTTTGGTATTACCGTATATTCTCTGTAACTCCAGATTACGCCATTGTAGATTACGTTAATTTTTTTCTTAAGAAGCTCGTGGACCACTTCTATTAAAGTAAACAAAAATGTAGGAGTTTATGCTACTTACACAATTGAATAGTGTCAATGGCGGTAATTTCGAGTTGTGTACACTTTTATGTTCCTTGCTTCCCTTATTTTAAAATTATGAAATGTGCACATTTTCGAGCAATTGGCAGTGTTTGGTAAGCTCCATTTCTCCCGTAATGACGCGCTATGGTAACACTCATTTCGTGTCATTAATCCTTTGATCGATTTTACACATACATTGTCTTAAAATTAACGCCAAAAAATGCGCGACTGATTCCGTTTTGTTAACTCGGGCACTATAGGCTCACGACCTAGAATTCTCCTGTGAATGCTTCATGATTGTGCTGTTAACAAAAAATATAAGGTACGCAGTGTTCTTGGCATCCGTCAAAACTTCCCTTTTGGTCATGGTCGTTACGCTCATGTCGTTATAGTGTAACCACTTTTCATGTCGGTAGACATAAGCAGTATAGTGGCCACAATGTATTGTGCCACCAACGTGAGATATTATACAAGTCGGCTCGTACGTCTGAGGTCCTTCACTTGGATTACTCCTATGGTATATGATTCAAATAATTTAGACAATTTTATAATGTAAGTTATGACAAATGATGCCAGAAGGTAAAACTTACATCAAACTGGATTCAAGCTCCAGAGTTTCAGAAATTTCAACCGTCGTACTGATCTTCGCACAAGAACCATCACTAGCCATGCCGTATCGATTGACTTGTACCATAAGAATTCTGGGAGGTCTTCGAAACGTGGTTCTCATATTATGCACAGTATCCTTACAGTTGCTGCAAGTTAAGCTCCTCTCTTCGGTTGCGAGACATTTCTTGACCGCGGCATTCAGACTCACTACTGAAAAATCACATGCTGGGACGTCAACATAAAGCATTAGGTTGTCTACCTTTTTCTGACGATATTTTGAGCACCCTTTGCAAGTATAATGTTCCATCATATGCAATAAGAAGTACTCGTCGATAGGATTAGTCAGCATCGGTGCCTCATTTTCACATTCCACGTGATTCTGCGGTGGAGTGTGAATTTTATAAGATGGATCTACAGGATTAGACATTCGATTGATTTTTGGGCTAAGGAGGTCTTGGACACCGTAAGTAATCGTGGGCCTTCTGGTAGTTGGACTAGAACAATGGTCATCAGAACTCTGATTAGACCTCCGTTCTGTTAATGAAATATCTGTCAGCGGTTGTCTCTTTGAAGGAGTCTGTGCTGCTTTTAGTAGCCTACGAGAGTCCTGCTGATTTTCTGGAATATTCTCCGTGTTCTCACCCACAGAATCTGTCTCGAGAAATTTGTCATATTCCGCTTTGACATGATTCAGAAATATCATGAGAAACTCGGAAACATCTTGCTGACGATCGGAAGCATACGACTCATCCAGTACCAGGAGTTCGTTCTTGAACGATCTTGAAATTGAAGAGGACGAGATTATCATAAACAAGTTATGATGCTGTAGAAAGTATAATAAACAAGATACTCACTTGATAGTCTGATACATCTTCTGCTTCTCCAAAGATCCTTTCTTCCAGAAGGTGGGCATGCGCAAGAACATCTTTGTTAATTCGGAAAGGTCATTAAATTTACGATCTTGAAAACTTTCCATGAAAGGTAAGGCAAACAGTGTCTGAAGAGTGGCATTAAGCCAACATCGATTTTCACCAGGTGGATTAGGAAATCCAGTCATGTAGTAAGGTGTCTCCAAGTTACTCTTTGCTTGTAAATCCTTTGATTTATACAAATCAAGGGATACATTTGAGACAGATGTTTCGATATTATCATCATCCCAGTTCTCGACGATTCCGCTATTTGAAAAAATTGCAGAATCATCCTCTGCCGGATCACTGATCGTTAAAGCGATATCTTGAATATCGTTCTTATTCCGAGTAGAAGTAAAGCCCTCACCCTCTTCCTGTTTCTTGGCGTTAATTTCTGAGCAATCCGATTGTTCTTTGGCAGTATTTAAATACGCGGTTGCTCTCAATAACTTAGAACTCATGCATTCAAAAGATCTCAATTTATGTTGATCCGGAGACAAATCATTTCCCAATGCTTCACATGAATATAAAGCTTGATCTGCTCCATTCTCAATGGGAACTGTAATTACTGCAGGCCCTTTTGATTTATCCGACTTCTGAGCCAACCAAGTTTGCCAAAAGGAGCCACTTGGTTTGTCTTGCATCCCATTGATTTTAGTTTCCGTTTCATTACTATCCTTTTGATGTATGGATAATGGTACTTTTGGTTTTGACGGAATGGAACCACTCTCATTCTCGTTAATACCCGTTGGCGATACAACAGCTACGTGTTTTGACACATTTCCTGATTCTGCACAATCCTGCGTTTTTCCAGTTGAATTCCGTGGAATGCTTAATATAGTGAGTTCGTTACAATCCGTGAACAGTACACCCTCATCTGACTTATGCTTCTCTTTATCGACCGTTTCGCTGTTTTTACGTTGTGCGGAATCAAGCCAATGAGTTATCGATTCTTTTCGCGGTACAATAGTGACGGTAATATCTGGATTATTAATGCCAAAATTATGCGATACCTCCTCGACAGGATTTGGTAATATCTTCTTGCGTGCACTGCAAGGACCTTGTCGAGTTTTCCTGCGTTTCGAAGATGGCGTATGATCCGAATTCCATGAGCGTACATTTCCGACGGTTGCTATAAAAGTTATAACAATTGCTATCATATCGCATGCGTGTACATGTTACAAATGATTAAAAAAAATATATATATATATGAAACGTGAATTGCCAACCTCAGACATTCATATTTAATTCAGATAACTTGTATTTAGTAAAGTTGAGAATAAATTGAATTACCGATAGTAGAAGGGCTTGAATTAGGACTCGGAGTCTTCGGGCGCATACTCCGGTGAACCGTAGCCGTTGCGACACTCAGCATCTTTCCGGAGCTAGGACCTGAAAGGTGTAGAGGTACAGGTTAACTTACACTCCAGCCACACATGACTTTTGAGCACGAACGATTCTATTCTCCGTTCTTCGCGAGCGCGTTCGTTTAAAGAATGAAGGGTTACTCACGTTTTCCCGTAAAACACGACGATAAAACTCGCCGACAAAAGAGACCCGGTGCCAGGCAACAAGCGTGTACGTTTTGGCGCCGAAAACTGTTACATACGATTCTGCGATGTGTCGGTGTCATGTTGGCGGGAAACCGGTAGCACCACGGAAAAACTTGAACAACCGTCATGGCGTTGACGATGGACCCCACGAGTCTCGTTGTTTGTAACGCCTCCGTGGCGACATGGCGAACCCTCTTCACATTGCGAGAGCAAGCTCCCAATCGGTAAAGATGAATTTCTTTAAAATAAATTTTCGGTACGATTCGGCTTCGGACGAGCGACGTCCGAAAATGTCGATTCCACCGATTCCATCATTAGATGTGAAAACTCGATAAAATTCGACTCGTTAAAAAACCGTCAGCGTTGGAGGCTCTCCTTGTTATCCGACGGTCTGCACGCGTAGGCGTTCGCTTCGCGACCGCCCTCGGGCATCGGTGTCGTCAGGTGTCGTCCCGCAACTCACCAGCCTCAGCAGTTCGTGGTGTAGTGGCCTGTAAAGAGATAATTGTCTCCGGACATCGCGAGAAACGTTCGAGGCATGCAAGGTGTGACTTTGAAAATTCCATCTCAGTCCCGACACCATAAATGGTAAACCTGGCGAATCCTTTTCCGGAATCCAACGCCCTGCGAAGAGACGAGCGATCGGTTGCGAGAAACGCGCGATACATGCTCGGTGTCTATCCTTTCCTCCAGCCATACTTGAGGACAATAATAGATTTGGCTGGAACCTAGCCGATTAAATAAATAGGATTGTCTCTCTCTCGAGGTGCCGATGCGTCGCTGGCCGCCACGAACACGGGTCCAAAGTTGCGAAGCGCTTCATCCCGCGACGTGTCGCCTCGGCAATCCATCGTTGCACGGGCTCACATAACCTTACAAATCAAGGTTCTTTAAAAGTTATTTCACCCTCTGAGCTCACGAATAACTGGCTGCACTTTTCGGAGCATCGAGTGGCGACTGCGTTCCCCGAGTGATCCTTTAACGTGAGAAAAGATTCTTCGACACCACCTTTCTCGTTGCGGGGGAACATTTTTCTTTTTCTTCTTATGGAACGTAGCACCTTGGAAAATTTAATCGGTTAAATATTCCTTCCCTCGGCTCGATAAAGACCAAATCTTGCTTGGAACGTGAACCATTCTTTCGTGTACAAATTTCTGAACACTAGCATTCGCCGTGTACGATTTAATTTTTCTTGTTTGTTTATTTATTTTGTATTGATTACTCCAAAGATGATATTGTAAAAGTAGGACAACGAATGACGGTCAATTCGGTAAATCACGTGTAGTGTCTATTCTATCTTCCAACTGTTACGGGACGATAATAGATATCGGTTAGATAAATAAGTGTGTCTATTTTTCTCTTCCTCTCAAAATACCGATAATGCGAATAACTCTGTGTACCGCCGAATTACTTTGTTCTTCCATATTACCGCTTCTGTTACAACTTGGAATATCAAATTTAAATGATCGGATAATGGAAACGTACAAACTTTATTGTATTATACCCTTATGTATAAATATGAAATCCATGAAATATAGTCTATTTGATTTTTTATCGCACGGCCACGACGGGCCTGTTTAAATCTGGTAAAATCTGTTTCTCCATTCCTAGGAGTTATGGAGGGACAACAATTTTGCTTAAGGTGGCACAATTTTCAAAATACGCTTTTAAGCTCCTTACCTAAATTGCTCGATGGAGGGTACTTGACGGATGTTACGCTAAGTGCCGGAGGCAGGCACATTCATGCACACCGAATTATACTTTCAGCCTGTAGTTACTACTTCAAAGAGTTGTTTAAGGTATCGTAGATTCTCAGTTGCGAACCTCTTCCATGAAAGCGCAGAGGGTAGATTTTTATTATTTTTCCTAATTCCTTACACCTATTTACTGGATTTCAGGATTTAAATTCTTTACAACACCCTGTCATCATTCTTCCGGGCATGGAGTACGCAAACTTGTGTGCATTGGTGACATTTATGTACAATGGCGAAGTTAATATTTATCAGGAACAATTACCAGCTCTTCTAGCCATGGCCGATACTCTTCACGTACGAGGATTAGCCGATATTGCCGGGGTAAGATGCTCCATTAATAGTAAGTTTCCTTAATAAAAAATGAAAAAAAGTCGTCGGTGTCATTCAATTTAATCGTGCCGTATAGATGAAGAATTTTTCATGCCAGGTAGCAAATACATGAAAGAAAAGATGAAATCGCTACATTTGTAAAGCATATCGGCACGAAAGGAATTAATTCGACATGGCTATCCCTGTCCGTGTTGCATGCAGCACGTGACATTTTTCCCTGGTGTACAATTTCTTATGTGTTAACTCATGCAAAAACGGTCTAATTTTTTTTGTGGGATAATTTCTTAACGATGTCCTTCCGGAACAATATTCCACCATCTGCACGACCCTGGATTGCGATTTTCCATTGCATCTGCATACTAATGCTGCATCCCTGCTTCTTTGATTTCCTTAGTTCCATCGAATTTTAACGGTACGATTAACGACAATCTAATTCTTCAAGTATACCAGCTATTGTTACAATTTTATTAAAAATCTATATAATTCTTTTTAATCGAAGTAGAAATCAAAGGATCGTATATAATTGCCGACGAAACGCGCGTACGGATAAATTTCCTCTCGAGTTCGATGCATGCAAGAGCATGGTCTTCCTCGTATATCTTTTGATAGATTGTATACAATTTAATAAGTAACCTTTCGATTATGCATTTTGAAATTACAAATCAATGGGATAAGGATTTTACGTCGAAACGTGAATCTTTTGTTACCTGTAATCCAGAACATTACATTTATCCGACGATTCCCGATCGGCACAATGGCATCGTTCTCCTTCCTACTCGTGCAACTCTACGCATAGCCACATCGCGGTCGTAATATTCATAAGGAAAAATTAAAAGACACTGGCACACTCGCTTGCTCTTTTCCTCTAATCTCTATATTACCCTTTGATCGTGTTGTTTTGTTCAGGTCACTTAAACACATTCACTGTCGTTCCTCAAGAAGTACCTTCACGAAGAATTAATCCGGGTATAATATGCGTGCGATGAGCGCATCGCAAGGAACGATAATGAATAACAAACGATATCCACGAGATCAAGATCGTTGTGTGTGTTGCAACTAAATGCAAGTGGATGCATCCCATGGAACCTTACCCCAATAGAATGAATCGACAGGTATTATCTAAAATGACATTTCTTTCGCGTTTCGTCAAACGTCTTCTGTATGGAATTGAAAGCGCCGCCCCGTGCAGCGCGGGGTCGGTGCTCCTGAAGACGATTTAACCCACGTTGTAATTTCACTACCAATCGAGTAACTTTCCGTTTCAACGACGCGGTCGCCTCGTCGGGTCATGTTTGTATTTTCGGAATATGAATAATTCGAAATTGCAGAAGAATCTGAGACACGACAACGGGCTCTACCTGCACCCCTCGATGCCGCAGCCCGAGCCGAGAGAGACAGTGGACATGAGCATAAAGAAGGAGGCGAAGACCGGCACGAGCGTCACGGAGTCCGTCGACACGGTCTCCTCGGTCCAGCTGACCGACAACCCGGAAGAGGAGACGTCGAACGAGCCCGAGGAGGAGGAAGAGGATGCCGCTTGCCGCGTCAAAACCAAGCCGTACTATTCGATAAACGCTAAGCTGAACCAGCGGGAGAGGAAGCCGGCGGTCGGCGGTTCCGGCAGCGGTTCGAGCGGCGGCAAGCAGCCGCAGCGGTACGCCGAGAAAGGTTGTCACGACGGAGGTGGTCCGGACGATCCGGGGTTTCCGGTGGTAACCGAGGAACGGTCGAGCGCCCGATTGGAGAGTTCCAAGCCGCAACCCCTCGGGGGCGACGCGGACGGCGCCTCGAGCCAACTTGGTTTCCTAGGAGGAACCGCGGTCGCGAGAACCGTCCCGAGCTGTAACAGAACCAGCGTCACCTGTTTGATCTGCGGCAAACAGCTGAGCAACCAGTATAATCTGCGTGTCCACATGGAGACGCACAGCAACAGCTCGTACAGCTGCACGGCTTGCTCGCACGTCTCGCGTTCGCGCGACGCTCTCAGGAAGCACGTCTCCTACCGACATCCCGTGGCTTCGCCCCAGAAACGTCCCCGGTACAGCACCAAATCGTAGACCCGTAAACGGGACGTCTCCGGTCTCGAGATAGTCGCCGCGACTCACATAACCCGTCGACTAGGATGCTTTTCCGTCGTGACTAGACTCACCACCCCTCGAGGCTTCGACGCGCGACTTCCGCGGAGGTCGGGTGGAGAGGCGAGGCCTTCGAAGAAGGCCCGTCGTACCTTGGGAGATGCCGCGAACCAACTTTTCGATGTACATATACGATGATCTTTAGGGTCGCGTCTGGATCAAGACAGGGGCGTTCCGTGGCGTTTCTTCTCGGCGGTTTCCAACCCGCCGAAACGATCGATCGCGTCTTTTGCTAAAGGAAAAAAATCTGGACTAAGCCACTCGCGGTTTGGCGTAACGTTAAATGCTTCGCGATGCGGTTATCCGCATATATCTCGATTGGAAGAAAGGCGTCCACGGAACGTCCCGACGTTCAGCCAAATTTCCCTTTGCGCGTTTACAAGGGCGAAGAGTGGAACGCGCTCGGTCGTGAGAAATTAAGCTGGATTTGCTACTTAAATAATTGATATAATAATTGTTATCATTATTGTTAATATAGCACGCGATAGTACTAAGCGCGAAAGTACTTTTCGACTCCTTCGACGATGCCAGCCTTGGCTAGCGGAAAAGGAGTTGCGTGTCTCGCGATGATCCCGAACTTCCGCGTTTCTCCTACGCCGATGGACGAAATAACCAAGTTTTCCTCTTCGAGGCTCGGCCCACCTTCGATCGGAACGTTGGAAGGATTTATTAAACGGTCCTAATGCACTCGAGGGAGGAAGCCGTCCGGACGAGAGGACGATCCATCGTTGGAAGTTTAGGAGAGTCTTACCAACGAAGACCGTCGTCGACACGGATTAAAAAGACAACCAAGATCGGGAAGATTAACGGATCACTCGTTTTTGTATGTTAGTGGACTTGATGGAAGAGCGAGGATGGTTCCTTCATACCTTTAGTGTTCAAATTGTTATCGTTTTTTCTTGTTATCGTTAAATCGTTTTAATAAAGACAAGTTAGCGACAAAGGTATCGCCTCTTTTAGGGTGGAAGGCCTTCCCGCTTTACGCGTTCCAAACCCGATGGGAATGGAAAGAAGACAACTCGACGACACGTTTATCCATTTAATCGGTATATCAAGAGATCGTATCCAAAATAATATACAATATTTCATGAGTATATAAATCAAAATAAATAAAATACACCTAACGAGTTAATGTAAGCCGTGTCTCAAAAACGAGATAGCGCGAATTACCCGCGCACCTTCACCCGCGATGCCCTTTTTAAATCTTTTCCACGCGCCATACCTTTGTATTGCAATCCTGACCAACGGAGATCAACGTTTCCTCGTCTAACCACACCAGACGGGTGATTTGACTTTGCGGATGCGCGTCTGAAAAGGAAAGAAAAAAACTCTTAATACTTCCTGCTCGTGGAATAACCTTCGTCTTCGAGTCCCGGGCGCTAGTGAAATTTATGAGATTCACTGACTTTTAATGATCGTGTGTTTGGCTGGATTCGTTACGCTCCAAATAATGATGGTCGTGTCTAGACTTCCACTTGCCACCATAGCTCCATCGGGGGCCCAGGCAACGGAATTCACTCGCGCGTTATGGAAACCCCATTCCCTGTTGTGCGCGAGCTGCAAACGGCAACGATTATTTACCGTCAAATCCGTAATGGAACTAACGTTCATCGACTATCACACACTTACCCTCTAACGGGTCGTTCGGTTTGCGTATAGTAAGAGTCATACTTTAGTGGACCAATAGCGTATGACGGTATAAACCAATCGTATTACTTCGCGGTATAGATATTAAAATAAAATTCGTAACGACTAACTTTACCTGATACTCTGGAAGAGAGTAGAGAATGACCTTTCTGTTGGCGTCACAGGCAACTAGAAATTTGTTGTCTGGACTGTAAGCAGCATCGGTCACGGGACCCAAATGCTCCAATTCGGATTTGGCAGTCAAAGTTGTCCCTGCCAATTCGTAAATGAATACCTGGACAACGAATGTAGGACGTAAATCGGTGGTAATCGATCTGACGTAGAAACGCAAGAGTTGAAATTTCAACCTTATTATCCGAGGTAGATCCAACGGCAACGTCACCGTTTTCCTGGTTTATGGACACGCAGGATGGTTCGTATTCAATTGGCAAGCTAGACACTTTTCTTCCACCTTGAGTGACCGTGATCTGAAAGAGAACAGAAGCGTATTTGTATCGTATTGGCGGGGCCGATGGACGAGGAAGCACGTTGTACCTGTTTAACGGAAGCAACGACAACCGTGTCGTCTCCGTGTATATCCAGACCCCGAGGTTGGGAGTCTAATTTAACCGATGTCTCCGAATAAGCGTTTTCCGCTAGATCGATAGCTCTTAAGGTATCGTCGATACCGGCAGTGTATAACACATTCTTCGAAGCTTTCATTCCATTAATTTGATTGCCATGGCCGTGGCCCTTAACGCGATCGTTTTCGCCAGTTTCGGCATTCCAGTTGGTCACGTAACCGTCGTGAGATCCAGTATAAATCGTACTTCTATCGGGACTTAACGTTAATACTGTGATAGGCTTGTTGTGTCCCTAAAAACACCGAAGCATCCTCGATAAAGTACCGATAATAAATCTGCCTCTGAGCAGGAGTAAATAATGTAGGAATTAAAGCTCACCTTAACTATTCTAATAGGTTTTTCAGGATCATCTACGTTAAGATAATTGATGAACCCGCTGAGTGAAACCGTCAATAAATGCTTTCCTTGCCACAAACAGCTTACCTAGAAAATAAAATAATTACATCGAGTTTTACCAACGTTATCAGCGGTAATCTAGTTTTTCACTTTTCATGTTTAGAGTCCGATGGAATTAATAGAGCTTACTTGTTGATCGTCAATAGTCGTTCCCATTGGAAACTCGTTGATTAACGATCGTGTTTCAACGTCCCACAATTTACAGGTCTTATCACCGGAAGCAGTTAAAAGCTGCGTACCATCCGGCTTCCATGCTACCTATAAAAGATTCCTGGTTATTTTACATCACGGAAGAGCGAACTGATGTACAAGTCATTTTATCATCTTACCCCGTACACTCCACCTTGATGAGCGGGAGAACCAACTTCACCTACGAGGTCCGATGAAGTTCCATCGTAAATAAATACTTTCCCATCAAATCCTGCGGAAGCAAAAAGGTTCCCAGAAGGGGAATAACGTACTGCTTGAACAAATCTGCTGTGATCCTGTTTAGTCATCCTACAAAAAAATATTTAATTCATTTTTCCGTTAAAAGTACACACGCAAACAGGCTCTGCTTTTGGTTTGATTCGTCCTACTTCATTGGCATTCGACGTACTTGAACTTAAATGGAGGGCCTTCGAATACCGCGATGGTATTGTCTTCGCTTCCAGTAATCAGTCTAAATGGCCTTGTGGGCCTGAAGTCACAGGAATTGATGGGCTTGGACTGGCCAGAAATCTCTCCTACGGATGTACCAGTCTCTGCCATGAAGACGTGACCGAATCTATATTTTTATTAGCAACTTATTAAAAGTCTCTCGCAAGTGTGAAAATTTGCTATTCTTTATCCTCACTTTTTTATCCTAACTTCTGAAAAGCAAATCGTTACCTTTCTCTGCCTTCCCCGACAACGACCATACGCTGGTTATCGGGTGACCACGCGATGTCTTTAATGGGACCTCCGATCGGATGAAATTCATTTTTCAAGATGTGTTCTTTATTCACTGTATCCCAAACACGTACCTTACCGGACTGATCTGTAATAAAGACGTCTTGTAAAATGTATCCGTTTGATATTTTATGAGTTACGAACCTCCAGATGCTATATAGAAACCACTAGGCGAATACTTTGCTACGTTCACTGCACAAGAATGTTCCGTATAAATGTCTGCAATTGCTGGATTCTGCAATTATATTACATGTATGCTATGTAAGCCTTGACAACTCAGATAGTATACACAAAACAAATTACACTTGATAAACATTAAAATTTTCTAAGTCATTACTCACATCGATATTTCTAATGATAACACTGTTCCCATTGGTGTATAAAAAATTCTTCCCCTTTGGATCACCACCGAGAACTAAAGGTTGGCCTCTCTGCGTGCGGGGCAATGTTGCAAATATATATTCTGGAAAAATACCCAAGGTTTCCTTTTAAAATATAATAGACTATACTTAGTAAAAGCATCAAACGCCAGATCCCTTTCCGTTACGAGTCACCATAGTTTTATTGTGTCACCAAAATATCAACAGCCAGTAGATGTTTTGGCAAGACTCCAAATTGGAGTATACATAAAATTATTTTGAGCATGGACGGCGTGATATCGTTACTAAACGCTCGGCTGGAAAAGTTGAATCTATTTCCCTATTTCCGTGGAAATAACGAACTCACTTTCATTTAACAATTGCAAATAGAATACCAAAAACCAAAAGTAACCATATACCTGTAATATCGTTAAATCTATTTAATTTGATTATCTTTGCAAAGATATATTGCCAGACGATTAATCATCCTATTGCATATCTTATCACTTCCTCGATGATTTACAAAGAAAATGATACCGCTCCAATAATGAAAAGATAAAAACGATGATCGAGTAACGGAGCATGGAGAAATATATACATAACTGTTTATAAAGCCAAGCCACAAAATTATAAAATTAATTATAAGCATTCCATAATCTTTCGAGTATGTTTGACCATTGAATACACATAAAAATTCCGCCTGTTACAGTTAAAATAAATACAACTGATCCTTTAAGAAAGATTTACACGTCAGCATTCTGTCAACATCCCGGAATTTTGTCAGTTGCAATAAGACAGATATAAAAATAGAAAGACTTGTTAAACGGAATTTCTTTCATACACCAAATTAGTAAATTTTCCAGATGAATCACGTGTGTAGAAACAATTTAAAAACGACGATCAAACTTACTAGTTTCATAGGACATGTCTAAACGGTGACCGAACGAGTTCTCGGTTCGAGGAGAAATCCGGTGAAGTTGGGCAAACGAAGACCGATTCGCCTCCTCCTCCAGCTATCAACTATCCAGAACTAACACTATTCGCTGGCGCTCGCATGGAATCTTCGTCCCGCCCTTCACCTTATTTGGACACGACCGTTGACCACGAGCACTCCAGAGAGTCGCCACCGGTTAGACAACGAACATCCCGCAAAGTAGATACGTTCCGAGGCCACCTCGCCATTTTGAAACGGAACATACGTATGTGCATATTTGCTCGGCTTTACGCTTAGCAAGATCTTCGATAGATGTCCCCACCGTATTAGTAATATAGGTGTTTAACAGTAAGCCATCAATCGAACCTATAATTTCAGTTCTGCAATATAACGAGACGAATTAACATTAGTTGATAAATGTAAATATAAGCGATAGCGCAGTAAAATTAGAAATAATTTGCTACAAAATACAACTCTGCGACAATAGGTTTAACGACATGTATATATCGTTTTAAAGTTTTTTATAGATACCATTTAGATCATTTGCGCGAACTGTTCTCACGAGGAAACTTTTTTGGGGCCCTGAAAAGGGCCGTTTGTTGAGGTTAAGATGTTTAACCTCCAAAACGTCTGAAACTATCTGGCATCGGTGGTTTTTTTCAAAGTGACTGGTCCCAAATATTTTTGACAATTCTTTCCGTTATCGATCGGATAGAAGTTTAACCGTTGAAGCTACTTTTCTATCAACGGTAATTTTTAACGTTCCGACGATAAATAAATAGAAAGAGGTATAAAAAATGTATGCGATAGGGCGTTCTCCACGTAAAAAGGAGTGGTGGCCCTGATAAGGGCCTTTGTAAGGACTTGGCAAGCGAAACATGAGAGATTTCACTTTTTTGCCGCAGCTGCCTTCTTGGGTGCCGCCTTCGGCTTAGCTGGGGCTTTTTTAGGCCTGGGAGCCTTTGGCTTTTTCATCGGAGACTTGGCGGCCTTGGCCTTCGTAGGAGTGATTGATTTGGGCTTTGCTGCTCTCGCAGCTGGCTTCTTCGGGGATTTTGGTTTCTCCACGACGGCTTTTTTCGATGCTACGGGTTTCTTTGCTGCGACCGGCTTCTTCGCGACGACCGGCTTCTTCGGCGTGACCGTCTTCTTCGAAGCGGCCGTCTTGGGCTTCTTGGTGGTTTCCTTGGACGTGGGCATCTTGAAGGATCCCGCGGCGCCCTTTCCCTTGGTTTGCACCAAGCTTCCGTTCGCCACGGCAGTCTTCAAGTACTTTTTGATGAAGATCGCCTGTTTTTCGACGTCCAGCTTATAGGTCGTGGCGATGTATTTCTTGATAGCCTGGAGAGAAGAGCCGTTGTGTTCCTTCAGGCTCAAGATTGCCGCGTTGACCATCTCGGAGGCTTTTGGGTGGCTTGGCGCCGCCCTCGGCTTCTTCGACTTGGCGGTTGCAGCAGCGATCGCCGCCTTCTTCGGCGTGGTTTGGGCAGCAGGGCTGCCGGTTCCGGTGGCAGACATGACGGCTGGTGATGCGGATTTGTCAGCCATTTCAGCTTCCTTTCCAAATGATCCTCAAATCGATGTGTCGATACAAAGTTTCTCTGGGCGAAGAGGGTCCAGAAATGACTTCTCGACTTCTGGCGCGGCGACTAGCATACCGGAGCGCGGACCATGGAGAGAGACCCCGCCGGTCTTGCACTCGGACCGACGCCTGTCGCGCTCGAGTCGCGTTACGATCTTCCTTTCTTTTCGCCTTCTTTTCGCTTATTTTCCGACCTTATTTTCGATTAAACGTTGAAATTGCATCACGAGACACTCTCGTCTTCCTCGCGTCTCAGTTGTTTCGCCGTTGATTCGCCTCAAGTTCTAAAATTAATATGCTCTTTGGACACCTCGTACGGCCTACGACTGCACTTTTGCGAAGAAATCCTCGAAAATTCGTGTAAACGTGTGATTACGTTGGCTTTTTTGCCATAAACTCTTTGACATGATTATTAAGATTGACCAGACGCAAACCCGGTCGCTTAAAATCGTTTGGTTTATTTTAGAGAAGAGTTTGATCTCGTGGTATCAACTCACCGGCTGACCGTTCGGCAGACGTCAGGTTCTCTGCCTACAATATTATATTTTTTCCATTATTTCGTTTATCCAATTTCGTCCTAACAATAAATTTACAATCTGTCCGTGGTACAATCAAGAAAGTAACTGGAGGAATTATATTGTAGCGAACAGCAGCCGAAATTGGTCGATGGCCGTATTCTCTACGTGGACGAAATCAGCCACTCCAATTACTAAGCTTCGGTTTAAAAGTCTACTTAAATATCGCCAAAACTATTTATAATTATGTTTCATGTATTACGTTAATATGAAACTTGATAAAAAAAAAAAAAATTAGTGATACTCGTTGAAAATTTTACACGATTCAATAGATACCAGTGATACCTTGTACATTTCAGAGTATCGAAAATGCACGTCTCGTGGTTCCTTCAAATCCCTGAAATTGAATTTACGTCTCTGAAATAATAAATCACAAGGAAATATCCAACAGAGGCTAACTAGGATATGAAAAGATGAATCTTTCTCGTACAAGCATGAAAACGGAAGATAAAAAATGTAAATTCATTTAATTAGGTGCCAAGTGAGTAAAGGAAAGAACGTTGAAACGAATGTTCATAAAACCGCAAAACAGTCGCTTTTGGTGGCACGTTGAACACCGCTATTAATTTGGGTAAATCAGCCGTTTAATAATTGACTGTCGGTACAAAATGCAACATTTGAGAAAATTAATCTACAAATATTACATTCACTGCTATTTGAGGTATTTTTTTTTGTTTGCAATCGTTCGTCCAATTCGGTCTAACGGGAAGATTAGGAAAATTCAAGCTGCCGATTGGTCGAGCCCGGATTATTATGTTACTTAATTTTGGAATCGCGTTAGAGCATTGACTTAGAGAAACCGTGAGAGGAATCGTAAAGGTGCTTTCGTACGGCCATCGTAAGGTTCACGTGCATGTAGTCGCTCCAGTAAAACAGCCTTAAATGTATTCAAAAGTCGTCTGCTATAAGTGGAAACCGGTAGGATGTGTTTATAGATTAATGATAAAAACTGGAAGCGTTTAAAATATTTTGAATAAGAAAATGACGATTTTGAGGAATGCGCTACGTTGGATATCTAACAAGAAATCTGTCAGAATCGTATGTCACGCAAGCGAGTGTTTGATTTCAAGAAATCGGATAAACCGACTTAACCCTAATGTTTGTCAAAATTTTTCAAGTTATTCCCCAAACGCTAACTCGGAAGATCTGGTTTGTAATGTGGGAACTATAGGTCACGTCGATCATGGTAAAACGACGTTAACTGCCGCTATAACTAAATTTCTATCCAAAGAAAATAAAAGTTGTAAGTTCATAACGTATGATCAAATTGACCGAGCCCCTGAAGAAAAGGCTCGAGGAATAACGATTAATGTTGCGCACGTTGGCTATGCGACTAAAACGAGACGATATGCTCATACCGATTGCCCTGGGCATATCGATTTTGTTAAAAATATGATCAGCGGTGCATCGCAGATGGATGCTGCGATTCTTGTTGTTGCTGCTACGGATGGTGCAATGCCGCAGACAAGAGAACATCTTCTTTTAGCAAAACAAATTGGAATAAAATACATTGTTGTTTTTGTCAATAAGGTATGGTATTTTGTAGGAATGTCTGATTTTTTTTAACGTACACATGTTTCTCAGGTGGATTTAATGGATGACGAAGTCATAGATCTTGTTGAAATAGAAGTACGGGAATTGTTATCGAATTTTGGATACAATGGGCTAAAAGCACCGGTAATACGGGGATCGGCATTGCTTGCTTTAAAAGAAGATACTTCTGAATTTGGGATGCCATCCATAAGAAATCTTTTAGACGCTATGGATACGCATATTCCATCCGTGACCAGAGACTATACATCACCATTTTTAATGCCAATTGACAATTTCTTTACTGTGCCAGGCAGAGGAACCGTTATTGTTGGTACAATAAAACGTGGAGTCATTAAGAAGAATGACAATGCCGAACTTTTGGGTTTTGATGAGAAATTTAAGACTACCATTTCAGAGATACAGGCAAGTCAAATGATTCACTGCTTTGAGATACACTAAAACTGTAAAACCATTCTACTTAATGAACTAAGGCAATAAAGCGCGTATTAAATACGAACTGCAATATCTGCAGTAGCTGTAAAAATTTAATTTCTTAACAGATCTTTCAAAAAGTCGTGCCCCAGGCCCTCGCTGGTGAAAACGTTGGCATTCTAGTAAGAGGTATCAAAATAGATAATGTTCATAGAGGGATGATTCTGTGCTTGGCCAACTCGCAAAAATTGAGTAATCATTATGAAGCACAGATGTATTTGCTGTCATCTGGAGAAGGTGGTCGGCATAAGCCATTGAGGGTAACTTAAGCTACTTCGTACCATGAGTTCCTCTCTATGTATATTTTATTTGTTACCTTAGAACTGAACATAGTTTAAGAATTAAAATGGTTCACTTTCATATCAACAGCCTTCTGGATACTGCCAGATGTTATATAGCTCTACATGGAGTATTCTTTGTCGTTTGGATCTGTTGTTACCACCTAATGTAACGATGTTAATGCCTGGTGAACACACGAAGACGAGGTTGAGTCTATTGAAAAAAATGCCACTAATGGAAGGACAATCATTTACGATTCGAGAGAACCGATGTACCGTGGCCACTGGTATAGTCACAAAAGTCTTCCCAAGTATACTCATTGACAAGCGTAAAATGAATAAAGTGATAATCCCTGATCTACAAAAGCCAGACAGTGAATCGGTAGCTACTGGCTAAAATTTACTATCAATGATGTATTTTTTATTGTAAATAATAGCAATTGAACAAAGATAGCAGCTGTAATTAATTTCCATTACACAAAATAAGTAATGATCTTTAACACGGGTTAACAAGAAAAGTATTGTAATAAGCAGAATATTAAAAAGATATAGCTTAATTCTTTTAACCAAGTTGCATTATCACTTACCATCCTTTGCTATGCTTTTTTTATTTAATTCAAAATCAAGATCACGAATGAGCGATTATCAAATTGGTACAGATACTTTATTTTCATTATCGTTCAACATGTAACGTATCAATATATGCGTATGACTATCGTGTTTATCAAGTGTGGAATTATTTTTTCCTTCTTTTTTTTTTAATGACGTATTGGCGTGCAATTGATATACGATTTATAATTCCGCATAGGAAAGGGAACAGACGTATATCAATGTTACGTCAGTCTTGAATGTACGCAACACGGTGGCGCACAATCAATTAGCTATCGGTAGCTGAATGTAATGCGTTCATGATGATTTATGCTGAAAAGTTGCCCAAGAAATCGGTTACAACTTTCTTCAGTTTCGCGTCGGACGCCTCAGAAATGGTGTTTTCTTTAGCAATCGTTGAAAGAAGATCTTGTTGCGTTGACCTGAAACAATGATAGCGATGCTCAAGAATCATTCGATACCTTTAAGCCTTTCAGGTGTCACTCGGTTTCTTTCTATTTCTTTAGAAGTGACAGATTACCTGATGTGAGCAAGGAACTCTTTCTCGAAAGCTGTGATTTTACTGGGATCCATTTTGTCGAGATAGCCTCGGACTCCGCAATAGATAACTGCTACCTGTTCTTCAATGGCCATCGGGACTAAGAACATAAAAAGATTTTCAGTATGAATAACCGACAGGGTACCTAATACTTAAAGAGGCTTAAGATAAGGATGGATATTCCCCAATACCAGGTATATTATTTATACTTACCATATTGGCCTTGTTTGAGGAGCTCGGTAAGCCGGACACCACGGTTCAACAGCTGTTGAGTAGCTGCGTCCAAATCGGAACCAAACTGAGCGAAGGCAGCGACTTCACGATACTGGGCTAATTCTAATTTCATGGAGCCAGCGACCTGAGGTGTTTAAATAAATTTCGTACAATTTTACCGAGAAAAAGTTTTATTATACTGTTAGGAAAAAGACGGATGACTTACTTGTTTCATGGCCTTGGTCTGCGCAGCAGATCCTACTCGTGATACGGACAAGCCGACATTGATGGCTGGTCGGATACCTTTGTAGAATAATTCCGTTTCCAGGAAAATTTGTCCATCGGTAATGGAAATGACATTAGTTGGGATGTAGGCAGACACGTCACCAGCTTGAGTTTCGATAACTGGCAAAGCAGTCAAAGAACCACCTCCAAGAGATTCATTCATTTTGGCAGCTCTCTCCAGGAGTCGAGAATGAAGGTAGAATACATCACCGGGGTAAGCTTCACGACCCGGTGGTCGCCTGAGCAACAGGGACATTTGACGATAGGCAACAGCCTGTTTCGACAAGTCATCATATATGATCAGGGCATGTTTGCCATTGTCCCTAAAAAAGAGAAAATGGTATCCTGTAGTTATATCCATCACCCTCTTATTCGTTGTAATGCGTTAAAAAACAAAGAAGTGTTCAAACCAGGCGAAGAAATATACCTGAAGAATTCTCCCATGGCACAGCCCGAGTAAGGAGCCAAGTACTGCAGAGGAGCAGCATCGGAAGCGGTGGCCGAAACGATGATGGTATAGTTGATGGCACCACTGTCAGTTAAACGTTTCACAATCTGAGCGACGGTAGATCTCTTCTGGCCAATGGCAACATAGATGCAATATAGTTTCTTCTTCTCTTCTCCAGCCGAGTTGAAGCGCTTCTGATTAATAATGGTATCAATGGCTAGAGCAGTTTTACCCGTCTGCCTGTCACCGATGATCAACTCTCTCTGCCCTCGACCAATCGGTACCAAGGAATCGACAGCCTTGATACCTGTCTGCATAGGCTCCCTAACAGATACTCTGGAATAAAAAAATTAAAACCAACTAGTAGCCTGTTACATTAATACTTGTAAGTTCCTTAAATGATTTTTTCGAATATTCAAATGGATTTAATTCTTCGACTTTCTCTACCTGGGAATGATACCAGGGGCTTTCGTTCCGATACGGAATCGAAGCTTGTTATTGAGTGGCCCCTTGCCATCGATAGGGTTGCCCAATGCATCGACAACACGACCCAACAGCTCTTCGCCAACTGGGACGTCTACGATAGCTCCGGTACGCTTGACGATATCTCCCTCCTTGATATGCCTGTCGTTACCAAAGACGACAATACCTACGTTATCAGGCTCCAAGTTAAGAGCCATACCCTTCAATCCAGAACTGAATTCTACCATCTCATCTGCTTGAATGTTCTTTAAGCCATAGACACGAGCGATACCGTCACCGATACTGAGCACACGCCCGGTTTCTTCGAGGTTAGCCTGGAATTTCAGGTAAGTAAATTAAGCATGAATTTGTCAGCCTTTATGAGCCAAAGAGGTTGCAATCCATGATCTTACTTTCGCTGAAGCACCAAGAATGCGCTCTTCCAGGATCGAAGAGATTTCGGCCGATCTGCGACTGCACGAGACATGGTACTTCCTGGTAGCGACACCAGTGACGGGCCAACTGATCTAAAAGCAAAAAGCATGCAGCATTAATTTTTAAATCCCTTAAGGCATGTGCGATACAATTTCCCTTACACTTTGCACCCCACCCTTTCATATTCATTGCATTTAAACAAACGATACGGCAAAATTATATATAAGCCCATTGTTGGATCCTGTAAAAGACAACTGCCAATTTAATTTCCTTACATCCCAAAACAAATGTCAGCCCTATTAAATTGCATGTAAATCCTAAAAGTAGAGATAACATATTACATAACTAACAGATCTATGTTTATGTAATAGACCAAAAGTACGTTAACCAAAAGCGACCCTAATTCGGTTTCGTAAAAACGCTCCAACGCGAGAGATGAAATTAAAATACATCGAAGAAGCTTAAAACGTTCGAAACGATCAGCGAGCCGGTTTTAATGACCGAGGAAAAGATGTCGGCGACGTTGAAGTATCCACATACGGTCGCGGAGAGGTTTGTCCGTTTGGCGGAAAATTTGGAAAAAAGGACTCGTCGTCGTGCAATTACCTGTACGGTATTGTTGGGCAATTGCCTCGCGACCGAGGCGGCCAGCCTTAGGGTTAAAAGAGCCATCCTTGATCGTTCTCTGCTCGTCAAGAGCAGCACACAGTCGAAGCCGGAGTCGCGGATCGGTCAAGGAACGAGAAGCAGAAGAACCTCCCGTGTGGCCCCACTCCGATTCCCGGCGCAGGAAGTCGTCGACATCGATCCCTCTTACACCCTCGAACCCAGAGCGAGCCCTCGAGGTTATCATCTTCGAAAATCTACTGATATTAGCCAGTTCGCAACGTAGGACGACGTGAAGATATTTTTCACGAGTTTTTCTAACCCCGAAAGTGTATTGTTTTCTTTGAAAAGACTTTCGACAGAAGAATTTGAAGACGGCTACTGATCAAAATGGCGGCACCGGTTCCGACGCGCTAAAATCGAACCGAGTCGTACAGTAGATGGCTCTTAGCGACAATTTTTCGGCTTTCTTCTCGCAAGATGACGTTTCCTTTGTATTACGTCATAGATAAATATATGCATTGCACATATTTTAAGGATTTAAACTTTTAGTGAAGTATTTTATTATACGAAAACCGTTTCTAACGGATTAATGAAACGTCTGACATCGATGGGGTCTAACGATCGCTGATTGGTCCGTTGCTCGAGGGTGGGGTACATTGGTGGAAGGGTATAAATAGCAGGACTGCCGAGCCCAGATGACACTTTAGTGGAGGTTTTCGTTGGATCCGGACGCTCATCGAATCGCTCGTCATGACTGGCCGTGGAAAGGGTGGAAAGGGACTGGGAAAGGGAGGAGCTAAACGGCACAGGAAAGTTTTACGAGATAACATTCAAGGTATTACGAAGCCCGCGATCCGTCGTCTAGCTCGGCGAGGTGGAGTGAAACGAATTTCAGGCCTCATTTACGAAGAAACCAGAGGAGTTCTCAAGGTATTCCTTGAGAACGTTATTCGAGATGCCGTCACTTACACCGAACACGCAAAGAGGAAAACCGTTACCGCGATGGACGTCGTTTATGCCCTGAAACGTCAAGGACGTACTTTATACGGATTTGGAGGTTAATCATCTTATCCTCTGCAAACAACGGCCCTTTTTAGGGCCACCAAAATGTTTTACGTCAATGCACTTCATTTCGCACTTAATCCTTTAATCCCACCGGAAATATTTCTTTTTAATAACAATTGTGTTAGACGGACGTGCCAACATAGTTCTCTAAAGAAATTAAAGGAGGTCTTGAGTCCGTTGACAAAGAATGTTTAATCATTAAGATTTGGCTCCATGACTCGAATTCATAGAAATTTAATTGATTTACAGCAGGTATAAAGAAGTTAAACTTCAGTGATTCGAGTTGTGGAAATGAGTGTAAATAGTGTTCTTTCATGCAATAATTTTTACTATTCGATCTGATAGCAGGTATTTAATCTTGATCTATAAACTAAGACTTAAAATACACCCTCCGTATTTTTGGCAATGTTCTAGCCTTTAAAAATTCAAAGGCTTTTTATTTCATTATGTAGGATCGATATCCCTCTCTAATGCTATTTAATAATAATAAATAAATGTGCGAATGAAAAATTCCTTTGTAGAAAAAAATTTGTGGCCCTGAAAAGGGCCATTTGTAATTATGTAGGGCATTAGGCTTTCTTCTCGCTTTTCTTGGGTAGTAGAACGGCTTGGATATTGGGTAAAACTCCTCCTTGCGATATAGTAACTCCTGACAACAATTTGTTCAATTCCTCGTCATTACGGATGGCAAGTTGGAAGTGACGAGGAACGATTCTAGTTTTTTTGTTGTCGCGCGCAGCATTTCCGGCAAGTTCGAGGACTTCGGCCGACAAATACTCTATTACTGCGGCTAGGTAAACCGGTGCACCAGCTCCAACACGTTCGGCATAGTTTCCCTTTCTTAGGATTCTATGAATTCTCCCAACTGGAAACTGAAGACCCGCTCGACTAGATCGAGATTTCGATATCTTTCCCTTGCCTTTGGATTTAACAGTTCTGTCCCGTCCCGACATCGTCGAAAGAAAACCGATAGGTATCAACTTAATAACTCAACGAAACGAACTCTGCAACGTGCAGTCAAGAAGTGGTTAAAAATTCTGTGCGCGGATAGTTTTATATCTTTCTGGAAGAGGCGTGGCTTCCACGACGCGCTCCCGTTCTCGTTCCTGATTGGTTCGCGATGTTACGCTACGAGATACGTGATTGGTGCGCCGTACTCCCCACATTTTCTATATAAACGCGCGCAGAGGCGTTTTTTGAGTCCGATGTTTGCAACATGTTATGATGGTTCACTATCAAAGACAAAGATTATTAATTTGTTAAAAAATGTTTTGTAACAGATATGAAAATTGTTTGAAATGGTGTTATAACAGAGATGAGTTGGGAGACTGCTCACGGGCAGGATCGTGCGATCGCATGCTGTGCTGCCCTCTGGTTTAGTACGTTAGCTTTCACTGTTTTTTGCCCCCAAGGGCGGCACAACGAATTTCTGATAGGAGCTCGCGCACTCGCGATGGCGGTACCATCTATCAGTTGCCGTTGGCGGCTTACGTACTCGTGATGATAATACCATGCGGCAGTTGACGGTGGTGACTTACCTACGCTTACCAACACTGCTCGCTTGTTAAATTAAAAGTAGAGGATTACTGAGAATATATAACACATCATCTTGAACGCGATGTAGTTCATTTAAAGCACGATTTGAAGTCTAGCTAAATCTTACAATAACAATAACCTTTTTATTTTTTATTTTGTTGAATTAATTGGAAGATCACTAAAAATCGAGTCTTACGATTCTTTGAACATGAACTCAAGAGTATAGGTTAATCATTTCAGATGAAAAGTGAAAAATGAGTGACAAACATACATCGGTTACCCGAACTCCGCTTAAAAGTAGTAACAGAGCAAATAGGCCTTTTCGATCACCTTTTAGTAATATTCCCAAGCTCGATAAGACTGGTCCGAAGGCTAGCCCATCGTCCTGTTCACTGTAAGATGAATATCAGATTTGACACACATGTTGACATCATTTCTTATTTTAAACTTCATTTCTAGAATTTCTGGAAAGCGATCGGCACTGCAAAAAAATATAAAAGTCAAACGAAGGTGTGTAGAAAATATAAGCGAGAAGGTGCAGAAAGAAAATGCAAGTACAGTTGTGGTATGGAATGACCTCGTTGCCTTACAAGATAGAATCCAAAAAAAAGAGGAGGAGATTAATTCATTAAAATCAAAGTTCACTCATAGCAGAAAAGTAAGTTATCAATGATTCTCTGTCACTCATAAAATATAAATATTATTCTGTATCAAGTTGCAATAATTGATTATTTTTAAAGTAAGTTTCTTAATCTACTTTTATCTTTCAGTATAAATTGGACGATCTAAAATCTGCTATAAATACATGGCAGCAGGGCTGTCAAGAAGCTCTTGAAGAATTACGTAAAAATGTTCAAGAAAGAAATGGACGCACAATTAATATGGTGGAGCTTTTGACAGCATTGGGTATACCGGTTGACATGGTGGGGTTAAATGTTGAAGATGATACGTTCGCATAATTGTTTTTTCCAGGAAAAGGATAAAGTATTTATGGATATACAATATGTACTGATTTTCTAATTTAAGCATAAATGTTTAATTTAGTATTTATGAGGCCTAAATGGATTATCTGGATCAAACAGTTTAGGATCCTCCACGTAGCTTAAATTTTTTGCATAGTATCCCATAAGACCTGTAAAAAAAAGTATTTGTTATTTGAACATTAACATATTATTATATAAAGGACATTAATATTACGAATCATCAGAGATTAATTTAAATCGATACAAGAAAAACGTCTGTTTTGAAAACCAACCTGCATTTTGTGCTTTAAAGATTTCCTTTTCAATTTTTTCTTGCTTTCCTTTACAAAGGCCTGTTATGTGTCTTCCATAAATTTTACCTGTGTAACGGCTTTGAAACTGAGACAGCATACGCACATTTTTATAATCGGGCTCTATATTTAATTTACACAATATGCATTGTGGCTTGTCTTTCTCATAAGGATCGTGGTCCAAGTCTATTGGCTATAAAGAAAGCAATGAGCAAAAAATTGTAATACCAAAGCAATTGCATTTAAGTTAGGTTACGATAAAACATATATTCATAAAAAACTTACAAGATCATCTTGAGCTTCAGTTTCTCCACTGTAAATGTAAGGACTGGCACTATGCGTAGAACGAGTTAAGCCCCTCCATACCATCCCTGCAAAAATATATAATAAGTTATTAGTACAATCGGCAAGCATTAAGTTATGACAAAACAGTTGTAAAACTCACATATTCTGGTGTAAATACTTCGCGGAACGCTGACAAATGCCATTTTGCCTCGAATCACTCTTTAATGTGTGGACAATAACAAAGCAATATGTCAATGCCGCATAACCTCAAATTAAATCCCCTCTACACCGGCACGCTGTGAAGCACCGAGTTACGTAAACTAGATTAAGTAATCGAGAGAGAATCGTGAACAAATTTCCGGAACAAATCGAAATATGATGCTGTGATTGGTTACATCAGAACCAAGTACAATTTGGATAGAAAAGAATGGACCAATCAGAGGCGAGATTTCCTAAGGACCTATGAAACCCGGTAAAATTGAACGTAATACACGCATTCATTTAAAACCTAAGTAGTATGCGTCTAATGATATAAAACAGATTTCAACGTTTATCCGTGTTATATGACAAGGCAATTAACTGAATCCTTAATCAATCTAAACAATTATTAATACATTTCTTGTTCCCACTACTCGCTTCTCTCTTCCGCCTCTTCTCGTTGACCCTTTTCTTGTGCATCTCTCGAAGGATCCAATGATACTCGGTTTCAGTCAAAGGATAAGCGTACGAGGTCCTGGATATGCTAAAAAAAACGGAAAGAAAAACGTTTAATTATTTTCACGTGAGTTATAATATTATTTTTAACACCACATTCCAAAAAAAGGACATCCGCTCACTCCATCTTGGTTCGGTTGTACTCGTCCTTGACGTACATCACGAGAATGGCTGCTACCGTGAGATTCCCAAAAACGCAGTAACTGCTCCAATGTTCACCTGCGAATTCAAAGTATAATCCATCCACCTTCCCTAAATTATCCGAATACACGTGGAATTAAAATTGTAGATAAAAAATGGCGTACCCATTCCAGGCACGAAATAGGAAAAGTAGAAGAGGGTGCCGATGGCGTTCGCCAGGAAGATCATATAACCGCCAACAATGGCTTCCGAGACGGGATAAGCGATTTCCGAGGCAAGTTCGAGAAATAGAGCAGGGGTGGACCAGCTCGCTGCGATTCCCAGGATGACCGCGGTGTACAGCTCGTCTTTATGGAAAACCAGAATCCGGTTGTCGAGCAACAATACCCAGAGAAACATGGCGGAGGACGCCAGCAGGAGGACGTAAATCGCGACCTTCAGGTGCCCTTGGAAAATATCCATGACCCGGGAAGCGGTCAAGCTTAAAACGCTGCTGAAGACGATGGTCCAAAACGCGAGCTTGTCCGCTTCATCCTGAAAGTATATGAGATTTAAAATGCATTTAGAATATTACACTGATGTCTTATAAAATTTCATCAGATACAGTCAAGGAAGGTGTAAAGGGGTACATTAAATTCCTACCTGGCTGACAGCCGTGCCAAAAGCCATGGTGATCATGGCAAGCCATGGTCCAGTTACACCTTGGCTGAGAGCAGCAGCCAAGCACAGACACCACATACTTCGGTTCCTTGGCACGAAAAAATCCGAAATTAACGAACATCACTAATGAGACAAGTCGGAACCATGACTGTTAAAAAAAAAAAAGTAACATCCCTTGTGGGGATCGAACCCACGACCTTTGGATTAGAAGTCCAACGCGCTATCCTCTGCGCCAAAGGGACTTATCCATGCCTGGCTTAAATACAATACTAGAGTCAACCCCGACATATTTAAAGAGACGGCCGATATAATTGAATCGAAAACGTCTTTAGGTTAACAATTGATTATTTAAAAAATTAAGACAACCCAACAATGGCCAGGATGGAAAATAAACCGGGCGAGTAGGGTGAAAGAAACGCGCACGTTGCCAAGTACAGAGAGAGAGATGGACCGATTATCAACTCTTGTAAATTATAATTGAAATACTTATGTACTGAAACAAACGTTGGATGGATTCTAAAACGCCGAAGCTGGTCGGCGAGACGGCAGAGGCTTCTACAGGTTGAGAGGGTTGTTTCGGAAAGACCCAAAGTACCCCGAGGAGCACCAGGAACTGGGCGACAAATTCTGAAAAATTTCATCGATTGGCTGGATTTCGTTTCAGGAAATCTGTGAGTGTGTAAAGTGTAGAATCTGAGATTGTAAAAAAGAAATACCTATTCTCATGAGGGACATGATTTGGAGTCGAAGAATCATGGGGTCGGCGGTGGAGTTCTCGGGTGCTTTGGGTATATGGTTGCCGGTGAAGAAGCTGATCTTAGTCAACGAGTGGATGGAGTGTTTTCTTCGGTTTCTCTCATCGTCGTTCGAGGCTGGTCCTGGGACCATGCTGTTGTTCCGATAAGGCGTTCCCACCACAGCTGGTCCGATGAGGTACGAAAGGGCCATGCCCAGCTGATTGAACGCCGCCGACACTCCTGTGAAGTTTAGTAGACTAGTCCTTTAATATTCTGTAAATACTTCCAGGACCGCAGAATATTATTACATATTTAATGGAGTACCTGTGGCGGTTGTGCGTTCGCCTCTAGGAAACCAAACTGCAGAGACGAGAGCCGTAGCAGGGCCGACGATGACCCCCGACAGTCCGTTCAGGATGGCTGCAATATGCGCTGTTCTAGGACAGGTAATAATTTCAATATAAAATGTCCTAAATCACTTGGGCATCCTAATTAATCAAATGTTTATAATTCGACCCCGTATTTTGGGTGCCGTTAGTACTTCAGATGGCAGAGACCGGTCCGGCCCGAGTATTTTACGGCGCCATAAAGTGGAGATTGAAGCAAGAAATGATTATCAGAAGCAAAGGAAACATTCGATCGGGAATTATTGGACCGGGCCAGGTTGCATCTCCAGGACGACTTTTATGGCTCCTCGCAAAACGTACGTGGTGAAGACGACTTCCTGGGAGGACAGGCATCGGATGAAAGTGGCCAAAGTCGAGAGGACCGCGGCAGTCCGGACAGGCGTTATCAAACCTGTTTAACGACGGGTTTAAATTCATTGTCAGTCCCTTCCAGGTAAGCAGGAGTGCGATTTTAATAATTTAATGCGGTCCCTGGCGCCGCTCGCGAAAGTGCGGCTGATTAACGGGCGCGTATTGCAGGTGCACTCGGTAAGCACGAAGGTGAATTTGTTTTTCTCGATCATCGCCGGTCACATTGATAGTAATTGCACCTTTCCTGGATAGGAGCCAACAGAAGGGAAAGCAGCAGGTCAAGTAGGTGATGCACCCCCAGTTGGAGAGGAGGGCGACCAGACTCTTCTGCCAGGAAGGAAAGGCCATCATCGCGGACCCCGCGATGGGGCCCCAGGTGTTCCAGATGCAGCATTGAGAACAAGCCAGGGCACAGAACAGACCCAGAGCCACCCATCTCTCTTTTGATGGATGGACATTTTGGGAAGTCTCCAGTAAACTCGAGGACTCGTTTCTGGACCCTATCGGCTGGTCTTCGCACAATCGCTGCAATTCGCCACTCGATTTACCTAAATACACCACATGGATTAATTAATACCATAGGAAATAATTTCATTACACCGTCAGAGGGATATATAAATCATCACGTGACACTCTTCTTGCGTGTAATGGTAATTAGAGTGAAAAAGAAGAGCCAGGAGGTGTTACGTGTCCGCTGACACGGAGCGCGAATTACGGCTCGGATAGTAGATCGAATACTTGGAATGTGATAACCGCGCCGAGGGACAGGACACGTTCCAAGACTTCCGGTCTTCTGCATGCAGCATCTCGAGGAGGTTCCGCATTTTTTACCGTTCTTTCCTTTCTTGCAGACCTTCGTCACCGGGGCGCCTCGAGAGTGACGAGCCATCCTGGAGGACCTCGGATTCGTCACATTTTAGAGTCCCGTGGTTGGACTCCAAGTTTTCCCTGAAAAGTGCGCTCCAATCGAATGCCCGAAAAAAGGAGAAATCTCGAGACTCGTCGTATGGACACGAGCGAGCACATTTCTCGAACTTCGAAGGGGCCGAACAACTGATCTGACAGCTGACGTCGACATTCGATGACCCGTCGATGATCCGTCGAGACGTAATCTGCAACCTTCGCGCACCTGGAAATTGTACTTTCATTAATATTATTCCTCCTCTTTGCACTTGTATAAATATTGAGCGAGGGGTGCAGGTCGTGCCGTTATTTGTAATAGTAAAATGTATTGTAGGTGAGGAGGGATTAGTCGCGTCACGTATTAATTACGGATTTAATAGGCGCCACAGGGGGAGGACGGAGTTTGGTCCATGGACCAATCGTCGGCCGGCCACAAAATCAATATAATTAGCAAGAGCCAATGGAACTCCTCTCTGGGAGACATGCGCCGTTTATCTCGTCCGACTCTGTCCAATCGCTTGGTTCCCCAAACGTCCTTTCAGGTATGTCCACCCCGATTAACTTGTTCCGAGTAATCGATGAAATTACTCTCATACAATAATTTCACACAGCGCCCGAGATCCTGATGTCCTGTCGCTGCTTTGGACGAAATTGAAGCCGCTTAGCTTTGGAATGCTGCATGGACCAACTCCTCTATGAAAAATATTTCCAAATTAATTCCTGCGTCCGTAGAATATTTTACGATAATTTATAACTCTTCAGGGTGTACTTCCGTTCAGTGTGGGATCGGTTGCTGAGCGGTCACTTTCCTAGTTGGGAATTTATTACGGGATGAGTCAAGATGATAGCTAATATCGAAAGTAGATATTCTCTCGGCTTTAATGTATTCCAGGGATAGAGTACATGTCTATGTGGATCTGATTTCAGGTACAATCATTCAGAGGAGAGAAATGAAGGAAGGGGCTCCTGCTTGATAATAAGAACCCGCGGATTCCCCCAATACGTTCGAGGCGGAGGTCGATTGCAATTGAAGAAAAAGAATAGCCTTACCGATTGCCCGCTGTGCAGTAAACCGTTAATGCAGGAGATAATACCAGGCGTTTCGTCCAACGAAACTTGGAGGGGACTCGTTCTTTTTTGCCCCGAGAGGTATTTTACTCTTCCTTATCGAGGAATCGGAGACGTCCACGCTCTGCAGACGAACAGTGTAATCCTCGAGCGTCGATTTCACCGGCTGATTTTTCTTCAACAATTAAAATTAACGATCCCTTTCGTTTCAATTTTCTATTTTTTCTTCTTTCAGACAGGACCCCGAAACGTTTCTCTCCCAACATACAAACAGACCCAACGTCTCAGGGAGATTCACCTCGGCTTAAGCGTTGAAATACGCGCGTTTTGGTATTTTAATTTCGCAAAAGGAAGCTGCGTAAAATGTAACGCACCGGAGCGGTTGACGCGCGTTATTTCTGGTCCGAGAGAAAAAGAAAGAAAGAAAGAAAAAAAAAAAAGAAACCATGCAGCCGTTAAAAGTTTCACACTGCGGCCCGACTCGTGCGGCGAGATTTACATTCTCCCCGGGGGAAGATTACAAACGTTACAAATCCGCGAATTGAGATAGCAGGAGATAAAAAATACCGAGGAAGGTGGAGAGACCCCGCGATTTATCCCTCCAAGGATTTAACGCTTCCAAGTCGAGCCTCTTTCCCGAGTTAATTTTTCCGCGGTCCCGGGTCGCACGTTAAAGAGATATAAATTCGATCGAGCGGTTTGATGTGACAAATTTACGCCTCGCCTCCTGTCGAGCTCATCCCTACAAAATGTAGCCGGCTTTTTCGCCGCTCGTTTGCAACTCCGAGCGATAATCGCCGAGATATTTTGGCTCCGTAATCCATTACACGTGCACGTAAGATCCTTAATCCGAGCCGTGATATCGAATTTTTTTTACCGCGATATTTCCTAAATATTAGGACAGCCTCTAGTTGGAATAATTCAGGGTTTCGCTGAAAATTTCAGAGCCCATGGGAGTGCCATACACCGAGAGGATCGAGAAGGCGCAGATGTAGAGGAGAGCCCTATCTCGTATTTGCCACGAAGAGGTGAACTAGCCGATAAGCGGACTGCTTCCTATCTATCGGGACGATGGGTGGGTGAGAGGTTGTATAACTACCACGATAAAAAAGGGACACTCCGAGTAACTCCCTCGATGGAAGACCTTTGCCTCTCAGGGAACATCACCAAATATACAGGGTAGCGAATATCGCCGTTAGATGTAATTAAAAAAGATGTACTTAACACGTAGCCTAGTCCCCAGGATGTCTGGATTGTCTAATTAATAGGAAGAATGTTTCGCAGGTGACATGGAAGAGGAAATGCGCGGCCGAGTCGCAGGAGGTGCGCGCAACCCTTCGGGGCGGGCCAACGTTAATCGCGGAATTAGCGAGGAGGAGGAAGGGGATGCTCGGGGTCCTGGAAGTGGCACGAGAAGAGGGGAGTCCCGATACTGGACACCCCACTTAGGACTTTCATACGCTAACCACGAGGCGAGGGAATGGACGATCCTACGGGCCGCACGGGGTGATTCGAATGCGCACAGTACCTTGCGGCGCCTCGTGGTACCACGTCCCGGCTCCTCCGCGTTCCCGAAAAGAGCCGAGTCAATTTGTCAAATCTTTCTCGTGACAAGTGGCAAACAAGTTAACGAGACATTTCGCTAAATCCAGTGTGGCGGAGGTCGCTTTAATCGGGAAAGAAAAGTAGGATAGTGGTAATAACTGTAGAGAAAGAATTCGATGGAAAGAATTAGACAGAAACATTGGATGGAAAAATTGGTTCGAGTACGCGAGATATACCAGAGTGAAGACTGACACTTCATTTATCGGGGGGGAAAAAAAAAGTAAAAAAAAACAACGGTAACAGGCAGAATTTGATTTTACCTAGTAATGCGAGTGTAATAGTAGAGTCTCGGCTCCTTCCGGGAAAATAACCGGAACCGACTCCGAGGATCCGAGCTCTCGCGATAAACCGGAAGAACGAAGCCTCTGGTGGCGATAGCCGTGAACGATAATATTCTAAAGTCCTCGGGAGAATGAAAAATATGGCGACATAAATGGTCGAGGCCAAGAAATATCCATGTAAGGCCGAGAGATGAATTAAGCTGATACAAGGAGATAACTCGTTCGTCCAGTCGCGGAATACCCAGCTCGCGGCTCGAATTTAAGTGGCTCTGTAAGCAGAATTTGACGACACCGAGCCACGTGTCGTCGCGAGGGTCTCCGCGTGCTGCACTCGTCACGTAAACCGAGGAATTCACCAGTAAAACTGGCGAATCGTTATCCAACCTATGTAGAAAAAAATCCGGAAGACACCTTGACCCGTTCGAAGACTCGGAATCTCGTCAGAGAGACGGATAGATTACATTCTGGAGGGTATCCAGTAAAATGTCCTGGAAGCATCGGGCGAGGCCTCTGGCGGAAGTCGTTCGGTGAGACTTGAGCGGGACCAAGATGGCGGCCAAGGCCCAAACGCCGGGTCGGCCGTCTTCGCCGAGGCGTTTCTTTGCGCGCATCTACGGTCACCTGGAGTCAAAAGAGTCGAAAGAGTCGAAGTCAAAGTCCGGGTGTTCTCCAGCGACCTCCTGCGAGGACCCCGGGGGGTCGCCAGGCGAGTCGGCCGAAGAACAGCGGCTGGTACCGGAAGTGTCGCAGGATGTACCGGAAGCGCGAGGTCCTCGAGTTTCCTCAGAGGTCCAACGAAGAGCCGAGAGGCCGACAGGGGTGCCGCCGATGGGACTGCACCCCCTCCTGCCCCAGGGATTTTTTCCAGGGGGACCATCGCACCCCTTGCACCTGACGCCCCTCGCCGCGGCGGCGTCCCGACTTCCTCCGCACCTTCAGGGTCTGCCGACCCACCACGAGGCCCACTTCCACGGGTTCTCCGCGTTCCGTAAGTGAGACGCTATCCCCCCTCGGTAAAGGTGTCCCGGGATATCCGGTGGACCACGTGGTCGGGCTCGTGAAAGCCGAGCCCTCGAGGACCGCGATTTACCTCTTTCGGCTAAAATTACTCGACGTCGAGGTCACGCCAGGTCGGTGCATAATTAACGTCGAGGTAACGTAACTCCATAAATGGGAGATTAAGCGAAACGTTAATTCTGCACCGACTAATACGCGTCATTATATTATAATACATTTACACGTAAAGTTATGTTAGACTCGTCGAGAGCGCGAGACTCGAAGCGCGGAGAGCAGAATCAGGAATCTCGAAGGATAAGACGAGGTACGTCCGCAAATCCCTGCAATGACCGGCGTATACGCATCTTGGACCAACAATGCAAATCTTCTTTCCGCTCCCACGGGAGAAATCTTTCCGGGCGAATGTAGATAGGACTGAATTCACCCAAGGTGGACGAACTCACTTTTGAGGGAACTTCGTCGCCGCGTGACGGGGCGAACTGAAATTCGCGGAGGGTTTTGTGATTGTAATTAAAAAGCCTCTGTTCGCAGACGGGGGAAGCAACTCGATTAGGAGGACGACGGAGATGGAAAAAAACGTAAAATTGGGGCTATGGAAAGTGGCAAGCCGCGCGCGGCGGGATAACAATTCCGCGTAAATATCCGTGGGAGTCGCGGGCTGGGCGGTCCCGCGATTCGGGAGTAGGTTGTTAATTTGCCACACGCCTCGTTTTATTAATATTGACAAGCCGTCGACCAAGGGTGGGTGGGAGTCGTCGCCATAGCGTTTTGGAGCTGTTGCGCGGGCCGTGGGTGTGAGGAGAGGGACATGGATGCACGTAGGGGGACACAGGTGTATGTACAGAGGTACAGGGACATATACAAACGCACAGGTACACGCGGCAACACCTGGGGACACGCAGGGACACGGGAACGAGTCCGCACACACCGTCCACGGTTTATCCCGCCTCGCCACCTCGCGGCGATATTGTGATGAGATTACGGAACGCAGTTGGCCGCTTCTCAATGTGCGAATATACACCCCCGAAGTATCCCCTCAACCTCGTGTTCCTCCCGCTACGTCAACAGCCCTCCATTCCCTCTTCCTCCCCTCGACGCGGTCTTAAGCCGCCGTCGCGTCAGGTGCGTCCCCAGGAGTCCTGGAAGAATTTTTCAAAGTACGTTTCCGACTCCTCGGGAGAATTAACGAATATTAAAAAAACCTTTCTACGAACAGGGTGTATCAAATCGTTTCATACTTTAAAACGTGAATATGGAGACCCTAAGGTAGGTCCTGAAACTCGCGAAATATCATTTTTTATAAACTATTTTTAAACTACCTATAAATAAATTCGAAAAGAATTGAAGTTTCATGACTTTCAGGACCTTCCTTATAGTCTCCCCCTTCACGTTGTAAACTTTCAAGCTATTCGGTAAACCGAGGTGGGAGAAAAGTTTTATAAAGGAAACATTTTCGACACCATTTTCACATCACCTTAAGCCACCGAGTCCTCGTCCAGGTGTCCTGCAGGAACCCTTGACGACTGGATTAATTGATCGCATATTTTGGAAAGTTAGGTTTTACCTCGTCTTTTTCCTAAATCTCGGTGCGTGGTTTTCCAGGGTCGGCAGCGCGTCTTATTCGAGAGTCGATATACGGCGAGGCGGGATAAACGGAGAAGACCCCCGAGGGAGGGAAAGATCGGGTGACAATGAGCTCGCCGAGGCGCAATGAGTCGTTACGGTTATTGGCAAACATCTTCCGCTCAGCTTTCGCGCCGCCTTGTTCTCACCTCCTCCCGGCGATTCCACTATCAATTACAGGATTCCCACCGCGTTGTCGAGAAATCCGTTTTTTACCCCACGATGGCTTGGACCCTACCGAAGAGAACTCACACGTACATCACTTTTTACGCCTCTATAATCGCTATCAGTGGTATTTATATGTGATAAGAGATTTAAAAATCGCCTACCTTTATCGACGGCCAGGTTACGAGGTCCGTCCCGTCCTCTCTCTCTCGAGGCTTTTTACCGGCTGCAAGAAATCCGGGCCCGGACGTCGTAATCGGACCCGCCGCAATCCACATCGTAGAATAATTAGGATGCGGGGGTAAACGATACCGGAAGCCTCCCTCTCGAGGCTTCTCGCCAATCTGGCCCTGGCCGGAAGAAGGATCTTAATTGCTCCTCGAACTTCACGCATCGGTTTCGCATGGTTCGATGGATCGATCGTCTTCGCCTCGTTTCCTCCCTAAAAGCTTCTTTCCCGGTATAACAAACCGAAATCGGTGATCCTCCTCTCTACTCCTCCCTTGACAAAAGCCATTCGCAATTCGGGGTTTTAAATTAAATTCGACGAAAGAATTCCATCTCGGCCGACTTCGACCAAGCCGAGGGAAGTTTTCGCGAGATCGGGAGAAAAAATCGAGGCTTGGTGAGTTATCGCGAAACGCGGGGAAATAATGGGAGGATCATCCGGTATGAATTGTAGGTAGAGTAATGGGAATCTAGAAACAGGTGATCGGTGCGATTCCCAAACGCTATTGTCCACCTCGGTCGTGTATCGGTCCATCGAGTCTGTCGATAAGGGGATTCCAGCTCGGAACGGCCACCGATATCCGGCATTCGGTGTTTCCATTAAATCGGCGATCATATTTTGCGTTAAAACGACGATAATAGTTTACATTAAATCAGCGATAAGTGCGTCCTTCGGGCCACCTCGAAGAGACAGCGACTCTTCGAATCCCTAAATTGCCTAATAACAATTAACACTCGTAATCGACCGTTAAGAAAATCTCTTTGACGAGCGATCCATCGATTAGAGCCGGTCGAGACAGTGCTCGTTTTGCCGGTGCTGGTCGGAATCGTCGATTCATCTCGTATCCGACGGATGACCGGATTGGAAATTTCGGGATCCATTGGCGAGTTCGTAAAATTATTCAATTCCACGGACGGCTGCGACCGTATCTAGAATTAATATTCTTAATAACATTCGCCTTGACGTTGCAAATCAGGAGAGAATTCCTGATTCCTCGTCTGACTTTTGGTTTCCCAGTGGCCCGTCGACGGAGGAAGGAGGGTCGACCTCGGCGACAAAGAACCACCTTCAGCGGGGAGCAGACTCTTCGCCTGGAGGTCGAGTACCGTAGGGGGGAGTACATCTCCCGAGGGCGAAGATTCGAGCTCGCAGCATCCCTGAGATTGACGGAGACGCAGATCAAGATCTGGTTCCAAAACCGCCGTGCCAAGGACAAGAGGATCGAAAAAGCTCAGCTGGACCAGCAGTACAGGTCACTGTTCAATACCCTACATTTTTTCCTCAGCGTCCTCATTTTCTCCTCAGCATCTTCATTCCTAGATCTCCGTCACCCATATCGACCGACCCTTCGGTCCCTAATTCCCTCGCCCAGGAAACCGGAAGAAGAACAACACGTTAGGAAAATAAGCCTCTCGAGTGTGGTCTACATAATGCATTTAAGGATGCACTCGATAGACCTCGTGGGAAGTCCCGGATGCGTCGAGGGTGAGGCTCCCCTGGAGGATGGGTCTCCACCCATCGCCATAATCGGAATGCGTTTATGTCTGGTTTATCGAGCGTTTACCGAGTGCTTAGAGAAATCAGGTGCAGATTGGCTGAATAATGCCAGGCCTCGCAGGGTTGACTGTGATCTGTGACAAGAGGGCGATCTCGAGCGGAACGCCGCGCGCCGCTAAATAGCCTTAAGTAGGATTACCGCCGCCATATTGCCTCCCCGTTTGGAGCGCCCATCCGCGTTTCCTTTTCGGCGCCGAGTTCCATCCCCGCGTCCGCCCGCTCGTAAAGAGACGCTTTATAATTCATTCCCGACATTATCCAGGTGAAAGTTGGGCACCAAGTCGCACCCGCGGCCGATTTTAGGTGGGAATTTCGAGGGACGCTTCCCGAAGCGCCGCCATCTTGGATTCCCGGAGAAAGCCCAACGTTCGCGTCCCCCGTCGTTAAAATACGAACTAGGGCCTTAATTATCAAATTAATGCTTTTAATGGTACTGGATAATGTGCAGCAGGGGGTTGAGAATTAAGTTGTACCGATGAACCGTCTCCTCCGTGTATCAGGAGGGAGTTTATCACAATTCTGGGAACGGCTTCGGTTTATTCCGTACAGTCACGCACCCGCCGGCAGCTCTTTGATGAGTTTGCTAATAGCCCGAAAGAAGCAATAGATCAGCTATGACAAGATAATGATTTCAGGGGCACGGATGCGCCATATGTTTCGTATACATACCATGGGTCCACGAGCCCTCCATTGTTAACCATGGTACACCTTACGGTTCCCATGACCGTGCGATCGTTGTCTCCCCTTGAGCATCCCAGGATGAAATTTCAATTCCGGCCGAATTTTACTTCCGATAAATGGAAATTTAATTCTCGCCTAATATCGCAAAACTACTGTAATTTAATCCGAGAAATCGATCCTTGTTAATAAATCGCATCGGGAGCACAATGCAGCGCGTGATGGCGATGGACCTGGCAGATTTCGAGTTAGGAGCAGAATTCTGTATCAGGCTGAACGTAAAGGGCCACACGCAATTCCACGTTTAACTGCGGGTTTACTAATGGCTCCTTTGCGTTCTGCCCCCTTTAGATGTCCTCGTTTGCCGCTCGTTATCGATCATCACGTGCTCAGACTTATGGGAATAAGAATAACGCGAAAATACTTATATCTCGACTTGGAGACGTACCTTGAAGAGCGTTCTTACCGCGACGACGCTTCTACCTACGAGTATTATAATAACATATCATGTTGTCTAACAATGGACAATTAAGTTATTACTAAGATTTCATCGAGGACCGATGGTTTTGCAGGTCGTTGAAGTTTAATGATTTTCGCTTCTTGCAGGAATTTCGCGGTGTCCAGCGGCCTCCTAGATTTCCCTGTATATGGCGGCACCGGCTTTTGCGGGGTCTGCTTCTGCAAAGATCCTGCGGGAAATTCAGTGCCACATGCGTGCATCCAAAGGGACAACGCGAGTGCACCTTCGGCTGGGAAATCTCGACACAACAGCAGCGGCAGCGAGGCTTCGGAAAGTCTCCCAAATGCGAGCTCGCCGATTTAAAAGCGTTTCCTCCACTTCCTAAGAGGACCCTCAATCTGGACGAAGTCCCTGATGGAAGTGGCGCCGAACTCTCTCAGGCTCGCTGAAAATAAAGAGATAGAAAAAAAGAAGAAAAAAAAAATGAAGAAGAAGAAATCGAGTCGCCAAGGCTTTATTAGCGCGAGTCGAGATTCTCGAGGAAATTCGAGCGCTTGAGAGGGCAACCAAAGATGTAGCGCTTAGATTTAATCTAACATTTTGAGGACCTCGGTCCTGTAGATCTAAGTCCTAAGTAGTCCATAAAGAATCGTTCATTGCTTGGAATTAGTCCTAGAGAATTGTTATGAGTTAGACCGAGTCACCCTCGAGGGTTCCTGTGATTGTGCTCTTCGACATTGTCTTCTTGGGCTCGTAACTCGGACTGCCACTTATGTCGAGAGCATCCAAGATGTCCGAATGTATTTTTCTCGTGATAAATAATGCGAATGATCACTGGAAACAGGGAAAGTACCGCTCGAGGGCGGAGGTTTAACCAGCGTCCTAGGCTACAGGCTGGGGAATATTATTAATATTTATTAATTAAAATCAACGTTTACCTTGTACCGGAATTCGTCGAGGAATCGACTCGTCGGCGACAATGAACAATTAAAGGCAGTGGATAAGGTCTGTGCCCTTTCTGGGGAGAATCTCGCCTTATCACCTATCAGTAACTGATGGGAAAATCGTGGAGGGACAGGTCCCCGAGTTTCGCTTGTCGCGAGACTCGGTCTATGGAGGAAGAAAGGAAACTTATTACGTGTACACCAGTACCTAATCACGGCCAGGTCGCACCCTTGAAGACCTCTAACATCGGCGGGCTTTTCTCGACATAGATCTTAGGTCGACTTAGATCCACGGTGATGCGTTATGCGTTCGACTCGGCGAAGGTGCGGAATGAATAAAGAAACGAGTGTTATATATATATAACTGAAAGAACATTTATTAGTACCGAGATTAAAAGAAGTGCCAAATTAGTGGAATTCAATTACAGCTAGTAGGTAAAGAGGCCAAGTAAAGCCCGTAGGCAACGTTCGAATTCTCTCTCTCTTTTTTTCTTTTCTTTTTGCCTCTCCTAGAGAGATATCGCACGCATACGAAACGCGCAAACACTCGGCCTCTATTGAACGTTGTTCCACGTCCGACAGTGCAATGTGTTAGGATGAGATTTGCACTTATTAACGTAAACTGGTCGCTAAACTTACGCAAACTTACCTCGATCGGCGGCTGACACTCGGAGGCAGACACATGGTTCGCTCTCGCAGTATCGGCCCGAACGGTAAACCAGAAATTAATGAAAACGAAAGACAACAATTAATACAGGAAAAGTAAAATTAAAAGTGTGAAGTCACATGGTATTTAATCCTGCCCGCGACCTAGGCCCTCTCTCTGTCGGGCAGTCTGAGACAATACCCGAGGCGCTGGAACATTTTCGCGACAACCCTCTTTAGGAATATTATATATTCCTATATATCAGATATTCACGGAATATCTAATTAGATATGAAATTTAGGAATATCGTGCCCATCGCCAAAATCTCCCAGTGCATCGAACTCCTAGGTGCGGTGTCACGACAAAGAGTCATCCTGATACCTTATATCTCTAATCCTGTGGCCTAATCGCGTCACGTGTCCTCCGAAGAAACATATTAATATTCGCGGAAAAAGGTCCCTCTTCACTTATCACCCGAGCACCCGAGCTTCAAGAGAGGAATAACGCGATTAACTCGGAAGTACATATCTTTCTCGGTTTCACCCACTGATGGAGAGCATTTACCAGGTGTACCTTACGTATTAATATCGTCCATGTCCCCGAGATTTAATTAAGGCCCGATAAGGGAGACGAGCGTTCTCTTTCCGGTATTCTTCTGTAATCATCCCTGTTAACCTTCCCCCGAATCTTTGTTAATGGGGATGCGAAAGTGGCATATGAAAAGTCAATCCTCCGTGAAACTTTTCCCTCGGACAGGTGTTAATTCGTATCCAACTTTACAACGTGAACGTGAATACTATAAGGAAGGTCCCAACCCTCGTGAAATTTCCCTTTTCTTTAATAACACATTTTTAAAATATCCATACAGGAATGAAAAAAAATTAATTCGACATTTCGGGAGTTTCAGGACTTCCTTTATATTCTCTACATTTGTGTCGTAAAGTTTGAATAGATCGGGTGCACCCAGTTTGGAGAAAAGCTTTCACTAATGAGACCTCTTTCGACGCCACTTCCGCGTCACCTTAAGGCGTCCCTTTACAAAGTGTACACACAACCGGCCAATGAAAAACTGGAGAGCAATACTGGTACGACATGCACACACTCTTAACCATTCAGTGCTGTACGACTAGAAGAATGAGTCTAATGGTCCTACCTGTAGACGTGCTATATAGTGGCTAGCGAAAGGCCTAGCAACTATTAAGTACGACCGCTGGGAAAGAATCCTCTGCTCTTCTCTACCTGCCTGTCTGTCTCTCTCTGTCTCTCAAGTCTCTTCGGCATACGTTTCTAAATCCTCCTCTGAAGTCTGGCAGAAGCTAAATGGAAGCTAAACGGAAATCGCGAGGCCCGGTGGAAGAGAAACCGCCTAGAACTTAGGTCGTCCTCGAATCCTCTATTGCCTAAGCTCTTACGCAAAAGCGACGATAAATAATTGTTCTACATAAACGTTTGTCGTCGAGACTCGTCATAGTATATAAATATAAAAATTGCTACGCCGTACCGCCCTAAGCTGCCTTAGCACCGGCCTAAGTACGCGAATAAATTAAATCGGACATGCGCGAAAGGGATGCATCAGAGCATACGAAAGAAGGACGTCAGCGATCGCCGAGTTAACATTTGATGAAATAATACAAAGTACTTCCCCGCGGTGTAAAAATAAATCAAGGAATAAAAGATTAGCCGCCGAAAAAAAAAAAAATGATAAGGCGCCTCTCTCGTGGATCCCTCGCCCGCAAATGCCGCAAGCTTAAATTGATTAACTACGGAACATAGGTCGTAGGCATTCGTTATGTACAAATGATTTAATGCCGCGTTTACAAACACCGAGCTCCCTAACGGGCGCTTCCACCGGCTATACACACAGTGTGACAGCTAATACAGACATCGTCCTCTACTACTACATAATAAGTTACAATTGATCCTTTTCTAAAACGTAGAGCTTCCGCGAGTCCGGGAATAATAAACCGTCGAAAGAACCCCGGGGCGCGTTAACAATCGACCAAAGTGGACTCTCGACTATTTCTCTTTATCTCGCCAGAGGATACATATCTATCGGGCCCCCTCGAGAACCCTCTACGACTTAAGCTAAGCCCTGCCGCACGTATATCCCCTGCTCCGTAAATTAATAAGCGATGTGGAAAAGGTTCTCGACATGTTTTATTATCTAACTCGTAGAACATTACAACTTAAGGCTTAATCGGTTAACCTAGATAACCTACACGAGAAATGCTGTCCAACATAGAATCTCTCTCTGTCTTCAGCTTACCACCCTTCTCACTCGCTCTTTTACACTCACTCCGGTTTGACCACCTCGCGATATATCTCTCTCGTTCCTCCTCTACACCCTTTCATCGCGGTCTACATAAGAATCAGCTCTGAGTTTATCTAATTAAGAGGCTGCATCGACATCTTGCCAAAACCTTGATTCTTACATGGACCGTACGGATTTTTTTTTCCACGGCGTCTTCATTAGATACATGTACACGTGATCCCGGATTTTTTAGACGACCGAGACTTGTGCCCCGCGAGGCGGAAAAGCCGCCCTTTCTAGTTTTCAATTATTTTCCTTTCTTTCTTTAAATTTTCTTTCTTTCTCGCGTTCACTCGCGCGACCCGTAAACTGCGATCTGCCGATACGACGAAGGAAAAAAGAAAAAAAAAAGAAAGAAAAAAAAAATCCTGGATTAATCCGAAACGAGCATATTAATATCGGTCGATCATTTCGGAAATGGCAATCGGCTGCCGTTGAGGAACCCGATCGCGAATTGATATAATTAGCGACGACAATCTTCCGCACTTTCGGCGGCAGTAATGTCGAAATCTGTATTTATATATATATATAAACAATTCTCTCCCTCCCAGTCTCTCCTCTTTCGCACTCGCTCTTTCACCCCCTTTCCCTCTTGTTCCTCATTTGTTTGTCTCTCGGCCACGTGGCGGCGTGCGATACAACACAGAACATCTAGGAGGAAAAAAAAAAAAAAGAAGAACTCGTGACGCAACTGTTTTCCTTACTCTCTGTGTTTCTCTCTCTCTCTTTCTCTCCCTTTCTGTTATGTCTTTCTCCCGTGGTGGGCGGAGAACGTGTTACACGGATGTGGTGGGTGCTAGTGACCAAATTGTAATACAGGCTTAAGCCTCCCTCACTGCGACTCTAACGGGTGACGCTTCTTTCCTGTATCCTGATTGTCCTGCCTGGTCCTGCCTGTCTCTCTAGCCTTTTAGCCCTGCCTGCTCCAAACTAAACAGTACAGAAGTACTGACGACTAGAAGACAAGTAGTAGGGGGTCACACCTGAGGTTCAAAAGTCACAAATATCCGTTAGTCAAGATCGCTCGACACCGCCGGCACACTGTAAAGGGTTTTCATCTATAAAGCGGTTCATCAACGACTCTATCGGACTCCTCGCGGTCGAAACAAAACCCTCCCCCAAGTGTCACTCGTTATCGATATCTTTTTATTCAAGTTTATCGCCCCACCAACCGAGAGATCATCCAGTAGTGTTAATACGGTGCTAACAGCGAACTAGGTATCTCACCGAGTCGAGGCTTCGACTCAGCCCTCTCGTTCTATTATTTCAGTATTCTCACTTGTAGCTGCGAGTTGGAACACCCTCTCCTATTTATGACAAGCTTTCCTTTATCTAGATTCGCCCGACTGGGGCGGGGGGATCTCGAAATGGAGAGTGCCTCTGCGACTAATAATTTCTATCGAGTGATCGACAAGAATATTCATGGCATAACCTAAAAATGTACGCGCACTACGGATTCCGATGGAGCAATTTAATCGACTCTATCGCGAGCTGTTTTCCCTTTCATAATTCGTACGCGAAAGAAATTTCCATCATGTAAGATTCTCTCAATTAATGAAGAGGAAAAAAAAAATGAAAAAAAAAAAAAAGAAAAGAAACTCAAATTACTCTGTTTGTCCTTAAGGAGTACTTATCTGTTGATCAATGACACTTACCGCTTGAGGGAGTCAGGTTATCGACTTAATATCTTCTTCCGCCGCCACCTCCGCCCATGCCACCACCGCCACCCATGGAACTACCTCCGTAGCCTCCTTGATTTCCACCACCGTAGCCACCGCCTCCGCCACCGCCGCCCGAGTTACCTCCCATGGGACCTGCGATACAAATACAGATCACGTTGAGTCACTTCTATGGAGATAAAGTCAAATAACATGGAATTACTGTTAGACAGTGTCTGCGATAAGACTTGAAATTTCTACTGTTTTTTCATTTCGTAGCAAAGCTTGCCAGGGAGAATGGTTTCAATTTCTGGAACACTCACTCGCATCCCCTTCGCAACATCATACCCTTAACTTAAATTAACCACCCAGGCTACGGGATAGAGCTTCGAGTGGAAAATTCAGAATGAAATATTCTGCCGAGTAAAGGCAGCACGACCTAGGTGCTGCCTTTGCAAAGGAGTTAAGCGTCCGTGCCCACCGGATGATTGCCACCTCGAGTCTCCGGATACTCGACTAGGACCCATGTTAGTACCGTAGGGAGCCGGTCTTCCTCCAGAGTTGAAGTTGTTCCGGACTGGTCCACCACCGTAACCCTGTTGATATCCACCGCCAAAGTTGTCGTTGCTCCAGTTTCCACCGCTGTTGTAGCCTCCTTGGCCGCCCTGTCCGCCCCAGCCTCCACCTTCAACAAAGTGGATTGCGGACCAAATTAATTATCATCTTAGTTGAAGTAGGTAACTTAAGAAGAGTCCCGTAGCAAGTTGAGGTTAGATACCTTGATTCTGGTTCTCCCAAGGACCATTGCCACCCCAACCTCCTTGATTGCCTCCACCGTATCCACCTTGGTTGCCTCCGTTGTTCCAATCCCCGCTGCCACCTCCACTTCCTCGGCCTCCCCAGTTGCCACCACCCTGATTGCTGCCTCGAGGTCCTCTTCCACCACCTTGGCCTCCTCGGCTGCCACCACCGCCGCCGCCACCTCCAGCAGTCGCAGATGCCATTTCTGCCCTGCTAAGAGCCTATAATTTACAAGGGAAATGGGCATTATTGTACATAACTTGTTTAAGGAATAAAAAATATTCTTTTATGAACTTAATCCTTTGCAGCCTCAAAATCTGAAATGTTAACTGGCATTGGGCTAGATTTGACTGCAAAGAATTAATATAATTGAAGAATCAAAATGTCGCAATGCATATAATGCCTGTGAAAATTCAAGAATAATTACAAGGTGTGAACACTACCCGTATATATATTTTCTTGTTTAGAGTCAGGCAGGGGTATTTATACCTTCTTTACGTCAACGTGTTTACCACGTATTTGATGATTGCGTTGAAGACAAATCTTGTCAACGGGATCATAGTCGTCAAACTCGACAAACCCAAAGCCGCGCTTCTTTCCAGTTTCCTTGTCAGTCACGATACTGATTGAATTTATGCGGCCAAAACTTTGGAAATATTGTCTGAGGTCTTCTTCTTCGTGGTCATCCTTCAACCCGCCAACGAAAAGTTTTTTAACCGTAGCTCCAGCTTCTGGCCTGCCGATTTCTTGTCGTGGTACAGCTCGTTTAGGCTCCACAACCCGTCCATCGACTCGGTGAGGTCTGAAAGAGATGTTCTATGAAATATACACTTATTAAATAAAATAAAAAAAAAGGAGTTTTCAAGAAAAATTCAAAACTAACCTTGCATTTTGAGCATCATCAACCATATGGGCCCGAGAATAGGTGATAAATCCAAATCCACGAGACCTCTTGGTTTTAGGATCCTTCATTACCACAACGTCAACGATTTCACCCCATTGTTCGAAGTGTTTCTTTAACGAATCGTCGGTAGTCCTATAGTCGAGACCACCGATAAATAACTTCCTAACGTGCTCGGGTTCATTTTTACCATCCTGGAAAAATAATTATTTATCGATTCTTGTGCTTATACTGTTATAAAATAAAAAAAAATTAAAATTAAATCAAGTTTAGGAAGGTTTTGAGAAAACAGAAGAGCGGATTTGAATTCTAAGCGAAGCAGTGTACGATTGGAGTAAGGACGCGAGCCAAAGTTTGCTCAACATGGCGCGGCTTGGGTGTGCGCCAGATTTTCGGCAGCGTCTCGAGGAAAAACGCAGATTAAATTCAACGCGCACGTCCTTAACCGCGTAAACACAGAAAGGAGCGGGAAAAATTTCTCGACATAACGTAAGCGCGGGTAAATAAAACAATCCGAGCGCTACGCGATCAATTTCATCTGAACCGTGAGTAATTTTCTGAATGGATGCGTCGTAACAATCCGCCATCTTAGTTTTGTAGCGATCCCGTTTCGGAAAGGTCGGATCTTCGCGTAAATACATCGAACTTCCTACAATAGTCCGAGTTTCAACTGGCACATAAGACTACGCACGCGAGACGACACTTGCGGCTAATAATTATTAGAAAATATCCATACCGCAGAAGACGCGGAAATTGAGCCACGCCGGCGAAAACGAGCTCGCGCGTCCCTCATCGTGAAAACAAACTACACTAGACTATCGAATTGAGCGTCAGCTAGTATCTAGTCGAACGCTCTGAACATCGCCAATATCACGTTAATTTATAAAACGATACTACGCCCTGGGTATATATGTGAGGGAAGAATGAACGCGTACTCACGCCGCGGCCGTACTGACGCGATCGCGGGGAACATAAAAACGGAGTAATATTTGCTTTCTTTTTCCCTCGGGATGGTACTTACGTCGTGCTCCATCTTTACCATGCTTCACGGTTAGCGTGCAAGGTAAAATGTCCCTCGCAACTTAAAACACGAATAAAACTCGAGTCGGCGTCACCGCGAAATAAAGGACGGAGCTGAGTGAAGCACGTCTCTCGATCGATTGCCGGTTCCTTCGATGTACTCGAGTGGACCCTGAATACGGAAGCGGGAAGCAAGATGGCCGCCGCACATGCGCACACCGCGCCTTGTCAAATCGTCCGTTAAGAACCCAATTAAAATACCGTATTTTATATCGCCCGTGATTTTAAAATTCATTACGCAATTACCGCTTCGGGTAGGATACGAAATTCTCCGTAAAAGTGAGGTGTTTGGTTAACACACGAAACGACCACGACGGTACATTTGCAGGGTTGCCATACCTAAGTCAGTTATACCAGAGAGTAGTAGAAAATATAGAAAGTGCTCAAGCCCGAAATATCGTAACTGCCCACTTGGTGGTCGTGATCCGAAACTTTTCCCACAAATTCCACGTTTGACACGAAGGTTCGCATCTCGACTAATTGCTGTTCTCCAAGTTGAAAAATGTTATAATGTGTAAAAAGAATTGTTTTTATAATTTAGGTTGTGTTAATATTCTGTGACAGTTAAGGTTTCAGTTCAGGTTTATTGGTGGTTGTAATATTAATGCTAACAATGTTGAGCCGGCGAGGAATAACATCAATTCCTAACCTATACCGCGCTGTTTTTATCGAAAATGTCAGATTTAAATCATATCTCGGAAGGGAAGTTAAATTTATGGCTAAACTGTTGAAGCCAGAAAATCCTAAGCGGTAAGAATGCAATTTATTTCACACCGTTGAAACTTTTAAAATAATTGGAAAAATAATATTTTCATAAATTGGTTTGTGACAAAGTACAATTATTCTACTATCATTTTTTATCTCGACCTTCAGGAAATCTCGCAATCGGGACATGAATGCTCAAAGTTTATTAAATTCATATACTTCAAAGCCAGTCGTAGCGGTACACGATACGCGTAGAATGGCAGTATTAAACACTCTCTTCATGCATCATATAACAGATCTTATGGCTACAGGCGAAGTAGCTGCGGAACTTGTTGGAAGAGGTATTGAAGTTACGGGTGTGAAAATTAGTCCGAATTTCTGCCGAATTAATGCATATTGGATAGTAAAGAAAAGCGAAGAAGTAGAGGAAGTGTCACAGATTTTACAGCGGTCAGCAGGACATTTGCGTCATGAGTTGTCTCAGTTACGGGTAATGGGTGTGGTTCCAGTCATTGAATTTGTACACGATAAACAAGTATCTATGATGGCAACGATTGAAAATGCCCTGCGAGAAGCAGATTACGGTGAAGACTTTGAACCTACTAATAGTATAAAAGAACCAACGGAGGCAAAATTAAAGACTATGATTCCAATAGAACTTCTTCATAATGCCGAAATAGTTTGTACAGAGATAGATGATTTAAAAAGTGAACAGGATGATACTATAAACACAGAAAAAGGTATCTTACAGGAAAGTGAATTGAACAAAGTCTATGATGTTAGTTTACCACCAATGAGAAATGATGTGCTTGGATTAAATCATTCAGATATAATGACTAAGGTACTGCTTTTTATGAATAACAATATTAATACAGTAAGATAAATAATTATTAATTTTTTTAGGTCAAACGATCATTAAAAAAAACACAAGAAGCTATCAGAAACCACTCAGTAAATGATTTGTATCCTATCCAATCGACAACAGTTGCTTCATCCAGTGTAGTTGAATATTTATCTGCATCCAAGGAACATGTAGCTTTCTCTAAGTTCTTGCGACAAAGGAAACGCGAGAAGGGCAAGCAAATAAAAAAGTCAGCTATAGATTTGAGGGAAATTATTATCAAGGACGATGTTAGAGATGACAGTACTGAACTGTATACAAATTGGAATGATGATTTTGAGAATTCAAAGTACTCAGAAGATGAAACGTTCAACTGATAATGTGGATAAACTCGAGAAGGGTTACTCAAATCGAAGGAGGCATGTCTCATGAGGATTCAATGATGTAGGTACTTAAAATGTATTAACATTTAAACTGTAGAATTAACTACTTTTGTTAATTGTATTTTACCTTTGTCAATTAAAGGAAACACGACACTTATCCATCAATAAAACAGTCACTCATTTTACATTTATTGTGTGCTTCTAAATAAATATAATACTTGGGCAGTACTGCTTCAGTACGTACATTTATTTAACGATTCAAGTATACTGCTGAGGTGTATTGGATCAAAGTAAAAAAAAAAGTCAACTGTCAAACTCAAATGCAAATCATTCTGTAGTATCGATATGTTAAAATTTCGTGTTAATAATAATTTTTTTTACACAAATAAATTTGTATTAAGGTACAAACTATGTACAACAAAGTAACAAGTACCAAATATAACCCCACTTAACAATATTATTGAAAGAATTTGTATCACATGGATGTGATGCTTTTACCACGATTAATATGTATCTCACAACAGCGACTGTATAATCATTTTGAAGTATATTAAAGCTTGTGTGGTTATTACGATTAAATTTGAATCACTAGTAATAAATTCAAGAGTTAGTGCAAAGCCCTTAAAAGTGACAGAGAGATGCTTTAACTTCAAGCAATGAAGTTTACTACACTAGTCTTAAAATACTTCAAAAGATTAATTTTGTTGTAAAAAAATGTTACCATACCTATCGTATGTCACATGTCGTGTTCACACATTACAACATTCATAATATATTACCCACGCGAATAAAATTGTCTCGGTGTAAACCCTAAATAGATATTAATATACATTTCAGTGATTCACCATAACAGTGCAGTATAGCTAAATTTTTGTAATACAAATCTGAAAAATGTAGCCTCTGGAAAATGTTACGCACATATATTACATATCTGCATTTGTATTATATCATTCATAGGATTCTGGTTTCTGACCTTGAAAAGCTTAGAGAAAACGTAGTCATTCCGTTAAGCACATCAATTTCAATAACTGTTCCTATAAATTTAAAGCAGTTCACAATCATCTCTCGAAAATAAATCCGAAATTTATATCTATAAGAAATCATACAAGTGACAATTTAGCTTCAATGAAAACGCAAAATTCTGTTTTCTTCTCGTCATCTTATTAAGCGTCATTTTTGTATTTCGATTTTGTGTAGAAAAACTTCGCATAAAGAAGTTTCATTAAACTTTTAATGCATGCTTTCCAAATTTCTCTACTGGCATACGCGTAGCCTATTTTAACCATTGAGGGCTTTTCGAAATCGAGGTTCTTTATGGATGAAAAATCTTTTCGAACCTTCCTTCGTTATTAGATTCTTCAGTTCACGCTGATTTTTAAATCTTTAAATAAAATAAAACGTGTACGCATTAGATCGCGCTTCACAAAAATCAGTGAGTGTTTGGTCAACCGAAAATACAGAAACTATATTGGAAAAGAAATCCTCTTAAAGCCAAATAAATAGTATTTCAATGTAATCATAATTTAGTGATTCATCATAGCCAAGTAAATTCGACTCTGAACGCCTTAACGTTTTCTCTTGGCTTAAATTAATTTTATGTGGCTCTAACGATGCACAATACTGTCCTGATTGCAAATATTCTATAGAAAACGTTAAAGTATGAGAGCTAAAAGTTTAACAGGCTCCTATGAACTTATCGAGCCCGTTGGGTGTCAGAACTGCTCCAATTTTATCGTGTTCTATTGAATATTTTCACAAGGGTAAATTCTAGCAAAAGAAGTGCATTTAATTAGATTAAAACCTTGTATCAAGCGTAATAATAATTGTTCTATGATGAGGTACTCGGTGGTTCTCTAATGCGTTCTCGACTGCCTGCGGGCGAGACGAAACCACTCCACATATGCATTTTACACGCTTCCAGAACGTACTTATTAAACGTTTCACTCTTGTCAGCGTATACATGGTGACCAGCTCCTGATATCACCTGCAACAAAATGCTTAATGGCTCAAGAAAAAAATTATCAAATATCACCGCATCCCAGGAAAGAAATTAAGATAAAAAAATATAAGAATAGTTTAATTCATTTATATGCACCTGTACATTGACGTAGGAATATGGTCTGCTCTGCTTAATTGTTTCTCCGGCATTCTCTATCCAAGATCGACTACCATAGAGAAGAGTCATGGGGATGTCTGGATCTAATTTGTCAATCCGTTTTAAAATGGGATTTTTGGCCCACCCGAAATTCTGCATCATCGCATGAAAGGCACTCTCACCACTGTTCATAAATAACGGATAACGCTATGAGTGTTAATTCAATAAGGTTTAAAGCAAAAAATATATAAAGGTACTCACGATGGGGTTTGCGCATTGCATTGATGTATATACTGAGAAATGACACTCACATCATTTTCCACGATCGGCGAAAACTTTTGTACTATGTCTGGTCTGGCTCTTTCGATGAGCCACTGACCTAATAATGGAAGGATATTGGCCAAAAATTAAGAAGGACTATTACTCTGTCAAGTGTTGTTAATGTACACTTGTAATAGGTACCGACCCAGAGGTCCGACGAGCCTAACTGCCCAAAACGGATTTAGAGGTTGCACTACAAACGCAATAACTCGCACCCACATAGGAACGTGCATTTTGGAAACGACATCAACTGGCTTCTCAGGAAAACCCCAAGGATCGGCAAGTATCAGGTGCTGCACTCTTTTTGGATACTGGATGGCATAGCTAGCGGCAAGGAAACCTCCCATGGAATGACCGAGCAAAATAAATTTCTCTAATTGCATTTCTCTCCTCCATTCTTCCACCGAGCGCACCAGCTGCTCTTCGGCTTTTTTACCATCATTGCTAAAGACTGGTCTACTACTCCTCCCAAAACCTGTACAAAAGAGTGACAAGAATATTGAACGAGCAGATAATATCAAATTAATATTAGTTCCGTAATCGGTGAAATAGAAATAATAATTAAAGTAATTGTAATTCTCAAACATCGTTTACACCCTTGATATAAGATTAAAACGAAATCTGACTGAACTCCCTGTTGACGGCTTGTCAACGAGAGTGAATCATAATGCTAGAAGAACAAAGACTAATCAGATATGCGCAATCCCAAAGTTCAATATCTTCTTTGTGTATCATCGAAGCAATGACAATGTGTGAGAGTTATACATTTTTATATATTATATAATAAAAATGTATCAAGAAGTCTGATATGACTCAATGATTCAAATCTCATTATGAATCCTGACTTCCAGTTTTTGATAAACAGAACACATTCCAAGACATGTATCGAAATCGTACATACCCAATAAATCTATTGCATATACGGGTCTTTGTGAAGCTAGAGCATCCAGATTCATACACCATAATGCTACACCAGCACCTAGGCCATGGAGCATGAGAATTGGTGTTTCTGGTGACTCTTCGTTCATTGATATAGTCCATATCTTGTCTGCAGAACCAACAACTGGTCCAATATCAACATACCACCCACGATATGCCGTCTTGAGACCTACAGGCAATAACTTAGTTACTCTTAAGTTCATTACGAGAATGATGTCACAATAGAAATTAGGTACAATAGGTCAAATCCCTATGTCAATTTATTATACCCACATTACATATACATTATTATATATTACTCACATGATAAAATTTTTTTCTCAGCAGCTCTTAACATTGCCGAGGAAGAACCTGACCAACTGAACCAGTTCCAAATCCAGCTGTCAAAATTAAGGCAAAATTAGTCGATACTTCACGTGTAAGCGTATGTGCAAGATGCCAAATGTATATAAATAGACGTAAGAATTAGAGACTATAACTAACAATGGTTTAGATAATAAAGTACCACACAGTAAGTCAAAATAAGATGTATGTTGATTATGTACAATGACCTTGGAATAAAGGTACGATCTGATAAATGTTATCTATTGCGTTTACTTCCAAACATCATATAGCCTACATTTATTGGACATGTACAAAAATCAATCCAGTGCTCTAAAATATTCACTCACTGACGTTGACGTTAAAAATAAAATAAGATATAGATTACAAGTTCTCTCTTTGCTCGGTGATTATGTACAGTTGAAAAAAAAATTGTCTTATTCCTTGAATAATTTTTCACACGTACAGCGCAATCCTACAAAATATTAACATAAAAGATAGACATTGTTCAGAGAAAAAGGTATAAAAACACTATTAATCAGAAGTCATGGCATGATCAATGGATCAAGAGTAAGGCGTCGAAATGTCTTCACCTGTCGTCCGAATTCATCTTATCTTCATTATGTATCAACCAGCCTTTGAAATGCTTGACGTTACAACGCATATCTCTACAATGACGTAATAGTACTGGATAGCTATTAGTAGGATAAACATCAAGATGACGTTATAAATAGGAGAAGACCGATGGAGGGGAGATGAGTAAAAGTGCAAGGTCCGAAGGCCACGGAAAATTGTCAAAGTTTGCCAGTGAGCCGACGATGCTCGAGCACGTCCAGACACTCTTTATGCATGCATGCATAAAAATACCTTTTTGATATGACGACCTCATTGTCTGCCATGAGACGAGCACACGGTTGACAGCTAACTGCAACCACGCCGTTCGGCTCCGAGACCAGTGCAAGGAAATTAAAGGGATTCAATTCACTCGTCTAGTTTGTTAGGTTATGGCACCGGTCCGACCCGGTCCGGAGCTCTAAAAAATTCGCCGCCCTTGAGTGTTGGACCGCCTTTTCGAATTCGGTTGTTTTTCTCGCCGTGTCACTTGCTACTTTGAGTTGTCGTCTGCTGCACTCTCGAAAGCTCTCGAACGATATCGACTCGTCTCGCGATCGATCGACAGCTCGCAGTTGACTCTCCACGAGACAACGCGCGACGATGGAATGCCACTAAAGGAATCTTTGCCTGACTGGAAAGTGGGGTTATCTAGCTGATTGGTTGCAAGCGGGGGCAATCCCGGAGAGGGGGGTTATCTTCGATGTAAGTCGGAAATCATTGATGAGGCAATTATATGTTTTATTTCATGACGCGGTTGTTTTTGAGAGCTGTTGGGAAAGTGTCAGCATGAGTAGTCTTTCCATGGCAATGGCGGTTGCTGATTGGTCGAGTATACAAAATGGCGGACGGTACAATGGTGGATGACTCATTTCGAGGATTCGAATGTAAGAAAAGTTCAATAGCTCTTCAGCTGTTATTTCAACAATTTTCAGGTTCTTGATAAACTTGACCCCTGCGTCTGTGCACGATTAAACACGATTTAATTTCCTTGGAATGATTTACTGAAAGTAGGTTCGCGTTACGTTTAAATTTCATGTGAGGAGGGTGTACGTCCATGCTAAGAGTGGATAAGTTTCGTTAGGGAGTCGTTAGAGTACGGCAACTAATGTGGACTCTTTTCAAAGGTTTTTGTCCAGTCTAATTAAATCGTAGTCCTGGGCGCACTTGAGAGTCTCGAGTATACCTGAGCATACCTAATTTTCTTTCCTTCACTTTGCATTCACTTTGCATCGTGACTGCAGTGGATGGTGCATTTTGACACTTTGATCTGCGCGAGTGCTCTGTTTGCCTGCGCGTGACATTCCAGTGAGTGACGCGTTTCGACTTTCGTTGGTTTGTTTCGTGTGGGAATACTCACGTAGGCTAGTGACGTGTTTCCTCGACACGGTCTACAGTATTCGTACATATCCAACGATATCCTAACAAGTATGACGCACTCTCATGCCGCATGCATTATAGTCCATCACTGAAGAGCAGTGTAGAAAGTGATTGCATCCACATAATCGATTCAGCCCTTCTGAAAGCAATTCGAACGAACGCGTGCGCGATTCGCAAGTGGAAAACCTGCATTTCTTGTATTTATTGATATCGACGGCTTAAGCCGTCACAGGTATATTTGGAGGTTAACCTCGAAGGCTCGAAAGATACTAGTATCGCTGAAGAGGTTCAATTGATATATTAGCATCGATAGAATGCATCTCGAAGGACACAAGTGATCAGACAGGTTTTGGAGCAACGAAGCATAAATAAGAACCACGATGCCAGATAGCGAAGCGGTCTATCAACCTACAACTGTAGGGTATTCCTACGATACGAGTGGCGATGGCACTAGGGAGCGAAGTCGCCTCGGAGCAGGTTTTCTTAACATTATGTCCAGGCACAAGATCAGTGCCAGTAAATGGTGCGAATGGGTCCTGCTCTCCGTTACATTGGCGGCGCTTCTTACAGGATTCGTTACTATGATGATATTTTTAACATCCTCGGGAGAGGCTCGTCCTGCCAATGCTACATTGGTAATAAAGCACGTGCGAACTGCATTTAGTGGATGCACGTTCATTTATTTTTACAGGATATAGTCATAATAATGCAGTTAGAGTTTTGCTATGGACGGAGTTTTACAAAAATTTTGGGATGGGTTCGAAAGTATAATACCATCAAGAATGCGATTGTTATCAAGAACTTGATAAGCTTCTAGATAAGATTGTATAAAAATTTAAAAATAGTGAAACTGAGTAGGAAATATTACGTTTCTTAACAGATTATTTGTTTTTCAAGGTAAACGACGGAGGTCAAGGTTCCGATAGTGAAAAGCCTGGGACAATTGAGATGGAAGGACGATCCACTGGAGTGGGTTCGATGACAGTGGCCAAGACGATGTTTTTGGTTGCGGTTTTAACAGGAGCAGGTTGGGCTTGGCTACGATTCTTCCGTCGTAGGAAATCCCAACGAGGTGGCATGTCTGGTGGTGGTGGTCAGGTAGGTACACATAGACCCCCAATCGCAGTCAGTATTCCTTGTACGTCTCTGTCATTTCTGACCGAAACACTAGCTCTTTCGTTCGTTCGTTCCTTTCTTTACCCTATGTGCGCGTCGCTACGTGGAAAGATGTTGGGCGGTTTGAATCCATCCACTGACTTGCTGGTGGGTTCCGCTTCGCAGTACGGGCCGGTACTTACGGAGCTGCCCAGCCAGCCAAAGCAGAAACAACCCGACGACGCCAACGAGACTCCAGCTGCTCCACTTTCTGACCAGGAAGAGGAGACTCGAACTCTTATGCAGGATAATACCATGCCAGCTTTGGCGCCTGGTGCTCCAAAAACCACCGATCAAATACCAGGATGAGTACGAAAGATCCCTCGGTTTCTTTGTAAGAACCTCACGGAAGGATGGACTCTTGCTTTCTCTTCCTCTCTTCATTAAATTCTTCTAAAACGAAGAAGTCGCCCCATCCTGAGATCTTCGTATTCGCCTTTTTTACTAGCTCGTTATTTTCCTCTCCTCGTGAGTGCTTCCATCAATTCCATTGAACTTTAACTCTTAAAGATTATGCTACACGGAAATCTATATTTAATCAGCTGCTCACGGTCTAAAGACAGGGAAGGTTACTTGTGGTACATATATATAATAATTTATAATTGCAATTTATATACATAATTTTTTATATTTATATAATTGTAATTAATTACGTATGCATGGGACTTACTTAGAAGTAATGCTTTAAAGTGGCAAATTATTGAAATTGAACAGCAAGGTTGGTATAGCAGCTCTTTTGGCAACATTTCGTTCTTTTGATATCATTCGTAACAATGCAGTTATCTAGTTCATATCATTGGAACGTCAATGTATTCTTTTTCCGTGTAGCTCTGCATTTCTCTGCAAGTCACTTCAACAGGCTAATGTATATGCACCCCCCTCGCAGGGTTTGGAAATAACGTGCTCCGAGTAACGGCATTTTCCGCTGCGTCACCTTAACTGACGTACAGCGTAGTTCTTTTTATAAAATGTGTAACTCCGTTGGCAGACATTGTGTCTAAGTCAAAGAAATTATGCCATAAGTTTTATCTTTGCATCTGAACATTTATTTCTTTATGTTGCTTGATTTTAATTTTTTTTATCATATCACAGATCGGTTAAGTTAAAGTTGTTCGAATGATGCTGTGGTTTCATACGAGATCTCAATGGAAACAACAATCACTTTTCTATTATCATTCCGTGCGAATATGCTCTTTCCACGTTAAGACTGCATGTGATTGGATTTATTTGTTTTAGTGTAAAAAAAAAAAAAGAAATTTTGGGTATGACTAATCATGGTAGTTCTTTTCCGATGATCATTCTCACTCGTTTAAAGAAATTTTGTACCTTCAAAGTGAGTTTTTATATTTTATTCTTGGTGGGGAAAAATAAGAATGATGGTTTTTAATAGTAATTGCTCCAAACCCTGCTAAGCCTTTCATATGCAATGCCTAGCATAGTGCTCAGGGATGGGCAGCATTATTTACCTTCACTGTTTAATTAACATAATTATTGAGGAAATACCTGTAGAGACTTTCGATGAAGTACTGTGTAATCGGTAATTACATGCATCCCTTGTAAGTAGTATCACTCTTGACTACTAATTACAGTTGCATCGGTTTAGAAGCAGTAGCGCAAAAGTGCCCATCCTGGTGGCGGTAGTGTCGGAGCTGACTTATGAACCCAATCATGTATTTCTTCGTTCCTGCAATTAATGCCCGAACATTTTTGTTCTGACGAACTTGTGTGTATAATTTACACTCCGTCCATTTACAAGTCGGTAGATTTCATTGCGTCGTGGACATCGACGTGTTGATCTTGTATCTAGGAAATAGCATCAGTAGGTAATGAGTTTATGTATTACGTTCGACTTTATGTATCGTTTTATGTAAGCCATGTCGTGAATGAGAAAATAAACGACTTGACGACTGACCCTGTAGTGCCAAGTGTCTGCTAGTAATCAACGAACTTTTGTGGTACACCATGAAAAGAGTATTCATACCTCGGTGCTTTTTAGATTCATGTGTTCATGTAGAAAAAATATAGTTACAATTTAGAAGTACATATTTGCTGTTTTTTTCAATAAGTGGGTAGAGATAAGGTGGGAGATTGCTCACGGGCAGGGTCGCGCGATCGCATCGTGTGCTGCCCTCTGGTTTCGTACGTTAGCTTTCATCGTTTTTTGCCCCCAACAGAGATGAGCAGGCTCATCTCTGGCCCCAACAAAGATCATCTCTGGTATAATTATTCTTAAGGTGAAAGCTAACATACGAAATCAGAAGGCAGCACAGAATGCGATCGCGAGACCCTGCCCGTGAGCAATCTCCCAACTCATCTCTGATTAAACCTATTTGTAAACAATAGGAACACCGCAACTGTAAGATTGATTTGGATCGATTAAGAATTTCTTAAGATCAGACGCAGAATGAGCAAGAGATTAAATCTAAACGTGCTCGCGTCACCCAGAGTTTTAAGATCCAAGAAACGATTAGAGGACATAACCTCATCTTCCGAGGCAACCTCTCAGTACTTCGAAACGGTAGCCCATGAGCCAAAGAAAATCGCAAAGAAAAAAAATAAACCCGTCAAGATCAAGTGTGACGAGTCTAATGAATTTGAGGGAACCTCAGAAGATACTTCAAAATGGATTCCCGAGAATTGGGAGGTTACTCTCAAGAACATCAAGGAAATGAGAAAATATCAAACAGCTCCTGTCGACGAGATGGGATGCCACAAGTGTGCGGATCCTAAGGCTTCTGCACCGGTTAGTAGATACCAATCATTAGTAGCTCTGATGTTGAGCAGTCAGACAAAGGATCAAGTAACGCATGCTGCCATGCAACGGTTAATCATTTATGGATGCACTCCCGAGACAATTGCTGCCACTCCGGATGATGTTCTGGGTAAATTAATTTATCCCGTGGGTTTCTGGAAGGTGAGAGATTTAAATGTGTCTTATGTTACTTTCTTAAGGTACAGAGCTTAATTTCAGTAAATGGCAAAATTGCGTTACAGAGAAAAGTGGAATATATAAAGAGGACTGCTAAGATATTAATAGAGAAATATAACAGTGATATTCCAGAGACATTGAAGGGGCTCTGCGAGTTGCCAGGGGTTGGCCCAAAGATGGCTCACATTTGCATGCAAATTGCCTGGGGACAGGTTTCTGGTATTGGTGTTGATACCCATGTTCATCGTATTTGTAATCGTTTAGAGTGGGTGAAAAAGCAGGCGAAAACACCGGAAGAGACTAGGACTCAATTAGAGGATTGGTTGCCGAAAGAACTCTGGAGCGAAGTAAATCATCTGCTTGTGGGTTTTGGGCAAGAAACTTGCTTACCTCGATTTCCAAAGTGTGGAGAGTGCCTCAATAAAGATATTTGTCCCTATGCCAGGAAGAATCGTTCCGTTAAGAAATGAATGTTCCTCAAGTTATGATAACTGGTTTGCAGTATTTATTCGGAAAATTTGTGTTCATTATCAAGATATATATTTCAATAATAATTTATAGTGTTCATTATATAATTTTGCAAATAGTGTGTATTCATTAATGTAACATTCCTCTTCATGTCTCTCTTCGATTACTTTCAATCCGTATTTTGGTGTACGTTGTAATTATCTAGTAAGAGATCAAGTTCGAGCTGTCCGACGAGGTGCCTTTTTCCCGCGTTTTCCTTCTTGTTTCTTTTGGATATTTTTCTGCTTCTTTAAGGACTGTTTCTTATTTTTTGTCCGTTCCAATTTCTGTTTCAATCGAAAAGCCTTGCTCTTTTGAATTTCTTTCGTCGCAGTTTTCTTTATGACGCGTTTAACATCCTTTTCCGTGTTAAATTTCTTAGGAGGCTTTGTAACTGCAGGTTTAACAGGGCTGGGGCGATCGCGGTTAAGTTCCATGCCAGCGACGTCTTCAAAATCATCGGTTTCTTCTTCGTCTTTAGATTCATGGTCACTTTCATACGAGACTTTATTTTCACCGATCCACTTATTGTCCTGAGTTAAATCTCCAATGTTCACTTCCAAAATACTAACCGTTCGTCCTTCCATCTCGTACTCCTTGCGTGAAAGGAGTTCTTGTACTTCGGGGACATCACGGTTCGAGACGAGAGATTTAAAATGTTCTTTAGCCTGCAATATAAGGTTTGCATTATCAAGAATTCGTTGAAGGGAAATATATTCAATTTTCTTACGTTACTACTATTAAGTGCAGACTATCGCTTCTCTTACATCACGTTTAATTCTTTTCTTTTCTTCCTTTAGCTGTTGCTTCAGCTCTTCCTGGGCTTTTTTTTGACGTTGAACCTTCCTCTTGTGAAATCCGCATAGGAAGTCTCTGAATAATTTTAAGTAAGTTTATTTAACAGCAGTGACTCAATGATCCTGCGAGGTTAGGTTCTCTTCAATTCCGTCCTATAATCATCTCTTACTATATCGAGCTACGATGATTACATAGTACCTTCTCTTTTCTTCGTCGAACACGAGAGTGATTTTTCTCCGCTTTTTCGGCTGTCCGGGAATGCGATTTACGTCAAACTTCCTAGGAGGTCCTTTCGCTTTCAGGCGCGGCGCCATGTTTACAATTTTACAACTCCACGTGCGTTCTACTCTGTCGGTAAAGTCAATTCATAGGGAAGATTCTGTCAATGAAGCCCATTCTCCTCGGCAACCCAGCGCCATTGCGACGCGGCTGGAACGGTGTGTATTTTCTGAAAAATGCCAAATAAAAAAAAAAAAAGAAAATTCAGAATTATACAATACATATAAATTTTTAATACATCTAAACATTTATAAAGACGGAACATTCAATTATTCTACTTTACTCCATTAATCCCCAGTATCACCTATATATCATGTCTTGGACATTCTCCAAGGTGTCTCTCTTTTAGCACTTTAAAGAATGTTCAAATAAACTTACTTAATAAATTAGGAGATATTAGGGGGGAGGGGGATTTTATATTTAATATTTCCTAAACGTCTGCATTCGATGGCCCAGGTTTTGCGTGCCGTGCAGCGTGTCGTACGAGCCCGATATCGAGATTTACTGGAGATCAATGTTGCCAAGGCGAGAGGGAAGGAGGGAAAGAAAAAGAAAGAAAAAGGAGGACCGACACCGAGCAACGGGGGAGCGGATAAGGAAGTTCCGGGGGTGGAACCGACTCGATTGGAGGGGTCGCCCGATTGGTCGGTTAGGTCTGCAGGACACGTACGAGACGCGGCCTTGTCAAGGGATGACGGTATTTTTAATGGAAACCCGAAGGCGTCCTGAATAGGACCACGGCGATTCGGGGGTGGGTCGCGACACTCGGTTTCTTTGATCAATAATGAAACTTCTCTCCGCCTGCAGTCGCGGCTCTCACCCCTCGGGCGCCCCTAGACCTCGTCTTATACATTTTTAACCCTTATTCCTGGGAAGAGCAGAGGACGCGGACTCAAAGCGGGGAAGCCAACTTCTAACGAGCCCGATTCGCCCCGGGCTCGGCCTTTCCTTTTTCCTTTTTTCTTTTTTTTTTTTATATAAATAATTCACCCCCGAAGATCCGGCGAGGTCGGTCGGGGGCGGACCGACTTGACCCTGTCTTTTGAGATTTTTCCACCCGCCGTCTGACGTCGAAACCCTAGCTTCTAAATTTTCCCATTTTTCGGGGCCTCTTGACCTCGGATACATTTTCTCTCCTCTTGTCGAGGTTTTTCATTGCGATTCTATCACGATTCTACCACGAAAGGCGGTTACTTCTCGGCGAAGTTATTTCCACTCCGTAGAAATGTCGGTCGAGGATTTTCCCTCCCACTTACGTGGAGCATCTTATCGCTACTTGCGCAATTCTTGGGTAAATGCAAATTTTTCACGGGGGAGGAGTTTTGCAGAGTTAGCAGGAAGTGCCCTCTCGGAAAAGTGGGATGGATCGAATTTCGGAAATTTCGCTGATCGTAGGTGATTTTTCGCATTTTTTTTTTCCCCTTCCCCGACTCGTCATTCCGAAAAGCTGTCAAATTATCGACGGCGTCATTCGAACCGATATCGAATGATAACGAAGCTCCGCAGGCAGACGCGGCGATATCGCAGCAAATTGTAGGTTTGGTTTGTCGTTCGTTGATACGTACTTTTAATAATCCCTATTTTTTTTTCGCTCTCAGGAGGAAATTCAAAAGTCGCTGAAACGATGCTTCGTCGTTACTCGGGCAGAAAAACCAAATCCGGGGAGTGGGACCCTGGAGGGTATTCTTTTTTTTCCCGTCAGGAAGGGCCATTTCTAGTTCGACAAAAAAACATAAAAAGTTCATGGAAGGTCGAAAATCGGGATTGAAAATTTTTGCAAGGCCCTCCACCTAAGGTGCACCAGCCGAGGGGTCCAGAAATTGACGCCGCGAGACCGAGAAAAAAGTTCCGACCTGTTTGTTCCGTCTAACAAGCATCCGAAAGTCTCGAAAGGAGGATCGACTCTGGTCTCACCCCCTGGGGGGGTCGGCGAGGAAAGAAACGCGGCCGAGAAAGAGATCGCGATGGAAAATCCCGGGGTTGGGGGACGCGGAATAATACTTAACGAGCCGACTTGAAAGGGCGTCCGCCATTTTGAGTCAATACTTGAAAGTCTTTGCTCATTAAGAGTATTTCGCGTCCCCCCGGCCGTTCATTTTTTTCCGAGGGGACCGGGGGGGTGGCCTTCGAAGATGGAAGTTATTTACGCGGCACTCGGCACCCTCCATCGCAGTCCCAACCCCCGGCAACCCCGAGTTGATTCCGAGTTTCCTCGAGCCGCCCCCTTTCGACGCCCTCCCACGTAATCACCGTCCCATTTCGCGGCGTTTTTCCTAATTCCTACCCAATTCCGCTTTTAGCGTTTCAATTTATGCCACCGGCCCGATTCGTTAGCCCGACAAATTATCGGGGCCGGAACTCGACCTCCTCCTCCATTTTCTTTCCTCTTTTTCCCTTCGGGCTTCCCTCTTCAACCCTTGCGCCTTGTCTGGGGATTATCTTCTTTTTTCCTAGGCTCTCTTCTTTTGGCTCGCTCTGCGCACGTTCCCTCGATACTTACATTCCCTAGGGAATTCTGGGGAATCGCTCTTGGGGCTGGCTATTACTTGCGGAATCTACTTGAACTCTTGGGCGGGTGGTTAATTTCAATCTGTAAAATGGGGTTTGATAATATTATGAACTTTAACGCATTTATGGGTTTTTAGGAGGTACGTTGTAAGGAGAGGATGGTCAAATCTGGAATTTTTTTTAATGAACAATTTCATGGCATTGTCACTCGGGAGAGACAAGGCTCTAGTCGTATGCGAAGGCGACTCGGTCGGGATTCTCGGATTGCAGGGGAGCGCTTACGAATTTAAACGGTAACAGGATAGGTGAGGCGAAAAGAACGGGCAAAAAAACAAAAGGGAGAAAGCATTTCGCGCAGAGCCCAGTCACGAATGAGGACAAAAGCGTGAAGGGGCCTTTTCGAGTCGGTGACGCGACGAGGGAGAGGGAAAAAAAGTTGCATGAAATGTGTCTCGTGACATAAAAGCCAATAATCCAGTTTCTCGAAGTGGAGGGCCCAAGCGCGCATATTAAAATTTTTCCCTGTTTATCAGCGCTCTTATTAAATTTTCATTTCAGAGAGAGGAATTCCCGAAGAGAGGCCCAATGGTCCCAGAAACCGGGGCGTCGAGTTTCTTCGAGTTCTTCATAAAGAATCGGAAACAATGTCCGAGTGTCCGTCTAAGCGTGCTTATTAACGTTTCTTTTTTTTTTTAACCAGCGCTCTCATTAAATTTTCATACCGAGGAGTGAAATTCCCGAAGCGAGGCCCAACGGTCTCGAAACCGGCGCGTCGAGTTTCTTCGAGTCCTTTATAAAGAATCGGAAACAATGTCCGAGTTCCTGACGAGCGCGCCCGTTAATGCAGCCTCCAGGGTGTCCCCGGAAGACAAAAGCCTGGCTCGGGGTGGCTGCGAAAATAAATCACGCGTAGCGCCGGGGTCGCGCGATTGTATCGAGTTAACCCCTTCATTGTCTTGTTTTTCTTTTTCCTGCTCTCTTGGCGGGCCCGTTCTCTTGGGACCGTTTGACCGGATTCTCTTGGCGGGGCCCCCGGGCTCGTCCGCGTCCGCGATTGTTCCCTCGCGCCCGGCATAATACGCGTAATAATGGATACGTACGCGAGAGAGCGCGATTCGGGGCCCTACCGAGGCCCAGAGAAAGAGCGTTTAAGTATAATAAGCGCGCCGAGTGAAACAAAAACTGGTCCTCGGTAGGTAAAACAATGGCGGCCTCCTCGGGGACTCCGAACCCAAGATGGCGGACCGTGTGCGAAATTCAAGAACCTGTAGCGAGATAGAACAAAGCGGCCTGCAGCTGTCGACTCTTCTTCGGGCCCATATTTCCCCGTGAGGCCCCGTCGCGTGCGAATTGCTTCGTGCATAGCTCGAGGAGAGAAGGAAAGAGGGGCAGGAAGACAGAGAAAAAGGCGATTCGCGAGAACTCATCGCGGTGCATGCCAACGAAGTCGGACTTCTCACGGGGCCTTTCGGGTACCATTGTCTAGGGCCTCCTCGCGTCTTCTTTGGGGAACAGGTCGGACCAGTTGACTCCTGGATGTGGCTGGCAATCTTCCTCGCGATTTCTCCAAGGAAGGATTTTTCGCGAGACGGAGTCGGGGATCTTTCGCGAAAACCTCAAGGCTGAATGGATTTCCTCGAGGCCCAACGGAAAGGACGTTGGAGGACGTGGTTTCGGACAGATGTCCAAAGAGATTGGCGTTTTTTGCCCGGACTCCCGTGGACCCGTCCAGGTGTCCATTGTGGGTCCGAGCCTCGACCCTTAATCCGTAACCCTTAACCCTTTGGCCAGGCGTATCCGGAGGCGAGCGCCTATTTACCGATCCCTGAAACAATGCTCGCCGGACCGCACCCCGGATGCGCCCGTTTATTAAGTAATGTCCCCTCGTGCAGCTGCCGGCCGGAATGCCCGGAAAAAAGTGTAGCTTTTGTCTATGCAATGGACGCCGCCTGCGACCACGATTTTTATACTGCGGGACCGACGGACTGGAAGGGTCACGGGTCCGATTGGCCCATTGTCGCAACCGAGTCCATTAGGCGTCTTTGCGAGAGAAACGTCTTCATGCTTTCTTTTCAAAAGCCTCGAAAACTCCGAATTTCCAGCGAGAAAAATTGGCGAACCGCAGCGACCTCCAATTGGCGTTCTCTCGGAGGACTCGCGGATCCTCGACTTCCGCCTCGACTGGATCCTTAACCAGGCGTCGTAGAGAAAAACGGTTTCAATGAAAATTGTAGAGGATGTAGTTTCGAAGAACTTTCATGCGGAACTTTTTCCTCTCTCGTGGATAGTTAAGGGGGGAAAGTCGGTTCGGCTGCGCCGGGCGGATTTGGGATTCTGGGTCTGTCGCGCTTTACGAGCTTTAGCGAGAATGGATCTTTTGGGATTTCGAGATATCGTTGAGGGTTCGGAGATGTCTCTTAATTCATGCTTCTTCCCGAAAGGCCCCATGAATCGTCAAGCTTGCGTTTTCTACCCTCACACGCGTACTTGCCCCTCCACGTGGCCGGCACTAGGGTGGCCTTCGTCC